AGATTTGGTTATGAATTCCTTTCAAGCCATCTTCCCTGCAGATATGTCCACCCCATTCAGAGGCCCTAACCTCTGTCACAAGCTGATAAATGAGAGCCAGCCAAATCCTACGCCTTTGTATTAAAATTGAAGGCATCTACTGTTGTTACAGGGTCATTTAATTTCATTTCATGCCTTGAAGAAAACGCGATGAAGGAGCCTGATGAAACAATGACAGCCATGTCATCTTCTGAGTAATCCAGTTTAAAGGGTCTAATCGCTTTTCTGCAAGGCCCCTGTCTTTGTGCTGTCCTTCTGTACCTGTCAGTCTTTCCTCTTTGTCTTTACATCAAATCTTTCTTCTGTTGATGATTAAAGGAGGAGTAAAGAAGCTTTAATCAAGACCAGAACCTCTCTAATAATCAGCCTCATGGGGATTGTACACCTGATGGGCCTGTTGAGCTCTCCATCTGTGGAACGATTCAGGGTTTCCTTATAAGAGCTGTGATGGTGCAACATGTTGCACATTAATATGACTATCGGGGATATGGCAAGCATAATGCATACGAATCTGTCAACTTTGTGTGCCTGTCTGAACTAGTACGTGCTATGTTTAATGACCTTGCTCTTTTATTAAAACAAAATTTGCTTCTAAATAGAATGCAAAAGTCTCTAATGAGTTACTATAAAAATCCTGAGCACATAGAAAAATCCTAATAGCCTCAGCCTTGGAATGTGGAATACATAATCCTCATAAATTATAGATGTCAAAGTGCGTCAAGCAGGACTTTGCTTATTAATTTATTGGCTGTGGCTCTACATTAACACTCTAGCACAGACTAATGGGGCTGGTGAAGGTACTCAGCGAATCATTAAAATCATCAACCTTGATCACTGAGGTCATTTGAAAGCCTCTTTTACCCTTTGAAAAATCACACCAGTTGGCAGCAAACAAACATTTTTTTTCCTACTCTCAAGTTTGTCACTCTCAGCGATTATTTCATGGTGATGGCCTTGCTATGAACTTGACTCGAACTACATGCTGTCGGTTGCCATGGCAATGACATGGTTCGTTCCACTGTGCTGGCCCAACATCAACATGCTCCCACACAGAGCGGGGTTCATCACTCAGCAGTCTCTCTTCTCGGCAAAATCTCAACCATACATGGCAGAGCGAAGGAGCACACACTGCAAACTAACATTTTAACTGCCACTTAACATGTACAAACAATAAACCTCAATTTGACAAATTCAAACTTTGCGGGGTATCTTTAGTCCCAACAAATAAAAGAAGACGAGTGAAATCTTTAAGTACGAAGATCAATCTTTATCCATCAAGGACACAAATGTGAATTTTCACCTCGTAAATATGCCTACACAATTTGAAATATTCAGGGACATCTAGATAAAATAGGCTAGCCAGGCAAAACCTGACCTCCTCAAACATTAAAACATGAAAAAAAATCTTTAAATAATTCAAAGCAGAATATTTTTATTTTTGATGAAAATTTTTAACCAGCTTGATCGTTAGAGAAAAACACATGATATCTCTAATGGGCATACTGTTTAAGTTCAAGCATTGCAGTATATCTTCTCTTCAGTGAACATGAGTGACAAGGTTCATGACATGCAATGTACATTTGCTTATCTAACTTGCTTTATACCAAAGACTGTATATACTATGGACAACTTGGTTCCGCCTACCACCAGTATACAGATTTGAAGTCAAAAAGCACTTGGTTTTTTCAGGTTTTTTCTCCACTTCCTGAAACCAATATTGCGCAGTAGCATTGTACACACTCCACCACTTGCGCAGTAGCACTGTACACATTCAGCGGGAAAGTCGCTCTGATGACGCTTGGCTCAAATAGCGTATCCCTCGAGTGAGCTTCACAATCTTCGTACGCCCATAGGCTGTAACAAGTGTCAGTCATAGAAACATGAACCCCCTAATAACTTTTAAAATCAGAGCTGTACAGAAAAAAGAGAACATGAGCACAAACCAGTCTTACAATAACTACATGTCAACATCGCAACCAGGAGGAGAAAAATGTTATATTCTGTGTAATAATTTTCAAAAGTTTGTCTACAGCTCCACAGGAATTGCTGGAGGGGGCGGGATTTGTGACCTATACTGCAGCCCTTCACCAGAGGGAGCTGTTCTACGGGTCTGTGTCTGTCCATTCTATATCTACGTATACGTCCATTCTATATACAGTCTATGGCTGTTACAGACAGTAGATCTGCTGTTTTTGCAAGATTGAGAAAAGAAGTGAGCAATTGTGGAAATTACAGGTGTTAACATGAACAAAATTGATTATTTACTCATCTGCTCTCTTCCATCTTTCTGGGGTAAAATTTAAGGTTAAAAGACCAAAGATTGATTGACCAAACAATGTTCAAATAACACAAAAGTACAGCTGACAAAACCGTGAGTTTTGTGGTTCTTGGCCTCAGTGACTGACTAATGGCAAGTTCAACAAGGTCTTGACTTTTCTGTTTCCCTCCCTGCTCTCTGGAGGAGGCATCTCACCTTGGGTGCAACAAGGTTTTGTGGAATCAACATCTTTATCTGACAAAATTAAAAGTATGCACAACTCACATCCAAAATAGCATAATGAATGCTTACTTTGCTGCTAGTTGACACTGTCCATCAACTTAATGGGGGCCCTGCCATCTCTGTACAGTCACATCAAACTGGTAAAGACAAATAGGCATTCATTAACAAGGCAGATAGGGGAAAATAGGGAGAGAAAGTTTCTGGTAACAAACTTTTTTTGACAGCCAATGATATCATCCTAAATTTCAGTCATGTTCTTCAGTTTCAACATCCTTCTCTCTAAGTAAAACACAAGCAATCTACATCAGTGTTGGGCATGCTAAATGTGAAGAATAACAGGCTCAGCTCAAGTGAATGTACTTTAAATTAGGCTTCACAACACTGGACATTTCAGCCTATTTCTGCAGCAGGGGCTGCCAGATCAGTCTACAGTGGAGATTCTTGCATTTAAATGCTTCCTTGGGGACTGTCAGCTCACTGAGAAAGGTCTCCAGGAGTCACACCAGATGATCAGATCTGGTGGGAATAAGAGTCCTCAGTCCCTGGCTCTAGACCATGAGCAGAGGATTGAGTTGAGAGGTGTTAGGTAGAATGCTGCCTGAATGGAAGGGAAAAGGATGTTAAGTGTGGGAACTTGTCCTGGATTTTGATATGCATGGCATCAGTAGTTTTTCTCTTTGTCTCAAGTTCAGCTACACTTGGCAACACAAGCATGAACTTCAGTACATGCTTGTGTTGCCAAGTGTATCTTTCTTCCTTCAATCAATAAATCAATCTTTATTTATATAGCACCAACTCACAACAATTGTTATCCCAATATGCTAAACAAAAAAGCTGTTTGAGACCATACTCCATAAACCATGACCAAAAACCTAGTGTTAATATGGGATAAGATTTAGCCCAGTAGGGAGCACAAACTCCCGCTTCTTGTTCTTTTGTTAGGTTGGTCGTAGAATTTACGAAGATGTGCTTTGGCATTGCTCAGTCTGAACATAAAAGACAAGCTAGATACTCTCCCAGCCAAAGATTAAAGCTGGGAGAAAAGGGAGGAAGGACAAAATTTTGGGCCCTGATTATGAAGATCAGCAGATTTGACTCTTTGCTCTATGGCTCTGTCCTTGTGTTTTTCCTCCACTCTGCATTCCAGCCGCCTTGCCATTGCTTAGGATATGGCTCTGGCACACCTTTCTGCCTCGACTTGACTCAGCACCACTTTTACCACCGAGAGCTGGCACTTAGACGTTGTGGCCTTTTTCCAGGAAAGCCTCATATCCCCCAGGCCAAATCCCCCTCTGCCTCGCTGGACATGGCCCACAATGTCCTGATGTTTAGGTGCAGACTACGCCTCAGCTGAAGCAACCCCTTCCACCACTGGGTCCTGAGATTCTCTAAGTGTCATCTCCAGCACATTTAATTCTTTCATTGAATATGCAAGATGTATATAATATGTATCGGTGAATATGCAAGAAAACTCAACAGTGAAGATCAAGAATTTATTAATACAATACTACACTCACAGAAATATTTAGGCCTCATTGCATACAAAATTTCGATCCATTTGAATTACTTAGATTTAACATAAACAAGCCAATAAACTTTATGTGTTGCATATTTGTCAGTCAAATGCAAATGAAACTAATAAGAATTAGATTTACGCAACAACGCCAGTAAATCCAGTGTTTAGAATAAATAATGAAGATTTATGTGTTCATCATTGATAACTCCAATTTGTTTTTATCGCATATAAATCTTGGTTGATCTGTAGCTTGTCATATTTAAACAAAATTCATGTGTTTTAACGAATTAAATTGAATTGTTTTCAGAATAACAGATTTATGCTAATTTTAAGAAATTTGAATAAATAAATTCTAAAAAATGTAATAATTTAAATAAAATCAAATAGATGTAAATAAACTATGCCATAACTCATTTTTCTGAGTGTATAGCAGGTTTGAGCTCTTGGTAGCTGCTGATTGTAGCATTTAGGTAAATGTACCACCATAATTATCATTATGGAGATACATGTTCTGCTGTGTACTCTAGAGTGCATCTCCTATATACGTACTTTTTAGAGCAAACACTGTACGATGATTATAGGGCAACTGCAGCACAGCTGTTGGAGCAAGCTGTTCATTAAACTCGGGGTCATTGTGTCGATCCCCTGATGTGTTTTGGCAGGACAATGAAGTTCTGATTGCCCCAATAGTTGGGTCCGCGCCTAGCATGGCTGTTCGCTTCATTGGTGTGTAAGCGAGTGTGAAGGGAGAAGAAGCAAACTGTATGGTACCTTTGATAAAAGCTCTACATGAATGCAGTCAATATCCATTCATTTAAACTTCATAGACAATTGAGTGAGCCATTGTTCCTCCCTGCATTCAATCAACAGTATTTCTCTACTGATTTCAAGATTTTTCTCCAATATTACTCAATATATTCTAAAAATAAAATTTAAAAAACTACACCCACACACAACAACAATTTGAAGGTTTTATTTATTCACCCTTTCTCCATTTTCATGGCAAACACTCTCTGTGTTAAAGGTTGCTGCATGTAACAATCAACATATAGTGCAATTGATGACCCAGATAGCTCAAGGTGCAGAAATTCGGGTAAATAGTATTTATTGTTGCTTTGTTTATCTCCTTTTTCAGCCTAGCAGCTATTCTTAGCCGAGCAGTGCATGCTTGTTTTACACTAAGCTAAGATTCTATCGTCAAATAAAGCTTGATTAAAGTATCAATACTGAGGTGCCAGTGCAATAAGTACTTCATGGCCTGTTAAGCTCTGATGAAACTGCAAAGTCTTCAATAATGGGAAAATGACTCGTATTGTGCCAAAGGGTTGCCAACCAAGCATGGCTCCCAAATACATGAAATTTAACTGGGTACAATCAAAACTTACAAGGCGTGTTGGAATTTCTCCATACAATCAGGCTGTCCACCCTGTCCCACCCTCTAATGAATGTTCTCACCCTGGAAAAGGGACTGTGGCTCAGACTGGAGCCAAAAAAGATGATCCACAAACATGTAAACAAGAAAGTTCATGACAGACTCTCTGATCTGATGTGTGAATGAGTGAAGATGAAGCTTCTGATTAATCTTGCTGTTTTCCAGCGGCAGATGTGCTTAACATACTTACTTCTCAAGATGATCGATTGACTGGAGACGATAGGAAAATCTGCCTAATAAAGATGTCACCCTTAATTTTACACAGCCCTTCTTCTTCTTCTCCCTGGCAAATGAGAACATATTGTCTGTGAGCTTTTTTCCTAAAAGTGATGAATGGAGACTGGCTGTTAGGCGACAGCTGCTGCAGTCAAATCTAAAATTGCTCTGAGTCTTTCCATTTTAAATCACCCTTGTAGCATTAATTGGGTTTCTGTTACTGCTCTTTGCGCTTGCCAAACTATCGGTACGGGATTTTGTCTTTCCAGCACCATCTGCTGATTCATCTTTGCTCTTCCGGAAACAGTAGACCCCATACAGGCGAAATTTTTTATCAGCAAAGCCCAGGTGTCGCACACCTGGCTGTGCCCCTCCACAGCGAGAGCGGGGGTTGACGATGGGATAACGGATGCTGCCGTCTTCGAGCCAGCCGGCCTCACAGCGGTCCAGAAGCTGAAACTTCCATGCAGCATACAGCTGGCCCACTTTTGCCACCACTGAGCCGTCTCGAACACAGGCCTTCACTGCCTCAGCGTAGTTCACCTTCTTAAAGCGTTTCAGGAAGTACACCTTACCTATGAGGATGCAAAGGTAAGAGTAGAGGAGAGGAAATCTGTAGTGAGAACATTTAAAAAGGTGAAGGAGAAAGATCAAATTTGTTGTGCAGGCAGAGAAAGAGGGAATAGAGAGAAATGGAAGAGAGATTGAAGCCCTAGAGACAAGACAAGCCCTGGAGGTATATATTCCTCGTTTTCTGGGCATCTCTGTTTAGATTGTTTTCAGAAAATATAGCATTCAAACAACAGTCTTGGCAAGTGCTCAAGATCTAAAGGCTATGTTCGCAGTCAGTGAACAGCACTTGAAATGGATTTCAAACACTTGCTTTCATCTCAAGTCTCTGGAGTTATTTCACTTGGCATTATGAGAGATATTGCTACCACAATTGGTTGAATAGTTTCAACTGAACTGAATCACAAAGAAGGTTTTCATGAGAAAGACGCAAAAGTGAACAAAAAAACCCACCAAGAATAATGAGGTCAGTGGTTTTTTGTCTCATGAAATTCAAGTCAGCAGCCTCAGCTTTTCACTTGGCACACTCATTGATTTTATGCTCGTTTATGTGACTGCTGGCTATTAGAAAGGCAGAATATTGTCTCATAGTTCCCCAGAGGACACTCAATGCCTTCCAGCTGGACTGAGAAACTGTATCGGTCACGACCACAGCTGAAACCTCCTGCCCACAACAGACTGCCCACAATAATTAACACACAGGGGAAGCCATGGGCAATCAGTTCTATCATGCAACTTTTTACCAACTGAGGCAAAGCACTGTTTTGCAGTTCGGGCTATCCCAAAACTGTTAATGTTTAAAATATAGACCAAGTGTTTTTTGTTTGTTTATTTATTTATTGAAGGGGGGATAAAGCACCTGAAATTTTGAATTCTTTTTGAAACTTTGAAGAGGCAAATGCTAGCTTAAAGGCATGACTTTAAAACAAGATTTGTCAAGGGTTAGTTCTTAAAGGTGGGGTAGGCAGGAATCCGTTAAAGAAACATCCTTTTGTGTGGTGTTTATACAAAAAAGCTTTTAATATCAGTCAATAGCTATTAGTTATTGATGACATTTGGGAATATCACGATATCGCTGTGTTTTGTTATATCTGTATAGTGAGTGGCCCGCTCTTTCTGACTGTAAACAAAGTCATTCTCCACCTCCCCCGACCTGATTGGTTGTGAGGCAGACGCTGCTCCCTCATGTTGTGAGGCACACTCCAAGTCCTCGACTAATGCGCACGAGCCCAATCAAAGTTGGCGTACTATTTGTAATTATCTGAAGTATTTATCTGTTATATCTGAATTTAATTGGATCGATACGAGCAAGCACAAGCATCTGTTTGTGGGCGGGGCTTGCTGGAGCAGAAAGGGAAGAGGAGGAGCTGAGGGGAAAACTGGTTGGGAGAGTTAGTGTTTACGTTCAAGATTTCTGCCAAAAACTGGCACTTTCTCAGATCCTGCCCACTCCACCTTCAAACGAAGCGTAAGCATTATCACTACAGGGTCATTCCATGTCAATTCAACCAAGAATCTCCACTCATGTCACAGATTTTGATGAAATTTGGTGAAGTGATTGGTCTTCAGGAAAAACTGTCAGAGCTCAAATATTTTTGTTCAAAGCCATCTAATTAGTGAGAGAGGGGCTAATGAATTTTTGGCTAACTAGCATGACATGCGTTACAAAAGTGTTCGTATCTCTGGAAGTTGAGTAGGAAAATATGTAGCCAGATATGTGGCTAGTTGGTATGTTTTTTGTTTAAAGGGAACTGTTTGCTTTGATGCACCTTTGTAACTCACAAAGTAAGACACATTCAAACTGACGTATCTGTCTTTAGCACGTAGACAAATAGAGCAGTTGCTGCCAAATGACTCGGTTGTTTGTGTTTAAAATCCACCTTGCTGTCTGAGTGCTGACATCCTGTTTATATTCTTTTTAGATAATGAACGCAAACATGACTTTGGTTATTAATCTTCTCTTCTAATAATTAACAAAGTGCTAAAGTGTTAATATAGATAAAGCAAGCAATTAATAACTTGAGAAGTGATTATTTAAACACAGCTGGTATCTTTCAAGAATCAAGAAGGGAAGTAGAAAACTTTTATCACATATTTTCCTCCTCATACAGCCATTTTTTGTTCCCCCAGGATGTTGATGATGCAAAAAACTTATTTGGCTCTTAACTTTCAAAACTTTATGTGGGCCTGTGAACCTGTGGGTGAGCCAAACTCTCTGTGGAAATACGATATGAATCAAAGCCTTTGGATATGAAAGGCAATGCTTCACAAGGGAGTGTGTGGCTCTAACAGGGCAGCATAGACATGATCTAAATCCAATGGCCACAGGCATGTAAGATCACAAACAGACATCAGAGACAAAATCCTAAAATACCCAAGCAAAGCGTTTCTGATATACCCTCTTACTTGACACAAGTACAACAATCCCTTTTTTCCAGTCATGAGCCACAGATACTGGATACTTGCTCAGATGTGAGCTGTGTCTGCAGCTTCAAAGTTTTTCTGATCTTCACATACAGTCATACATGTGCACACCGCAATGGCTGCCGGCTGACATTTCTTGCCCTCTACGTCATTCTGTCTCTCTGTTTATCTGTCTCTCTCACCGTTGAGTTTGGAAGTGAAGCAGAAAGCATCATAGTGCTCATCCTCCAAGTGCCGGTAGCCATAGTTGCGAACCCCGGCAGGCGTGTCCTTGCGTCCGCACTGTTCTCTGGGGTGAGCAATAGGGTACTGGACCGAGCCGTCCTCCAGCCATCCAGCATTACACCAGTCTAGTCCTTCAAGCCAGGCCTGTGGAGGAGGAGATAATGGAGATGAGCGAGGCAAACTAAGGGATTGAACACATTAATAGGAGGAGAGGAATTTAGTTTATCTCTTCTGACATAACCCCATTAACTCTGGGCTTTAATATATGAGGCTTTTTAAAATAGAGGGACGGGCCTGCAGTAGAATTTCAGCTCTGATTATATGCATATTATAATTTTGGTCTTATTGCTGCTCTAAAACAGTTTAAGACTATAGACAGTTTATTGTGATAAAGTGGCCTGTAAATTTAAGTACTGCAGAAGGTACTCATATTTCTGGCTGCAGTCGTGGGAGTGTATTATCAGTTTCTGTCTGTCTCAGACTTTCTGTACTTTCTTTTTATAACCAAACTTTCTGAGTCCATCAAAGCAGATAGCTGTCTTCCAAAGAGTGTAGTCCTGCTCAACTTTTCTGCCCATTTAAAGGAACATTTTTTCTCAATACTGTTGCAAAGACCTGGTTGTGGTGGAGAATATCGGATTTCTGACAATATCAAAAAGAGTTTTGTCTGCACCTGATCTACTGTTCATGGAAAGAGATTTGTTTTCTGTATAAAAAGTATAATCTGAGGAAATGAAAGTGTGATCAAGATGCTTCCAAAGATTCCTTAGTGTCACTTGTGTATTTTAATCTGCCTTATTTTAGTCTCAGAAAAGTCATGAACTTGCCTTGTGGAGTTGAGAGTGAGAAGCCAGAATGGCATCCTGCCTTTTGCAGGCGTCCTCGGCCTGGTGGTAGTTAAGCTTGTAGCGCCCCTCACGGGGGTAGTATGGAAACACCACCCCTATAAAGAACAGAAACAGAGCAATTATTGAGTGTGGAATGTAAAATTCTTTGTTTGGATATCAGAGTGTCCCTAAAATCTCAGCATTGTCAGCATTTCTCTAAAAAGAGTCACTCGATATGCACAAATTGAATACAGTAAAGAGATGATTAGTTAAAACATATTGACTGTAAATAAGTCATTGGCTGGTACTGTACTGCTAAATTTTAGTGAAGATTTTGATCTCAGAGACCATGACCTACAACTCATAAAACTATCTGCTTATGCACCCAAACCTTTAGATATTAACTGGATGACAGGTTACTCATCCAACATACAACAAGGTCCTATGGTTAGTCGTACCTTGTCAACTATTGGGTCCCTGTAGTGTGGAATTCCTCATGACAGTTGTCTTGGACTTTGCTTATATGCTGTATTTACAAATGATTAATCCTCAGGCATTGCTACAGTATGTATGCAGATGATTGCACAATTTAAAAGATTTCAATAAGATGCTCCAAGAAGAGCTAAAGTTGGTTTCTAGATGGGTTTCAGAGAATAGGCTCAAATTGAACATTCCAAAAACATAAACTATAATATGTGTTTCCAAACATGCTCTAAAGACAGATCAGCAGCTCTGCATCTCCTTGCAAGGGTTAGTCATTGAACAGGTTGACCAGACCAAACTGTTTGGTGTGACTATTGGTGGAAACATGTCATGGTCAACTCATATGAGTAATGTAGTTGCAAAAATTAGCAGGGATGTTGCCCTCATTTTTTGCTTTTTTTTTTTAAAGTATATCATACAATCTTTAGGTTTATCACACCTCAATTACTATACAGCCATCTGGACCAGCCATTCAAAACAAGAGCTAAACAAGATCCAACTCACTGAAAACAGAGCAGCATGTCTAGCTGCTGGATAAGGGAGAGTGTGGACGGGATACATTCAAGGTTGTCAAAGATGAGGGTGGATGAGAGACTTGCATGTAGCCTAGTTCAGTATACAAGAATTTTATGTCTCTGGACAGAGAAAACCTTAATATTTGCTGATAGTGACAGACATCATTATAACACCAGAGATGCCTCTGTGGGGCGCTTCACATTACTTCTGCCTAAATACAGCGCTTTAAAGAGGACTGTGATGTACAGGGCTTTGGTAAATTGGAATAAATTGACAAAAATACAGTTTTAAAAAATTTATAAGAAATGCAATTGTAAAAAAGGAGACAATTTGGACAATATATAACATTTTGTGTGAGGAACTAAATATTTTACATTTTTGACCTATTACTTTTATGCCAATGAAAATCCTTTTATTGTGTTTTTACTTGTTCTTATTTTGATGATGCATGATGTCTTGTTGATTGGTTGATTTCAAGTGTTGTGTCTTGTCCAGTTTTGTGTAGATCACAGGAAGAACAATTGTTACAGCCATAATAAATAATCAGTATCCAAAAAAAAAAAAAAAGGAAATAACTGAAATCATTCCCCACCTTCCAGGTCTAGGTTGACAAATCCTGTGTCATCTTCCATGTCATTGGTCACTTCACACTCGTAGCGTCCGTAGTCCTCCAGTGTGACATTTTGGATGATTACCGAAGCATCTCCTGGTCCTGCCTGCTCCAAAAACACACGGCCTTTGTATGATCCAAACACACGCTGCTGCCTGAAAAGAAAGACCATATTGTGAACATGTCCTGAGCCAAACTTAGAGCACACAGATGAAAAAATGATTTCAATCAGTCAAGTGGACATTTGTTGGACTGGGCCCTGTAACAGAGATTGATGATGTGATGAAGACAATGATCAGGAATTGATTTAGAAAGGCAGACAGGGGTTCTACCTCCCAAGTGCCACAAACACATCCTCAAACTGCAGAGCATCTGTCACTTTGGTCCATTTGATGCGGATGCGAGAAGGATCTGTGTTCTCGGGCTCGTGGTGGAATCTGCAGGGCAGAGTGATGGAGCCTCCACGGTGTGTCACCACTTTGCCGGGAGCTGTCTGCACAATGACCGCTCCACTGTCATCCTCTGTTGAGAAAAGGCCAAGTTATCAAAATGCTCCCTCTGTACCAGCATTAAACATTAGATATTGAACTAATATGTGCAGGAGTACATTAAACATGAGAGTAATATAGATAAACCTATATGAGACAAGACTGTAATGGTGAGGAGGCAAAGGATGCAGACAAACTCAATAAAAAATGTAAATATGCAACAGATTGATTAATTTATATGAGGTTGATCTTTTTTTTCAATAGTTACATTAAAACATTGTGTATTAATACATGTCTGATGAGTGAATGATATACAGTATACATGATTAGAAAGTGTGCCCTCCAAATAAGGATTACTAGTCTGTTTTACAGGCTCAGTCGCTGCTGTGGCTCTGAATGACTGTGCACTAAAGTGACATTATTCCTCTGTTTTAAATCTGTGATTTGAAATGGAATATTTCTTGAATTTAGTATACACAATACTTTATAAAAACAGACTAATGCATTAAGAATCCTTCAGTGCAAACCAAACACATGCCTGAAATCCTGGTGATGTTTTTGCAAATACTCCTAGTGCTGCCAGATACCACTCAGACAAAACACTTGATACTATTAAATAAAGAGTCTGTTGTTTTCTTAAGCTGTCGCATTTGGGCTCAAACAGCCGACCAACAAATCAATGAAATAAATCTTTTTATGGTCAGAGAGTTGAGAAAATTTGTAGTTTACTCTGTCTTCAGCCGCAACCCGTCATTACCCATCTAGATTGTAGCCTCAGTCTCTGCAGAGGGCTGTTCACTGAAACGCTCTGAGTCTAATGCTAACCACAGGCTTCTTCTTCCAAATGGGCAGCAACACCAGGAATCTTTGGCAGATAGCTGTTGCATGTGTGCATGTGAGTGCACATGGGCAAACAAATGCTGCATACACAAATGAGGTTTTCATTTTAAGTCATTTATTTTGCGTTTTCACAAAAAAATGCCTGACCACGACCAGATAAATGCACTAACAATTCTCCATGCCAGCCAGCTATTAGTCTCATCTCTGTTTTCTGTTCTCTGTAAAGTTATACGCTATGAACAGCAGACATGAAAACAAGAGGTGTTTTATCAAGAGATTAAGCACATTATTGCCCAGCATAGATGCAAATGGCTGATGTTAAATAAGAAATCATTTCATCAATGAGATATCAGATGAAAGCTTTCCCTGACAAAGAGGATGGAGTTAACAGTTCTCTTTGTAAATATGATCCCTGTTGGTCCTAATAGTTAGAGTACCTGTGTGAAGGAGACTGTTTCATGGTAAACTGGCAGATTAAAAGTAGCAGGCAACGATTAATTATTGAAAAGAAGAGTGTACTCACTCTGCCCTACATCAGATAGACGGCAGACAAACAGGGTTAGGACAGTTTAAAAGATAAGGCTGAAAAGATCTCAAAATTTCACCCTGGCGTTAAGGACCTTTCACACCGGGACCGTTATTATCGTGCGATTATTTCGGATGTCAATATTTTTTTTTGAACCTGTATCCTGTCAATACAAGCGTTCACATCAGCGACGTTTTCCCGTCCTGCGATATTGCGGCATTTATTTTTCCGGATCACAATTTTTCTAAAGTTTCACATACTGTGTGTCCACTTCTGACCAATCAGATTGCGTGTTGTTGCAACGTCTGATTCACCAGGATATCCAACATGGCCGACCGGCTGATTGTTTACGTGTCGGAGAACAGAGTGCTTTTTGATATAAGACACAAACATTACAAAGATAACAGCCTGAAGGATAGTTTATGTGCTTTAACAGTTTGCTAAACATCTTTGTTTTAACTTTCATCGATAATAATAAATAATGCATCAGATTTCATATAGCGCTTTATCAGAGACCCTCAAAGCGCTTTACATTGGATACATCATTCATTCGCTCACACAGTCACACTTTGGTGGTGGTGGAAACATGGCTGCCATTCTGCGCCTACGGCCTCTCCGACCACCACCACACAACACTCACACACTGGAGGACACACACTGGGAGCAAGGTGGATTAAGTGTCTTGCCCAAGGACACAACGGACAGACTTGGATTAGGGGGGAATCAAACCGCCAACCTTCCGGTCATTGGACGACCGCTCTACCTCCTGAGCTACTGCCGCCCCATCTATGCTAAGTAACTTTAGCTCATAAGCTAACCTGTTCAGATACAACATACCATATGTATTTTCACTGTCTCAAACTCAATGGCGTTGCTGTCACAGCACCATTAGGTCTCGGTTGTTACCTTATGTTTATGGATTATAGTTTAATGTGCTTTAATCTGGTACTGGCCCCGACTCAGTACATGCTATCATGACAGACAGACATCTCAACACTAGTTTCTAATCAGAACTAAAAAACAGTCAGCCTGCTGTTGTGTCAGTCTTCTCGCTTCCACCCGGGATGCGTCTTTCTTCCCCCCAGAACGTTGCAAAATCGCATCGGGCTTGATGTGTATAGTCAGGCGAGTCAAAATTCGTGTCGGATATTTGCGTCGGTCCCGGTGTGTAAGGACCTTTAAGATCTAAAAAGACTCCAAATGAAAATTGATTAAGCACTGATACCCACTGATTATTTCAGAAGACAATTAAATATGAGGACTGTGCCTTTCTTAAAATTGTACATTTTAATCATATTTTAGCTACGTGCTTGTTTCAGTTGCAGTTTACATGCATATTCTTCCATCCAGTTTCAAAACTCTGGGTAAGAGTTTTCGTACGACTTTGGAAAACACTTAAAAAGACTGAGTGTGTGATTCCTTCCTTCTGTCTGTCCTGGCTCCACAAGCCCAGGATGAGATTTAATGCCATCTCTTTGGTTTCAAAGGTGTCATCTCCATAACCCTGCTTAAAAAAATCTCCTAGAACATGCTGTCACAGCTATGCAGATCACTTCAGAATGAAGTGCTACAGTCTGTGCTGCTTTGAGCTGTAGGAAACAGGAAAGAAGAAAATGTTCTTACCGAGCACATGCACTACCTTTCTCCTTCCTTTCTCTAAATCTGCTGGCAGGGAAGTCACCGAGAGGGCAAAAGTCAGAATACAAACCACAAAGAATGTCTGCACCGAGGCCAGGGGCCGCAGCCGCTTTGAAAACTGCAGAAGAAATACGAGAGAAAATTAAGGTTATCGCAACTTAGTGAAAATGGAAGGACCAGACATTTGCCCTTTCGGGGCACAGGTAAGAGCTAAAAATACAACACCTCCTTGACCTCCTCCTTGTCTGGAGTCAAGCCAAGAAAAACATCCAAAGACTTATAACTTCAAAATTGGACTTTGGATTGAACATTTTAACTTTTAAAGTCTGCAAAAATGCTACATATGTTATATGTGTTGTGCATATTAGGCATAGTCCACCTCTACCTTTGTATTTTGCTTTAAGTCATGCTGAAACCCCACCAGAGTTCACAGTGTAGGTGTTAATATTATGGATAGTTTAGCTGCCCAGTGAGCAGGACAACATACAGTAGATAATCGATTGCTTTAACTTGCTCAAAACAAGTAACAAGTAAATAAGGTTAGCTGCCATGGCTGTGTTTGGTTTCAGAGTCTGTAAACTGTAACAACTCTCCACTCCTCTGGAGCTCAAAGTCACAATGTGAAAAGAAGAGATAGTCCTCACAGGATAGGAAAGACTTTAAGCTTGTTTTGCATGTTTTTTATCTGAACCGCCAAGAATGAGCTGAAGGGAAGGACGAATTTGGAGAGTTTTTGAGGGCAAAAGTTGCTCAGTAGGCCTAGAGTAAACAAAAGAATACATGCAGACACAAATAATAAAATAGATCAGATTCCTGAGGAAAAACAAAATGATGTCTGCTGTGTTTTCTCTTACATATCAGATGTAAACTGAAGTAGGAAAAGACTGCAAAACATATGGAACCTTTAATCCGAGTATGTAAACAATCCCCTAAAGAGGAATCTGCATGCTTGCTCCTCCTGGATGTTATTTCATAATCAGGATACTTAAGTTATCCTAGGGGGGAAATTTGGTTTTCATTTGTGGTCAAGTACTCATTATCCCTACAAGTTCTTCTTAAATGATGAAAGGTTGTTTAGAGCACTGCAGTTGCACATTTGTGTGTATTTTCAGCTAGCATGTGACATCCCTGGTGCTGCTTATGTAATCCAATTGCAAAGGAAGTGGTTAAATGTAAACACATGCACATAAATGTAGGTTAGATCCTTAGCTTCTAGTATCAACAATACACCAAAATGGAGAGATTCACATATGCTTCATAAGCTGTGTGCCGTCCTAGAGGGCTGCATTATCAGTGTCAGCAGGGAGCATGCATCTCTTATGATACACAGTAGCATGACTGCTGCAGCACAGAACATCTACACAGGCCTCAGTGAAGCAGATTTACTAAAGCAGCCACTTTACATGCACATTATGAACTACAAACAGCCCTGCTGCATCATCTCTCTCAAGGTGAGTCCAATGAGCTTCCCTGTAGTCGCCATGCAGCACAGGGAGATGCAGAGCAGAGTCAGAATAATGGAGCACAGAAGTGAACTTACCATGGCTTTAACACCAGGATTACAGCCTGGGTGAGTCAGACGTGTCGCTGTGTGCTGTTTAACTTCTTAGTCAGGCTAAATGTTTCTCTGCAGCAGCAGCAGCATCACTCGTCTCTCCCTCCCTCCCTCCCTCTCTGTCTTCAGTCCCATCGCTGATCTCTCACACTGCAGGGTAACTACCGGTGTTTGTGGGACCTGCAGTCCTCAGATGACGCAGCACACATAAGATAATGCAGAGTGTGGAGAAGTCAATCACTGACTAATTTCACTCTGTGACGTTTGTAAATGTGTTTCTGTTCAGCCATGATGCTCGTAAAAGGGTCACCTTGTAAGTGTGAAAATGACTGTGCTATTGCGGTGATATTTAAGAAGACAACTAGGTATTTGAGACAGATTCAAGGTATTATTGAAATTAATACTTTATAACTTGAATTCAACTACATAGAATAAGCATTTGATTTTCAAGTAACCTACATTATCCTGTTCCTATGCATGAGCTCACTCATAAATCATATTCCTGTTCCTGTTCATATAAACAGATTACTTACTGTTAACTGACACTTTACCCTGCTCTACTCAAAGAATTGATGAAACTAGAATGAATATGAACAGCAATAATTTAGTATGAAATCCAGAGTTATGAAATTATATGTACTACCCCAGAAAGCAACTCACATACAATAATACCACAGCTATATTACCAAACAGTAGACTAAATATGATTAAACTGCGAATGAGCAGAATATTCTCTGGATTCATTATCCCAATTGGATTTGCCAGATTAGAAAAAGCAAGCATTCGTTTGCACAACATGTATCAGATTAATGATTAAGTAAAGACTTTGCTTGTGCATCTGACATAATGAAATATGTGGCTCTTAATTTCATCCAAATCTTGGCTCTCCTTCTTTCACTGTGTTGCATGACATTTTTTTTTGCTCTTGTTTCAGCAGCACTGGCATAACCTGCTCTGAAGTGCCTCCAAAGCACCATACGGACCTTTGGTTCAGGTAGCAGAGGTCTTGAGATGATGCCAGCCATCAGTGGGGGGAATAGGACACTCAGAAGTTAAGCTTTGAAAGAAGAAACTACCTTGATGGCCACATCATTGCATACTGTGATCCTAAGATACAAGTTGACTAGCAGTGCCTTGTAGAACAAGGAGGGGGACTCGTCAACTGCAGTGCAGCTGTTGAGGTTACTGCAGTCCTGTGAAGCATCAGAGCAGTTACCAGAGTTTAAGAAATCTGCTCAGTGTTTCCCTTGAGCACTGCAGATCTATCAGTGTGAGAGACAGCAGAAAGAGGAAAAGATCAAATATAGTTGGAAGCGAGGAAATGTGGTGGTGAGGTGAGAAATTCAAGCTCAACAGTAACAATGACAGCTTTTCAGGCTTTTGCCAACAGCTGCATCCTGTTATGGGGACAGTTGGTGCTTCAGCTTATCTAGCAATACCAAAAATCTTGCAATGTAGTAACACTAAAACATACTGTCATGAGTTCAGGAAACATTCTCTAAATATTGTTGCAGCACTGTGGGTTTTCAAAGATTACCTCATACATTGACAGAGACTTTATCTTCTCAAATGAGAGGTATAACAAGTGGACTGGAAACAAACAGGAACCAGAGATGTCTATCAGCAGTGACTGAGTGGGCTGGAACAGGAGAATTGAAAAGCTCAGTTTGCTGAGTGAGATTAAGCAAAAAGACCATTCAGTGGTGTGCACCGGTGCATGGCAGAGTAACAGAGCATTTTGAGCATTTTAGACTCCACTTTCCCCCCTGGAGATGCACGAATGAGCAGAAACAGTACTGCTAGCCAAAAATCAATGGAGCAGGTAGTTTCAGTGTTCTTTGTCTACTGATGTTTGCAGATTTGCCTTGAATGATATTTCCAACATGTACTCATTCATGTGCAGGCAACACCTCTATGACATAAGGTCACGAAACAAACTGGAACAGATTTATGCATTTATTTATCTGGTTTCAATCCCTATCCCCATTCAGATCAAACCTTCATACAAAGGAGCGGGTCCCCTTCCACTGAGGTTGCTATCTTGCACTGCCATGTTTCATAGAGCAGACAAACCGGTGCCATATGTGAATAAGAAGAAGGGTTGTTGTGCACTAAGGAATTTGTTCTAATTGTCATTTTTGATGGTAAAAGCTTGACGACTGGGGGATTTTACTCATCATACATCACGAGAGCTTCTTGCTCTCAAAGGCCACCAAGCTCTTGCTGGTGACCTATAGCTTTGAGGGATGTAGAGGTTTATCTTATGCATCAAAAAAGCAACAAACAGCAAAGGCTGGTATTCATATCTTTGGTAGCTGCCTGGATGAACATGAGTTTGATTTTTTTAATTCATGACAGAGAGAAAATTTCACACTACAAGTGATGTCCAGCTTACAGGTGTGAATGTTTATCTGGTAACTGTGTTTACAGGGTCAGCTTTGATGGTTAATGTGGCCACTCATAGTAGAGGCAACCAGAATAACCATCAAACAGAATATCTTGTATTTTATCAGTGGGCTTGATCTTTTTTGATGTTACTTAATAATGGATAAATGTCTTTGAATACATACATGCAATCATTATATATGCTTTTTTTTTATTGTAAATACTATAGACTGTATATAGCACAGATGCCATCTTCCTCCTCATTGGGTGAAGCCAACGTGAGAACAGCACCCTCTGGTGACGGGCTGCAGTATAGGTCATAAATCCTGCCTCCTCCAGCAATCCCTATGGAGCTATGGAAAAACTTTAGAAATTAATTACACAGAATATAAGTTTTTCTCCCCCCGGTTGCAATACTGACATGTAATTACAGTAAGACTGGTTTGTGCTCAAGTCCTCTTTTTTCTGTACAGCTCTATTTTTACAAGTTATTAGGAGGTTCATGTTTTCTATGATTGACACCTGATACAGCCTATGGGTGTACGAAGATTGCATAGCTCACTCGGATGATACGCTGTTTGAGCTGAGCGTCATCACAGTAACTCTCCCGTCGAATGCGTACAATGCTACTGTGCAAGTGGTGGAGTGCGTACAACGCTACTGTGCAATGTTGGTTTCGGGAAGTGGAGAAAAAAAACGGAAATCCCGAGAGCTTTTCGGCTTCAAATCCGGATAATGGTAGAAGGCTGAGCAAAGTTGTCCATAGTATATGCAGTCTATGGTAAATACTGTAGGTTGATACATATGGTACCTTATACTGTATCTTAGTGTTGACGTTAGCATCTAAGCATTCATGTTTCAGTGGAAGCTGTGTCATGCATTGACTGAAACATTAATTCAAAAGGCATTTCATCACAAACCTCTCCCATCTCTGCAGTCTGATGGTTGAACTGTATTCTTCAAAGTCACAGCTCCACGGCTCTGTAGTTTCAAAATCACAGTCGAGCTAACATCTGCAGCAGAGCTCCCCTGTGACTGCCATCATGGGATTACAGAGCTGTTTGCAGCAACCACATTTGACTTAAAGCCTCTGTCGCACACACACATACACACACACAGTGCACTGCTAGCATATGAAAACAGTGGTGATGCCACACACTTTAGTATAAAAGAATTACTTCTGAGGGGAAGTGGTTGAAACAAGTTGCCTCCTTCTTTATGTCTGGCGGCCTGCTGCTCAGCAAAGTATAAGGGAGGAGGACTTATGAGTGGTTTAGTTTTACCACTGATGTAGACAGGGAGGATCAGTAATACTATCATGCTAAAAACTCTTCTCAATAACATAAACCTCTTTTATCCCTGTGTAACAAACATTGTGCTCAAACATGTGACTATACTGCATCCAAGGCCCAAATCATTTAAAAGCTTTTGCAGATGAGTTTGGTTATTGTGTGTTTTACAATGATTTGACAGTCATTCTGAAAGCCCTCACAGTGCTGACAAGTCTTTCATCGAATCAAATAAAGACAAACCTCTTACCCGCTGCCTGCATGGTCATTTCATTGTGGTTGTTTGTGCAAACAAATTTTAATTGATGTCTTTGTAAAATAAAAAATGATGTGAGAAGTGGCTGACTATTCGTTTGGCCGCCCCCACAGAGGAAGCAGTAAAAGAACAACAACACAAAGAGAATGAAGGAAGTGAGGAGAGGAGTGATGAAGCGCTCACAATTTAGGTACAGAGGATCAGACAGAATGCAGGATGGCAAAGGCATGTTTTGTTCCCCTCCTTTAAACCCACAAAGAAACGCTGTCTATGTAAAACTGAGATAGGATGCTGGCAGCAGACAGCAGCAGTGCGTGTTCATCAGAGTGAGAGAATGGCCAGCGCTCTTGCTAAGTATATATTACCCTCTGCAGCACATGTCCCCTCATTCTCTCAGCTCTTCATTAATTGTGCCTGTCCATGGTGTCAGAATCTCTGGCATACTGAAGGCCAATCCCATCCACCTCATGCCTTCTCAATAAATAAATATATATATATATATATATATATATATATATATATATATATACATACATATTAGTGCTGCCAAGATGGCCAAACAAAAATATGGAAAGGCTGCTGTTTCAGAGCCTCAGGTCTGTGCTCAAGCCATTGCCTTGCGCAGTGCAGGGAAAACTTGCAGGGAGGTAGCTCAGGACCTTGGCAGAAGCATACGATGGGTGAAAAAGTGGTGGCAGAAACACCAGAGTTGTAACTCCCTTAAAGACGAGCCCTGTGCAGGTCACCCCCCAGTCCTGAGTTTGAGGGCCATAGACCTCATCTGCAAGGGCAAGGGAAGGAGTCACCAATCCTGCCGCAGACTTAGATCAAACACTGAAGAATCTTGGGAAAGCAGTCTCTAAGAGAAGCATGAAATGGTCTTTGTGCAAGATGGTGCCCCCACACATACTGCCCGTACAACTTAGCAGTGGTGTTCTGGGCAGCTTCCTGGCTTTCTGCACAAAATGGAATGACTATCAAACTCTCCAGACCTATACCCATTTGAGAACTGCGGGGGCATCCTGAACAGTTGAGTATTCCACAGTTCACCCCCTACCACCATGAAGCAGCTCAGTGTGAGGGCTGTGAGGCAGTGGGGCAACATTGAGCCTTCAGTTCAAAGAACTAAGTGCATTTCTTTGCCCGGCAGGATAAACACATTCTGATTATTATTCCCGATCTAAGTTAACTTTTTCTGTAGGTTTCATATATGTTTAAAATCATCAAAGTGTGTTTGCATCCAAGGTTCAAATATGTTGTGCATCTATCCTTATTTTACTCTGATTTTAGAAGTTTTGGTTTACCTCAGCTTTTGTTAAAAACAACTTAAGATGTGCCATAGCATTGGATTGAAGTCAATTTTAATATACTGCTCTTTGAATAATTCAAAGAGAGATGCAGCTTATACTTAAAATCTGTCTGCAGTCCAAATTGAAATGCAGCCATAAATCTGTGAAGCAGACCCTAAACCCTTTTACCATAACCTCAACCCGTAAGAGAAAATTCTCTGTTCAGTCTATATCTAATCTTAGTATATCTAATGTATCTAAAGTATGTCTAATGTTAGTATTTTTGAGAATTTCTACTTGTCAATTGTTAAGGTACACAGTTTGGGTATTGTTAAACTTTCTACAGCTGTTGTCTTATCTCTTCCTCCATAAACGCAAACTGATAACTGTCAACCTTGTTATTTCTTCCGCTGGTTTGTTTTCCAAAGTTTGGAGCAGGTAACATAAAGATCCATGTACAGTTTCTTACATTTGTTTATATTTTATCTGTGTTCACACACTGTAGGGTAGAAAACTCCCAGGCTCTTATTTTGTTGCATAGACAATGATCTACAGCACTTCCATGAGCTCCTCCAGCTCTGTCATCGTGGGCTGTGGGGTTTGTTCTGTAACATTCAGTTCTGTATGCCAAAAAGGGGCGGTCACCCAGTGCTGCCAAGAAAAACTCTCATCTAAACAATGTGCTTTTGTTTGTGTCTGACATCTTAGAAAACAGAGTGAAGGTGTAAGGACAAGTGCAAGAATGAGTGCACAGTGTCTCTAAGGGTGAGTGTAAAATAATCATGAATTAAACAGGCTGGAGATTTTAAATATTTATTATGAAACAACTGTTAAACCTGTAAGGAATGAGAAGCCTCTGATTTGCACAGGAAGTGATTGTTGCATGATCGTCAAACAGAACACAGAGAACTAATCTGGAAAAAAAACCTCCTTGCTTATGTATAAGCCTCTTTTTTTTTTCCTTTTATATAAGCTAACTCATGTTATCAGTTTCTGTCCCAGTGTTAGTTTGTACTGGCAGAGCTACTAGTATTCTGATGCTCAGAAAATATTTTGTTAAATGGGAAGCCATCCTTGTGAGTTAGCATGCTTATTTTTCTTAAAGAGCTTTGCATAAGAACAGCTAAGGCAAAGTTGTGAGTTAGGCAGGTATTTACTTAAAACCAAAATACTGGAAATCATACTGATTCTGACCTGATGATGGTGCTAGAGGAAAAGTCCCAGGACGACTGCAGTTTTTACATTTTAGGTCTCATAGTCAAATTTCACAGCAGTTATTTCGGGGTTTTTTTTGTTTGTTTGTTTGTTTTTTTAACTCATTTTAAGGCATTTTTACCTTTTTTTGGATTGAACTGCTGAAGAGAGACAGAACATGTGGGGAGCAGAGAGCATGAAAGACACGCAGCACAGGAATGCATCAAACTGACACCAAGCATGTCTGTATGTGTTTTTGCAATAAATGCAATATTTTTTTTGATTTTTAAGCTTACTTGATTTGTTGGAGATCCAGCAAAATTATCAACTTAAAGGAAAACTTCAGCATTTTTCCACCCATTTTCCTATCTGTTTCCCCAATAACAATCTAAGCCTGCCAGTGGTAAAATAAAGCACTTGTAGTAGATGCAGTTTGACGATGTGCAATTGCGCAATCAAACTACGTTGTACCTTGTTTCTTGGCTGCCAGCTGCACCGCTCTCCCTCAGTACAGAACCAATTGCAGAAATTGTTCTCTCCATCGGTCAAGCACACACACACACACACACACATGGGAAAACAAGTACCAGGTTGAAAAATACCAAAGTGCCCCTTTAATGCTCAAAAGGCCAAATATGTCAAAATTGCAGTGGGGCCTGCAGAATCCTGAGATTCATCCTCTTAGCACCGTGAACATCTGGACAATTTGGATTGCAATCCATAAAATAGACATGTTGAAATATCAGTTTGGAACACTGTTGGATCAGCAGATCAGCTCACAAGCCAATACCTCTTTTAGAGCCTGACAAGGAGCTCCACTTACAAATCATTTTTTTTCGCTATATGCATGACAAAAGCATTGGAAATGATGGATTCAAACTTTTTAATACCCCCTAAATCCAAGGATTCTGAGCGTCAAACTCTTGTGTTTTGACATTTTGCAAAATGGTGATGGAAATAAAGCAGCTTTTCATAACTCATCAGTTTAACTTTAAAGGTCAGAGAAAAGTTTAATGATTACTTGTCTTTGTACTTGGTATCTTTCTCCTCACTGTTTGGCAAACCTGTCTGCCCTGGGAAAGGAGCAATCTTCAGGAAGAAATAGGGATTACTGTGAACCCTTAAGGCGACAAGGACGGGAGTGGCTGTGTAGAGTAAGTTGAATATCAGCACAATCCAGAACGCATCATTCGGGATATGAAATGGAGCCGTAGTGCGAGGGTGGAGGGACCCTCCAATGTGGGCCCACTGACACTAAAGGATAACACAGAAAACAGGACAAAATTTACCCAACATGTCATTGGTACATACGTAATATCCTATCAGCACCAACATGTTCACTGCTGTCAGTTTTGTCCTACAATCACTTGTGCAGCAGTTCACCTGACACTCTAAAGTTTCTTTTCAAAGAGACTACAGAGGGATTGAGCTACCTTAGGTCTCCCCTGTTAGTCATTTATCAACATACAGAAAAAACAAAGAAAAGATGAAGCAGTGTGGAGGAGATTCACAGACTTTAGATGCTGGCTCTTTTGAAAACATGGAGGGAAGAATCTATACGCCCGTAAACAGAAAACAAAGGCATTGACCAATTCTTTCCTCATGGCTCCTCATTAGTTAAGCGTGGGAGAAACCACTGCCAGTTTGTTTATCACTTAAAATTTACTCCAAATGATAAACATGGTTCAGGTTGTTATTAAACGAATGAAAGCTAAGTACAAGGAGGTAACAAGTGATGGACCTCTTTACTCCAAAGACAAACTGCTGGTGATTTAAAACTTGATATAAACAGGGACAGCATGTCACCATAACTCAATACTGTGCAACGAACTGTGTAACCGCCTCATTATGCAGCATCAGATTCACTTAAGAACAGATTGTCTCCAAGGTGTTACCTGGATCACGGCTCCTGCAAAGAACACAGTCCAGTCTAACATCCATGTGCACCCAGGTTTGAGGAGCCCGTATACACATGCTCCCAGTAGAGGCAGTCCATAGAAAAACAAGTGCAGCATCTATGGAAAGAAAAACAACTGCAATTTAATCTGAAATACTATTTCATTGTTTGAATTTTGATTGAATACTGACAGTATTTGTTTTCATTGTAATGAATTTGTCCCATATCTAAAATAGAGTCTACTCTTGTGTATTTGTATACTATAAATGAGGCTTTGGTGTGTATTATACTGCAGTGTGCAGCCCATTAAAAGGGCATTCTGGATCTACAACACAGTGCCAAGGGAATTCCACTTCATCACTGTCACTCCATGTTTTTGTTGGCCCATGACCAACACTCCAGCAGATCGTCAATACACAACATCCTTATTCTACTCTAGTTTACACTGCAGGAAAGGAGAAGCCTGCCTTAAATATGTAAATATAATCACCCTCCAATTATCCCCTACTGTACAGCTCACTATCAGTGCAGAAATACTGATCAAAACTGCAGTACAACTTGGTATGAATGATCCACAAAATGAAGTTAAGAACTGCAAAGAAAATGAGCCCAACCCTTCAGAAAGGTCCATCTATATCCTACACTAACAATGCGTTATACTATCATTTTAATATTGCATCATGCATTTTAAACTGCCTGAGTGTATCTCAGACTACCTTCCCTTGAGCAAGAATGTTTAATAAATGTTGTCATGGTGATGGACTGCTTTGTTTTATTGTGTAAGTCATTCAAACAGTGACAACTGTTTTCATTACAGCACAACTCAACTGATAAGAAACTATAAAGTCATTCGACACTGAAAGTTTGGACAGAAATTTTGTATTTAAAGTTAGAATTTACACTTGTAAGAGATTCGCTACCAGGCTGCAGGTAACATGAGCGAGGAGCTACTACTTCTTTGATAACTTTTAAGTTTAAGCGTAGACATGAAAATGCTTTTCAGAGCATGTCCGGTGTCTGCCTCTAACATACAATAAACAGCACATGGTATTATGTAGCTAGCTATGGTACAAAAAAAGTAAAGATGAAGTGGATCTAAACATTGATATCACTAAGTGCTACAACTGTGATAAGCTAATAAAATACTGTATTATTCTTATGTAAAAATTACAGACAATCTGAAAGTGGTATTGTAATTCACTGCAGTAACTATCTAGTAATGTGAAAATAAAGGTAAACATTGAACATTTTATTTTTAGCTTAAAGCTACTGTGAGTAGAATTTTGATGTTTATGAAATAGGCTGAATTTTATATTGATGCTTTTTTGTTAAATATAAAAGCGAACAAGACCCTAACTGACAAGACTTCCTTTGTTTCTATGGTAAATTTTACTGCTTTAGATGAGTGGGAGGGGGTAGGTGTCAACCAAGCAACTGAAGTTACAGCCCTGTTTTTACCAATTCAAATCAACATAGGGCAGCAGAAGCTCAGGAGGTAGTGCGGTTGTCCAATAACCGAAAGTTTGGCGGTTCGATTCCCCCCTATCCCAAGTCTGTCTGTTGTGTCCTTGGGCAAGACACTTAACCCACCTTTCTCCCAATGTGTGTGTCCTCCACTGGTGTATGATTGTGAGTGTTGTGTGGTGGTGGTCGGAGAGGCCGTAGGTGCAAACTTGCAGCCACGTTTCCGTCAGTCTGCCCCAAATCTGATGCATTATTATTATTAAAATAGTCACATTAAATGATACATTTGTCAGCAGGATGAGATTTTGTGTCAATTATCACTCAGTTAAGCATGTAGAAGACAAGGTAAGCAAAGACTGCTTCCTCCAGGGGGCGCCAAAATTGCCAAAAGTTCCTCACAGGAGCTTTAACCTAAAAGGAGGTGCCTGCATGAATGCTAAGGTAAGCTGTGGTCTGATGATAACTGATGGTTGTCAAACACATTTTTAACTTGTATGACCTGGATTCCCCCCATCCATTGTCTTTGTAGTTTCTTGTTATTTGGTATGAAATGATAACAGTTTGTCAGACTCTAGAAGTTTGTGTGATTTACAAGCTGGGACAAGGCAATGCAACGTGATAACTACAGGGAATGAGTATCACACCCTGAGTGAGATGTCACAGGAAGATGGTTGCCATGGGAATATTGCTCCTACAGAGCAGCGCTGGGGTTTCTATTTAAATCCACACTCTCATCCCAAATCACTACTTCCACACATCAGGGTCAGCACAGAGACTGTCTTGACCTTCAGCATGGAATATTTAGTGCATAAACCCACTTTCCCTTTTTACAAAACCCTCAAATTATACCAGTGAACACTTTCTTTTCATTCTGGCTCTGAGTTTTAGATGAATTCTAATAAGTTCAGCCCAGGGCCCAAAAACCAATCATATATGCCCTTCAGTCTTTTTATTCAAATGCCTTTTAAGTGTTGCCATGGTGATGTCACATATTGTTCATCAGCATCAATGAATAAAGAGGTCAGTCTCTGCAGAGACAGCGTGACCCTGTGCAGGAAATCAAACCTCATTACATTTCTTTAGACCCACATCCACACAAGAACCCATGCATGACTCAACTCCCTAAACACAAACACACTCACCCAGACATACTTCACATGCTGCACACACAGTATCCTCCCACCCAGTGAGTTGCTGATGGGGGGCTTCAAGAGAGGGATTAGCTTATCAAGTTCTCAGCATGCGGTGCGTTCCTCTGATCAATGACTCGCAATTGTGCTTGAACTGCAGCCCCGACAAGGTCTTTGGATAACCTACTGACAAAGCCGTGCACCCTGAACAAAACACATCAAAACCCTCAGACAGGTGGGTTCAGCAGAAGAAAACAAAATGAGATCAGACTCACTTCCAGTGGCAGTGATAATCTCTTATCTATTTCACACAGATGAAAAAAGGGACACAAAGATGCACTGGCCTCTCATTTTTGCTCATTGTTGCTGTTATGATGAAAAACGTCCCTGTAATGAGCTACAGGCTGAAAGAGTGGAAACAATAAAGGCGAGGTTCCAGCACACTCCGAGTGATAACCATGAAAGCAGGGGTCCATTATGTGGCTTGTTATTTAACAAGCAGGAAATGAGTGTTCAATTGCTGCTGCTGCTGCAGACTCAGTGGGGAAGTTTAAAGACAGAAAGAAAAGAAAAACACTCACCATAACTCTGGGGTAGCCCACAGGATCCTTCAGGTAGGGCTCATAGTGCTTCAGGTAGATGGAGCAAGCTTCCAGTGGAGAGTCCAGAGCAACCTTGGCAAGTAAGAGAAACACCTCCTGGTATAATTCAACTCAATGCAAAACATTGATCCTCCCAGACATAACATTTGAGTATTTGTATTTTCCAGGAGAAAGAAAATATGTTTATTTGACATTTCAAGAGGCTTGATCGTTTGTTTTCTTGCTCAGATTATGATGATAAGTCACACAACTATTCTGTGAAAGAGGGTTAGCTTAGCTTATCACAGATCCTTCAACCAGCAACTCTTAAACTCACTAAATTAAAATGTGTCTTTGTTACATGTTTTGCTTTTTTGCAATGTAACTAGCTTTGTGCGCTTAGATGTGAGATCCCATTCTGTCTAGACCCATATATATATCCGCTGCCTGATGCTTTAAAGATAGATACATGTAGCTTAACATACTTTTATAAATCGCCATTATCTCGATATATTATAATGCATAATCAGGATTTGCAGGTTAGTTTTAAACTTCCCTTCTGTACTTAATCTAAGCTCTCTGATCTTGGGATATGATGTTCACTCACCAGGCCTCTGAGGATGGTGAAAGCCATAGCAGCAAAGAGGAGTACAAGCAGGATCATATCCTTGGGACGCCAGATTAACTTCATGGTCTGAACCATCATGGCCTGTTGGGAGATATTAACAGAATAAAAAGAATAAAGCTGGGTGGTGGTAAAGGTTTCATAGCTCTGACTCACAGGGTAATGACACCAGAGTTTCCAAAGGGTGGAAGATATGGAATTAATAAGGTTTGTGGTTTTCAGAGGCCTTAAACCTGCATGGTCACCCTGAGGAAAATGACATATTCTGTTAAAATAATAAATAAATAAGAAAAAGAAAAACACTGACATAACATCACCTTCTACTTGAAATAACAAACTTGCATTCAAAAGATACAGTCAAGACATTTCAATCCAGTGTAGTCATATTTGTATCCAAATGTGTAAATGTCCCACACTCTCTTCTCTTACAAATCGGTTACAACCCTTCTGAGGAAAATAGGGGCTCTGGGAATGACCCTGTTTGGTGCCGCATGGGTCTCATAGAGTTGAATCATAGGAGAAATAAAATAACATGTGTTTCCCAACACAAGGGGCACCTCACATATTTAACGAGTCATGTATTGAATACTTGGAATTAAATATTAGTCTTTTTTTAATATCACTTGAACATGTGTGAAGACTGTAGATGAGGGTTACACTGCAATCATTATACAAAGTAGCTGTTGATCATTTAACATAATTTCATTTACTGTTATTTAAGGATAAGCTGCTTCATGTTTGACTTTTGATGTATTTATGGAAAATGTGACGAAAAAATAGCAGTCATCATGCTGACTTTTGGTGAAACAATGTTGCCCCTCTTGCAGTCATAGTCAGCTTATCTTTCAGATTCTGTATAGTACACTGCATAATAAGACCGACACAATAAAACGACCACACTGACTGCCCTCTCTCACCTTTCATGTTCTGGATCATATTCAACTGGAACGCATCTGATTAAATTTATCCTGAAAACAGTACATCTCCAAGCTCCCCACATTCCAAACAAGGTCTAACCATTCAGCCATCAGACTCACGTTGTATCCGCCGATTAGCGGCCTGTCCTTGGGCCGGGTGAATATTGTCACAGCTCCAATGATTGGCATCAAAAGGAAGAGAAAGTTGAGCCAGAAGGCTGGATGGATCTCAGACGCGTATTTACCTGAAAAGGGAGACTTTCATCTGTCAGTGCACGAACAGTGTACACTTTCAAATGCAAATCGATAATTAAACTTTGAAAAAAAAAAAAAACTCCCACTGGAAACTCCAGGCAATATACTGAGTCTATGATAACATAACAGAGAAAACAACACGTTGCCTACAGACAAGTTTGATGTTATGACACTTATGTATTCAGTTTGAAATGCCAACAACAGATGCTTTAAGTCTGTTTCATTCTTTGTTCTCTGTGCTGCTACTCAGGCAAAGTGTGTGTGTGTATGTGTGTATTTTGTTGGCAGGTGAACTGTGACACTGATGGTACATGGCTGTGCAGCTGTTCACTTGATTAAAGGTTGACACCACAGGGCTGGTAGATGGAGAATAAAAGATGAGGCTTACCTGCCACAATTCCAGAAATGAACACACTCATGTTGGCAGTCAAGCTACCAGCCCAGAACAAGCCCACGGTGCGGTATGCTTTCCTGGGAGGGAAACCAAAAGAAAAAAATGAGGCTGTTTATACTAGTGTAGAGAAAGCAGGTGAGATAGAGGAAAACTAAGTTTGATGTACCTAGTATCTGCTGGGTGAGGTTACACACGGCTCTAGTGGTTTAACTTCAAATACATCAAACAGACACAGTATGTTTGTTTTCAACCCGGCACAAATTCTCCCAGTGGTGAGCAGTTGTAGTTGAGAAAAAGGTTTTATTTCCATCTTTTTACACCTGCTGATCTGAACTCCTGAACTCTGGAGCTGAACTTTATGACTCACTCTCTCTCTAGAGGACTCTTTTTTCTAAAAATACAGTTTTATTCTGGCTTTTCTTTGAATTGGATGTGATAAATACAGCCCCTAAACCTCACTGTGATTTTCTCATCTGCATTTCTATTTCTTCTCAAAAATGAAACATATGAAAACAACTAGCCTGAAGCAATCATGAGTAGAAGAGTGTTATCTCAACGCTGTGATATTTCTGATACATGCATAATGCTTTTACAACCCTCGAAGTAGCTGGGTGCTTTGTTGGATGAGCAACTTTTGTAGTTCAGTCACTTATTTTTAATATTTTACAGTAGCTGTAACATGCTGAGTCCAATTTCAGTTTTCTAAATGTTAACCAAAGCCTGACTCAACCAGAACCTCTAACTGGATTGTACAGTGATATTATATAATTAATGAGGAATGCTGTTGTTGTAAAAATGATCAAGTGTGAGGGACAGCAGAAAGGCTGCATATGAAAGTTACCAGAGTGATACAAGTATCCCCCCAAAGTGCCAAAAAGTTGGGATTTCATCCTCAGGTGGATGAAGCAAAATAACTTTTTAAACCCTGTATTTAACTGAAAATATTTTAAAACAACAAATCAAATGTTGAAAATAATAAAAATGTATATAGTTATGAAGCTAATAAAAATATATAGTTATGAAAAGGTATGCCAATTTTTAATTAGATGAAGTTCCAAAAAAGTTAAGACAAGGATAACTAAACACCCCCAAAAATGTGTAAAGACTTCAAAAGAAGAAAACAGCTGGAGGAACATTTTTAACTCATTTAGTTAATTTGCAATAGGTTACTTACATGACTGGATATTAAAGAAAAGAGGTATTTCAGAGAAGCTGAGCCTCTCTGAATATGTTCACAACTATCTGAGAGACCATGTAAGCAATTAGTTCAGAAACTCCCACATAATAGTTCTAGGAGTGTAGTTATGAATCATTAGTGAATTTTGTCATCTGCAATACATAACATCGAAAGATTTAGACAGTCTGGAGAAACCATTTTGAAAAAAGGACAAGGCCAAAAACCAATACTAGATGGCAGTCATCTTTTGGTGCTGAGGCTGCACTGCATTCAAAATAGACATGACTCTATAGTGGAAATCACTGCATAATCTTAAAATCTCTTTTAGTCTCCTCCTGGGTCTGTAAACACAGGTCATCACTGCATCCACAAATGCTGACTAACACTGTACCTTGCAAAAAGGGAGTCATAAATATACATGATATGGAAACTCTCAAGATTTTTCCAGGCATTAGTCCATTTGTGACGGGCTATAGCAGTGGTTCTCAATCCAGTCCTCGAGCCCCCACTGTCCCGCATGTTTTGGATGTTTCCCTGCTCCAACACACCTGATTCAAATGATCAGCTCGTTATGCTGGAATGGCTTAATAACGAGCTGATCATTTGAATCAGGTGTGTTGGAGCAGGGAAACATCCAAAACATGCAGGACAGGGGGGGGCTCGAGGACTGGATTGAGAACCACTGCACTAAGGCAAAGTGGGAAACTGTCCTGTGGTCTGTCAAATAGAAATTTTCCTGCAGACCTGACTTGTCTTCCATTGAAAAAAAGGTTCCTCATGACACTAAATATACAACAAAGGAAACTAACCACTGAGCAGCTAAAATCCTAAATTATGCAAGAATGGGACATTTCCCTTAAAAAAGAAACTAGTCCTCTTGGTTCCTCAGAATTAACAGAACTTCTCTTTAAACATATTGCTAGAGTAATAGTAAAGAAAAATCACAAAACAGTCAATTTTCTTGGTTTCAACGTGTGAAACGTTGCTGTTGTACTACTTTCAAATACAGTTAAATAGTTTGAAAACCATCAGATCTATTTTTTTCATCATTTCACAGAGCTTCCCAACTGTTTTAGAAGTGGTTCCTTCCTTCATTAAAAAAATCCCCACAAGCATAACTTTTTTATGGAGAAACAGGTTTTTACAATAAAAGGCATTATAAATGGAACGACAGGACCGTACCCTACCTGTCTGTGATCCTGCTGATCATTACTAGGTACATGATAAAGTGTGCTATCCCGTCCCAGTAGCACATCATGATGGCGTAGGGTGTTCCCAGGTAAGGCTCCCCCTAGAGCACAAAAATCACACAGACAATGGGCTCGGATGAAGCTTCCTGTGGTTGGACATGGGGTCAGTTCATTGTTACATTTTACTTGTGATAATAAGAAACTCACTGTTTTTTGGTAGAACTCCATGAAGCCAGAGATAAGGCCGTCATATTCCAGAGCACTCACCAGGTCAATGATACAAGTAAAGGAAAATTCAGCAAAAACTGCAAAGTAAGAAACAGAGCATAGAAGCTAAAACATCAAGCTGATAGCAGTCATGAAATTTTGACTGTAAAAGTTACTTCATTTTAGGTGTGTGTGTAAGGAAGAGTGGTATATAGTATGTAGCTGACACTGCACAATATCAGCTCCACACTCTAGAAAAAACTTGCCGGACTTGAAATCTGTGGCACACTAAGCAGCTTTGTCAGCTTTGAACACACGTCATGCAGAAACACAGAGATGTTGAAAGTTTTGAAATTATTACTCAATCTACTTTTTCTTCCAACTTTGAAAAAAAAACTGCACAAACATGCAGTGATTGAGCAAGACCTCCGAGACCAGAATGACAGACAACCTCCTAAGTCTCCTATGTCTGTTTAATCTCATCCAGCTTTAAGATTTTTCTTTTTTAATCAAATTAAAATATTTCCTTGAGCTATTTATTGATTTATGAGACAGTGTGGAGAGAAAACGAGGTTTAAAGCAGCGAGGTAGGCTAGAGGCATATTTATAGTGAGTCCACGGTGAACAGCTTATGTCTATCCTCAGGTCAAGAGCTCAGCATCTGCACATGAAAGGCACATGGGGCTTACTAATACCATTAATTATACATCACTGACCCCACTGGTGTTATAGCTGTTATCGACTTTTTTTTTTTTTAAACCAAGGTTTTTCTACTCCCTGTGGGCCCTTGAAAGAGAATTTAACGGTTGAAATGACTAATTTATGCCAAAGCTTTGATGCATAGATAACAGAGACACCGATTTCTCCTTTTTCGTTTGTGTTTGTTTCACTACACAATCAGTTCACATAATACAAAGACAGACTTTCCAACACAACTACAAACTCTGTTAAAAAATAGACTTTTAATATCAGCTGATGTTTTAGTCTTTTAAAAAAATTTTGGCTATTGAAACCACGGGTTACCTTTTTAGAGGTAGTGATCCTGCTGATACACAATAAAAAAGGACAAGCCACACATTTGCCAATTAAAACATCAGCAACTGCTTGTTGGAGATTTAGCATGTGAGCGCAGGAGGTGGTGGTTAGCATGGACCTTAACAAGCCATCATTAGTATGCAGTTCAGCATGAATTTTTATAGGACAATATACATAACTGCAGAATGTCAAAACCAGTTCAGGCAACCACACAGGGTACCTCTGCTGTCTGGGATAATCTGTGAAAGGATTTTATAATGGAAAACATGCCAATTTGACTGTTACCCACAGGCAAAATGTTGCCCAAATAAGCATGTGGGCTAAACAGTGCGAGGCAGCGAATGCTGTACTCATTTTTAAAGCTGTTAAGACTAATTGGGGAGGTCTGGCTGTGAGGGGACATTCAAATTGCATACATTGGCTGTGGGGATAACTGATTGACAAAATAAAACACACAGAGCCAGAATAGAGACCATTAAATGAGCAACCACTAACTAATGCTGAACACAGACCCAGCTCAGAGGAGAAAGTTGCCAAAGCTGTTGCAATGATTTTCTGTCTGGACTTTTCAGAATGTCATTATAAAGTGAATCACTGTGTGTTGTGACACAGGCATGTCTCTGCAGACACCATGGATTAAAACTCTGTATAACATCCTCCCTATCTGTCCTTCACGCACTCTTTGAAACCCCATAGTGCGCACCCACACATACACAAACAGGTTTTGTCTCTCCTGTGTCTCTGTAATCCTCAGGACATCCGGGTTTATCTCTCTGGTATCTAACAGGTGAGATAGCAGGGGGATTATAGGTGTCTATCATTGAGAAGAGCATGCCACAGCTTTGTCCTTGTTGTTAGAGTTCTCCTACACAGCACAGATTTATGACTCTGTTTCTGTCACACTCAAGCTCCCATGAATTAGCTGGAACATAGACATACTGAAACATTATGACTTTATAAAAGCTTAACTCACTTATTCAACTTTATACCAAAGTCCTTGTGGTGTTCAAAGTAAATGTGTCATTGCAGAGTCTGTCCACCATTGCTTTAAAACCTTGATTTAAATAGTCAAGGTCTTAAATGAATACTTTGAGTTCATGTACTATGAGGGTCCTCAGCATGCAGAGGTTTTGGGTCACTCATGCGTCAGGGAAAGTCTGGCTTAGCTTTGTCCTGAGCCTGATCAGTCTAAGCAGCTTTTGACGTATCAGGTGAAATCACATAAAACACAATTCACGTTTTTTTTTCTCTCCAACACAGTGTGTTGCAAGTGAAACTCCCGGAGGCCCTTATATGGAGGTTTGAGTTAGGCTCCAACATGGTGCAAAGTGGTTATTATCCTCTGAATGTTAGTATGTGTGTGTGTGAAAATGCTGTATATCCTATCTTGTGAAATGAGCATGACTGTGCTAATTACCGAAGAATAACAAGTCTTTTGGAGGGTTGCCACGAGTGATGAGGAAGTAAAACAGAAACACAACCACCAGTACTGCAACACCGACCTGCAAGATCACGTATGGCCTGTGAAAGAAAAGACATTGAACAGCTCAAAAGAGAGAAATGACAACATATTTCATGTTTTTCATACAGTCTCACTGCTGACGGTGCACTTTCAGGCATCTTGCACTGATTTTCTGCTTCATTCCCTTCACTAATTGGTTTCTCCCATGGAGGTTGTGCCAGTCTTTTCCACAGTGCTAAATTAGTTAATGATGATGAATGGGAAGTCGACGAGAGTGATAATCACCACCAGCCAAAGTTATAACTCAGAGAAACAATGCAGAGGTATGAGGAGAAATCTGTCTGACAGATGAAGTGCACCTGCAGAGAGCAAAGACACTGCTGCCGGTGTGGGAGTTTGTGTGCTGGGAGATTCCTGGTTAGCTAGTCATATTTTACCAAATTTATCCTTTCGATCTCCTGCCATCTCAGTTTACTTTTAAAAGAATAATTCAAGCAAATGCTTTGATTGATTGAGTGTCAGAGCTTGGAATTTGCCTTTCGATTTCACCATATGATTCTGTTTGATGTGGAAAAATCTGATTCTGTGTTGCTAGCGTTTATCTGAAAAACTTATGGATGTTTTTTTCAAAATAACTGCCTTTTGATGTGTATAATGTACATTGGATGGTTTGTTTAATCGTAAAAGTTTCTGCCGTGCTTGCAAGTCTGATCCAGTCGTCCAATTTTCCAGTACTTCCAGAGCGAGAATAATAATGTTTTTATGTCCTTTGGTTCATCTATCGTATAAATACCAACAACTTTTCCTGATTAAACTCTAAACTTGTGATATTCGCTCTCCATGTGATGCTTTGAATACCAACAGTTTACAAGCCTAACTTTAAAAAGTGTAATCAATCATAGACAAAGATGTGGGAAGCAGCAAGTTAGGGCCGTGTTAGTTCAGCTCTGGCCTGCGTGTTTACTGGTCAAAGGTACTACAGCCTTGCACTGAAAAAGATTAATGTGCACCAGGTATCTCACAGTAAACAACATTCCATCCCCGTAAAACTCACTATGTGAGCTCGGGAAAGGAAAACAAATGCAGTGAGAGCAAAGGGAAGCTCCCCAGCTACCTCTCCAATTCAACAGTACAGAAAGATTTATGCACACAATACTGTTTGTTTGCAGAGTGGAAGAGCACGAGACATATTGTATGTCAAGGGCAATTTATCAAACTGTTCTGTGCAGCCTGTATTGATTGCCCATGTCCACACACTCAAAAAAAGAGCCAGCAGAGATATGCACACAGGAGGGGAATAAAAGTCTCTGAGAAAAGAGGAATATATTGAGGTTAAAATAGCATGTGGTTTACCACCAGCTCTGGTGATTTAACCAATAAGTGGTGCAGTTTGCAGAAATCAACTAAAGGCAAAACTATAAAGGCAGTACTGCATGAAATTGATATACAACCTAACCCTGGAGTAGGAAAACAATTCATCATATCTAAAATAAAAGATGTGACCAAACAACGTATAAGATTGCCTTCACAAATATTCAAGCACAGTGCCTTCTTTGACCTCCCTATTTTAAATTTCTCCTAAGAGAAGGTTTCATTTTGGACTCTAAGTGTCTAAAGCCACAACTGATACATAAAATCATGAAATAACAAGGTCTCAAAGGATTTATGAGAAAGTCACAACGGATACAGAGAGGAATAAATGTAGAGCGTCAGGCTTACAGTGTTCTCTAGTGGTGGCCAAGTATACTGCCTGTTCTTACAGGATTTTGGAAGGATCACCTGCTCTATTATAAATTTATATCCTTATATTTTACAACAAGCATAACAGTTTTGATAAAATATTAGTCTATTAGTTCAGTAGAAATGCTTTTTTTGTTTGTTTTTGTTATAAAATGTGTCTGTATTATGCAGTTTATATCCTGTACAGTTTTGCAGCCAAATAATACAGTCAAAAAACTAAACAGTCATTAGACTACATGTAGACAATGATCCATAAGAAATGAAACAATGTTCTGACTTACTCTTGTAATACAGGGTTGGTATTCATGGCGTAAAGGATGCCAAGGGCAGAAAATGAAAATATAAAGACTAGGGTCTCCATCTCTTCCAAAGCTGTTCAGCCTCTCTCTCAATACAATCCACAGCTGTGCTGGAAATGGAATACAGGCAGTAAAATCTGCTCTAACAATAGATTCAATATTTGATCAAATCATATTCAAATTATGAAAAGACATCAATGTAATAGAAAGGATAAGAACAAATGAAATACATATTTAAGTAAAATCAAATGATATGAAGTTAGTCAAATAAAAATCCCAAATGAGATCTGCAATGTTGGAAATTGGAGAGAAACAGAGAAAGCTCTTACCGTCTGGCTACCCTTCTTGTGGATTAATCAAATTACAACTGGCCTGAGGCACACATGGCCTTTACTGGGGAAATAATGAAGTGGAGACAAAGAAGCTTTTGGGGAGCAAGTTATGCAATTTGGTTTTATCAGAGATTTACATAAGACGTATTAGAGAATAGGCCCACATTCCACTTAAGCAACACACTAACAAGTTATTCTGATTCCTCCTCTAAGGGGCCCTTGATTTGTATTTTGTGAATTGTGTGTTGTGTGCTGTCTGTGATGTACTCGCACATACTAAAAATATCATGTGAATAGAATTAAAAGGCGTGCATGTTGTTTTCAATAGGGGGCAGTCATCAAAAGTGAATGAGAAAGCGGTGTCGGGCTCCTTGTTGTACATGGACACTTTGATTTTCTTCTCACTGTGATAATGCTGCCTGGCCACTGGCTCACTAACAAATTCCATATTTACATTCAGGTCAGTTCAAAACATTACAATAAACAGAGCTGGGTTAATTTACATTAATCTGAATCGACCTTCAGTTTTAGTTAATAACATGACTCTAAGTATGCCTTTTTCGAAAGTGACTTTGAATGTGCTGTTTGGCTAATCTACTGCTTCTATTACACTTCTAATAGCTAATAAAGGTTGCATTATGCAGCAGCTGAGTTAGCAGAAACTGTGGGAAGATAGTTGTAAAGTTTCCTGTCAAACTCTGCCTGTCATTAAGAAATACACATATACCCCTAGCTGGTTGAACAGGGGCAGTTAGTAAAGACTCATACAGAGGGAATGGATATTTCTGCACAGCTCCTCCATCCATGTGTAGACACAGCTAGTCTGAAATGTTCCTGCTGTATGGAGGTTTGCTTGGCCCTATAGGAAAAAAGCTACTTCTATTCTTGGATTTCTTCTCTCAAATAGACATTCCATTTAAATCTATTCCTCTTCAAACCAAGTATTTGCACTTTGATTCCAGAAGGGTGCGCCATATTCAAAGTAAAGGAGCACAGCGACCGTCAGCTGAGGCAGAACTGGCTCATAGAGTATTGAATTAGAACAGGTGTTGCAGGTCTATGAGAACCACCTCTGATACTATAAAACAGCTTAAGATAATGAGCAGTATCACTCTAAAGGGAAATATTTCTTAATGACAACCTAACATAAAGGTGTAATGGAAAATTTTCAAGACGAATTCCTGCTGCTTTTGCATCATGCATCATCAACTAACACCTTGCTGACAACACACAATAGAACAATATCAGGGAGGACAAAGCACAAGGCTGCCAGTATCTTTCACTAACAGCACCTTGAATTCAAACACACACACACAGACACGCACGCAAACACCGCCCTGCTGCTTCCCACCGCCCTCCTTTGTTGGGAAAAAGGGGGACTGATATACCAGGAAGGCAGTGGCACTGTGTTTGCTGGAAACAACTGGAGCTCTTCCAGCTCTGTCGCTCAGTAATATGAAATGGACAGATGGATGCCAAAACAAGACAGAGACCTGCAGAAAGAAGATGAATATGTTCTCCGTTTTCCTTTTAAAATGAAAAACACATTTGCATTATAGCTGCTTGTGGGCAAGAAATCTAATGGATTTGCAGCAGTTAAAATACATTGAATGAAAAATAGTAATACCTATCTTGTTCCATGTTTTGTGGCACAGAGAATCAACCTATTAAGATCATTGTAAATGCATAAACCACAGTAATATGTATTTGTTTGTTTGTTTTCATTTGTTGAAATTCAGAGGCAATTTGTGCTCTCTTTTATGAATCTTTATCTATTATGTGGTTTTGTTACATCTTGAATCAGTTTTTATCTATGATATATGTTTGCTTTACAAATTTTTGTATTGATTCTAACTGAGCAATACATTGCTTTTCTGAGTAGAATATTTACTCTAAGCAATGTGTTGCAACAACATTGGCAGCCTAACTTTGTGCGTCATTTCTGCCTGGATCCTCTCAATTGGAAGGATAAATATTGCATAACCTCAAAATATGACCAGAAAAGAATTAAGTTCTTCCGTCATCCTTTAATGGAAATGAATTGCTCTTGTCTTGAAGGATTCATTTCTTTGCAAAATGTCTGTAGAAGAATAACATTTGTTTTTAACTTATTTTAATTTGGTTGAGAGGGAGTAGGCCTCACTTAGTTTCGACTTATAGGGTTCTTAGTAGTTACTGCCCGGATCATAGCTATGTGAAACACTGTAAGGCCGGATTATACCATACAAATGCACTACATTATTGAATGTAACTGTGTTACCCAGCATGATAGTTTGCCGCGTGTCCATTATAAGTCCAAGACAGGTGTAGGGGTGAGTGGGGTAAGATGAGCCATTTTTCTTATTTCGGATCACTACATCAAGGCAATCATAGTTTTGTCTCTAACTAGTGTATCTGCATATATTTCAAGATGTTGTGCATCCCTGCAAACAAACAGAATGAGTGTAAACATAACTGTCTTGATAATATAGCATGCCAAAAAAGTGGTCTCCTATGTTCAACTTAGCCCATGTATGAGGTAAGTTGAACATAGAAGCGGGGTAAGTAGAGCCATATCCCTTCCCACCCACTACCCCACCCCCCTCCCCAGCCCTCCCTCACCTTCTCTCTCCCTAAATAAAGGTCACTTCTTCACATTCATATGTATTTTTATCTATTATACCCTATTCAACTGGTACAATAATTCTTTTTATCATTATTACATATAACTGCTAAAAAGCCACTTTAACATGAGAATGCCTTGAAATAATTCAGAACATTCACAGCTGTATTTTTGAAAAGAAAAAGTAAAACATTTCAACAATCTGAACTGAAACTCTGATCCTCTCATCAGACTCCTTTACTTTCTCAGTTGAGCCGCTGGCTCAACTTACCCCAGAACTACTATTGTGACTTGATTAGTCCTCTGAGCTAAAATGCTGGGTTTTTGACCTCATGTTGTAGCTCATAGATACCACAATTGATGTATACAACCATTTTAAAATGTTTCTTTTTCTGAACACAATTCTAATAAAACTTATGACAGACTAAATTCACTTTCAAGAGTAAAAAATGTTTTTTTGGAAAAAAAATGTCAAACCCCTTCTCCTCTGTGCTTCTAACGTTCACAGACTCCATGAATTGATGCCCATCTTCTAAATATTTGGTCACATGATCAATTTCTTTTACCATTTCCAAGCAACAGGGGGTGGCTCAACCTACCTTTTGGCTCAACTTACCACACTCTCCCCTATGGGATAACTTACATTTAAGGTTCTGACAGCAAAAAGAAAGTAAAAACGCTCCCGTTGTGCAAGGACCAGCAGTAAGACAGGCAAATTTCTTCTTTATAGGGCAAGTACATTTCAATCTCTGCTTTTTCGAAATTAACTGTCATTATGATGTTGTATCAGTAGTAATAACTAAGCTGTGCGTGTTTCTATCTGCCATCACTTTTTCTATTGTTTTGTATGTCATTATTATGTAAATTATACCACGCTAACTCGAGGTACAGCTCAAACATCTGTGACGGCCTGGCTGCGATCAGGTCGAGATCACTAAGCGGCACGGCGCGTGACGACAGCGGCGGAAACATTTTTTCGTTTTCAAAATGGCACCATCTCAATCAGGAAGTGGAGAAAACAACTACGAAGAATAAGTTGGATAAATATCCTTATTTGTATGACTTTGACGCGAGTCTTCGTTCAAAAACAGCCCGTGTCCCTGGGATTTGAACTGAGAACAAGTTACGCATTGACGGTAAGTGTAATATGAGGGAATAGTAAAAAAGGCAGTCGACACATCGGCAGTAAGCGTAGAACAAGATGCGTTTCAGGCAGCCTCTCCTTTGGGCGCGCACGTTTTCGACGACGGGCCATGCCGGTGGTTAGGCAGCTGTCTTGGATCAAACGATTCCACTGTTAAATGAGAAGATTTGAGCGGTAGTCTTGGAATGAATTGAGATGAAGCCATTTGGGGACAGTGATGTCAGACAAAACGATGCTTATTACTATTGTTGGTGTACCACAGTTACAACGCAGACGTGAAGTCGGGCTCACAGCTAACCGAGCGGTGTAGCGCTTGTTAACATCTTGTAGAAGTTAGAATTCAGCTGACTTGCGAGTATTATACTTAGTTACATCCCTTTGTGTAAGTGTAATTCCTGTCTTTTACCTTTATCGCGGGATATTTGGGAAATAAACCGTATAAATCAACCTAGAGTCCTGTAAATGTGTAAGATTTGGCTTAGCACACCACAAAGCGACGCCACTCCATCGACAAGCACAGATGACGTGTAAAACGAACGTACCCAAAGTCAAAAAAAGAAAAAAAGACGGCTATCAGCTATGCTAACGCAGCTAGCACAATTAGCTACCTTAAGTATGCTTGCTTACTGGCATAAAGCGAAGAATGTTATTTTATTTAGCCGTGTATTACAATTTATCGAGACATTAATGATAGCTAACTAACGGACTTGGTCAGTGTTGATAGATCTCTTGTTTATGCGTTATAAACACCGTATGCCGTTCGACAAGCTAAACAGTAGTGGCAGTCATGTATCGTTACAGCTTCGGCTGGCTTCCTTTGTGCTGTGCTGAGACCTGTAATGTATATCTGTCTTTCCACGAAGGAAACAACGATTCGATTTATTTGACTTTTCAACTAGAAGAAATGTAACAAAGACACACCGTTGTGTGTGTGCAGTACAACGCAAAGGGCTCTAACATAAAATTAACGTATTTGCTGAAGTTTACACACACCAGGGAACCCTTAGTTTGTTATACATTCAAGTCAAACACAGTTTTCCAAGATGATGCCACAGTATCCCTCTATCATGAGATATATATTAAAAAATAATAACAAAAACGACACGGTTAAAACACTAGGAATTGCAGTTTTTGCATTGGGATTTTCTAAACTTTCAGCAGAGTATGCAGTGGTTGGAGTAATGGTAGTCTTTATAAACTAGATGTTCTGTGTACATTTTCCAATATTTCCCGTTAAAGTATGTGGTGCTGAAGCCATATGTATAAATAAACTTTAGAACCAAATAATTGCGAAACATTTCACCACTATGCCATCATGGCATGCCTACTCCAGAGCTACAGTTAAGGATAAACATGCCAGCCTTTTTATGTAATAGCTACAGTATTTTCAGCTAAAAATAGTGGACTATATATGTCGGGATGATTCAGAATTTTTTAAGAGTGACCAGGAAATGAGAATGGACGTCCCCTGTTTACGTTTTCTTTTCTACACTTTTCATCTTAAGTTTCCAGTGTGGGGTTCTGCATGCAACTGAGGCTAGTTTGGCCTCCTGCTAGCCTTGACATGTTAGATTGCTATGGTGACTAGCTATTCTATAGCTATTTTGTGATGCCATTCTTCATTTGTTGATGGATACTATTTGTTGACTTAAAAGTGAATGCAATGTTTGCTTCTTGGCAAGTCAATGGCCTTGATGTCAAATCCCTCTTTCAGGTTTTATCCCCAATTCAGAGAATGCTAGCAACAGACAGGCTGTTAAACCTTCGGGGTGCCATGCCAATTAAACACCCAAACCCAAACTTTATAAATTATCTTCAACCTAGGTTTTGCAACAACTACATGCTTGTAAGATGCTTGTTCTCAAAGACAACCCTATAGGCGGGAAATTGTGCCTTTTTTGTTTTGCTAAGAAAGATGTGTATTTTTAAAACAGTGTATAGGAGGGATAGACCAATCATTTGCACTTTGACAAAATGGTACCAGCATCGGCCCTCACAAGGCTGAGATCACCATACCCATCACCCATCAACAGCATATCAAATCCAAAATAATCATTGACTGGTGTAATCATATTACACTGTGTCGCAATATCTAGTATTGACAACAATATCAGCCAGATCTAGCAGTCTATAGCATAACCCCATATCTGTGTCTCTTTATCAAATCATCAAAAAATATCTAAAATATATGACTGGCTAAGACAAACATACATTACAGTTTGATTTATTGTTTGCTTCAGTTCAGCAATTTTGTTTTTTAACCTGTCAGTTTCACTGTTGTATTTTGTCAAAAGACAAAAAAGAACAAAAACAATGCAATATCTGCATTATATGTCAGTATTTTATGTTTAACCATTTGAAGTAGATGGAAATGCCTCCATTCAAGGTAACTCCTGAACAGGGATTGTGTGTTAATGAATGTGTGTGAGAGTTAGATTGTGCGGTTGTGCTGCACAGGCCCTAATTTCACTGTGACAGAAGACTGACAGCTGCTGCCCTGCAGTGACTCTGAGGGTCACAGTCTTGTAGCCTACAGGAACTGAAAGGATGAACACAGAGATAATGGAGTATTTCGCAAAGCAGTCTGGGCAGTTCAAAAGAACCAGAGCAACATCTGAATTATGCATTTCCATAAAGGTAATGTCTGGTGCTGGTTAATTCCATTCAACAATCCCTGCTGCGATTTCTATGAAATGTTATATGTCTTTGTATCTCTGTGATTTGGTATGATCCAACACTGGCTCGAGCCCCCTGCTCTCTGTGACTTGGCCTTCGTTCTTCTTTCTTCATCTTTGCTGGCTTTTTTTCCACCCCTCCCCAATTGGTGCCAGTGATAAATCTCATTTATGGCCTGTGGGCTGATTTGAGTGAGAGTGAAAAATGTGGAGTGGAGGAGGGGAAACGGGGCTAGGTAATACATTTGATTCAGTTCCTGCTTTCCCAGAATCTGGCCTTCATTAGATAATAGTTCATGTATTAAACATAACGTGGATGTTTGTTTTGTCAGAAGACAGTGAAGGAACAAGGGACAGTTGTTGAGAATATGTGACCATAGTGTTGTTCTTCACTGTGACAAGGAACAAACTGATCCCTAACAATGAGCTGTTGAGTATCCCATGTCCCAATAGTATCCAGATCTGAAGGGTATGTGGCTGTCTCAGGCTGCATAGAGCTGTGTGAGAGATGACTGAAACAGGAGTGCATGCCACACACTGGTGTTCCTGACTGTGCTGCTTCATGGTCTTAGGTGGAAAAAGTGTGTCAACATCCTTTTTGTGAAACCAACCAGGAATCAGGAAGCATAAGAAAAATATTAGTGTCCACGTCAGTGAAGGATTCAACATCTTTAGTGTCATTGTGTCAGTTAAAAGTGTTACTGTGGCTTTTTACCATTAATGTGTAATTATCAAGGAAAGAATTGAAAGAGAGTGAAAAGTGAACGCACTGCGCCTTGTCCTAAACTCTCAGCTTGACCGCAAATTTTAAGGAAATCAGTTTACTGTAAATCTCTCAAATCTTCTTGAAAGATGCAGTAATACACAATCTTATGTCAGTTTCACTTCTGTACTCTACCAGGTGTTATGGCAAGTGTAAACACATCTTGAGTGCCTCCACACAACAGGTTCAAAGTGTCCTGTTGTTGAGGAAAAAAGCATCAAGTAATGGATTATCCTAACACTAATTCTTTTTATTTGGATTTTCATGTGTTTGTTCTCTGAAATGGCAAAAGGCTGTGAAACGGTTGATTTTCATTGCCACTGTGGCCTCGAGACCAAAGAATGTACTCCTGTTTGTAATGAGTTTAGAATTGTCATTTACAAACAGTACAGTGTGACTAAATATTTGCCATCCTTGTTTTTCCAAAAAACGGACAAGGATTTAATCCCCAGGATATTTATGTCCGTTAGGCTAAGAGGAGATCTTGTTTGTCACGAAACAGACAGAAACCATAAAGTTTGTTTTGGTCAGGCATACAAAGCTTCTCCCAGCCAATTCAGTTTCATCTGCACCCTGTCATTTATAAACCTCTTTTTCCTACCCCTGCACAGAGGCATACATTTTTTAATACATATATTTTAACCTACTTTACAGTAATGTAACTAGGCTACAATGCCATAGCAGGTATGGATGAATATGTGTTTTAGTTTTGTTGTATTATCTTTTTTAAGGTAGGCAACGAGGTGAAGTTGGTTGTTTTTCTTTGTCTTTCATTGTTTGGTTAAAGGCAAAAGGTAGAGATATAGGTCAGATCTTTCAAAAGATTAAGTGGGTTTTGGTCAAAGTAAAATGGGTGCTGGCAAGCAAAGCCACATTCATTTCGCATGAGTGGCGTAATTTGGAATTTAGACTTCTTATGAAAGGTAGCCATGTTACGTGCATAACCAGGCCAAGGGGGATTAAAGTGTGATGCACAATAAAAAACTGTAAGTCTGAAAATAATGAGCTTGTAAATTATCCAAATAGTCTGTCTGCATCTGATATGAATGCTTAACGGTTAAGACCCGATACATCGTTGTATGAAGATAACTACAGACAATTTTGAACAGAATATGAACTAAAAGAGACTTTTAGTTAGAAATCACAAATAAATCTTGTCAATGATCTGTGGAAGCTAGACTACTTAAGTGGTCAATATTGTTTTTCAACAGCCAATGATAGGGGCTTAATAGCCAGTATATAATGCTAATATTACTTTCATTTATTTATCGATCGATTGGTTGATTTTTGAACAGCAGGCAAAAGGGGCTTACAGGAAATAATTTTTCCAGCTCTGTGTTGTTTGTCATAAAAGTTTGGTCTTTATAATACATTTCTCTGTCAAGGTTTTGTTTACTACTTGACTTCCTGGCCATGCACCAATGCTGTTCAACCACCCGCTCAGAACCTGGCGTACAAACACAGTTTCAGTTCAATTGAGCTGCATGCATGGACGTGAACATCGCTCACCAACCATACTGTCCGTGTATGTTAGTCCCGCCATGAGAAGTTCACTTTCAGTGTGATTTCAGTCAGACTAACATTTTAACATCCATTGAAAGTCTGGTTTTAGTCAGAATATTGCAATAAATCAATTATATTAAGTGCATGTAAACATTCTGACTTGATAGGGTTACAGCGCTGGCTAGTGTTGGGTGGTTGCCCAACAGCTTAGACACATATATGACGATCATCAAAGACCAACATAAATAAAAATATTACAAACTAATGTATGTAATCCCAGCACCAACTAGAAAAGGTGACAACGTTTACTCTTTTAGTCAGCTAAATGGGCATACTTCTCATGAGAACGACCATGGGTAATAAGACTTGATAGCCATGTTTCTGGGGGTTTGCACAGATCTTGAAATGCATGCTAAAGCTCATCTGGTCTTGTGCCCTTCTATTTTTCTTGATTTTAATATTATTTGATTTATTTATTAAGATCAGTAGCACTAAACTGGTTTTAGCTCTGTTTGATTCTCTTTTATTCTTAATTGCAACTTACTGTCTAACATGTGTTTTTCCAGAAAAGAAACTGAATGTAGTTCAGCAAAGTGGCACAAAGTGGCACAGCAAGAAAGGTAGACACAGACAGGCTCCCTGTCGCTGTGCGTGTGGTGCAATGTTCTCACGCCTGCCAGAGCAGCGAGGTCAGTCTGAGTGGAATAGAGCAGTGTCTGGATTTGAACACTGGCAGGGCACAGTTCAACAAATTGAAACTGAATTTACTGTCCTTTGAAATTTTCCAGCACAGATAGAAGAATATTATAATTCTCAATGTTTGAAGAGTATAAACCACAAAAACTCTAATATGCAGATTTGCCCCGGTTTCTTATTTATAAGAATAAGTGCCTCCAGTTTCTCTTGGGTCATTTGCATGTGGACATTTGGAACTGTGTTCAAGTTTTTTTGTTTGATCTCAGCAGCTTTGATAACCCTGGCAGTGTATCCTAAAATACTGTCCTTTCCTTTTCGCTCCAGTTGAGCAGCCCAAATCTTTGCTCCCTAGCGCTGTGTTGTTCGCTTGTGAAATGGGCATCTGATAGCTTGTGCCCGGTGTTATGAGTGACTCTCTGAATAACCAGGACTGAGAGGGTTGGGCAAGGGGTGGAGATTTGGATTTGGGAAACCAGCTGCATCCTATCAGCAGCAGAATCCAGACTGGGGGTCAGACTAGGTGAGAGGCAACAGCCATCAGCAGGAGAGAGAAAGAAAAAAAGAACATAAGGAAATGGGGCCATGGAGACAAAGTAAGTAAGAAAATGGCGAAGAGAGGAATTGTGTAAAAAAGGAAAAAAAAAAAGAAAGAAAGAAAAAGGAAAGTATTGTGATGAAATTGTTAAGTGGTCAAACAGAGAGTGAATACTGAGGTTGTGAACTGTGTATTGTATGAGGGTGACAGGAAAGAGTAGGACATGCTCCACAGTTTCAAATGTTACGAGGGTTGGTATTCCTTTTCAACAGGGGTGTTTGATAAACCCTTAGATAAATCGAGCAACCATAAGAAAACCTGGTAATCAAGGAGCAGTGCTTCTTTAAGTAGACTGATCTACATTACTACGCAGCATTGTGTTTAATGCAAAAGATGCATGTTTGTGTTTGGTTAATGAAGTGTATGTAAGATTAAGAGACTAGGTCAGCATTTCACAGTAAAACCAGTAAGATAACTACCATGTGGTAGAGTAAAGGTGATTGTTTCAGTTTGTTTATTTATTACAGATCCAACCTGACTCAGATTTATACTATGGAGCAGTGAAACATCAATCGAAATTTAAATATTTGTATTTCTGTTGCACCTGAAGCTTGGAAAAGACAGGTAATCAGTTCCTCCAGGTTCAGGCTGTTTGTTGTCTTTCAGATAGAGGCTCTGTAAAAGAGGGACACAGAAAGGAAACACAGTTTCTCACATTGCCAAATAAAAAATGCACATATACTTAAACAGTGTAACACAGTGTTCAGAGAACTACACCTACAGTTAGAATAATCGCTGCATCTTTAAATCTTAATGCTTAGTTTGTTGGCTTGATACTGACACAAACAATAAATGACCATTTACAGGCAAACTGAATTAGCAACATGATCCTGCTAATTCTAGTCCTAAAAAGGATCTCATTTGTGTTCATAGTTTTGGGAATGAGGATGTTTATGCTTTCAGCTAGTGGGTAGAGCATTTTCTTCTGGGTCACTTTTTCTCACTCAGCTGTTTCCATTCCTTTCCAAAGTTTCTGCCGACCCTGATCTCTGCAATGTGATTGGCTGTTCTTGATTTTCTTCTTTCTTTTCCTCTTGTAGTAGAAGAGTGGTGTATTTTAGGATTTCATCAAACATTTGTTATACTTCTATTGAGGAAAATATATATTACAAGTATCATATGGTATTAACACCCAACACTAAATAAAGCTGCATGTCAAACACAGACACCCCCAAAGGCGATGCACATCTTGCTTCTTAGTCTTTCCAATAAAAGCAGTAGTTTTCTTTATATAATTTTTGTGGCTTGTAATACAGGCTTTTAAAAAAGATCTAAATACTGAACTTAATAAAGGCTGAGACAGAAATAGTCACAAAGAAAATTATGCTTAAGTTACAGATATAGTAATGAGAAGCTTAGAGCAGAAACAATGCCCTACACAGTTATAACATGTTTTGAGCGAAACACCTTTTCATAATTAAAGTCAATCCTTTTCATACATCCAGTACCAAGTGTGTATATTTGTGAAGGTTAAATAAGATACTGTTTGCTCACCTGACTAGTTGAACCAGAGCAGGAAAAGGTGAAGCACTGTCCTGCATGTGTTTTCATTGTTTGTTCTTAGGAATAAGATGACAGGAGAAAAGAGAAGGAGCAAAGAGGAACCTAAGTGGATATTGTTCTTCTCTGATCTAGTCAGCCTTTGATCTGTGTCTGGTTGGTGCTGCTGGTAGTGGAACAAGTTGAGGTGTTTCCTCCTGAGTGAGTTTCATCAAGCCTTTACAAACTTTCTCACCACCTCTCTGCCAAAGGCTCCATCTGACACCTCTGCGCCCACCTGTTCTTTCCTTTTTGCGACCTTTTACCCTTTGTTTACAATGACAAAGTCCCCCTTTTAGCCACACAAGTTGATTAAGTTCCCCTTTTACTTATATGTCAATTTTAAGTGTCTTCCAGCGGGTGTTTGTGGTCATGAAGATATTCATTATCAGAATAAATTGCTTTATAGCCACTTGAAGAGCATCTGATTGAGATGAATTATTTCTTTGTCAAACGCTCAGTCTTTGAAAGCCCGCTTCTCAGTAAGACAAAATTATTTAAATAACTATCAAATGTGTCCTGTGTCACGTCCCAGGCCAGAGAACGACTGATAAATATTTGAACAAGCGAAATGCAATAACAACAGGCTCTTACACCCAATTTGTTTCCATTTCCCGGCTTTTGATAAGACAGCAGATAGACTTGTACAGTCATTCGATCATTATTCTCTATCCAGTCCTCCCCGGTCACTGAGCTGTTCACAGCTCCTTTATGAGAGTGTCTGTGATACTGAATGGAAATTCTGTTTGTGGGGTGGGAAACAGGAACAGATTGGTAGCTAATGTCTATGTCCTCCCATGTATGTGCTTAAGGGCATATGTTGTTTGTGTGTGTATGTGTGTGTGAGTGCGTGTGTGTTGCTTTGCTTGCACAGGCTAGTATAGGCCTTTGTGTCAATAAAGGTGGCGTTTAATAATGTAGGCTGTTTTGAATGACAGAGCGCTGCGCTTCCCTGGGAAGTAACTTGTTCCTTTTATGAATATTTCATCACAGCCTCTAATGACTCCAGACACTGGAGGCAATCATAACCAACTAACAGGCCCCCTGCTGCTCGGTGTAGGGCAGCTGGACTCTGATCACTTCTAACCTGATTACTGGGGATGCTGATGGATTCAGATTGGGGATGAGTGAGCGTCGGTACTGGATTGAAAGAGTCTCGTCAAACTCATGTTGGTAGAGAGATGAAGAAAAACAGAAGAGGGACAAATCCAAAAAGGGGGGTGTTATTAGGGCCCGACCTATTTATCGGCGAGCCCATTAAATCGTCCAATTTTAGCCTGTTTAAGACTAATCGGTAATCGGCCAAAACTCACCAATATTTTCAGAAGTAAAATGCAGAGAATAAGATGTGGTTTCACTTGAAAAGTTCCTCAACTCGAGCAGCGACCTCATGACAATCTTCATCCACTAATTACCTCACAGCACAGCAGAGTGAAGGATCTGAAACAGGCAGCTCAGGGACGCACGGAGGAGAGTGGTCCGCCTCAACGGTAAATAAAGTAGTTTGTGAAGTATACCATAAGTCAACAAGTTTCAGTTCAACCCACTTCACGTTGTTCCCTGCTGTGCTGGTCTCGGTCACGCCAAGTTAACGGTGAAGCACTATGTAATATGCTAACTAAAGTTAGAGTTAGCCATATGCTATTAGCCTTACTGCACTGTTAGCCGTACAACTAACGGAAGAATAAACAATAATACATATTACATGATCGAGCTACTTCTCTTACCGAGGCAGCTGCATGTCTCCAGATGAGACCTGAAATGAGTATGTTAATATGTTGATAAATTACTTAAATTAACAAAATTTTAAAACTTCATACAAAATTTAAAAAATCGTTCAATTAATCAGCAATCTGATTTTTTTCCTCCCTTATAATCTGTATCGGCATCGGCCCCAAAAAATTCATATCAGTCGGGCCCTAGCTGTTATGTCAGAAAAATATGTTTACTACTCATACACCCCCACTGTATCGATTGCATATTGAAATTGCATTCAAACGTCAACATAATGTCATGTCTCCTTTTTTCTTGGCCTGTCATAGCTTTTTCCCGACCTCAAACACGAAAGCAGCAGTTTTGTCTGAATTACTCTGAGCTCACAGAGCGCTTTCCAGACACAAAGATTTCAGCAAATGTTAATGAAACAAAATCACAGAATGAACCAAGTTTCAGTTTCAGTCATTGCCTGCACATCAGAACAAAATGCCCTGTGTCACATTTTGACAGCTTCATCAAGTAAAATGGAATTGGAAACTATCTGTGGAGTGTATCCACCGAGAACGCCCTGAGAGCCACATGAGGCTGATTTTGAGAATGCGGTTAATGAAGATGAAGCAGAGCTTTGTGTCAGAGGATTTTCTGTGTACTCTAAGAAGGATTTACTATAGGGGTATAAAGAAAATCAGCAAGACATGAATGACTCAAAGCAGAAACATGCCTGTTAGATGATTGTGAGGCCACAACTGTCAACAGGTCAAAAGGGATAAGTTTAAAGTTCTGAATCATTATTGTTCTTCAATATTACACAGTGTTAAAGTTTTCCACCCACAGTAAAGCGTTTTTTAACCAAAGAAACATCTAAATGTGGAGACTGTGTGGAAAGTGTGGGGGGTTATTTCCTTTTGACACCATGCTAGCCACTCCCTTAAGTTACAAATGCGTACCTGCTTGTATTTTGTGGTCAAAGTATGCATGTTTTATTAATTGAACACCTTCAGGGTAAACTCTCGTCCATGACAAGATAGCTGCACTCTCAGAATACCTTGTTTGTGGAAGTTTGATCAACACTCCACATGTGCGCGTGAGATGGCCAGGCAGGGTGGTGTTTCTCCTCGTGAGCGCTAATCGTGACTTAGCAGCTTAAGGAAGTCACACTTCCCTAGATGATCCCCATGTGCTCTGGCCACCTCTGATATCCACCAAAGGCCACCAACATGTACTCCTCTCCTGGTGCAGGGTTTGTTTTGCCTCCTACCTTACCAACTGGCTAACAAATGTTGGATGTTCAGTCAAAATCTGACTCTGTAAATCAACATCTTGTGTGTTTGAAGTGACAGACATGTTACTTGTTAACCTCTGTCTGGCTAACCGACAGGAACAGTGACTCATACAAACCCAGGGAACCAAATGGCAAGTCCAGAAGCCACATAGCTAAAAAAAATACAGATTTTAACATCTCTAAATCTCAGTGTTGCTCAAATAAATCACCCTGTGTATTTTGGCATGTTCAGCACAAATATATGGCTTGTTTCAATTCTTAAAGGCTGTACGATTACTACCCATAAAATGGCCTAATCCCTCCTACAGTGAGCTTAAAATTGCACCAGGCCACCCACAGAGAGAGGTAGAGGGAGACACACATGAGAGGGGGGTTGTGCAAAAAGCAGCAGTAACCTTTGAAGTAATTAGCAGATTTAGCAGATTACTCTGCGAGGGCTTCTCTGTCTCGCTTACTCTCACCCTTTCAGTGCCCCTTTGTGATAAAGGTTTACGTATTACTCTAAGAGAAAATCCAATCTATATTAGCACAGAGGACACTTTATGTCAACAAGTTCTTAAACAAACATGGAAAAGTTTCTTCTTTTTGACCAAGTGCTCTAATACCACTGTTTTGCTACTCTTTGGTGAATGAACTCATTGTGCGACTTCACTGCAGTGAGCACATTGTGTTCTTATCTTTTTTTTTCTTACTTTTTCCCAACCTCCTCTCTCTACTCATAGCTTTCTTCGTCACCTTCAACACCCCCACCTCCTTGAAGAAGTAGTAGGGTCTACTGCTGTCCTAATGTAACATAATGCCAGGCCCTACAAGAAGGAGATCTTTTGGACCACTTTTACAGTGATCAGTATCAATTATCCTCAAGAGCTTGCTGTGAGGGTTGGGGGTTTGGGAACAGGAGACAGCGAGAGAAAGACATTTTTCTGTTGCTAGGAGACAGTAAATGGCATGGTTCAGGAGGGACAGGGGATATGGGTGATCAAAGTATTGGTGGACAGGCTAGAAATACAGCAGCTGGCACATTTATTCAACGGATTATCAAGCTGTTGTATTTTCTGATATTTACAGTAATGTTTATTGACAAAAGCTTTCCTCCACTCTATAAAAACTGACATTTGACTGGTTATGTAATCATTCAGTTACTACAGTTTTAGTTTCATATGCATCACTGCTAAACCACAGAATTCAGTGGAATCAAACAGAATGCACTAACAAAAGTTTCAGTCAAGTTTCCTACTTTTGCTAATCCACGCAACATCCCTCTTTTTTTATTCTACTGCTGATTGTCTTTTCTCATAGTACTTGATTGGTCCTTAACACGATTGGTGTTGAATTTAACAGTCCTGCTGCACCAAGACGGCTTCCCAAGGCTCTCAATACACACTCACATCCTGCTGCGAGCTACTTTGCTTCCCTCTGCCCTGCCTTCATCTGGATCTCAGAAGCACATGCTGTCTATATGTATATTCAGAAAATATCTCATTTCCTTTTGCCGGAGACTTCCTACCTGCAACGCTTGCCAAATGGTTCTTTGCATTGGGCTTTTCCCCATTTGCTTAACCCTTATCCATCCGGTATCATGCTGGCAGCCTGAGGGTAACATAGCCGCCTTCTCTGTGTCGGCTATGTGAATGTTGACAATGTTTGGTCACACACACACACGCACTCATTCAAATGCACATACTTAGACACACAAAGCCCCGTTATTTGGACCCTCATAAACTCTATAAGGATTTATTACCCCAGCTTTGTCCTCAGTGAACACGTCTGGCCTGTTCCTGATAGAAAGCTAACCAAGGGAAGGATTGGAGAGGGGAAGGGAGGTAACGGTGTGATTAGTTTGGGCCAAAGGGGTGTTACTGACGCTACACAGATGTGCATTGTGAGGTGCTGGAAGACTGGATAGATTTGGTAGTCAAACTTGATGGGATTTAACCACTTGTAAATCTTTCATTCCTAACACAACATGCGATTCTCTTTTTTTAACATTGAGAGGTAGAAAATGTTGGCCTCTATAAAGTTAGAGATGTAGGTGTATGAAATTTGTGATCTAATGGAAACAAAAGAATGACACCCGCATAAAAGAGTTAGATGAATAAAAAGCATTGTTAGCATTGCAGGAAGTCCAACCAGTCTAGTCCAGCCAGTCACACCTGTAATTATATTAAGAAAACAGAAAATGTCATTTGTTGTGACAGTGAGAGCCTTTAATAGTTATGAAAAACTATTTAAGTGTATCAGAATGAAGTCCAAAACACAAAAATAAAAATTACTAACAACAATACTGTCCCATAAATACACCAGCTCCCTCTGTGCCGATCTCCTGCAGTGACTTTGATTGGTCCTTATATTGAATGTTCAGTGATGTCAGATGAAGTCCAGCCATTGAGAGCTGTCTTTCAGTGTATGCATATGTTGATGCTGCATTTTGTATAAGAATTAATTGTAGTTTGTGTAATTTAATTTTATCTTGATTTCCAAGTTCATCGTTTTGACTGCGATGCTCTTCTTACATTATCAAATGAGGGCAGCGTGTTTTACAAAGTGCCTTTATTCACTTCGATAGAATGTTGTTTTGTATTGAGTTCCATTTTATGAGTTGGATAAATGAATGTTGTATGATTTTGGAAAATCAGGAAGATTTCTAACAACTCTTTTTCCTCTCTTTCTCTTTCTTTTTATTCCACTTTCTTCCGATGTCATCCTCAGGTCATGGAGAGCATTTGCCCGTGTTAGAAACACTATCTCGCACACAGCCAGCACGTGGGTGACAGTCGGATGGTGTGTATCCTTAGTCAGCTGCTGGTCATGTGTGAATCTGTGGTCTGATGCCCACCCTCCCCACAGCGCTGGCCATGGACGGGGAGAACTACCTGCATCCAGAAGGCCCTCAGCTAGACAGCAACTTGTTCTCTATGGCCTCCTCTAACGTGGAGGTATGCCATTGGTTTCCATCAGTTTATAGTTTGATGCCATGTTAAATAGCTGTCAGGTTTACTATTTTTACTTATGGTCAAGTCCAAGTGAATTAAGTATGTATGCAAATGCCATTCATCTTCATTTATGGAGTAAAGATTCGTGTCTGTAGTTTATGTATCATTTCGGTATTTTCAAGTTTTCTTTCACACAGCATATTCCTAATATATAAAATATATAGAATTTTGTTTAAGGTATGTTTATAGGTACTTTTTTGTGATATGGGTTCTTTTGTTAATTGTCTGAGGCATCATCTGTGCAACCTGAAAATTGGGTCCCAGCTGTTCCAATAGACTTTATATAGTTTTAAAAAGTATTCACAGTTAAAAATCTGAGCATAAGTGTGTGATACTTTTGGTTTGCATTACAGTTAAATGGAAATTAGTAGAAAGGAAGTGATATTACTTGTGGTATTAATTGTCAGGCTGTGTTTCTTAGTAAAAGTGATATTTCCATGATGTAGATGAGACCAAGTACTCAGGGGTCTCTGTACCAGAGTTTCTTACTTATCTCTATTGGAATCAAGGCAAACAGAGTATTCAGGTTTTTGCTCCATGTTTTTAAGTATATGAATTTTAACTGTCACTTTCATACCTTTAATTAAGGACGAGAAAGATTAAACTGTAAAATGTTCATCATTTAAGGTATAGTCTGTGTGTCCAGTTTCTATATAGTGTGTTTACTGACAGTTACCGGGTTTAATTTGATGACAGTGAAACTAATTAAGCAACATTTTATGGATAGATAAGGTGTAATGTAAAAAGGTGTAAATGATAGTGTTTCTTCTCTTTATCTCTTACTGCTACTACTTCCAAGTATTAAAAATATACGACAAAGTAATGTATGTTTTGTAAAAGACAGTATTCTTTCTGTTTTGTTTTTAGAGTTCAATATATGCCTCCTCTGATTCCTGGGGATCCTTCTCTCAGCAGGCTGGATACAGCATACACTGCCCTATGCAATCTGGAAACCAGTAAGTAGACATCAATCCACAAACATACCAGACCACATTTATTAGAGTTGTGAATGATGTAAACATGGCTTGTAAAGAGATAATAACTTGTTGCATTAAGCACGTGTTAATACTTTGTGGCCAAGACATTTCTGAACAAACATCCCGCTCAGTTTTCACAGAAGGTGACGACCTTTAGGATGAAGGCTTTCAAAACATAAAACTGATTGACAAAGACTCACGTTAGTTTCACTCATGTAATCACAAAATGTCCCATCAGTCCCAGGACTCTCAGGTGTTGTAGCAGAATATCGATGGAGTTATTCTGAGTGCGGTTTGAGTGTGTTATTGATGTCTTCATATAGGTGTGTGTATTAAATCAGTGCGTTACACCCAGGCATGACAAACATACACACCGCTGCTGTATTCAAAGATCTTTTGAAAAATCACAGATACTTTTGTGAAAATATTTATCCAGAACAGTATAATTTTTATTAACAGTGGTGTTTAAGATGAGAAAAAGATTTACAGGAGGAGTAGAATTGCTTAATAGAAAGAAATGCATGTTTGTTGGAAACGTGAATGGTCAGTTAGGACATGCTACAGTCTGTTACTGCAGCTCTGACGGATATAGTTCAAGGTTTTATAGAACAAAGAGTTAATTTTAGCCATTTTTTTAGGTCTGTTTGGATCACATTTGAGTCTTTTTCAGTGCTTTATAGTTTTGGTTTAGTTTCAGTTAGTGACAACTGGAAACATTGTAGTCTATTTTTAGTCCAAAAATGTTGAAGCACTTGTCTAATACACTGTATGGATTCCTTCCTGTAGTTGCATCATTTTTGTCTAGATACTCCCACAGTGCGATGCAATGCTATGCTAGTGTATTATATATAGGTATAAGTGGTAGTAAAGAGAAATATTTCTTTGTCTAAGTGAAGAAACAGAGCACTCTTTCTATCTCTTACAATCTCTGAACATCATGCCTATGATTATTTTCCTCAAACGCAAAAGAAAGTGCAATTAGCATACATGTCTGAACAGACATTCAGCTCACCTGGCTGTGCTTTCTGACATATATCTAAAGCAAAAAAACAGCATCAACCATTAATCTAATATCAGCTGGTTGTGGCTTTTTGTTACTGACATGCACAGGAAAATGAGTTATCAGTGACTATGAGAAAGATGGATGGAAGACACTAGGGCATGGAGAACTTGTTACGACAATACACTTGTTGCCAATAAGTACCAAATTAACACTGTAACCCTCGATTAATAAGCCTGTTACAGGAATTCATGGTCTGAAGGCAGATCAGACACAAAGCAGAGGTAAACAGTCCACCACAATTTTTATAATCAGTGATATAATTTTAGCTGCTCATCATCTCATCTTTGTCATGAAAGAAGTTGATTAACAAACATTTATTGTCATAGTTTCTGTTAACAGAATGAAAAAGTCCTGGTGTTAACCACAACCACTCATCAATTCACATACCAAGTCTTGTTGATTCAACCCTACTGATTTTTATTACCCACATTAATACAGGCCTACTGTTCATGTTCATGTATCCATCACTTTGTCATCTCATCAGTGTAATCCTCCACATATGAACAATAACACAAAACCTGATCTTTTTGATTCATGAAGAAAGTTGGCTTCAGGTGCTACATTTTAATTTTAGATTTATTTATTTAATTTTATTATTATTATTATTATTATTATTATTATTATTATTATTATTATTATTATTATTATTATTATTATGTATTTATTTATTTATTTATTTATTATTATGTATTTATTTATTATTATTTTTATTATTTTTTAATATTTTGAATTTGAAACATAGTCTGATCACATTTTCCCATTCTTTTAATCTGAAGTAAACCTGCATAGTTGAACCAATCTATCCCTTTTACCATGTCACTAGACCACCATCACGCATATCTGGGGGTGGTCTCTCTTATCAGACATCGACCATTTCCTGTAGTGTGTGGCCTTGTCTTTACTGGACTCGTTGGGTTAATCTTGACATCTTTCAACTTTGCTCTGTTTTTATGACCTCACCACCCTTAGAGAGCGAAGAGATGCTTATCCCTTCTCTCCCTCATAAGGTGGCGTGTGCATGCGTGTGTGCCTGGGTCAGTGAAAAAAGTGAGGTAGCAAGACGTGTGATTCCAGGGCTTTGCAGCATCTCATCTAAAACAGCATGAGCATCCCTCTATAGAAGCTGCAGTCTTGTCCGTGGCCACAGTGTATCTATTTATCCGGAAAGCGACTGTCACAGCTCTGTGCACCTCCAGTATCCCAAACACAGCTGTATCATTTTCACTTTTGTCGACATGCAAATTTCTTTTACATGGGTTTGCATCAGGTGGAGCTTGTAGGATCTTTGCTCATCTTTTGTGTGCTGGTGTTATTTTTGGCGCTTGAAGTTGCTTCCAGTGGTGTGGACATTAAAACAACATCTCAGCGTCTCTGAAACTAGTGTGAAAAAAATTTATACAGCAGCATCAGATAGTTTAGGGAGAGAAACAAACTAAACTTTAGTTACATTTTATGTGTTTCCTGCTCTTAAACTGATCAAAAGTCAGGATAGCTGACAGTGTCTTCAACAGTTTTTTATGACTTATCAAATTTTTTGGATTTCTTTTTTATATCGGGTGGTCATCACGTATCTTCTTCCAGTAAATTTCTATCAAATGATAAAACCATACAATTGTAAAGAGGAGCCCCTGGAAGAAAGTAGCAAAAAAGATGTTCATTCAGTCATCACCGAACATTTGTCGTAACTTATAGTCAGAGAGAGGTTGTTCCATCCAGTAGTTGTGTTGTGTATTGTCATACTGCCCGAGCAGTGTGTCTTTGAAGGTTCAAACATCAGATGACGTGAGACCAAGGTGTGTGGCTTTCATTTTGACTGAAAGTAAAAATTTCTGACATCAATCTGGTTTTATAAGACCCTTATCTCGCTTTCTGTCTTACACATATCTGAATCATAACGGACCTGTGGTTAAGAAGGATAAAAACCGACTGAAAAAGATCTTAAATCGTCACGATTGGGTTGTAAAAGTCTCATTTAGCAAGACCAATGTCCTGTGGTTTGAAAAGCTGTTGGCTCAGCTTTATTCCCCCATTTTTTTTTTTTCAACAAACAACCAGCACCTCGACCATGAGGTCACCACATTTTATTGCAACACCTCGCAGGAAGCGAAACAGGACAGATGTGTTAAAGCTGCAGTTTTTTTGCATGTTGTCTTTGTCCTTTAGTCGTCATTCAGAAATGTTTTCCTTGATTTTCAGTCAGGCTCATTTCACATGATCCTATACTCCCTCTAGATATTTTGTAGACTGCAGAGATTGCTGCCATGAAGGGAGTACAGAACGATCAGGGCGTAGTTGATTGAACCTGAAAGACCTCATTAATCAGCTCACATGGCCATTGACAACAGACTGAGGAACAAGTAGATCTCTCTAGTGAGGAAACATATGAATGGATCAGTTCTTTGTTCTGTATGATTCACTGACTGACGTGTTCACCCACTTGTCCTCAACAGGAAGCATTCTTGTGTAGACATCTCTGAGCATGTTAAGTTATCACTTAGCTGTTAACATGTCCAGTGGAAATTTCCCTTTTCAACGTTGTGTTTTCACATAAAAGGATTTTAGGTTTTATTAAAGTAGTGTTGGCTGTTAAGAGATAAGGTGAAGTAATGTGTTTAATACAAGGTAGCTTGATGTGGGAGAACCTGATCTTCACGTCAGGATGTTTGAGATTTTACAATCTATTATTAGTAAGATATCAAAGCAATGTGGAGTGACAAGCTACAAAAGACGGATCTTTTCATCAAGACACTGTATTGTATCGATTATTTAGACATTTCAATTATTTCTATTTTAGTTTGCTATTGACTGATAACACTGATTATCTTTATTTTCTTTTCTATAGCATGTTTTTTGATAACATACAGTTCTTAAATCTGCACACTTCCACAGGCCTGATTAATACTGTTCGAACTGAAGAGTAACGCAGGCTAACCATAACCTGGTGGCTCTATGAGGAGTTTCAAAATCAAAGCATGTCTTTAATATAGAAAAAAAGATCCATTTTTTATCAGTTTTATTGGATCATTTATTGTGATGTATCTTTCCACCCTCTTGTTAAGAGTGCAGTGCTGGGCGGCAGCTCTGCTCAGTTCCAAGTCATGGTAGGTTCACACAGTAGTGGGTGTATCATCAGTCAAGCAGAGCTCTGCAATTTTAGTGTCAAGACCAACTGCCTCAGAAAGGCTTTAGGTCTGTTGTCACTGCAACCGTCGCCTGTTCTTTAATAAGGCAACTACTGACTATATACTGACCAGACAGTACATACTAAAAGAAAATGGTGTGATTAACTACCCAAATATGTCGGACTCATAAATATAAACTAAATTACTTCCATAGAGACATACAAGACATTATTTTGAATCGCTTTAAATAAAAGAGGAACAGGTTATAGCAGAGGATGACCGTCTGTGTGTTTGTTTCAGGCTTAAGGTGAGCATCAGACTGCTGATCTGCGTCTGTTTACATGTCTTGTTTATCTCTGAAAGTCTGACAAACTCTTGTTTGTCCCCTAATTTGTGTATTTAAGCTTACAATAGCCATGACATCATATGTTAAGTGATTTTCCTAAAAAAACATCACAGCCTCTTCCTTTTCCGTCTTTCTCTGGATTCATTGAAACAGGGGATTAAATGGTTTTTTTTGTTTTTTTTTTCCATTATCATAACTGAAAAAGTTTGGACTGACTTGCTGCCTATGTTCGCTCTCTTCCCTGTTGGTGCCGCCTGCAGCCATACTGGAGTTTTTCCCAGTGCTATGACTCAAAGTTCATTTATTGCACTCTGTTGATAGCATGGGAGTTAAATTTCATGAGTATGCAGTCTGAAAGAAAGAGTTCTTCCAAGGAATAGCAGTTTGTTATCTTTGGGTGTAGCTTTTTTATTTTAAGGGCGTCTGGTTTACTTTTCTTTGACTGTTGATTCTCAGTTTGATTACATGCCCTTAACCTTTTTACCTCACCTGTTTCTCCTGATAACAGTAAAATAAGTTTGTAGTCGAACTTCACGTGATTGTGTGTAATTGCTACATGCTCCGTAACATGAAATGGCTACATGTACACAAAACAGTAAAACAATCAGCTTCTTTGGCTCGGAGCCCTTTAATAACTTTGTGTTGTTGGGAAGCAGCTGATGCTGGCCTGCCAAAACTGCTGCTGTAATAATATCACTGTCATCATATCACTGTTGGCCGGAGGGCCAGGGAGGGGATTTCCAGTGTAGCTGATTGGTACTATTCACAGAGCGCTGATCCTTCTGAGAAATGAACTGAATCTTGAAGCATTTGATATCATGAATTTTCTTTTTTTCACAAAAAATTTTTTCATTACTGATCCAGATTTTAGAAGTCAATCCTGCTTTTCCATCATGTTAACTTTTAGTTTATAGTTTGATTGATCACAGAGGACAAAACCACTGAGAATGATTGTAGATTTTTTCAAGCATAAGTGCATTTAGGAAAGCAAAAACTATGTTTACCAGTTTTTTGTTTTTGTTGGTCACCAGAATATAATTTCAGGATTTTAATGATTTTTTTTTTCTACAAATATGACCTTTAACCCTAAACAGGACTTAAAATAGTATGTTATGTTTCTGTGTTGTTTGGAGTACCTAACCAAAATTCCTCATAGGAGCTGTCTGTCTATGAACTTTCTTCTCTACACACATGCTTTAAGCTTCCCCCTTCATCCTTTTGGTGTATTTTCAACTTAAATCAATCAGTCTCACTGATCTCCTGCCTGTGGTTGAGGACGTAGAGCCAAATCCTGTGAATAGCTTTGGCCAAGCTCAATCCCTCTGAGCCTTAGCCCCGGCACATGATTGGTTGAGAGAAACTAGGGACGGTGAGGTTACAGTTCCACCTTAACAAACATTGACTTTTGCTTTCGTTTTGACTTCATATCTACTGGTGTAAGCTGACTTCTGTTATTACACGATGATAGGTGGTGCTCAACAAGAAAGTGATAGTATTTCATGTCGAGCGTGTGAAGAGTATGGATATGTTTTTGATTTAGAATAAGGCTGAAAGAATGGTTGTTTTCAATGAAAGCCAAAACTTGGATCTTCAGAGCAGGTAGGAATTGGTCTTACTTTCTTTCCTTTTGTGTCAGCGGGACTTAAGCCTCAAAGAATCCTGCTTGTGTGACGAAACATGGGCATTTCTGCTAACCTACTTGTATCAGTAACTTTCATTCTTACCATTCGACACTTGCTTCTGCTGATAGAGTAGCTTCGTCTTACTGTATAAGTCTTTCAGTTTCCCCTCAATAACAAAACTAAAAGAAATATAATCATACAGTCTTAAAAACTGTGTAATAATTATTTTAATCTGACGGGTGTTAGGCGAATCTTTGTGACCCGCATCAGTTACACTAGAATGAGTTCATCTTAAACAAAATCATCTGGCTAAAAATACCCTCTATTTCTCTCCTAGGCAATACCACTTGAACAGCAGCACTACCACCACCACTCCGGATGTGCACATGGACATGTACTCGGGATTCCCTGACGTGGACTTTTCCAGCCTCAACCTCCCCAGGAATGGAGATTTCCCACAGGTTTGTTTGATATATCTGTTCTTTTTACATGCTGGCATATCTTTTGACACTAAGTGAAGCAACACTGAGACATCCAAGCGTCTACAAGAGCTTACCTGTACAAAACCCACACCTACTCAAACACAATTAAGTCCACTCTAGTTTCTATTTCTTCTTTTCTTTTCTCTCCTCTGCGTGCTTATCAGAGGGAAGGGCCGTGCCTCTCCACCCATTTCTTTCATCTGTGTTTCATCTGTGTTTAGCTGGGCTTAATTTACCAAAGAGCTGCCTGATTAAAGGCCAGTGTCGTCTAGACGACTACAGCAGTACCTGCCTCTCTCCTGTCAAGGCATGTCATTAATAACACGCTGTAATTAAACACTTCCAGGGTGCATCCTCAGGAATCACTGTTAGGTACACCCAGGAATCCTTTTTTTTCTTGCTTTAGGAGTATGTACAGGATGGTGTTTTTGTGAATCATGTGGGAGCGTCTTCAGAATTATCCTGTAACAAAAGAGATACAACTTAAGGACCAGGACGTTCATTTCAAGACAGGGAATTCTTCAAACGGAAAAATCAGAATGAAGGTGTAAACCCCCTTTAATAGTTACCCCTCAGTGCCAGATGGTTACTTTCTGCAATTTGCATTTTTTATTTCCTGCATTTTGAGTGTCTATTATTACTATTATAATCAGAATCATATAAATGAGAGCTAGCGGTAATTACACACACCAGTGAGTTTCTAATCTGAGGCCTTTTGGGGTTGAGCCGAGGAGTGTCATTATTGAACCCCAATGAAGAATCTGCCATGATAATGAGTTTGAGAAGAAGGGCAGTCATGGGTTACCAAGCACGCTTCCTCTGTTACCCTTATTCTAAACCTCTCCTATGGCTTAAACAGCATTGCTATCATACCATGTCTTGGTTCATCTCAAGGCCAAAGCAGTAGGTAACAATAATGGAGGTGGAGTGTGACAGCAGGTCCAAGAGGAAAACCATTTATTGCCTTGACTGTACACTTTTATTGCTTTTTATGACTAAAGCAGCATCAGAATAATAAGACAAAATCTGCTTTGAATATTATTGACCAGTATTTCACATCTCCTTATGTATTTCACAGTTAAAGAAGAGAGGTCAATCCTGTAAATAGTGAGGTCCATGAATAATACCATCCCCCTGGATGTTGCTGTTGATAACACAAGTTTCTATTTCTGTGTGTAGACTCCTAAAACAAACGTCTGTTTTATGTACTTTAATATCTTAAAATCTATTTGAGAAAGAACAGAATGAAAACTAGAGTCCATGAGAATTCACAAAGATTGAGTTAAATGTGTGTTTTTGTACTTAAGGTAAAGTGACCTTTCTAAATTACCACGAATTTCAGTAAAATGAATTTAATGCCACCATCACAAGATTTTTGTTTCATATAGAATAGTTACTAGATTTAAACAAATCAGCTGATGGACATTAAAATTGAAGCACTATGAAGCATTAATAAAAATGCAGTGAGGTATTAATATATTCTACCTTTCTTTAAGTCGGTTGTAGAACATGATGCCATTTGTGAAATGGACAAAGATGACAGATTTGCTACATGAAAAATGTTGCAAATTACAGCATTAAGGAGGTGGTTAACTTCAACTGCTGTGTGATGAGACAAACAAGTAGGTGGCTTACCCAGACAGAACTACAAAGTCTCTGAGTACATATAGTGCTTTAAATGCTTTCAGTTAGGGCTGGGCGATAAAACAGTAATGATATATATCAAAAATTAATTTCCCTCGATATGAAACATGGTCAATATGCTTTTCGGTTGCCGGCATTCTGCCATGTTTTGGTAGGTTATACAAATAGCCAATGAAAAGGGGAGTTGCTCTGGGTCTGCGCTGCGCTGAACCCATCGTTCAGTCCACTTTCTCTAGTGCAACGCCTTGCAACAAAACGTCTAAGAGACACAAAGACCTCACAGATGCAGTAGCTTATTGTATTGCAAAAGACATGCTACCAACAAGTACTGTTAAATTTCATTAAAGAATAACAGGAAAGATTAAGATTGACAAGTGATTTTTTTATATTGCGATATTTATTGATATTGACTGACATGAAAAGAATGTATCATCATAAACTTTTTCCCATACCGCCCAGCCCAACTTTCAGTATTTACTTCAGGTCATGCTTAAGTAGAAAACAAATCCAAATTATTTGACTGTGTGCCAGTGAGTTGATGTGGAACGTTGTGTTGCAGGTGTGTATGACTCATTAATGGTTGTGTTGAACAAAAGAAAAGCGCTTGATGCTTTTTTCGTATTAATATTCTAAGCTGTGGGATCTCAAAAACAAAGGATCAACTTGAGCGCTGCGTATACAAGAAACTGATGTGTCATCCTCTTCACATGTCTTGCGTTGCTGGCATGGCGCTTGTGATTCATGTGGGGTTTCCCGAGTTTTCCATCTTCCGCCCAGCGATGTCTTTCTTAATACAAAAATAAAAAAGGAAACAGAAGTTCATGGATATGTGATAAATGTTACTTACACTGCATAGAAATGTGCGATTTCAGGATTGGTATTGTAATGTGTTTTTATTTCTGCCTTCATCAGGAGTAGGTTCATGAGCAACAAGTTTGTTTTTCTTGCAGTGGGCAAAAGAAGAATGTTATGACGGCCGTGAGAGAGAGAGAGAGAGAGAGAGAGAGAGAAAGGCTTTTTGCTTGTGTTGTGCTTTCTCAGCTGTTCTGTCTGAGTTTGATTGCTGCCTGCCACGTGAGGCGTTGCAGAGAAAATGTAAGTCACAGGGTCATCATGACTAATCCTCCACCTCACACCCAAATCCCCCCTTCCATTTTTTTCCCTCTCTCCATCCACATTTGGAGAAGAGTGTTTTGTGTTTTCTCTGTGCTGTTCAACCATGACAGCAGAGAGGACACTCAGGCATGTGTCACTGGGGTCGTCAGGTGACCGCCTTGTTTATTGTGGCAAATTTCTTGTTTTGAGTCGTTAGTAAAAAAGATTTTGGCTGAGTTTCCACAGTGTTATGGTTTGTTAACGCAGGTCACCTCTACTGAAAGGTCCCAATAGTCCACACTGTTTAAGCATGCGGATAGGATGTCTATATCTAGATTGCTGGTAACTTGAAACCAGAGCAAAACGTTTATTTGTTTTAGAATTAATAGACTCTCTTTTGAGACTTGATATCCGTCTTGGATTCTCAGTCATCAACAATACATGAGAGACTGAGGACTCAAATGGGATACATGGCCTGTGTAGCCACTGTTTAAGGGTGTATGGATGAAGTGGATTTCTTGTATTCTTTGTATTTTCATGTAACAATAAAATTTTGCTAAGAAATGGTTGGCAGAGGCAAAAGAGAAATGACATGCAGACCTTTCCGCACCCAAAATATGCGTATTTCTATGCAGAGCATCAAGACTTACTGGAAGACAAAAAAACAGAACTCATTCAGTAACCACTCTGGCTTACCTCAGCGGCTGTGACCCTTTTTTTTTGCAAGAACACAACTTCACACAACTACAGTAGATACTAACACTGTACAAACACATGTGCAGCACTACGGCACGTTTACACATTTTCACAGAGTTCGCCTCTTGCTGCGTGCTCTCAGTGCGGTACCTCTCACTATGACACACTTGTGCACGGTGTGCTTCTAGGAAGAGCTCAGGAGGGGATTAGGGCTGCTGCAGCCATTCTCACTTTTGTTTTAGTAGAATTACAATAACCTTTTGGGCTTAATACATAGTACCAAAGACCCTGAATGTGTGTGCAGTAGTGAAAACATGTCAGTCATACAGAGCAGCAGCACAAGCTGAGACTCCTTGCTGCTGAAAATCCCACAGTTGCACTAGGAGAGCATGTATCTTCACACCATTTAGTCTTGAACACAAATCAATACAAATCATTCTGTCATGTCTGTGTAAGATCATCTGATTTCTTAACTTTTAAAAGTTTTTTAAAGCTCCTGCGACAAACGCTCAGTTTGGGTCAGTTTTGCAGCCTTTTGCTTATCTTTTAATTATTGTTAATTTTTGTGGTAAATATTTAAGTGGAATCTTAAAAACAGGCTTATTTTTATTGCTGTTTAGTTGACACCTACCCCCTTGCTCCAGTTTCAGGCATTGCTGCTGAGGGTATTTGTTTGTCTTTCTATAACATAAAAAAAGGCATTTATATGAATTTCAGTCTGTTTCATGAACATCAGAAAAATCTTCACAGGAGCTTTAAAACAAACAAACAAAAAAAAGACAGATTGATTTAATCACATTTTCCAACACTGTTACCAAAGCTTCAAGTTAGCCCTTTGTCCAAGGATGTTTGGCTAATCTGGAAGTTGCCCAACCCCAGAGTTTTATATTACTGCCAGTAACGATCATCTTGTTTTTCTTGATTTTATTGCTGCAAGCCAATCACAAGATAAATCTGTGGCTTTTCTTTGGTACTTCCTTGTAAGACATATCTGATCTGCTTGAATGGCCTAGTTTGAAGGAGGAAGTAAAAGGTTAATTTAAGGGTTGGTAGTAGGTGCACTCCTTTCCTTTAAGAGCGTGGGCTCCATCTTATCCTCTCAGCAGTTCAGCGTGGATATTTCTTTATGATTCACAAACACAAATTGTACTGTTGTTGTACAAGTTGTACTGTTCTTTAGTTTATCATGATTGTTGTGTATTTTGTCAATGAACATGGGTAGTCTTTTCAAGCCTTTTTTCAGTGGTCCACTGCGAGAACAACCCTTCTGCAGAGTAAGAGGTCGAAGAATATCAAGTTTATATCAAGTTTATATCAAGTATACTTTCAGCTGTATTTAGATGTAATTTTTTCAACCTAGAATATAGGCTTAAGTTCATCATAATGAGGAACATTTGAGTCATGAATCAATGGGAAGTGAAATAAAGATTGAAAACAAAATAAAAAAGGAAACAATAAAAGGTAGTTTTCATACTGAACAAGCTTTTACAAAGCAGCTGGAGTAATTATGCCCAAGTGACACTGAGACAGTGTGTTAGCGCAGTGGTTCTCAAGTCCAGTCCTCGAGCCCACACCTGATTCAAATGATCAGCTCGTTATCAAGCTCTGTAATGGCTTAATAATGAGCTAATCATTTGAATCAGGTGTGTTGGAGCAGGGAAACATCCAAAACATGCAGGACAGTGGGGCTCGAGGACTGGACTTGAGAACCACTGTGTTAGTGTATACAACTGAGTGCATATTAGTATAGTAAGCAATGGATCTTACCTTCTCTGCCTGTGATGCAGTAAGGTATGTCTGGTTCGTGTGTCTGCGTATTCAAAAGACGCTTATTAATGATTCATTCCTCTCAATCAGTCATATGCAGCGCCCTCCTTCCCTTCACACACACACTGATACATAAGCACATACACATTATTTAGAGGATTCCCACTCATAGTGATGACACCATGGACAGGCGCCACTCTGTCTCGGTGTCTGACTCCTCTCTAGTCCAGCAGAGATTGACATTACTGTACCTTGCCATACAGGGCCTGATATCACATATTACTGGAAGTTGATGTGCAAAAAAAAAAAAAAAGAATTTATTCACCCCTGCGTCTAAGACAGTTAAACTTCATCTTCTGTCAGAAAAAAAAATCATGTTTTGAAACTCGTTGATCAGCGTTTTAGTTTGATTTGTCAAAATAACCAATTTTCCTTCAGTTTCCCAGAATATCTTTTTTCCCCTATTGCGCCCGTCGTTCCAGAGGGTGGGACTGACTGTTTATGATGAGGTATTTGTCGGCAATTTGGCACAGAGAGAAGCTGTGTCAAACACCCAAAGAGCCAAATGTGCACATAATGCAATTTTTAACCACATCAATTTCCTCCTTCTTATTTAAGCTGTTGAGGATGTTTTAAGCTGAGCCGTTTATCTCGCGCTTTATGTAAAAAGTCAACACTTATATCTATAAATTCTGATTAGTACACAGCGTAGAGTCACGAGGCTATGCATGTTATTTAAGTGACATTCAGCCTTTTAATATGTGGCTAATGAGACCACCTGTTAGCTGCCCCCTTAGTGTTTACACCTAGGCTATTGATCAGTATATTTATCAGCAGTCATTACCAGAAGAGCAGTTCTGAAAATGAGCTCGAGCAGACAGATAGACAAAGAGCAGGGTATTGAAGTAAGACAGGCATCCAGGCAGAGATTCAGTCTCTAAATATAATAATCATTAAATAGCAGCCCAGGCCCATTAAATATAGCGGTAAGCAGCAGGGTGTGAGGAGCGGCCAGGTCCAGAGCGCAATACTGTTTACACTACAAATGCGGTTGAGTTACACCATGTACAGTAAAATGGGCCTGACTGCCAGTAACTCTAGTCACTTACCAACAAAAGCATCATTTCCTGAAAGCTCCTCCCTCCTCCCTCCCTCTTCTCCCCACCTCTCCCCTCCCCTCCTCTGCTCTCTCTCACTCACTCTCCAACCACCTTTTTGAGCTCTGAGGAACTAGTCCACAATCACTATGACTAAGTCCTATATGCAAATACCTGACTGGCCTGATGAAGCAGGAAGCATGTGTTAGACTTGCCCGAGTCTGTTTGTGAGAGAAACACAGTTTGTATGTGTGAGCTCATTGCCCAGAGCGTACCTGCGGTAGAGGCAGATGTGTGTGTCAAACCAGAGACGAGCCGTGGAAGGGCAAGTGAGAGTCCACTGTGGGGTGGAAGTGCACCAGCTGTAGGCTGAATACCAGCACTTTGACAACACATGGAAGAGGCTGTCGCAGTCAGGGACTTGAGGTGAAGCAGGAGTGTATGTGTGCGTGAATTTTACCCTCCCCACACTGCAGTGTTCGGACCCATGTCTCTCATGCAGTTCTGGACTAAATGGTATTCACAGCTGGGACGACCACTTCCCAAGGTACTGGTACTGTTTGTTTCTTTTTTGTTTTTTTATGTCATGCTGAATCAAGTTTGTTGTGGACTGGCTTTTATAGACGGAACTGACTGAGAAAAAGTCCTCTGTGAGTTTTTACTGTCCTTATCAAGGAAGGTCTCAAGAGCAATAGTTGGCAGCCTGTTGTAGAGGAACAGTTCTGTTTTTCTCCTTTGTGTCTTAACTTCCGTGAATGAGTTTTGGAATTATTCCTGTTTTGTTGTTAAGACACTTTAAGTCCAACTTTTAATTCTCCCTGACTACACAACACACTGTTTTTAGCAGTAGTGCTGGTTTCCTGTTAAAGACTGAAACATGCCGTACACTGTGGCCATTTGTTTATTTATTTTCTATTCTAGACTCGGCTTGTCAAACAATATCTTGAGCCTCTTCGCTCACCTTTGGATATAATGCTTTAAATCAGCATTAAAGTTGCTCTATGAGTTTTTCTGACGCCGGCAGGCCACAGACAGCATGTAGTCACCCTCTGAGACTCTCGTTCCCAGCCAGGACAGATGATTGTCTGCCTCACTCCTGCTGTCTTCCAGTAAGCGCGAGAATCCGATATCTTGTCAGACTAAACTGCACTCTGATCTGTTTTCTGAATGGCTATTGAATGAGCCCATTGTTAAACTGCGCTGTAAACTGAAAGGCATTATCTCCATATACTGCCTGAATCTTACAAGTCGGGCTGGTCTCATTGAAACTCATATCAGGCTAATAGTGTTTCTGGTGATACGCTTACTGAGCTCATTTCCACTGAATTTCTGATGAAGTTCATTGGCTAATCTAACGAAGACAGTCTTCTTTACAGATAAATACAAGATTGGAGGATTAACAATTTTCTTTTAACTGGAAAAAAAGTGTTTTTCCTTCAATGAAAGAGAATCATAACAAACAGAAGATGAAGTCCTGTGTAGAGTAACTTTTGCAGCGAGTTGCCGCATTTTTCTCTTTGCGTTAGATTCTCGGATAAATTATTTACAGCTCATTTAGTAAAAACCTTCATCATGCAATGCAATAATTTTTTTTTCGTACAATTATTGTGAGACTTCCGTAGCGGTCTGAATGAGTGGGTGTTGTGATTCTGAGTGTTATTTTTAAATGTTGATTTTTAGCAGACCTGTAAAGTTGTAAACCCGACATTTTGAGGTAGCAGCGCAGCATCTGGGTGCACACATGTGGCCAATTTCCTTGTATTATATTAAACCTCGTGTATGACCTCGGCGTGCAGCTTACGGGAAGTAAATTAGCAGTGATGAGAGGGGGTGAGTGAGAGCATCAGGGGGCGGACTGATTATAAGCAATGGAGAGAATGGGTGGACAAGACAAGGGAGCAAACAGTCATGATACCAGAAAGATCAACTATAACCGGTATCTGTCAAGAAACCACAGCAACAAAAACCAAATTTCCGGGCTCCAAAATGGTTAATCTAGATTTTTTTTTTTTTATTTCAACCCGCAGACAGTGGCGGTACAGAAAAGCTACTACTGTGGACCACTTTTTGTCATACCGTTTGTAGTAAAATCACGCAAAATAAACACTGTTTTTACCAAATACAATCAAAACTAAAAAGAATATTTTGATCAAGATCCAGCAGAGGTATCTGGTGGAAGTGTGCTTTCTGTCTGATCATCCTGCTGAGCCAGTCATTTTATAGGCATAATTATTGTGCAGTACTTTGAAGGTCCCTGTCCACAGACCACAGGTCAGGACTCAAAAAAAGACCAGATGACTTTGGCCTCTCTTCTGCTCTCCGTCTTTGTGCAGCAGGCATGAACATAATGTAAACGCAGGCGTAAACCTGAAAGGACTTAATATCAACACTTGTTGTGGAGGTTGGAGGCAGAGACGCACAGCAGGCAGGAAGAAGCATGAGTTCAGCTGCAAGAAAACTAAATCAGGCACGGTCAAGCACTTTTGTGTGGAGGTGCAAACATGGTCATAGGACGTAAGAAGCATAACTGTCATCTAAAATTAAAAAATAACCTCTATTTGTCATTTTTGCATCGTTGTTTAGCTATACCACTCCTCTCTTTCTCTTAAATGTATCTGTATTTCAGTAGACCACGGCTGCTTATTCTCTCATTTCCATTTAAATACTGCAGGTCCTGGTTTACTATATTATTACTATGTTACTTTGTTATTTTTGGAGACTTTGCTGCTTTTTGATACTGTTTCACATAATAAAGGTCGAATATTGTATCATTTTAAAGCACCTGTTATGTAAAAGTATCGGAATATTGAACATTTTGACAACCTTGATGTGTGGTGAAGAGACCAACTCTAGAGACCACTGAAGAATTCCATAGCTCTATACTAAAGGGCAGGTTCAATCCTGTCTTTTGCTGCATGGCACCTTATCTTTGAGCTCATTAAAATTTCCCTCTAAAGAAAGACAAACATCATGGAAAAAAAGGTGTTTGTTTTGATTTAAAAACCTGAATAGCTAGTCAGTGGCGACACCAGTACTGTTAAACAAGAAAGTCTAGAGACTGATTCTATTATCCAGTGATAGTTTGTGCACTGTCCTTGTTACCACATGTGGAGGAGTCGTGTATCTCCTACAATAAAGACACAAGCAGGTTGAATGGTTATGAAATATGCAAGAATGTCTGAATGCTTTTGTCCACGTGTCGGCGCCTAGCTAGCAACACCTGCCGCTTCCATTTTATTGGGATGATTAAGAATGACTTGACATTTTGAGCGAGACAAAGTAAATTATTCAGGATTCTGTCTTATAATTGCAGCGAAGTCGTTGTTCTGTAGGTCTACAGTCTGTCTAAAGAAGGCAGTTATAAAAGTGCTGGATATTTCCGTGTTAAGTAGAGCCATAAACTTTTACTTCTGTTTCTCTGCTGCTCAAGGAAATGCTGTACTTCTGTTTGATTTGTGTTATGAACCAATAGCAAATATTAGTTTTTAAATACAGAAGATAAGATCTCTGCAAGTCAGTCAACACTCCGTACACTGGAGGTGTAGAGTCAAGTCGACTTGTCTCGATGGCCAGAGTAGCTGCCGCTGTAGCGACACATGGTTGTGAAAGAACAGAATCCTCCTACCCAGCGAAGAGTCGATTCTTGGCTGGCAACCAAGTCAACTTACAGGCAATGAGCCCACCACCCCTGACTCATTGTGTTATAGTAGATCACTGACCACAGGTGTGTGAAAACAAGGGTGTGTGTCATGCAAAAGACAGACGAGAGATTGAAAAAGCTGTGAACATGCTCTTCGGATGCTGGTACGGCTGCTGCAAACCTTCCTGTCGTAAATGCAATGGTCTCCCACGGGCAGCAAGCAAGCTTCAGTTGTAGTCTCAAGAGCTTTGTGTGGTATTAGATTTGTACATCTAGTTAACTTGAATAAACCAAAAGCTTATGTTGTCATTAGAGCAAAGAGAGATACAGATACGTGCTTGATTTTGATTGTTTTTGCAACAAATAATAAATGATAAATCTTCTTTTCTGTATTCAGCTTCTCTGTGAAGTTTTACTCGTTTGACGTCGCCTGTTTCACTCAGCATTTGTGGACGTTTCCTTTTGCTCCCTGAGCCGTGTTTGTGCGCGACTGTTTCCAGCGCTTACCCCTGTTGCAAGTTTAATGTGGTATGTCGAAATTTCTGCCGAACTATGACGTCATCTTGTGTCAACATTCCACTCACATCCACTTTTTCTCGACTGCGGGGACACAGGCTCACACATGCAATGCGATGGGTTTATTATCGCACAGAAACATACCTGCACACGGCATTTGTCTTTTCAGAAGTCCACTCTGTTTTTGTGAACTCACATTTTCAGTGCACCCTGCTGTGGGCAATGTGCTCTCAGCATTTTACCCAAAAACCGAGATAGCAGATAAACACCTCTCTTTCCTTCTCTACCTCTGATCTCCACAACTTGTGCTTTTTTTTTCCTCTTGTTACACTCTGCTTGTCCTCCTTGGCTAAAGAAAGAATTTGAGTTTGTGAATTTTCTTTGCTGGCTGTGCCATGTGCATCATCCTGCTCCTCTTGTTAGGCTCTCTTCATCAGGTCAGTTTAAGCTCCAGCTCCTCCCACACTCAGCGAGCAGAGCAGTCCTCCTGCGTCCTGGGACACCTGACATGGCATCCTTTTATTTTCCAGAACGTATGAAAACACTGGAAAATTCCAGGAGGCTTGTAAGCAGTGAGCTGTCCCTGGCTTGCTTTGCTCAGACTTGGCATGACATGAAAGGCTTGCCTGTCAGGAGGCTGCTGGACTGGGTTTTCCACTTTGATTGGCCGAGGATAAACGCTAGAGGATGGGCCGCCACTCAGCTGTCTGTGGGATAGACAAGCATAACAAAATATGTCATTTGACCTGATCGTAAGAATCCCTCTACAATGAAAAAGGTCCACTTCTGTTATTATTTCTTAGAAAAATCCTCTCAATGTACATTTGTAAATATAACGATCATGTCGGGGAGTGTTAACGTGATTCTTGGGAGCGATTCTTTATTAGCAGAAAACCCAGAGCAAATATTTTTGTCTTTTTACATCAGTTTTGGTTTGGCAGCGTTCCCTTCGTGTGGCTCTTGTGATCACTGGAACAGCACTTCTCTTTAGACTTTTATTTTTCTCTGAAGGCCTTTAAAAGTATTTGAGTGTAGTTTTTGGCCAAAGGTTGTTTGACTTAATGCTCTTATAGACTATAACAAGATATCAATTACAAGATAAAAAACCCTGGATAAGTAGGTTTATGTCTGCGCATGTCTTCTTGACTTATTTCACTTAAAAAATAGAAAAAGCTTCGATCCGTCCCATTATAGTCCACGGCGCACTTCAGCTGTGTCAGACTTGTAAGACATGCTGAAGGCTCAGGATAATATAATCAGGAGAGAAAGAGGTGACACCAGAGGTGGTATTACAATTCCTGGTCACAGAGCCGTCACATTAAGACACACACAAAGGCCATCAATCTGTCGACCGCATGGTCAAGGTCAAAAGCCGGCCCCAGATGTGGAGGCACGGGGGTTGTTTGAGTCAGCTGATCCTCATCATGCAAACACAAACACACACATCCATCTATAGTTCGCCTTGGCCCTGTGACAGGGTTATTTTAGGTTGCACTGTCCCTTTGAACCACCTAAAATGTGCACAGAGGACATGGTGTTTCACAATTCACTCGGTTCTTTGTTTATGCTTTACCTCATGTACTTGCGCTACAATAACAGTGCAGGCCAAGGCTGGATTTACAGCCCTTAAGGATATCGTAGAGATGATTGAAGAGCTGAGTAGGGGGGGGGGGTTGTGGATTGAGCTCTCATCTCAGCCTTTGGACACAACGATCAAAACACTTCAACATTTGAATTAGCTTCAATCAGATACTTGAGTGTACATTACTATAATATCCTTAAAAGTAACTTCACATTTGACACATTCTGCTGTTTATCCATTCTGCTGTTTGAGGTGATGACTCCACCTTTTTGTTTTTTTCGTCTGAGGCGGTTTGTTTAGTCGAATCGATCCTCTTTCTGATGCAGTCCAGAACAAGGTAGGATTTAAAGACAATGACTGTCTGACTGAAAGGGCAGAGTAAAAAGCAGGGTGGAGTTTCAAAGAGTGGGAAGTACTAATCAGGAGATGACAGATGTGTGTGTGTGTGTGAGAGAGAGAGAAAGAGAGAGACAGACAAACAGAGAGAGAGAGAGAGAGGGAGATGTTGAGAAGGTGAGGTCATTTAAGGTCTGTGTGTACATGGGGGTGTGTTGGGTAAAAGGAAACGCAGGATGACTTGTTTCCTGGCCTTGGAAAAGCAGCCAAGCTGTCAGTGTGTAGGAGGGGGAAGCCCTGGGCCTGGCCTGGCCTACCTAACTTGGACCTTGGCCTGCCCCCGTTCTAAGAAGGGTCATTGAGTGTAACAGGATGAGGCCTAGAATATACACAGCACTCTTAACTTTAACTTTCCCTCTTATAGAATGTGTTGCACTTCTATATTGAGACGTATGACAACCTCTTTGCAGAAGTAGATGTCGATTCCTCTGGTTGGGTGACGAAATTGTCAGCTTTTGGCCTCGTCATAACTGCGTGACTGTGTCATCGTAGTCATATCAGGAATATTTGAATCTCACCTCTACCAAGGAAATTGCCCGAGCTGCATGAGAAAGAGATGTGTGTTTTTTTTCTTTATTTGGTCAATCATGATATTATAGATAAGCTGTTGAGGTCATGAAAGTGATCCAGGAGTCACTGTGACACAGGAATTTCAGATTTACACTGTCCAAATATCAGTTGTATCTAAGGAGGCCACGCTTTTTGTGGGCGGTTTATGTTAGCAGTGAAATTTTGTTTTTTTTTTTATCGGGCCTGAAACCTTGAAGTGAAAACCACCAACCTCCACCACAACCATCAAGCAGCTCTGCAGTTGAGCAGGTGTCTCATGAGCAGGAGAGGAGTCACTGTCGCTGCCATTTTTCACAACTACATGCCTTCATTTATCATCGTCAGGCAGACAGCTATCATTATCCAGGCAGCTAAGTGCAATTTACAGCGGACACATAATGTTGTATAAATGACGTACATGTGTGTAATCGCATTCTGGACAGTCCATATAAGTATCAGGTTTGATTGCAGCATGTTGTAGTTTAGTGGTCAGATAGATCCCAATGGTTTCATCAATACTGTGAGAGAGTTAAGAGGAGTTAAGGTGTGAAGTTGTAGCAGTCAAGGAGAGGACTGAAATGGTAGAGGGCCATGCTACAAGCTGCTAAACAAATGAGCTTTAACTGTTTCGTCTGTGTATGTGTACACAAGAGATCAGTTTGTTTACAGTGTGAACACGCATATTCTACATTTGATTCCCTGTAAGCATTTCTGAAGAAGAAACTCCTAAATTCAGAGAAACGCATAAGCATCCAGGTTGTTTTGTTGTCGAGCAGAGAAAAGAGAAAGCAAAAGAGAGTGAGGCAGGATTAGCAGTTATACGGCTGCGCTCAGATTGCCATCAAAGCAGTTGGAATTCAGGCCTTATCTCTCCCTGGCAGAGCCCAGTCTCAGGAACAGTGGATGAACTAGGCTCGGGTACAGGGCCTGCCAGGGGAAAACACTGCTGCTTCTCATTCGCTTTGCTTAACAACTCGATTAGCATGGGGCTTAGGTCGGCCATATCCTGGTTTGAACTGGCCAACCTGCTTCTTTTTTTTTTCTTCTTCTTCTGTGATTCTTAATAACAATTCTGCGTCAGAACAGTACGTTCTGTGACTTAAGTTTCACAATGTGTAAAACCTTCAGAGGAATGACATACAAGGCAAATGACTGATTTACCCAACAGTCTGATTTAAGACTATTTACATTTAACCTGAAATGGTCTCTAGGCTTCATACTGTGAATAAAAGTGACTCTTCTTACAACAGAAGATTCATTGTAGTCAGAGTTTTATTAGAATCGTCACTCTTACGAGGAAAACTAATACGACTAAATCCAGCTGTCATTATTATCACACGAGACATTTCATTGAATAATTTATTAAACATAATCTTGGCCTTACAAAACTCCTCCTGCTCCTCATGTCAGAAGTCTTGGATTGTTATCCATCATGGAAAAAAAAGAAACGTGGTGAAAACCATGTGCAGATACATGTTCATCTGTCTTTTTCCACAGTTATGCTTCTGTGGAATGACGCCTCTGGTGACACAATGTCCCTATTCCAAGCCTTGTTTACCCGTCTACTCTCAAGAGAAGGAGCCAAGAAAGGAGGGGGGTAGAGACAGAGTAAAAGGAGATAGGATGACACACAGCTGACAGGATAAACAAAGAAAAAAAAAAGAAAGGAAACGCGTTAGAACGTGGCAGGTTCTGCGTTCGGGAGTGGAAGAAGTCGTCTTTCTGGGGTCTTCTCTACATTTAGCACTCTTGTCGCCCCAGAAAAAGCAGTTGTTCCACTCAGCTGTCTGCAGGGCACATTAACTTTGGAGAGGCTGCTTTTAGAGCTCATGCCTGATCTTGCCCTTTAGGAAGCACACGCACATATACACTAACACATAGACACTCACAAGGAGAAAAAGGAAAGAGAAAGGTAGAGCGAGAAAGGCTTTATCTTGTAACTCCAGGCAAACTTTGATAAGCTCAAGCTGTAGCTTTATTTAAAAAAAGAAAAAAAAGAAAAAAAAACTCTTCCGGCTGCACAAACATCCACACGTTCCGGTCAGTGAGTTGTTTCTGTAACGTCAGAAGGCAAAAATATACACATGTATCTGTGTCTGCCTGCTGTTTACCGCCCTCCCTGGGCCTCATTCCCAAATGATGCAGTCATATTAGTACTAAGAGCTTTGCGTTTGTCTTCTCACGCCTTTGAAACATGTTCAGCTAAACTGTGAGTAATGGCAAACATGCAGCTATGACAGAGGTCAGCTCCGATCCTCAACAATAATCAGCAGCAGCAGCAGGATGTTACTGAGATCGAGGCAAAGTCTCAGTGAATCATTCCCTTTTGTTGCCGTTTGAACTTTGGGTTCTCACAGAAAGGACTGTTGTCTTGTCACAACATCATACTTAAAAGTTCTGACTTATTGTACTGTTGTTTTATCTCTGTTTATAGAAATTTAGAGGTTTTATCGGAAAATTGTGCTGTGGTAGAGGAAATGAGTACACTAGGGTTTGTTTAGTACGCAAGTAACAACACAGGACATTAGAAACTAAAGAAAAAGAATGAAACTTGAGTGAAGCTTCGATATCTGTTTGCAAACTGTTGCTAGCAATCAGCAAAACAAACTAGCATCTACTTTTTGAGCGTTTGTGCTGAGGTTCATTATCTGAAATAACTCTCCAGAACTCGCAAGTAGGATCAGCAGGTAGTATGCCAGGCTGTTTCCTGCTTCTCTAGAGGGTGTAGTTGGAACATGGGCTGTGGGAACTTCCACACGTGGTCCAAAGAGTAAAAATACACACATACACACCATAACACACATCGAGGAATCTGCACAGACAAAACCATACAATAAAACAGGGGGGGAAACCAGCTTGCCAAAAACAGCTTCTCTCCCCCCCCCCCTAGCTGGTTGTCTGTGAATTCTCCCTGTTTCCATCACTCAATCCCTATCTCCCCACATCCATGTTTATAAACCTCAAGGGGGGCCTGAGGGGGGGGGCTGTGAGAGCCTAGTTAAAGAGCATGGCATGCTAATGGCTTGAAAAGGATATGAATAGAGGAGCGACTGGAAGGCAGCCACGGTTTAAATGACACACATATACACATGCACACCCAGACACAAGCATTCTCAACGTGAATGCCCCCTTGCTTTTTATATTACGACTTGGTCTTCCACACATCTGTGTGTGATTAGATTTTTGTTTAGGCTACTGGTGTAACTCCTATAAGAGAGCATTAGCTGAGCCCAAGAATAGTTTCTGCTCTGATGAAACAAGTGGGGACCCGCATAAACAAACAAACTCCACTGATCAGCTGACATGACTACTGACAGGTGAAGGGAATAACAGTGTTTTCTGTTTACAATGGCACCTGTCAGTGGGTGGGTGGAGTGTGGTAGACATCTCTGAAACTGCTCTTGTGTGGTCTGTATGACCTGTAGTGGTCATTGCTTACCAAAATGTGACAGGAAACTGGTGACAGGATAATAAGTGAATAACGACAAGATGTGTCTATGTTGCATTTTTCATGCTTGTAACAGCAGTGAGAGAGGGTAGGCACACTGAAGAAACATCCTGTGTTGTTGTTTCCACAGCAAATATTCAAAGTGATTGATCAATTTCGTTGTTGGAAAATATGAGGAGGAGAATTTTTAACGAATAACACAGCTTTTACAAGGATAAGACAAAATCAGAAACACTAAAAGGGTTTCCACTCTGTCCACAGGGGGCGCTAAAATTGACAGACACAAAAGTTCCTTACAAGAGCTTTAAGTTCATGTTCTGAAATCCACCTCACAATCCAAAAGATGTGTCTATTTTCATACTGGCCAAGGTTTGCATGAAATAATGGAATTATACATGATTTTGTTATTTTGTTTGTTTTAAACAAACTACAAACCCCTTTTTTGTGTATCTATTTATTTATTTTTGAAAGTACAGATGGCTGGACAAGAACCAAAAAGTTCTGTGTGGCTAAATTTACTGAGTCAAATCTACATTAATCGTGTTGCAGGCAGTCAAGTTCAGCAATTCATTATTTTTTATAAATTATTGTTGTTTTCTTTTCTTATTTTGGCAAATTCTGAAATATTGGTTTTAATATTATATATCAGCCATCAGCAGACGTGCTCTCTCATCATCAGCATTGGCACCTATCCGTCAACCACTGGTCATGGGAGGTTGACTAAGGCGGCCCATGTAGTCTGATCCAACAGGAGAGCTACTGATGCTCACTCTGCTGATTCTAATAGCATCCTAACCCAGTGCATTACAGTTTGTACAGTATGGGGCTTAACTACACCACATTAGGCAAGCAGGCAATCATGTGGGTTTTTCATCACATACTTAGTTTGTCTTCAGGTATTCACCTCTGGCTCTGCTGCATGACCTGAGGAGTGTCTTAATTATAACAGGATTTTAAGTCTTTTATATTCATCTAAAACGCTGTGTCAGGTTATGAGTACATACCTGATTTAAACTTTAGAAATGTTAATGTTGTTTTTTACAGTTTTGAAGTTTCTGAAAATCAGTTCACCTCGCTGCTTTGCTCAGTGTTTTTGCCATGTACAAGAGTCTTAACTTTACATCTGCTTTCCTCTCTGCCTGTAGGACCTGTCCTGCATTGATGACCTCTCCACAAACTCTCTGTTCTCCTCTCCGGCTGACTCTCTGTCGGAGTATGCTGATGCCCAGTCTTTCATCAGCACAGACAACCTGGACACAGTGCCCACCCTCTGGGATGTCAACACTAGTACCACCACCACCACACCAGCACAAAGCCAGCTAGAGGTCAGTGATGCAGTCGCTCACCCATATCATCAGCAGGTACACAGAGGGCTTCTCCACTCATTTGTGTCATAACTTAAACGTTACACAGACTTGTAACATCATGGACCATCAGCTTTATGTCTACATCATCAGAGTCGGAATCCAGGCATAAGCGGGCAAAAGTTAAACAGTCTCTCCGGCTCATTTGTCTTTACTCCTGCTATTGATCGCAGCAATATTTCATTCACAAAAGGGACCCTCATGCTATAGCTGAGCTTGAACTCTTGCTTGCAAGTACAGCGAATATGCTCCAAAAATTACTGAAAATCTACAAACTTCAAACCTTTTTTTCTACGTTAATATCTAATTTGTGAATCAGTACTTTTATATGTAAAGCGAGATGCACAATTTGTACCAGACTGGACCGTTACTCCCTTGAAACAATTGATAACTGACTTGGCCTTGAATGTTTTGAACATACTGTTCACCCTCAGCTTTTAGCTTCAATAAATCTATGATCTTTCACACTAAACTAATTTTACAATTTTAATCATTTTTTATTTTCTTCTTTTAAAAAAAAAACACTTAATGACATATAAATGACTCAGAGCAAGATTTTAAGCTCTTCTTTGTGATCATCAGAAATGAAGCTGTTTGGAGGCAGACACTTAACAGAACCCAATCATTGTTGATGAAGTGCAGTAGTAGAACTTATGAAGGTGCTGTTGTTCAACACGACCGTATGTCTGTTGTAGTGGGATAACTCAGAATTCTCTCCAGCATCTTTGAACACAAGCAAGTTTTTTAATACAGAACGAGCCTTTGAAATGTATAATACATGTTATCATGTCGTAACATCTTTTATGCTAAGCTAGGTCATTCGGCACACACACTATACAGACTGTCTGTGAAATCTGATAGTACCTCTACATGCACCTAAGAATGTAAACAGTATTCATCTTTGAAATGATATTTTTCTTTTTTTTTTTCTTGTTCCTTCAGTTATTTCAAATTTTAAAATCTGTTCGGCTGTAGGTTATAGTTTTCAAATCATTAATCTAGGAGGGGTCATTTCGTTGCCGTTGAGTCCTCTGATGAGGCAAGTCCAAGAAATCTTTATGATGTTATGAGTCATAGTACATTTATGTCTCCTTCCTTCTGAAAGCCTTCTATGTTTCCTTTTCATTCTGTCCTCAGCTCATCTATTATGTTTTCCAGACACACAGCTTTATCTTCCTTTTCGTTGTTGTTGTTGTTGTTGCTGGCTTTTCAGCACCAGACGACAAATTGCATTTTGTTGAGTGCTGGTTGGTGGGACTCCCACGTCCAGCGCCCTCACGCTCTCATGCATATAAATATACGAACATCCGTCACATGTAGAGATTTCTCATGGTTTTGTTTTTGTTGTTGTTTGTTGCTCTTTCTTTATACTTTTGGCAATGTTTTCATTTTTGTTTTTCTGTTCTTCATTTTGATGTTTCGTTGACAGCTAAGTACCACCGGCAGGTTTCATGGCTTGGCCAGTTTGGATGATATAACTGCTATTATCAGCACCCCACCTTTAGGAGGATTCCAGGTAGCCACACTTACTTCTCCAACCTGACGCCTTAAGTTATCTAACAAGATTAGCCTTAGCATTGACTAAACTGTTGATAAATGTGTGTGTGTCACATACGCAGCTGTTATTGTGTTTCTGCAATACAGGCTGAATTAATTGTGTCATAGAATAACACCACTAATCTCAGATTAAAGGCTTCATTTTGGCTATGCAACACATTAAAATACAGACTGTGATAAGTGAACCTGCAATGTTTGTGTCTTGTTTGGCAAGACAGTCTTACCATGGATGATAAAAGCATTGCTTTCTATGACGTAAATAGAACATATTATTACTCCATGCGCTAAATTGTCTTTTTGAATTTCATATTTTATAAATGTAACATTTGCTTGAAACAAAATGAGACCCTTTGCATTCTCTGTAACCCAGATTGCATCAACCTGAATCATAAAAACAATCATTATTCATTCTGCTTCAGCTGGTTTGTCGCACCTTTCATTTCATTTGTCATGTAACTATCACACATGTGTTACACTTCATAGTAAAGAGCTGCATCTCTGCAGTGCTAACCTGTTACCGACTGTTTATCTGCTACCGACGTACTCTTTCCTCGTCTACAACCAGCTGAACCAAAAAAATATGACTTTAAAGATGTGTTTGCCTTTTATGTGAACGACTTAATAGAGCTTCTTTGGTGTCCCAAGGTTCAGACAACCCAGCCACCTCCAGAGGAGGAAGAGGATGCTGAGGAAGAGGAGACAGAAGAACTGGGACATGTAGACACATATGCTGAGTACAGACCCTCCAAATGTAGGTCACTAGACTGAATGTCAACACCCAATTACCCATTAATCATCTGCATTTTCCGTCTTCATATAAAAGAAGAAGGAAAACTGTTTGCTCTTCACACATTTGTAGGATTGTTCCATTTTTTAAGGGCTGTTCTGTCTTTTTTTTTCCCCTCTCCTCAGCCACTATCGGAATTTCTCATCCTGACATAGTGGTGGAGACAAACACGCTATCCAGTGTCCCTCCTCCAGACATCACATACACTCTGTCTATCCCTGAGTCAACTATTAACAATGGCTCGCTGTCTGCTCTGCAATTAGAGGCCATCATCTACGCTTGCCAGGTACTCTTTGAGCTCACAGGCACATTTTGATGTCGGGACCCCATGAATAATGAATATTGTTTGATTGCGCAGGCATATTTTTCTTATGCGTTTTCTCCATGTGCTCCTTCAGCAACACGAGGTTATCCTTCAGAACAACCAGAGGGCAGGCTTCCTGATCGGAGATGGCGCAGGGGTCGGAAAGGGACGCACCGTGGCAGGAATCATCCTGGAGAACTACCTTAAGGGAAGGAAGAAATCGCTATGGTACGAGAGCTCGACTAGGACTAGCCTTAAACCTTACTCACAACAATATTATCATTCGGTTTCAATCATTTATATGTTTTGTTTTTCATCCACTTGCATTCCATGGTATATTGAGCATGTACCGGCTCGTTTGGGTAGAGGCCCTCTGAATGGTTGTCTTTCCTGTTCCTGCCCTCAGGTTCAGCATATCCAATGACCTGAAATTCGATGCAGAGAGAGATCTCAAAGACATAGATGCACAGATTATTCCTGTGCATGCCTTAAACAAGGTGAGTCCAGACGGAGTGAAGCGTGACCGTATAAAAACGACACAAGCTATTTTTGTCAAGTTCTTACATGTTTAATAAATAACACTGTCTTTCTGTTACTGTAGATAAAGTATGGAGACACAGCTACCTCAGAAGGAGTCCTGTTTGCAACGTACTCTGCCCTTATCGGAGAGAGTCAGGCAGGAGGGCAGCACCGGACAAGAATTAAACAGATTCTCGATTGGTGCAAGCCAGACTTTGACGGCGTTGTATCCTTTTCACTTCCGCTCCACATGTCCAAAACATTTTCTGACTCTAACATTGTGGCGCTTGCAAGTACGCTTGCATTTTTGTTTTTTCCCTTGACCATTCCCCATTACAGATTATTTTTGACGAATGCCACAAAGCCAAGAATGCTACTTCCACAAAGATGGGCAAGGCAGTGCTTGACCTGCAAAACAAGCTGCCACGGGCCAGAGTGGTATATGCCAGTGCCACAGGTAGGCGGGCACACAAACACAAAAAAAACACACTTATAGGTGTTACAACAAACAACCCAGGACTAAAATGTGTTGTCATCTCTGCCCCAGGTGCCTCTGAGCCAAAGAACATGATCTATATGAGCCGCCTGGGAATCTGGGGTGAGGGCACACCCTTCAGAACCTTTGAAGACTTCCTGCACGCCATCGAGAAAAGGTTCGTAAGGCCACACCCTGCGGAATTCCACTTGGTAGCATTTTATTATCCAAGCTGCACGACGTGGATAAAACCTTCAAACCGAAGGAAGATACCTGTCTGTCAGCTCGCGGTATACCTTGTGGGCCATGATTGCCTTACATTGAATTATTTATCTGCTATTTATATACAGAGGTGTTGGTGCCATGGAGATTGTTGCCATGGACATGAAAGTGAGCGGGATGTACATTGCCAGACAGTTGAGCTTCTCAGGGGTATCTTTCCGCATTGAGGAGATTGGACTGGACAGTGACTTCAAACTGGTTTATAACAAGGCTGCCAAACTGGTAAGCATGAGGGTTCCTACACAATTGGAATTTCCATACCCTACTTTTTAGAATTATTTTTGGACACACCTACTTTTCTATTTTAGATCTGTGGGAAAAATCTGGAAACATAAATATTTTTCCATACTTTATTTTTCATTTTCCACAATTTTTAAGACCTGGAAACCGATCAAATTACTTCCATACTTTTCCATACTTGCGTAGGAACCCTACATACATCTCAAGAGTTCAGGACTGAAACGTTTTGTGTGTCTTCTTTGAGCATGCTACTCTACATTGACTAACCACACGCGATAATGTGTTTCCAGTGGGCTGAGGCTTTACAGGTGTTCATGCGTGCGGCTGATGAACTGGGCCTGGTTAGCAGGAAGTCTCTGTGGGGGCAGTTCTGGTCGTCTCATCAGCGCTTCTTCAAATACCTCTGTATCGCTGCCAAGGTCCGTTGCCTGGTGGAGTTGGCCAAAAAAGAGCTGGAGGCCGGAAAGGTCAGCACAGCACTCTAAACACTGATACACTTTTAATGACCAAGAGGAAGATCTGAACAGGATCTGAAGTCTGAGTAGGAGCAGCTGTAAATGTTGTTAGTTTTATCATTCAAGGAAGTTTATTTAATAGTGAACTCGTCGGCTCATCAGTTGTATTTTTTTTAGTTGGTATTGTCAGGGAAGAGTCCATGATAGGCTCGACTTAAGATACCACAACAGACAAGTGTTGACACGTGTTTAACTCTCTCCAACAGTGCATTGTGATCGGCCTGCAGTCTACAGGAGAGTCTCGCACCAGAGAGGTCCTGGACGAGAATGACGGGCATCTAGACAGATTTGTGTCCGCAGCAGAGTGAGTTTAAAGGAAAACCATGGTAGTTTTGTTTGAAAGAGCGTGAGCTAAAATGACAAACTTTCTTGTCCACGTTTCAATTGAGTCGAAATAGCTCAATGCGTGGGAAGCAGTTTCCTTTTGCTGGTGGCCAAAGCGGCCTGTGAGCTATTTCCATTCCATTTTGTGGCTTCAACAACTAAGTAATGACTGTCTAATATTAAAGCAAACTCATCATCACTAAACTAAAAAGACAATCACCTAAATAAGAATCCAGGACATGTAGATCAAATGGTCAGCATTAATCCTTCATTAAACTCCAAGAATTTACTGGTTAGCTGTGATTTAATCGACAAAGTACGTACAAGAAAAAACATCAAGAAAGGTAGGATACAGATGCTCAGTGGAACGAACTTGTCTGACCTTAGACGTCACACAGCAGACATGCCTAAGTGTCTGAGTAGAGCAAATCATACATGTTCATCTACCTGTCAGCACCTGACAGCTATAATGAGTCTAAATCAGACATGTTAGGATTGTGTTACAGCCATCACAGCTCTGTCCTCTATGTCGTCCTCATGGCTAAGATTTTTCTCTGTTTCTTGTCTGTTTTTCTTTCTTCAGGGGAGTTTTTCAGTCTCTTGTTACGAAACATTTCCCATCGGAGAAACAGAGGCGAGAAAAGGCGCCGGGTAACAAGAGAAAACGTAAGTTAAAAGGATGTGATTAATGTAGCATGCCAGCGTATCTACCTTCACTAACAATAGAACAAGGTTGAGTGTCCAGCTGGCTTGTTCGGTGTTTCACTTCAAGTCTAATCTTGCCTTTTACTGTTATTTTTATTTGTTGTTTTTACTATTGCCTTTTACTGTGTGCACTTTGAGGTCTGTTTTCTCAGATGTAAAGTGCAATATAAATAAAATGTATTATTGTTATTATTATCCTTTTTTCCAAATGAATGCTTTTTGTTTGTATGTTGTCTGGCATTTCTCGTACCCTCCTTTTTTTTGTCTGCAAAGATGTAGAAGTGCTCTCAGATTGTATTTATTGTCTGTCAAGCTAATATCATGTTCTGGTTCACAATCAGGGAAGCCCAGAGGTCGACAGCCAAAGGTACCTAAGCACACCGTGGACAGCGGCGGCGTAATCAACATCAGCGACGACAGCAGCAGTGAGTCTGATGGGATGGACACAGACTCCAACTCCTCTCCGGATTCACTGCTAGACAATGACGACGTCATCTTTGTGAACCACACTAGTTGCCAGACAGGTATGAAAAAAACAGTTGGAGTGACGCTTTGCCAGATTTGCTCACTGTTATCTTATCCTTCACTCATTGGTTGGCCCAAATACCTTTTAATTATCAGGTCCATTTTCCTGGTTAATATTCCCTCTGCTTCTCTCTTACAGCCAGGATAGAGGAAATGAAGCAGGGCCTCCTCAACAAAATATCTGTGCTGGGAAAAGAACTACCTCTCAACACTTTGGACGAGCTCATTGATAAGTTCGGAGGACCAGATAAAGTCTCAGAGGTATCATAAACCTACCACTCTTTCTTCAAAACTCTTCAGCCATAGCTATCTTCTGAAATGAAACGGCACAGCTGGGTGTCAAAGCCCTCACCAGTGTTTTTTTTTTGTGTTTTAGATGACTGGTCGTAAGGGCCGTGTGGTTCGGCGTCCTGACGGCAGCGTCCGATATGAATCCCGAGCTGAGCAGGGTCTAACCATCGACCACATTAACATTAAGGAGAAAGATCGCTTCATGGGAGGAGAAAAGGTCAGTTGCGCTTGTCAAAAAGATAGACCGTATGAAACACTATCCCTGTCTAGAAAAAAAACTCCTGTTGGTGAACCTTGTCGAATAAAATCCCCGCTCATTCGCCAAACCTTTTTGTTCCAGTTGGTGGCCATTATCTCCGAAGCAGCCAGCTCTGGGATTTCCCTTCAGGCAGACAAGCGAGTGAAAAACCAGAGACGAAGGGTCCACATGACCTTAGAGCTGCCTTGGAGTGCAGACAGAGCTATTCAGCAATTTGGTAAGTCGAGGGGACTGTCCTCTTTATAATGAGCCATTCAAAGGTAATGCTGAGTCAGTTCTAGAGAGCAGAACTGTAACCCTCATAAATACATCAGTTCTCTATTACTGGCTGTTTTCTGTTTATGCCTTCGACAGAGGCAGAAAGCTCGGGTCAAAAGGTAACAGGAATGTTAAAGAGGACTCTGTTGAGCTGTAGGGCCTCAGAGGTCAGGGTAGGTTCACTGCACAGAGTTTTATCTCTCATTCATGTATCTTGAGCCAAGAATAACCAAGTAAGGACAAGTATTTCCTTGTTCCACTTATACTGTACTAGTAATATGGGGTTATAGTTGGCTCCAGTCACTCTTCACGTTGTACTTAAAACATTAAACTTTAGCTTTTGAACAGTTGTTTGTTTGTTTTTTTTCTATTTACTATAGTAGTTACAGGAAAAGATCACTTAATCTGTTCAGGGGATTTCTTCAAATTACTTCCGTCTGGTTAGATATCTGACAGAAACACCACAAACATATTTACTTTCTCAAAACAAGGTACAGGCTGTAGAGATTTTACAGAGTATTAAACAAATCACACTGAGACAAGTTTGATTGTATGAGCGCATATTGAATTCTGTTCTTTGTCTTTCCAGGTCGAACCCATCGGTCCAATCAGGTGACAGCGCCGGAGTACATCTTCCTTATTTCAGAGTTGGCTGGGGAGAGACGTTTTGCCTCTATTGTGGCTAAAAGGCTCGAGAGTCTGGTGAGTAGCAAACTCTTAGAGTTGTGTTAAAGTGTGTGTGAGTTTTATACTTTTTATTTTTATTTTTACCTCCCACCTGCTCTGTTTCCCCACAAACTGAGTCAAATCTGTCTTGTGAGAAAGTAATACTACTCATCGTGTTTGATAGAGAGTGAGCAGACTTGTTCCACTGCAGGCAAAGGGGAAAGGGAAGGGGGTTTTGTTTATTGATCATGGTGCTCTGGCTTGCCAAAAACTCTACCATTTGCTTCCTCACCCTGCTCTTACCTTCTGTCCTTCCTGTTTGCCGGGGTATTCCCCAGACTAGAAGCTCTCTTTTATGCTTGAAGCTACATCAACTTGTCTCAAGGGATTCTGGGCCTTTCCCTTCTCCAGCTTAACAACGGAAAACTGAATAGGGCAGAAAAGGCGAAAGAGCTCGGTCTGGATAACTTATGAGCCTATGTTTATTTTCCATGATTATCGATGCATTTCAGAGTTTGCAGCCATTCATTTCCACAGTGACACAGTGTGAGGGTTCTTTTGGGAAAAGGGCAAAGAGTGTGCAATGGGACACCAGTTACAGGAAGTTGCTCTTGTGTTTGCCAGCATAGTTTGGTAAATCTGCTGCAGGAATAGGTCACTTCTCATCTGGGCACCCGCTCAAACCCAATATAACACAAAAGACAACCCCCTTGCTGGCGACTCAGCCACCTCTGCTCTTGTCATCTATGTTTTCTTCTCGACTTAAACTACTGAATACTTTTGCATTTGGCTGACTCCAGATCAGTCATGAATATCATTTGGATATGCTTTTGTTTTGTTACGCCTTTGTCTGTGTGGGCTTAGCAAGTTGCTGCCTCAGGAGTTTGCTGGTGACTTAACCATGTTTTCCAGTTTTCTTTACTGCTGTACACTTACCTCAAACTATAAAAGTCTGGAAGATTCTCACATATAGGCGTTAAAATAAGTTAAATATAAGTATTATATTTTTTAAGCTGTTCTCTGTGGAATAACCAACTGATATCTTAAAGACATTGTTGACCTTTCAAACAAGAAACTGCTCCTGTCAAAATCAGTGCAAAGGAATATTACTCCAGGGTCAGATAAAGTTTTATGCCTTATTTTAAATGTGAAATTGATTTGTAGTTTTCCAACCGCCCAAAACACTCTTTTGCAGCTACTCACAGTAAATAGCAACAAAAAGTCTAAACAAACAGTGTCTTCTAGAGCAGTGGTTCTCAAGTCCAGTCCTCGAGGCCCACTGTCCTGCATGTTTTGGATGTTTCCCTGTTCCAACACACCTGATTCAAATGATCAGCTCGTTATCAAGCTCTGTAATGGCTTAATAACGAGCTAATCATTTGAATCAGGTGTGTTGGAGCAGGGAAACATCCAAAACATGCAGTACAGTGGGCCTCGAGGACTGGACTTGAGAACCACTGCTCTAGAGGAAAGAAACTCATCTTTCTTGATGATTAATTCCATGAGTGCAGTTGTTAGTTTTTAATTTTTGTAAAAGAAAATGCATCAGAGGGTTAATTTAAAACAGCCTTGATAGCAGATTCAACGGCCCTCCTAGGGGCTGGAACCACCATCTTGGTTGTTTACAAAAAGACTGAAGCCACACTCGTGTTGTCGTCTCATAGGTCCTGCCGCATTACTAAATAAAGGACTGATTGGTCTGGGATATCTGAAACCAAGGGAATAGTTTAGAGTAGCATGGGGTTCATAAGAGTTAATATTAGCTGGCTGATTGGTGTGACGAATTCAGGCGAGTAGGAAACCATCAATATTGACTTTCTCCAGTCTACAGATCCTTGAACCTATGACTTTATCACCAGGAACTACCGGGATGTGTTCTTGTTGTCAGTCCCAAGAGTCAGGACTGATCTGGGAAAAATGTGTTTGTATTTGCTGCCCCTTTTACTTGTAACAAACTTCAGAAAAGTCAAAAACTCAAAGACCTGGAGGCGGACTCAACTGTCTGCAGATGTCCCCTCTAAATATCCATGGGGCTTAGCAATTGCGTGGGTGTGTAATGTTTTAGTGATCGACAAATGTTTTGATTTTTTACCTCATGTTTCTATATTATGGATGGCTGTAACTGTCTCTGTAACTGTGCTGCTGCCTGTCTTGGCAAGGACAGAGAGTTTTCATCTTAATGTGTTTTTTTCCTGGTTAAATAAAAAATAATTGTACTCGGCATGCAACTATAGTAGCTGGGATCATACTGCCAATTCGCAGGTTAAGATACGATTGACTGTAGCAGAGTAAAGCAGTGAAGAACAGCATTAGTCATTAATCAGAGGATTAGAGGTTACCACGATGAACCACCATAAGGTTGTAGTAACCGTATTCTTAATCTTACAGTAACCAAATCTTTTTTATTTATTATGAGTTATGGAGTGAGTTTGACGGCTTGTTTGAGGGCTAAACAGTGACATCAGCCTGGATGATAATGGTGTAACATGATGATCAGCAGCAAAGGCATTAACATCATGTAACTGTGTTTGTCCGTATTACTGTGATGATGGTCTGAAAGCCATAGACACAATACGACTCACAACTAATAATAACCCTGATGCTGATTCACTTGGCAGGGTGCATTAACACATGGTGACAGGAGAGCCACAGAATCCAGAGACCTGAGCAAGTACAACTTTGAGAACAAGGTAGGCCAACTGAAAAACAGCTAAATCATCTGACATTATACTCCTGCTTCATGTTTACATGTTTTTTCTGAAGGGATCTCTCTGAATTAGTGGTAACTTTGTTTGTTGATGAATAAAACCCTCTCTGAGAACTCGTCAGTTACAGTTTTATCCTTTTTTCTTTTTTTCAGTATGGTACCAAGGCTCTCGATAAGATCACCAAAGCAATCCTGGGCCACATAGAAAACAAAGTGCCCCCTCCCAAAGGCTACCCAGGGGGTGAAATCATGTTCTTTAGAGGTTTGTGGTTTACTGTAATTTGTAAACAAATGTAACTTCAACTGCTTACTATGAGTTCTTTGTAATCACCAACATCACTTTCTTTTTTCCAGACATGAAACTTGGAATGATGGATGTCGGCATCTTTTGCAGGGAGTCCCGTTTTGGGATCAGTATTGAGAAAGGTAAAGTTTTGAAGAAGCATACAAGCATTTTTTCCTGATAGTAAACTAATAGAAAAAAGAAATTCTCAGTAGCTCTATTCCTGACATGTGTTCTGTTTTTACCCCAGACTGCAGCATTACCAAGTTCTTGAACCGCATCCTGGGCCTGGAGGTGCACAAGCAGAACTATCTGTTCCAGTACTTCACCGACAACTTTGACTACCTGATCGAGAAGGATAAGAAGGAGGGCAAATACGACATGGGTATCCTCGGTACGGACACCCAGTAGATTTCACAGAGCATGTTTAGTAAAACAAAGTGAAAATGTACGGTAGCCGAAAACACAAACAAAGCTTTTAGACTCTGTGATAAAGAAAACACAAACACAGAGAGTATCTGCTGCTCCGTTTTCATCATCTATCAGTATGCCTTAGACTGGTTACTAGTCTTCTCTCGATGACCATTTTAACCTCTTGTCATTTCCTGTGTCTGACAGACCTGGCCCCGGGTAACGATGAGATCTACGAGGAAAAACAGGAAACATTCCTGACTGTTGGAAACCCTCAGGATGGACAGGTGGTTCTGTATAAGGTAAGAACTGCACCACTCAGTGTCAACCATGTCGGACAAATGTGTAGACCTAGTTTTCAGGAAGTCTAATTAACAAAAAGGGTAAAATAAACCCCCAACAGATCACCAGTACCATGGAAACACATGGATCTGTGTGTAGATATACAGTTAGGTAAGCTCTGGGTCTGTAGCTGATGAACAGGGACTGATCTTAAAGCATTACCTGTAACCAGCATGTGACTGTATGATCCTGTTATTGAAGGAACACCATGTTGTTGCCTGCCAAGAGGTGCTAAGCATTAGAAGACACATGCTGACTGAAACATTGTTTTGGTTTTTCTGTTTCTTTTTGTTAAGCCTAGTAGGATTTATAGACACACAGCAAACCAGTTTAGCAGTCTTCACAAATGAGGCCTGAAATACCAGTGTCTATGAATTCATCTAAGATTGTTCACTGTATAGTTTTACACACACACAGACCTGCACAGGCTGCTCCGCTAAAGGTAACTTCACGAGCTTCTTCTGTGCTTAGTTTTGATTGATGTCACTTTGCCAGAGGTAAGACTGTGATCACGCAGTCTTAGCCCGCAGGCCGAGGAGCCTCTGTAGACTCTTGTGGGAGGTGGGAACAGGATAATTACTGGTGTCTTCTGCTTTTAGCTGTTGGCTGCAGGCTAACCTACATTTGACATTTCAAACTTGGCAACAGGGGCAGAATGCTGCACAGCTAGGACCAGTTTAGCAAGTATCAGGAGGGAGAGTGTGTGTGTATGTCGTGTGCATGACTGTGCGACGCAATGAGTTGATTTCACTTAATCTGTACACCTATGTGACTGAGCTGTTTAGGATATATGAATACGCCATGACACTGTCTTGACTCTCTGACCTTTTGTGCCCCCTGTAGATCAGTGTAGACAGAGGTATGCCCTGGGACGAGGCTTACAACAGGTCCCTGCAGCTAAGCGGTCCCGATGAGGGATTCTACCTATCCCAGAAGGTGAGTTTAGGCTATGAAGAAACTTGCATCTGTCAAGTTTATGATTTTATGTAGACCTCAAAACTGCAATTAATAAGATGGAGAAGTTCCTATAGCAGATCAAATCATTCACTCTGTATGTTGCGTCTCTACAGCTGCGAGGTAATCACCCGTGTGTGCTGCTAGCCGAGCAAGGACGGGGAAAGAACCTCATCGTCTACAAGCCCAATATCGGCAAGCAGACCCACCCTGAGAGCCTGGACAACCTGCAGCAACGTTACCGCAAGGTAATAAGATAGAATATCTCTTGATAGGTTAATTTAGGACAGATTTTTTTAATGGTTGGGTTTTTTATGGTGAAAATTACATTTCCTGATGCTGGGAGAAGTTTGATAAAAGACAAAATGAGACATTTTCAGGATCTACCTGAACTGCATTTGCAGTCTGAAGCATACATTATATGTGTGTGTGATGCCCCCATGTGGTCGTAGAGGAGTACTGAGCTGGAAGATGTTTTATATATGACATTTACAATGTGACAGTATTTATTACAGACTGCAAAACATATAATCAAACACATTTCCTTTATATTTGAATCATGTATATAAGGGAAACATGTCCCCGAACATAAACAAACCCTGACACAGAAATTGTTCATTTTATGTTCCTGTTGACTGGTTTTGTAGTCACGTACTTTTGAAATCTACATTATAAAATTAATTTATTTAGATATAAATATGACTCAATCAAACCTATTGTAGCTGTTAAAGATCACTTTTCTCAATGTTGTGTTTTGAAAACTGTGCATGGCTACGTATCAAACTGCAGATATGATGTTTTCTCCGCTGATTTCACTCCCGTTCATTTCCCGTTCCAGGTGACTCCAGAGGAAGCAAAGGACAGCTGGGACAACCAGTTCACTTTCTCCTTTAAGAAGTGTAGCCATGCCAACTGGTAAGTACGAATCCACAACATCCCTTGGGATTAATGGCTAAATGCATCCAGTCAGGCTGGTACTTCTTAGGGTGGTTTTAAGGCCAGATGCCATTCCCAAGGATTTGCAGATCACCTGAGAACTAGTCATGAAGTAATAACCTACAAATCTCACACATACCTTCGTCACCAAAAGACCTGTTAGGAAAATGCTTAGAAGGAGAGGTTGTTGAGTGTTCCCTCAACCAGCTAGTTTCTCAGTAAGAAGACTCTTATTGTGGTTTTTGGTTGTGTGCATCAAAATCTGAGTTTGTCTTTTCTGTCCTTCCTCCAGGAATGGAAAGTGTAAGAAAATCGAGGAAGGACAAGAGTGTCTCCAGGGCATGCGCCTTCGTCAGTACCACATGTTGTGTGGCGCACTGTTGCGTGTGTGGAAGCGCGTATCTGATGTTGTGTCTGACATCACCAGCTCCAGCATCCTGCAGATTGTCCGCTTAAAAACCAAGCAGCATAACAAGCAAGTCGGTGAGTACACCCATCAGGCTTTAGTGACGTAACACACATTTTAATGACCGAGTTTTCAACGGCTGCTCAGACTACACGCAGTCAAAGCACAGGTCGAATAGTAAAATGTGACGCTGTTACAGTGATGAGACTTCTTTATGAGAAAGTTAAGAGTTGAAACTGTTGTTTGTTTGTTTTTTATATATATGTATATATATATATATTTCTACTAAACTTCTGAGCGTACATATACCAAACAAAATGTATGAATTGCTTGAACCAGAAACACAAATCATTTTGCAATTCAGATCGATCACCATAAAACTACTGTGTTTTTCAGGCGATAAGGCGCATCGAATTATACGGCGCACTGTAAATTTACGTGTCTTTGTTCACACATGAGGAGCACCGGATTGTAAGGCGCATTAAGCACTGTTTGGTTTATTGTTGCTAGCGCATACTCCGGGCCCGGGCTGCCGTACAGTCTTATTCAGGTAGTGCCACAGCGTACCGTAATGCTCCGAATATCATATATAACATTGAGCGCAGCGGCTTAGTTGCTAACCAAAGTTGTACTTGCACATTTTGACAGATTTTTGAGCGCGTTGTACCATGTGAAATTGGTCGTCAGTAAGCACAAGTAATTATACATAAGGCGCGCTGGATTATAAGGCGCACTGTCATTTATGAGCAAATTTAAGGATTTTAAGTGCATTTTTTAGTGCCAAAAATACAGTAAGTGTGTCTCATCTCCCATCCCCTGTGAATAACTTACAAATTTAGAAGTAGAATAAAATAAATATTAACACTGGCACATTAAGAAGATCCGTTTTTAGATATTTGCTCATTCTTAGAAACATATACAGACTGTTTTATGCCTGTTATGTCTGTGTCACTGACAGTTTCTTCTTCACTCTCAGGTATCAAGATCCCGGAGAACTGCGTGGCTCGAGTGCGTGAAGAGCTGATGCTGATGGACGAGGAGGTGAAGAAGAGGCGAAAGGAGAGGGAGCAGCAGGCTAGAGAGCAACAACTGGCTGAGGAGCACAGGCTAAAAATGGAACTGGGGAACAAGCACCTCCTCGCGAATCTGTTCAGCCAGAAACCCATGCCCAACCAGTCTCTGGCTCAGTCCCTTGCCCAGAAACTGAACCAAAATGTTCTGCAAAGGACACAAAGCCACCAGCTGCAGAGAATACATCCCCAACCCCAGTCCACTTTACAGCAGCCCTCCCAGACCTCGAACCTGCTGTCCCTACAGAGGAGTCTAAACCAAACCCAGCAGAGATCCCATAACAGCTGGCCCAAAGGTTCCACCACCACCAACCAGGGTCCTCTGCCCAACATGGTCAGCCTCAGCTCACAGTTTTACCGCCAGTCCTCCTTTTTACCTCCTTTCTCACAGCTGAAGAACCCGACTCTTCCACTCCATAAGAATACACTGCCTCCTAAGGTGTCTTCCAAGAATCCCCTCGATGAGATCCTGGACCTGACTGTGAGTTCACCTTCCCACTCCCCAGACACCACAGACGGTGGGCTGAACCTGGACAGTCTGACGAGACACTCTGCTGTATTTGAAGATGATTTTAATCTGGAGTCTCTGATCTCTCAGAGTGCGTCGAACGCCCAGCACACTGCACAATTACAAACGCCTCTTTTGCTGCAACAACAACAACAACAACAACCGCAGCAGCAGCAGCAGCAACTTTTGCAAGCAACACAGCAGCAGAACCACAGCCTACTGTCCAACAACCACCACCAAGACTTGTTTGATATGTTAGATTTGCCCCTGTCTCCCCAGATGCCCACACAGAAAGCCAGCCCTTCATCCTCTACCTCCTCCGCCTCCTCCACTTCCTCTGCCTCTTCTGTGTCAAACAACCTGGTCCCTCACACCTCAGCCGGCCTCCTTCCGTCATCCACCCTCCTCGCCACATCACCTTCCTCGTCCCTCTTCTCGAGCCCGTCCTCGTCCTCCTCTCTATTCTCTAACTCTTCCTCTCACTTCTCCTCCCCTTACCTACTCCCCCAGTCAGACTCGATTTCTTTACCCAACGGCCACTGCAGTTCAGCCGCTCTCGACGTCCGTGAGGCCCTGAACAGCATGCTACAGGCCGGGCCGGACCGCAAGTCCGTCATCCAGTACCGGCAACAGGACTGAAACACCAACGACTTTGTCTGGACTTTCTCTAGGATTATTTCGATTTGTCTTTGAAAGCAGATTGTCTTGTTTGCTGCTGTCTATGATTGCACCCTCGGACCTACTCCCCCCTCTCCCCTCAGGGCCTATAGTCACGTCACTGCCTGTCCTGCGCTCGGCTCACCCCCCCCCCCCCCCCCCCCCCCTCTCTCTCTCTCCACCTGTAGTGTTCACCGGCTCGAGGCGGTAGAGGTGATAGCGGGCTTGATCAATGTCAGATTTCTGCACCAAAGCGTGTCCTCCACAGTGAAAAGGCAGCTGTTAAAACAACATGGAAAAAAAAAGACATGTGTTCCGTGTATCAAATAATCGAACATTCGAGCTGTCAAAACAAGCGCTCATTCATCGGGGTGTGGTAATCGTTGATAAAAACCTCCCGCTGCTGATTAGACGAGGTATAGGTGAAGTTGCTGGAAGCTCTAAATGCCTTTCACTATTTGAAAACCATGTCTTTAGACTTTTGCTTTACTGTTACTTCGCTTCATGGCCATCTGTCTTGACTAAAACAAGGCTGTATGCAAGGCTTAATTTGAGAGTGATAGTGTTGAACTGGAAGAAGAGATAAAACAAAACTTTTTGGCTGATGAAGCCGCGAAATGCCTCAGTTTTCATTCTTTCTTCTAAATGCTCCCTCTTGTTTCTCTCCCAGCTCGTATGAACACTAGTGTGAGGAAAAAGGGAGAGGAAGAGAAGTCTGCTGTTGCAAACAGTGCCTTTGGAGAAATCTATAAATGCAGTCTTTAAAAATCCATGTAGCCTAATGTATAGATTTGTACTCTTTAGCATTGGTTATAATTTAAATATGGTATATTTGTATTTAACTTTTTGCCCCCTCAGTGAGTTTGTCGTCGTTGTTGTTGTCGTTGTTCGGCTGCGCTGGAGGTGGGTTTCAGGAAGAAGCCTCCGTTCGGCGTGTGTGTGCTTGTACGACTGTCTGAGTTGCTGCTTTAAAAACAGAGGCGGCAGATGCTTCGTGTGTCCTGTCCCTGCTTTCCTGTTGATAAAGAGTGGTTATGGCGCAGTTCACTGATCGGCATCCATAAAAGTTGTGTCCAAAAATTTTATCTCTCGTTTTTATATATAAAGCTGACAATAACTTGTATAGATGTGACTCCTGGTATGATTTGATTTTGAATTTCTCAGGAAAGTCTCAAGTGCGTTGTCGTCTTTCTGTGTGATTTTGACCAATACAGATTTGAAATTTGTTCAAAGCGTTCAACCACAGTGAATGACGGAAGAATTTCAAGTTTTAATCGTCCTGAATTCTGACTAGAACATCCTGTTTTTCACTTTAGTGTGAGCGGTAAAATCTGAGACAAACTTTTCATTTTGTGTTTCCATTTCAGGCATCAAGGCTTTAAAACCTTTGAAACGTGTCGACTTGTATTTGTTCACTGTGTAAAATAGTTCACCTTTTGAAAAACCTGTGAGGTCGGCCATCTTTGTGTGAAAAAGATGCACTGGTGTTAGTTTATATCAAAATGCCGGGACACATTCAAGTGATTAAAAAGCAATAAAAACCAGATTCTACATTTGTTAAGATACTTAAATGCATAAGTACTGTTTACGCTCAACAGGCAAAGCTTTGTGGTTACCTTTGCATGGTATAAACCTTCTTTTCTGTTGTGCTTCATAGTCCTTTAGATAAACAGATCCTTTAAGCATACATTTGTATAGTAAGTTTCACAAGATGAACACAATGCATTCTTGATGTTTTAGTCATTGTTATTATAAAATTTATTGTTATTTATATTTAAGGGATATTTAGATTTAAGATATGTTATCCTGCTTTTTAGAGTAGTTCAAATATTTGGTCAGGGAAGTTTCTAGTTTTCAAGATTACTATAAGACAAATTTTATTATAACCTGCCACCAAATAAGATTGCACTGTTCTGTACTGCTGCACAGTGTCCGGATTTCTTTCTGCTCACTTCAGTTTTGCATTTTCTCAAGTAGACTTCTTTCTCTAACTTGTAGATCTTTGTCAGGCCTCCGGTTTGCAGAGATATACCAAAGTGTTCCACAGACGTCGCAAAAGTTATGACTCTAAGATATCAGAACTTTTATCAATCTCAGGAAGAAACCAACAAGAGGTGTAAAGGCGGGGCATACGCAGAATTAATAAATTTCCCCTTTTAGCAGTGGTGAAACTAACCAATACATGTGCTATTTTTCTTATCCCTGTGCTGTGACTCTTGCTGTATTTATGTTCTAGACTAAATGTGATGGATTTGTTGTTTGTCCTCGTGAAAATGTCGGTGATTTTAATGTTTATGCCTTCTTAGGGCAAATTTCAAAGGCTGTTTCGTTTAAAGGAGCATGATTTTTCTGCTGACAGTTTCATTTTCATTTGTGTTGCAGATGACATTAAAACCCGTTTGAAGCTGACATATATATGAGTCAATTTGCACTTGGATTATTCTGAAGTGTGCAACTGATCTGTCCAAGCCTCTACCCCTCCCTCAGTGTAACAGATGTTTAGATGTAGACTTACTTTCTGGCCACATATTCAGATTCTTCCTGCTCCTTTTATTGACTGCATTTCTTCCTTTTTTTTTTCCCCCTCATACCCTCAAAAACTGCTTTAATATTCCAAATCGGGCACATTCCATCACATCAGTCTGCAAAAGATTTACTTTTGATTTTGTGTTTTATAATCTCACTTTTAAGCTTTATGCATTTGAGGGTATGGATCCCATGTTTAGAAAAAAAAACAAAAAAAAAAAACAGGCTTTTGTAAGAATCCTTTATTAGCGTAGTTATTAGCCTCTCATCAGTTTATTATCATTTTGCACTAAGAATGGCATAATCAAGTTACTGTTCTCTTGTTGGATATGATTGAGCATTGCAAGTTTGTTGTGTTTCTGATCTTTGATGGATAGTTCTGTGTAAACTGTAACCATTTCTCTTGTTTCTCCACCGTTTGCATATTATATGTTATCAATGTTATCACTCTCAAATAATTTATTGTAACAAAAATGAAACAAAAAACATGCTACTGATTGTATGTATTTTTAAACAAAGCCTATTTTTTCTGTAAAAAAAAAAAAAAGGAACTGTGTTCAGCACTTTTATTCTGGGTTGTGCTTTTGTTTTCTATATATTTATAATTTAGATCCAAATGTATATATTGTAAAATTTGTGCCTTCGACTAATTCTTTAAAAAGGTTTTCTACTCATTTAAGGAAGGACTATATGAAAATGCAATCTTAACTTTGTAAACAAATAAAAACTTGAGGATTGCAGAAACTGGGTGTTTTCTTCGTCTGTGTCATCACAGCTTGTGTGATATCACAAATGGACTGAAACATGTCAGCTAAAGTTCATATGAGGAAGGAAAAATATTAAAACAAGAAAAAGAAGGAACTACTTTACTTCCTATCTCATTGATTAGATTAAGTTATCTAACAATATCGTATATAGCTGTCTATGTGACACTGTTCTACCAGTAGGGAGCTTTAGATTCATTGAACAAGAGCACAAAACAAGCAAAGTTAGATTGATCTCAGAGCTGGTGAATTCTAGACCGCTGTTCCTTCACACAGACCCACAGTCAGTGAAAGCATGTAAAAAATGTATAGGGAAGAGTGGGGTAAGTTGAGCCACCCTCTGTTTCTTGGAAATTATAAAAGAAATTGATCCTGTGACCAAATATTGAGGAGATGGGCATCAATTCATGGAGTCTGTGAAGGTTAGAAGCACATGGGTGAAGGGGTTAGAGATTTATTTACAACAAAAACAAGTTTCACTCTTGAAAGTGAATTTAGTCTGTCATAAGTTTTATTAAAATTGTGTTCAGACAAAATGAAAAAGACTTTAAATTTGTTTTATACATCAATTGTGGTATCTATGAGCTACAACATGAGGTCAAAAACTTAGCATAAAAGTCCACCATTTTAGTTTAGAGGACTAATAAAGTCATCATAGTAGTTCTGGGGTAAGTAGAACCAGTGGCTCAACTGAGAAAGTAAAGGAGTCTGATGAGAGGATGAGCGTTTCAGTTCAGATTGTTGAAATGTGTTACTTTTTCTTTTCAAAAATACAGCTGTGAATGTTCTGAACCACTTAAAGACATTATCATGTTAAAATGGCAAAACAGCTTTTTAGCAGTTATATGTAATAACAATAAAAAGAATAATTCTACCAGTTGAATAGCCCATAATGGATAAAAATACACATGAATGTGAAAAAGTGACTGTTATTCAGGGAGAGAGAAGGTGAGGGAGGACTAGGGTGGAGAGTGGGGGGGTTGTAGGGATACACCTGAACTTACCCCATACACAGGGTAAGTTGAACATAGGAGACCACTATTTTGGCATGTTATATTTTCAAGACAGTTCTGTTTACACTCATTCTGTTGGTTTGCAGGGATGCACAACATTTAGAAATATATGCAGATACACTAGTTAGAGACAAAACTATGATCATCTTGATGTAGTGATCCGAAATATGAAAAATGTCTCATCTCACCCCACTCTCCCCTACAGTTAAAACAGATATTTTGGAAGGTGGGGCCTGAGATTTGAAGAAGAAGCCACACTTTCTCTGGTAGCCTCAAATAAACTTAATTTATTTAATTTGGGGAATTTGTAGCCTACTGTTCTTTCAAAGCTAAACACGGTAAAATTTGTCATGGGTCTAAATATGAACTTGAACATTAACACAGCATACACATACCAGACAACACACAAGACAAGGCAGTTAAATTTTATAGGTTGGCCTATAAAAGAGTGACAGAGTCAACCAAAACCTGACAACAGATAGCTCGGCTATGAGCCAGCTTCCTTCCAGTTACGCTGCACTAGCGTGATGACGTCGTGAAACTTACCTGCACGTCGCCCCGTTGACACCCCCCAACGCCTCTTTACCTGTTTCAGGAAGATTTGGGAGAAAGTTTCGAACCACTGGAATAGTCGAGCCAAGCCGGTGAGAGATTAAAGAAGCTCTCGACCGCGAGTCTCCAAACTTGGACGAATCTTCTAGAAGCGACGGACGAACAGAACAAACGCACAGATTGGCTCTAAACTTCTCAGGTACGTCACCTTTACTGCTGCTGCTGCTGCTGCTGCTGTCAAAGGTCTCTTGGCACTCAGGTGAGGCATGGCTGTCAGACCACATTACCGGGTAATATAGGAAGTGAGGCGCCCAACAAGGGGACTCAGTAATGTAATAAATCTGATTTTAAGGTTTAAACTTTTGTTTTCATCTCGAATGTCGTCAAAGTAACTTCTCAGGCGCTCGCGTTCACTTGTAGCATGTAGCTCGCGGGTATTAAAGCTGTTTACCCGATTCATAGCCCGATTAAATATTCCCTTTATTTGAATCGGCTGTGGACAAAGACAGGCCTCATGTGGGTGTTTGGTGTCATTATGGGGTGAGGTTGTGAAATAAAACACGCAGTGGTCCATGGCTCATGAAGTTACTTCTCTTCTGAGTTTATTGGAAGTCTTTGTGTGTGTATATGATGGGTGGTTGGTGACTGTCAGCTGTAAGCCTCAACATCCTCACCTTACTGGTTCTGCCACACATGCAGGTTTCTACCTGCCTGATAGAAGCTTTCACAATAGTTTCGACTCTGCATTCCCAAACAGCGTCTCTCTGCCTGCCCCTCTCCTCCAATCACTGTATTTACTGATAAACGGTGTAATGGTGGTGGGGCCCTGCGTCCACTCTAAGGGCCTGTTCCTGGAAAGTACCCTCTGACATACAAGGTATTCGATTTAATCCCTACCACAAACAGCTCTCATGAGTGAAGGTGAAGGTTTTTACTTCAACCACATTTATCAAACGACCCTCAAGTGTTTATTTTGGTGATAAAACTTAAAAATATTGTTTAAGGACTACAAACTTAATGCCACATCAATATTGAAGAATGCCAAACTATGCCCCCCCAAAAAGCAGCTACATATAGGAGAGAGTGGGGTAAGTTGAGCCACCCCCTGTTGCTTGGAAATGGTAAAAGAAATTGATCATGTGACCAAATAGTTAGGAGATGGGCATCAATTCAAGGAGTCTGTGAGGGTTAGAAGCACATGGGTGAAGGGGTTAGACATTTAAAGTGAATTCAGTCTGTCATAAGTTTTATCAGAATTGTGTTCAGACCAAAAAAGATAATTTAAAATTTGTTTTATACATCAATTGTGGTATCTATGAGCTACAACATAAGGTCAAAAACTAATAAAGGCATAATAGTATTTCTGGGGTAAGTTGAGTCCGTGGCTCAACTGAGAAAGTAAAGGAGTCTGATGAGAGGATCAGAGTTTCAGTTCAGATTGTTGAAATGTTTTACTTTTTCTTTTCAAAAATACAGCTGTGAATGTCCTGAATCACTTACAGACATTCTCATGTTAAAATGGCAAAACAGCTTTTTAGCAGTTATATACAATGACAATAAAAAGAATTATTGTACCAGTTGAATAGTGTATAATAGATAAAAGTACTCATAAATGTGAAGAAGTGACTGTTATTTAGGGAGAGAGAAGGTGAGTGAGGGCTGGGGTGGAGAGTATGGGGGGTGGTAGGGAATACGGCTCAACTTACCCCGCTCCTGTGGTCAACTTACCCCATACACAGGGTACATTTACCATAGGAGCCCTTTTTTTTTGGCCTGCTATATTATCTTGACAGTTATGTTTGCACTCATTCTGTTCTTGAAATATATGCAGAAATGCTAGTTAGAGACAAAACTATGATTGCCCTCATGTAGTGATTTGAAATATGAAAAATGCTCATCTTACCCCACTCTCCCCTAAACTTCATGGAATAGGGGATAGATATTTCAATGTAATGTCTCCAAAGTGTCCAAGGCTCAAGACCTCGGCCATTACTGCTCCCAAAGATTGATGTTATTGTGCACTTTTATTGTATTTCATATTAAACTCTTATCGGTTTCATCCAATATAAAAAGCACCACATACTGTTTTCAAATGCTCTCTAGATTTTCTTTTGTTAATACTCTGATTAAAATGTTTTCACTTTTGGTTCTAAATTGTTCAAGAAATCAATCTCTGGATGAGTTCACCCTAAAATGAGCATTTGCGGTATTTAAACACCATAAAGAGTCCATGCCAGGACTAAGTGTGTCATGAGTGGAGGCTTCACAGCTCTGGCCCGTGCAATTACAGCCACTGAGGGCTCTGAAAACCTCTGGAGTGTTAATAAGCCTGCTCATTTCTCATTAAAATTTAACTACTGCGTGTTGAAGTTCATTCAAGGCTTTAAATCTGTCTAACTCGCATTACTGCAGTAGCTTTCTAGCAATGTTTGGAACTCCAGTGATGTGTTGCCTGTATTCATCGTGAAACTTCAACTTGAGCTCTCTGCGTACCTGAAGGCGCTGCAGAGTTGATCATTTGCATGTGGATAAGCCAACAGTAGAGACCTTTGACGAAAATGAAAGGAATCGAGCGGGTCACTCTAAACAGACTCAAGTCCTGACACATGAATGAGTGATTGTTTACCTTTAAGAGGAGGCACACCTTCATTTCATGTTTGTTTTAGTAACAGTAGTGGTTGCCGACGGTCTCCTTTTTTTTTTTTGTCAGACTTATTAATAATTCAGCTTTGGTGATCTGGCTGACTGGAGGCCAGCTGTTACACCCGACCAATCAGAGGATCTCACGTTAGATCTGTAGCTGCTGCCAAATGAATACAGACAAGATGAGTAAAGAAACAACCTCTAGCTGAGGATCTGATACCTCTATTATTCACCCTCTGTAGACCTTTTCAAATACATTAGAGATATAGTTGTGCCTTTTGTGCATCATCCTCCGAAACAGGTCAGATACAAGTTAATCAGTCCGATCAACAGAAGCAAACAGCAGCTTTCAAAGTTAACCACCACAGAGAGATACAATCAAAGCTCTGTGTCGCCGCAGTGCCATCACCTGATCTGAAACCTGTGGTGGAACCCAGGAAACTTTACTCAGGGCCAGCAGACCTACGGTGTCACAAACACCCTGTCAATTATTAACAGCCCATTGCACTCATTCCTTGGAGGTAACCATGGCAGCCAGCAGACTGAAACCCAGCCAACAGCCTGGGATCTGCGGCTCTCACTTTGTGGGAAAGACGACAAGTTAACAGGACACACACATACCAGGGACGGTGGGAGCAAGTGGACCTCTAAGACTTTATGAATCTGTTTCAGGAGGAATAATGGAGGATACAGATCCATGTTCTCAAGCTCTGGACGTGGCTTATAACGCGAAAGCATAGGAATGTCATCTTGTCACCCTTTTAATTTTTCTACATTTCAGACTGAGTTCGTTGGAGTACCTCTGGATTGTTTTTCTTTCGAGATGTGCATCAGAGAAACAGACAACGAAGTCATATCTGGAGTTTTTGTGTTTCTTTATTAGTTAGAACAAAGCGGCCTGAGTTAGTAAGCAGGTGTTTTTGACACAAGACGGCGTCTCTCTCTCTCTCTTTCTCTCTCTCTGTGAGTCATCATGAATTTGACACAGAGAATGAAACTACTGAAGCACTTTGGCTCTTTGCCCCCGGAGCCTCCCCCACCACTGCTGGTGGTGCCTGTAAGTGGACCGATTAGACAGTTGTAACAACTTCTAAACTGGTAGCCAGGGCTGCATGTGTTGTTAAACTTCATGTTGTGCATCTTAATTCATGGGCAGTTGACTTTACCAGTTATAGTTTCTGCAGCAGTGATCACAATGATGCTGTAATTTTCAAGATTCTTTGGAAACTCGTCACCACAAGTGCATGTTTTCTGATCAAGCTTTACCTGAGCTCTGAAGTTAAAGTTTAAATTTTTGTTAAGACTCTGAGGAAATGATCATTAATTCAGAAAGCTGCCAGTTTATACCTGAATGACCAAATCCCCTCTGGTGATGTGACGTGCTTCTGTTTCATATCACTCTTAAACAGTGGTTCTTAAGTCCAGTCCTAGAGGCCCACTGTCCTGCATGTTTTGGATGTGTCCCTGCTCCAACACACCTGATTCAAATAATCAGCTCGTTATCAAGCCATTCCAGAGCTTGATAACGAGCTGATCATTTGAATCAGGTGTGTTGGAGCAGGGAAATATTCAGTTGAATATTAGTATAACAGAAATTTTAGATATAATATGTTTAAAAACTACAGTAACATTTAATCTCCCAGCTTATCATTCTATGATTGATACATATCATAAACTATAAAATAATTCAAGTAGATTAGTCTTTTTTGATTGTTATGCTACCGATCTGTCAGTGTCTGTTTTATGTGTAATGTGTTCTACTGCAGATTTGAGTGAGAGAGAGAAATCTGATAACTTTTTATCACAGTTTTGTTCTTAGTTGAACAGATTTCTACATTAGTTAATAAGTTTGAAAAGAAGGTAAGAAAACATTGCATAAATTAGCCTGGCATTTCAAAAATCTTCATCTTCTATTTGTGGACTAGACTTGGGATCTGCAGATCTTCCATCCGTGTAGGAAGATACCGGGAGCTAAAAAAAAACTTCATAACTTTTTTAAAGGCTTATTTACCAACACTCATTCAAAGCACCTTGAACCGACCAATATTGATACTGGACTCCATGCCTCTGTCATTGTATGGCAGTCTAAGGAAGGGGTTTGAGGCTTTTCAGCTCCACCTTAAATCTAGTTTATAGAGGGCCACTAGGGACTGTGAGAGTGGGCAAAGGCTGAGTGGGGGAGGAGCGCCCCAGGTGAGGTCTCTCCTGGATGTTTGCTCTCTTCTCTCTCTCTCTAAAGAAAGAAACACTACAGCTGGTGATTTACAAATCACATGTGAAAGAAATCATGTCTGTGCTGGACGGCTGCAGTCATCTGGAGTTGGATTCGTGATCGTTTAGCTTTGGCTGTTGGCAAATGAATTTAAAGATCAAGCGGCTCATCGAGCACAGGAGGCCGCAGGTGTTTTGTTCAGCTCAGAGATCCCAGAGGGAAATGGAAGTAAGGTTCAAAGACCAAGCGGTGAGTGGAGACGGAAGAATATGAAGCGATGATGGGCTTATAGTTTACTGATGCTTAAAAAGCACAAATAATGTTTCTGTTGAAAATTAAAAGGACAAATTCTGCGAAATGTTTCTTCAAGCTGGAAAGATGTGAACATAAGTGGAGTTACGAACATAGAGATTTTTTGTTGTTTTTGTTCAGCAGGCTAAATCTTAATTCAGTCAACATCTGATTTCTGCGGTGAAAAATTCTATTTCTGTGTTCCAAAAAATGAGATGTATTCAGAAATTTCTCCTGACCGAGAACTCGTGATATATCATTCGTGACTTCTTTGATTAGAAGCCTATCAACATTGACAGTCATCTGCATGACTATGACCTACATCCAGAGTTAATGTGTTACAGAGACTCTCAGTGCGCTGTGATTGAGCAGATGAGCTACAGTTATGTAGTTTCTCCCTGGTTTTCTTTTGTGTGGTTTCGTGTGGCTAGGCAGCTTATCAATGGGAGCAAGAATTACTCTCAGCTGTTTGGTTTTGTTTACTGACTGGTTTGCATGGATTGTCTGTCTTTTGCTTTGCTCACAGGAGCTCGTACATACATTACGGCTGTAATGAACTCCACGAAAAGCACAAGCCGCCACATGTTAAGAGCACAGCAACATTTGAGAGTGAAAAAAAGCTTTGTATGTAATTCAGAAATGTACAGCAAGGTTTAAGCAGAGTTATCAGATCAGGTTAATGTTTAACCTGCTTAGACAAATGTTCTACTGTTCACAGGTCAAACATTGTACACCTGTACTGAGCATTAGTTACACCAGCAGGTTAAAGATCTGTGTAGTGGGTTTGTGTGACATTTCCCACCATGCTAATTAGTGTTTTCTCTTCAATCAGTTAAGGCTTGATGTTTTTTTATTTATTAAAGTTTAGGTCAAATGGATTCATGTTTATTCTTGCAAAGTTTGTATGTGTGCCACGTCAGATATTTCCCTTAAGTTGTAAAAGTTATCCATGTTGCACAACAACTTCTGTTGTCACCTCCTCGTACTCATGTGACCTGCATTTGAACGTAACCTTCTGTATAGTTGCAGCAGTCCTTGTTTGTTTTGGTGCTTATTACATTGTTGAAACACAATTTTACAATAAGGTGTTGAATCTATGAAATCTATAACTTTGGAGAAACCAGCTCAGCTAGATTTTTGCGTCTTACCTGTGACTGCACACTTCTTTGACATCCTACTTAAACAGATGGCCTGACTGAGTACAGGCCGAAGTCAACCACAAAAAGCAATTTTCAATGCACTCAAACATTTATTAATTTGTGCATTTATAATGTATCAAAACATTTAAAGTAATGCTTGATTTTGGGGTGTAAATAGAATTATCAAAAAATTAAGCAAAATTTGCTTCTGGAAAAGGTTTACCCTTGTTTATAAGAGCGCTTTATGAAAATTGAGGAGAATTTTGAGGCTGGAGCTTCAGTTTTTTATAGAGTACATAACCCTAAAAGTAACATAGAATTATCACGCAACTTTTGAACGAATTCAAGGTTTTAAAAAAGTTCCTTATGTCCGAGTCTTTCTGCTTTTCTAATCCCTAGACTGCAACAAAACCCATCTGTGTCTCAGTCTAGATTTAAACTTTTTCTGTTCTCCCTGTAACTCAGCAGGTGTCTCCCTCCTCTATCAAATACAGGCTATGGACAACCTACACATTGTTTTTGTTTGGAAGTAAGAGCCTAAATGTAAAACAAATATGATCACATGTCAGGGCAGCCAGAAAACCTCTGTCGTTTTATGCATCAAACTTAAACTAAAAATTTGCTTGAAACCTTTTTTTCTTTCACATAATCACTTCACTATCTCTCTTTTTACACCAATACACCCAAAATGTGTGTGATTATCAAGTCTAACTTCTACTAAATGTTAAGACGAGTTAGTAACCTCTGTGTATTGACAGAAATGGCAGATGACTCTTGCCTCTTGGAAGATCTAAAAGTTTGACAATTTGTCCCTTACTGTGAATAAACATACAACAAAGAAGTGGCCCAACTGTCTACAAATGCTCTACAATTTCACCAGCCTCAAGGGCCGACAGATTTGACTGACTGTGTTTACAGAGAGACAAACCAAGATGTGTGTTGTGTTGTGTAGGAGGGATATAATGAGTCTGTGTTACTGGAAGTAGAAACATGTCAGTCTCAGGCACGGCGTTGAATAGTCTTTTAATCAGTAAGCATTCATCAGGAAACATAATGAACAAGGGTCTGATTGTTAAAGCCACCTCTATGTCTGTCGTGTTTGTCAGTATGTTTAACATTTCAAGATTTGGACTGTGAGATTTCAACATTTCAATTTGTCCCCTTTAACTAATTGGACAACCCAAAAATACACTTTTCCAGTTAATCAATACTGAATTAAAAGCCACTGTTATGTACAGTGTTGTTTTCTAAGTATTCTCTCTGAACCACCTCGGGTGTAACGCGCTGTCAACACCACAGGGACCAAAGAACGTAGCCCCTCCTCCATACCGGTCAGGCAGGATCGAGGCAGGTGAGAGCATGCTGAGATCAGGTTGAGTCGTACACACACTCTTCCTCCTTGGCCAAGGCTCTCAACTGTTCTCACTGTAATAACTTGGATTATCAAAGATTGATCATTGAAGGTTTGGTTTTATCTGATGAGCTAATCTTGAGCTTTTCTTACTTTCTAGAAACCAGGTATGGAGGAGCTGACAATATGGGAGCAACATACAATAACACTGAGCAAAGTAAGTGACGATCACATGATCTAGGAGTGACAGCACATACACACTCCATGCTCTATGATTGTATATCTATAATGTTTTGAAGTGGGTTGGATTTGGGAGTGGAGTCTAGATCCACGGCACAGAGGAAGCAGTTTCAGTGTGACTACTGTGGGTATTGTAGAGACTTTGCGGGGGTTGAGCTGGACCATGCTTTAGACCTCTCAGTTTCACAGCTCACACTACACCTGGAATTCACTGCGACACACCCTGCTGCACCCCACAGCACCAGCTGCCACTCCATTATCCTGCCTCAGACTAAACGCAGCTGGAATGTGCACTATCTCTCTCCTGTATCTCCCACAAATACTTCACTGGCTTACTCTCCAGCATTCTTTCTTTTCATTCATGTAGCGTCTGTCATTTTCTACCTTTCCGGTGAAGCACTTTAAAAGAAAAAATCTCACTTTCTAATGATGGCAGGATTCAAAAGTGGGGTTTGGCTTCGCCATATCAGGAGGAAAAGACAAGCCTCACCCGGACAGTGGGGATACGACAGTGGTGGTATCAGATGTGCTGCCAAATGGACCCGCCATGGGACGACTGTTGTGAGTTAAATTTTAACACCGTGTACTAAGATTTGACTTTTAAAATCAAAAACATACAATATTCTATCGAACATCTCACTTCGAAGGCTTGTAGACCTACAAACAGTCTGGTTCACATGTGTTTGCTTCTGCTCTACAGCAACAAAGACCAAATAGTGATGGTCAATGGTGTGTCCATGGAAAACGTCCACTCTAACTTCACCATTCAGACCCTCAAGTCATGTGGCAGGACGGCAAACATAGTGAGTGTGGAGAAAGCTCCAACCAAAAACCTCAAAGACTTCTGATCTGTGACGATCACCCCGGTCTTTAATCTGGTTCTCACCATCTTCCTCTTTGTAGACAGTGAAACGCCCCCGCAAGATTCAGATCCCAGCAACCTCCAGACCGTCGCGGGCCGCCTCTCATTCTAACCTGCTGGACCCAGATCCCCCCAGACGAACACGACGCTACTCTGATGGCAGCGACAACAGAGACTCCAGCCGCTACCGTGCCCGCAGCGCCTCGCCTAACCGTAACGGTTATGGAAACACACTACCGCTGGTGTCATCAGGCTACAAGAGGCTCCCATATCAGGACGTTCCAGAACATCCCATCAGGACTACACTGGTGAAGAAGAAAATCACAGATGGTAAGACTTCAGAACTCTCAGTTTAATCACCCAAAGTGCTCTGAATGGGAGTGCTGATTTCTGTCTGGATTCTTGTTCCCCGTCTCTCTGAAGAGTATGGATTGAAGCTGGGCAGTCAGATCTTTATCAAGCACATGACAGACTCAGGCCTGGCTGCAAAAGAAGGAACACTGCAGGAGGGAGACCTCATTCTCAAGGTAAAAACAAACATTAGGTAGATAGTTCTTATAAGTGAAAATCCTAAACTAGCAAAATTGACTACCTCATTTCAAGTTGTATGATCTCTTTCCTGTGACCAGATTAATGGCATGACAACAGAGAACCTGTCACTGCTAGAGACCAAGCACCTGGTGGAGAAGAGCAGGGGCAAGCTGACTATGACGGTCCTCAGGGACGACCGTAAGTTTCTGGTCAGCATTCCTGAAGTGGAGGACAGCGCCCCCAACAGTGACAATGACCGCCGCCGAGACAGCAGCTCTGAGCTAGAAGGTGAGGAAGGGGAAGGGAGAGAGAGAGAGAAAAGCTTTAGTTATAAAATGTGGGCTAAGGTAAGGAAGAGTAAAACAATAAAGCAGTCAGTCTATGATGAAGTTTTCTGTTGATTGAGTCACTGATAAAGTTTTTGTTTCCCCTCAGACATTTCAGACATTGACCTCCCAGCTCACCGAACACCCCGTCATGCCACCAGAGAAAAACGGACACGCAGGTAACTAAAGATATACCGCATTAAGGAGCTCAAAAAGGACTTGTTGTTGTTGTGAGGAGTATTTCTTACACTGGTATTTTTTGGGTGGAGATTTAAAAATGCAAAACTTGTCTCACGACTGACATGCCTGTTTCATTTTGCTAATTAAACTGCCTTCAGATTTCTCTCAGTCACACAGGGTCATTTTCTTTAATAGGTAGTTATTATTAGCTTATTATTTTTACCTTTTGTTTGACACACTAAGGCTAGCTATTATTTGGTGTTTATTCAGAGCAAACAAACACGTATTTAATGCAATAACAGCAAAATCCTTTTCTATATCAGTTTGTGCTCTACAGGGTCAGTTTTAAAATGTTCATCGCTCAGTTAAATAGTAAACATATACTTAAAGAAGGAACTTGTCGTTGATTTCACTTCAGAACCAGAGCTGAACCTCCACCACCAAAGTCTCGGGATGCATCGCCGGTGCGCTCCACCCTGCCTCGTCCTTCTGCAAGAACCTACGCCTCTCGCAGAGGTCAGTCCTGTCCGTAATGTGTTCCCCACAAACAAGTTGACACTGATAGTGGCAGCTTTAAATGCTGGTCAACAACCATTTTAAAAATACAAAATTTGTGAAAATGCTCAAGTTTTAATGCTGATTGTTGTTTCTGCAGCTCCATCTGAGTCCGAGTCAGACCACAGCGTCTCTCCTCCAATCAGGAGAGCCAGTCCAGATGTGAGAGACTCCAGCAAATACAAGTCAGTTCAATTTTATTACTGCTTGACTGACAAAAAGTCGATGTATATGTTCATGTGCATAGTTTGTTTTGATTTTAAATTTACAGATCACTGAACATGAAATCTGAAGTAGATACAGTTATAGGATTGTTTTAGATATAAAGTAATATCTTGCTTACAAGCGTCTTAACATCATAAATACAAGGAAAATCACTCATTTGCATTCATACCAGAGTGATTGCTTTATATCACCTTGGCAAACTTCTAAAAACTTCTTCACTACCGTTTTATACCATGTGTTAAAAGAGTTAAAGCACTAAAGTCAAGCTTTTTTCATATTTACGTTACAAGGTGTGATATTTATGTCAATTTTATATAAATAAACATTTCAATGTTAGAGGCTTGACCAAGGGGTCACACTGCTGTGCCAACATCTGACATTGTAACATGAGATTTACAGAGTTTAGACAGGAAGTGAGGGGGTAGAGCACTCAGGGCAGAACAGCACTGTGTGTGTGTGTGTGTGTGTCACTGCCTATCTGATCTTGTGTGTGTATGGAGCTCTTGATGTTTGTTAACCTTCATGAGCAGAGGGTCCCTTATGAAGGAGCATGCGTTTCGTCTTGTGTGCGTGCAACATAGTCATCTGGCCATATGTATGAATATTCAGACGTATTTGTTCCCCCTTTTAATATGACTTTTAGTCCTTTTTTGATAATTATTATGCTTTCTATCAGTTTACTTTGAGGTGATACCTTGTTAACGTTAAAGTTAGCTCACTCATAAACACAGTTTTATTATTGTTATTATTGTTACAGTACATTTTTCCTGCTCTTATCATGAAAGAGTTAGTTTTGTTTCTCCAGTTATCTAAGAGAGAGCTGGATTCTTGTTTAGAGTACCTTAAAATCTAGGAAGCCATCCCTGTCCTCATCATTGAAGTGCTTGGGTGTTGAGATTAACTTTTTTCTTTTTTCTTTTTTTTCCCAGAAGTCTCTCTGGTGTGTCCACCCTCCCCAATCCCCGCTCATCCCCTGTGGCCCAAAAGTGGACAGCCTCCCGTCCGTCCTCAAATGCATCAAAGCCTCGCAGACCGGTATCAGAGTCAGACTCTGACCGCAGCCCCTCGCCTCCTCCTCCTCCACGCAGAGAGAGCCCCCTCCTAGACGGCAGATACAAGTAAGGAGAAATCTCAATCCAGTGTCTTAGTTTAAAAAAATGAACAAATTATTTCACATTTCAGTAATTTCTAATTGTTTTTTCTTCAACCTTGCCCAACCCTAGAAGTCTTGCTGAACTCCCACCTGCAGTGATAGGAGCTTCCCCCATCACTGTTCGCCAGGAACCACCAAGGAGGGTCAACTCTCCCGTCAGAGTTCCCGTTATAGGTTAGCACACCACACTGTACATGTTATACTCTAACACACAAGAACAACTCTCTTATTTTGTGACAGCCCAGACCGGGGACTTTGTCTAACCTCTCTTGGACAATATTTACTTTAAGTTTCAATGTTTGTTTCTGCACACGTGTCATGTGGCAAACAAAGCCAAGGAGCAAACAGAACAGGTGTTTTGTGCAGGTAACTCGACTTGAGAATGTGTTCATCTAAAATTCATTTGAACTGATCTGTTTTATCAGTAGCAAATAAATGCAAACATTAAAGTGTTAGTTTATCTGAATTGTAAAGACTCGCTCGGTTGAAAAGCATAACACAAGAAAGATTATTAGGAATTTACAGAAAGGAAAAGGCAGATGATAAAACGATGTTTATATAAGTTAGAAAGTCTGTTAGTACTGCTACTCAGCCGTCTATAACGCTGATTTTATGTCATTCACATTATTGAAGTCATGGTTTTTCTGTTTTAGACTCTGATTCAGATCCGGAGATCAGCTTGGCGCCTCCTCAGAGGCAGAGCACCACATACAATCAAGACTCCCTCAGCAGATACAGGTACAGATGAAGGTCCGCCCAACCCCAAAACTACCCCCATCCCCTCCCTGAAACCCATCGAGAGGTCACGGACTGGGACTCTGAGCAGACTGTGCACGCCTCCCCCCTTTTTAAACATGCTCTAATCACATGATATTATTTACTTTTAAATTTAACTTAGCCTCTGTGTCTGGTGATTTTTAATTGATTTGCTTATTTTTATTCCTGAAGTCTTATTTTGTAGTCCATGATTTTGCTTGATTTTTGTTTTTTTTTTGACTGTGTACCAAGTGTTTGTGTTTGTGGTGACATACTGTTAACCAATAAAATAAAAGTGACTTTCACTGAACATGTTCCTCTCCTGTATGTGGCTAAGTGTTGATTAAACAGAGGACACGTATGTTGAAAGACGCTACATTACAATCAAACATCTGCATTAAAGCTAGTTATGGATCAGTTCTTTGAAATCTGCATGTTTTACACAGCATGGTCAAAATCCTTAGAGAGTATAACCGCACAAGGTCACGCAAGACAACTAATCCGACTAAATGGTTAATTTTGATCAGTTACAAAGCAGTTAATCATCAAAGAGAGAGCTTCCCTCAGAGACACCAAGGTGAATATTCAACATTTCAGTCTCATGCCCTCATCAATAATCATCTTATTGGCCACAGGTCCCCCCTCTTCAAACGTAACTGAGATTTGTTGTCTTCCTCCTCCCTCACTCCCGCCTCCCTTTCTTCTCTTGCAGAGTCCTGCAGGATGTTTCCCTGCAACCACAAGTGGAGCCGCCTCGATGGAGAGCTCCCAGCGTCACTGCCAGCAATCCGCCGCAGAAAGGTGTGTGTGCACAGTGGTTAGCTTGACGTGTTGAGTTTTGTTTGACAATAGGCTTTAATGGTTTCGAAGAAGACCCTGGGTTTTTAGAAAGCTCCCTGGCTTGTTTCCTGACTGCACATTTATTAACTATTTTATAATGGTTAACTAGTGAAATACTTGAAAATGATGTGTTGATAAATGAATTGTCCATAACGTCCGGTTCTTTTGACTCACTTTGCAGCTCGTTCAGGATCTGAATCAGAGGCCAGTTATGCATCTGTACCTCGAAGAGAGTCCACAGACAGCACAAACTCCAACCCAGCGGCCAAAACCAGAGTCAAGTAAGATGTGCTGTCAAATCACATTACAATGTATCAGCAGGTTTTTCTCCTCGCAGGGAAGTAAATGATTAAGTCCAGAGACTAAAGATTCGACTGTAGTATTTTGTGCAGAACAAACTCTGTCCATGTTGAAAATAAGAAATATTGAGTTCACCTTTTCCTTATCAGTCCACTGTGTAAATGTGTCAAATATTACTGATAAGAAGTCTGACTGGTTCATCTTCTTTCAAGTTGTCTCATTGTTGAGCGCTCTGTAAACACAGGTGCTCACAGTGAATCTTCCTGTAAGGGTTACATCTCATAATCTTTTAGCTGAACTCCTCACGTCCAAATGTTTTTGTTTAGGGAAAAAAACTTCATCCGACAACTTATGTGGATGCTTGTTGTGTTTGTAGTCATGTCCCACTAAGCAATAGACGGTTATTAGTCATCTAGGTTTATTTTAGACCTAATTTCAACTGTCAAGATTGTGTATATTTCTAGACCAAAATGAGACGTTGCACCTGATTCAAATGATCAGCTCGTTATGAAGCCGCTACAGAGCTTGATAACGAGCTGATCATTTGAATCAGGTGTGTTTTCAGAGCTTGATAACGAGCTGATCATTTGAATCAGGTGTGTTGGAGCAGGGAAACATCCAAAACATGCAGGACAGGGGGCCTTGAGGACTGGACTTGAGAACCACTGATCTAGACTACATTTAAATGTCTATTAGACCTCTTTTAGACCAAAAAATGCTCAGTTGGGGTGCCACAGGATGACATGTTAAACTACATATTTACTGTGTCTTTCTCAGAGTCCTGCCGGTGATAAGACCAACACCCATAGCTGTGAAGCAGGACCCCCCTCGGCGTGCCCCGTCACCCACCAGGCCACCTCCTGATGGTCAGTTTAATCGTAGATGTCACACTCTCACCCTCTCTTCCACTGTGCTGGTCTTTAAAGGGATTCCTCACAACAGTCTGCGCTGTCTTTTTCTCTTTGTCAGATTCCTCAGAGTCGGACCAGCTTTCACATCTCAGGAGGTCTGGGAGCTCCGAGCGAGGGGACAGCCATCGCAGGTAAAAACATCAACAACAATGATTTCAGTATTTAAAACACATGTAGAAACTCTAAGTTGACTCAAATGTATATTAACACGCTTTACCTCTTCTTATCCACAGAGGTCCTCCAGCTGCGAATGGCACCCTCAGGTCAGGGGTTTCAGGAAATAGCAACCCACCGCTCTACAGTAAGGCTCAAGTCTTCAAACTACTTAACAATATTTCAGTTTGATAATTGCTCATCTATTATGACAATTTATTTAAATCACAGATAAACCTAGATATATTTTTAGATGATAGGAAGCCAACTTTGTAATCATCTTTAAGTGGTTTTCAAAATTCTGGTCTGAGTCCATGACTACACCCAGACTCCTGGCTTGGTCAGTCATTTTTAGTCGTAACTTCTGACTCTTAATCTGCCCTGTTTGGCTCCAAAAACAAGCTCCTTAGTTTTATGCTTGTTCAGCTGAAGGATTCACTCCTGATTTTGTTGAAAGAACTTATGACCAAACAGGAGTCTCACTATATTAATGTCTCTTTCAGCCAAGCCTGCTGAGGAGCCCATCTACTCACTGCCTCCAGATTCTTACCCATCACCTACCCCAGGGTGAGTCTTGATCATTTCTGCTGATATCATGTATGTTCATTTGAAGCTTCTCAATTTTTCTTAAAGGTATATTCCGGCCTAAAACTAAGTTAGGGTCAAACACACCGTAACACCAATTTAGACACCCCCTCGAGAGATGAATGTTGCCGACCGCTTACTTCTCTAGTTATACCAACTTTAGTAACAACCACATAATAGCACTATACAGCAGTCTATGGATCGATGCACAAACCTCCAGCAAAAAGTCACTCTAAAGCCACAAATAATGCTCAGAACAGCACCTAACTTCATCAACAGTACATATAGGGTCCTAGCTACATTACTAGCCACCAGACAGCTTTTTAGCTTTGCCTGATTTCTTTAGCAAAGAGACCAAACACAACTCACCTACTCTCTTCCAGCAGCTGCTTGTTTGTAGCGAGACCTCGGGCCAATCTATTACAAACTGCTGTGGGGTGACGCAGCTCAAGGAAGAACATTTATGATCATTTCTTCATGGAAATGCAATCAGACCAAGATCCTAAGGCAGAAGAACTACTGCGTCTGAAGTGCAAAATGATAAATATGATGATTATTACTTAAAGGAAATGATCAAGAAATGATCATAAATAGAGAAGCAAGCAGTCGGCAACATTCATTTCTCCAGGGGTGTCTAACTCGGTGTTACGGTGTGTTTGACCCTAAATTGATTTTACGCCGGTATATCCCTTTAACTCAAAGGAATACATCCTGACCTTTTTCCCTCCTGTTCTTTTTAGGTACAGTTCAGATCTCCACACAGTGAGGTTTGTAAAGGAGGGCAGCATTGGGCTGCGGCTCGTTGGGGGCAACGATGTCGGCATATTTGTGGGCGGAGTCCAACCAAACAGCCCAGCGTATGACGAGGGGATGAAAGAAGGAGATCAGATCATGCAGGTGAGATGATAGTGCTCTGCTTTAGCTTTCAACATCAACCCTGCTTTATTTTCAGCCTTGGAGAAGTAATGATAGTGTTGTTTGAACAGATTATAATCCCATTGTTTAAAGCTAATTATAGGAAACAACTATGAGAGATTTCTCTCTGGCAGTGATTTGAAACTGATCCGAAAAGTCCTCCTTACTTACATTTATGCAACACATAATCTCATTCTGTCTTGCTCAGGTGAATAGAGTCGACTTCGGTCATTTCACTCGAGAAGAGGCTGCCAACTTCCTCCTGAACATCAAGACAGGAGAGCCGGTTGAAATCTCCACTCAGAACAAGATGGACCGTAAGTTCATTTTGAAAGCTCTCCTGTTATTATCAGAGGTACGGTCAATCACTGAATGAGAATTAAAATCATAACTTTGCCTCTCTGTAGTTTATAAGAAGATCATTAAATCCAACCTGGCCGACAACTTCTACGTCCGCACCCACTATGACCACGAGGCAGAGAGCTCCATCGGTTTGAGTTTCACCAGAGGGGAGGTGTTCAGGGTGGTGGACACGATGCACCGCGGGAAGCTGGGCAACTGGCTGGCTGTCCGCATGGGGAATGACCTGCAGGAAATGGATAAAGGCACCATCCCAAACCAGGCCAGGTCAGAACCAGGTGGAACACTGATATGTAGACTATTACTATTTAAACCAAAAAGCACGATTGAGTCTTTTTATGTCAATGTCTTCTGCAGGGCGGAGACATTTGCAAGCATAGAGCAGGCACAGCGGGCCAGCGGGGACAGGCAGGTGTCAGGGCCGAGGGCTGAGTTCTGGAAACTACGGGGGCTCAGAGGGAACAAAAAGAACGAGAAGAACAATCGTCGGAGTCGGGATGACCTGCTGCAGCTCACAATTCAGGGCAAATTCCCGGCCTATGAAAGAGTCCTGCTCAGAGAAGGTTGCTCTTAGCCCACATACATAAATCATATAAAATCACGTCCTAATGCATGTTGAGCTAGTTTAACAGTCCTCATTTGTTTCTGTCTACAGCTAACTTCAAACGACCAATTGTCATCATGGGTCCTCTTAATGATATTGCCATGGAGAAGCTGGTCAAAGAGATGCCTGATGAATATGAAATAGCAGGTTAGTTTCATCCGTATGACTCTGTTTTATCTGATGTCAGTCATGTTTGATATGAGCCAAGACATTTTTCCCCTGATCTAACGCTCAAACGTCATATTTCCTCCGGGGTAGATATGGTTCCTCGCAGTGGAAGCGCAGACAGCGGCTCCACAGTTATCAAACTGGACACAGTGAGGAGAATAGCAGAGAAGGTGAGCCACTGCTTAATCGATGAAGCTTAAAGGGATATTCCGGGGTAAAATTAAGGTAGCATCAAACACACCGTAACACCTCGCCGAGAGATTAATGTTTCCGATGGCTTGCTTCTCTGGTTATACCAACTTTATACCAATGATAAGAATACACAGCAGTCTCAGGAGCCATTAACAAACCTCAACCAAAACACCACTCTATAGCCACAAATAATGCTCAGAACAGCACCTAACTTCATCATCAGTACATATTAGGTCCCAGCTATATTACTTGCCACCAAACATCTTTTTAGCTTTGCCTGATTTCTTAAGCAAAGAGACTAAACACAACTCACCTACTCTCTTCCAGCAGCTGCTTGTTTGTAGCGAGACCTCGGGCCAATCCATTATGGACTGCTGCGGGGTGATGCAGCTCAAGGAAGAACATTTATGATCATTACTTTATCATTTCCTTGCAGTAATAATCTCTATATTAATCATTTTGCACTTCAGACGCAGTAGTTCTTCTGCCTTAGCATCTCAGTCTGATTGCATTCCCATGAAAAAATGATCATAAATGTTCTTCCTTGAGCTGCGAAACTCCGCTGCACACCATGATCAACTCGTCCAAGGTCTCCCTACAAACAAGCGGCTGCTGGAAGAGGGTAGGTGAGTTGTGTTAAGTCTCTTTGCTAAAGAAATCAGGCTAAGCGAAAAAGATGTTTGGTGGCTAGTACTATGGCTGGGACCCTATATGTACTGTTGATGAAGTTAGGTGCTGTTCTGAGCTTTATTTGTGGCAATAGAGTGGCGTTTGGTTGAGGTTTGCACGTGGAGCCATAGACTGCTGTATATTGTTATTGTGCGGTCTTTACTAAAGTTGGTTTAACTAGAGAAGCAAGCAGTCGGCAACATTCATCTCTCAACGGGGTGTCTAACTTCATGTTACGGTGTGTTTGACCCTAACTTAATTTTACGCCAGAATATCCCTTTAATCGTTGATGTTCTTGATTATCCCTCTTAACCTTATTGTTGCTGTTTTTTCCCAGGACAAGCACCCTCTTCTTGACATCACACCCACTGCAGTGGAAAGACTGAACTACATCCAGTATCACCCCATGGTTCTCTTCTTGGACCCTCACAGCCGCAAGGATGTCAAATCCATGAGGCAGAGGTACAACCCCAGCTCTAACAAGAGCTCAAGACGCCTCTACTCCCAGGCCCTCAAACTGAGGAAAGACTGCAGCCACCTTTTCGCAGGTAAACAAAGTATTTGATCGTGTTGTACTGTAATTTAAAGACAATCGACAAGAGAGAAGATGGCTTCTTTTGTTTGTTCCCCTGTTAATTCCTGACAGGTGCATTTTTTGTTCATGAATAAACTTTAATAAACCTTCTACTTCTGACCTCTCCTTCAGCACGTATCGACTTGCAGCCTGGCTCCAGTGCGTGGTATGAGAGTCTTAAAGATAAGATCCGCCACCAGCAGTCAAAACCTGTCTGGGTGTCTGAAGTCACGGTATGACACACATTTTATTTACAACACACACCTGTCTCTTCTTTCCATTTAACCCTTTTCTCTGAAGACTCTTTCAATGGGTTTACATTTTTCAGTTTGATATAAAGAGTTAACGCACAACCTGCATGTTACAGTTTAATGAATTTCTCTTCTTAAACAAGGATGATCCAGTATCTCCCTCTTTCTTGTCCACTTTAGTTGGAAAGTGGTGGAGAACAGGACTTAGACGCTTTTGACCAAACCCAGTCAGACTACCTCAGTGCTGCCAGTGACCTGGAGGACACAGATGGAGAACCTTTTACTGACGGAGAGGCGTACACTGACAATGAGGACCTGGAAGAGGCTTATCCCGGTCAGAGCGCAGCCAGATCCTCCAGAGATTCCAGGCAAGCAGGAGCTGCTTTAGCCCGATCATCTGAGCCCACCTATGGGCACTACAGCCCCGCCGCCATGGACCCTGAGCCTCAAGCAGACAAATACTCCCACAGAGAAATCCCACCCCTGATGCACGTACCTGAGCCCAGATCACTCCGCCGGGAGAACTCCAGCCCACCTCCTGCTGAGGAGGAAGACCCCACTCTGCGAAGTTTCACGGACTCAGATTTCAGCGCTCTGGATATAATTCATCCAACCACTCCATCAGATGGACCCCCAGATTTCATAGCCCCAGACCCCACCACCCGGTACTTGTTAAAGGAGCCAACACATGCTGCTGAGGTGCAGCCTGAGAGCCCACAACATCCCAGCCTGTCCGCTATCGAGGACAAATTACAAGAGGTGAATGAAATGCTGTCTACATTTAAAGTGCTTGTTGTGTTTTAAGTAAACTTGAACTGTTGACCTTAAATCAAGTGTACTGAAAAAGTGAGGTCACAAACTGAACAGCTTTTGAAACATGAAACATTACCTGCCTTCAGCTTCTTATTTTCCAGTTCTTGTAGTTGACTCTGCTTGTCAGATAGAATAAGGTTTTGGATCAGTCTACTTTAGCTTTGGAAAACTGGGATTTATGACTTTCACAACTGTCTGTGAACTTATACACCAAACACCATATTCTAAAATATAAAATTAATCATACACCAGAGGATAACTGCACTTTAAATTACATTGCTGGTGTTTTGTCTTTATCAAACTAACTTGTTCTTGTTTGAATTTTAAAGTCTGTTTTTTTTCTGGCAGTAATTTCAGACAGCTTCACAACTTTACAAAATAAACTCAAGTTGAATTAAGTGTAAATCTTTGAGTACATATCAACTCTATTGGCATTTTTAGAGTGTGTGCACATTTCCTCTTCAAAAGAAACACAAATAGAAACATCAATATAATCCTAAACTCATCATATACATAAAAATCAGAATTATAGTGCTGCATCTTCATAAAACACATCATGAGAACCAGAATGGACAGTTCCTGGCTCTAACCTATCTTGTGCTCTCTTGCAGGCTCGCTCTGCAGAGCCGCAGCCACAGGCGCAAGCTGGGGAAACCAAGGCCCCGCATTTTCTTGTGTAAGTCAGCTTTTGGTTTTTGGACTTTCAGAGTAAAGCCAGGCTGAGGCTCGGGACTCATTTTTAACCTTCTTTGTTTTGCTTTTTAACAGGCTAGCGCATCATCACCAGGCAGTCCAGTTCAGACGCACACAGATCAGAGGCAGCGACAGCTCTGATGACGAGGAGGACGAGATTGAGGACTTTGAATGGGGCCCTGCAACAGAACTTTAGAGTTTGCATTGAAGATCAAAGTTTAAGTTTATTTTTTACAAAGGACATGAACATTAATTCACTCCACTAAGAAACTGATGAATCTAGATCATTTTGTACGTGTTTTGCTACAGAGGCAAACTTTGATAGTTGTCTCCTCAAGGTATGAAACAGTAAAGATCTTCTTTTTACAGATACTTTAAAACTCTGACATGAGAAGAAAAGATCTAAAAACGCTAAGAAAGTGCCTGATTTCTTTTTGTAGATTTAACTATGATCACTGATTATTAAATCAGTCTGGATTTTCTTTCATACTGTAAACAACAACCTGTAAAATATAGTTGTGTCTGAAATATCAATGTACGGTTCTATGCAAGACTGTCAATAAATACATTGCTCTTGAATTTTTTTATATATATTAAACTGTATCCCTGATCCAAATGTGAGTCTATTTTATGATATATAAAGGTTCAAAAGCCAATGCATATCATAAGGGACTTGAGGCATTCAAGGAGCAGGGTCTTTTTATTAGAAAATAAACAAAGAAATATATTTATATGAAGAGTTGAATTTATTCAACTCTTCATATAAATATACAGTGCAGGCCAAAAGTTGTTTTTTGCTACCTTTTTTTCACTATTATTTTTTGTTATCCTATACCTTGGGCCATAACAAGTTCATACTGACCGCCCCCAACTGACCCACTGATTTTCTTGATCTAAACCTCTCTTGCCTCATCGACTTTCTTGACTCGACGACTGAACCCATAGAGGCGACATGTAAACTCTTCAATACATTTTTTGGTCTTTTGGGGTATTCAGAGGGTGATATTTGGCAATAGAATGGTAGTAAACCCCAGATTATTATTCTGGTAGTTTCCCCTGTGTGTTAGGATACACCATGCAAAATTTCAGACTTATTTGACCATTTATACAGCTGCAGCACCCTAATATTTGCAATTACATCATTTCGCCAGAAGCTTTTCCCAAAAATAAGGTTTTTTGGCCCCTGGGGCCAAACGGGGCCGAGTTGGGGGACGGTCAGTATGAACTTGTTATGGCCCAAAGTATAGGATAACAAGAAATAATAGTGAAAAAAAGACAGCAAAAAACAGCGCATGGGGTGTATCTGGCTCCCAACCTATGTGGGCAGAGCAGCTAATACCCACATTAATAAGTCAACCAGTTAACATTAGGTCAGACATCTACCATTCCCAGTTTGTTACATAAACATGAAACTGGAGAATGATAAAAGGAAAAAGAAATATAAGCCTAATACTTTTTCCTCTGAGCCTGAAAGCTTTGCTGGCTGCTCCGATGGACACATTCATAATCTGCTCAGTTATCACTTTGCTCTAAAACTTAAACTTACAAATCAGCTTGTTAGGAACCTGATTTGGGGTGTACATAAACGGAGCATTTAACGTTTTTCCACAAAGGAATATAATTACTAATTGTACAAACCCTTTAACATTTATTAGCGTTTCATGCAAGGTAGACATCCACATGTTTTGACCTCAGACCTGGAAACTTCAGGGTCTTGATGTTCCCCAGTACCACCACTAGATGGTGTGGTAATCTCTTAAAAAACAGGTTCATTTACAGTCAAGAGATTCTCTGGGTTTTGAGGAGTGATTAAATCACTTTGGGTTCTTGTGGATAATTAGAGCCAAATAAGGCGAGTGATCAAATTTACGCTGATTAGGATTGAGTCCCGTGTCTTAAAATTTGATATTCATTATTTTCAGAGTATGGTCATCATTTAGTTTGATGTACCTTTAAGTTTTTTGTCCAGGACAAGATTTTTATAACTTTTAACATACATTCTGATCTGAAAAAATCAACAAGAAGAGGCAGTTATCACTTTCCTTAAGGAATATCCTTTAAAACACCAACACATTTATGTTTTTTACACCTTACTTTTTAAATATTCATTACATACCCACAGCCTAAAGGCATGCTGCACCATTTTTTTAAGTTTTAATCAATTATTTGTTCCTATGGTCGTCCAAAGTGCATATGCTTCAGCATGCAGATGAAGCTCCCTTGAAATCCACTTCGGTGCAGAACTTCCTTTTCGACGTCAGATGTTTGGTGGGACATGTTAATTCATTTCTAATAACTTAATGTTCAGTCATCGAACGACCCTCTTAATATCACTATGTGCTGGTATTTGATTATCTTGAATCTTTTTAGATAAAAAAACATCATAATCGTAACATTTCATAAACACATATTAATATACCCAGCCTACATGGCCCATGAGAGTCCACACAATCTAGAGCCAGAGCACATAACAAGTCAATCTCATAAAACAGAACAAAATAAAACAACATTCACACTCATGTATAAACATCCAATTAAGAGGCTATCACATCTTCTTTTCCAGGTTTCTGGTACAGATTAAGTAAGCCTGAATACATTAAATTTAAACCATCAGTCCAGTTTTGTTCGCCAGAAAGCACCCTGCAGAATTGGACTTCGTTGTCGAGCTCCCCCTGGTGGTTGAAGTGTTGAGAGGCGCTGTATGGACAACAGCTGAATGTTCCACAATAATTAAAAGCCAGGATAAATGACAGTTAAATTCACATTTAGTCCAAAGTTGTTTGTGATTGGATAGTTATTGAGTAAATTATAATGATATATATTAAATATACTTATTCTTATTATTATTATTCTTATTATTATTATTATTATTATTATTATTATTATTATTGTTATTATTGTTGTTGTTGTTGTTGTTGTTGTTGTTGTTATTATTATTATTATTGCTGTTTTTTTTTCTTTGTTTTTTCTTTTCTTCTTGTTCAGCAGACATAAAACATAAACTAGACAATACTTGATTCAACCGTGATTGACTGATGTGTATCATATTTCCGTTCAGCCGCTCACTGTTAACACGTTTGCTTTCTTTTTAAGTTACTACTTTTCCCCCTGAACATTAAGAAAGGTATCTAAGATTCTCATGGCCTATCTGAACTTTTTTGTCATTGGTTGCTCATTTTAGGTGATCTTCAGGTCAAACCTCATTGGTGTATCATAAATTGGATGACCGAAGTGTAGGACCATTGGTTACATTTCTGTAAGTTGCTTATGAGGTTGGGATTAGTCTACACTTTCCTCTCAGGAAAAACCATATGGAGCTGTGTGCTCAACAAATCCAGGTGCTGATGCCAGGAACAGGTGCACGAGGAAGCAGAGGGTTACAGAGAAAAGCTTCCGGACACATTAAGGGTACACACGTGCGTCAGGATGAACTAATTAGGTCTCCCGTGGATCTGAACATGACCAAGTTGTGTCTGCCGTTTGCTTCAAAGTTCATCGCCACTTCACTTTGTTTGTGTTTGAGAGAGAGAGATTTGGTCAATGAAAGTTTGATTTGCATGATGTAGTTTAATGAGCGTTTTTTAAAAAAAGCCAAAGTTCACTCAAGTGTCCCCCTCCCCCCCTCCACCCGTGAGGAAACTGAAGTTGCGCACACCGCACAGAGCGGATGCAGGAGCGCACAGACAGTTTGTGGTGAGCTGTCTATCTCTCTGTCAGTGAGCCTGCGCGGCTCGATGTGTGACAGCGGCAGGAGGAGGAAGACAGACAGACAGTCACCGTGGCTGAAGGTAGGCCTGGATGGCACCCAGATCCCGCTGAGCGCGAGCGGCAAAGCACCTAAGTGGCGAGTTGGGGGGTGGGTGGGGGGGCTGTACGTGAAACTTAAAGAAGTCGGGATGGACGGCAAAGGCACCCTGAAGATGTTCACGAGGAAGAAACGGGAACTGATAAAGACGCCATCCATCTCAAAGAAGAGTCGAGCAGGAAGCCCCGGTCCTCAGAGCTGTACGCCACCCGCAGTGAGTGGTGCATCACTTCTGGTTTCTGCCTGTGCTTTACATTGTGTGTGCGTCTGTGTGTGTGTGTTTGTGTCAGATGAGCTGCAGCTGGAGGGGACAGGCTGCACAAAGGGCTTCGGTCAAGGGTTCGATTGGATGTGGATGTGGGTGTTAGTGGGGAGACGGAGCCTAACTTTTGTCCAGTGTGAGGTTGACTGACTCTGTCTGCAGACTGACTTGGTCATGGTGAAGTTTGAAGACTGCTTTGATCTGAAGCTCTGACTTCTTTAGTGTGTCTATACTACTAAAGCGGTGACAGGTTCAAAAGTGTCTGTGCGCGTGCGTGTGTGTGTGCGCGCGCGCTTGCTTGCTTACTCTTTCATAATCAGTCCCAGGCAGCAGTCGCCTTGGTTAGAATGGGGGACTAAGCTGTAGGTCAAAGGAGCATGCTGAAACGTGGGGCCAAGAGTAGCTACAACCCTTACTCTACGGGTCAGAGAGCTAAGAAAGGGGAGGCAAAAGGCAAGGACAGACTGGACATACTACCCAACAAGCACAGTGTATGGCTCAAGCAGGTATGTTGGATTTTATGTAGATACTACTGATTCTATCGAAAACAAAAGGCAGATATTGTTCATGTTCCTGGAAGTGTTTGAATCAGTGGTAGGTGCTCCGAGGCCTTACAAAAAGGCTCTCGAACATCTAGAAACTTGAACACCCTACCTGTAGAGTAGTGCTACCTTCAATTGTGAGATACTAAACAAAAAGCAGTTTTATTTTTGGGATATTTTTGTCCACTTTTTATCCAGATGAGAAGCTTCTTCAAACTCTAAAATCATCAGCTCTTGTTCCAAACTGTAATTGACATTTCTGTCTTTCTACACCCTGCTCTGTTTGCCACACCCGACATCAGGATGAAGTCAGGAAGTGTTGCCTCACACCACAGAGGATCTTGTGAAAGTCTGCACATGTGTGTTTACCAACAACTGCACTGCTGGGTTGAAGGCCACACTAACAGACAGTCACGTTGGCAGACACAGGGCACTTAGATTGAGGTGGAAGGAATCGTCACGTGATTCTCTGACAACTTTCATCTCTCTCTTTTCTTTCAGCTCTCCATCCTCCAAGAGCAGCCCCGGAAAGATGCAGGCGACAGCACCCTCTCTTCTTCTCCCTCATTTTCTTCCTGTTCAGCTCTTAACCCGTCTTCAACTGGGGTCCAGGACCCTTCCCTCTCTTGCCCAGGTACCCCCAGCGCCCAGCATGCTAAACTGGCAATGTTGCAAGGGGTGGGCTGCCCATCTCCAGTGTCCACCCTGAAGAGACCTACAGCGCTGAGTAGACACGCCAGTGCTGCAGGTCTGTAATTTATTCAACTTTTTCTGTTTATTCAACTTGAATTTAACCAGGATACCACTGATGTTTAAACTCCCTTTGACAAAGTGTCGGCCCTGCAGATAACGCACATAAAAATAATGACATAAAACAATACAACATGGTTAATCTACAAAAGTCAACAGGTCTTAAAAATATTAAAATACACTGCTATTATTTTAGAAAAACAACCAGATACCTCCATTGTTACATTCTTAGTGTTTCTCTGGAGTTTGTTGTCCAATTGCATTTTTTTTATAACTTAAAATATTTATATTTATTTATCAACTTAGGGAGTTGATGAAAGATAAGAAAAATAGTCTTAATATATGTCATCTGTGTACAATGTCCACTCCAAGTTAACCTAGCATGGAAATATAACTGAAAGAAAGGGACAAATACTAAAATTGCATCGTTTTAAAGCTCCTCAATCCCTGTTTCATAAAGTAGAAGGGTCAGAAGTCCCTGTTGTGAATTGATAGCTGCTGATGAAACAAATGGAAAAATCAACAATGATTTCACTTTATGGCAAAAGTCAAGTTTTAACCCTTTACTTCCTACACAGTCATTTTAAATGTCAGTAACCACTAAAAGAGGATCTGTGTCAGAAAAGCTGTTTATAGCATCCTTAGGAAACAGCCAATGTTGACATTTTTCAGAGCAAAAATTCACCATGAGCTAAAAATTTCACTGCCAATAGAAAGCAGGGTGCTGTTTTATATATGTTAGAATAAACAACAGGACTACATCCCTGGCAGATGCACTGTTTCATCCAGAGGGGTCACAGAAATCAGTAAAAACTGAAAAATCCTCACAGGAGCGTTAATTCATTCTAGGTTTGGCGTTAGAAGATTTTTTAAAGGTCATGTCACATGCTTTTTTTTTTCTGATAAACTATTCCCCCAAAAATCTGAAAGTGAGGAATGTAAAAAGAGCGTTTTAACTTAATCAATGAATCATGTCTTGTCAGGGTTCCCACTGCAGTCATGGGTTTTTACTAGAGGCCAGGGGAAAGGGGCCTTGACACCCACTACCCCCTCTGACAGTCCAGAGAGCACAGCCATTGAAGTCGAGGACATCCCGGCCCTGCTGAGGGACGTGGCGCGTTTCGCTGAGGCTGTGGAGAAGCTGAAAGATGTTGTGTTGGCTGAAGGTAAGGACAATACCTGACCGCATTTTGAAACCGTTGATCCTGACTAATTTATGCACCCCTAAAAAAAATTGGGAGCAAAACATGGGGTTCACACTGTAAAGACTGACTCCAGTCGAATCCAAGTGTTTTTGCTTTTACAACGAGCACATCAGACAGTCCTCTACTCAAACTTCCTTGATATGGAGTGAATGATCCCAAAAAGCCTCTGCTTACAAACACCAGGAACAAATATTGCCTCAGATTGATCATGGCTCTTGTCCGTCACGTACATTTATTTTTCTGCCACCTTACAAGTTTCTGTCATGGCTCATGCTCAAAGAGTTTTTATTTACCATTTGTGTGTCTGTCATTGTTTCTTTTCGATGTAAGAAGTAGTTTGCACACAGAACAACGCTATTTACTTTTCACTCCTCCTGTTTGCGTTTCACTCAAGAGCTTACTGAAAGAGGACATGAGCCATCTACCAAAGCTTTTTTGTCAATCTGGGATCAGTCCTGTCTTCCTACATGTGTTTGTTGTGAGTAAGGGAGGAGATTAGGCTGGACCATCTTGTAAAGCAAGCTTCTAAGTGGCTGCGAAGGTCCCTCCTTCAGATGCAGAGCTGTGTTTCCGCTCCGCCCACAGAGCGATGACTCTCATCTCCAGCCGGAAGCTTGTGTCTTGTTGCATCTTTATACCTTCTTCTACTGCGCAATGCAGAAAGGTCTGCGATGGTAGAACACCTGAGAAAACTGCTCTGGTGTTTACTCCACCAGATATGAAAGGGATACATTTCCCCCAAAAAAGCGCTCTTGTGAAGATTTATCGAAAAGTTTTCAGACTGTAAGTTTTGTTTCTGAAGCAGGATTCTGGGGCTCAGATAAGACAAAAGGACCTTTTTGTTTGTGTGTATTTCTGTGGTCTGGTTTTGTTCTGTCATGTCCTCCACCCAGGCCGAGCTTTCTAAACAGGAAGCCATGATGGATAGCCTTTGACAGAAGAGCCTTGTTCACACTTCCTCCTCTGATAGGCCGACTGCATCACTGTGACATGATGGCGCCTCTTCTAAATCAGCAAAATAATCTGAGCATTAGCCTCATCTCCTCCCAAGATCCCATGGCTCCTCTTTTGTTAGCAGTCACTTCATTTCTTTTTAAAACATTTTCATGACATTTGAGGCGGGGTCATTTTGTTTTCCTGAGCCACAGAAAGCAGATGTAGCACAGCACCAGAATTGGTTTCTAATCTTGCAAAACAATAGCACACACCACATCCTTTCTGGCACAATGTTCAGGTCACTCTGTTCTTATTGGCTGCTGCTGCTCAGACACTCTGACACACATCTTCAGACAGACTGTTGGAGGAGGAGGATGATCGGCTGCCCTCTGTCCTCCTCTCAGAGGGGTGTCTGGTTATTTCAATGAAATACGGGGGAGTTGGAGGTTTTAAAAAGAAACACAATACACATCAAAACTAGAAAGTGTGTGTTATGTATGTATGTGAGAGTGTGTGTTTGGAGGAAATGAGGATGTAAACTGCCGGTGTGTCACCAGTGACCTCAAAGCAGAGCAGCAGCCTGACACAATGTACTCTGACCAGACCTGTCAGACACCCTGACATGTCGGTCCATTATCGCTGTCTGCACTCAGACTGTCCCTCTCTCTCTCTCTCTCTCTCTTTTGTCTACATCCGCTCTTCTTGACTGGTAGATACTTTAAAGGGATACTTCAACATTTTCAGCTGTCTCTAAGGCAAGGGTCATGTAAAGAAATGGTGTACTTTACCTTGTCTGAAGTTGAAACCTTTCTTTTCTGAGTCTCAAAGAAAAGCTTTGAGAGTGGGAAAGTCATGTGCTTTGGTCTCCTTTAGATGCCATTTAACAGGGCAAATAGTAACTTCTAACTTTTTTTTAGTAACTTTTAAAAAAAAGGGGGAAAAACAAATAAACTACACCTAGAAAATATTAGATTTCTGCTAACATATCACCCACTACTTGTACTGTATTTATTATTGGTCTTGAACCCTTGAATTTTTTATCTTTGCCATGAAAAAAATGTCAATTGTGATGGGTTCCCTCTCCAAAATAAGACAAAAATACTATTCTCTTTTTAACATGTAACTTCTTTCAATAACACTCAAACCAAACAGTTTGAAGCTTTTTTTGTTTTGTTGTGTAGATGATGGGATAATGCTTGCAAAAATAATTACGGGTGTATTTAATCCTGTTTAGTTATACCTGTAACTTTGTCTCACCTTTCTTTTTGTCGGGTTAATTTCACTTTTTTTATCCTCTTTAGGGAAAGAGAATCAGCGGCCCATGGCCCACGAGTGTTTGGGCGAGGTTCTGCGGGTGCTCCGGCAGGTCATCAACACTTACCCTCTGCTCAACACTGTGGAGATCCTCACTGCTGCTGGCAAGCTTATATCCAAGGTCAAAGGTCAGTCAGGAGGGCAGTATGAGGATAATGTAACGTGTCTCATTTCTAAAACTACCTTTGAATGTCTGATAACTTAGTTCTCACAGTTTATATTGATGATAAACTTCAACATCCTTTGATAGTGAGATTTACTATATTTGTGGTTTAGTGTGACTGCTGTGCAGGTGTGCAGGTTTTTTTTGGGCAGTAGTGTCTTAAAAACCACAACTGAAACTTGAACTCTTGTTTGGTTGTGATTTTTTCAGGTTTCCATTATGAGGCTTGTAATGAGGTGGACAAAATGGACTTTGAGAAGGCGATTGAAACCATCGCAGTTGCTTTTAGCAGCAAGTGAGTATCTGACGCAATAACGGTCTGTCTGATTTTCACACAAACCTTTGAATCCTTAAGTCACCTTCTTCTAAGTCTTACGGGTGTTTGGTTTCGTTTTTACTACAGAGACTTCATCAGAATAATCGTAATGCAGCTGACATTTCATTTTATATGTAACTTGGTCCAACCCCCCAGTTATCTCCTTGACAGTGTGTGTGTCAGCGTGAACAAAGAGGTCTGTTGTTGGGAACAGGAGAGAGAAGTGCAGCGATGGTGACACATTTGCATGAGGCAGAGCTGAAAACAGGAAGTGGTTTTTCTGTGACACAAAACCAAAACTTGACAAAGCTGTTGACTACCTGGCTGCTAAATGAACAGATTAGCAGAAAGCCGAGAGATCATGAAAACGTTCTCTCGATACGTGATTATGAGACGGTGTGACATCAACCAAACTTCAAAATGTCGGCATCCAATCTGTTTTTCCAAAAATGGATGCTTTTGACATGATTGTCTATCTTAATGAAAACATAAGGCACGACGTTCACAGATAACATCTACTGTGGGGAAATATGTGAGTTGTATGTGCAGTTGTATCATATTGCACCAACAGCGTATCACATGCAAGTCTGAGCCGGAGTTTAGACATCTGTCAGAGAGCCTGAGGAGGAAGTGAGCTGGCAGAGTTCAATCTGACATGTCTGTTTCCTCATTCTGTCCTCAATCTTCCTCTCTTCTACTTTTTTTCTGTCATGAACGGAAAAACACCAAGATGGATGCCGCTAAGCCTGTAGTTTAGCAAATGAGTCAACTACGTGACCAAAAGTTTGAGATGTTTTGAAACACTTTTGATTTCAACGTATCCCTCTTCTACCCAAGAGAGTAAAAGACCCAAAGAAGTGCTTGTAGTTTGTGATGTTGACGAAAATCAATATTAACACTTTATATTTGTAATTGTGTGTCTTTAAAAGTGACCACAGCTGTCTGTTTATCATACATGTGTCCACTCAGTCTTTCTTCATACATGAACAATGACAACATTCTTCACGGTCTATTAAAAGCTGATGTAAAAGTGTGTTTTTATTATGTTTCAGTGTGTCTGAACTTCTGATGGGGGAGGTTGACAGCAGCACTTTGCTCTCCCTACTGCCCACTGAGAAAAGCAGGGTGAGTGGACATTTTTAGTCTTTCCTCAATCAACTTCATAGAGCTGGTCTTAGGATTTAGGATTTAGGATTTATTTTGGTATATTATGACCGAAAGGGTGTAGGCAGAGGAATGCTTATGAAGACCTACCTCTTATACCATATATCAAGTACATTATACAGATACACTCTCCGTACAAATATCAACACATAAATATATATATTCACTCTTCAAATCAGATAGAGTAATGAACGTGCTTTACACTTTACATTAATAATTTACAGTAAATCAAAAGACATTCTAGTAAAGTCTCTTAAAGCTTACCAGAGTACTGCATTTTCTAATTTCTACTGGACAGTCGTTCCATATTTTCACCCCTTTTACAGACACACAAAAAAATTTGACATCTATTCGCACTTTTGGCCTCTCAAATAAAACACAGCCTCTCATTAGAGTCCCTTAGTCTAAACAGGTTCTGGACATGTTGCGGTAAGGCTAGATTTTTGGCTTTGCGCATGATTTGTATTGTGATATAATCTACTCGGTCTTTGAATTTTAAAAAATCGTAAGAAATAAATGGGGGATGAGTTGATTCACGGTAATGTTTATTGCAGATGACTCTTATGGCTGGCTTTTGTGAAAGAAATATTGGGTAGTCATCTAAAATCAAGTGTCACGATTCCCTCAGATCCATGCCTCCTCTCATGGCTAGCCTCCATCTTTACGTGTCAGTAATCAAGCTTTTTTTTTGTGCTGTGTAGTCGATAGAGAACTTGTACACTCCCACAGGCCAAGGTGCTGATGGGGGAGCGTTCAGGAGTGACCTACAGGATATGGGTAAGCCACTTGCCTTTTCATTCTGTTTTTATTCTGTTCACATTTGTTTTTCTATTATGAAATTGTTGATTTTCTATGATACTTATGGATGCTGTCACACATTAATGTTATAAAAACAACAGTCTGGTGCTAAGAAGCTGAATAATTTAGACGTCTTTTACATGGACTGTGAAGTGAGCTGAACGCAGCAATGACAGTCAATGTGCTTACAAGGTCTAAGAAACAGGATGTTGGAGTTAACTTCCTGTATATCTTCACACCTCAGTGAATGGGCTGTAAGCAGCAAAATGATTAGTTGCCATAGGGATGAATCGTACTTGTTTATATGTTGACGTGTAGGCAGGGTCGAGGAGGTGGATGTGATGCTCCAGCGCAGCGAAGGAGGGGTGGAGTCTGCTCTGCTCTATGCCAAAACCATTTCCAAATACATGAAGGACCTGGTCTGCTATGTGGAGAAGAGAACGTCACTGGGTACGCCGAAATATCGAAATTTAGTCAGTTATTGTTGTCCATCTACAGAAACGGATGTGATCAAAGTTTTTGTCAGACTTCTCAACTTCAGCACATTGTGACTTTATGAGCTAACTGATAAATCATGGTGATAATTTTTTAACTTTGACAGAGGCTGAATTCTCCAAAGGCCTCCAGAGATTATACCAGTCCTGCAAACACAGCATCACACATGTAAGTCTCATTGTATTTCCCCTCTGAATCTGTTTCTCCCTCTGTACATGGTATCAGATAATAAGAAAATGAAAATACAGATAAGTAACGTATATCTAACTTTTTCTTTTGTGTCATGCTTTCAGCCCCACATGCCCCTCTTCTCCATTTACTCTCTGGCTCTTGAGCAGGACCAGGAGCAGAGTGCTGGGCTGCAGCAGGCCAACAACACCCTACACACCCAGACCTTCATCCAGGTAAACTTGCTTCAGCATGGCTACTTCCTCAGACCTGCAAAGGTCTCAAATGCTGTTTTAAATACCTCTGTACACATTGTTTTCATCACTGTATATGTTTCCGTTCAGCCTCTGATGCAGCGCAAACAGGAGCATGAAAAGAGACGGAAGGAGATCAAGGAATTGTGGATTCGAGCGAGGAGAAAACTGGTACGATTTTGTGTTTTTTTTGTACGTTCTAGCACATGTAGTTGTAAAAATGGTACTGAAAAAGGATTTCTCTTCGCTCAGATGGAATGTGAGGTGAACCTTCGAAAAGCAAAGCAAGCTTACATGGTCCGCTGTGAGGAGTACGACAAGGCCAAAACAGCCGCCTGCAAAGCTGAGGAAGAAGGAGGGGGGTCCACCGCAAAGTCCCTGGAGAAAAAGAAACGAATCGAGGAGGAAGCTCGCAATAAGGTCCTCTATAAAACTGTATCATCTGCATCCTTTACCGAGTCTATCTCACTGTGGAACAAAAATCTGTGTGAAATGGTTGAACAAGATCTTCTTCTCTGCGATGTGTGGATCTGAGGTTTCATAATGATGTTTATCAGACCGACACAGTCTGACGTCTGTTTTATTCACCAATCTAGTTCGAAGCAGTAGAAAATCAGAAAACAGGAAGTTAACTGAAAATCAAGAGATTGTGTGTGTGTGTGTGTGTGTGTACAGGCAGACGAGGCAGAAGCCACCTACCGGACATGTATAGCAGATGCAACCACGCAGCAACTGGAGCTGGAGCACACCAAAGTCACGGTGCTGAGACAAATGCAGGACGTCATCAAACAGAGCGACCAGACCCTGCGCTCGGTCAGAGCAAACACACACACACACACAGATACACACACCTTGGTCTAGAAAGATAATCTCACTAAATCTTAAATGGTTGGATGATGTTCACTATGTCTTCAGTTTCTTAGAAATAGTTTTGGTTTCTTCTTTATCTCCAACATTTAATCTATTTCCGCCAAAACATGTCAAGGTAAAAAGATCACGTCTGAGATAAAGGAAAAAAAGAAAACTAAATCTAACATGGGTTTTTACTGAATGATAAAAAGAGACAATAAAACCTTCCTGACTCTTTTTTTTTTTTCTCCCATTAGGCGACCATCTCATACTACCAGCTCATGCACATGCAGACAGTAGCCTTGCCAGTCCACTACCAGACGCTGTGTGAGAGCAGTAAGCTGTACGATCCGGGCCAGCAGTATGCTGCTCATGTGCGAGACCTACAGCTGCCAGAGCAGCCACAGGTCCAATACCTGTTTGAGAACTACTCTCCCTCCAGCTCATCACAGTAAGAATCTCAGCCATAACCAGAATAATTGAGGTTTAAAATGCCTATTTACTTTTTAGGTGAAGTTTTATCCACAGATTTGTACAAAAGTCGCTCTGGTGTACCAAATGTAAAACTACAGACCGCAGACAGTGGAGATTAATTTCTCACATTAGCGGGTAACTGCGAGTGAATCTCTGTTAACAGGTCATGAAATCTCTGACTCTGAAGTTCATTTAAATGAAATGAAATGAAGTTGATGGCTTCATTCTCGATGAAGACGTCTTCAGGAAGCAGCTGTAACCAGCAAGTGCATATTACCGCACACAACTAATTAAAACCACAACCTGTTGTTTGAAAACTTGATAAACAGAGGCGCTGATGGCCTAGAGGTCCAAGTGCCCTAGTTACAGAGGCTGTGATCTTCTTTGCAGTGGTTGCTGGTTTGATTCCTGACCACAACCCTTCGCTGCATGTCTCCCAAGTTTCCTATCTCTCTTAGGATGTCCTGTCTAATAACGGCAAAAAAAAACTTAAGAATAACCTTTTATACAAACATGTTAATCAGCGAGAGTTTTGGAGGTCTAAGGAGGCAATATGTCGCCTCAGGCCCGAGCCAAGCTAAGCTAACTGACTGCGTGATGTAGCTTTACATTTATGGTTCAAACAAGAGTGATTTCGATGAAGGTCTGCTTGGTTTATTCATGCTGTGCACCATCACTGTTTGTAGCCATGGCCACAGACCAAGGAATGACAGTTTCAACACAGAGCCGTCCAGCCAAACTGACAGTCCTGCCGCCAGTGTGAACACAGCAGCTGGTAACCTCAGAGACGCAGAGGCTCAACGCAAGAGTAAGTGATGCCCACTGCTGCTGTGGATATCAGTGGACTTTAAATACAATGACTTTCCAGACGTTTTTGGACCGTTCTTGCTGCATTCATGTGTGTGATTTTATTTTAGTTGTATATGATCTGACCTGTAACGATTTGAGGGCTCAGAGAATGTTTCCTGTTTAGCTATGTGAAGTATTTGATTTTGTGTCAATGAGCATGTCCCTTTGTAATCTTCAGGGCAGGGCCACAAGTCATGGGGTTCAACAGTCAGCGATGACAGTGTTGGAGGAGAAGGAGGACTCGACTCTCCGACAGCCAGCACAGGTAAGACCAGATTCACAGTGAGACTAACCACCGAGTCTGGACCATATTGAGCGATCTTCTATTGTTATAACTCGGCCATGAGACGTGATGGTTTCTAAAGTGTATATCTTATTCTAGGTGACATCAGCAAAATTGCACGGACATCATCCACTGGAACGATGTCGTCCAATGAGGATGCAGATGAGAAAGATGGGAATGTGACCTCTTTTGAAACTCCAAGTAAGATCTACAGGTCGTCTCCTTCAATACAATCATTTTGTTTACAAAGCTTCAACATTTTCAGGTTTTATCGACATGATCAGAGAGGTGATAACCGGTGTTGGTCGGTTACTTGTGTATTAGATTTCTACTGACTGCTCAGGTGTAAACGGTGGTGTGGCTGGTCGGTGTAGTTAATGTGCAGTTTGCTGGCATGTGTTTGATGTGGCTCTGTGGTCCCAGGTATCAACGGCATGGATCCTGATGTGGTCGTGTCCACCAGACCTTTCCGTAACATCGGCCTCTCAAAAGCAGCCCAGACCCACAGACTGAGAAAGCTACGAACTCCGGCCAAATGTCGGGAATGTGACAGCTACGTTTATTTCCAGGGAGCTGAGTGTGAGGAGGTCAGTCTCTCAGTTTGTCTCCATATATGCTGCCAGAACACTAATAGTCCCTTCTTGGGATGTAGACGTATAGCTCTTGGAGGTGTGTTACTGGTGACTGAAAAAACACATTCTCTCCTCTGCCTTTGCAGTGCTTCCTGGCATGTCACAAACGCTGTTTGGAGACTCTGACCATCCAGTGTGGCCATAAGAAGCTACAAGGTCGCCTGCAGCTGTTCGGCAGGGACTTTTCTCAGGTCGCCAGCTGCGCCAGTGACGGAGTTCCCTTCATCATCACCAAGTGTATCTCCGAGATAGAAAGACGAGCACTCAAGATGAAGGTGAGAATGTACGTTTTATAAAATCCGCTGAAGTGAGAGAGCTTAAATGTCTGACATGTTGTCTACAGGTCCACCGCGGCGTTTCAAATTGTCACATTCCTCCTCGCAGGGCATCTACAGGGTAAACGGGGTGAAGACTCGTGTGGAGAAGTTGTGCCAGGCCTTTGAAAACGGCAAGGAGCTGGTGGAGCTGTCACAGTGTTCGCCACATGACATCAGCAATGTGCTCAAGCTTTACCTCAGACAGGTACACAGACAAGCCAGCATCGTGCAGAGGTTGAATACAAGTGCAAGATAAAAACGAAGAAGTCTACGGATCAGTCCTTTTTAATAAGAGAAAGAAATGTAATATAAGTTCTTGTGCTCCCAGCTTCCAGAGCCGATCATGCTGTTCCGCCTGTACAACTGTCTGATGGGTTTGGCCAAGGAGAGTCTGCAGGGTGAAGGAGACACAACGGCAGGAGAGGAGGCAGAATCGAGCAGTAATATTCCAGGAGTGGGCAAAGGACCAGAGCTAGTGGATCTTGGTCCTGACACCGATCCAGAGGTCCTGGTCCTGGTGGACAAGCTAAAGGAGCTTCTGAAAGAGCTTCCCAAAGCGAATATTTCTACCCTGCGCTACATTATCCGCCACCTAAGGAGGTCAGGAGTAAAAATTTTTTACAAAAGACGTATGTCTGCTCAATTCTCAAGATTCATCCATGTGTTCAATAACATCTCATGAAATTCTTTCTCTAGGATTGCAGAGCTGGAGGACGATAACAAGATGAGCCCTAGTAACTTGGGTATTGTCTTTGGTCCCTCCTTGATGCGTCCACGTCCGACTGGGGCCACGATATCCCTCTCCTCTCTGGTGGATTACCCCCACCAAGCTCGCATTGTGGAGGCCATGATTGTCTTCTACGCCAACATCTTTAATTCCAAAACCTCGCAGTCCCACAAAAGCAGCCGATCTGCCTCTTCCTCTACTCAGCAGGTAGGTGTCCTTGTGTGGTGCAGACAGATATTCGACTCTGTAATTCTGTGCTTTAAGAACAAATACAACCTGAGTTTTTCTGAAACTTTTCCAGTGAAGGAAAACTGAAACCGTACGACAATACTACTGAGTCTCTTTGGGTTGTTGTGAGCCATCTGTTCTGTATCTCAAAGTTAAAAACAATAAATGAGAAAGCAAAGACAGAGACTACCTGTTTTTATGGAAACCAACCATTGCAGCATATTGTTCAGTTGAACTGAACTGAACTGGGTAGTTCTCCCTTTAAGTTCCAGTTTCTGGTTTATGACCAAATGTATGGGAAAAAAAAACAGCTCTTCTGTGTTTGAGGGATCAGTTAATAAAACGTCCCAGGCTAATTCACCAATCTAAGATGTTGAACTTGATTAATACTGTACATCAGGAAATATACATGTGCATGCTACAGTGCTACAACAGCTGCGAGTCAACCCTTAAACAAAATATATTTTTTTTACAATATACTGTCTTACTGGCTATGAGTTTCCTTTTTGATAAATACCAACACTTCTGCCTGTTTTTGTAAGAAGTTGAAGAGAACATGAAAAACTCTCTTTTGGAGGTCCTAATAAGAAAAAGTCACAATTGTCCACATCTCGTACTCTCAGGAACAACAGTCTTGCAGAAAACAACCGTTTTTTTTTTAACCTGTTATACCTCAATAAACAGAAGCAATAAAATGTTAACACATCTGTTTCCTCATTCGAAGTTGTGACCAGCTGCTGTCATTTATTTCTCACAGCTCTCCTTCCTTCTTTGATGAGTTGTCTTTGCTCTAAGAAGCCCAAAACTCCTGGTTATTGTTTTCCTCAAAACCTTTTTTTTTCTTGTGAGTACAGGATCATACTGGAGATGAAAAGGGTGAGGGATCTGCTGATGGGGAGGAGAGTGGCAGCAGAGAGGAGCAGAATAAAACCGATTTTGACAAGACAGAGGAGGGATGTGGTAAGTTTCTCTGTAGTCCCTCCTTGTAGCTGAAAACATTTTGCAAAGACAGGGTTGCAGAGTGCTGTTGTAAACAAACAAACCTTCCTGATGAACATATATAAAAAAGATGTTGTCTATTATTGAAATTTTAATAACTTTCATTGTCATTTAAAGAGGCAAAATTAATAATTTACAAATCAAAGTAACTGAATCATCATCTCTGAACTACATTTCATTTTCCTAACCATATAAAACCCCCCTCTTCTCTGCATTTAGAAAGTTCTTTAGGGTCACTAGGGTCTAGTGAGCAGATCCAAGATTCTGACTCAGAGTTGGACGAGAGTGGCCAGAGGACCACACAGTCCAGGATGCTGTTAAAGCAAGAGAGTGAGATCAGCATGGAGGACGATCAGCTGAGTTACAGGGACAGTTTGGACCTGTCGAGTCAGTCTGCAACCCTCACTGACCTGGAACAAGACATGGATAAGGACCATGACAACCCAGAGCGATCAGAGCCCCCAGCACTGCCAGACAGCAGCCCCCCAGACGACACAGGAGTAGAGAAGGACCTGTGTGACTCTCTGGCTGAGCTCAACGTTAACCAATCCAACAACAATTACCCATACTCCTCCATTCTGAGCCTTTCAGGTCTCCCACTGTCAGGTCTGTGTGGAAAGAAATTACCCCTGACCCGGAACAGGGACAATGAGCCAGAGTTTGTCTGAAGTTATTGAATATGAAGTCTGATGTCTCAAGTTTGAGGACGGTTTATAATTAAAATCCAGTGATGCTGTGTGCTTTGAGCATAATTTGTATATCAGCTGTGTTGCTCTTTCCTAGCAGTGAAAGATCTGTTAGCTTACTGCTGTTTGATGCAATCAGTCCTTGGATTTTACAGAAATGTTTTGACTTAAATGATTATAAAGGTATATTTTGTGCCAGTTTATTTTTTCTACCATTTTGTTGCTCTTTAAACCTTAAGCTGGATGAATGTTTGTGCAAATTTCCTATGCATATACCCTTTAAGTGCTGCAGGTTGTTTTTCAGCACCAAAACTCTGAAAATTTTAACATTCTCTTTTTAATGTTGCTTGTATTGCCTTGTTATGAATGTTTGGTCCGTTTTAATAAACAATTTATTTTAAATTCTTTCAGATTCTTTGTGTAATTTAACTATCAAAATAAAAAAAGTGAGGGGCCAAAAAACTGCAGCTACTCTAGAAACAATTCTCAGTGCCAGCTGCAATTACTTCCATGCTACTGGAGAGGGCGCTCACTCAGTGGGAGGGTCGCATTTGTGACAAGAGTCAGGAAAAGGGAAACAACACTACAAGCTCCAGTGTGCAGCAGCAACAGCATGGCCTTCTTCAAAAGGAAAAAGAAGGTAGGCATCTAAAACTGTTTTACTATCATGCAGACAGAATTGTAAGTTGTACTCTTGAATCAAAGCTAATGTTCCTCAAAATTGTAGAGTGTTTGAAATTAAAGGAACCACACTTTGACAAAACACTGGTGCCATTTCAACGTGTTTATTTTACAAAATCTAACATTACAAGAAAAAAACAACAGATATCAAAATAATAATCAATGAATGTGGTATCCTCTGCTTCAGTCACTGCTCCACCTAAATGTTGACGCAAAAGAACACACAAAAAAAAATTTAAGTTAATATAATTATCTATTTTTTTAGAAGAAAAACTTAAAACCAGCTTTTCACTGTCATGTCATCTTTCAGTATACTGTAGTTATCAAGTGTGGTAAACATATTGTTCGATAAAGATGGCCACAAACCAAGTGAGAGCTCTTGTTAATCAGAGTTACTGCCAAAAAAAGGGACTGTATCAGGGGTTTTAAATGCTGCTTTACAAAGAAAAACTGCAATTCATCAAAAGCAAAGGTACAAGTAAACTTTATATCACAGACTGATTTACATCATTCTGACCATCTAGACCTGTGCCTGTACAAACTCATGTACGTATCCATTTCACACTCACCTGTCTGTCACTGCACCAGTCTATATGTGATGTACCTCCCAGCTGTTTCACTAGGCCTGATGATCTTTACTACCTGAAAAGAGTGAAAACAAATGCTTTCTTATTAGCCGGACTCACTGACTGGTCAATAAAGAGGACACAGGTACATGTGTTTGCTTGTTGTACACATAGAGGCTCCTGTCAATCACAGATGCAAAGTTCAACTCTAGCGGTGCATTTTAGTGCAGCTTTGACCACACTTCCTCTTGACTATTTGCATGGTGCTTGTTTGAGTACTCAGCCTCCTTTATTGATGCACCTCTTGTTTAAAGCCCCAACTCATAATAGAATATACAGCTTCAAAGAGTAATGTGGCAATAAGACTTGAGTTATTATGATTAAAAAGTACCTGTCCTCTTTTCAAGCCAAAGTAGCGGGCCACAGGGTCTCCAGCCTGGATTCTTGGTAGCTGACTTTCCTTCAGTTTACTGAGGTAAAAATGTTGAGGAAGCATAACATGCATGGAAGCAAGCATGTAAATTTTTATGAGAGTAAAGTAAACAACCAGAAAACAGGTCATGCCGGTCTTCATCCAAATAAACTCTGTCTTTGTACATGATGACAATAACTGTGTGTAAGGATACTATCGGGCTAGAAGCTCAGTCACTTCTTCTTTTGTCATAACAATGTGCTCTGGAACAAGCTGAAAGACAAAGCATACTTGCATCAGAACATAGCCCCACATCTGGGACCTTGTGCAAAAGATCACTGTCAAATAAAGAAGATTTTTTAGTGTTGCATACCTCATGCTCTGTGATATTGATGAGCAGCTCCTGTTGTAGAAACTGTTCCAGTATGTATTTGGGTGCCATGTCAACTAAAGACTGCAGGGAGAAATATCCATTGATTTTAAAGAAAATCGTAATAGTATAATTTAGCACCAATGAATCTAAGTTTAATTCAAGAAAATCATTTACAGAAGAAAAAAATTATATCATATGCTTTCTTATTTGCATGCAGTCTTTTCTTATGGGTTGTCACCTGCTTTGCTGATGGCGTCATGCCCATCTGAACAACAATGATGGCTCGTGTGATGTTCTCCTCTTGCATTCTCTGACAGTACATTTTAATGGTCTTGATTCCCACCTTAGGCTCCTCTGATAGGTACAGAAAAGAGTGATGATGATATAATGATACGGTATGATGATATAGTAATCTGAATAAGTCAAAAACATTGCTAAAATTTCAAGGCTAGAAACTTGCTGCAAGAGCGTCGACACTGAACTCATGAGTCCAATGAATTTAGAAGATTTCTTCAAGAGATATTTCAACGTTAGATTAATTTAGGGTCAGACACACTGTAACACAGAGTTAGACACCCCCTCGAGAGATGAGTGTTGCCGACCGCTTGCTTCTCTAGTTATACCAACTTTAGTAACGACCGCAGGATAGCAATATACATTTATGATCATTTCTTCATGGAAATGCAATCAGACCGAGATACTAAGTCAAAAGAACTGCCGCGTCTGAAGTGCAAGATGATTAATGTGGTGATTTTTACTTCAGGGAAATGATAAAGAAATAATCATAAATGTTCTTCCTTGAGCTGCGAAACTCCGCTGCACACTATGATAACCTTGTCAGAGCTCCCCTACAAACAAGCGGCTGCAGGAGGAGAGTGGGTGAGTTGTGTTTAGTCTCCTTGCTAAAGAAATCAGGCAAAGTTAAAAAGATGTTTGATGGTTAGTACTATGGCTGGGACCCTATATGTAGTGTTGATGAAGTTAGGTGCTGTTCGGAGCATTATTTGTGGCTATAGAGTGGCTTTTTGGTTGAGGTTTGTTTATGGCTCCTCAGACCGCTGTGTATTGCTATTGTGCGGTCGTTACTAAAGTTGTTATAACTAGAGAAGCAAGCAGTCAGCAACTTTCATCTCTCAAGGGGATATGTGGAAAATCCCCCCTCCTTCTCTGGCTCTCCTACCTGGCTCCAGGCTCCCTGCATGGGAGGAGCCAAGGAGTCATTAAAGGCAGCAAGCTCACCTGCTGCAAACACTTTCTCAGAACTCAGGAGACAACAGAGCTGGCTGACAGAGAAACACCTTCAGTAGCATTCACTGTGTGTTTACCCCGTGAGTTTGATTTGTTTAAATTGCTCTACACCTCATTTTTGACTTCTTATCCTGACTTATATATCATTTTATAGATGTTTCTTAGATTACATGTATTAGACTCATTCTAGTTACTTTGCTCTGATATTATTAATGGAAATTATGATATTGATCCTGTTTGTATTTAATTAAATTCACTTTGTTATTCCTTTCTCAACCTCTTTAGAGAAACCAGCTGAATGCATGCTAAATAAAACTCTAGATTGGAACTCCTGCCCGTGTGCTTATTTGTCAAACCATTGCGTTGAAATCCACCTTAGATCATAATAATCCTCAACAGTCTCATATCCTTCAGGGTGTCTAACTCGGTGATACGGTGTGTTTGACCCTAACTTAATTTGGTGGCTCTTTCTGATTTATTTAGCTTGGATTATTGACGTACCAGGAAAGAAAACAAACATCTGGTCTGTGGGATCATCGTTGTGCGCCACCAGCACAGTGAGGTCTGTGCGTCTGGGGCGACCCTCGCTGGGCTTGTCTCCAAACTGACTCTTGAATTCATCCAGTGTCTGGTCCAACTCGTCTTGGGTCACCAGGTAGCCTCTGTCATGGCAAAGCTGATGGCGCATAGTGACACCAAAAACAGAAAGTGAACAAACATAAAAACAGCAACAAAAAAAGCGAGGTATTCCCCGTTTGTTCTGAAAGTTAAGTCAATGATTTAGATTAATTTAAGGTTTAAATGTCAAAGTCCAGACTGAGATGAAGCAAGACCGGTGACATCGGTCCACCATACGGGTGGACGACTATCAACGATTTCAAACAACTAACTTGTTAAAACTAATTTAACTCACCCCCTCTTTGTTAAAATCGTCAGAGAAATACCACAGAGCTGTAGATCTGACTGCTGTTTTAGCTAGGCTACATGCTAGGCTAAGTATCATAAGATCATTCAAACCTGACCTACCTGCATGATGGTTTTGCGAATCTTCCAGAGCCTGTATGTTTCTTCTTCATCATCCATGTCGGCTTAAAATGTTTACGTGATTTGAATTAAATCTGAAGTTATATCTAAATAATCAAAATCGGTTTTTGGCTTACGCTGCTTCCGTGGCGCACGTTTTCATCTACTTGCGCAGGGATATGACGTACTAGTATTGTGTCGTTCGCGAACGATTCGTTTAAAAGAACCGAATCTTTTAAGTGCTCGTACTGAACAGAATGGCTGTGTCCGAAATGAATCACTCAATCCCTAACCCCTAACCCCCATATGGGGTTTCACTATATAGTTGACTATGTAGTGAACTCAATCACACTGCCATGCAGTGTTTTGGACACTGCATGGCAAGACGCAATGCATGACGGGATGCCCATCACTGGTGAGTGACCATCGAATAGTCACTACATTTCGCAATGCTTTATGGGAAATTTTGAGTCGCCTAGGGGCACTGGAATTGATCACTCTTGTTTCGGACACCCCTCAAAATGGCGCTTACCCCCATATAGTCATATAGGGGTTAAGGATCCATTTCGGACACAGCCAATCACTTCCTCAAGTGATTTGTTCATTTCTCACTTCAGTTAAGCTGTCAGCAGCGCAGCTAGTATGACACGCAGCATTGCCAGGCAAGCAGCCAGGGAAAGGGACTGCATGCACCAACACCTGAATCACTTGGTAAACAAATCATGCATTGAACTAAGCTCTCTGGAATCATTGGGCAAAACTAACTTTGCCACCACAACAACTTGCATACAATAGGACACATAGCATGTAGCACATAAAAGCTGCAGCATCCTATCATTGCATGAATTCTTCTAAATGTTCAGTAAACAAATCACTCACTGAACCCTGAACACTGAACACTGATAAATAGCATATCATAAGAGGGTACTCTTAAAACATCACGACTTATAAACAAGGTCATTTTTACAAGCCTGTTTCCCAAAGCAACACAGCCAAACACTCTCGTCTCCTGGTCCCAGAAGCTATGAATTGAACTGAATCCTGAACCGTTCAGCTGTGTATCAGTTCAGGAGGTGGGAGTCACAGACTCCTCCTGCCAAGCACTGAATGATTTGGTGACTTAGTAAACGAATCTTTTGATCGAATCTTTTTAGTGAACTGATTCGAGTGATTCAGTACATCTAAAAGAACTGCCGTTCCCATCACTATGACGTACAACTCAGCGGGTGGGTGGAGTTAAAAGTGAAAAGGATTATATGCTTCAAAATAATAGTTATTATATAATTCATAAGCCAAATCATTATCCACATCACTATTGTTATCATAATGATGAAAATAATAATTTAAAAAATCGTGAAATTATTGCATTTCAGCTGTTTTTGACCCCTCGGACGTTCAAACCAGTGACCGAGCACAAACGTCTTTCACAACAAACTGCAGGGTGGAGCCAGCAGCACCAGCAGCCACAATGTAACTATTGATAACAATAAATGTGCCCTTTTTTAACACAAAAATGAGGCCGTTAGTTGTTATTTTGACATTGGGGGCTGTGGCTGGCTGCGGAGTGCTGGCGATGGTACTGTACTTTGTTTTATCCTCCACGGTAACGTAATCCTCCTCTCGGCAGTTCTTGGCATGTGTTGTGAGGGTGCTTCTGTGATTTCCTTATTTGCTGTGAAGTGATGTACTGCATTTTTTTTGGCATTTGTGATCAGTAATATACGTCTTTTTATTTTTTTTATCAATATGATGTGGTTTACCAGGTTTGTAATTTAATTCTTAGACTTTATGGGAAAATATATGCTCCTTGTGGCTTGCATAACATCCAATGAACAGTTGTTAGTCATCACATTGCCTACATTTTTATGTCTGCCAGGAAGGTATAGAGTACTATTAAAACACCTCAAGGTAATGGGCTTTTAGTTGCCTATGTACCTACCCAGCTGTAGCCCTTGTCACCCAATTATCCATTAAATAATAGTACAAAGTTGCTCGTTACGTCTGGTGTTTCCGTCCTCATTTGGACTCCAGCTGTTATCAGCTGATAAGGTTATCATCCCAAGACAAACAGAAACAGACATCCAAAGTTTTGCAGCAATTGTGATGGGTTATTATATGAACGGCAGGTTACTTCTTTCAGTTTATTTCTCATTGCTTCAGGCCTTTGCTTCATTTTTTGTTCCATACTATTTTTCCAGTATATTTTTGATACTGTGTTAAATATTTAGATTTGAGGTAAGTGTGCAAATGATAACAAAGATTTCATCTGAGGGTATTTTTAACCATTCGTCAAGCACAGGCTGTCATTGTGAACCTGAAAATTACATAAAAGCAATATTTTATTTAAATCAACTCGTCACTTTGAATCCAGAGCTTGAATGAGTTTTTCCTCAAGTATAACCTGATTTTTCTTTCACAAATGATACAAACACTGGAAAGAAAACAGATAAGGCTATTAATTTTAAATTCCTGGAAACAACAGCTCTCTTGTCCACCAGGATTATAACTGTTTTGGAGTTTGCAGCTCAGACTTTGACTTGTACGTCATAGTGAGACTTAGCCGGTTATGAGTGCTTTAAATTATGCTGCTTAACAGATGTAACTTTTGTTTTTATTGCAATGCTTAGCGTTTTACATAATAAGCATATTTCTTCAGACTGTCGCCCTTTCCCCTGCCACATGGAGCCAACCCCTCCTATTGGTCTAATTCGCTGCTTTTATAAGATGTCAGATTTCCCAATGAGTTTATGATAATGCTGTGGACTGTGGACTGCAGTGTTGATTTCTTAGTCAGCAGAATAGAGGGACCTATTGGTGAATCAGAGCCTATCATATAGGTTAATGATCACCTGCTCCCTTTAAAATAGAGTACTGGAACAGTGTGCTCTTTCAGTAGGGAGATTGTGATCAGACAGTTGAGGGAGGAGCTGAAACTAGCAGGTTTTACCGATTTGGTTGCTTTCTGCCTTCAGAGGACCCTACTGAGGTGCAATCATGCGCCTGCTAGGGTCTGCTGTCCTTTTCTCTGTTCTGCTGCAGGCTATGGTAAGAAAAAAAAAGTAGATAAGGATTGAAGTGCTGGTCTAAGTTGCAGGGCTCAAAGAATGTCAGATTTTGTTAGACTTAACTTTATTACTTGCTGGTTATTTATGTCTTAATTCCTTTTATGTTTGTGTTCAAAGTGATTCTTGCACAACTCTTTGTATATTTGATTAATTTTTCACTTAAAGATTTAAATGAGCAGCCTCACAGAGATTCCAGTATCTGAGAATCAGTTGTCTTTTACCTATGAAGCAGGATAAATGTATATTTTGAACTCAAGCCCCCATCACTTAAGTCTATTTTTCACACACTTCTCTCCCTACAGTCTGCTCCGACAGAGGATTGGCAGACAGCCACTTCTATTTATGACTTCTCTGCAACAGATATTGATGGCAGTGTGGTTTCCTTGGAAAAATACAGGTAATTCCATCAGTGACCTCCCAGTATATTCCTTCATTTGCTGCAGTGGGTAATACCTGGACTGACATGCAGTTACTTTAGCAGTTATTATCTGTGTTTTTGTCCAGGGGCAATGTTGTCATCATCACCAATGTTGCCTCTAAATGAGGTAAAACCCCAATAAACTACTCTCAGTTTACGGAACTGCACGCCAAGTATGCTGAGAGGGGTTTACGCATCCTCGCCTTCCCTTCTAACCAGTTTGGGAACCAGGTATGTAACACTATGGAGCCGATAGAGATGGCTATTTTATGTAGCAACCAACACAAATGACATTTTCCTCCCTTATTTGTTTTACTTTAAAGGAGCCTGGCACTGAAGCTCAGATCAAGCAGTTTGCTGGTTCTTACAATGCTCAGTTTGACATGTTCAGTAAGATCGATGTAAACGGAGCCAACGCTCATCCCCTGTGGAAGTGGCTCAAAAATCAGCCCAATGGAAAAGGGTTCATGGGAAAGTAAGTGGAAGAGAAATACATAAATGAAAAATCAGTTAAGGAAATGGCATGGCATTTCTGTTATTATGAATATGACTTGTATTTATTTATTTTGAAGTATTAAATCATAACTCATCTTAGTGTTTACTTGTGGTGTTATTTTTTAACATGTTTTTTTGTTTTCACTCCTGCAGTAGTATCAAGTGGAATTTCACAAAGGTAAGTATTTTTTTTAATCAATTATTGTTGTTATAGACACCGACAGAGTTTGTAGAGCCAATGTTACATAATATATAACTGTGTGTGTGTATCTGTGTGTTTGAAGTGTGTATAATATATTCCATAACAATTCCATACTTCCTATTTTACAGTAATAATTAATAAAGGTAGAAGAATAGAAATGTTTATGATTGTGAAGATAAAACCAAAAATTGTTGTTTTCCATAAATGTCTATTTTTTTCCCTCTTTTGTTAAACTTATTAACTTCACTGATTCTTTTCTGTTTCCTTGTCTTCTGTAGTTTTTGATCAACAGAGAGGGTCAGGTAATGAAGAGATATGGACCCCTGGATGATCCCAGTGTGAGTATAGACACACACTCTTGATATGGATGGCATGTTGTCTAAATTGCTTGGTTGCATAATAACTTCGATTTAACCTGTTTGCCTGAAAACATTGTGTGCACAGTGCTACTGAGTTGAAATGATTAAACAGACCTTTTGAAGAAGTTGTTGTTATCTCTGGCCCACCTTTCACAAAACCCAGAGAAACATTTTGACATGAGTGTAGCTGTAACTGCACCCTGTATTATAGGTATACTTGAGGGCGATGTTAACATCTTTGCTGGTTTATTTTACAGGTGGTGGAGAAGGATCTTCCCCAGTACTTAGATGTCGATACTACATCCTAAACATCATCTGTTCATCTCCTTCCTCTGCCTCTCTGAGCATCGGTGGATATAATTTGTTTTCAACCCAGATCAGTGACGGTCTGTTCATAAACCCGCATGGCGGACGGAGCAGACCTGATGAAAGTGGCGTGCAAACCTCCTGGGAGGAAAACCAACTTATATACATTTGGCTGTTTGGAGAGGAGGGGGGAGAATCCATTAAAATATCTTGAAGATTGGCGTGTGTTGTAGCTTTCTGAATAAAATGCACAAAGGTTAAATTCTAACAATCTTTTTGTGTGTGGCCTCTTTTGTCTGTTAGACAAACAGTATTTATCAATGTTGATTATCATATTAAATTGGTGTGCTCACAGAACAAATGTAGGGTGTAATTTTGTCCAAAGCACCGATCCTTCCTTATATTGTTGAAAAATTACAGATGATGTATTTCTGTGACACTGAGACATTTACTTGTTTATGTGTCAAAAAACCACGGAAGATTGAGCACTTTGATTTTTGACATCGATTTTGGATAGTTCATGTAATTGAAAAAATTAGTTTGTCTATTCAATGATATTTTGTGAATTTGGAGAATGAGAAATAATTTAAAATACATAATGTCAAAGGTAACATCTGTCTTCAAATGGAGTAGTCCACAACTCATATGGATATGTCGCTGTCAGTCACAAGGAAGTATTTTTTTTAATCATAAGTGGATCAAAAGTAATTTGAATAATTGTATCAGTTGAATAGTGTATAATAGATAAAAATACACATGAATGTGAAGAGGTGACTGTTCTTTAGGGAGAGAGAGAAGGTCAGGGAGGACTGGTGTGGAGAGTGTGTGTGTGTGGGTGTGTGTGTGTGTGGGTAGTAGTAGGGATACGTCTCAACTTACCCCGCTCTAATGGTCAAATTAGCCCATTCACAGGGTAACTTGACCATAGGAGACCACTTTTTTGGCATGCTATATTATCATGACAGTTATGTTTACTCATTCTGTTGGTTTACAGGGATGCACAACATCTTGAAATATATGCAGATACACTAGTCAGAGACAAAAATATGATAACCTTGATGTAGTGATCCGAAATATGAAAAATGGCTCATCTTACCCCACTCTCCCCTAAGATCCTTTAAATGTACTGAAAACACGGGGCTCCATGGATTCAGGTCGACCTCTATTTACACAGAGCTCTAGGCTGCTGTTTCCTCAGCTTCCTGCAGAGGGCGCCACACCTTCCACTACAAATGCAGGCAGCAGCAGCACAGTAGCAACAGCAAGTGCGGTGCAGTGGACCTGACAGGAGCGGACTGTGCGCCGCCGTCGTGAAGAAACATCGCTCAAATGAAGGGACCTTTTCGGATAACTATCACATATCCTTCCGTTTGATTACTTTTACTCATCAAACGACACCCCCCTCATTCTTCGAGGATCGCACCTTCAGTGTGGGTCTTACATTCGGAGGACTTGGCTGTTTTTCCTCCGGGAGGCTGAATGGAAGCAGCAGCCGAGGGAGCGGTCGGGCTGTCGGAGGCCAGGGACGGGAGCCCGCTATCCGTGGCCGCAGCATCCGATGATGGGGACACGGTCGTCGGGGTTAGCTACGGGATGGACGCCGGAGACATGGGTACTTAATCGTCTTTTTTATATACCGTACAAGACGTCTGATGTGTGTGTGCCATTAGTTGCTTCTACATCCATTTTCAGCCAAGTCTATGATTTTGCTTCTGTGGAGAGAAAGTCCCGACTCATCTAAGCTAGCAAGGATTTGGTAAGCTAGGCTAGAAGCTAACATTAGAGTCGTTCAGAGCCAGGTAAAGTTAGGTGTTTTTACAGCATGTGCAGTACAATTGCACATTTTTTCCACATTCATTCAGGCGCTGTCGTGACCATCCTACAACACAAGAACAACAGACCATGGCTGGCAAATCAATAGATGTTTTGATAGAGCTGTATGTCATTCATGTGTGAACGATACTGACATATATTTGGTTAAACTTGGTTTCACATTTTAAAACAGCTAGCAGGCTATTCTCCCCTGAGGCAAAAATAAGCCCACCTCCTCCTGGTTTTCCAAGCTGGAGGAAATGAATGCAGAGCTGAGACTACTGACTCTCCCACAGACTGTAGAAAAACACGAGTGTCACCCATTCATATTCCTGTAAAGAAGCCAGAAACCCCTTGGTTTGGATTCACCTCTCAGCAAGTCATTGGTTTGAGCCTGAAAACCTTCATTTGTGCACAGAGGAGATCTGATGGAAACAGACACATCTTTCATCACATCTCAAAGACCGAGATATTGAACAGCGTATTCTTATTTGTCTGTGTTTGGTTTAAGTGTGTTCAATTTCAGCAGACAGAAATACATTAAATTGACTTGTTTTTAGTTGATATTTGGACTTCTTGTTGTTAGGGAACCACAAACGTCACAATCCACATGTATAAAGGCTGCACAGTATGTAGGAAAATAATCTCCCATAGTTCTGTATTTATTATCTTGCTAAAATTAATCAATAAAAATATTTCAGGCCCTGATATGTATCTCAATATTTTCAGCCCAATACTAGTATTGGCAGATAAAAGCTTGAAAGTTAATTCTTGGTATGGGAAGATTTGAAAATGTCTCCTTATATTTATGACTGATGAGGGGCCATATTAAATCATGCACATACACTGACAGCTTGCTTGTGCTAACAAGTTAGTGATGGGCACGGCAGTTCTTTTAGATGTACTGAATCCCTAGAATCAGTTCACTAAAAAGATTTGTTCAAAAGATTCGTTCACCAAATCATCGAATCATGTAGCATTTGGCGAGCAAAGCCTGCGACTCCGACCTCCTGAACTAAAACACAGCTGAACGGTTCAGGATTCAGTTCAAGTCAGAGCTTCTGGGACCGGGAGAGGAGAGTGTTTGACTGTGTTGCTTTGACAAACAGGTTTATAAAAATGAACGTGTTTATAAGTCATGATGTTTTAAGTGTACTGTCCTATGGTATGCTATTTATCAGGTCTGCTCGGTAAATTGGGCTCAGTGAGTGATTCGTTCACTGAACGTTTAGAAGAATGCACAGTTCCCTTGCAAACTGCCTCAACATTAGGATGCTGCAGGTTTAAAGCACTACTTGTTACATGCTGTGTCCTATTGTATGCAAGTTGTTGTGGTGGCAATTTAGCAGTTAAAAAAAAAAGCTAGTTTTATCCAACAAAAATTATTCCAGAGAGTGTAGTTCAATGTGTGATTCGTTCTCCAAGTGATTCAGGTGTCGGTGCATGCGGTCCCTCGTTCGCCGGCTGCTCGACTGGCAATGCTGTTTCTTACTTTAGCTCAACTGAAGTGAGAAAGGAACGAATCACTTGAGGAAGTGATTCGATTCAGTATGTTCACTTAAAAGATTCGGTTCTTTTGAACAAATTATTCGCAAATGACACAACACTACAACAAGTTTCATTTAGGCATGCACAATATTGGATTTTTGCCAATATCTGCTGTGCAGCTATTTTCAAACTCATTTAGGTAGGCTTTGTTAGCTATGCTGATAATGACACATCTTTTTTTTTCATCGTAAAGAACACCATGTTGTCCCTGAACTATGCTTATTGTATCTGCGTTAACACGACCAAGCTAACTGATCATCTCAAAAACAGCACCATCAGTTTTTGAGATGTAAGACAGGTAACTGTCAAGGCCAGCAAAATCCCATCAGCAGCCTCTTTTTAGTCATTCAGCTAAGATGTCACCATCACCCAGAGATACAGGAGCTGAACTAAAACTCAGAGACGGAAGGATTAGTAAGGCTGATTATTGGTATTTGGATTAACTGGCGAGGGCTAATGGCAGCACTCATGGGGCTGATTGTAAAGATGAACAGTTAATGTCTGCAGACATTGCAGGTAGCTTTATCGGTATGGCTGATTTTGAGCAATAAAACACTAACGTTTATCTAAAGTGTTTGATAAAAATTCTGTGAAGCTTTTTCCTGTGTGATGTATCAATTAGAATTTCCCCCATAACATGTTACTGACTTAGATGATCGAGTGAATTAGGTTGTAACATGAATGTGACAATGGGTGTTGTCTATTAAAAGATGTTTTTATCATAGGCAGGCCTATGATAAACCAGCCGATGATTACCTTGGCATTGGTATTAACAGTGGTTCTCAAGTCCAGTCCTCGAGGCCCACTGTCCTGCATGTTTTGGATGTTTCCCTGCTCCAACACACCTGATTCAAATGATCAGCTCGTTATTAAGCCATTACAGAGCTTGATAACGAGCTGATCATTTGAATCAGGTGTGTTGGAGCAGGGAAACATCCAAAACATGCAGGACAGTGGGCCTTGAGGACTGGACTTGAGAACCACTGGGTATTAATATCAGTATCAGTATTGGTCAAAAGGACATTGGGAGTATCAACAAAAATCCAATGTTGCGCATCCCTATATGATTTACAGTACGTCTTTTTGAGATTTAGAGTTTGATTTAAAATGATCTTAATGAATAAATCAAAGCCATTAATGCTCTTTCTGTAAAGAATAGTGAAGTCATGAATATATACAGTGACTCATTGGGTTGCAGTCAGAGAATTGAAAAGTGGACATGGTGCATATACACAATCTTCTTCAACCCAGGGAGATTACAGACATGGTTACAGATGGTTGCTGTAATTTAAATGACACCATGTCGTTTGAATTGCGATATTATGGTGATAAAGCATGCATTAGTGTGGATATGTCCATAAATACATGAAGGGGTGTCTGCAGCTAAATGCCCAACAACAGTCCTGTCGAGCTGCATTCACTGGAGGTGATCATTGTACATCAATGCCGGGGTTTTTCTCTTGTCTCTGGTTAGAAAAGTGCTGACTTTGACAAGAATTCTGTGCTGCTACACTGAACAGGTGAATGAATCAAAGGGCTGTCTAGTGAGGGCGTCTTGACAAGCTTAGCTGGAGCAGAGGGTGAAAATGGACGTTAGGTGCCTTTGGCTGACAATGCTTTTCTTTCTCGCATGCTCCCTGGCACGTGCCTCATGTGTTGGGGGTAATTTCACAAGTGTGTGCCTGCTCAGTCGGTGCACCCTCACATGCGATGGAAAACAGACCATACTGAAGAGAGAGAGAGAGAGCAAGGCTTATGTGTATGAATGAACAGCATTAGACAGTCGCAGTATTGAGGATGCCTTCATTCTGCCAAGTCTATCCAGGTACACAGACAGTTTGCATTCGCTCGTGAGAGGGGTTGAGAGATCACCAAAATACTACACATATGAGCAACACAGGACAAGTCTGGATGTAAATTACAGTGAGATACTAGGGGTGGGAAGGAAAATCAATACAGCATAGTATCGCAATATTGTGTCTGGTGATATATATCGATTGTCTCATTTACCAAGTATCGATTTTTCAAATCAATCGCTAATTTGAAATCAAATCTATGATAATGGAAAAAAATAATATCAGTTGTTTGTCCAGTGAGGTTGGCAGAGGTGACATCATAGAGCAGGAGAAAGTGAGTGCAACAAATATATATATATATATGTAAGGTTTGCAAGATGTGCTACATGAAAATAAAATACAGCGTAAATAAGACAAACATAAAGGAAAGACAAATGCTAAATGAGCTCAACAGTTGAAAAAAGTATATTTCCCAGTATATTGTATTGCGATACTCACTGTTAAAAATGTAAAAAATTGCAGTAATATTGTATTGTGGCCCAAGTATCGTGATAATATCGTATCTGGGGGCCACCAGTGATTCCCACCCCTATGATATACCGTCTGATATGATGAAGGAAACAGTCAAATCTGTAAAGTATTTCAGCTCCTTTTTTTAGCTCACCTACATCTGAAGCTCTGTTACCTCATTCAGCCTCAGTTTAACTAATCTCAGCATTAGTTAGTTCAGTAAGTTGAGTTGTTTTTTAATTTAACCAACTAAGACAAAACCTTATCTCATTACAGCCATCATTCGTGCAGCACTGTCCACATACGCATTTAAGCCAGCATTGTATGAGTGCTTAAGAAGTTAATAGGGAAAATAACAGCCCAGTCAATAACTCTCGAGAAGTCGTCCCATGACACCAGTAATGCTTTGGAAACGGCTTGATCATAAAGATAATACAGTTTCGTTGATTGTTTTTCACTTCAGAGAGAGATGGGTGTTAGCCTTAACATGTCAAAGTGCAAGTGAAATGTGGTTTATGGGTTGGTTAACATCAGATTTGCATATGTAATTGAGGTCTGTTGTGTTAAGCGTGACTGCTGCTGATGTGTGGATACAACCTCACGTGGGTGTCACAGCTGGCTGTTCAAAAGCTGCCTGATCATTTAGTTCCATTCAGCGCCCCTCATCTGCAGTCAGTCATAATTCATATTTATAGTCTTCTGCCAGCATGACAGCAGTAATGTCACTTATCTTCTCCACACATACTAGCCGAAATCCTCTCACCTTTAACCTTGGCTGTATGTAGCCCCTCTCTCTCCTCTTCTCCTGAGGGAACAACAACTTAACTCATCTCCTCCTCTGGTAGTGATTCCCCTGACTCAACCGCTCATTTGTCACTATCTATCCACCAACACCCCCCACTCCCTCTATGTCATCCTCTGTTCTTCCCTTCAGGCTTTCAGGCGACACCTGACAGAAGCGCTGACGGAAGCACAAAAGGTGGTTGCCTCCTGTGAAATTTATCTCCTCTTTGCTTCCTCCTTATTTCACCTGCAAGGTCTCACTTTTTCTCCGATTGGCCTATTCACGGTGCGTCATGTGTGGAAGTTTGACCTTCTGCCAAGTTATTCGATGTCATACAACGATGACGCAGTTTAGTTACGTCTTACATGCTGCTGATTTTCTCTGCTAGTGGGGGATGTGTGCTGCAGCAGCTATTTTAAACAGACTCCACCATCACCACAGTGAGGCAGGAGCGTCGGGTTTGCTGCTGTCCGTCCTTGTGCTCACCCGGGGTTTCTCCTTCTCATAATGATGGCTGCAGTCAAAATGAGTGAGTGAATAGAGGAGGCGAACACAAACACAGACAGGGAGAAGATACTGGTAGTCCATACTGTGTTTTTATCTGTTGTGGTGACTTTGCAGTTGTAAAAGGTTAAACGTGTCACATGGCTGCAGTGTCACACTGCCCTGGCTTCCCTCAGAGGGGAAGTTAGGCAAAGACCTGCTGTTTTCAATTAAGTGTCACCGTACCCACTGTGTAGCCTATTATTATTTCATAATGAGCACCTGGAGTATGAGCACTGCCAGACAGGAGCACTAAGCTGTCATACCTATCTGAACCACCCACATAAAATTACTGCAAATTACTTTCTACCAAGGAAATGTTCAAGTGGTGCCTGCCTGGGGCTGTGGTAATTGCATCTGTTCTGGTTTCTGTGATGGTCTTCTCCATCCTTCCCGCCACAGTTGATTTCAGTGCATTACATTTTATAAGACGACACTTCTCTGAACAGACTCACAACATCCACAGTGATGCAAGGGTGAACATGCGAGGATGATTTCAGGACATTATCATCAGAAAATTTACCAAACAGACAGAAGCCCATGCTGTAAAAATAGAAAACAATTCAGTGTTGTGGACAGCACCCAGAGCTTCACTTCCTCTTCTTTTGTTTACCCTTAGTGTTATTTTTACCATTAAACCTTTTGAGTTTTAAAGACACGAATCTTGGTAATTGTTTAATCAAAGCACAGGCGACAACTCTGATGAACTATTTTTCAGGATCATTGACTATAACCCAGAATTTGAGGATTTCAAGTAAAATTGAGGATGTGGCATTTTTCTGTGGCTTCTTGGTTCTTTAATATTATCAATAGTTTAGCTTTTTGATGTATTGGTTTGAAAACTGCAGAACTTCCTCTTCTTTAAGATATGTTGTGGGATTCTGCTTTATTTGGTATGACAGGACAGCGGATGGAAACAAAACAGGGAGAGAGAGAGAAAGCAGGAAAAATCACGGGGGCCTAACCTCTGTTTATGGAGCCCAATTAGACCGCTAGAAATTTCAAACATTTTCTTTGGGTTCTTGAAAATTGTTTTCATACTTTATGGATGAAATTGGCAATAAAATTAACTCATACATTCATGCATTTATCTGGGGAAATATTACCCCAGCCAGTTTCACTAACTTATTATGAGTGTTTGCAGCTGTATCTTTTAAGAACGGATGGTTTTACATTCAAATGATTACAGTCTCCTCCATTAGAAAGTGCATGAATAATGCTGTGGAAACGTCAATATTCTGCATCAGTGAAAGTGTTTGTCTCAAAGCTCTGCAGGCTGGTTTCTTTTTCAGCTCCTTTCAGACACGCACAAAGCTCCTCTGATTTTTCATATTCTATTACATCCATCCTAAAGAATGACAGAAAAGCAAAACTTGCCTTGATAGACCGTTGTCCTCTTTTTATTATTACTCCCATAGGTGCACTATCCCATATAACATTGTTCTGGGCTGTCAGAGAAATAGTCAGTTTTTGAGCTGATGGTCTGGTTTGCTTTTAAAGATAATCAGAGGTATCAGAATCAGTTTCAGTCTGTTTCTCAACCAGTCAAAAACTCCTCACAGTGCCTTTTAAATCATTATCGGCCATCATTATGATAAATAAAATTGTTTTTATCTAATAATGCAATACAAATGAGTAAATGAAATCACCAAGAAGAACTTGAAATCAACATTATATATTGGCCATCAGCTGATCTGCTCTCCGATTGTAGGTATTGGCATCAGTGGTTTAAAAAAACAGTAGAGGTCAACCACAAGTTTTTGTCCTTCTTATGAAAGTCTTAAACCAGCGTATACTCTGTATCATGAGTAGATTTATCTCTTTATGTGGTATTTGGAAGCACAGTTGAAGAGGAAATGCCGACATTTCAGTGATCGGTGCCTTAGAAATTAAGTGCAAACTTCTGCTGTTCTGCTTACTGTAAACATTTTTCAACACAATCCAATGAAAAAATGCGGTTATTCTTCCCTGCTTACATCTATAATTATGACCCTTAATGTCCTTTTAGTTTTTAGGACCACAGCAATCAGATTGTAAAATGTCTTACTCCCAAATCCCTGGAGTTCATAATGACTGGTTTTTGTTGTCCTGTAAGATGAAAACGTTTTTTTTTTACTCTTCTAACGGTATCTGCACAAACAGCTTTCTCTTACCTCCATGTTCCCACATCCTGCAAACAGCCACAAGAAAAGGCTACTCTTTCATTTCAGCTTTTCAGCTTTGAGGCAGGCCAGCAGCTGTGGGCCCCGCTGTGAGCTGCATTGTATTCCACAAAAGACCAAGGCTGCTGTCTTTCTGTCAGTCTGTCAGTCAGTCTGTGTGGGTATACAGTAGCTGTCAAAAGCATATGCTTTAATATCACAGGTGTGGAAGTCTCACTCATAGGCACCAGAGATAGAGGCAGTTTTCAGTTGGGGAAGTGAATAGTTTTAGAGTCCAACCTACATTTGTCATTATTTTTATGATGATTATGACTATTGTTATTGTTTCCAAGTGTTTTGTGTGAGGTCCAAGCCAGGACTTAAAAATGTAAAAGTCTGACAGCTTATTCTCCACCCCACTCTTGGTGGCTGTTCTCATACATACAGTAGGTGAACATACTCATCCTGAGTTTTCTTTTGTCTCTTCATGCATTAGGGATCCTGATCCTGATATTCATGGAGAATTCTCACCATGAATTTGCAGCCATTTGGCGATCTTTGCAGATTGTCCAGGAGAAAATGTCTAAATCTGGATACTAGTTAATTTTCAGACCAATCACAGGGTTACATTGTAGGCCATGACACAGGATCACAAACCAGGCTTAAGGTCCTCGAACCTGCATTATTTCAATACAAGCGTTCACATCAGCATCGCTTTGCCGTCTTGCCATATTGTCAGATTCACCGGTGTTGTTTTCGTTGAAGATGATGTTGACGAAAATATCTCGGCATCGTCAACAAAAACAACACTGCAGAATATATGTTTAGCGTTTGACTGACAAAATGCTCATGAATTTTGCAACTCTGTTCGTCTCGTCAACGTAAACGCACATTCGTCTCGTCACATTTCAGTCATCTAAGACTTATGTTTACCTCGTCAACATCACATCTTCATCGTGGAAAAAATGGGCGTTGACGAAATATCTTTGTCAACGAAAACATCACTGATTCACCGGTATATCCAACATGGCCGACCGGCTGATAGTTTACATGTTCGAGAACAGAGTGCTTTTTGATAAAAGACACAAACATTACAAAGATAACAACTTGTAGAGAGTCATAGCGTCGGATCTCTCATATGACGATGGTTTGTGTGCTTTAACAGTTTGCTCAACGTCTTTGTTTTAACTTTCATCTGTGCTAAGTAACTTTAGCTCGTAAGCTAACCATATGTATTTTCACTGTCTCAAACTCAATCGTGTTGCTGTCACAGCATCATTAGGTCTCGGTTGTTACCTTTCATTTATGGATTAGTACATGCTATCATGACAGACAGCCATCTCAACACTAGGGTCTAGTCACAACTGAAAAACAGTCAGTCTGGTGTTGTGTCAGTCTTCTTGCTTCCACCTGGGACGCATCCCCTTTTATTCAGGGTGTGAGTTTCAGCTCTGCAGAAAGGCCCAGGTGTCAAAGTAAATCATCAGGAAATGTTGATTTTTTTTTTTCTGTACGTCGAAGTCCAGCAGCTGTGTCCCTCTTTATTGTTAGAGCAGATTTCACCCCTCTGAATCACCCGTGGCAGAGGTTGCTGCTCTCAGCACTAACAACACAGGAGTCACCTGATCACCTCTGTGTTTATTTGTTTTTCCACCTCACACGCACGACTCCTCTCCTCTTTTTCTGAAACCGTGACTGCCTTTTGAGGATCAGACAGGATCACTAAGCTTCGTTCCGATCTGGGAGCTCAGTAATGAAAAACATACCGAAATTGCATAACAGTCAGATCACATGTGTGTTTTCTGAGTGAGTGTGTGTGTGTGTGTATTTCATTTTGCCACAAGGACTGAGCTCTATTTAGCTTTGCCCAGAGAACAGGGTGCTGCTACTCAGGCCTGCCAGTCTCTAGAGCAGCAGCAAGACCTCCCAGAGGGAATTCAGTCTTGACATATTATTCCAGGAGTCAAATAAAACATTCCCACTGGCATGTGAACAGAAATGAATATAAAAATATTTTTAATATCAAAACAAAAATGAAATCAGCTCCTCTCCTGATGTGAATTTGTACCGACTGGGTCTACATGCTGACTCACACTGTGGGTAGGCATCATGTTCCCACAGTCTGGAGTTGAGTTATTGACTTGTGTGTGTGTGTGTGTGTGTGTGTGTGTGTGTGTATGTGTGTGTGTGTGTGTGTGTGTCTGCCATGTGTAAAACCTGCTACTATCACTATGCTGTTCATTATCTTCTGTCAGGATTTGGCCAGAGCAGCTAGACGTCTTTTCAATAATGACACCTCACACTGAATCTCCTCACTTTAAATTTCCATTTCAAAGTCGGCTGAGCTTTCAGGCTGCTCCAGAGAAAAATTAGACTTTCATATCCACCTGGTCCATTAGTCAGGTCTATGGTGTGAAAAGAAGATGTAACTGTCTCAGCCTTTATTTAACAGCAGTGAGGTTTCAACTCTGATCATTGACTGCTGTTCGCGAGAACCAGGACTGTAATTTGAGATACTCTTCATCTTCTCTATGTTACTTTGAATGACAAATGGATAGTTTTGGATGGTAAAGGTAGATGGTAGGCCATTTTAAAGGGATATTCTGGTGTAAAATTAATTTAGGGTCAAACACACTGTAACACCTAGTTAGAAACTCCGTAGAGAGATGAATGTTGCCGACCGCTTGCTTCTCTACTACTTCTCTACCAACTTTAGTAATGACCGCACGATAGCAATACAGAGAGTCACGCGCTCAACCAAAAAGCCACTCTACAGCCACACCTAACTTCATCAACAGTACATATAGGGTCCCAGTCATGGCACTAGCCACCAAACATCTTTTTAGCTTTGCCTGATTTCTTTAGCAAAAAGACTAAACACAACTCACCCACTCTCTTCTAGCAGCCACTTGTTTGTACTGAGACCTCGGGCCAGTCCATTACCGAGTGCAGAGGAGTTTCGCAGCTCAAGGAAGAACATTTATGATTATTTCTTCATGGAAATGCAATAAGACTGAGACACTCAGGCAGAAGAACTACCGCGTCTGCAGTGCAAAATGATTAATATGGTGATTATTACTTCAAGGAAATGATAAAGTAATGATTCTAAATGTTCTTTCTTGAGCTTGTCAACTTTTTCACCGGCAGGGGAGTGGATAATTTTTAATTTGATAACTAAAAAACAACTTCCTCTAGCACTCACCCTTGTCCATCAGTTTTTCAAAGAAAGAAGAAGATGCAGAGGAAGATCATACTCTAGAAAAACAGACACATGGTATCCTGACTTCCACCTGTCCTTGTTTTGGGGCCATCTTATCCTGATAATCCAGACAGTCGGTCTAGTGACCTGCGGATAATAGGATTGGGATTACAGATAGTGAAGTAATAGTGACTGTGATTTAGTTGGCTATGTGTTTAGGCTTCTGTCTGCTGTTGCAATATGTGCCACCCTCCACCTCATTCACAAGCACTCGGAGTTGTGTTTAAAAACGCTGATTTCCTGCGGACTCATTCTCAGAGTAGCCTTTGCATTGGTCATCTACAGGCGAATGTTGAAGGTGGAACAGGAGGCTGAGCTATGTGTGCACATTCCCAGGAGGATTGTGATTAACAATGAGAGCAATGTCTGTGGATATCTTTGTGTTTGGACAAAATGGGCCATTTAAGGATGTTAGGTTGTGCTAGAGGCATTTTTCCAATATTTGAGACACTAAAAAAGGAAGCAACGGATCATCTCTAATCAAAGACTTGCTGGTAGCCGTAGACTAATTCCCAGAGTCTCCCTTCGTCAGCACAGGTTCTTATCTTTGTAGGCAGCAGTTGTTTGTCTAGATGCTCCTGTGTTGTGCATTGCTTATCATCTGACTCCAAGCTAAATGTCTCTTAGGGATGCTTTTTGGAGTCATCCCCTGCCAGGAAGCTTTTTATTAAGCCTGTCTGCTTGCTTGATGCCACTGATCGTAATGGATGACTTGGCTTCATGAAAAGCCGTCCTCTCTGGCCCCAGGATCCCCTGAATATATAAAATGTATGATCTGCACTGACAGCAGAGGACAGAGCAGCTTTCCCCCCTCTGAGGACATCGCTGTGTTTAGTAAATCAGAGGAATACTGAGTGGAAATGGTTTTGTAGATGTGTGCCATGGTCCCACTTTGCCAGCCTGAGAAGTGTTTACAAGAATCGGTATGTGCTTGCTACTGTGGGCCGGCCTCACTGTGTTTACACTTGGGATGTCCCGATCCGATATTGATATTGGATATCAGTCTGATATCAGCAAAAAAAAAAAAAGAATATCAGATGATGTTGGCCTGCATCTGAAATCTTCGATATCAGCACTCCGATACAAGCAGTCCATTCCAGACTCCGCTCCAGCATCTCTATCAAGCTGTGCCCGGATCTAGCATGGAGAGCCCATGTGATCACAACAACGGTGTGTACTAAGGTATCAACAAAGTAGCCCGTTTTACAAATATTATTTATTTATTTATTTATTATTATTATTATTTTTATGCTGACATTATTGTGAATCTCTAATATTTAGGTCCCTGTGACATCTGTCCTTCCATCTCAAACACACAGAGTCAATATTGATTGAAGGACCAAGTCACTCCAGTGCTGTGCCAGCATTGGAGGTGGTGATAGATACATAACAGGGGCAAGACAGCAGTGATGTATCATGTTGGCAGGGGGTACAGCCAGCGCTGTTTATATGCATGAGTCTATGTGTGTAAGTGTGTTTTGTTGACACATTGTGCCTCATGCCTCTGCAGCGCTGTAGCATCATGTAAAATCACACAATGGAACAGCATTATTACACTGCTGCTATGTCTTGCTGTTGTTGAATTGCAATGTACAGGGCTGCTGTTTGGATTGGAAACAGTAACATGTAAATAGGGCTGCTCGATTAAGGCAAAAATCATATAAACAATGCAATTCGATGCAATGACGGTGAAAACTCCAGCCTATATTTTGTTGTCTTTCTGCTTTTTGGCCACACACAGACATGCACTTCATCCAGCCTGCTCCTGCTCCTCTCCCTGCTCTCCTCCCTCCACCTGTGGCTGTGCGATTGTTTGTTTGCAGCATTTTCATGCAACCGATTTTTAATTCGGAATTCATCCGTGTTCCAGTATTCTCTTTGTTACTCAAAGGACTGATGAAGGATTATTTTATTGTTTTCTTCTTATTTTCATCAGTATCCAAATGTGTTCACTTATTTACTCTGAAAACAGTGAACTGCCATCTCACTTGCTGCTTCTCCATTTCTTACCAGAGCGTGGACCATCCATTCTTGTGAAATAAACAGTGTGAAAACGCCTTGTCACAACAGTAAAACAAAGAGTGTTCATTGTCAAAAATAAAAGGTCTGAGTATGCCAGAAAACAACACCTGCACCCACAACAGAGAGAGACGGGGAGATCATTATATGTGCTTGTTATGTAAACATCCTATCTTGGAGATTGACTCATAAATGTAGTGTCCATTCAGATGTTCCCAAATAGGTCTTTCTAACCTCAGTTTTTCCATTCTGGGCTGTGTTCGGAGACAGAGGAGGAGGACCACACTGCCTGACTGACCGACTGGTATGCTCCTGGAAAAATAAACAGCCTGGTTTTGCTGAGATTAGGGGCTCAGGACTGGAATGGTCTGCTGATGACACTGATTTAGGATCAGTTTTTCTTCTCTCAGCCTAACCAGCAGCATTCAATGTTGCATAATCCTCTGGTGTGAGGGTAACTTGGGCTGAGGTTAAACATAAATTAACATAGTCTATAAAAGGAGATCCTCTGGGTGGATCTGTCTCTGTCTCTCTCTCTCTCTCTCTCTCTCTCCCTGTGTTCAGCATCCCGGACCACAGACATCAAACGCCTCTCTCCAAACACTCGTCTCCTCCTCACTTTGTGTTAAAGATCATTTTACAGTCCCTCAGCACAGCAGCCAGTCCTGTCACATGATATGCTCGTAATTGATCTCATTACACACTGAGTACGCTGTCGTCTTGATTTTCTTGCTTCTGAAAATTGGAGGGACTCCCTTCACGTATAGGTCAGCTCAGATGCACTTTAATACAGCAACCATGTACTGTTTAAGTTTGGTGTACAAAAATGAACAGTCCATTGATTCTGGGTGAACTATCACTTAGCCTCTGCCAATACAACAAACAGTCCTCTCAACGACTGCCTCTTACTTAGCTCATCCTCTGGGAGACCCGGCATTGATCCAATCTGGGTTAGACACAGCTGTCAATAAACATAGCAAAGATGTCTACACTTTGTGATCTTAACAAGTAAAACACACTGAAGCCATAATTTTTTGTAGGTCTGTCTTGTTGCTGGGTTCTATTGATATGTTATCTCTCATTATTTATTGGATCTGTTTTTCATCTGTCTGTTATGATGTCTGAGAAACTGAAGAATGAAAATGCCCCGATTAAGACAAAGTTCATGTATTGATTTGCTTCATTTTGGTTTCAGTGAAAACAAAAAATGTAAATGTTATAAGTCTAACTATATAACAGGTCTGTCTAACTATGTGGGGCTCCTTCCTTATCTTATGGGACTGAGTGTTACTTGAAGAAGTTAACACTGACAAACATGAACAGACATGCTAACACGTATGCCCAGTGTTTGGATGTTTTACTAAGAAAAAATCAGACATATCCAATATTCATACTGAGGCTAATAATAATCTGTAATACACACAAAATCAACCAACAGTTTTCCATCACTTTTTGTAGTGCAGAGCGTGTTAGAGTGTGGAATGCATTCCCCATTGTCAATAAATGAGCAGTAATTATCAGCCAAGACACCGTGAACTTTCTCTCTCTCTCTGTCTTTCTTACTTTGTCTGTCTGTCTTTCTTTTTGTCTTTCTTCCTAACTTTCTTTTTCTTTTTTCTTTGTTTCTTTTTCTTTTCTCTTTTTCTTTCTTTCTTTTTTCTTTCTTTCTTTCTTTTTTCTTTTATTTATTTCTTTTTTCTTTGTTTCTTTTCTTTTTTCTTTTCTTTCTTTCTTTTTTCTTTATTTCTTTCTTTTTCTTTTTTCTTTCTTTCTTTCTTTCTTTCTTTCTTTCTTTTCCTTTTTTTCTTTTTTCTTAGTTTCTTTCTTTCTTTTTTCTTTCTTTTTTTCTTTTTTCTTTCTTTATTTCTTTCTTTTTTTCTTTCTTTTTATTTCTTTTTTTTATTTGTTGATTTTTTTCTTTTTTCTTAGTTTATTTCTTTCTTTCTGTCTGTCTTTCTTCCTTCCAATCTTTTTTTTCTGTGTTTATTTCTTTATTTTTTCTTTGTTTCTTTCTTCCTTCCTTTTTTCTTCCTTCCTTCCTTCCTGTATATAAGTGACTGCCGCATCTCTGCGTATCTTTTCATCAAACATGACCCTTCTTCTTCCTCCTCGTCTTCGTTATCTTGCTGTCATCTTCTTGGCAGATGAACATCCATCCATGTTTTCCTCATTCATGTCATAAGGCCTGCTGTAAGGAGTCATGAGACAGTGAGTTAGTGAATCAAATTGGCTGGGAAATCACTTTATAGTGTCATAATATTGAATCTAAGTATTGATGTATGGTGCCAGTAATTGTGTCACAGAAATCAGGATGATGATGATACATAGTTAAATCAATATTTTTCCTAACCTTAATGAACAGGTAGACTATAAAGTGTGCTTTTTATCAATGTGGTACTGTATTTTGTAAAGCCGTGTTGCTGTGCTGAAGCCCTATTTCACAGCAACGTGAAAGGACATGTGGAAGAAGGCAGCATCTGTCTGTTGATTCCAGGCACGTGAGTTAGTGATAAAAATGCTGGTTGACCTCAATTGAGGCGCCATGGTAACAAGAGGGTGATAGAGCGCGTGTGCCCAAGTGTTCATGCGTGTATTTGTGTGCTGTATGGAATATCAACATCGTAGGGACCTTTTTAAATGCATTTTCTGCTCAAGTCCAGCCCCAGTACAATCCTAGACATATATATACCAAATATAATCCTTGGTTATATATGGTGAAGGAGTTTTTAAGTTTATCTGATATATTAATGAGTGATTTTCTTTTATTTTACTTTTTATTTGGTGAGAGTGTTATCACAAAAGTTAACGCAATTTGAATCTCTTAAAACAAGTTCTCCCCTAGTCTCCTAAATGCCTGTGAATACAAAGAAGTAAGCCACCTGACCTGTTTGTTATCACTCAGTCCTGTAGACAGCTATCAGTCTAAGATCTAACATCTATACATAGGACTTTCCCCAATATAATATACACTACGATGCACTACTAGACATTATGAATATTTATCTTTGATGGATTGGATTTGAATACTCCAGGGTTTTGCTGTTTTCCTTTGTGTCAAAGCCTAAAATAGTTCAGTGCAGTGCAGGATAACTGGAGGGGGTGCTTACAGTTTCTCTCCACTTTAAACAGATAATATTCAGCCTGATAAACTGAGATTTCAATGGAAATTAAAGTTGGCTTCAGCTTAGAAAGAGCTGCTTTTTTTGCTGAATCTGTTTGTTGCACTTCTTTTGCTACTGTGGTGCGTGTTGTGTTTGAACTTATTGAACTTATTTTTTTGTAGCAGCTCAACCTTATTTTTCCACTCCTGTCTTTGTTTTATATTATTAAATAAAATCAAAGGAAATCACATTGAATTGAATCATAGATATTGCTAAGTTTTGATATGATCTTGTACATGAAACCATCCGCCGTTATACATCTGAGTATAATGCCACTGGTGGCATTATGCCATCTCAAGTGTGTGATTTGTCTCTGAGGTCATGCAGTGATGTGGGTGAACTGTTTTATATGAATCGGCAACAGCGAGGGCTTACGCTGTGGGAAGCACTCTCTCGTCATGAATGGGTCAAAAGTGGTTTGATCATTGTACAGATCCAGAGTCAGATAAGTGGTTTGTGCGTGAAAGTGACATAAATAAGCTTGTCTCCCTGCAGCCCCCATGGCTATCAGCAGCTGGTAATGGACCACTCTCTTTAGGGTGGTAAGGGTGGGCTGTAAAACCAACAAATAGCAGCCCGGCTTGGCAACAGTCTCAGTGGGGAACCATTTATTTGAATGGCTCTGTTTGTTGTTCCATCCCTGAAGTGCTCTGCTGCCTGCTGCTGCTGCTGATGCTGCAGGATGTTAGTATAGGACCTGTTTTATCATTTTCCGAAAGGGTCTTTACATAGTCAGGGATGCAGAAAAATACTCTCTCTATATATATATATATAAAGGTAGATTTATATTTCTGGAAATGTATTATCACATACTATAAAAGTGTAACATAAATATAAATAGGAAATACAATGAATATATGTAGCCAGTTAAAGAATAAGGTGATTTGTTAATGCCTTGCTCTTTATTTACTTTAAGTTCTACTTTTCCACCTTCCATCCTTAAGAAATTTGTGAGTGTTGAGTATATCAGGGATATAATGAGTTCTATAAGCACTCTGCAGCATGTTTAATCCTGTCAGGCACACTCCTATAACTCCTTTACCTCCTTGACTGCTCTACAGTGTACTCTCATTATCTCATGTCTCCTTATTTCTGTGGCACTGTCACTCTTACTCCATAGAAATAACACCAGTGCTTCATGGTTTTGTCACTTGCACTCACACTTGCTTGCATGTAATCACACTTGAATGATATAACTTCTCAGGTCGGCATAAATAGAATCGGCTAAGAGTGAAAAGCAGCTCTGTGTGGCTCGTATCAGAGCCTTATCACACATCTTGTCAATTCAGGACTGTCCTCGCCCTCATGGTTTAACTTATTTATAGTAATAGTGATCGTGTCTGTGTTTTATTTAACACCGGAGAAGACAGAATTGAAAAATTATGATAAATCAAAGACTCATATGTAGGGCTGGGTGATAAACCGAAAATTTACAGATACCAAAATTTATGACAATAATCAACAACATTTTGCCCATGTCAGTATATTCGGTGTCAAATAAATAAAGAAAGAAAAGTTTGTTTTGGATGTGTGTAGGTAGGCTATGGTCTCATGTCCCTTTAAGATGCTGTTCTGCATCGGAGATGTTACTCCACCCCATCCTGTCCGTAACAAAGAGGGAAAGACAGGTGAGGAGATGGAGGATGATTCTAAAGTTGTAGCGGCTGAAGTAGACAAAGTTAATGTGGAGTAGTTATCGTCCATTTATCATTACCGAGTTGAACTGCTCAATATATCGTGATATTGATTTGAGGCCATATCGCCCAGCCCTAGCACAAGGTCTTGTATGTTCCACAAAAGAGTCTGCAAATTAACATGACATCTGAGACAAATTTCCGTGGTTTAAACCTTGTCATTTTCTTTCATGCAAAGCTCTCCTCTCTCTAATATTTGGAGGGGATTATGACAGCATATCCATAAAGTTTAGGTCTATTAGCATTTGCAGCTTATTCCATTAAAGCAAGCATCCATTGTGTGAGTCTCATTTGGTTAAATTGCTGTGGTGGTTTTGTTCACTCAAGTGGAGCAGGGAGAGAAGCACATGCTCGGACACAAACACTCTTGACTGATTCACCGCGCGCACTCTGTGCTGTGTCTTCAAACCAGTGGTGTCAGCCAACAGCCACACGCTTGCTCTCCTCACACATACCTACACAGACAGGCGTGCACACGCTGAAGGCAGGTGAATGCATGCAGAAAGGAAGAAGTGTGGCTGTAAGCTGCAGCATAATACATGACACACACACACACATGCTCACAGACAGACGAATTCACAGGAAAGGAAGAGGTATTTATTCTAAAGGAGCTGTACTATTAACATGCCCTCACATGCCTGTAGTCAGGGACACAAATAAATAGTCCAGCATGGTAAAAAAAAAAAAACAGGAGAGCCACCTCTTTAATTATCTGCATTGCGAGCATTCCTCCACCAGCAGGTTTTTTTCCCTCAGTTTTGATTCCCTGGATGTTCCAGCTCGCAGGGAACGTTGCTGGGATTGCATTGGCACGCTTTGGCTTGCTCATCCTAATGCAAATGTGTGTGTGTGCAACAGAGGGAGAGAGACAGAGCAGGAGGAGGGGTGGCAAACAAGCTATTCTGTGGTTCAGTCACATGGGCATCCACGAGAAGTAGGCAGGCAGATAGGAGCACAGAGACAGAGAGGCAGACTATCAGTTCAGCTGCACATACAGAGTCAAGCTGTGGAGATGTTATCCCACTCCTGAGCGACACCGGGTTTCACTGGTTAGCTGCTTGTGTCACAGATGGTGAGGGGAGATGATTTGTTTTATACAGTTTGGACCTACACAGTTGTCCATCCTCTCCTCTCCTGTCAGCCATATTTGGCTTGTTTTAAAAGTAAATGTGTCCAGGTTGATCCTCTAAACAAACATGAGAGTCTGTCTAAAGATGTTCTGACAGTTCTGGGGATATATACGTATATGAAGTATATACACTATAACCATAAACACATTTTTTTTGTAGGTATTGTACTAGCTGTCCAGGGCCCAGGTATTGTACTTGCTGGCTCAAAAGCACTGTTTCCTGATGGTTTAATGAAGCCATAATTATCGCTCTTTGGTTTCTTTGTGCTTTTCCTGCCCTGTCAAGATAAAATTGTACAGCATCAGACAATAGACCCTTTTTACTGCACTCTATTTGGCATGTCAGCGCAAGAAAAGTAGAGGTGTATCAAATTACAAGACTGATGTCTGTTATGAAAAATGCCCGCACCTAACAGCAGCCTGTCTTTTTTCCTGACTGAGTAAAAAAGAAAACCCATTTCTCATTATTGAGGTTCATGTTTTAAAAACAGATATAACTGTCTCCCAGTATGTTGGAGCAGACTGGGAAACCAACATTTAGTATAAGGATTGGTGATGGATAGTGGTGGGAGAAAAAATCGATAGAGCATCGTATCGCGATATTTTGTTTGGTGATATATCGTATCGTCTCATCTACTAAGTATCGATTTTTCAAATTAATTGCTAATATATAGTTAAATCTATGATAGCGGAAAAATAAATCAACTGTTTGTCCAGTGAGGTTGGCAGAGGTGACATCAAAGAGCAGGAGAAGGTAGTACAACAAACATATAAAGTTTGCAAGATGTGCTACATGAAAATAAAATGCAACATAAATAAGACAAACATAAAGGAACGCTAAATGCTACATTATTAAATCGCAATATATTGTATCGCAATACTCACCGTATTGCAAAATGTTAAAAATCGCAATAATATCATATCATAGCCCAAGTATCGTGATACTATCGTATCGTAGAGCCACTGGTGATTCCCACCCCTAGTGATGGAGTGGGTGTGGGTGCATTATTGATGGAAGAGATAATTTGAAAATTAAGAAAAAAATGGTCCAAAAAAGAAAAATAATAAAAATGAACATCCTGTTAGTGAAGCTTGTGTCCCGTCCAAAGCCCGAGATATTTGTGCGAATTAATCAAAGGAGTCAAACGATGTTTTTGTGCTGTTGTAAACATTTCTCAAATTCTCTATAATGTTGCCATCTGGGCAGCTGAGCGCGGTTGTGGTTCAGTAGATAAGAGAGATGGAATTAATCAGCGCTGGTTTTGTTCTGTCTGAGCCCTTGTCTCATCCCCTCCTCTACTCTTTCATTTGCTCATTTTGTGCTCTCTCTCTCTCTATCCTGCTCTCATGAGCCATCTCTCCATTATTACGTTCGGTGTTATACATCTATAATTATGCATCTATTTCAGGCCTTCCTGGTGAAAACAGTCCACTGATTGCCTAGCTCTACTGCTAACATCCTGTTATTAGACTGAAATTGTTATCACAGGCTGTAAGACTGCAGCGCTCCAGAGGTTTGTTAGTTTTCCATATGTCATGTTTGCTGTTCACATGCTGGAGTTTTGTAAAAGAGGAGAACAGATTTGTGAAGTTGAGTTAAATTCCCAAATGAGTGGAGGGGAAACAGTCGAGTTGTAAATGAGTCTTTTCCCAGCTGATGTGATTAGGTACTGTTGTTGTTCAGAGGAGGGGCTGTTGTGTCTTACATGCAGGCTGCTAACATTTAAAAATCAATTTAAAAAGGGAAAGCAGAAAGGGAAGTCTTAATACGGGCAAGGTTCGTTTAATTTAGTGGTGAATGATCAGCATTGGCCCACCGATGGGCCAGTGTTTGCTGAGCAAGCATCTAGCGCTATTCTCAGCAGTGTCCAATTACAGCTTGCACAGAGAAGCATATGACATGTTGTTTTTCTACATGCTAACCATGTGTTTTTGGTTCTGTATTGGCTTTTAACTCAGAAGAAAACAGTCATGTAGAGCAGGGGAGAGCAAGTGTTTACGAGCAAGTGTGAGGGTTTGGACCCAGATGATACGAGCACCTTCACTCTGAACAACCTGGTAGGGCTGGGCGATATGGCCTCAAATCAGTATCATGATATATTGAACAGTTCACCTCAATAACGATAAATGGATGATAACTACTCCACAAGCTGCTCACCCCCTCCCACATTAACTTTGTCTGCTTCAGCCTCTACAACTTTTGAGATGTCCTCCATCTCCTCACCTGTCTTTCCCTCTTTGTTATGGACTGGATGGGGTGGAGTCACGTCTCTGATGTAGGACAGTGTCTTAAAGGGACATGAGACCATAGCCTACCTACACACATCCAAAACCAACTTTGGTGTATTTATTTATTTGACACCGAATATACCGATATAGGCAAAATGTTGTCGGTTATTGTCGTAAATTTTGGTATCTGTAAATTTTTGGTTTATCACCCAGCCCTACAACCTGATGTGGTTTGATCAAAACTAACTAATTGATTGCTGACAGGGCTGTATCAAAAGTGAAGGGTTTATCTTAAATATATTCACTTTATTTAGTTGCATAAATACATCAAAATGTAAACCTAACAGTGGCACAAGAGGAGAACTCAGGTTATCTATCCCAGTTGGCAGTATTCCTAGTGAGGTTTTCATGGCTGTCAGTAAAACTATTTTAATGTAATATATTGTAGACCACAGTGGAAGGAAAAACTGACCTTCAGACAGCCGGTTACCACCTCCAGAGCCATGCTGCTAGCACGGCTAAAAAAAATGTAAACACAAGAGGGTCTTTCTTTGCCCTTGTTGCTGACATGTTTATTTTTTACTGCGGCCCCTCTGGCTGACAGTCTCCCTGTTTGACACTGTTATTACATAATGGTAGACTGCTGGGTCCCCTCTTTGGGATTCATCTTTGTCGCACGAAGCTCTAATGATGCTGAGTAATGGAGCCTCTCTGTCTCAGAGTGACTAACAACCATCTCTGACTCTGTTTTTTTCCTCTCTTTGTTTTTCCCTCTCAGATGCTGCTGCAAAGAAAGCCTTCATCACAGAGGTGAGCTGCCATCTGTCCCTGTGATCATGTTCTCCATCCTGCTGTTCTTTGATCTGTCTTTTTATCCCATTGATAACTATTAGTACTTTAGATTCAACCTGACTCTCCTGAAACCTCTACAAGGGTTTGATCAGAGGGTGTAGTTAGGGTGCAGTTAATATTTCATGACAGCCTCCCTCTTTTGTTTCAGTCGGACTATCACAACAGTCGGTCGAGTCAACAGAATAGCAGAAAAAGTTACCATGCAGTATTTATTTGAGTATTTAAACTGAATTAAAATATTTAGAAATCACTCGGGTATTCTTCGTGTCTGCCAGTGTACTTTGTATTCATTATCTTAATCTTCCTCATTTGGTAAATCCCATCCATCTGGCACAGCAGCTACTGTGTGTGTGTGTTGAAGCAAACATTTAGAAGTGATGTTGAATTAGTTTCATTTGTATCTGTTAAGAACATTTAATTCCACTTAAATGACAAATTAAACCCAAAAGCTCAGTGAACCTGACCAGAAAACCATGTTGAGCTCTTGGATCTTAAGCAGTCCTCACAGCTTTAAACACTGAGAAAACCAAAGCGGGTTAGATTACCGACTGTGCGACTGGACCTCTTTAAGGTAAAGGGATATAAGATGAGAAGATGAGAAGCTTCACTGCTTAAAGATTCAGAGGAGAATGAAGTTTGCATTTTGCTTTAGAGTAAATACTTTGTCCTCTCAATGAAAGTCATCTGTTTGCCTGATGTGATAGTTTGATAGCGGACCTTTACAACTCCACTGGCTGTGATATTTAAATAAGCTATTCTGCAGAGCAGGTGCACATCCGCCTGTCCCCGTAATGCAATTCTCTCTCAATCTCTCTCCCCAGATGCCCTCATCTTCAGGCCAGCCTGGTCAGGGGAAGAAAATCGGCCACAGAGGGGTGGATGCTTCAGGGGAAACGACTTACAAGAAGGTAGTTGAGGCAGCCAACGCCTCTTTGTTTTTGTTTTTAAATTTGCACAAGAATAAAATGCATATTATCCAGGTGCACATCATGTTTGCATTTTAAAAACGTGGAACGGTAAACCCTGATGAATTGTTTTGTCTTTAAGATGGCCTTTCATTGTGACTGTTGGAAAGGCAGTATTTCTCTCATGTGTCCTCCTCTGTCCCCTGTCCCTTATCCTTCTCTCTGCAGACCACATCCTCGGCCTTGAAAGGTGCCATTCAGCTGGGCATTGGATACACGGTCGGCAACTTGAGCTCAAAGCCTGAGAGAGACGTGTTGATGCAAGACTTCTATGTGGTGGAAAGCATCTTTTTCCCCAGGTTTGCAGTTCTTTTTCAATCATGTACATGTACGTTGGATATGGGTAATACATGTTAATTTATGCAGATACTGCGGATATTCAGTGCGTTCACATGTTGAGCCAAAACTACACATACAGCTCCATTAGGCAGTTTATTGGACTGCTGACCTTGTCATAGACATAACATACATAGACGCCTTATTCCGTGCTGGAGTGTAATCCAGCATAACCGCCATTTGAATTTCCCTCTGGGATTAATAAAGTATCTATCTATCTATATTGGACGGGTCTCCTCCTGCTCGGCTTACAATAGAGCCAACCTGAGTCAACGGAGAACAAGCAACTATGCCTGTATTTTGTGTACTCTACTGTTGCAAAAACCAGCGCAGTTTTGAAACCAGATTGCGTAGGATAACCGTATAAACATATAGTCTTTATATTTAATGTGTGACAGCGTCCAGTACCATAATTACATCTCAGCCATTTGTAACAAACCAAACCGTGTGAAAACTGGATAAAAATTTTGGCGCTTGGGGGACCCAACCAAGATGGTGGCCAAGTTTATAAGTCAGCTCTGATAGACAGCGTCAGTCTATGAGGCATCTACGTATATTATGTCTATGGGCCTTGTTCCAGCATACAAACACCAGCAAGAATGATGGCCTCTACTACAGTAGGTGGCGATATAGTTATTAGTGATAACTAGTTGGTGGACTTGTTATGTCATTTACTCTGACAGTCCCTAACAAGTCAGAAAAAGGAGTAGTTATGTATCAGACAGTGAAAACAAATAAAACCAGTTTGAGTCAGACCAACACAACAGATCTTCTTAAATCCCATGTAAACATACTAAGTCACACCGCCTGATTGTTCTGATGTTCAATGGAGAAAATATGAATTTGTGGACTATTATCTCATCTTTCATGTCCTGAATTTTTCTTACTACAGTGAAGGCAGCAACCTCACTCCAGCCCACCATTTCCCCGACTTCCGGTTTAAAACATATGCTCCTGTGGCCTTCCGGTACTTCAGAGAACTGTTTGGCATCAGGCCAGACGACTACCTGGTAAGGATTTATCCATTATGTGTTTGACTTTAATTAGTGTGTCTGATTAAATATTGATCCTTTACACTTCGGTGTTAAACATGGAAATCTGCGGATTAGCTTGATTTAGAACAGAAAAAGTAGAAATGTAAGTACAAAGAAGTAAGGGTAAAGAGCACAAAGAAGAAATGAGCAAAGATATTTGAGGACAAAAAAGGAATAAATACAGATCAGGTCTGTGCAAAAACAAACGGAAAAACTCATGAAATGGCATAAGGGAGGAGAAGAGGGGAGGAAAGAAGATGGTTGAGAAGAGAGACGGTCTGCAGCTTGTCACTCCACATCAGCGAGAGGACCTAGAGGCTGTATGATTCACTGCTCTGCTCATATTCCGTATATTCGGCTAAAGCAGTCTCGAGCTTAGTCAGTGTTTCTGCGTGTTACATGTGCACATATTCTAAAACGCATCCATCACTCCCAGGCTTGTTCTGCCATCTCTTCCAGTCTGTGGTCAGCCATCTTTGTCATTTGTCAGATTTGCATTTTATTTGTAGTGTTGTAGAGCAGTCACTGTTCATGAAAGTCCACAACACAAACCAGACTAACATGAATGTAAACTAACCTTTTTTAAGGAAAAGCCTTTTGAAAACCAAATTTCTAAATGATAAGAAAACAATTTTAATTGATAATCACAAAACAGATCATTTCAATCTTTGAAGTATAATTATTATTTTTCATTTCCTATAATTAAGTTTTCACAGCTGAATGAAATTAAAATAGGTTTATGTGGGTAAATGAAGCACCGGAGTAATGTGATTAAACTGTAATGATGAAACTGAACACAGTCTGTTGGATGGAGGATGGTTTTAGTCATGGTCATACCTTCCTGTTCTTCAGTAACATTTTAGGATAGTCCTTAAATGTTTGTGTGTAAAAAAAAACAACACTAAATTGTAGCTCTGCTCTGAGATCTGCTAAAAACATAAAAAAAGCAAATACAGTCTGTCAAATCTTGGGATGACCCAGCAGTGAACCTGGTTTAGCAGTACCTCACATATCAAGGCTTACCACAGCAGCCCCTGATCAGACCCTCTGCAGTTTTAATCCCACCTCTCTACACCCTGCTTTTTCTTTTTACTTTAAGCTGTCTCAGTGCAGTCAAGTAAGAATACTAATTTTATTTTTACAATATTGAAACTCAACTGAAATAATTGAGCTGCTTAAAACAACAGCCTACATTCAGGGTTTCTTGCTGGTGAAACCAGGTGTCTTTAAAGGCCTCTGACCAAGACTTTCTTTTTGTTTGCATTACCTTTATTTACAGCCGGACTGGCGATATGTACTTTAACACTGCACCCTGAGAAGGTGTAATACTGGTGTCCCAGTGTGCCATTGCACATTGCATTATGTTGTTGTGGAAGTGCAAGATGCATACACAGCAGGAGCTCCACACACACACTCTCAGATGCTATACATTGTCACCTTCCTCCCCCCATTGCGTCTTTCTTACTCCCTCTGAGGGGTCAGAGGTGGAATGACTTTGCCCCACCGTTACGCCTCTGTGCATTACAGACTGCAGATGAGGCGTAACAGGGGTGTCAATGTCCTGCCGCAAAATGGCAGTTTGTAAGCTCCCACGACACCAAGTTAATCAATTTGATTCTTTTTTTTTTTCAAATAGCTGCAGATTAATTATCTCCAGAATAAGTCAGCTGCTATTATGTGAGTGAATTCAGAAATCTTCTTTGCAGTGGCAGCTCAAACAGAGAGGACTTTGAGGAGAAGCAAATGTACAGTAGTTGTACAACAAAACTCCTCAAAGTAGGCCTCATGGTTATTATTGTGTCAGGAGTTCAGAGCACTTTCATTGCACAGAAACAAGGTCTTCTGCCTTACATCTCCTTCTCCACCCTATCACCTTCACGGTCATTTAATCAAATCTATTCAGTGACTTTTGCTCAACTCTCTTTCCTGTTGTGGAGATACTAAAAACATCTTTTCACATGCTGCTTTGTGAGTGCTGCCATTTTCAGTCAGGCAATATTTCCAAGAGTTTCTATGAGGTAAAAAGCCTGAAATTAAATGTCAGGCTACCCAGAGAGGTATGAAAAGTGAGCCATTAACAGAAGGTAGGTGGTGGCAGCTTCACAATCAACAATGATGTCTATCAGCACTTGCTTTTAAGCTGCCAAGTTAGGGGATAAAGCTTAGGCTCTCATCTTACAAATGGTTGTTAGATATGTGTATGAACAAACCTAGAAATGAAAAGGAGGTATTAATTTGCAGCTACATGAGTCTGTTTTTGTTTACCTGAAACATGAACTGCTTTTTTTGTTGTCTTTATCTACAGCAGACACTTATTTTCTACTCTCATCCCTTCAGTAACTCTCTTCATGGTCCTCATATGGAAGACGAGAACGACCATGGATTTTTCATTTTTTTCATGCTATTTTTTTTCATTTCATTCAACTGCTATCTCGTAATAACAACTTATCTTGTTATCTCAATATATTTAAAAATGTGTTTTCTTGTGATAACGATTTTTTTTCTTTGTTATCTCAACATTACAAAGATTTTCCTGTGATGACGGAAATGGGAAATGGAAATATTAAATTACGTTTAAAACCGCCCTGCAGAGCGGGATATTTCTGAAACGCCGCAGCCACCGTTGTCAACAGCAAGCCGTAATGGAAACGCTGTAGTCACACTCCACTTCGCTTATGCGCATTACACTTTCAACGTGGGAACATTTAACCACCATGCGTGAATCAGACAACAACAGTTACAATGTCGACACATTATTAATCGAGCTGTTATCACGAGAAAACGATCTTTGTTATGTCGAGATGAGATGATAAGTGGTTATCAGGAGATAACAGTGAAACCCATGGCTGTTCTCATCTTCCGTACTTTCATATATTTGCATGCCTTTTTATTATCACCATTGTTAGGCTGCTGTGAAGTACCCATCCACATATCTTGATCCATTAGAGTTGTGGTTTTATTTTTATTGAAGAGAAGTGCCAGCAATCATCCAAATGTGTTTACGGGTTTTTTGAAAAAAAAAAAAAAAGTTTCATTAAATCAAAGCAGACGAGGGTTTTGTGATTAAGTTCAAGTATTTTCTTGTTGCTCTCCAGTTGCTTTCCTGATGACAGTCACGCTGTACCCCGCAAGCATTTTGCTTCTTTTTTGACTGAAAATTAGACTGCAGATATGTGAAGAGAGAACATTACGGCCATGATAGACTCTCTTCTGATTATACATAATCACCCGGTTCTAACAGTAACTAAGCTTTCATTGCTTTTCTTTGTTTTCCTCATGGCTAAACGACAGTGTGCAAACATCCAGTTAGCAGCATTTTCCTCCCAGCTAATGCCCAAGCTCACGGTCACCTCATATCATATATCGCTGGAAAGAATACCTATGAACTATCTTGTCATTGAAATTTTATTTGATTTTATCCGTCTGATGTAAGACTGATAGTAAAAGAAATGTAATGTGTAATAAATGTATGTGTGTTAAAAAGGAGATAATGATAAAGCTACTCTGTCTGTAAAAGTGGTGAATTTGTGAGATAATTGAATATTGACTCTCATATCAGTGTTGTTATCGTCTAATCTTCAAGCTATAAAATGAGATTTGCACAATTGTCAGTTTGCTCAATGTTCGTTAAGTATATAGAAGCATTTCTCAACTGATTGTGTGATTGTGTGTGTTTTTGTGCCTCTCTGTGTGTACCTGCAGTATTCTCTATGTAACGAGCCGCTGATCGAGCTGTCCAATCCAGGGGCGAGCGGCTCTGTCTTCTACCTAACAAAGGACGATGAGTTCATCATCAAGACTGTGATGCACAAGGAGGCCGAGTTCTTACAAAAACTGCTGCCAGGATACTACATGGTACGTGTGTGTGTGCGTGTGTGTGTGTGATATAACCACAACTCAGAGTGTTGTGGGAAAGGAAACAGAACTGGGAAGCGAGTTTGTCCTCCTACTCTTCTGTCTGTGAGCTGCATATGCAGATAGTCAGTCAGACGCAGATTCTCTCACACTGTACAGAAGGAGGAGAAGCCCGTCGGTGTGAATGTATCACTGCACACATGCATCACTCACACTCACTCGGATTTAAATGCCAGCCTCCCTGATGTTCTTATTAAAGTCATATTTTTAGATCTCATGTTTATGTAAGACCCCAGATATTTCTCCTCTGAGCGTGACGACCATTTTTTTTATAAAACAGACATAACAGTTCTGTGATCTCTGACTGAGACCTCAGGCCATGAGGTTTCATAAGACCGGCCGCTGTGTTTCACCAGTGCCCCCCCCTCTCTCCCTCCTGCTGTAGGCTCATCGTGAATGAACTCAACCAGCAACAGCTCCATGTATGTCCATGCTAACTACTCTAGCCCCCAAAGGTTCACGGCCCCCAGCCTTGTGTTTATTCATGTGGTGACAGCCGTGGCCAAAAGACCACTGTAGGAATTCATTTAATCATTTGGCGACGTTAAAGGCTCAGCACATTAACTGTGACCTTTACAGTGTTTTGGTTGTGCTCTGAAGCATTTTGCAGGTATGATTAGTCTGAGAAGTTGGATAAAGGAAGGCAGAGTCAGGCTCGTGTGAGTCAGCTGTAGCAAGAGATAGGGTGAGGGAAACAGACACAGTCGCACAAATCCTTTATAGTAAGTGGATGCAAGTTTTATAAGAATGATGTCTCACAAAATATGTCTAAAAAAGTTATCTATTATTTACATAGGAGTTAGAAAGCCTGATGGCTGTTGGTACAAAAGATCTTCTGAATCTTTCTGTCCTGCAGCGAAGAGAGAGGAGCCGTCCACCACCATTGGCCCTTTGGTCCATCAAGGTGTTGTGAAGTGGGTGATCCATGTTCTTTAGAATAGTCTCCACCTTCCTCAGTGTAGATCTCTCCACCACATCCTTGAGTCCAACCACAGAGCCAGCCTTTCTCACCAGTTTGTCAAGACGTCTTGCATCTTTGTGTTTGATGCTTCCTCCCCAGCAGACTGCAGCGTAGAACAAAACACTGTAGACACCACAGACTGATAAAACACCTTCAGTGTCTTACTACAGATGTCTGTTGATTGGAGTCTTCTCAGGCAAAAGAGGCGGCTCTGCCCCTTTCTGTAGATGAAGTCTATATTCTTAGACCAGCCCAACTTATTATCCAACCACTTCGATGTCCACTCCATAGGTGTTCACTGGCTGAAGAGGGGGTTTGGATCTACAGAAGTCTATGACCATCTCCTTTGTCTTTGAGGTGTTGAGGAGGAGGCAGTTTTGTGACTCCAGTCACTGAAGGCTCTTATCAGATCTCTGTATTCAGCTTCTTGTCCATTTCTGATACATGCCTCGATAGCGGTGTCAGCTGAGTATTTCTGGATGTGGCAGGACTCAGTGCTGTATTTGAAGTCTGACGTATACAGTGTGAACAGGAATGGCGCCAGCACTGTCCCCTGTGGAGCCCCTGTACTGCTCATTAATGTCCCAGAAACACAGTTCCCCAGCCTGACTAACGGTGGCCTTCCTGTCAGGTAATCTGTGATCCAGGAAACACAGGAAGGATCCACTCCCATCTCTGTGAGCTTGTCTTTGAGTTTGGTGGGTTGGATGGTGTTGAATGCAATAAAAATTTGAAGAACATAAGAAACACCAGGTTCCTCCAGATGAGACAGGAACCTGGAGTTTATGTGAGGATGTGGAATATATGGAATATAGGAAAAGTATGCAGTGTAGGATTAAACATTGGAATAATGATTTAAAGTGCGGTAAATAAAGCGACATCAGAGAGTAATCCCTCTTCCTGCCTGCTGTGCGTGTGTGTCTGCTCCACCCTTTGTCACAACCACTACACCACAAACTGTTCTTGTTTATAGGTCAACAAGTCCTGGCGTTTTGTTCGGTCCTTTAACCGTCTCATAAAGATGCGAGCGTTACATCTGTGTCTGTTTAAGATCAACCGAGAGCAAAGGAGAGAGAGAGAGACAGCAACGTCACCTGGTCCTCATATATTTACTCTCAGTCTTTATCTATGTATTGCTGACAGGAAAGTTGACATCCACTTGGTTTTGAGGAAAATCTCATCTGATTTCCCCTTCACCACTGTCACAGTTCTGATAAATATTGGCCTGTTTGCTGTGACTTTTCCTCTGTACCAGGACGTATTGTACAGGTTTGATACTGGAATTAAAATGTGCGATTTTGGATGTTAAAATCTCTGGTGACATGACAGCTCTACATAAAAAAAAAGAGATGCTCGTAACAAAATTTCAGAAAAGCACAGAGCTCAGCCAAATGTGTTTTGAGCTGTAGATCTGTATTTGTGGCAGACAGCATGCAGGCAGTCATTGGTTTAGCCCTTCACGTCTTCCACAGCTGACTGGCTGATGCTAGTGGGCTGGCTAAGGAGTCTGGCTCTGGGCAGCATACAGATCAGAGTGATGTAACCGACTCCACTGTTGCCACTTCACTCCACTCTGTGTATTAGCACCTCTAATATACGCCCGGTCTTTCCCTCTTTAGTCACGTTTTTAAAGTCGTATCACTCTCCTCGCTGCGATGACACTCTCACTGTTATTTATTTTTGCTTTATCTCCAGCTCTGCTACGTGCTTTAATCCAGTCTTTCCACAGCCTGTCTTCTCTGCTCATATTTACTCTCCATCCCTCTCTCCTCTCCCTCCTCTCCCTCACGTGTCTGTGTTGTTGGCTCGTCACCGCTCTGCCCTCTTAACATTGACAGAAGGGTTGTGTGTGGCTGAGGGCAGAGGATGCTCTTTCTCTCTCTCTCTCTCTCTCTCTCTCTCTCTCTCTCTCTCTCTCTTTTTTCTTTCACCCCCATTAGTTTCTGAAGGTCATTACAAGAGTGTAGAGCCTTTTTTTTACCCACGCTCTTATATCTGTCCTCATCTCCGCACTCTGTTCAGTTTTCTTTTTCCTCTTTAGGTCATTTGTTTTCCTGGATTCTGGGTGTTATCTCTGTATGGATCACAGCTCTCTCTCTCTCTCTCTCTCTCTCTCTCTCTCTCTCCCTCTCTCTTTATCGTCCCTCTCATTTTTCTAATGGGACCGTGTTGGCCCAGTTCCCAAGGTCAACAAGGTTTTTAACTGAGCACCCACACAACTAACCTCATTTGTGAGGATTGGCTGTCAAAGCCTTCAGCACAGATTGGTGTTTGACAGGAGTGTCTCAGATTGATCAAACAAAGCCGTCATCTAAAATCTATGGAGTAGGTTTCTACCATAGTATAGGGTCAGTATGTGTACCACAGTACAGTAGAGTACTTTTTGAAACATTTGTTGGATTTTTTAATCTTTATTTAAATGCTTTTAGCAGAAAATTGTTTGTTTGAGAAGAGAAAGATTGAAAGATAATGTTTCACTTTCTGCCATTATCATTACTCTAGACATTCATCCCTGCAGAGAGTCAGAGTTTTTTAGTTGTGTATATCCACTTCATTCCTGAGGGAGCTACTGTATTTACGATTCTGGGTGAAACCAACGGTGCTATAATGGAAATAGAATTAAATTTGTTTGTCGTAGTGGCTAATCTCAGTGACTGAACATTGTTGGCGGTTGTCTCGAATCTAAAATACCTCACTCTATCTTGTTTTCAATGTATGCTTCGTTTTTATCGAGTGTTACATATTTGTAAATGTATTGTTTTTACATAGTTGTGGTAGGTGTTACGCTGCCCGCGGTTGTACTAACAACCAGACGAAAACAAATTTATGGTTTGAGGAGCAGTACTTTGAACATGCACCTAAAATAAAGAGGAAGTGTTCTTGTGACTTTCAATACAATTTCCATCATCTGCCCTCCGACAACAAAACAAAACAATCAGGCGGAAAAACCTAAACCTGAAGAATCAACCAAAGACTGTGTATGTCTGTTTGTTTATTTCGTCGATATAAAGCTGACTGATGAAAACCCATAAACCAATCGATCAGACTTTATTTATAAAGCACTTTTCATACAACAATGATGCAATGCAAAGTGCTTGAAGCAAGGACGTTTATACAAAGAGATCTCCGTACACACTTCTTATCCATATATGTAGCTAAACAAGAGCTGTGAAAAAGTACCAATACTCATAATAATAATAACAAAAACAATAACAATAATAATAATAATAATAATAATAATAATAATAATAATAAATTCAAAACAAATAAAACTGAAGAAACTGATATAAGAAATAAGCAAACTGAGAAAACACATTAGAAACATAATAATAATAATAATAATAATATGATAATAACAATAAAGCCTCAGATTTTATGTAGCGCTTTTTATCAGAGCTTTGTATGAGAGAATTGCCCATTAAAAAAAAAAAAGGAAAAAAAAAAAACTGTTACAGTGATAAAAAATGTTCTTATTAAATAATTTTGTGTATCTAAAAGCAGGGAAAATCTGCCAAAACACTAACATACATACCTTCCACAGTATTGCAACTGCATGACTGCAGGATCACCCTGATCCAGATTCTGTCATTGAGCTGCTTTCAGATGGCAACCTAATATGGTGACCGCCATCTTTAGGCTTCATCATGTCTCTTCAAACCGTCATTGAAACTCATTATTTTTAGGTGCTCTATATCAGGAAATTTGATCGGTGTTGTCTTTGCATTTGCGTCATGTTTTTCAGTGAATTCAGACGACACTTGTGTAACTGTAGACACAATCTCAAGCACACTGACATGAGCCGATTCGCAGCACACTGAAAGTTGTACCGTGACTCATGAACTGCTGCAGCATGCCCTAAATTGGAATGATTGAATAAGTTGGATGTCATCTTTTATTTCCTCCAGAACTTGAACCAGAACCCTCGCACTTTGCTGCCCAAGTTTTACGGCCTGTACTGTGTGCAGTCGGGTGGGAAGAACATCCGCGTGGTGGTGATGAACAACGTCCTCCCTCGTGCGGTTCGCATGCACCTCAAATACGACCTGAAGGGCTCCACCTACAAGAGGCGAGCATCCAAGAAGGAGAGAGAGAAAGCCCGACCAACTTTCAAAGACCTGGACTTCATGCAAGATCTGCAGGATGGACTGATGCTGGACCAAGACACATACAACGCTCTGGTCAAGACTCTACAGAGGGACTGCCTGGTGAGATGGATCTATTACAGTTGCTGAACTTAAACATCTACATGGTGTTTGTTTGTTTTATGATGCACTGCCCCCAAGAATGAAATCAGAAGGAGGGAAAACCAGGGGGAAGGGGGGTCCACATAAAACCCTGATCCAGAGTCTCCAGAGGCCCCAGAAAGAGAGGGGCAGTAATAACTGGAGGAAAGGTAGAAGAATAAATAAAGCACTGCCAAACAGAAAAAAAAGACTCCAGGGGAAGGATGCAGAGAACGAGTCTTCGAGATTAAAAAGTCCACATAAGGAAATGAAAAAGAGTTGGAAAACACTGCATGTTATGGTGTCCTGGTTAATAATAGAGGAACGGGGATGGTGGGAGGTAGGAGTGAAGGAGGTAGAGAGAGAAAAGCTATTTATGAGAGTGTTTGGCATTCCCAGGATCCCTCATAAATTAAAGGTTTGTTACGAGTGAGAGGTTTAACAAGGTGTCTGGCCTGGTAGAAGGCCTATTCTTGGCTTGTAAATCACCACCTCACGTTTACTTTTATGGTTCTTGTGCCTGGAAGGGAGTGTATGTGCATGCACTGGCTATCTATACATTTTTTATAACCGTGTGCATGCTTGTGCATCAATTCGCACAGCTCATCTTTTAGCCAGAATTTCAATCAATGGTTGATGTTTCTTCTGACGTAAACCATTTTGGATAAAAGCTTCTATGAAGAATGTTTCTACATGTTTTGGTCAATCACTTCACACTCTCACCTGTCTCTGTGTGTCCTTTCCTCAGGTGCTGGAAAGCTTCAAGATCATGGACTACAGTCTGCTGCTCGGGGTTCATAACATGGACCAGGCGGAGAGGGAGAGGCAGATGGAGGGCTCACAGGGTGGGAGTGATGAGAAGAGGCCCGTGGCCCAGCAGAAGGCCCTGTACTCCACAGCCATGGAGTCCATCCTGGGAGGAGCTGCCTGCGGAGGGTCCATCGACACTGACAACACGTGAGTTTAGCCAGAGACAGCAGAGGCTGACGGCGAACGAGCTGGGTGATAGATGTGTGACTGCTGGCACATGGACAGAGTGCCTGGAGGACATTTAATTCCCTAGTGGGTTATAAATTAGCAATGATTCACTTTTATTTAATAGCACTTCTTCAGCTGCTATTCAATGTGTCGACAAAAAGCTATTTCAGACTTGTGTGTATTTTTCCACTTTTTCTAATACTTTCACACTTTTATCTGGAGCTTGATATGCTTCAACACCAAGCAGAACATTTTAACAAGATTTGAGTTAGCTAAAGGAAAAGGAAAAGGAAGGAATGAAGAGGGAAAGTATTGATTGTTTATAACACAAGTTTTTTTGTGCTTCATATTTAAGGATGGGAGGTATTCCAGCTGTGAATGGACGAGGAGAGAGACTTCTGCTTTTCATTGGAATCATCGACATCCTGCAGTCCTACAGGTGATCATCACTTCAAGACTTATGTCCCCTGATTAAATCTCATTCAAGTCTCACTGACTGCAGATTAAATTCACATAACTCTTTGTACATACACCTTCATGCACGGTCCCCAGCATATAAGCATGTTGCTTACTTCTGCAAATGATCCCAACATGTATGACACATTTGACATCATTGAGATAAACTGGGCTTTACTTTGTGTCCCCAGGCTAATCAAGAAACTGGAGCACACATGGAAGGCTCTGGTTCATGATGGGGTGAGCTCTTAATGGTTTTCTCTATTTTTAACAAGAGACACAGCCAATAGATGTAGGAACCTATATTTATATATTAAGGATATTATACACATGTACAGTATCTCAACAAAAACCCCACCCTGTTCTACATGAATATTTTCTATCTGTTTTCTCTCTTTATTTTTTATCCTCACTGCCTTTCAACCTGTAGACTTAAAACTGTTGATTTCATCCTGGCCAAGTAGCTTTACCCTGTCCTTAAATCACAGTCACTGAAAGCACAGCAGGTTTTTCTCCAATCACAGCTACAGCCCAGCAGTCTTAAAAGGAACTGAAGTTTTTAAAAAGCTGTATATATAACCAATAAAACCTGTCATTGTCGTAAAGGATAACATTATTTTTTTATTTTTTTATGAAGTGATGCAAAACAGAACATGACAGATGAGGGACAACAAAAGAAACAGATGGTGAAGACAAGACAGACACAAGCAAGAGCAGTGGTTCTTAAGTCCAGTCCTCCAGGCCCACTGTCCTGCATGTTTTGGATGTTTCCTTGCTCCAACACACCTGATTCAAATGATCAGCTCGTTATCAAGCTCTGGAATGGCTTACTAACGAGCTGATCATTTGAATCAGGTGTGTTGGAGCAGGGAAACATCCAAAACATGCAGGACGGGGGGCCTCGAGGACTGGACTTGAGAACCACTGAGCTAGAATGACAGTTCACCTTAAAAAATAAAATAAAATAAAAAATGTTAAAGATGAATGTCAAATTTAAAATATATATCTATATATAAAGAATAACGTTACTGTACTGACTAGAATCACCTTCAGGAATAGACAGTTTATCTTAAAGATTTAATGTTTAGAATAAATTCTCAAAGCACTGAAATCCATTCGGCTGGTTAAAAGATTATGGAGTTTTTTTTTTTTATTACACCTACTGTATATGATTGATTAAATGTCTATAAGGTCAGTATACAAATGTGATTTTTTTTCAGCAACAATCAAGACACAAGATAGCATTGGTCCTTATCGCCTTCTCCCCTTGCTTTACTTTCTACACTCTCTTCAATACTTATGATGTACATAATCATACTTATTATGTATGTAAGAGAGCAGAGAACCCTTAGCATCAGTGTCGCTGCAGCTGATGGATACTGCTTACCCTCTCGTTGCATCAGCGTTACACACAGTCATTCAGATAGGTGGATGACTTTATAGATGTTACTCACAGTGAAGCCCAGTGATGCTGAAGCGAACGAGCCAAAAATAACCAAGCTGCTGTCCTCAGTCTTTCCCCTTCTTTTTGTCTCAACCAAACACCAAGTGTCACCTGTCAGTCTGTTGCAGCATTAATAATAGAGAGGTAGTCTGTAGTCCTGTTTTTCTGCCTGTGCCTGTTTTTGTTAGGTTGTTTATTTGTTATTCCGCCTGCTGATGTGACCAAGAGAGAAAAAGAATACAGAACTAGGACACTAAAGATATTGTTATCTATCATAAGCATGCTGTTGATCATTTTATTCATGCTCTGTTTGTCCCATTAATCTCCCTGACTCTCTCCCTCAGGACACGGTGTCAGTCCACCGGCCAGGCTTTTACGCCGATAGGTTCTTCAAGTTCATGAGCAACACGGTTTTCAGGAAGAGCTCCTGTGAGTTCACTTTACAGCGAGACACTGCCTTACATAGTCAGACAGACAGGGCTGTGCGCGAAGACCAACAGAAGCACATGTCAGATGCCAGGCTTTTGTCTCTTTAAGCGCCAAGCCTTGACACGAAAATCTGATACTGCAGCAAACTGCCTTATTAGGTGCTGCTTCATGTCATGTCAGAGGAAAATCTTCTATTTGATCCTGGTGCAGATTTCTTTGTCATCACTCTCAGAGAATCATCAAAGACAAGTGAAGACTTCTTTTTTAACAAGGAGGCAAAATGTTTTGGATTTTAGCTCAGCCTTTTTACACCCTAGGGGGGCTTTTATGAATACATTTCCAATTATCATCAGGCTAAATTAACCATCTATGACAGTAATCCCCTCAAGATTGCATTTGTTATGACATGCAAAACATAAACTTAAAGAAAAGAAAATAATTTTCAAAATGCAGAACTTTTAGTGTTTTTTTATTTGTTCACAAAATATCACCAAATCACATGTTCATGCTTCCCAAAGATATTCAACTGTGTTCATGTACATCATCCCTCAGCTCTGAAGTCATCCCCATCCAAGAAGGGCCGTGTGTCGTTGACGGTACCGAAGCTAACCGGCCCCGGTGCGGCCTGGTCAGCCAGCCAGCTCCCCTCTGAGAGAGACGAGAACATCTATGACCTGAGAGGAGCTCGCAGCTTTCCAACATTGGAAGATGAGGGTGAGAAACACTCCAACTAAAGATAATCAGACAAAGATAAGAGAAAAAGGCGCGGGGTGAACCAAAATGTAGCCTCTTGTCTGCCATGGTGGTGGATGAGTGGTTCAAGAGATTTGACAGTAAGTGCAGGTAGATGAGCTTAACTGTAAGTCTCTTCAGGTCACTGAATCTCAGATTAAAATGCAGCTCAGGTCACTAATAAAATGGAGTGCAGCTTCTGCTCACATAACACAAAAATGTTTCACAGTCTCCTTTTTTTTTTCAACGTTAACACCGCTGATTGTTCCAAGCTTGATAAATAATAGGCTTTTAGCTGTTGCCATTGGAAACAAAAAGCTCCATCATCAGAGCAGCACTTCAGAAACAGCGAAATAAGAGCTGAAAACCAGAAAATGAATAGGCGCCAGCTCAAAGTTAATATAACTGTCGAGAAAAGTACCCCCTCTCACACTCTCTCTTTGTACCTCTCTCTCTCCCCCAGGGCGACCAGATCTCCTCCCATGCACTCCTCCATCGTTTGAAGAGGCCACCACAGCCTCAATTGCCACCACTCTCTCCTCTACCACCTCCCTTTCCATACCCGAGAGATCCCCCTCTGACACAGCCGAACATCCCCGCTACAGGTGCTAACACCCGTGTCCACCCACTCAGACACGCACACACTCAGAGACACTGAATTTAGACAAATAATTTGACTGAAATCCTCAAAATACAATTCAGAAAATGAAAGAAAACACATGATGACATTGGTAGTTTTGAATGTTTTAAAAGCAGCAGCATTCTGCTGTGTGTGGATCAGCTGCTGCAGTTGTCACTTACAGACTGTGCTGACACTGTGTCCTCTGTCTCCAGGAGGCACACCCAGTCTCTCAGCCATGACGGGAGGTGAGTCAGAGGCATGACTTCTACTTTTACTTCATAAACCTTTCCAAGCAGGAAAAACTGTGTGTTTTCTCTCTGTTCTGAGGCGTCCAGCTTAATGTTTTCACAGCGAGTAAACATTTCAGGGTGTGGTGGGTGTGTACGAGAGGAAATGTGAGGTCGACCTGTTGGTCAGTGTGTTTATGAGTCGACCCATTTTTCCTGTTGCTTAGCTGTGGCTGTGTTAGTTTTCCACATGTGTTTCATTTCCTGCGCCCGTGTTGTTTTATGGGCGTTTGTTTATATGCAGGACCCAAGAGGAGCTGCGTGTACGTGAGGAGGATCAGCAGACCATCACAGTGGAGGTGGAGTTAAAGAGACCTGACAGTGAACCCACCATCTCGGTGCCACAGCCTCCACCTGAAACCAGGTACACCAACATCACTGCAGCACACTTTAACATAATCATTCCCAAATTTAATCATTTTTTACCCTAAGGCACATTTAAAAAGGTACTATCTAAAGTATCTACTAAATAATGTGGTTAGGCATGAAGGAGATGAACGCATTAGCTGTCAACAACACAGATTTAAGGTTAGCCTCAATACTGAAATACTTACATTTTTGACACTGCAGATATCATTCAAGATTGAAAAGTATTCAAATTAACAATGTTCTTCTCTTTTTACCAGACCTTTAAAAACTCATTAAAGTTGAAAATATACCAGTTGACCAAATGGACCATTAATCAAAAGCAGAACATATGACTGTCTGTGACCTAGTTCACCTGTAAGCAGGTATTCTTGAAACTAGCTTTTTTGTGCTTTTTGACCCTCTGGATGCACACAAACAGAATTTTAGGTCACTGAAAATGGGATTTTCAAAAATAGGTGAAGATTTTTAAAACTGTTGTCTCTGAATGAGTGTGTGGACAGCAAAAATAATACTTTACATAAACGCAGATGTCATTTCCTCATCCTGCACATGGCAGTAATTTGTGCATGCTCTGTGGGTCTGGGGATGGAAATTAGCCACCTGGCTAGAATCTCATGTATTTACATGTAAATGTTCATTTATACGCATTGTCCCATCCATCCATTTTCTACCGCCTATTCCTGTTCGAGGTCGCTGGAGCCTATCCCAGCATCATCGGGCGAAGGCAGGGGACACCCTGGACAAGTTGCCAGTTCATCAACATAAACAACCATCCACACTCACATTCACACCTACGTGGCCAATTAACCTAACCCCACTACAAACTCCACACAGAAACGCCCTGACCCAGATTCAAACCCAGGACCTTCTTGCTGTGAGGCGACAGTGCTAACCGCTACACCACCGTGTCACCCATGTATTATCCCTTTTTAAATAAATAATAAATGAATCTCTAATGAATGCGCCAAGTTGGCAGGCAACCAAGATCCAACAGCTCAGTACTCAGTTTAATATCATGCTTGGAGTAAATACTGTAGCTGTTCTTCATCATTTTATCAAGATGTTTGGGCAAATTAAGATAACATGCTCAATAGTCTTTAATTCTCCACTCACACTCAATACACATGCACACAGTATTCTTCTGTGATGTTTGATGTGAGAGACTGATCGCACGTCGCATCCTTATGTAAACATTTTCTTTTCTGTTGTGTGGACAGGAAACTAAAAAGTATTTATGACAAAAAGGTTCCTTTCTGCCATGCAGCCCCATTCCTATGACCCTGATTCTGGATGGTGAAGCAGTGGAGCGTAATGAGTCCTTCATGACCCCAATCATCAATATGGCACAGTTTGACAGTACATTATAAATAACCTGAGGCCAGTGTCTCACCTGGACTCAGCCGGCTGTTACCTTAGCGTACCTCTCGGCTTCACGTTATCTGTAACCTGGCACACATTGGGACACAAGTAGCAACCTGACCCATTTGTTTATTGGACTCGTGAGTCCCCCTGTAGTAGTTAAATAAATACTGCTGTCACTGAGTGGAGCAGATATCTTCTCTGCTTTAATCAGGTTATGAGAGAGTGCACACGTGCATGTAAATTCGTGTTGTGTGTATGGACAGTGTGTTTCTTCTTTAATGGGGTGACACAGGGTAGAGGGAGCCCTGACAGAGGGGGGGGGGACCAGCCTGTGGAAGTAGGGCAGTGGGGCGGAAAGACTTCAGGCCTGGGGCTTCCCCCTGTTAAGCTGGAGTGACCCGACAATTTGCATCTCATAACCTTACTTTTGATTAAAATGAATTTCTTTGGCATTTCGGCTTCATTTAAAAGTGAAACTGCTTCAGAAAAAAATGAAACAGGAGAACCAAAACTCAACATCTTTTAGAAAAACAAGTGGCATAAACTTAAGGAAATACACTGAAATCAAGGGAGCTGATCTGAAATCAACCGTTCAGCTCACATTTGTGCTGGGGTGAGGTCAGTAAGGATCAGGATGATATTAGTGAGGGAAACCAACTGAATAATAGAGTCTGATGCTGAGAAGGCGTTGGCTAGACATATGGCCCGGGGGTCTGGAGGGAGCCGCCAGGGAGGAGAGATGAGGGGGGGGAGTGGGATGGTGAGAGAAGCTGAAACTGTGATAGACGACTGAATTTACCATCTGACTGAGCCCAATCCCTCGAGCTCGCTTGAGCTCATCTACAGCTGGAGGTGAAATAAGAGGGATGGAGCAAAGAAAATGAAATGGAAGGACTGAATGGAAGAGGTAAGGAGCAAAGAAAGTCGAGGGAAAGATGAAACAGATACAGAGAAGAGAAGAAGAGAGGCAAAAGAAAGATGGAGAGACTGATCAACAGAGAGGAAGATGCAGAATGTGTTTAGTCATAAAAGGTAGATTGAAATTGCTGTGAATGAAAGAGAGACGTTCTGCATAGCAACCACCATCCTATCCCTCTCATTTATTCATCCAGTCTCTTCTCTCAGAGATGCCAACTCTCCTTTTCTTTTTTTCCTAAGCAGCCGACTGCATTTCCTCTGGAGAAGCTAAGCCTGAACACAGAAGCTGAGAAAGCAATGTGGATGGGCCTCAATCCATCCTAATAGTTGGTGATCTGGCCAGGAACAATAAAGGATTGTGACAACGCACAGCCAGCTGGCCAATCTTAGAGCTTAAGCAGCTAAACAGAAAAAGCCCCCCAACAGACACACACACACAGCTGTTGAATTTCAGCCTGAACTTGTCGTCTCTAATAGCCTGGTGCTGTTGCCCTGCCCGGCCGGCTTATGTGAAGAGACCCAATCAGTGGCTCTTAATGTCAGCAGCAGCTGTTTTTGTTTATGTGTGTAAGTGTATGGGTTTAACAAGGTTGTTTACTTGTTAACTTATTTTCTTAGAGCTGGCGTGGGCTATCATTTTTTGATCATTTACTTTTATTTTCATTATTATTTATCATTCATTATATTAATATATGTATATAAATAGATAGGTATATGCACACACACACAATCAGTATATAGCGGTCTTTATAAAGCTTCTGTAGTTTCCACTCTGAGTTATCAGCAGCAGATATGGATGTTTTAATCGTTCATCTAATTGATCAGCATCACATCTAGGGATGCACCGATCCGATACTTATTATCTGTATCGGTCCTAATACTGAAGAAAATTCTAGATCTGGTATCGTGACAATGGGCCCAATGCATAGAGGCCATAGGGGATCTATTTGGTCTAATTCTATGCTATGCGCTGTGAGTGGCATCCACAAGTAAACACACTGAGCAGATGCCAACATTGTTTTCAAAATGGAGCAAGCAAAGGGGTCTGCTATCTTGAACTTTATCACAATACTTAAGCCTACAAGCTTGACGGCCACTTGCAATACCTGCGCAGTACATGTACTGAGGAGCAGTGGTGAAACTTCAGGTTACAACAAAAGGTAATTTAGTGCGGCTTTTCTGTATCGGAATTGGATCGTATCAGCGGATACTAAACTGTAGATATCTGTATCGTATTGGAGGTGAAAAAGCGGATTGGTGCATCCCTAATCACATCAGCATTGTCGTTCATAAGGCAACACAGTGGCTGCTTATTAAATCCTAAACAACTACTAGCTTGAGTTTAAAGCTGCTGTGAGGAACTTTGTGACTACTCTGTTGCTGATTTCATCCTGTCCTTCTGAAAGTGGTGTCAAACAGATGTCTGGAAGTCACCTCTAACAATATTTTACTGAGACAGATTTTATTTTGTCTGAGCCAAAGTTTTTTCTTTGTAAGCATAATAAAATTCTTGTATTTTATCAAATGCAATTTAAAAAAAGGAGCAATGTGATATCGGTCATCAGCCTTTCTGCTCTCTCACAGTTGGCATCATGTGTGAAAAACTGGTATTGATTGATCACTAATCTGTACACGACTGGTAAAAAGAAAACAGGGATTGCCAAAAGCCACGTTGGCAAAAAATCAAACCTATAATAGTAAGAACAGGGATCATGTTGTAGCCCACAGTATCACAGCATCCACAGAAACATCTCTTCTGTTTACATGCCTCAACAGACTGTTTGGGAGATGTAGTTTTCTTTCTTTTGTCTGAGAGGGCACACAGTGGCAGATAAAGAAAAAAACAGTAGTTCTCACTAAGAATCCCTCTTCTGCCTTCCTACAGTGAGGTTCAAGAAGCAGCCGAGGCCTCTGATGCAGCTGCAGCAGCACCTCCCAGCCCTTCATCAGCACCTGAAGCGTCTGCTGCCCCCGCCTCTGCTGCAGCCTCCTCTTCCTCCCCCTCCTCAACCGCCCCGCCTGAGCCTTCTTCTCCAGAAGCAGCTAAAGAGCCCCCGACCAGTCCCAAGGTGGTGGTGGAGGCAGACAGGGCCAGCCAGGTGTCCGGCTCTGGGTGCACCAGCCAGGCTTCAGTCGATGATGAAGATGATGTGCCAATCACAGATATCTACTTTGTGAGTGATCTTTCCAAAGTCAGAAAATGAACAGACATGAACATCTGAAGATTGTTAGAATATTTATTTGAAGTCTAAAGTAACCAGAGCCCAAACTCAGCCTAGCTCCCATAATTTCTCACCTGTTTGAGTTTGCTTTTGTATTCAAGCAATTGAACCTTTTTAATATTTTGACCATTTAATCAATGAGTATTTAGTTTGAGATGTACTTATTTTAAAAATAATGTACTTTTAAAAATAAGTCAAGGACTTTGCATCTTGATGCTCTCCCACAGAGGCGAAAAAGGACTGCAGAAAGAAAGTAGCACCTCAGGCTGGTATGGAAACAAGCGCGTGTGCAGTTATTGCTTGCAGTGTGTGGTGCATTGAGTTAAAAGGGTACTTCAGCTTTTTTTTTTTTGGAAAATATGCATGTTTGCTTTCTTGCAGAAATGTTTGACAAGACTGGCAATGCTTTCATATTCTGAAGGCAAAATATGAACCCAGCAGCTGGCTTATCTGGAATTGCACAAAGGGGTGAGAGCACAGAGAACCGTATGCTGACTATTTATTTGCCAGTTGCGGGTTAAGCCAACTGCCCGCTGACTTTTTATCAATAATTACCAATAATGCAAATACGCATATTTCCCAAAATGTCAAACTACTTCTTTGAACACAGCCTATTGCAGTGTGCACCTTTGTGTGAGGTGAGTTTGACGAGTGATGATAGTATATCAGTCCATCTAATGAGGTCATGGGCCGCCACAGCATCATTTAGTTTGATAACAACTGAGGTTCAACATGTTAGACCTCACTGAAACCAGCTATCAGCAGACAGAGTTATGCTGGCAGGTCTACGTGTGCGCACATGCACACCTATAAATGAATGTATGAGTGTCAGGTGGAGGGTGGAGAGGGGAACCAGTGATCACTGTTACTGATAGAAATGTTCCCACATGACTGCACTCCTGCTGGGTGTCTCCTATCAGGAATCAAACACCTTCTAATGCAGCATGAGAAAACCTTAACGGTCAACAGGTTAGTCAAAGAGCTCCCTCAGATATTTAACAGCCCTCTCATCTGACCAGCTCTGGCTGCCGCCCAGCTTCACCCAAAAGGAGGTTAAAAAAGAAAAAAAACACCTCAAGCACACAGCAGAGGGGAGTCTGTGGCACTGCGTGAGGTGAACGGATCCTCAAGTTTGACTACACACAACTGTGCTGCAGGCCGTACATGCACAAGCGGCTTTTAGTGGGACTGAATAAATAAAAGTTGCTTCATCAGCTTTAAACACACTGTAAAAGAGAAAAATCAGATAGAAAAGCTGGACATTTCTTGCATTTAGAATAAAGTTAGGTACATTTGAAAAAAAGTAACCCTGCATCTTCACTCAGTTTGGTTATCTATCCACTCAGTTAGCTATCTCGCTATCTGATCATCATTTGTCTCCTCTTTCTGTTTGTCCTTTCTCCATTTTAATGATTATTTCTTTCACTTGAACATCTCATAGAATTTAGGTTTCTGCAGGATTACTCAGTTACTCTGTTTTCATCTATAAACACATTTGTGCGTCTTTTGTCTGATCACCACAGAAGCAGTGTCACTCTCAAGTAACAGGAGCTCTCTGAACGAGCGATATCTTTAGTTTTTTTTCACAGAGCATTGTGAAGTTTGGTCAGTAATTATATCAAAGTATTTTTCATTTATAGACCAGAAGAAGCAATGACTTAAAATTAATGGCAGCCTTTCTGCTGTAGATTCACAAGATCAAGTGGTGGTTGTCATTGCCCTTTAACGCAGCACTGAAGTTTTTGTAGAGTAAATGTTGAATTTTTCTCTCCACTGCTACGAGTCATAACATGTACAAGAGAACAGTCATGTAGGTGCGTTAAAAAAAAGACAGAGCTGGTTTAGTTTAGTTTTCATAGTCAATAGAAAATCGAGCTCAGGTAGAGAGTAAGTTTTTTCTATAATCTGGATGTAAACAGATAATCAAATGTAATGATTTTAGCTCTTCACCTCTTTTGAGCAGAAGCTAGCTTTGGGAATCATTAAGAAACCGAAAATCTAAAATGGTATCAGGACAACAACAAAACAATCTGAATTATCTAAGCTTGCATTTTGATCAATCTCCAAACTGTAATTTCTGTATATCTCAGAAAATTTGCTTTTATAGTTTCGGTTTTTGATTGAAACTAGAACTACCTGGGCTGTGGTGGGGTTTTACTTTTACAGAGAGCTCAGTAATAAACATATTATTTGAGTCCTTGTTCATCATCCTCATCAGTTTTCAGTTTTGAATAAGTTCCTTATTATAGTATATTATATTACACTATATCATGTCATGTCAATCATATTATATTATATCATATTATATTAAATTATATTATATTATATTATATTGTATTATATTATATTATATTATATTATAATCTGTTGTAAATGTACTATACTTTGAGGACTGTTTTTCTTAACCCCCTCTGTGTCATGAGATGTAAAGAAGGCAAGTGGAATTACACTTCTGACATCTGAGATAATAGCATAGACAACAGGGCACATTATTTACCCCTGAGAGTGGGATATTTGTTCACAACTTAGGGAGACCTCAGGTGTGTGAGTCTGTGTTTGCGACTGTGAGAGTGTGTTTATCTTTGGTCTCTTCACACTTTCTTCAGAGTGGCTTTGGTCCAAATTATTTAGCCACACTCATCAGTCCTCACTTTCCATGGTTACCCCCACTTTTCCTCACCCCCCCATGTATTTTCTCATTCCTATCCTCTATTGCATCCTCTCCTCTCTTCTGTGATTGTCCTAATAATAAAATCTGAGAGATAGTGAGGTGTGGATACCTGCCAGACTTGTGTATCTATCTGTCACCACCACAGACACCATTGAGTGTATCTCTGCCGGGTTCTGCGAATACCGCTCTTTTTTTAATTTTCACCTCAGCATGCTTCCTTTGTTTCATCATGTTCTCCTCAGTACCTCTTCACTTTACTTCATCTTTGTGTTTGTTCCTGTTTTGTACACCCGTGTTGATGTCAGTTTCCTGATGGGAGGACCTGGGTGGTCTCTCCTTTTCCAGAGAGGAGGAATTACGAGTCCAGTCAGCCAGTAAGTGAGAAGTGAGTTAGATTAGTCATGTGAGTGATTGCTGTCCTGGTGTTAGAGTAGATCAGTGCTACTTTGGTCCTGGCTTCATGAAGCAGGTAATGTAACAAGACTGTATTCCAATCCAGCAGCTTGTCGTGAATCGTGTGAGTTGTTCAGAGCAGGTGTTTTGTGCATAGGAGATAAGATCTACCTTCCTCATTGTAAAGACACTGATGTGTGGAAGGAGAGTAAACAAAGAGCTGCGTATATGACAGTCTGTCTGTTTACTCTTGGTTCAAAACTCTGTTTCCTCACACGCTAACAGCCAGCCTTATCCCTCTTTGCATCTGTGTGGAAAGCTGTGTTAGCTCCAACATGCTGAGATTTGTGTGTGCATATATGTGTGCGAGTGAGTGTCAACAACCCACATCTCCATCACCACAGCCAAGGAGCACCATGCTGCAGCTGTTCCCCTCCTTTTTTAAAGGGCCAGTACTTTAAGCAACATGCAACCCACCCAGGCTTTTACAGACATTATGCTAAGACTTCTTTCGCTTCTGGTGTTGGAAAAAGAAAAAAAAGATCCCCTTGCTGTGTTTTGCTTTGACTGAGGATGCTCTCTGTCAAACTTTCCCAGCATCCTGGCTATCCTCCCATTCCCACTTCCTCCTGCCTGCTCCTCATCTTACCTGTTTGGCTGATGCAGCGGCTCATCCCTTGCTTTGTGCACTCCACTCCTTGTCCCAGGATCAAGTCCTTATGGGGCAAAAAAAAAAAAAAAATAAGACATACGCTGTAATCAAAAGTCTGTAAAAAACAATCATGATGTTTACATACTCAACTGCACCTCTTTGTATAGATTCAACCTATTACTTACAGTAATTCTCATCTCTATGTTCAAGTCTTCTAACCACCAAAAGGATTAACACATCCTTTTTAACACTTTTAACATTTTTACACTTTTTGATTCACACTCTCCGATGTCTCTCAGCAACATTTCCTCCTATATGCATCCCTAATTTTCATTTCCTGTCTTGTCTTTTCTTCTCCTGTGATCTCCTGTGTCGTTCTCCTGCCTGCCCCTGCTGCTTGTCTCTGTGCCTCTGGCCTTTCCTCTGTCCCCCTCTGCTGTGGTGGGTGTGTAAAAACAGCCTCCAGAGGACAGGACCTGGGTGTACTCTCCGCTACACTATGGCTCAGAGTCTAAGGCCCTGCCAGATGGGGATTGGGAAGGAGAGACAGTAAGTGAGAAGCATCGGACTGAACTATCAAGTGCAGGAAAATTTGTAGATGATTAGAATCAGCTGATTCTCTTTACTCAATTTAATAAGTGCAGAAAGGATTAGCTAACTTTCAATGTTTTAGACCTTGTGAGAAGATGTACAAAGATTCAAATACTCCATGATCACTCCAGGAGAAAGCTTGCTACGCATCCAGAAACCCACGCCTACATTACTGCATTCATTCCTCATTACTAAAGGGTGGAAATGGTCACTCGCAGTTTGTGTGACCATTTAGTCCACGACCAGCCATCGTGTGTCCCTCCAGCAACAAGCCGCTCAGTATTTACTGCATCACATTACTACATCAGCCTGCCTGAAGCCATTACGCTGGAGCATCACTAGATCCTACGACTCAAGCTGCATTTGTTTACAACAAAGATAATCACATTAAACTCAGCGAGTGGTCATGTTACAGAGCATGGATGTAATTATATTGAATCTTGAGCATTGTGGGTAAGTTTTTCAGTTCAATATTATTGATATTTTGTAGCTTTTTTTGGATGACAGAAGGCTGTTTCACTGTTTCCACACAAAAAAACATACTTTATATCAAGTTATCTCATTTTAGAGGTCAGGTAAATCTGAAATATTAGACATTTATAATGTAATACCAGTGGACCTTGACAGCAAAACCATTTAAAAAGAGTTGTTAACTGGCTGCTCGTCTGTTAAGTTCAGTTGTTAGCATTTTCCAGCACTCTATTGTATGCCTGTTGACTTTTATACCTGCTCACTTCATTTCTCTTTTATTTGTTTAGATTTCGGACGCACCTTCACATTGGAGATGCTCAAGCTAAATTTTTTTGCCCACATTTTGTTTATATGGTGAATAGTTTGAACTGCCATGTATTACAAAGATGTAAAGAAAACTTAAAATTACAAATACAAAAAATTAAACTTCTTTATGTACACTTGCCTCGACTTAACTGTAATGCTGAAAGTAAGTGGCTTTTGACCTTCTGTCTTCTTCGGGTTAAATAGTTCTTCAATCCAGACACCTTTATACTTTGTGAAACATTTGCCTCTCTGGTACAAGAAAGCTTTTCATTCAACTCAAATTCAAGCAGACACACAAGAAGCAAGTAAAATAAGAAGAGGCAATTGAACCAGCCAGTATGTAACCCCTAAGCAATCATTATACCAGGTGTGTGTGTGTGAGCTTTGTGCAGTATATTTTTGCAGGCTTCACTTTTCTTCTCTCTCGCCTTTCTTCAAAGACTCCTCTATGAGTTAACTCACTGTTTCACGATTATTAGGAAGGGATGCATGAGAAAACACCCACTTAACAACATGGGGGTTTCAAAATTATTTGCTGTATGCACTGTAGGTCTAATTCTTTTACTTTGCTGTCTGTTTGTCTATCTCCAACAGTAAACCCTGTTCTCTGGCAGAGAGGAGTGGATTTGTCAGTGAGGGGAGGACTCTGCAGTGTGAAGTCAAAAGCTCAGCAGTAGCAGCAGGATCTCTGCCTGAACCAGGATTTTAAACATGCATACAGAAACTGAACACAATGTGGGGAAAAGAGACTTTGACGACCAGAGAGGGAAAAAAAACTGTCAGTGAAGACATCATGGAATTTCCAACCATCCCTGCCTTTCACCCTTGACAAATGAAAATGATCAGTTTCAATATGATGTGTATGCGTGACACACTCTAGTGCATATACACGTTGTCTTGTTTTACATACTTAGGAGACCATAGTAACTTACTGTGCCTGTGAAGAGTATTCATCCCCTTTGAAGTTTTCCTGTTTTCTTGTCTTTCCACACTGACAGATCCAATCTGGCTTTAAGATAAGAGAAAAATATAAATGAGAAATTATTGTTAAAAAAAAAAAAAAAAAAAGAAAGAGATACTTTATTCATAACAACCAAATTTTACAAATGAATAACTTGTTTTGGGGGGAAGTAAGTGATTCTTTTTGTCATCGTAATGTATACCCAGAGACAAAGGAAAGACTTTTAAAACAATGCAAAAGATTTGGGAGGGAGAAAAAAAGTGAAAATTAAGAAAGTAAAATGGGGATGGAAAAATTGATAAATGTTTTATGATTTCATCAACAAGGAAGAGGGATATTGTTTTGATGTGGTCTTTTTGAATTTAATTACATCTACTAGGACAATGAAACGTAACCTTTAAGTAAGGTGAGGACCATCTCCAGGCAGAGTCCATTATTATAAGTACATGTAGCTCATACAGCTCAGCCCTCAACCATTTCCCACAGACCCACTCACTCCTGCAAAGCAGCACACTTCAATTTGCTTGTAAGAGTGAGTGGGCTAAACCGCGTTATTACAGGGTTTTGTTTCCTTTCAGAAAATCAGACTTGGATTAAAAACCATCACATGGTCAATTAAAATCACCTAGACTCCCATCATCTTCACATTATTGCCGTTCGAGTCACTAAGTGGAGAACTGAACACCGAATTTACTTTAGAAATCACCTACAGCAAACTGAATTTGTTTGGTTTTGTTCATAGCACGATTATTTATTTGTATACAAACTTTTTTTAGTTATTTTCTTCAGCTATTTTACCACTGTGAGCTTTTATTTATGTCCTCCTTTATTGTTCTAATCTTCACTGTCAGTGGTAACTTTTTTCACCCTGAAACGCTTAAATGCTTTTTTGTTTGCATCCAAAGACCTCTGTTTTGATCATTTCATCACTGCAGCTTTTGCCAGATTCCCGATTTTATACGTGTTAATTGTATGAATTCAGTGTTATAACTTTTATCTCTACATCGCTTGTGGAAATGTCTGAGGCTTTTTAAAAAAAAAAAAAGGGTTTCCATTGTAACACTTAGGCAGCAGGTATTGTCAGCCATTATGGTAATATTCATATCATCATAGTGTCTTCCATTGCTGCCCCATTTCTTGACAGATTGACTTGAATCATTTGTTACAAAAGTGTTTAATACTTTCATTTTTACATAGATGGAAAAATAATCAGCATATCAGTGATACTTGATACCATAAATATCTGGTCCCCCTCACCTCTTAATAATAAAAATCTACTGACTGGACATTTGAAATGTTTGTAGACATAGAGCATCAGTGTAGAAACTACAGTCAATATTGTACCTGTTATCTGTATGTTTGAATGAACACAGTAAGTTGAGGTGCTGACATGGTGAGGCACCGCAGTTTGTGAATCGACCGAATGTTGTTTGCACTTATCAAGTGGACCTGAAGATGAACAAGTGATAGAGGCCAAATAAACATACATCACATCATCTTCATTTCTGCTCTCACAGGCTGACCTTTAGACGGCATTTATGTTATGATTATCAAGTGTGTGTGTGTTTGTGAAGTCAATCACAGTCATCGTAGTGTTTACTGTAGTCTCTCTGTGACAGACATCATAGGACTCGCAAGTTAAACTTTAGTTCAAGTTCAACAGACTACGTTTTTATAATCTAGCTTCAGAAACAGTTCCTTTGGTTGGTTGATTCGTTTCAATCTATGTGTGTGTTTAAGGAAGGGCACATCAATACAAGATATTATTGAATAGGAATCAGTTCATTATGATAATGTGCAGTGGCCAGTTCTAAGTTTGCTGTTGTTCATCAGATGGAGACCATAGCAGCAATATTTTGTACAGTATAGCTTTTAAGTTCAATGTTATTGCCTTATTAAAAAGTTTTACATGTAGGCCTATGATTTATATTTGTTTTTCACTTGTGTTGTTGTATTTATTTTACTTTCTCATAGTTGTGCTCGAGAGAATGTGTACATAAAATTATAAATACATATATAAAGATATACAAATATATTTTCCATTTGAATCGGAGAATATTATTTTTATTTGGTTTTATTTTTGCTGCTGGGCAAGATATGATTGCAATCAACATAATTTACTGTACCATATTCTTCTGTGTGAAATGAGATGCAGCTGCTGTATATTTACGGTCTATAAACCACAGTTGTTTCTTTGTAAGATATCCAAAATTCAAAGATTTGTGGGTTTTACTGTACATGCAAATCAATAGGGATTCTTCCAACTGTTCCAGCTGTGTTGTGTATGTGTTTTCAAATCGCTGTGTGCCCTTACCCAATAGGGGGAGTCCTTGACAGAGACAAAGCATGATTTCAAAATGAATATGCATATCAGAAATGTGTATTTATGTATATCTGTGTATATGCATCTATTTATACCTGAGGTTAAATAGATGGCCGTGTGTGTGTGCGTGTTTGGACTCAATCAGAATGACGTAAAATAAAGCAGTTCTATGAATTGTTGTCCATCCAGGAATTTTTTTTTATGGATTTCTTGTTTCTAATCAGGCTTTTAATGTACAATAGTGCAGGGCTGTTGAACAAGTCAACAAGAGTCTGTGATTAACAGTTTTGACTGCATTTTGATGAGAGGGATTAATCAGTGTAGTCATGGGTAAGTATCAAATATAGTACAAATGCAAACTGTTTTTAGTATTTTCTTTCACTGTATGTTATATTAAATATCATGTAAGAATCACATTTGTGCACCATTTGCATCAAAATATATTTGTAAATTTGATCAAATTAAATATATTGCCTAAAAATGTTTCATATACCTCTAAATCTCAAGGACTTTTGTCGCTTAGCCAGGGCCGGCTCTGCCTAAATTTGTGCCCTAGGCAAGATTACCCCCCCCCCCCCCCAACAGCAAAAAGTTAAGGTAAGTAATGAGAGCAGCCAAAACAACAATAACAACGGTCAAAACAATCACAACTTTCAGGTAAATCTTTCCAGCGTGTCTTTCATTTTAACTCTATATTTTTATTGTTTTTATTTTTTTATGTATTTTTCCTCAAGGCCAATGGTGTCTGAGAGCGCCCCTCCAGCAGATGGCGCCCTAGGTGACTGCATGTATCGCCATGCAAATAGCACAAGCATTTAAAAAAATTTAATGATGACAAAACTGGTTGACAAATTAACAATGAAGAGCATCATGAATCAGATTCAATTAAATCAGGTGTTGCGAAATAAAGATGCAACTATGCCGTACAATGTTTTGGTGTTTCTATTGATGTTATGTGATTTATTATTTTTGTATCTTTATCTTTTATATTTTACCTCTATCTTATTTCGCTTTTACTGTCTTTTTAGCTTTTTTTATATTTGTACTCTTTTCTTAAGTAACCTTCTAGGCTTTTTATTGTTTTATCTCCTGCTCATTTCTGTTGCTCTATTTTATCATTACTGTTATTATCAGGATTACCTGTTATCGTCATTGTTGATATTGCCTTTTATATTTACCATCCTGTTTCGTCTGCTTTCGACCCCCCTTTTAATTGCATTTTCCTTTTTTCTTAACTATTTTATGTTTTTTTTTTTTTTTTTTTTGGTCCCCATGTTCTCATTTTATGTTGCATGATTCTTGTATTATCTGGGTTCCTTATGACATGAAAATGCCCTTCAATTCCGCTTTTACTGAGCTTTTTGTTTTTATCTGTCTTTTTCCATGCTCTAGGACTACATGTCAAAGTACTTTGTAAACTTCTGCTTTTTAAAAGTGCTACAAATACAAATAAAGGTATTATTATTATTATTATTATTTCATTATTTCATTATTATTATTATTATTATTATTATTATTATTATTATTATTATTATTATTATTATTATAGGTTAGGGATGTAAGGCAAGATCCAAAACTCTCAAATGTACTGACAGTGATCTTTTCCACCAAACAAAATTGTGAAACATGGTCAGGAGGACTAAAAATATGATGTTGCTCAACCAACGGGAAGAACACATGGGCGTCGCAAGTTTGGAGAACAAAGGGTGTTATGTTCGTCGTGTTCCCTCATACGCATTCTGATTGGGCCTTCGCTCCAAAGAAAGAAGACGATTGGTTAATCTATTAATCAGTCAATGAAATAACATTTCTGATTGGCCAAAAACGATGTTCCCAAATTCACGTGTTAGCCCTCTTCCTTGAAGGCGGTGCTTCCTAGCTGCCGGTGGGGAGGGTCATAGTTGTTTGTGGAGAGTAAAGTTCTTGTAAACTACAAAACTGGTCCTTAAAAATGGGAACCCGAGATGACGAGTATGACTACTTATTTAAAGGTAATTTCTGTGTTCAGATGCATGAATGACAGTATGGAGGAGGTGGGACTCTTCGTCAAATGTGATGGCAGCAGTACGAACCGGGGAAGTCATCTAAGCCACCGAGAATGCTAAAGTTAGCGGAGTTGAAAACGATCATATGGCAGCTTTCGGCTGTCTCGCAAACTGTGTCATCTTCGTCAATATGAGGCGTTTATCTAACACTGTGTTATGCTGTAAGCTTCGTCTTTAGTGGTATAAACCGTGAAAAAGCTGCTCGGTCTGCGAGCTGTCAGCTAACGCTAGTGAATTAGCATGCTAACGAAGGGTAAGTAAGTGGCTAGTTAAATAATTAAGCCATTATGGTATCTCCTGACCTCTTAGACACAACAACCTGACACGACCTGAAAACTAACGAAAATAACAAAAACAGACGCCTACTTTCACCCAAGTCAGCAGGTAGACATTAGATGAAGATGAACTGAGGCTATTGAGCAGACTTGTTGACATAAACATCTCTCTGTAGTTGGTAGTGGTCCTCTAAACAGAGTGACACACATAAAAATAAGTTAGCTTGTTTTAATTTCAGAAAGACAAATTTTGTTCAGTTTTTTTTTAATCTAAAATGTATTTTTTTCCCTTAAAAAAAAAATATATATATATATATATCTCAGCCATAACAACACGGACACCTGAGTTATCTGATTCATCTCAATGCCCTGACGCTGCTTTAAATTCTTCTTTATTGATTTTACTGTTCGACTGATGTGTCTTTTAATTGCCGTGTAAGGATTTCTTGAGTTCCCTGAAAGGCGCCCACAAATAAAATGTATTACTATAATAATTATTATTATTATTGTTATTGAATAAGTAGTGGGTGTTCCTGTCTGACACTGTCAACAAAAACTACAAATTTACAGTCCTTGTAAGATTTAAAATTATGGTACAGCTGTCATAATAGGTTGCATGAAATCACTGAGGTGTTCTTACGTTTTAGCTGTTTTGGATACGTGTAATAAAAGCAGCCCCAGCATGATTTCCCCATATTTATCTACTACTACTACAGACATTAAGTACTAACTGCTGTTTTGATTTTATTGATTTATTTGTATATTTTAGAATAGAGTAGAATTCAACTTTATTCTCATATCACATGTCACAAGTACAGATCAACGAAATGCAGTTTGTATCCATCCAGGAGTGCTTGGCAAGTATAAATATGTTTACAAATGTATACAGTATGAAGAGATATATACATGAGTATATCACAGGTATATATGTTATGAACATGCTATGACTATAAGTATTTACAGGCTATAAACAGACTATAAATATAAGTATATTATGGATAAATTATGCAGTAGTGCAATATTAGAATTATTTACAGTAGTGCAAATGAGGTTTGAAAGGTTTTAAATTGGTTTACAGGTATAAAGTGCAGGTAATTTTTGATAATTGTAATTTTTTTCTCTAGTTGTACTGATTGGAGACTCTGGAGTGGGGAAGAGTAACCTGCTGTCTCGTTTCACAAGAAATGAGTTTAACCTGGAGAGCAAGAGCACCATTGGAGTGGAGTTTGCCACTCGCAGCATCCAGGTGGACGGCAAGACGATAAAGGCACAGATCTGGGACACAGCTGGACAAGAACGCTACAGAGCCATCACTTCAGCGTGAGTTGATTTCAAAGATCTCAATTTTTTTTTAATGTTTGTTTCTTTTCTTTTGCCTGTGAAATCCCTTCTACTTTCAATACCGCCTCACTTTCGCATTAATAGGAAGGCTTTCCCCTGAATCTTTTTCACAGTTAATGTCTACATACAGTTAATATGACACAGTTAAAAAGTACTTGTTTAATTGGAAACACTTCCAAGCTCAAAGAAATAAGTGCCATCTGTAGTGTTTCTGTGTACATGAGAGTTGTTATATTAGAAATGAGAGCAATGCTGCAACACTTCGCTCATCACTGTCCCTTCTTCACTTTGTTTTCACCAGGTATTACAGGGGCGCAGTTGGGGCTCTCCTAGTTTACGACATCGCCAAGCACCTGACATATGAGAATGTGGAACGCTGGCTGAAAGAACTCAGGGACCACGCTGACAACAACATTGTCATCATGTTGGTTGGAAACAAAAGTGACCTCCGCCATCTCAGGGCAGTCCCAACTGATGAAGCTCGAGCTTTTGCAGGTAAAGTATCAATAGCTTTATTGAATCTGTTATCACCAGATCCTCGATAGTACCATTATCTCTCACCTGAGGGAATATACAGGGTGTTAAACTTGACTGGCTTCCTCAAAAGTGCTTCAATACGTGAATCACTTTTTGTTCCTTCTTTTAATCACCCCAGAAAAGAACACTCTCTCATTTATTGAGACCTCTGCCTTGGACTCCACTAATGTAGAAGAAGCCTTTAAAAACATCCTTACAGGTAGTCAAAGTGACAAACATTACACAAAGACTTCTTTATATCTTAATGTTTATCTAGATTTATCTGATTGATCTCTTTTCTCTGACACAGAAATCTACCGAATTGTATCCCAGAAGCAAATATCAGACAGATCTGGACACGATGAGTCTCCTGGAAACAATGTAGTGGACATCAGCCTCCCTCCAACCACGGATGGGCAGAAGGGCAAACTCCCTTGCTGCCAGAGCCCGTGACACTCCCATTTTCTTTTCCTGTTCGACTTTCTGTCAGTCTTTCCTCCTTTCACCTTTGGTTAACTTCAGCTGTCATGCAGCTGTCTTCATGATACTCTTGTGGGTTCAGAAAACTCTGACGCCAAGACTCTTGTATCTGACATTCCTTTATGCTGTTCTTTTCACAGTTTTTTTTTTCTTCTTGGTTCATTTGTCTTCCGCTGGCCTCAGAAGAATCCATGTTTTGAATCTTAAGGGCCTCATAAAAGCATAAAGGAGGGTGGAGGTTTTTGCTATTATGAAGCTGATCTCAAAGTTGTTGTAAACTCCAATGTCTTGTAAAGGAAGTAGATTTTAAGGTCCTTTTGACCCGCTCCTGCAGAAGGAATGGTGAGGGATCGGTAGGTGTGTGAATTAGTGCTACAAGAGGTTTTCACATGTCTCCTTTTTAGAGCTTCAGTGATGTAGACTTTTTTCATGATCTGCTAAAGCAGAAGCCCAATTTCATGTCTGGTTGCCCTGATTCTGCCTATCATGCAGTTCGGGAGGAGAGAAGTTTGCAGCAGTTGGGTATTGAAGTGTTCACTTGTCTGGAGTTTCTATTTGCCTCTTTAATTTTAATTTTCCTCTGCCTGAGCCCTGTGCCCACTGTGGCATGAAATTAGCATGAGCTAGGGACCTGACTGGCTGTGAGTGTCTGAACTAATATGGGCTAGTGGGAAACAAATGAAGTGTTTTAATGGTGTGTTTGAGTGTGCGTGGTTGTGTGTGTTAATCTTAGTGCACAAAAATACCAAAGGAGACGGATGCAATCGTTATCAGTTTTAAGTTTTCTCATCGAAGCGCATTAATGGCGGCTAAAAATGCATTTTATTGCTGTAATTTGATAACCAATCCTGGCTGTTTAAGAAACCATTTCAACACTTTATCGCCACCTACAAAGTCATGTTAAACTATGTTTAATTTGTTTTTTCAATGAAATTGTAGTCACGGCCTGGATTAAGCCGTGTGTTCCCCTAACTGAACGCAGGCTGTCCTAAAGTTTGTTTTTTTTAGCACTTGTGTCCAAATATTTCAGTGGAACAAATCAAGACGTATTTTTAAAACACTCTCTACATCTTTATCAAGTAACAGTTTTCATGTTGGTTGTAAATCCCAGAGTGTTGGTTAAAGAAGTTCTTGATATGGTTCTTTTATTGGTCTTGAACATTTTCCTTGTGTATCCAATCAACCCTTGCTCTTTGAATTATTTTGAATGTGATATCTGTCAAAGGGAAATAGATAAAGATGTTTGTAATCAATCTGCATCTCTCTCTCTCTCATTTTACAATTAAACTCCAGCAACATTAATGGTTAACATTTGATCATACTGAGCTAAACACAGTTTTGTGTTTTAATTTGGATTCACAGATTTTTTTCCATCCCTGTTAATTCAGGAAAAATACTTGTTCGTGACTTTTAACATTAATTTGTGTATGGTGTATCACATTTATTAAAAAATACATAAAGATGTACTTTGCATTACATCAAAAAGCTCAGACAAACCAATCCACATGACTATATAGTAGACAGACTTATTTACGGATGCATTACTCATCCAGTTTACCCTGAGCTTAATGCTGTTGTGTAGCAGCTTAGGTTTCAGCTGATGAGTGATCTTGGCGTGAAGCAAAGTCTGTACAAAGTGCGTGCAGGGTGTTTCTGTCAAGGCCATTTGACAGGCTACACTAAATTCAGTTTTACAGCTTTTTATTGATTTCACATGGTTCCTTAACCTTCCTCCTGTGTTAGCTTTTACTACACACCCAGCATGTTAAGGGTAGGTTTATGTCCTAAATCAGCTGTAAATTACACTAAAAACAATTCTCTATCATTCAATTTGGCTCTCATCTCTAGGTTACCTTGTTAGACTTCATTATCCATGAAAATATTGCTTATAATAGTTTTTGTTGTGGGCCTCTGGGTCTTTCTTTGTCAGTATACCCCTCATACAGACATCTGTACTGAATTGATCTCACATGTCTGGACATGCCTGATGTTTTTTGTGCTGGAAATAAACAGGCAAAATGAGAATTTCCTTAATGTCACATGATTGGGAAAGGATCTGACTGTCAGTGTGATGCCTGACAGTGCACTTGTGATTTCAGTTTTTGCTCTGATTATTAGATATTAATCTAACCGGGTCAACAGTGACCCTAACACGACAAGTGCCATAATTTTAATATGAGCATTTTATAATTAGTCAGTTTAGTTTCTTTTTTTATTTTTATTTTGTTGAAATAGAGGTTCCTGACAAAGTCAAAAAGTCTTGATGCAAAAAACTAATTTAAGTGGTTCTTTTAAGCATTTAAAAACAAAAACGGGTAGGTGCAGACCCTAACACTGAAGGAGGGTTAAAATATTTGATAATTTAATCATTTTTTAATCAAATCACGTATTACCAGGATTGCCATTAAGATTTATTTAATTGGGTTTCTTGCTCAACAATGAGTTTAGAGCCGTATTATTATTATTACATTTGACGCGATAGTTCAATCCCTCAAAGACCTTATAAATGAAAACGTGTCTAATTCGGATAATTTGGCTTTGCCGCATTTGTTTTGAACTTTAAACGCATGGAAGAAATCAGGATATATGTCTGTTTATTATTCCTGGTCGTGTTGCGCATGTGATGTGGTCACTCGTTTTCTGTTCACGCCCCTCCTTTGGCGAGCTGTTGTTATTCACTATTACATTTTTAGTCGTCGGGACTGTGTTTTGGACTCTGCTCTGGGGAGGCGGACAGCTGGTGATGAGCCTCTGGGGTATATTTAAAGCCCTGGGAAAGCGGAAACCTGGCCTGCGGTGCATTCTCGTCTGAGGACTGCGAGCTCGCACAGCGCTCAAGAGCATATCGTTAGCTAGCCAGCAGCACTGCGCTGTATATACAATGGCGCTAACTGTAACATAGCTACAGCTAAATATGGAAGGAATTATGAGGTCGACAGGGTGGTAATGCTTCCTGCTAACGAGGACCTGTGACACACCTGTGTAAAGAAGACAGGGGTGAGTAGATATTTATCACTTTTGTTCACTAGTTGGGCTGCTAAAGGCTTACTGTAGCAGCTAATGACAGCTGGCAGTTAGCAGGTGACACAGCTGCACAGTGGACCACACCGTTTCTGCAAATGGATATTCGTTAAAACTACACAAGAGGTGGCTGGGTGCTTCACTCTTTCCATAGCAAAGATATATACACTGCTGTTTTACTGCTGCGTAGTTTTGGTTGTTTTTACTCTGCTACCCACAGTTCTAGACTACGGAAGCCGAGAACAGTGGCGTTTGCAATTCGTTTTCAATCTCGAGATGACTAGAAAATTATTTCCTTATTTGAGGAAAACGAGTCTTGATCTCGTAAAATGATCTCGTTTTTCAATTATCACCATTGAATTGTAGAGGAGAATGTCTGGTTCGCACGGACATACCTGATTTCATTCTTTGAGACCACAGTCAGTATTGTAAGTAAGTTAGTAAAATGTATTTAGTTTAGCACCCTTTTATAGAAAAGATTCATCAAGTGCTTTACAGTAAAAAAAAAAAATAAAAATACAATCGTAAACATCAAGTAAAATCAAAGAACAATAACAAACAATGGCATAAATAGAGCATTAGTTAAGTCTTAGTGAGTCTTTAAAAGGTTTTTAAAAGTGACAATGAAAACAGCTGAATGAATGTCAGCAGGTAAATTGTTCCACAGTGTTAGAGTCACCATTTCAAAAGCGTCAGTGAAATTCAGATCTGACCAGTCTGTATTTAGTCTGATTTGACATTTTTTAGCTTTTATTAGTTTTAAAGGCTTGAGAGGCGATGTCTGTAAATTCAGAGTGGATGGGACACAAAGTTGAATAAAGAAGAGTATATCTACTTGGTCGATGAATGAAAATACACTCTTTTTGGCTTTTAACCTGTGAACTGTTCTTTTATTGTCCTTTTATATTGTGTCTTTTTTAACCTTTTACATTTTTAGTCTTATTACTTCAAATTTTCTGTATTTTAAATTGAGTTTATTTTTATAAAGTGTCTGTAAAAAGCGCGTTATATATATATATATATATATATATATATATATATATATATATATATATATATATTTTTTTTTTTTTTTTTTTCTGTACCTTAGCTGTAATATCTCATTAAAATAGCATTTACTTAATGGTTTGACATCATGTAAGCTTTTTTTAGTTTCTTTTCATGAAATTGTCAGAGCGGATGTATTGTGCAATACTCTAATTTAAACCTATATGTGGTTTCCCCCCGCAAGAAAGTTAGCAAAATCCTAGCTTGCACATTTTACTTTATTACACTAACCTAGCCGACTGTATCAGTAAAGCCTTGTCGTCTATTAATCTTTACTGATTTATTGCAGAGGAAAATGGGTTGAGAAAATGGGTGGGCTACACTCAGCAGAAATGTTCTCACTCTGTCCTTGATCGGCAATAAGATATGCTGTCCCAGTCACCCATTAGTTACCAGAGAACAAGGTTTAGACTCAGTTCAAATAAAATAGTATACCATACCTCTCTGGACAATGATACCACCTTCTTTCTTTTTGAAATAAATAGGTAACATCTTTAGTGTCACAGAAATGTGTCATATGTTTGGCTTCAAAGATTTACAACCAAAGAGCGGACACAAGACTGAAATTCAAAAATCATCCTAAATTCACCCTCACTGTAGCAGATTTGGTGTCTGGAGTCAGCAGAGCTACTTTACATTGGATAAAGACAGAATTGACTCACAGTGGTCAGATAAAAGCAATATTAGCTGCTAGCAACTATGATTACCCCCTTTGAAAGTAAAAATGAACATTAGTTAGTTAGCTGAATGTTTTTTTCACTACATACTGTAAACTCACTTTTCCACTTCACACAGTACAATCACATTCAGAGATGACTTGACTTACAATTGTAGAGTTTGATGCAAAAGTCCCATACATGTTTCTCGAGTATAAGGCCTGAAAATATACACAGTATTGTCAGTGTGCTTACACAATAAGTAAGCATACCGACAATAATTTAAACTAGATTATTTACTAGAATAATCTAAACTGAGCAAACAGAGAATTTTGGTTTTTGTTGTTGTCTTTTGTTTGGGACTATCCTTTGTGTATCTGGGTCAGGGAATGTGCCTCTTAATCAGGCCCTGTTCCTTAATCAGTGTGCTTTAACAACAGTACCAAGCAGCAATACTGTACCAGTTTAACATTTCTATTATATTGGTAAAGAGATCATTAGGTATGTCTTGAAAATTTTGAAATCCAGGCCGTAGACTCTTACAGTCTCGATATACATGCAGTAGAATTCACATGCAAAATCCCATGTTTTGTACCATTATTGACACATCTGCCATGTTAAACCCTCTGATTAAGAACAGCAAAACAACAGTGTTTAGCACAGGGGATTATGTACAGCATGTATAGTAGAGGTTTGGATGTAATGCTATGATTTGATAGGGATGTGCACACAGTCACAGAGCCGGGGTTTCTATAGACAGCATCAGCCCGGTATTTACTTATGACCACTATAGTCAGGTGTTTATGACATAATGTCTTATATACAATATGTTGGTGTGTGAAAGTCATCCTCTTTTCACGAAGTTGTGCTATTTCTGCTGAAATTAAGTGTTTCTTACTGTACAGAAATACTTCAGACTGACAGAGAAATGAACCAAAGGCTGTAGCAAACTCAGCAGTACACTCACTATCTTCAGTGAGGAGTTATCTGCAGGGGGGCAGCTGTCTATCAGTCTGCTACGCATCACACCCCACTGCCACTGACGATCAGTCTTGGTCTTGTAACAGATGAGTAGCTTTTGGCTTCATTGGTCCACCTCCAAAATGACAGCTCCCTGTGACAAAATGTGTTTGTAGATAACGTTATTTACTCTCACATAAAAGGAATGGTGTGGTACCTGAGGCACACTTTTTGAGATTAGCACTGCCATGTCTTCCCCGACTCTACTCCTCTCTTTGCTGTATCTCTTCAGCAGTCCTATCCATTAAAAGGAAAAAATGCCCGAAAGTTTTACTTCAAAAAAGTTTATCAGTAAAGCACCATTGGACCCATCCCTCTTTAATTAACGAAATTAGTTAATTAAACTAAATTAATTAATGAAAGAGGAAAATCTACTGACCTTCCATAGTAAATGTTTATAGTGGGAGAGAAATTAGTTTATCTACATGTGTATAAATTAGGGCCCGACCAATATGGATTTTTTGGGTCGATGCAGATACCGATTATTAGGGAGGAAAAAAATGTGATTACCGATTAATCTGACGATTTTTTAAAATTTTAATTAAGTTTTAAAATTTTGTTAATTTAAGTCATATATCAACATATTTACTTATTTTTTCCACAAATGACTGCTAATGAGCCTTTCAAACACTTCTCAGTAACATTAACCTCAGTAATATTCCACGTGTTTATTATGAATCAAACTCGGTCCAGAAAGCGTTTTCAACTCTGCTGTGCTGTGAGGTCGTTAGTGGATGAAGATTGTCATGAGGTCGCTGCTCCATCTACAGGATAAGTCGGGGGATCTTTTCAAATGGCGGGACATTTTCGAAGTGAAACCGAATCTTATTCTCTGCAGTTTACTTATGAAAATATCGGCGATAGTCGGCGAGTTTTGTGCGATTACCGATTAGCCTCAAACGGGCTAATATTGGCTGATTTAATTAGAGGGCCATACCACAGAGTAACATATCCTTTTCAAATACTTGGGCCATCAAAATTTCAATTACATTCATATTAAGTCATATCAGTTCTGAAAAATTTCAAGGACCAAAGTAAAGTATTAATCACTCATATATATATATATATATATATATATATATATATATATATATCCATCTCAAAGAACATATTGTCTGACTGACTCCATGCTTTAGTCTGAAGGATCACCACAGTGTTGTAGCTGGTGAGGGCAGGGTTAATTTGAGAGCTATACACTACATGAATATCTCCACCGTCACACACAAGTTGCATCACATCATGTTTCACGTTTATTTTGAATAATTTATTGTCATCTGCCCCATGACTGGAGCAGAAAAATAACTGTTGTCACTTTGTAAAGTATCAAAAATTAAATCAAAGAACCTGACAAAGAAGTACTATGTGAGCACAGCGCTGGAGTATTTATGTCATTAACAAATTCTAATTTTTCTGTCTGTAGGATTAAACCATTCCCGCCAGTGCCGACCAGACTTTGTGCTTCCTGCTTTCTAAGTCTACAGCCAGCGTCTGGCCACTGTAGCCATGACAACAGGGGGCTGTTGCCATCTGCCCGGCTCTCTGTGTGACTGTGCAAGCAGCACTGGCCTGTGGAAGAGCGTGGAGGAGGCAAGTGGTGAAGGGTGCCAGGCGCTCTATGTCACCCAGGTCACAGCCATAGATGGACAGTTGCTTTCTTCTGTGCTCAAACCTGTGGGATCACAAAAGTAAGACTAAACCAACTAACTTACCTAGAAACACGGGTTTCAAAAAGAGCCATATGTATAGTTTTTTTTTGTTTTTGTATTTTTTTTAGTGATGGGCCCATCTGCCGAATTTGCCATGAAGGAGGCAACAGTGAAAGTCTCCTATCTCCATGTGACTGCACAGGCACACTGGGGACAGTACACAAAAGCTGTCTGGAGAAATGGCTGTCGTCTTCCAACACCAGCTACTGTGAACTCTGCCACACAGAGTTCAGCATCGAGCGCCGTCCCAGGCCCCTCACAGAGGTAACAAAGGTCAATGCCCTTTGCCTTGTCTGCATCAATTGCTCTCTTCTTCTATTTAATCCTGTTGTTGGGTTACTGTTTGTGAATGATTGTGATGATATGAGTAAAGCAGCTTCTGATACCTCATTTTATGGCTTTCTTGCTTTGCTTTAATGTGTCTTCTCTCTTCTTGTTTGACTAAAGGTCTCATTTCCACCTTTTCTCTCTCTCTCTCTTCTCTGTTATCTTATCCATTCTTCCACAGTGGCTGCGGGACCCAGGCCCTCGTAATGAGAAGAGTACGCTTTTTTGTGACATGGTTTGCTTCCTGTTTATTACGCCCCTTGCAGCTATTTCAGGCTGGCTCTGCCTGAGGGGAGCTCAGGACCATCTCCAACTGGGGAGCTGGCTGCAGGCTGTCGGCCTCATAGCCCTCACTATCGCTCTCTTCACCATCTATGTCCTGTGGACCCTGGTAAGGACTTCGTAATTGTTATTCCCCCTTTCAAGTAGATATGTTTTAAAAAGGCAAGTGTATTTGTTAAAATACATTTTTGTAGGAGACAAAATAAATTTGTTTGGGATATGATTTCTATAGATACGTCACTTCCGGGGATCGTCACTGAGGGGTGTGGTTTTGGGATGTTTGGCGGGTTATTTAAATCTCACAGGTGTAGTCAGACAATGGGTTTGGCAAGCACTGATAATTTTCTGTTGACTGTTTTTCATCATTTCACTCATCCCGTTCTAACCTCATTTCAGCTTATCACTTTTTATCATTTGAAGGCAAAGGATTTGGACCTAGATCAGAGTGTTTTCTTTCCTTTTTTGAACAATAATTTTTTTTTTTTTAACACTCAAACCAGACTGATCACTCAAATGAGTCACAGATGCAAGCGAACCTAAACCCTGGCGATCTTTTTGTTAAAGGAAAGCAGTCGCTACAATTTTAAAATACTTTTGAAATTTGGGTTGATCTCATTAATCTGTCATCAATGCGTCGTGTGCATGTGTTGACAGGCAGCTAAACCCTTCACTCCAAACAACACGCTGGGTGTCATTTCTTCTGCCAGGTGTATTGATGGAGTAAAGTGTGAAACTAAAGGAAATAAACAAATAATACAATCATAAATATTGCATTTATGGAGATGCATAAAGTTAACTATTCCACATCTGTGAACCATACGAACCAAAGCCTAGCACGGCTAACTAGAATAGCTCACTGGACGTAGGCTAAATACACGGGAGACACATGATAACACAAATAAGTACACAACGCAATACTTTGCCACTTAAGACTCGGGCATATAACCATAACTTCACATGTTAACACATAATGGCGATACTGTAGATGGCATTAATGCTATTTGAATCTCACTCAAAATGAAATATTATTAAATAAAACACATCAAGTCCTTTTTTTTAACTGATTTTAACTTTTATCTGAATCTTATGAATGAAACCGAACATTAATAAAGAGCCAAAAGTGAATACTTCTGATTGATCTCTGCTTTGCATGATCTCTCCCCTGGTTGTCCTCACAGGTATCTTTCCGCTACCACTGTCAGCTGTACTCTGAGTGGAGAAGAACAAATCAGAAAGTACGTCTGCTCATTCCTGAAGCCAAGGAGTCCAACTCTTCCCAGCATTCCTTGCTCTCTACAAAGCTGATGAAGAAGTCTGCCAATGAGAGTATAGTATGAGAGCGAACAGAGATAGTTCGTGACTACAGTATGTGATCTGTGAGGGGCCGATTTTTGGATGTATCAAACCCACAGCAAGCTTTTTAAAGAGGTGCTTGCAGACTGTTTTTGCAGCTTTTTGATTTTTTCTTTGCCCCATCAGTACTTAATTCACATCACATTTTTTTTAATTACTTTTTGTGTGGATGCAGAACGAGGGGATATTTTAATGGCGTCTGTCCATCCTCATGCTTGGTATTCACCAGCTTATGCAAAAAGGCATTAACAAATAGAACGGAGATGTGCAGACTCTTAAAGAGACATGGTAAGAGCCTCATCAGCATAAATGCAAAGATAGCATTACACTGCTAGAATGACATGTGACCAAACTATTTTTGTAGAGGACTATGAAGAGTTCGAATGATTGTTCTGCTCAGTTGATGATCCTCAGACAATCGCCAAGTACAGCAGGTCCATCGAAACTGGCCCTTGCCTTCACTACATAATCCCTGATTTTACCGCACAAAAACGCTTGTCGAGGAGCTCTTGAAGCAATTACAACGTGATCCCTTGTGAATCTGTAAGGTGGTTTACATTTTACAATACAGATGCCATTACACTGTCTGAAATGAAACTTTATTTTTAGCACAAACTTGTCGGACTTCTTTCAAGATGTGTTTTGCCATATCTGTTTTTACATCTGATGCAAGAATGGATAGCAGCATGGCACTAGTAAAGCCAGAGAATGTGCAATAAAAACACTGTGGACTTGGAGGTCTTCACGCTACGTTCAGAGACCTGAACTAAAATGCACAGTTATGCATGCAAGCACTGTTAATATTTTTTTACTTTTTTTCATTGTTAGTGTTTTCTTAAATTTGTTCTTTACCAATAGAGTAAACGGATACACTATTCCTACAAAAGTAGGGTTAACATTGTCCTCATTGAGGTTCTTGTATTATCAGCACTTAGCAAGTAGGTCTCCTAAAGACCTCTGCATCTTATTTTGTCAGAATGACTTTTAGAGAAACATGGTCACACTGTCGGGTGGCTGATGTGGTGTACTAAAGCCTCCTTTTTATTGCGTGTCTGAGTGCTACAATAAAGCTGTTCTGTTTTTGTTTGAAGTAGTATGAACTCCAGTTTCTCTGATCTGATTGGAGAAAGAACATGCTTGTGTAAAAAGTGGCTAATTTAAACAAAATATCACCCCAAAATCAACCACATGAATTATGCAAAAACCACTAAGGCTAGATATGACGTATGCTGCGTTCCAGTGACCTCAAGTCGGATGTCAGAGCTGGGAATGACGCTACACCTGAGTTGAGGGTGTTCCAGTAAACAAGTCGGAAAACAAAGATGGACGCCTACAGTTACCTGTTGTTAGCTGTTGTTTAAAATTGTCAGCTGTCGTTGTCCGTTGTCACAACACAGTACTTTAAAAACACCATATCACCGTGTTCACAGTTAGACGTTGGGCAGCAAAACATATACCACTTATTTAATTTCACAAAAACAAAACAGAAGTGGTAATAAATAATACTTTACAAGAGCTTTTACCCTAACTCTTTACTGTTGATGCACTGTGCTGCCATCTTAAATTATGACGTTGTCGTCAACTCGGGGTTGGCGAGGATCGTCCAACTTTCCTAGTTGGGAATCCGACTTCAGGGGGGCGTTCTAGATGAATTTCCGACTCGGAGCTCAGAAAATCCAACTTCCGAGTACAACTGGAACACAGCATTAACTCTGACTTTGTCAACCAGGGAAGCCTCTGGATACTCACATGCTAACTTATTGTCACTGGACGGCTCACTTGCCTTCATCAAGTCTTTATATTACTGAATGAACTCATGGGGCACTGGCTTTACTTGTAAGGGGGGAAAGGTGTTAAGGAGAACTCACCTCACTATCTTGTAAACAGAGGAAAAAGAGTCACCTACTGCAGCTTTTAATCAAATGAGACAGAAAGTGCTAGATGCCCAGATCTTAAAGTCATATCTGTTCCAGTCTGTAAATCCATTCACTTCATTGAGGAATCAGTAAATAGTCACAATTTCATGTGGTGTAAGCCTGTAAATCCAATAGCATGTAGTGCTGGCAACAACGGTATTTATGAATCTAACAAAAGCATCCGCTTGAAGAACACAAAACTGCCATGTTCTGGGGTAAAGCAGGTGTTCAGCCTGTTGTTTCAGTATTACTGGTATTGTGTTAATCATACTACAGTTTTGTGGGGTGCATTAAAAAAACTGTTGTACTACATAGAGAGCATCTTGACTGAAAGCTTAAAGGCTAGTCCAAAGCTAGAGTAGCTCATTGTTGTGAATTTTACTTCTGCAGTTATAAAAACCAAGCTTTAGGATTTAGTTCCTCTCTCAAGTAGAACAAAATGTATTTGAACGTGCTGATATACTTCCCCAATGTGCTCTTCTCTAACACTGACAGCACATCATTTGGCCATTTAGCAAAAGCCTTGAATATTTCCAAATTTTAAACAGTACATACAGAAACAACACATTCATTTGCCAGAACTTTGGATTTTATGCAAAACTGTGTTATCAATGTTTCTGCTGTTTAAAAATACAAAAGATATATAATTGCTTTGTAACAATCAAACTGAAACAAAGGCTGACTGTAAGTGATGTGGGTTCTTTGGTCCGTTTTTATAGTTGTTTTTTTTTTTTTGGATTACAAACAAATGTCAAAGTCAGAGCACATGTTCGGCTGTCAGAAACCATCTCTCTTTTTCCTCTGCTGCGATCATTAAATTCTAAGACACCTTGGGAGCTAAAATGACAAACATCTTGAGGTTGTTGAAAAGGAGTCGTTTAAGTAATGCTGAACGTGTTTAGCAGCCATGTTTTTGTCTTGCATTTCACTAAGCATGAACGCTGTTTCCTCACCCTGGCCTTTTGACTGAACTAACATTCCACTCTTTTTTTTTTTACTGAGCTCCCAGTGGGTTGCCCCACATACCAACCCAGTTAATCGTTTGTTTGTGTTTTGACCTGATCTCAGACGAAAGGATTAAATCCTGCAGTACTACGATGCACCCGGGGTGCCATACAAGCTTATGAGTCATTTGATCATCCTTGTGTTTACTGTTTATCAATAAGGAAGCTCTGTTGTGAAGTGTTGGGATGTATTTGGGTGCTGATATGAAAAAGTCTTTAGATATGTGGTACAGTCCCTCAGAACTGAGTTACTATGAGAAACAACCTAACCTGTCAGTGCAAAGTCTCACTTATGCAGCCACTGACCTCTATGGTAGTTAATAATTTAGTATTGGCAGTAAGTTGCTCACAACTTATGAAACGCCACTCCTCTGCCTCTTTGGGTCAGAGGCGACAGAGGAAACAGATTCTCATGTTTCCAAAGAGTCAAAGTGTTTCTGCGCTGTGATGTAAAAGATCACACTGATATCCAAATGCAGAAATCAAGTTTTTTGTTGTTCATCACACAAACAAACATGTACATGTTCTTTATGTTGTGGTATGTTGTATAAAAATTTTGTAATCTTTTCCTTCCACACCTTTTTTAAAGGGTGGAGTGTTGATATGTATTATTTGTAATTTATGTTACAGCTTTTAAACATTCACATTTTTAAGTACATTGAGAGTGTGCTGTAAAAAATGTCTTCACCAAAATACTGGTACCTGCAATCAGCCAAGAAATGTTTGCAAAGCAAATAAACCATTGGTATAAATTCTGGGTGACCTTGCAGTAATTTTTTTTCTTTTTTGTTGTTTTGTTTGGATGAATGGATGGATGTTTTGTCTGACATGTATGATATGACTGTTTACAGATCATGCTTACTCCAGCAAGGATGAAATCTCATTACAGTAAGTCTGTTTGTGACCACAGCTCTATGCATTCATTAATCCTGGTGAAAAACAATTGTGAATGTCAAGTCTTACTGCTCTAGAGAGTCAAAGAATCTTCCTGCTTCATCCCCAGCTTTCGCAAAATATAAGCAGCTTATTTGGATAAACACTAGTTCACATTATTTATCTGTGTAGCCTTTTTGACAAACAGCAAGTCAAAAAAAAGTCTCAATCTTACATTTTTGGGGGTGGTTGAGCGGTCAACAGAACCCCTGATAGTTTTTTGTTTACTGTAAGCTGCATTTTGGTTTTGAGTCACTGGAGTTAACACATGCTACAACACTGTTGAGAATTTGAATGTGTAACACTCATGTTATCAGTCTTTTTTTCAGGGGAATTTTTGATCTGAAATTATTTTTCTAGGAGTAAAAACCAAAATAAAGAAATGAACCTCTCCAAATGCTGTAATTATAACCATAAAATTATGTATAGGTCATTAAAGCACAAGTACAGAAACATTGAACCCAGCAAATCAGTGACACTGGAATAAGATCTGAAAATCTCAATTTCACTAAGAGCGCACTGCTTTTTTTCAGTATTTTATTGTAAATTTGAACAGTTCTTGAATTTGAACAAAAAAAAAAATAAGCCAAATATTCTTCAATAAATACATAATGAGGACATTTTTGGCATAACTTATTTGATGTCAGAAGAAAGTTACACGAACCACACAACCGCATAATACTGTTTCACTAGGTTGGAGTCACTGCCTGTAGGTTATTTACACAGCACCATCTAGTGGTAACTTTTGAAATGTGTTTCACAACCTCCCTTTACATAGTAGAGTTTAAATTCAGTTCAAACTACTTCACAGGCTTCAATAAGACAGCAGCGACTGCCTTGTTCCTTTACCTTCACAGTGATTCCATGAACAACTTAACCGACCAAGTGACATAAAGGCTTCTCAAAGTTTTCTTTCATGGCAGAAGAGCACGAGTGAGTTCAAAAGTCCTATATCAAACAGAACAAAAGGCATAAAGGACAGTGAAAGGGAAGTTGGCTGCGAACAGGGCAACAAAAAGTGCTCAGGTAGTGGGATGTCAGGGGAAGCTGGGGGATCAGTGTCATGGAGTTTATGGTCACAGGCTCTGGCAGCACTGCAGTTTGTTGCCCTTCTGCCCGTCAGTGGTTGGGGGGACACTGATATCCACAACATTGTTGCCAGGAGACTCATCGTGTGCAGATCTGTCAGCAATCTGCTTCTGTGATACAATGCGGTAGATTTCTAAAGACAAGAATACCAAAAAGAAGAACAATTATATTCTGATGTGCATTATTGAAACTTTAACGCATCATATTTACAGCACCATGTTTTCATACCTGTTAAAATGTTCTTGAATGCTTCTTCTACATTTGTTGAGTCCAAAGCTGACGTCTCGATAAATGACAGGGTGTTCTTTTCTAATATGTGGAAACAACACGGATACATTTGCAGAGAGTAAGATCTTTTGTATTGTATCTAATAAAGATTCTTACAACAGTATTCAGTTATTTACCTGCAAAAGCTCGAGCTTCATCAGTTGGGACTGCCCTGAGATGGCGGAGGTCACTCTTGTTTCCAACTAGCATGATGACAATGTTGTTGTCAGCGTGGTCCCTAAGCTCCTTCAGCCAGCGCTCCACATTCTCATATGTCAGGTGCTTGGCAATGTCGTAAACTAGGAGAGCCCCAACTGCGCCCCTGTAATACCTGGTGACAGCATAAACCAGATTAAGGACTAGAATAGAATAACTGTCCTTTTTTTTATTCCAATGCCATATTTGTACAAAACCCAATTCCACTGAAGTTGGGGAAATTACACTACAAAGACAAGATATTTAATGTTCAAACCCATAAACTTTTTTTTTTTGTTGCAAATAATAATTAACTCAGAATGTCATGGCTGCAATATGTGCCAAACTAGTTGGGACAGTTACCACTGTGTTACATCACCTTTCCTTTTAACAACACTCAATGAACATTAGGGAACTGAGGAGACTAATTGTTGAAGCTTTGAAGGTGGAATTCTTTCCCATTCTTGCTTGATGTACAGCTTCAGTTGTTCAACAGTCCAGTGTCTCCGTTATCGTATTTTACGCTTCATAATGCACCAACATTTTCAATGGGAGACAGGTCTGGACAGCAGGCAGGCCAGTCGAGTACCCGCACTCTTTCACTACGAAGCCACGCTGTTGTAACACATGCAGAATGTGGCTTGGCATTGTCTTGCTGAAATAATCAGGGGCGTCCATGAAAAAGATGTTGTTTGGATGGCAGCATATGTTGCTCCAAAACCTGTATGTACCTTTCAGCATTAATGTTGCATTAAGTTACCCATGCCTTGGGCACTAATGCACCCCCATACCATCACAGATGCTGGCTTTGGAACTTTTCGTTAATAACAGTCTTTCCTAATTAGCCTGCTCACCTGTGGGATGTTCCAAATAGGTGTTCGATGAGCATTCCTCAAATTTCTATGTATTTCTTGCCACCTGTCCCAACTACTTTGGCAACTTTAATGGAATTGGGTTTTGCATTAACACAAGCCACTTTTTGATAGTGCCAATGCTGACTTAATGTGCGATAAAAACACTCACGCTGAAGTGATGGCTCTGTAGCGTTCTTGTCCAGCTGTGTCCCATATCTGTGCCTTTATCGTCTTGCCGTCCACCTGGATGCTGCGAGTGGCAAACTCCACCCCAATGGTGCTCTTGCTCTCCAGGTTGAACTCATTTCTTGTGAAACGAGACAGCAGGTTACTCTTCCCCACTCCAGAGTCTCCGATCAGCACAACTGCAATCAAAACAAAAGTTGCAATGCAAAATCTTTCAAGTGACGTGGTACCTAAGAATCTGAGGCTAACTGTAGCTCTGAGGTTTTAAAACCTTACATCAGTGATCTGCTGTGTCAACCTTTTACCCTACTTGAACCTTACACTGCCTTATATTTAGTTAGTTTCCCTTGCCAACAGCTTTTCTCAACTCTTAAAAGATGTATGAAAATTGAAAATGCACCTTGCCTGACATGAATAAACCCACTATCACAAACACAAGAAGAGCCAGTTAAAGAAAATTTTAAATTCCAGGAGATTAAACAAAAATGTGATTTAAGTAATCAAGACCATTTCAGAGATTTGCAGATAGGGGACTTATTCAACAAGAAGATAAAGCACAGTTTAGATCTAGACAAAAATTTAATGATCAAGATCATAACTGAAGCCTTCAACGCCAAGAAATTCAGAATAATCTCTACAATTTATGGGCATATAATTGAGGCCAGAGTGGATACAACAACATATGTAAAACTGAGATGGCAGAGAGAACTGGGTGTCAACATATTTAACGATGAATGGTCACATAATTGGAGAACACAGCAGACAACAACGTCATCCCGTGTCTGGAGACTACACTGTTGGAAAAATCTAATTAGATTTTTTATAACACCTGAAATTAGGAGTAAACCCACTTCAATACCACAGCCATGTTGGAGAAGCTGTGGAAAGGTAAATGTGAACCATTCACACATGTCCTGGCTCTGTCCTAAGATTGCAAAATTTTGGAAAGATGTTCATGTGGTTATAGTTGACATTTTGGGTTATGCTGTATCCAAGTCTTGTACATTTTTATATCTTGTTATCACTACAGGAAATGTCGTACTGAAGGAAAATAGACACATAGTGAAAATTATGTAGGCAGCCTGTAAAAAGGTGATTACAAGAAAATGGTACAGGGCGGACCCACCACCACAGGAAGACTGGTTGAAAATGATGGCCGAAATATACACTATGGAATGACTGACTTATAGAGTAAGGAATCAAGAAGATCAATACTGCCAGAAATGGGGAAAAAAAAAAAATTCTATGTGTTCCCCTTTCACCCCCACATATATTGTATTACACACTGTTGAAGAAAATCAATAAAAAGAAAGTATCAAAAAAAGACAATTTATTGTACAATTTTTCCTCCACAATCCACAGCAGTATAGTTCTACTACAGTCATGGTCATCGTCAGATATCGTGAAAATGCTGACTTGCTCTGTTGCTTTCTTCCTGAGAAACCTTATCAGCTTTTGCACTGGTGGGAGGAAGCTGCCAAAGCTGCCCTGCCCGATGGGAAATCTGACTCAACAGTTTCTCAAGGCCTCTACTCCTGGGTTGTTGGTACAAGTCATCACTTTGTCCTCTCCTTTTCCAGTCACCACAGTTGATGTGAGCATTTTTTATTAACTGTACTCAATCCTCAGCTTTTAGATTTAAAAGGACATATATTGCTACTTCCAAATCTATACCTTCAACTATCTGAAAGACACAAGACTGTGAATTAGTCATAAAAGCACCAAAGGCTGTGAAGTTGCTCCTTTACAGTAACAATTGTTTTCAGTGGTCTTTACTAGAGCCGAGTCAAATCAGCCAATTTTAGCCCGTTTGAGACTAATCGGTAATCGTCCAAAACTCGCCAATTTTCGCAGATATTTTCAGAAATAAAATGCGGAGAATAAGATTCGGTTTCACTTCAAAAATGTTCCACCATTTGAAAAGTTCCCGGACTTATCCTGTAGATGGCGCAGCAACCTCATGACAATCTTCATCCACTTACTACCTTACAGCACAGCAGAGTGACCGATCTGAAGCAGGCAGCTAAGGGACGCACAGAGGAGAGTGGTCCACCTCAACGGTAAATAAACCAGTTTGTGAAATACACATTAAGTCAACAAGTGTCAGTTCAACCCACTTCACGATGCTCTCCGCTGTGCTGGTCTCGGTCACGCTGAAGTTAACGGTTAACGGTGAAGCACCATGCAATATGCAAGCTAAAGTTAGAGTTAGCCATCTGCTATTAGCCTTGCTACATTTTTAGCCGTGCCATTCGCGGTAGAATAAACAACAGTACACATTACGTGATCCAGCTACTTCTGTTGCTGAGGCAGCTGCATGTCTCCAGATAAGAGTGGACCGGAAAGAGGCACAGATCGGCGAGGGGGGTAGTTGAAAACGCTTTTCTGGTCCGAGTTTGATCAGTCTAGTCTTCCTGTTGGCGTGAAGAGCAGTAGCCTACAGTATATCTACAGTATATAGTGTGCTGTAGATATCCTCTGTATATTTTAAAACTTCATTAAAAAAAACTTTTTAAAAATCGGCCGATTAATCGGTAATCGGATCCCTAATAATCGGTATCGGCATCGACCCCAAAAAATCCATATCGGTCGGGCGCTAGTCTTTACCCATTACAGAGTCAAAAGATACTCAGGCTATCAGTTTTTGAAACCCGTCACACCCACCCCCGTGCACCTAAGCAATTCCCCATAATGAGGTTCATGTTTTGGGTTGTTAAAGGTAACACAATAATAAGTAGACCCACAGTCAAAAAAACAGCACTTTGACCACAAAAGCAGCATGCTATCAGGACTCAGGTGTTCAGATCATGTGATCTGTGACTCAGTTGTCCACTCGGGTCACTCCCTGTTAGATTGATACGGTCACTTTCACATGAGTATTCACGGAACAAAAATGCCTATTGACCAGAAGTCGTTATTAAACAGAAACTTAAAGCCATAGTGGAGTTCCTCTTTTTACCTTTGCTTTCATTGTGTCAGCCCCCCACATAGAGATGAATTATCTGATCAATCTGAAATCATACGACTGTATAAAGAGAGTGCTATACTAATGGTTCTAGGTTTAGCATTGATTTATATGGGGGTCATTTTCTTTTTAGATAACAAAAGCCTTAAATCATTTCTGAGTAGGAGATCCACCCCTTAGATGAGCTAACGCAAGCAACCTAGCTCAAGGGGGCTAACTCACCATAGCCTTACTTTACGTGAAATCCGGATCATTTGTAGCAAAGCCCCCCAGTTGTGAGAGTAGAGACGAAACAACTAAGATGATAAATTACAAATAAAGAGTAGGAAAACACACTACCCGTGCTCTATCTGGCTAAACAATCCTCCTCTCTGCAGTTAGCTGTCACCACCAGCTGATGTTGGACCAGAGGAGCACTGACGTTACAGTTAGCACACATGCTAACCGAAGCCTACTGGGTCTCTCTGAGCGCTGACATAAAAAAACAGGTTATCTATATATTGTCTTAGGTTCTGCTTACCTTTAAACAAGAAGTCATACTCGTCGTCTCTGTTTCCCATGGTTTGAAACAATCACCTATTCAAGGTAAGGGTGATGACAGAAAATACTTTTCCTGCCCTAGCCTGGGTGCTGTGCCAAGATGACAGAAGAAGACAATGCGCACATTGCGTAGGAAGAGCTGCGCCGCTGGCAGAGTTGCGTTACACCCTCACGTGACTTGCAGGTGCTGGGCCGAGGGTGTGTACTACTTAGCGGAAACCACTGGGAAAACTGGATTAATGGCTTGGATATAAAAATACACCGTGGGTTGTTAATTAGTGATGAGAAATTGTAAAGAGGTCAATAGATTTGTGGTTGAAGGTAGCCTAGCTTTCTTTTTTTCTACCGTGCCTTGAAAAAGTCTTCATACCCCTTGAACTTTTTCACATTTTGTCACTCTACAACCACAAACTTAAAAGTATTTTATTGAGATTTTTTGTCATAGCCCAACACAAAGTAACACATAATTGTGAAGAGGAACGAAAATGATACATGGTTTTCAAAAGTTTCAGCAAATAAAAATCTGTAAAGTGGTGTGCATTTGTATTCACCCCCCTGTACTCTGATACCCCTAAATAAAATGCAGTGCAATAAATTACCTTCAGAAGTCAACCAATTAATTAATAGAGTTCACCTGTGTGTAATTTAGTATCAGAATAAATACAACTGTTCTGGGAAGGCCTCAGTGCTTTGTTAGAGAACATTAGTCAACAAAGAGCATCATGAAGACCGAGGAACTCACCAGACAGGTCAGGTAAAAAGTTGTGGAGAAGTTTAAAGCAGGGTTAGGTTATTAAGAATATCCAAAGCTTTGATCATCTCAAGGAGCACTGTTCAATCCATCATCCAGAGATGGAAGACGTATGCCGCAACTGCTAATAAGTTTGTGGTCTTAGAGTGGCAAAATGTGAAAAAGTTCTATCTATCTAGATACGATCAGAGTTGGTCAATTAAATAATCAAATCTCTAAGTGTAGCTGTAGGCACCATGTAATAAGAAGCATGATAAACTCTGCCTATTGAAATCAAAATCTATTTATTACAGTCCCAGAAAAAAAAAAAAACTGACAGAAAAACTGCAAGAAGGTTCAGGGCAAATGCATAACCTGACTTAATTTACTTCAGAAATTAAAAATTATGTCAGAAATAAAAATAAAAAAACGTGCTTGAAATTCAATGGTTTTGAAGTTCAAAGTCTGATTTTGATGGGAAAAAAAAAAAAAAAAACTTAAGATGTAGAAATTCTAATTCAAAATCAGATGGCACAAATTAACTCCCATAAAGCCTGACCGTTAAGGAGCTACCCAGTGCTATCATGCCTTTTATCTCTTCTCCATTAGAGATAGCCTAATAATAGCTTTGCTATTATATTGGGTCATATCTACAGGGTCGATAGGGCAAGCCAGAACAGGTCTACTTTACCTGGTTGTTCACTTTCTTCCTGTCAGCAGCTGTGATGCTGCTGCTCCAGCAGGCCAACAGTGCTTGAATTCTGATGGTTTTGAAGTTCACTGTCTGATTTTGATGCAAAAAAAAAAAAACTTTAGAAATTCAAATTCAAAATAAGATGGCATAGATTTGCCCCCATAAGGCTGCTTAAACCATGGTGTATGAAGGGGATGTACTGCAAAACCTACTTTCCCACAGCAGTTGTAAAATATCAAGTCACATCACTTATCTGCAACTATTTAAAGTATGATATATATAAACAAAAATAAATATCCCGTCTATCCGCAATTAAATAGTATGTGCACCGCATTTAGCTTTGTTTCTTTACGGTTGTTTACCCTGAAAAATCGACCCTCTTATGTGAGATAGACAAATATTCTTTTTATATAATCTTATCTCAACAGTACATTACTTATTAGGAGGTCAGAGCTGGCCCTGGGTGCAACAGAATACATGTGCATTGCAAAACAACTTCCTTAAATGTGTAGGCTATACAATACATCAGCAACTATACTGCCTTTCAGTCAACAGCAGCAGATTGAAGAACATACATAGGCTATACCAGCAGAGGGAACTGCCATCCTTTTCAACTCTGCTGGGAGATTGTTCAGATTTTGACATATTCTCAAGTCAACAGAGGTGGTGCAGTCGAGCCTTATCACTTGAAACCTTTTTTTGTTGTCGTTGTTTTTGTTTTTTTGTCTCGAGAAAACCACAATCATTTCAGTATCACCAGATACTTTTCCTCAATTGTTTTGTTTTGCTTGTATTTTTCATTAAACTTTACAATAGGTGCTCTATTTAAAACTTAGTGAATTTATAGGATAAAATTTAGTATCACATAAAAATAGGTTACTCTAGCACCTCTGTAAGGTGATTTCCTGGCCAGACGAGAAATACCTACGTCAAAAGAAGTTCCACCTGTTGTTGTAAGACCCGCCCATTTCTCACGTCAACCAATCGGCAATGCGGACCGAAGCGCTGAAATGAACATGTTTACCTTTCACTTACTTCAGAAGGAAATCTAAGTGCGGATTAGCAGGGCATAGAGGAGTATTATTGCGAGGATATACATCATTATTACGCCAAAAAACTTCATTTTTATAATCACTGAGAGCATCGACGCTGCCATAAATGGCAAAACGACCAGGGCGACAGAAGAGTCAGCTTCCAACCTGCTACTTTGAGGGATACCTGGAGAAGAGGTCGTTCAAAGATAAGGTAGCCTAGATTTGAAGAACACAGATTTTGTCTTTGTTTCTCTGCCGATTTAATCAGAGTTATATGGTATTAGTTCCTACATAACTAACTGAAGAAAATAATTATTTCTCCACTTTATGATGACAGCATGGGCTTGTATTTAATACCAATATGACCATTTGAACCAGCAAACATATCACCTTATTATTGTTTTAAGTATTTGATTAACAAATTTTCCATCAAATGTTTGTGATTTATACAAAAAAAGATTGCTAAAAGAAGTGGAAAGGAAAAGGCTGCAATTGATCTTCAGTTTTCTTAAAGTTTTGAGGAATTATTTGATAAGCTTTGAACTGAGATAAGATTAGACTTTTCATCTTTTAAGAGGTTTGTTGTTTTAACTTATTGTAGCTCACTTTCCACCTCTACCAGAAGTAGAGCGAGACTGAAGGAGGTGATGAATGATGGCATCCGAACAATGTTTCAAACATGTCAGAGATCATTTCAACTCTTCAGTCAGCTGGAATATATTAAAGAAATCCGTAATTCAGCAGCTGAGAAACAGACTGATCTTTGGTGCTGTATGGTGCACCATTAATAGTTGGGATTACAAGGACAAGGTAGAGTATTAATGGAACAGTACCTCAGTGTAAAGACATTATGTCGTCAATTTTTGTTAAGAGAGTGTTCTATTTACTCCACATTTACTGTAAAGCACAATTTAACAGTCACTTAGGGGGTGCTTTGTCTCTGGGTGGAGCAGCTTGTCATGCTATAGTTTCCAGTAACATGTGTGGACTTTGACTCTTTGAAGCCTTTGGTGAGCAACAATTGTCTCCGACTGGTCTGACTGCTTTTCTACCTGTGCCATAAAGATTAGAGCAAGTCAGGTAGTTAGACATAAACTCGCAAGTCGGGCTTTGCAAATAATAAATCCTGCAGGCTGAACTGTCAGGCCTCTACTGATAAGAGATCTTGAGTGCTCCCATGAAAACATGTCACAGAAAATGTGCCATCAGAAGTCTATTTAAGACAAATCGGACACAAATATTGTATCATTGACTTAAGTTCACAACATTTGTGTTACACTTAGGCAAAGTTACCTCTAACAGAAAAGTGTGAGCCCAGGGTCTGAGTATTCAATAATCAAAACTTACATTCCTGCGTAGAAAAAACAACGTCTGTTACATATACTTGAGTCACTTCAGGTTGAACCTAGTCAAATATTCAAATACTTTACTTTCACACATTAGTTTCTGTGGGAGTTGCAGAAACTTCAATCATCAAAAGTGTTGCAAAAATGTCACCTGGTTAGATTGCTGTTCTCTCAATTTCCTTGTTATGTAAGAGGCATAATTATAAGTTATATGTGTTTACTTTGAACAGATAAAAGTCATTTCATCATATTTTTGTTAATGGCTTCATCTTGATTTGTTGCGTGTTTTTCCAGACTTCTCGGAAACTGTGGGCTTGCCTTTGTGGAAAGACGCTGTTCTTCTTCAACGACAAAAGAGACTCTGATGTAAGTCGTCACAGAGATTTGTGGCCTTATGAGAGGCAGGTTTTCCACATTTCTGACAAAAATGGTTACTCTGTGCCCCTTCATGTGTCATTTTGTGTGTGTGTTTCATTAGTATGTGGAGAAACTGGATCTCAGTGGATTTCTGTCGATAGCAGATGATGGCAGCCAAGATCGAAATTTAGATGCAGCCAGAATCAACCTCCAAATGAAGGATGGGATTACCAAATTTACTGTGAGAACTTTTACACAGATAGATATGTAGATAATCTTTTTTTGAAGTCTTTCCTCATTCTGACAGTTTTCTTTCGTCTGTTGTTACTACAGGCCCCTAGTGCAGAGGCTCGGGAGCTGTGGAAGGGCTACATCCACTCTGTTGCAGAGGTTAGAGATATATTAATATTACACAATGGAAAAAAAAGTGCATTTTTTGTGATTTATTTATGTAAACTTAATGGACTGGTTTAAATGTAATACAAGCTAAAATGCACACAGATTGTTAAAAATAAAAATTGTGTCTCCCTGCAGCTGTCGGTACCTTCCTCTCTCAACTTGCTTCCAGGCCAGATCCTTGCGCTGAAAATGGCTGTAGAGGAGGAAAAGGAAAGAACACAATCTGCCCCTTTACCTCCTATTCCAAACCCCAACCCTTACATCCGCCTCAAAGCAGACATGCCAGCGTGAGTACTATGACTGATAACTGATTCTCATCTGAACTACTACGGTGTTTAATTCATATCTGTCCAACAAATAAAGGGAGGCTAGAAGGGACACGAAACACTGACCAATATTAATATTTAAAAACAGCATTCAAATGCATATTTAAAGATAGGAGCCTGGCAAGACATAGAAGAAAAAAATCTAGCTTTTCATTCTTCAGAAACTGTGCTTCATATCAGTTTTTTAATTCTCTCATTTTATAAAAGGCACCAGACACACCTGCACCTTGTGTCTGGTGCCTTAACATACCATCACTCTCAAGAGATCTCTATCTATTTCCCTGTTTCATTTTCTTTTGGTCTTTTGATAATCTAATAGTTTTATGATGATATATGGATTGAAAGTTTCCCAAAAACACAAAATGACTTCAAGTTCTCAATAATGAGCCAATAGGTTAAAATAAACACTAATGTTGTGTGACCAAAAATCTCAGACATATACACCACACCCCTAAATTGCTACTGTCAGAGTTAGGCAACATGTTTGCAGGTACAATACAATACACTAAATGGTGTCAACTGAGCAGCAATGTGACCTTCAACAGATCCAGACTGTGTTTAGACATGTACATATGAGGTGTTAAACGCTTCTTACCTGTATGTATAAAAAACTGAACCCCTACTTGAATAAAGTCTGTGGTTTTGTTCCCCCCGTCTCATCTTGTGTATTCTGCTTCACTGCAGTTGTTACCACAATGTGACTCGTATGGAGGCAGAACTGCTGCTTGAGAGAGAAGCCAAGAGGGGAAACCTGCTGCTGAGGCCGAGGGAAGGAAATTCATTTGCTGTCACGACCAGACAGGACCATGACGGGTATACATACATGCTCAGAGCACAAACACACACACTTCCACATTTTTAATGCAAATGTAAATATATTATGAGACATCTGAGCACACCTGCTGTATCACCAGACAGTATACTGGTGTCTCAGTCATGTATTTAAACACTTTATCAATGTTTTGAAAGCACTCCTATCGTTTCCTTTCAGCTCTGTATTCAAACATTACATCGTGTCCCGAAAGTATGAAGGGGGCTTCGTTATTGAAGTGGACGATCCGGTAAGTGTCTCAAAGTCATGTCTACCATAAGGGAACTAATGGTACTGAGGGAAGCAGGAGTCAGTTTTATTTGATAGTTGAAGTTCTTTATGGAGTTGTAATGCTAAGCTGAGACAGGAGATTGATTTGTAGTCCAGACTAATTGCAGTTTATGGCTTCCTGGGAAAGCAGGGTGAGATGAATGATGAATACGACAGTAAAATGTCATATGATGTAAGTTTTGCTCTCACCGCCCCTTTTTTTTCTGCACGTGCTCTCTGGATGTCTCAAATGTTTCTTTAATGTAATAACAACAACAGCAATAATAATAATAGTAAGTGATAAAACTTAATTAGTGTAAACAGGTTATACAGTCGTTAAATTTAACAGTTATTGAGGGTAGCTGTGTGTTAATCTCAAAGCAGGTTTTTGATGTCCCACATGTACTTCATTGTTTTTTTTTGTTTTCCTTGCAGGTCTTCTGTGCAACACTCCACGATGTGATCAATCATATGGTGACAAGAACTGAAGGAGTTTTGATTCCTCTGACCATGGAGAAAATATACGACAGAAGAATCTGTAAGATATTTCTTGATCTTTTCTTTTTTTTTGTCTTCTTTTATTCAAGTAAGTTTAATTATGGTTGACTGGTCAGTAACTTTAAGTGCTGTTTTTTTTATTTTACAGCTTTTGTTTGGTCTGATCGTGAAAACGGAGAGAAGAGCATTCAAGAGGTCCCTGTAAACCCTGTCCCACCGGCAGTGCCTCCAAAACCAGGTATTGAGTTGGTTTAAGAAAAAAAAAGCAGATTTCAACTATAACAAAAAAAGCTGAGCTATTTTTGTTCTCTGTCTAACCTGTTTTCTGGGTCCTCTTGGGTTATTAAGTATCTGGAAATTCCACCTCTGTAACCACGTAGCTTATTCTTGGACTCAATCCAAGTCAGTGTGACGTGAAAAGTGATCCTTAACACTAGTTTGGTATGTTACACTGGAAACCTACTAGTGCTCTTACTGGGAATTCAAGTTATCAGAAGTGATCAGTTAGAGTAGGAGTCATTTTACACTGTGAGCCTCCTTTTAGCTGCATCCACCATTTGTTGTTTGTTTAGGACCTCAGTACGTACGGTAGAAATTCCTCCTCTCATGTTTTTTTTGGAGGGCTTTGTAACTCAAAGAAAAGTTAAGACCCTGTAGCAAAAGTGTGTAAAATTTTGAGCTTGTGAGCCTGTAACATAATGGGATTCCTGTTTGAGACCTCCTTGGTTCCCCGTAAACAATAGAGCAACTTTTTTGTTGTTGTTTGTTTTATACCTGATATTGAGTAAAGTAAAAACTATGTATGTTACAAAGCAAAGATTCGAACAGCAGATCAAGTATTCTATAGTCTAAACCCCCAGATTAGGAAAAAAAGGTCTACAGCTATGAAACTGCCTCTGTTGGCTGTACTTAGACACAGAGGTGCTCCTGGCCATTGCCTTACATCATCAACAGCATGCTTATAGTGACAGATTTGAAGCAGTTTTAATATTTTCATTTCCTCGCTTGTTAGCATTCTTGGATAAGTAAATAAGGTAATCAGCATTGCAATTGTATTGTTGTTTTTGTGTTTTCACAACAAACAATATACTTGATGTCAATTTTTGATACTATGGTAATGCTAGAATAAAATTTTGTAGAATGATTCACTCGAATAAGAGTAAAATGGAATCAACAAATCAAAAATGAGTAATTCCACTTCAAATCATTTTAAATGGATGTTAAATGAAAAAGGATTGCCAACATCAGTAAGAGTCATCCTCTGAGGGTCATGAATGCTCACAAAATTCAGTGGATATTCATAAAACAACTGGTGAGCTATTGAGTTTAAACCAAAGGAATGAATATCTTAGGCCACTCTTTTAACAAAATTGTCAACTTTGTACTGTTTGTAATATAAATAAAAAATTAGGATGATTTTCAAAAGCACCACGACAGTAAGCTTTGTGTTCCTTGGTGATTATACTGTACCCTACATTGCAGCAAACATGTAATAATTTTAATGATGTGACTTTCTTTCTTTAGTTCCCAGGATACCGAGCCCTGAACCAGCACCAACACCAGCACCAGCACCAGAACAAGATGAAATGGAAAGCATTTATCTGAATTTTACATGTAAGTAGGAACCCACCTCTGCCTATCCAATCATGCAGTCCATCTATCATCGCTGCCATTTTCTCATGCCGTGCAAACAGAAACAGGTGTGGCTTCATTTTTTCACTCTGCTATCGCTGACATAAGCTTGTGTTCAAACAGTGGAGCAGAAAGAAAAGGAGGCCGAGGATTCCTCCGAGGTCACACTGCAGCGTAAGTCCCACACTCTTAATCAAACAATCTTAGATGCGGTGAAAATGTTTTCTCTCTTCTTACCGCGTGACCTAAAATGACTTAACTTTTTATGACCTCTAATCACTGCGTGTTTTTTGGTCTACTTAAAGCTCCAAAGAAAGCGATGATGCCACCTACCCCCCTTCCTCGCAAGTGGTCCCATCCTCCAGCACCTCCCCTCTCTACCTCCCCCTCCATCAACCAGGATTCAAAGATGAGACCCCACCAAGAAACTACCGCACAGAGTAAGTCCACTCATTCTTCATTTTAGTGCTTTATTTTCAGCCTGATTTCTTTTCTCATTTATTAAATACTCTCGCCTTCATACTAAGACTTATTGTCCTGTGTCCTCTAGTTCCTTTTGCCATACTGCCTGAGCTGAAACTCGTACTGCAGCAAAAGGTGAAGTGTCAAGAGTGACATCTCCTGGTGAGAACCTCTCAAAACATCTATGACTCTCGAGCTTGTACAGAGAAATCCACTGTATGAGTCTGTGCCGACAAGATGAAGGACTACAAGCCGCGGGGAGCAGTTGTATATACACGGACAAGCTCGTCCTTGTCTTTGCTCCTCCTCGTTGGCTGTCAGCAGTAGATCTGCTCAGAAGATTGACACTTTATTGATTCACCCCTCCCTTTCTCTCATTAGCAAATAAATTCACTGTAATTTATTCACTAATAAGCGTCACATTAGCGTCACTGCTTGTCTTGTACATTTTGCACTGTATCGATCTGTCAGTGTTGTTTATAGTTTTTTAGTCATTGGATATGTTGTACTATATTTGCTGTAAAGAGATGTCACCTATTTGCTAACTGTGTGTAAATGAATTGTAAATATTTTTTCTGTAAAGTAAAAAAAAAATGTCTGTCAAATTAAATCAGACATGAACAAGTAACTGCCATGCACCAGCTACAAATTAGTTTTTATTTTTAAGGTCTTGTATCAATTTTTTTTTTCTTTTTTCTCTGAGACACTTTTTTTCCTTCTCTTTGATTTGTTCCTTATCGAAGCAGTAATCGGAGAACAAAGTCATCTTACCTCTTTATTACCTCAATGACTGATACACTGTAGTGGAAAACTATTTACAATAAACTGTGACGTCATGTCAGCATGTGAAATAAAGTGAACATAATTCTCAGCTGGAAGCTTCTTTTTAAAGCATTGTAGGCTACAGTTACTCAGAAGCACACACTCACACAGGGAAGAGCATGTCAAAGCAAGACGGTAAACGGGGAAACATAACAGAGGGTTGGTGACAAAGAAGGACCTCAAAACTTCAGTTTCTCATATTTGCTTCTCATCTAGTTGGGTCCAAAACCTGGATAGCTCTTTAAAGACAAGTTGTTTCCAGGAGCTCCTTGCTAGCTATGTGTTATACTTGGAAAACAGTCATTCCGCTACTAATTATGGGATTCTTTTCAGTAAAGTTGTGGAATTAGGTATAGACACATACAGACTTTACATACAAGCATTAGGGTGCAATTGAGTGAATATAACGTATACAGTACAGTCATTTCCAAACTTCTGAAGCCATATCTGAACACTATGACCCCTCTACATGTAGTAAAACACTGTAGAAAACCCTCATCTAACTCTCTGTGCAGAGTCTAGCTGTCAGATTAAGTCTACAGCTGACAGTGACTTTAAATCAGTGGTTCTCAAGTCCAGTCCTCGAGCCCCCCGTCCTGCATGTTTTGTATGTTCCCCTGCTCCAACACACCTGATTCAAATGATCAGCTCGTTATTAAGCCATTCCAGAGCTTGATAACGAGCTGATCATTTGAATCAGGTGTGTTTTCAGAGCTTGATAACGAGTTGATCATTTGAATCAGGTGTGTTGGAGCCGGGAAACATCCAAAACATGCAGGACAGTGGGGGGCTCGAGGACTGGATTTGAGAACCACTGCTCTAAATCAAAACTAACTGAACCTCAGCAGCAGGTTTTAGATCCGTTTTCTTGTACGTTAAGTGTGAAACCTGACTACAGACTGTGAAATGTAGTAAATACTGTTAATTCTTCATGCTTTTGTAAGAAACATAAATAAAACACACCAAATATGTGTTGGTTGTTTCTTGTGATCTTCTAATTGCTGGCGAAGAAGAGTTTCATAATCCTGATCAAGTAAAGAACTACATTCTATTCAGCAGCATTGTCTAGTAGCAGGTTGTTATTTAGATTACATAAGTTGGTTGATGAATAGAGGCAGATTCAGTACTTGGTATTTAACATCAAGCAACGTCTCAAGTTACAGTGACACTTGCACGAAACATTGTATAATGTATAGGGGGACTATTTCTTGCAGTGAAATATTAGCGTGTTGGCCGAAGAGTTTGGAAATGAGGAGGAAGGCACAGGGAGAGAGCATACAGGACAGGCCTTGACCCTGTACCCGCAGCTAGCTGCATTGACAGTACGGCTGAAAGTTTTGGTGATGGACAGGAAGGAGGGGGGGCAGCGGCCAGCGCTAAATCATTGCTCTAGCAACAGTGGGACAGTGCTGAATAAATGTGTAGACAGGGGAAACTAGTAGGACTAAAGCTAACGTGTCCCGAGCAAGCACAACAGCCAGAGTCATAGTTCTGAAGAATCTGTCCGACGGCACAAATGACTCACTCGTTCTCAAAACCGTATATGCTGTCATGCAACACAGACACCGCATGTGGAACAGGCTAAACCAAACAGATTCCAGTGATGTAACTCTTTCATGATATGGCTTTGACTGCAGCAGAGGTGAAGTCTGCAGCACTGACTGTACTAGAGTAGAGCTGGAAGGCGTCCAGCTGGCTCGAGAAATGGGACTAAGTGAGGCTGGCGTTGGAGCTGCTGGTGTTGCTGTTTTTCCTCTGACCACTTTGCACTATGCTGGGGACCTGCAGGCCTGTCACCACTGAAAAACTGCCGTTCCACACCTGCAGGGGGGGAAGAACAGAGATAAGCAGTTTGAAAAAGGGAAAAGTTATGTAATGTATATTTGAAAGTTTTTGAGTGCAGCCCTCACCATGAAAGCTGGTATTACTGGCTGCTGGAACTTGGTTTTGAAGGTGTGCATTAGCTGTCTAGTTTTGGCGTTATAGAAAGACAGTACACCTGTGGAGAGAAAATCATAAAATTATTCATATCTGCTGTCTAAAAACTGTTCAAAACTATTCAAACTACTCGCTGGTTTCTGTCTTTTGCACAATCCCAGAACAACAAAACCGCTACGTTTAAAGTGTGTTTTAAGAGTCAAATCTTCAACAGACCAGTAGTCACTCTGTCTATGTGTACGTGTTATTCTTGCCTTCCTCATAGTTCACATAGACTCCTATACTGCCTGGGATGGGACAGTCCAGTGTGCGAGCCTTGTTGTTGTGCTTAGCTGTGAGGCTCTGCTGCAGCCAGTTGTTCAGATGGATGCACCAGGAAGCGCCGCTTTTCCCCAACTGGTCAAATCGTCCGAGGCTTCGCAGGGCCACACCCACAGCGAAGGCTTTGCTCTCCTTGTCAAACTTCACTTCCCAGTACTGCTGGCCAGCATCAATCACTGTGTCGGCTAATGAAAAGATACAGATTGTAACTACGATGCAATGTCGACTGCTGCTTCTCATTTCATTGCTGACATGATACGTTTCTGTGGAGAGTCTTGCTTACATAATATTAAGTTTGAGTTTTGGCAGTTTCACCAGAGAAAAAGGAGTTAGAAATACTGTACTTATGCTATAAATTATGCTGTTTATAATAATTGTAAAATAGCACCATAACCTTGAGAGACCAATGGACTTAACCCTCACATACTGTTCAGGTCAAATTTGACCCGTTTTGACTTTTAACAGCAGTAAAAATACCCTAAACATCATTTTTTAAGCCTGAAACTTGATGACTTTTCCTGAAGTGTCCCAAAATACATGAAATTAATTGAAAAATATTCATGTGTATTTTTGTTTATGTGCTACAAATTTTTCCCCTCTAAGGCTGTTACAGGTAAAATTTGTCCCGTATCTATTTAGATGGATTTCAGATCTAGCAGTGTGGGACAAGTGACAAACAGTAACAACAGTGTTCAATATAAGGTTTGCTGTTCAAAAAGATATATTCAAATCATTATGAAACTATCATTACCTTGACAGAAACACACACACACACACACACACACACACACGCACGCACACAGACATACAGTCACACAGACACACTCAGACAGAGGTCAAAATGACCTAACTAGTCAAGACAACTTTCTGTGACAGAAAGCTGCTCTTTGAACTCTTTGAAGGGGCAATTTTGACCCGGAACATACTTTGAGGGTACAGGATTTGAACAGTATGGGAGGGTTAAAACTAGCTTTCATGGTAAGTCATCTGCTTGTGCATCCAGCTTTCCAACCTGTTCAGATACAACATACCATATGTATTTTCACTGTCTCAAACTCAATCACGACCCTGTCACAGCAACATTATGTCTCCGTTGTTACCCTACGTTTATGGATTATAGTTTAATGTGCTTATCTGGTACTGGCCTCGACTCAGTACATGCTATCATGACAGACAGCCATCTCAACACTAGTGTCTAATCAGAACTGAAAACAGTCAGTCTGCTGTTGCGTCAGTCTTCTCGCTTCCACCCGCATTGTGCTTGATGTGTATAGTAAGGCGTGTCAAAATTCGCCTCTGAATATTTCGTAATTTCGTGTCGTATATTTGCGTCGTTCCCAGCATGTCGAAGGGCTAAAAGGTGCCTCTTTGTATTTTCTGTTTCTACTGAAGCTCTATTTAATTTTTTTGCTCGAAGCTCGATCAGTGAAGTGATTTATGCTCTCACAGCAGCTTAGTTCTTATGAGTATACAGCCAGTTACTGCAGCCTGGTGAGTTTTAGCCCTAAGGATGTCGAAATGTGTTTTTTGCGTACCCAGCACTGTGTAGGACTCAGCAGTAAATCTGTCTCTGCCAGGCCGGGCTGTCGGTGCCCTCTTTGGCGACATCAGAGCTGACCTGATGAGACAGAGGCAGATGGTAGACGACAAACTCTCAAGGCTCCAGATTTTTGAGATGCACTCATAATGACAGGAAGGACATGTCAAAAGGCTTCATGGGTCCTCAACTGAAATCAGATTCTACAAGTTCATGCAGACCTGGCTGGAGAGTGCATCGGAGAGTTAGTTCGGTTCTTCTCCTTGCGGATGTCTTGTATCTTTCCTCCGCTGCTGTCCCACTCCACACTCAGGTCCTCCACCTTCAGGTTCTGGTGGGAGGAGGCAGAGTCCAGTTTGAAGGTGAAGGCTGCCAACAAAAGAATGAGCGAAACTTTTCATTTACACTCTCAAAGTATGACACAAAATTTAATTCTCATTGTCAGTGATAATAATCTATCAACAACATTACAGCTTTAGATCTAAATCCAGTCAAGTGTTCTTACCATGAGTTTCTAGTGTTATCGGCTCAGAGAACTCTCCTGCCACAGCTTTGTTACACGCTTTCACTCGAAACGTTATGTACCGGGTGTCAAAGCGCAGCCCTGACAATGAAAACACAACTTTCATTATGATTCACTCCTTTCTTCCCCGGGCCTCAAACTTATGACGAGAAATACCTCCCACACAGTCCTCCCCCTACCTGTAAGTGTGTGCTCTAACTCTCGTATCCCCTCCACCACCATCCAGGGGTAGTCTTCTCTGATGCGCGGCGGGCCCTCGTGGTTTGTGCGTCGATGTTCCAATATGTAGTGGTCAATCTTACTGTCAGGCTCCGGTAGGGTCCAAATGACAGTCACTGTATTGTCGCAAACCTGGCACTCTGAGACTTGGATCTCTGGAGTTGCAGGAACTGGAGAGAGAGGACAGTTGGCCTGTTACAAAAACATCCTCAAACCCTTGCTCTTACAATATAGTGAAAAATACTCAAACTTAAAACATGCACTGTAAAAATTGTCATTTAAACTTACCATGATGCATTATGATGCATAAAAATAACATCTCAAGTGCAGCAATTGACTAAAGCCACATGGGGGCAGTGTTACAAAGTAGCAATTTTGCTAGCAAAAACTGTTTTTAGACATTTAGCATAAACAGAAATGTTATCATCTAATATAATTCTTCTTTCCACCTGATGAATCTTATTCACTCTACCACAAGCCACTTCCATCAGCTCCTTATTCTCCATTAGCTTTTTGGTGCTAGTTGGGTGCAGAACAGGGGTTTTATCTGAACTTTTTGCAGGAAACAGCTGCTAACACTGACTCTGAGCCCTGAAGGGAGACGTGTGGGCTGTAAACCACACCAATGCATTAAAGAGGTTAAGCAGCCTCACACAGCTGCAGAGTCGGGTGACTTGTTCTCTGTGGTTTCATCACTGTGAGCGACCCCTTTCATACTGCATGGAGCCAGTCATTTCACTCATTAATATTTCAAATACGTTTTGGAACTTTGTGAAAACAAGGGTCATTTATTTGACATCAAACCACTGCTTGTTTTTGATTTTGAAGCAGACATCCTAATTCATATGGCAACCAGTAGCAACAACAAGCAAAAAGAACAAAAATTAGAACAAAAATAGAACAATGAGTGGGATACACCCAAGTACTGATGTAAATTTACACCGGGCAACCAATGTGGTTAACACTTGCAGCCCTTTTGTTTCAATGTGCATTTCTTTGAATGAAAGTGGAGCAGACCTGGGAGAAATTTGAGGCCCTGTAACATCCCCCTCTCCTGGCTGAAATCCACCATCAGGTGACTCATGTTGTCACTGGCTTTAGCCTTCAGGGAAAGGCGAAAGGCTGGAGCCATTGTCACGCTGCAGACAAAGAGAAACACACAAAAACGCACAAACAAACAGAGCGGAAACAAGCAACTCTCATTATTCCACTGACTTTTGGAGGAAAAAAAAAAAAACAGACGATCCTAATACTGCCAACTAAGAAAAGGCCGCTTTTCTACACTTCTGTTTCTACAACTGAACTCATCACCCAAATAAACATTAAAGCCAGAGAGGGAGCAGCAGTCATCAAGGCTGGCACACAATGGTACAGACTCAACTAGACACAACACAAAGACAAAAGGCTCTGGACTGGAAAGCTTTCCATGGTGCATCTTGTCTACACAATGGGTGCGGTGGCTACGTATCTGAATGCATGCACGCTACATTATAAGAGGGCTCACTGTTTAAAGGAGTCTACAACGAAAGGGAAGCAACAGATTACTGAGTACTATACCTATCCTTAATGTCTTTGGCCGCCTGGTGGAGAAGCAGAGAGGGCGTGGAAAAAGAGAGGAGAGATACGGAGCGAAGAGAAAACTGAGTGGTAGCCCATCAAGTAGTCATTTAATACAAAAAACATGCTGGTGGTTGTGTTAAAATATCTGGTAGTAGGACACCACAAGAAGGATAGATCACATCATAAATATGGACCATGAAATTCACCATCAGTAGTTATAAATGGGGTTACAATCAGCAAGCAGAGCAAAGAGTAAAGCAGCGTTTCATCAGAAGTAGTATCAGGCAGTTACCTGAGTGAAACCATCTGTCTCCGAGGAGCAGAGCGTCTGATTGGCCAGCTCCAACAGCTCCTCTGAACTCTCCAGGGCTTTCGAACAGGCGCTCAGCTGACTCTGAGAAAAAGATATCATCGCACAGTCAAACAGAGGACATCTGCTGACTAACACACTCCTATATGATATACCGAGATTATTATGCAGCAGCATGATTTGACAATCATAGCCATGCCCTGAGGCTGAAGAGTTTTTAAAGGGATATTCCGGCGTAAAATCAATTTAGGGTCAAGCACACTGTAACACCGAGTCAGATACCCCCTTGTGAGATGAATGTTGCTGACCGCTTGCTTCTCTAGTTATACCAACTTTAGTAACAACCACACAATAGCAATACACAGTGGTCTACCTCTCCATGTGCAAACCTCAACCAAAAAGCCACTCTACAGCCACAAATAGCTAATCATTCCCTTTAAGTAATAATCACCATATTAATAATTTTGCATTGCAGACACAGTAGTCCTTCTGCCTTAGCGTCTCAGTCTGATTGCATTTCCATGAAGTAATAATCATAAATGTTCTTCCTTGAGCTGCGAAACTCCACTGCACTCCATGATTGACTCGCCAGAGCTCCCCTACAAACAAGCGGCTGCTGAAGGAGAGTGGGTGAGTTGTGTTTGGTCTCTTTGTTAAAGAAATCAGGCAAAGCTAAAAAGATGTTTGATGGCTAGTGCGATGGCTGGGACCCTATATGTACTGTTGATTATTTGTGGCTATAGAGTGGCTTTTTGGTTGAGGTTTGTGCGTGGATCCATAGACCGCTGTATATTGCTATCATGTGGTCGTTACTAAAGTTGGTATAACCAGAGAAACAAGCAGTCGGCAACATTCATCTCTCGAAGGGGTGTCTGACTCAGTGTTGCAGTGTGTTTGACCATAACTTAAATTTATGCCAGAATATCCTTTTCAGAGCCTGTACCATGACCAAGAGTGAAAACATAATAACATACACTTTCATGATATTTAGACATGGAAAAATTATAAACTGTTCTCTACGACGGAAGAAATAGAGGTGACAAAAACTGCTATTTGGTGGCAAAATTTAGAGCATGCCAGGAGATAACATAAAGAAATATCACAGACTTCAGCAAATGACTGTATAACAGCTTGAAGTTCAAACAACATTAATTTAATGATTTCATGGCTAGAACAAACAAAAAATGTGCCTACTTTATTGCATTGTGAGATGCAATATTATGCATTGTTTGTTTGTTTGTTTGTTTGTTTGTTTGTAAAATCCCATTATGAAACTTTAAGTATTTAGAGTTTCCACCATAGGGCCAAGTGTGAATAATCAACTAATTGCAAGACTATTGCACAAAGAAGCTAAAAAAATTCTCACATTTGCTGGTGTCATATTTGCTAGTTTTTCAACTTCCACTTAACTGGAGCATTACCACACTCTGCTGTAGGTGTCAGGCATAGACTGTAAACGGTATATATATACCTATATATTCTATATACAGTCTATGGTGTCCCCTCACACACTATTGAAGGCAGGCTGATCAGCTGTACTGGAAGCACAGATGAGCCAGTAAGGAGAGCCTATAATTCTACATAACCATTTTAGTAAATCTCGCACATAGATCACAGTCTCCCATTTTCTTGCAACTGTCCGAAATTTGAGCAGTTTCCATCTATTTTCCAAGATTATGACAAAATACATGTACCTTATACTTTGAAACTTTGCATACAGCTAGTATGGACAACAAACATTGTAACTCTGCAGTTTTTGTTGTAAATGTAAAAAGTATAATACCACCCCTTTAATAGCAAAAGTTATAAAACACATCTACTGTTGTTTTATAAACAGTAGCACTTACCTGTAGCTCGTATGTGCGACTGGCTCTCTCCTGCTTGATCCGAGTCAACATGTTTTCCTTCATCTCATCGAGAACAGCATGGAGAGCGTTAAACTCAGACTCCAGGTCCTCCTGGACTCTGTTGGAGTTGGCCTGATGACACAGCAAAACAGCAAGTTAAGAAAGAAAACTGTCTGCAAGAACACATTGATAAAGAAAAAACTAACTATATGCAGAAAAAAATGGTTGTAGATGAGCTTTGTGTGTGATTTTTTTTAACTACCTCCAAGTTTTCCAGGTTCTGTTTTAGAGTGCAAGCGAAGTTTGAGATTTCCTCATTCTTCATGGCCAGCGTGTGGGTGATCTTACGCAGAGATTCCTGAAGGAGAAAAAATATTTGTGAATACAGTGATTTTGGTAAAAAAGGAGTGGTTAAAAGTATAAGTCCAAATCCATATTCTCCAACAGAGACTGAGGTATAAATGACTGCAGGTTTCTCCTCCAAACAAACACTTAAGCAGCTCTTCTCACAGACTTAGATCAACCTCAGTAGAGCCCGGTTTAATCAGTGTGTGATGCTTCAGAGATGACACATGGGGCTTTAGGCGCTGAGAACCCTTTTAAACATGATTAAACACAGGATCAGAGAGGGACAGGGAGGGAGGACACTTCACGGGCGGAAGGATGCGCATTTCTAATTGAATTATGCAGCTCCACAATCATTGAACAGCTGATTCAAAAGAGACTGTACTCGCACTGGATTGGTTACAATACGATTTTTTTTACTTCTCATCTGGGTGATCATGCACGCTACATTTCGTCTCTAGCTGACCAGTGCATCGTGAAAAGCCCATTCATACTGACGGACTGTGCAATGTCTGTTGATGCGAGAGGAGCTGCACCAGGCCCCCCGTCCCAGGAATAACACCGAATTATCGATAACAAGTCATCGTAGGCATAGACCGGGAAACCTCACCTTCAACCAGGCTAACGCTGACTCATATATAAAGCAAAATCTATCACACACAAGTCCGTGCCGCATCCAAAAACTCCCCAGTTTTGCAGCTTGTCCACCTCCTTCCTTTGTACGCTACGCCCTGAAACGGCTTCCCCCATCAGAGACACCTGTTCCTCCGGCTCCGCCTCACCTTCTGGTCCCCCATCTCGCCGCTCCGATCAACCGGCGCCGCTCGAGCCGCAAACACCGCCGGTATTCCTCCTCCGTCTCCCGCTATTTGGTTTTCTAGCACGGCAGAGCTGGTACTGATGCTGCCGGGGTGCAACGCATCTTCGTACGGACACCAACCACCAACGCCTTTGGGCCGTAGTGTGCAGAGCGCATGCGCCAGAGGAGGATTCTGGGTACTGGTGTTTCTACTTAGTTGCCTTCAGGGACGGTTTGAAAATAGTCCACCACACAGACAGGGTTTGACCATAGACTGTTAGTATATACAGTCTATGGCTTGACTTTGTGCTAATGGTATGTAAATTCATTTCACTAGTACACTTTTACATGCAGCATATGTTAACACGCCAAACAATTTATGATTGTGAGTGTCATTAATTTGAGGATGAGGCATTCCTAAGAGGAGGCACACTGGATTCACCATTATGTTCTTACTGAAAACCAAATAAAGCTTTGTGATAATTCTGATCCAAAAGTCTTGAATATGAGTGCATGACCATATTGAATGTATAAAACTGCCAACCTCCTAATACATACAGCTGACTTTTCAGGGTCCATTCTAAGTTGAGAAGAGATCTGAAGGCGGTGTAATAGCCTGAATTATAACTCTTAAGCTCTGTTACACATGGATATTTTACTGGCATGCTCCCATATACATATCCCTATATCCTCATCAATATCCACCCCAAGATCTTGGGCCCACACCTGCAGGGTGGCTTCATTTGCTTTATTAGACTTATAGAGGGCCTCATAGTATTGTCCTAATCTTGATTTTTCACTACTTCAGTAGACTTTTTACACAGTATAGAGGTCACTACTAGACAGTTACTGTGTGCAAAGATTCATGTTAGATGCAGTTTCCTGCAGAAAATCGGTAATTCTGTTATGCAGATTGATGTTTATTCAATACTGTTGTGCATTCCTGTTTGATTCATTCATCAAACTGTATAAATTCAACTAAGCAACATAAATCAGTGGAATAAATAGATAAATAAATGGGGTGACACGGTAGTGTAGTGGTTAGCACTGTCGCCTCACAGCAAGAAGGTCCTGAGTTTGAATCTGGGTCAGGGCGTTTCTGTGTTGAGTTTGTGTGGAGCTTACTCCGGGTGCTCTGGTTTCCTCCCACATCCTAAAAACATGCAGAAATGGTAAGGTTAATTGGCCAGGTGTGAATGTGAATGTCAGCCCTGCAATGAACTGGCGACTTGTCCAGGGTGTCCTCTGCCTTTGCCAGAAGATGCTGGGATAGACTCCAGTCCCCAATGGTAAAAAGCGGTAGAAAATGGATGGATAAATAAACGTACAACTAATTCAACAAAGTCTTTCATCCAGCCTTGCTCACAGAGATTAATTCATTTGTCAGGTGACAGCTGACATGACTGCTATAAGCAAGTAAACATCAGACATAACTGCAGCATTTCAGCTTGTTGCAATAAGTGTTCTTGTAGCATGAAAGAGGAATTCATTAGAGCTTTTTGCATTTTTTCATTAAAATTCATTAGGATGTTCAAAGCTCCTGACTACTTCTCATTAGAGAGAGAGAGGCATCTGCTTGACACAAATATGTATTTTCTCATATTTTCTCAACATCTTCTTCGAAGCACAAATTAGTGAGCTGTCATAATCCATTTTTGCTCATTTGTTTTTTTGAAAGCCCATGATATACTTTATCAATATAAAATCTTTCAAATATAACATTTTAAAGTAGCACAATGGATTAAATTTACCATATCACATTTTAAAGTAATTTTTTATTGATGGGCAACAAAATAAAAGTGTGAGTTAGTTCATGACTATTCCTCATGGTGTAAAGCACCAACACAAGTTAGGAGGCTGGATACAGTCATAGTAAGCAACAAAGGTTGCATGCACTGGTACATTTAAAAAATAATAATAAAATAAAAACACAGTATCAAAAATTGATAGGTTTCAAAGACACAGTACACCAAGTAAAATACCAACAAACATGCACAAACTCTATTGGCCAAGAGGTAACATCCAGTTTAACAAGTCAAAGGAACGCATTCAATTCAACTGAAAATAAGAATAAGAACAGCATCCTATGTCCATTAGTTAAATCTGTCTACCAGTAGATGGCTCTCAATGGTATGTGGCTAGATTCTATAATTTGATCAAATCAAACTATGGCTACTGAAGGGCAAGCTCTTGGCCAGTGTGAGTAGCAAATTTGAGCAGAACGCTGTTCCAGTTGGGCAACCGTACGCCTAAATCATTTTGGTAGAAAGAAGATGTTGGGTTTGCATCTCTTGGAGTAAACAGCACTGTGAGAAATGACAACTTTTTAATCTATCTTTATCTCCGTTTTGTTTCCAGCATTGTATTATGTAGGTTGTGGTTGGAGATTGAATCAGAAAGTTGTGTCTTGTCACAGGAAGCCATGCACTCCTCTTGTAGCGAGGCGCTGTGGGGACAAGGAGATGTGCGTTTAGCACCCTTGTACCAAAACCCACAAGGGTTTCACAACCCCTCATGTGCCATTTTTCTACCTCAAGACATTGTTCTGCCATCAAGATAAAGAAGTGTGTCTTCAGCAGAATGTACTCATCAACAGCTTGGGGGATGAAGCATGCCGCTTTGATGCCCTCTGATCACAAGGAAATCAAACAATTGTGTAAAGTGTTTGTTCTTAAATCTTTCTTGTCATTCTGAAACTCTTTTCCATCATATATTGTTGTTGATTTCACCTACACAATTAAGTAAAGGAAACACAGTCTCACAGAAGTCTCAACCAAAAACCCCTCTCCTTCTCCCACCCACACACTGTTTTTTTTTCTGTGTGTGTGTTTTTTTTTCTGTGTGTGTGTGTGTGTGTGTGTGTGTGTGTGTGTGTGTGTGTGTGTGTGTGTGTGCGCTCGCGTGTGTGTCTAGCTGTGTCATATGTGCAGACAGGCAGCCTGCGAGACAGGATGAGTGTGAGAACGAGACCACCTCTTGTTTGATACCTTGAAAATGTGGCGGAAGGAGCTGACTCTGGTGTTACTAACAAGTAAGGCGAATATATTGTTATTGGCTGAAACTTAGGCTGTTACAAACATGTTAAAGTTTCAAAATGAATGTGTTTTGTAATGTTTCAGTTATTGCTGTACTTAATTGACCAACCAATGCACCATCAGCTCTACCTATCCATCTTTCTACCTCTTAATCCATCTGTCCCTCTAACAATGTATCTTTCTGTCTTTTCTTAGTAGCAGCTGTGGTGATTTTGGGTGAGGAGCCTGTGATCTTGGGGAAACGGACTGATGTGTCCCATCCCTCTGGTTCCTCCCTGACTTTGAGCTGCAATTTAAATACAAAGACTTATCAGAGATTTCGCTGGTTCTTGTTTCGTAACTCCTCTGTACCTTCAGTCCAAAATCTAGAAGAAATATACAAGGACATGTGTTTCAGGACCAAAAAGGACTCCCCCATGGTTTGTAACAAAACACAGCTCCCAAAGGACAACGGCATCCTCACTGAAGAGGATGTGTTACAGTACACTCTGTTAAACGCTACAGAGGCAGACAGTGGATTATACTATTGCAAAGTCACAGCAGAGATTCCTGAATTTGAAACTAAATGCAGTGATGGAACAGAAATCATTATTGGTAAGTCTAACTCTTGACTCAGTCCAGTTACCTACGGTTTGTTTCTCCATTGCTTTAGAAGTGTTTTTAAATAATTTCTTAAGATCTTGAGGCTGAAGAATTTCTCTGAAAAAGGCAACGAGACACTCTAGAAAACCTACAAAAATTCTGATTTCTCCGGTACCTTTAATTTATATGTTAAAGTGAAATGAATGTGTCAGTGAATATGTACTTCTTTAGCTGACACTAAAGGTCTACAGGTTGATACTGTTGTTGTTCACCGCCTGCTTTTGAGTACCAGAGTGGAAATTCCACATATTTGAATTTGTGAAAAAAAGAAACAGAAAGGAGTGTTTACTCAAGATTTGTATGCTGTGTTAAAGAAAGATTTCACAGCGCTGCTCTGCGCCTAAACAAATATTACTTATACAACAGTCTCAGACACGCGGAGCCAGATATGTCCACTGATCAATTTAAACAATCAGTTAATTTATGATGGCAATAATTCATATCAAAAATGATCTAAAGACACAAACAAGAGAAAGTTGAGCGAGAACAGCATTTGGCATTAAAGTCAAACTTTTTTTAAGAGGCAAAAAACCTTGAACAAAGTTACACCAGTAAACCGCCATTTGATGGGAATGATTTGGACAGAGATATAGGGATATGGAGATAAACTTTAATACAGTCCACAGGCAGAAAAGTTACAGAACCATTTTTGGTACATTGAAGTGACACTGGACGTCCTGCTACTCAGCTGCCGACAGTGAATCTATAACCCAGGCAGACATTACAGCCTCTTTAACAGTGCTTCAGGCAGATTTTGACACATAAACAAACTATTCTGTATGTGACAGCAATTTCTGTCGCAAAAAAGTAACATTTTTGTTTAATCTAACCATGCAACTGCTTAATACCATAAAACAGCTATGCTTAAATATCTGCTTTAAGCCTCATCATGCAGTCAATGAATAACACCTTAAATTGTGAGGGGATACATATGTTAACCCTTTTGCTTGCTCTGCTTCTTAAAGTATTGTTTTGTTTCCTCCATGACAGCAAAGCGCATGGAACACACAACGTATCCACTTCCCATAGTAACGGATAAACAAGGTGTGTGTGTGTGTATCTACCAGCATCTAGCTCATATGAGCAATAATGCATTAAACTTTGTACAGCCAGGCCTCATATGTTGGTGGGAGATTATTGTTAGATGTTGTTCTGAACTGAGAGACAATGTTGATCCACTTATAGAGGTGTTAAAACCATCGGTGCGGGTGTTAAAAAATGTGTCAAAGTGTATTTTCTGTGCACACTGGCTTTGCATCAATTCACAGTAAATCGCAAATCATCATGGAGTGATTACTTGATCATAATTCAAAAACAATAGTGACCATGTACCGTTTAAAACAGCATTACAACAGTCTCATTCTTGTGTAGCGTCCATATTGTAGTCAGAGGCCATGTTCATTTGAATTCAACTACAACTGTGAAAATGGCCCCTGTGATAGCTGGACCATTGTGTGCACACGGTGGCTCACTTACACAGATAAACTGATGGATCATAATCACATCTTAATGCTTTTCTCTTACAGTAACTGCAACTCCAACACCTGGCATCTTGCTGCTCCACTGGTGGGTGTGGATGTTAATTGGGGTGTCTGCTGTCATTGTGATCGTCCTAATTATTGTATGCATCTTGGTGAGAAGACGATGCCGCAAACGCAAAGGTACCATTATATCTTTCTTTCTAATCCTCTTGATCTACCAACAGGGCAGTAAACACTATAAGTAAATTGTAGATAGACTGGGTATGGATTGTCAGCGAGGATCGCCACAGAACTGCTCTGAAAAAAAGAGGGCAAAACACAAGAAGACAAATGCACTTGAAATAGTAATCATAAAGATCAATGCTTCTGTCTCATTGGGGTAAGGATTTACATTTGAGAAGTTTAACCAAATTGTTTAGTAAAAAAGAGAAGAGGGCAGGAGAGCGCAATGGCAGGTAATAGCCACCCAGTATCCTGTAGATACTCACTGAGTGAGCAGGTGGTTTATGTGGCTTGACAGTGAAGAAAGGCACAAAGTTACCAGAGCGTGTCAAAGTGGAACATAGATACTGCCTATGTGGTTGGGTATAGATGCACGTTTTGTTTCAAATGTAAAACACGCAACAGGCCTGAAAGAATGAAACACTCATTCTGCGCAAAGAGCCCAGGAAATGAGGAACATGACGGGCAAAGCGACCACTACCAGGAAAAGTGTCAGACCTTTGCAGAGGAAGTGGAAGCCGAGCTAAAAAAGGAAAAAAAACGCCCACACCTCACACCCGCATCTCTAGTCTTTTGTAGTCACTTTACTTGGAAATGACCCAACACTCACTGAGATCAGCACACAACACAGAGCCATGTGTAGATTTTCCAGGCTTTAAAGACCCCTTTTCAGTTTTTATTTATCTTTTTTTTTTTTGTTGACTTTTTTTCAATTACACATTTACAATCCTCGTCAATCAGTAAATACTGCAGATCATTTAATAAACAGAAACTACATCCAACTTCAGTTTTAGTTTAACTAAGATTTACTTTTCTTCCTTTTCAGTTGATCACTTAATTTATCGTAGATCCCTGTAAACCAAATACCATGAAGTATTGGACTGTTGGTCTGCCAAAAAATACATCACAAGAAATGAACTTCACCATTCATTCTTATTCATTCATTTATGGTTGATGGTTTTTAAAGGGGCAGATAGCACATGAAAAAACTGAAAACAGCCATCTGATTCAAGAGTCACAGTGTTTAAGACAGCACCTGTCCCTTAAAGGGCTTTTTGTTAGGTTGATAGTGTTAAGTTAAAAAAGAAATAAGAAAAGGTAAACTGTTTGAGCATGAAATTAACAAAAACATATTTAGCATTGATATAGTTGAGGAAAATTCAAGCAGGCCTCTACAATTTCTATTTGTTCTACTCCATTATACTCAATAATGTTTTTGTTTATTTTATGCTATTGTTGATCAATTAGATTACTTCTTCCAATATGCATATTGATGAAATGCCAATTCCAAAAAGCTGGGAGGCTGTGTAAAATGTCAGTAAAATCTGGTTTGCAAATCTAATTTAACCATCTTTCAGATATAAAACAGTGCAAGGCCAGCATGTTGAATATTCCAAGTGAGGAAATGTTTTTAAAATGTATGTGCTTAAGTCAAATTTGATGTCAGTAACAGCTTTCCAAAAAGATTGGAAAGGGGCATGTTTACCTGTATTGCAACATCTCCTCTTTTGACATCACTGTGCAAATCTTTCTGGATTTTCAAAAGTTAAACATCCCCATTCTTGCCTGACAAAGGATTCAGCCGCTCCACAGTGAGGGGTCATATTTCTGTCAATTTTTTTGTTTCATGACGTGCCAAACATTTTCAAGTCAGGATTGCTGGAGGGCAGCAGTCTTCTTCTTCTACAGAGCCAAACTTTTGTAACATAATGCAGAACAGGGTTTTGCATCATCTTGCTGAATTATGCAGGGTCTTCTCTGACAAAGACATTATTTGGATGGCAGCATATATGTTTCCTCAAATTCTGGCTATATTTTTAAGCATAAATTGTGCGTTCCCTGATGTGTGAACATACCATGGATTCTCACTGAAAGCACTGAAACTCATCCTGTTCTTGTCTTTAAATGCAGGCGCAGATCCCATCTATGCAAACACTCATCGGCCCTCTCCACGGCCAGGGATGCCAGCGAAAAGCCTGAAAACAGTTTCTTCCTCGCAAAACCTCCAGAACCCGAGTCCTGCCAGGAGATATGACGAGGGCAGAAGAAGATGCGACCACTGAGGAAGTCACGACATGCACAAGTCACTGACTCAGCTCTTTCTGAGATGTTGTCTATTTATTCAAAGTCATGGCTGTAACATCTAGCAAAGGTATTTTTAATTATCATATTTTCTTTTTCTTTTCTTTTTTTTTTTTAGGAAATGGCCAAAGCCTCCTCTGTAAAGTATTAATTTGCTGATTATTTTAGCCTTTTAATTTTTTTCAGGTATTGGTATGAAATAACAGCCACCAGCCACCAGATGGCAGACAGTACACAGTTGTATTTTTTTTCTTGTGTTTCAGCACTCCATAAATTCTGAATGAGTTTTTATTTTTTGTAAACATTTTATTAATCGTCAAAATACAAATATTAAGTCACATTGGTGATACTTAGATTATAAAGTGTTGAACCAGATTTTCATATTAACAAAAGAACATGAAAAAAAAGAGAATGTAAGGGTCTTACTCTAAGATAGTAAATAAGTTGAGTAAAGAAAACAGTTTTAGGGTTTTTTGTTTCATGTCGTTCAAAGCTTTTTTGTATATTCTGAGTTTGTTTATCACATTCAAAGACAATATGTTCTACTGCTTTAATGTCGATATCACAAAATCCACACATAGTGTTACCCCAATTAAATCTTATATGTAGGAAGTGGTTTGATTGATAAATGTCATCAAGTATTTTAAATATGACCTCCTTTGCTTTATGAGGGTTTGGATAAGACAATATGGTTTAATTCTGAGTGTGTTGTCATCGAAAACAAACAGAAATTGTCATTTTTTATTTCTAGTTTGATGAATTTGATGTGCTTTCAGTCCGATTACTTGCTGAAGTGATCGGGATGGCCAGCATGTGCATATTTTTGCTGTACAGTTTGTATGAACTTTCATGTTGTAAGGCTTCGTGATATTGTAGTGGACACTCTGTCTTTACTTTGAATTGTTATTTTTTATTTCTAGTTTAATGAATTTGAAGTGATCGGAATGAAATGCTTTCAGTCCGATCACTTTAGCCTGTGATCGGACTGACAGCATTTCAGAATAGTCAGCATGTGCTTTGTTAATTCATATATGTAATTTCAAGAGGTTATTTTTGCTGTACAGTTTGTATTAACTTTCATGTTGTAGTGGACACCCTGTCTTTACTCTGAATTGTTCATTTTCATTGTACAGTTGGATTAACACACTTGTCATTAAAAAGTGGAGCTCATAAATCACGGGAACGTCACGATTGTTTTGCGGTCACAGCTGATTGGTTGCACAGTGAGAGAGTGTTTTTTTTGAAGAAAGGTAGAGTCACATGACCAGGCACTGCCTACCTACCGCGGGGAGCTGTAATCGCTCCCTGCAGGAATTAGATGTGGAGTGAACGTTACAGGTGGAGCAGAGCACGGTGCGTCAAGCCGGATCAGAGAGCAGAAAAACAACAGCAGTCTCCACGGTGTCCTCGTGTAAACGGTGACAACTCCGGGTGAGTCCTATACCGAACACATGAGAGACTCTGTTCTGACTTACGGACTTGTTTGTGCGGAGCTTTTTTTTCCCCCAGCAGGCTTCCTCTTTTCCACAGGCGGGTTCTGGGAATTGGATTTGGCAACCTGTAGGGTTTGGAGGTCTAACTTCTCTGTCTTATCTAAGCTTATGGGAAATCCTAATCTAATAATAGCAGCCGAAAGCTCGACTTAGCGGTGGAAGGATACGCGTTCAGGCTGCGCTCAAACGCTTTATGCACACAGACGGTGAGATAGATACACGCTCCAAAGTTGTGGGGTCGTGGGTACGGCTTCAGGATAAGAGTCTCAGCGATGGCTATCCATTTAAACCTTAAGCAAAACCCGTATTCATTGAAAGTAGTGGGGTTTCTCTCCTGAAAAGCAGTGACTAGTTTGCACACCTTCCAACAAATCTCTCGGTGAAAAAAATAACCCAAGAAATGAAACTTCCAGTTTGTTTGCACTGTAGCCTTTGATCATTTGCATTCCTCCCTGTAAACAGAGCTAAAAATGTACACAGCTTAATAAATAATTCATTAACCTCAAAACATGCCTGTTTGCATCATATGACTCCATTCAGGGAATGGTATGGGAGGTTAACTTGATATTTCCAAGTGTGCAGCTTTATGCATGGTGAGAATTATCGCGCATGATATGTGAATCTAGTAGCAGAGAGAGAGAGAGAGCAGAGGATATATAAATGCTGTCAGTGCACTTGCTCGGGGGATTGCCCAATTTTAGCTGTCACACTGCAGCTCAGTGGGGTCGGCTCACACCAGCACTGTGTGGGCAAAGCTGGCAAATACGCACGGCTCCTTTATGTTCGACTGTATGTGCACAGCAAATTCATAAAATGCATAATCTCAACCTAAGAAAGGGTCCAAATGCTAAAAATGAACTTTCCTTTTTCTCCTGAAATATAAAATTATCTAGGACACGTTTGCATTGCCTGTCTATCTGGCAGTTCAGCAAGGTAGAGGTGGAAAAACGAATGAGTTGGAAAGATTTTGTATTGCAGCCGCTGTGTTTTACCTGTTTTAAGCCTGATAAACAGGCAGTTTAATGAAATCAGATCTTTGTTTCGATTGTCAATCTCAGCTGCACACCACGTTTTGTTGTCAAGGGTGTTCCCCTCTGTCAGTGAACTTGTCACACAGCACAGGCGGAGCAGGCGAAGTGTTTTCCTTCTCTTATTTTCCTTTTGTGCCCCAGATCCTGCTGAGACTTGCCTGGGTGTGCATATGTGTGTGTGACTTTTCTGTGTTCAAGTGTGTTCAAGTGTGCACTCACACTCAACCAGACTTGTCTCATTGATGATGAGTCATTTGTCAAAGCTGACAATCTTATCAAACTGGTTGTAGTATTTTCAGTTTTTTTGTTTTATAACCTTTTCGTGCTTTGGTTGTTGTTGTTGTTGGTTGTCCATTAGCTTAATGATACACGCTGAAGACTTGAAAAGTGTGCACGCGGCATGTTTTTGAAGCATTGTTTTTCAGGTAATTACAACTCTCCTACTCACTAAACCAAAAGGTGGGAAGCTACTGTCATTATGATGAAAAGAAAGGTTTGTTTTTAGCCCTGCGAGCTTGCAAAAATATAACCTGGCGCTGAACTGGGGTGTGTTTTCCAGTGAGTGTTTCACAACAGAGTCTGTGACACAAGGAGTGTCAAAGGTGAACACCCTCCCACAACTGGTTTCCTGTTTAGGCCCCCATGATGGAATTCTGTATCATCGCCAGCTCACCAGTTGACCTGCCAGTGGGCCGCTCAGCTTACGTTTGACTGGCAGACAGAGACAGAGAGATAGAGACGGGCAGGAAAAACAGCCAGCCAGTGACTCAGCCAGCATCAGACCTGTAGAGCAGTTAGTCAGCCACACACACAGGTATATCAGCGAGAGCCAGAGGAGGCCTCGCCCTTACAGCCCAGCACAGCGTCATTCAAATGCAGCTCACTATACCCAAGGCCCTCACCGTCATGGTTCTCTCCAGCTGTTCCACTGTTCACACCGCTCTTTGGATTTGGATTTGTTATGAGTCACGGTGATGACAGCACCCTGCCTGTTAGTGCACGTTTCGAAACACTGCCGCTTGGAAGTTTGACTTTGAACGCAGCACGTAGTTGTAGAGAGAACCCCTTCTTGGAGGAGTGTTGTAGATATTGTAGAGACTCCTGAACAGACTATAAATATCTCTGTGCTTCATGTGGATGGTGTGTCTGGAGATAGAGCTGTAGGGCTTCTTCAGCCCATTGTGCTGGTTCATGAGCAGCCTTTGAACTCGCACTTGTTCACACTCTACAGCTATGTTGAGGAAAAACCCACTGGCAACCAAAGTGCAAACCTTTTCAGGATTTTTGATTTAAAGTACACATGCAAATACACTTTCGCATTTACATTCGGGTTTGTTGAGATGTCAAGAAACTGTTTTAGCCTCACATCCATGAATATTTGTTCATCTTCCCTGACTTTTCGATCGCTGAGACTTTCCATGCAATTTCTATGCAACCATTGCTACAAATATCAAAAACTAGAGAAACAAAACCACAAGGTCTCTTTTTTTCCCCTAACATTATTCATAAATATTCAACTGCTTTCAAAATCTACAGGGATAAAACCACAGGATAATATACTGACTCCTTTGTAGTGAGAAACTAAAAGGGGCAGAGCTGTAGCACATCTTTCTCTGGAGTGGGCAGGATGTGAATCAACATTAATCTTCTTTAAACAAAGGAGATAACTAGATTTCACACCAGTCTTTCACAACATACCCTGTGACTCATGGGAGAGCAAACTAAATTTAATGAAGGTTTAATATCTCTTTGGTCACTAAGTGTGAGAGAAACAATAATTCAGGCTGACAGGGTGAGCAAAGATTAGATCTCAGGACTGAGACAGAGTAAAATGTGCAACTTCAGATTCGGGCATTCTTGGAGGCATACAACTTGCTGAATTTTTGGGTCTTTATTAGTGTTAAACTTGTAGCAAAGGTGAGCTATTATTATGAGGTGTTCGCAATTTTGTAGCAGCGCCAGCTTATGTTTTGGCTCCATTAACAAAAGGATGATGGTGATGAGGTGAAGCTTTCTTCCATTGTTTGAGGGGTCAGACAGGCTGTTGGAGGGTCCGCCCTGATTGATTCAAAACAACAGAGCGGACAGTCCAGCTGATAACATGGATAACACGGATATTATCTGCCCATCCTGGAATAAATTTTATTCAAGTACAATCAGATGTTAGAGCTGCTCAGATCACTTTCTGTGGAATTAAATGATAAATAATAAATAAATTCCTATTAAATATTAAGAGGATGCTTATATTTAAAAACTTCCTTAAGGTAAGGTAAGGTAGAGTTTAATGACCCCGCATGGGGGAAACTATTTCACCACCAGGACAAGAAGACTCATACAGACAACAAACAGCATGGAGACATCAGACACCAGATGCACAACAAACACAGTAAAGGCCAGTGCAACATGATTTAATAATGGTACAATAAAAGATGAGGACATGATTAAATACAACAAAAGCCTGATAAAAATGATTAAATACTAAAATAAATACCTCTACAAAACTACGCAGCAGTGCCAAGTCACACCCTAGCATATACTATTAAAAAATCTCACTGCTGCTGGAACAAAAGACTTTCTTAGTTGTTCAGTGGAGCACCGAGGCATCACAAGTCGCTCACTAAATGAGCTTTCAAGACCTTTAGAGACATAATGCAATGGATGAGCCCAGGATTAATTTTAATGAAGACCTGGTCCTCCTCTCAACGATGGCCTCAAGAGACTTTGGGACTAAGCCAATAACTGTATTGCATAAAGAAGGACACTAGCCAGAATACTTTGGTAAAAGACATCCAGAAGCCTAGTGCTGACATTGACAGTTCTTAGCATTCTGAGAAAGAAGGGTCTAGACTGAGTCTTCTTCAATGAGGCCTGAGTATTTTCTTTCCAGTTTAATTTAATTCTAACAGAAATCAGCATCTTTCCTCAGCTGACCCTTTGCAAGAACCCAGTGATGGACAGACAGAATAACCTGGTGAAGAAAGTTGAGCATGTAGACACAGCTTTTCCTGCTGGATTGGTTAATAAATGAACACACTTTGTAATGCAGTGGATATTTGACTCGTCATCAGGTCAGATTTACAAAACCAAACGAGTGGCAATGCTAGTTGTCTGCTGGTAGCAAGAAGCCAAAAAAATAGTAGCTTGAAAATAATAAGGAAAATTTGAATATATATTTTTTTGTTAGAATTTTGTTGAATGCATTAAAAAGACCACACACAAAAAAACAAAGCAACAAAGTGGCCCAACCTGGACGGTCTTTACTTTATGAAAAAAGAAAAAAAAACCTCTGCACCTGGTCACCCATGGAAAAACCTTGGCTTTGTACCTGCATGTGCACATAGTAGTGTGTGTGTGTGCGTTTGTGTGTGTGTGTGAGTGTGACTATGGATAAACACAGGAAAAGAAAAGAGAGGAGACTGCTGCATGCTCTTTTATTGTTGTAACCATACCTGCCTGTCTGCACTGTTAGGGGGGATCTGTCAAACGCTGTGAGAAACAACCTGCAGTCATTCCATTCAGATTTAACCCTCAACCTAAACACTCTTCCCCCCCACAAACACACACATACACCAACTCCAACAGCCTACAGGCAAAAAGCATGCAAGATGTTGGCGCTCTGACAACAAATGAGCTGTCCTATACATGCAGCAGCTCGCCCCACTGTGTCAAGTAACAACAAGGAGGGAGCATGGCAGTTTGTTGCGAAACGCACATTAAAAACTGAGGTTGTTCAGAGGCACAGGGGAGTGAGTGCTTGGCTCTCTCTCCAGGGAATTTGGAAGCTGTCATTTTCTGTCAACAGGCAAGGGCTCTGTGGTGTGTGTTCAAAGGACGCACCTCTATGAAATGATAGGAGTGTTTTTCTCTCTGCGAGCTAAAATCTAAATAGGTGTTGCAAAGCAGCGGTGTAGAGCCTTGTGCTCCCTAAAGATAAGAATATAGTTTTTACCTTGTGAGTCTGTTCTTAAGTATGCTTTGTGTGTTATTCAGAGAAAAAAAAAAACTGGCTTGATGAATTTTGAATGAGGCCGTGCTGCTCAGTTAGTCAAAACAGAAGGCAACTCGCCAAGTGGTAAGTCTCAATTCAGTGTGATTTCCAGTGTAGGGATGGAGTGTTAAAAGCAGTGAATTATTGTGATCTGCATGCATGCCCAAACCTGAACTGATCCCCTCTGCTGCATGAACCCCACTGAGCCCAGAGGAAGCAGGTTCTTATCAGGGAGGAGGACAGGAAGACACAGAGCAGAGGAGGAAAAGAGTAGGGGGGTTTGTGGGCAGTGGGCCACTCTGCAGTATTTTACTCGACATGTGTTTCCTCTGTCAGGTTTACTAATATGACTTTTTACAGCTCAACCTTTAAATGGTTAAAAATCTCTAATTTTACAAAGGGGTTTATATTAAAGTTTAGGACTCTAGAGTTTGTAAGACTTTCTTGTAACTATCCCAATATTGTTTTTTGTTTTACCGTGCTCTGGAACTCAAAAACTAGACTTTCTCCTTTAAAAATGTCCCCATTAGTTCACTGGTAAAGATTTTAATAATTATTTGGAATCTGTTTTTCTTTGTGTAACTTTTGCAAACTAGTAATTTACTGCTTAGATTTTGTTTGTTGGTAATTACATATGATTTCCCACAGTTGACTTCTCTATGAGTCAGAGGGAGAGAGTTGGCAAGGCCATCATGTTCACATTGCAATTATTGTTTAACGAGGAAAGATCAACGTTTTAAAGTTGCTTTATGAATGTAATGAGACGTCATGAGTGATGAAATGTTCAGCAGAAAAAGTGGAAAGAAACGGACCGTATCAGGCAAACCAGGCTCTGTTTTCAAAGTGAATATATTTTCCTTTTTTTTCCCCCATCTTCAAATACAAACATCCTTTTGAGTCTCAGTAATAAATGTCAGTCTTCCCACGTCATGAGTCTCTTTAATTATTAATGCCTGGATGTTTTTATATCTGTTTTAGGTTGGCACCGTGAAGATGATCTCCTCCAGCACCCCTGAGCAGTAGGCGTGCAGCATGGCGTCTGCTCCTCCTTCCAAAGAGGACCGAAGTGGCTCATTAACGCTGCGCTGGAGGCTAACACCGACATAGATAACGTCTTTGCAGGACACCAACTTCAAACTGAACCGAAGCTAGCCGAGTTCTCCTCCACTGGCCTGGTTAAACATACTTCTGAACTGCCTTTAGAGATACTTTGAGGACAACGATGACTTGTGCCTCAGTGGCACGTGTCAAGAAAAGTGACAGCGCTACAGTGTAACAGCAGCAACATCTGGACTGAGACTTTGGACCATGTTCTGTCTCTGATCGGGTGCTTTGGTGGGAGAGCTGGACTGTGCAGCTCTTCCACACTAAGACAAACCTGGATCCTGAGTCATGTCTCTTCTCTCAGCTCTGAGCATCATTTTTGGATGGATGCTCCATGTTTCATTTAGTGCAACAAACACTCACTACGTTTTTCCACGAAGAACTTTCCCCTACCAGAGTGAGTCTAAAGTTTCTCTTATCGGTCTCTGCGAATTTGAACTCTTACATAATAATACACATGAAAATACCATAGTTTTTCAAAGAAATAATGCTAGTATCACTTTTTTTTTCTGTGCCATCTGAAAATAGCCTCTAAAATTTCATTGCAGAAGTATTTTTGTTTTGCTTTGGGAGCATTTTCAACCATGTGCTGTCACAGTTACTGAAAAGAAAAACAAAGTAATGCAGTTTAGTAATGGAGATGTTCTGCTGTGTAGGCGAGCTGAGGATGTTCAGAGAAGAGGGTATCTTCAACTACTCTACCATGCTAATGCAAGAAGACCTGGGTGTTGTGCTACTGGGAGCCAGAGAGGCAATATATGCTCTGGACATCAACAACATCTCTGTGAGAAAGACTGCGGTAAGAATATTATATGAGACTCATTAAGAAAAAGCTTCTCTGAATACAAGTGTTGCATTTTTTTCCTGATTAGTTTAAAACTGCTGTAAAATAACTGATGAAGAACAGTTCGATATTAACATGCAAATCCTCCTTTGCATTATGAAATAGCTTTTAATTAACTTTTAATTATTGCAGATATGAAATGGAAAGATGTAGAGACATTTCAGAGCATTTGTATGCAGGGGGTTGTGGTTATTTTATCGAATAATTAGTAAGCCACTGACTGTCAGACTTTTGGTACCTAATCATGGATTACTGGAAGGTTTCCCGAAAGTTTTAGCGTATAATACCTTTGAATGAAGTCATGTCTATTTGGGAGCCAACATCAAAGGTTATGAATGTGTGGACATGAATTATGAGCAGTTCAGTCAGATTTGTTACCCTAGAATGTCAGATATGGAGGATTTTAAGAGGACCGACAAGGTGAAAGTATCCAGTATTTCAGCAGGTTTCACAGGGTTTAGGACCTCAGGTTTGTATCATCTTGATGCATTTTAAGCTTCAAAAGACCTTACCGTAATCAGTTCACACAAAATTCTCTGTGTGTAGTTCCTTGCCCTCTTACATTATAGTGAGAGTGTGTATTTTGGCTGAAGATAAGCTCACAGAAGCACATTAGACTGTGTAATGAACTGTTTTCTCACATCAGCAGCCAGTTTAACGTTATTGTTTTTGTGGCTTGGATGTGTTTGCATGAGGAATTCTAATGAACAGTGGTCTTGTGTTGGCTCTCAGCATTGGTCTGTTGATTAATAACTGTATTTAAACAGATAACAGTCACGGCTGAAGAGAGTTTGATGACCCTGCTCGCAGATACTCCCTTAGTGTCCTGACTGCTCTTAACATACCACAAACGATGAAATGAACGAGGGTAAACGTGCTACAGCCCAACTGTTGTGCTGAGGGTTGCGACACTGACTGCTCCTACGTGCTTTGACAAGATCCTTCCTCTCTGTTGATGCAGGTGTATTGGCGAGTCACTGAGGAGAAGCAGAGGGAGTGCACGTACAAAGGCAAACATGCAGAGGTTTGTGTAATGTCTTTCAAACCGTAACTGTTACTTCTAGGGCAAAAATACAGCCTGAAAGGATGAGTGAAAGCATTTACTCCCTGGTGCAGTTTATCTCTATGCATTTGTAAATCATTTATATGGGAGTTTTTTTTTCCCCCCTTTTCAAGTCTTCACACAGAATTCTCTTTGAAGTGCTTTGCTTACGGCTACACGCTGAATGTCCAAATAAAGGCATGAGAAGAAAATACGTGTGCACAGCCCTGACCTTTCGGTCAGCAGCTCAGTTCAAGGCAGTCAGTGCAGTCAGTGTATGTTTGTGGCATGTTTGTGTTTTTGCGGCTGAACTAACAGAGCGCCGACCTTGGCATTCTCTCTGCTGGATCTTGTTGCAGGTGGAATGTCGAAACTACATCCGAACACTGCATAGACTGAACGCCACAACAATGTATGTGTGTGGCACGAACGCTTTTAGCCCCACCTGTGACTACATGGTAAGCATACAGTTCAACAAGAAGTCAGTGAAGAGGGTTTATTCACTGTGTCTATTAGTAGGACCTCTGTTTACTAGCTTATGAGGATCTTTGTGATGTACCTGAGGATCTTTATGAATTTTATTATAAATCTAATCTCTTGAGCTAATAAGGGGCGTGTTTTCAGGGCCAGGCAGTTTGTTTTGCATGTTTAAAACATATGGTATATGTTTAATGCTTTTTATTATCAACAAATCTGATCACAAGGCCTGAACCAACAAAAACCCTGTATTACATTATTTTTCCACTGTGGTATTTTTTTATTATTTTCAGACTTGATAAATTAGGTGGACTTTGTAATTATTAGCCAACATTTCTAATGCAAATGCTGTATATTCTGTGTATTTGTCAGGATCAACTTTAAATTGGTAAGCCTTTTCTTTAGAGGTATGCACAAGGGATGGTCTTAAAATAAATTACAGTGCCTTTGTACATCAAAACAAATGAACACATCCTCCCAGGTGCAATATGTAATTGTTATGTATACGTTTTTTACATATCTATAAGCCTTACTCTTTGTAAAATTGGTGCTTGATTATTAATTGTCTATAAAAAGCAGTAAATTGAAATCAGTCTTACTATTAGCTTAGGTTATCTATGTGTTTTGCCTCTGCAAGATAGGATTCAGACAAAATAGACAGCAATGTTCAAGTCAGACTATAGAAAGAGTTGTTAAGTTGTATTGTGCATACATACAATGTCTCCTTTTTGTCTGGCTAACACATGCAGCCAGTGTTTTGTAATTCATTTAATTCTAGTTATGACACACATGTTGTGTTTGAGAGAAAAAGTACAGTGTTTCTTTCTTTTTCAACCTTGAGAGTAAACTTTCCTCTTCTCTTACTTTATTTCCTGCAGACATTCTCTAATGGACAGCTGAGGTTGAAGGGAAAGCAGGAAGAGGGAAAGGGGAAGTGTCCTTTTGATCCCTTCCAGAGATATTCCTCTCTCATGGTTGGTGAGTGTTTGAGTCAGGTGCTGCTGCCAAAGAGAACAAAGCGCAGAATCCTGCTGAATGTTCAGAGTGCACCAACAGAAGGGATCAAGCATGATAACTGTTGGCAGATTTTAGCAGCCACACTTTCAGAGACCAAACAAAATGCACAACAAATCTCTACCAGTATCTGCTCTCTCATCGTGTATCCTAGTTGGTCACATAAGCCCGGTTCAGATCAGTTCATCAGTCGGCATATAAATCTGATATTATTTCAACCCATGAATGATGGTTTCCAGGTATTTATCATCTTCTGTTCCTGTCCAACAGGAAATGACCTGTATTCTGCTACATCCATCAACTTCTTGGGCTCAGAGCCTGTGGTTCTGCGCAGCTCGGACTTGGCTCTCCGCACTGAGTTCAAGAGCTCCTGGCTCAGTGGTGAGTTCCTCCTCTTCAAAAATCGAGCTTTTTAAAATTTCATATCATAGTCGGGGTAGATTAGAGGCATCAGCCGCAGCAGCAACCACACAGCTTCTGCATGATGCAGCTGCTATTTGGAGATATCTTTGAATGTAACCAACACAGATCAAGGTTTTTCTCAGTTTTCACTGAATTCATCTTTTATGATTCCAGAGCCAAACTTTGTCTACATGGACTTTGTGGATGAGAGTGTCGATAGTGCCGAAGGCGATGATGATAAGGTTTACTTGTTCTTCAGTGAGAATGCCATGGAGTACGACTTTTACAGCAAAGTAGTGGTGTCTCGAGTGGCCCGTGTCTGCAAGGTACTATTAAGTACAGAGTAAAAACTAACAGCCGGTTAACACCTCCACAGTTTTCAGAGGCATTAAAAATTGAAGTGCAGTGGAATGTTAATGTAAGAGAGGAAATGTTACTCTTTCTGTTCAGCTTATGGTCCCTGTGTGGCACAGATCTGGTTGTTGTTTTGATTAAAGGTAAAATCTTTATTCTGTCTCTGCGTGTAGGGGGATATGGGCGGCCAGCGGACACTCCAGAGGAAATGGACATCATTTCTGAAAGCTCATCTGGATTGTTCTCTCCCTGAACCCAGCCTGCCCCCCATTGTCCAGGATGTCTTCCTGCTCAAGCACAAGGACTGGAGGAAGAGTGTCTTCTACGCTGTATTCACCCCACAGTCGTAAGTGCTTACAGCTAAGTTCTGTGGCTGTAATGTTTAGGGCGGACGTTGACAGGAGGATGTGTTTCAGCAACATCGTTGACTTTTCAGTTTGTTTTAAAGTCCCACTCCGATTGTTTTTTTTTTTTTACTACTTGAAGTGTTCTCAGTGGTGGAAGTTTTTAGACAAAATCATGTTATCTGTGTCATATTCAAGGGCTTTTCTTCTGCAGAGCTCCAGTAGCTCATTAGTGATTCGCCTCTGAGCCGTGGGTTGAGACAGCACTGTTAACTCGAGTTAGCTTGCAGTCTAATGTTGCCGGTGTAGAAGAAGAAACAGGTAACATAGGAGCAATTCAGCTCTTGGACACAAATGTCTTCATGGGCGTCATGAAATTTAATATCATAATTTGCTTTCTTATGAACATTGCCATCTGCTAACGTACACGCTTGTTCTGCGATAGTCGTCTCTACTTTTCCAAATGTGTAGCCTGCATAGCTGGGCCCAGGGGGCGGAGCTTGGATTGGTTATGTAGGAAATCTCACTCTTTCTTAACCTGCTGTTTGGGTCTGCCAGAGGTTTACAGCGATTTGAATGCAGAAATACTCAGAAATGCAATTTCACACTTAGTTTTCTCATGTTATGTCCTCTTGTATCAGAAAAATGCCATATGAACATGTAGACAACAAGAAAAACTTGAATTTGATCGTGAGTCTTTAATGAATATTGTGAGTCTTTATTGAATATTGTTTGCCCATGCTGAGATTATAAGAGTACTGGTAGTAAAAGCAATCACAATCTTTCAGTCAGTGTGTTTCGTATGGAGTATCTTTCCAGTGTGATAAAATGTATGAGGAGAAAACTATTTGACAGATGAGTTGTTGGTGTCAAGTCAAAGTCGATATGCTATAACCCTAAAAATCTAGTCAATGTTTTTTTAGTTTGCTTAGCTAAATGTTTGATTTCATGTATTCCAGAGGCTCGTCCCAGGCATCTGCAGTTTGTGCGTATAGTGTGTCTGCCATTCGAGATATTTTCAATGAAGGCAAGTTCAAGACACCTGTTGCTGTGGAGACATCACATGTCAAATGGGTGATGTACACTGGAGAAGTCCCAGTCCCCAGACCAGGAGCGGTGAGTCTGCAGGATTTGTTATAGCCAGATTGTGATTTTTTACACTGAACCATAAAATGAAAACCTGCACCCCTTTAAAACTAAATTCAAGGTTTGCATTCCAGTGTATCAATAATCTGGCACGTAAAATGGGGATGAATCGCTCTCTGGATCTGCCTGACAAAACCCTCCAGTTCATCAGGGACCGTCCCCTCATGGACGAAGCTGTTCGTCCTCTGACAGGAGGGCCGCTGCTGCTCAAGAAGGGAGCTTTGCTGACTCGGATTGTGGTGGACAGTGTGTTGGCACTGGATGGACAAAGATATGCGGTCATGTTCATTGGCACTGGTGAGAAAGTTGTCTCATTTACAAAATACATGTAGATTAATCAAGAGTGACGTGGTGTATAATGGTGTGATGTGAGTGAAATATGTGTGTGTGTGTGGGATATGAGATAATCTGCTTCATTCTTGAAGTGTGTTTGTGTTTAATCAGCTGAGCTTCAGATCAAATGTGTTTTCTCTAATGGGAAATGTCATTTTGAGATTAAAAAAAGAACAAGTTTTTATTCATTAACAGCTAAATAACTCAGAACTCAGCTAATCTGTTTTGATGAAACAACTTCTTCACCACCCAGTAAATTAAAAAAGACATTGTGATGGGATGTAAAATGTTGACAAGAGCAGGTTTTGGTGGTTTATTATTCGTTTAACTGTGATGCAAAGATGGATAGACAAGACAACATAATGATAACAATGAATGAAAAATACATGCTTATTTTAAATTCGATGCTTTTAATACATTTTAAGAAATTTGGAACAAGAACAAAATTCTGATATGGTTGTGTGAAGCTAAAATAACATTTAAGGTCAATTTGCAGCAGGTTAGTGAAATTACTCAACATAGGAAGGGCATTCGAGAAAGACTGATCCTTTTCACAAATAAAGACAGTTTACTACTCTGTGATAGACTGCATGAGTAATTATTCTGACAGTTTCAGAATACTCTCCTGTAGCTAAAGATTTCATCATCTGCTGAACATAATATCATAAAAAATTTGAGTAAATCAAGAGAAATCTTTGTACAAACAGAACAAGGCCTCAAACCAGAACGGAGCCAAAAACAAGAAGTGATCATGTGTTTTTAATGCAGGCAGCACTGCATTAAGAACACATGATCACTGTTATGGAAATGACTGCATCGGCTGAACAATCACTTTCAAAAGCCACCGTCTGTTGGCTTCGGAAATCACTGCATCCACAAATGCGGTTTGATCTGTCGTATGTTGAAAGGAAACAATATATGTATATATATAAACATGATTCAGAAACACCACTCACTTCTCTGGGCCTGAGCTCAGATATGATGCACTGAGGGGGAATGGAAAACTGTCCTGTGGTCTAACGAATCAAGAGTGTTGTTGAAAGAGGAGTTGATGCAACACAATGGCAAACTCTCCCCTGTCTCAACTGCTCTGCGATGTGTTGCTAGTATTACATCTAAAATAAGTGTATGCATATTTTTCATCAAATGATACAAAAATCTTGTATCAGAATATAACATATCATCTTTGCTAGATTTTTAATAACATAGAGGATTTAAAGGATTTACAAACCATCAAATGTAGTCTGTTTTTATCATTTTACTCAACATCCAAACTATTTTGGAACTGGAGTTGTAAGAGTCCACAGTCCATAGCCAGAATCCAATAATGTTTTTTTTTTTTAACTCTTTCAATGATCAGCTTCAAAAACCACCTCAGTATTTGTCTTATCAGTATCTGATAAATCACTTATGTTCCCTATGAGTAATGAGAGAGTCTGTTAAAGCCAGGATCTTTGCTCTTACGTGTTTGTAATGCGCTTATTGTAAAGGTTTTCAATAGTCCTCTTTTGTCACCTGTTAGAAAATGGATACATTCAGAAGGCTGTCAACTATGCTGGAGAAATGTTCATCATTGAGGAAGTCCAGCTGTATGAAAACCCTGCTCCTATAACCATCTTGCGTCTGTCATCCAGCAAAGTAAGTCATAACACGTTAAATAACGGTTGTAGGTTATAGTATTTACTGATGTTTTTTTTATTTGCAAATACAGTAAAGTAAGTTTAAGTATAAATGTATACCTTCATTTAAATATGTAGATTTTCTTCTGATCCAGAGCACAGAGGCTTTAGCAGAAGTCATGATCAATTCTTTGCCTTGTTAACCTGAGTGTTGGTGTGCAAACATAGGGCCAGCTGTATGCAGGCTCAGCGTTTGGTGCTATCCAGATGCCTGTCAGTAACTGCAGCCGTTATGACACCTGTGAGGACTGCATCCTGGCTAGGGATCCTTACTGTGCCTGGGACTTCAGCACCCAGCAGTGCTTGTCAGTTTACAGCTTATCGCCCTCCTCAAATCCTGCATTACAGAGTCTGAAGGAGGGAGACGTCTCACAGTGTCCTACACCAGGTACATTAATTCACAGGGTTTTGTTTTCATGTGTTACTTGAAAGACTTTTATTTATGAAACAGCTTCAAAGAAGATGTAATAATTAGTATTCAAAAGGAAAAACCTCTCCTTTGTATGTGTTTGTGTGTGTTTTTTTAGAGCCGGTAGCAGCTGTGGACTTCCCCCTGGTTCCAGAGAACAACATCCAGCTGCCTTGCCAGCTCCACTCTAACTTGGCGCAGGTCCTGTGGCGATTCTCTGACCAAACACTTCACTCCAACAACAAATACTACATCTACAGCGGGGGTCTCCTGATCCTGAGTGCCACCAAATCAGACGCAGGCCTGTACACATGTGATTCAGTGGAACAGATCAATGACAAAACATACAACCGGACTGTGGCTGTTTATCGATTACAGCTCTCCTCTGGCCCAGGACTGGAGGGCAGCACTACCCCTGGCAATGAGGTGACAGATTCCTCAAACTCTATTCCCAGTCTGAATACGGCTGCACCAGGGCCAGACCAGGGCGGCGAGGACCCGTTGTCCCCTGAAAATCAAAGGGACTCTGGCAGGGTTACGCGTTTGGAGGTGGCTGTGGCTCTACTCTCTCTGCTCTGTCTCTCCCTAATGGGGGTCATATTCTGGATCTGGAGCCGAGGACATTGGGAATGCACCAAGTTTGCGAAGAGTTCCAGTGCAAACGAGGCAAAAAGGCACTCGGCCGAATACATGCATATCCAGAACAGAACTTCAGAGATAAAGCTCCTGGGGCCTGAGTCTGGTAGACCTTGCAGTGCCAATAATAATCACTCTGCTGTTGACTTCAAAGGGAACGGGGAGCACCACTTCACACCTATGGCTAACATTTCAAGTCTGGACGGTCTGGGATACATAAACGATGAGTCAGAGATTTGACTCTGCTGAGTTATAGAAATTAGCTGAAGGCCAACAAAGGTGCACTAATTATCTTTCTGTAGGTGTCCCGCTGTAAAGAAGCTTTTTACATTATACATTCTTTTGATTGGGTTCTTTCTTCTCCATGTCAGCGTCTGACACCGTCTATCATTTCTGTACTCTAACTGGGCAGCTGATGTTCACTGAAGAGACTTTTTTCAGGAGTTCTGGTTGAGTTTTTCACTCCAGAAAAAAGTTGATATTCATTTTTTTTATAAATGTATTTTTTGTATAATGATTGTTTATACACTTGTCTGTAATATATTGTGTTTAGCCAAGACCATTTTTTCAACCACTATTTATTTGTGAGAATGAAGTTTTTATCCCAGCAAACAAAAACTTTGAGGTGTAAGTCTTCTAAAAACAGTAAAACACACATTTCCAGGCACATTTCAATCGATGGATTCTGTTAATTCATAAAAACATCTGTCAGAAGGCAAACCCATCAGTCTTTAGCTGTGTTGTGATGGATCAGTTGTTTGCACTCCTGTTTTTTATTTCCACGTGTCTGTTTAAAAAAGGACTACAGATATGTCTAACATTCAAACCTCTCGATTCTCCATATTAAACAAAAGATCATTTCACAGCTGTAAATGTTACCACATCACAGAGGGGGATGTTGTGCATCATTGGGAAGTGTGGGTGTACATTTCTGTCGGTGAACACACTGCATTAGACATACAGAGATGATAACATCTTTGGAAACTTTGGAAAATCCAGTCCTTGTTCATAATAAAAAAGACTTCCTGAAGACTTTGACGTGCATCTAGCTGTCAGCGATGATTAGTCGTCTCTCACACAGCTCGGAAACATCTCAAAAAACAATCCTGGGATTCAGCTAACGTTGCTTGTCTCGATGTTTGCAGAATAAGCACTCCTATGGATTTTATAGCAAGATTACATGAATAATAATGTATCAAAAACACACACTGACACCAAACTCACCTCTGTCTGTTTGCTTTTGTTGCGTATACCTGTGACCAGTGAAAATTCATGGAACACAGCCTGAATCTGCTGAGCGTATTTCACTCTCTGTCATTACCATCAATGCTCAGGGTTGCCTGAGGTTTCATCTTAAACATGAACACTAGATCTGAAGAGGTTGAAGTGGGTCTCTTCTCAATTATTCAACAGTGCAGTATAAAATACTTGTCAGGAAGTGAACTGAGGCGAGATATTTATTTTACCAGGTAATAGATGTGTAAAATATTTCCAGTGCAGTGGTGTAGATTTTGCTAAGTGCTTTCATGCCTAGCATATGATTATTACATGGTAGATTGAAGATAATACATTTGTCTTATACTTGGGAGTTTTTTTTTTTACCTTCATTAACTTTACTCGTCCAATGAAAGGTTTAATAAGGTTTCTTCTTGTACTTTGGATTCAGGCTTTCCTGCATTCTTTCATAATGCCTTTATGCTTCTGTCAACCCACTCAGTATCTTCAAGCATTTTCTTAAGAAAGAAGAAAAATCAATACTGTAGCAGCACCTCTTCGCAAGGTTGAAGAGTCTATACTGAGGACAAGGGAGGCGGAAAAACCAGCACACCATACGTTTGCTAAGCAGGAAATTGATCTGAACTGTCAGCCTACAGCAAGTTTTTTTTTTTTAAAGACAGTAACATTTTAACCTATCAGTCTCACGCGATCGCCTCAGGATGACAGGGTTCTTAATCTAGCGATTAAAACGTGACCACTATTGTAACACTGGATGTATATAGACAACCTAACAAGCAGCGACATGATAGTGAAGTGACAGTCAGGTAAAAGTTCACCATGAAAGACAAATACTGTAAGAAAATGAATGTTTATTGAAACTTTGCAGTGTTAAACGTTTATTTATAGATTTATTTTGTTTCATCATATATCAAATAACAGATTGAAATAATGGCAGTTGGGTTTTATAAGAAAAATATATGGCAAAACTCAGCAGGCAGACATCCTTTGATTCTGTCCGTCCAATCTTTATGAAGGCTGGGGAAAAGTAGACGACTTGTTGCATCAACAAGAAAATCCACATTAACTTGATTAAATTTATTCTTTTTACTGGTTCATCAATTAATTTAGTCCCTACTCCTCATTTTCACAGTGTGATTGCATTTACATGGTAGCGTTCATGTCACTGCCGGTCCATTAGCAGTCGTTTTTCAGTAAGCTTGTTAAGCTGTCTGTGTTTGTTAGTACTGGTTACATGAGATCTGTTCATTTGGAAAAAACAAAATCTGTTCTGTCATGCAAGCTAAACCCTTGACACTAAATACAAAGAATTTTCTATGTGGGGGAAAGTGAAAGTGACTGGAACATTGACAGCAGCTGATAAGGTGCTTTCACAGCAGGGCAGCGACCACCAAAGGCAAACAGTGCAGCTCTTGAATTATTGAAACTAAAAAATACTGACTCAGAGTACAAAACATCATCAGCTTTGGGTGTGATTTTTTTTTCCAGTTTCTCAACAGTGGAAAGAATTACATTTTTTTTGGCACAACTGTGTTTAGTGAGAGACCATTATGACTTCAGTGACGCACCAACATCTCATGCGTTATCACACGCTGCTTCATTGAGCACAAGTCCAGTTCAAAGAAGTGGCACTTAAAAAAGTGATAGTCGAGCAAGTTACTTTCCACAGGCGAAATGTGCAGGCAACACTAAAGCGCATTTCAGTAATTCACAGCCAAAGCAGGCAAGCAGAGATAAAAGGCACAGCATATCAAAAATAAACCAAACTTCTGCCTGAATACATAGAGTCTGAAAAAAAAATAAACAAACACAGTGCAGGTAAGAACCTTGCAGTTGCAAAAAGAAAAATAAATCTTTAGCACATTACAGTATTAGCATGCAAATCTGAGCAACACATAAAACAACGCTGTCATAGAGGTACATAAGGCACACATCCTTCATAAACAGCTGTCTTCAATAATTCTTCACTCTTTTAGAGTTTCCATTTGCATACCTGTAAGACTATACATCTTCCTAAGCAATTTCTTTTAAAACATAGAACTGCAGCTCCCCCCTCTCCATTTTAATAACTTCTATGTAAACAAAGTTGATATGAAATAATAAAGAGAAAACCCTCTTCTACAAGAGTGGGGCGTTTAAGACAAACTGATTGGATAAGACTTCTACAGATATTCTGTTCTCTCAAAAAAACAAAACAAAAGGATATTTAGGCATTTTTTCCCCAAGAGGATTGAAATGATGTGGAAAAAAAAAAGGCTAACACTCTGTCTCCATCTAGAGGCGCCTCTCAGCTATCACCAGTGGCTGTTGTCTGGATAGCTCGGCACTGCGGCAGGGTACTGTGGCAAGCTCGGGCCCTGGGCCGTTTGAGCAACAGCATTGAACCCTGCTTCCCTCACCGGGGCACTCTTCCACAACCCAGTGCTCCACTCTTCCTGAGCTCGGGCCATACTACCACCACCACCCCGATACAGCCTGTGCACCTGAAAGATGATAAGAGAGAGGAGGGGGATATGTTCGTACTCGGCATTTGTGACTGTTTTCAAGAGTCTGTCTGGGTTTATACACTTGGCCAACATTTGAAATTAGTGCAGAGATTTCCAGAGCATGTGTTCACTCACCTTAATTAGAACGAGTGCCATTAAAGCAGTCACCAGAGAGAAGAGCACAGCTGTGATAAGCATCACTATAGCCGAACCCACATTACTGCTGAAAAACATCACTGTGGCAATCCAGCCGCTTTGATGAATAAGTGAGAGTGAGATGGAGTAGTAGGTTAGTGCATCACACCATATGCAATTAGAAAAGTCGATAGAACACAAATAAACATAGCTACTAATGAGCAATTAAGCAGTGAAACTGACGCAGTGACAAACAGCATTGAAATGATAAGTGTAAAATTCACCTCATAATGCACAATGAGTGTACAGTGTTATTTTTACAGGGAGATGTTCTGTTATTGAACAAAACCATTGTGCTTTGTTAGGGAAATAGTGGTGCTTTGATTTAAAGAACAATATCCCACATGGTCTCTGTTTAATATCACAGCAGGATATAGACAGCTGATTTATACAGCTGTAAGCCATAGACTGTATATAGAATAGATGCTGTCTGCCTCCTCGCTGTGTGAAGCCACCCCGAGAACAGCTCCCTCTGGTGACGGGCTACAGTATAGGTCATAAATCTCACCTCCTCCAGCAAAGCTTCTGGAGCTGTGGACAAACTTTAGAAATTTATTACACAGAATATAAATTTTTCTCCCCCCTTCTTGTGGTGTTGACATGTAGTTATTGTAAGACTGGTTTGTGCTCAAGTCCTTTTTTTTCTGTACAGCTCTGTTTTTAAAAGTTATTAGGGGGTTCATGTTTGCTATGATTGACACTTGATACAGCCTATAGGTGTACGAAGATTGCGTAGCTCACTTGGGGGATACACTGTTTGAGCCAAGCAGCAAGTGGAGGAGTGTGTACAACACTACTGTGCAGTGTTGGTTTCAGGAAGTGGAGAAAAATCGCAGAAATATCGAGAACTTTTTGGCCTCAAATCCATATACGGGCGGAGGGCAGAACCAAGTTGTCCATAGTATATACAGTCTATGATGTGAGCAGTTTAATAGTTTCCAGACCTTAACCTCACAACTAGTTAACTTGAAACTTGGAAAACTTGGTGATCAAAATTGAAACCACAGTTTTTTTTCCGCTACACAACTGCACTCCCTTCTTTTTTTAAATCACTAAACTTCCCTATAAAACACCTATCTCATTTTCAATGTTGTGGAAAAACCCTCTATCACCCAGAGCATGCTGATTCTGGAAACCAGCATGGCCAGCAACACCAGCCATTTCAAAAACACCCTCAGTTTTATGACAAAGTGTCAACCATTTCCTGGCTTGATCATTGCACCTTAGCTCCCACAACCCACTTTCTGTGGAAAAACAACAAAAAAAAAAAAACACTTTTTGTGGTTAGAACCAAAAAGCTAGTTCAGTTTGCTTACCATGTTCCCCAGCCAGAGATGCCTATGGTCTGAATGAGGGCCAAGACACACTGCAGGAAGAAGACAAAGAAGAAGGCCATGAAGTTGAACGAACTGTCAGCCCTGTGAAGACAGAAGGAAAAGGAGATGACACAACAGGGAAAGTGTGAATTTTCAAAATAAAATGGAAAAAGGATAAAGCCAAACAGTCTATGGTCAAATGGCTGAAACAGTCTGCTCTGCAGCTTAGAAAACCTCTTTTAATTATTCTGTGTGATGCTCCCTGACAGCCAGTAAAAAGATACAAATACAAAACTATGAATGAAAAAGGTGACTGTCTAACCGTTAGCTGCAGAAAATACAGTCAACGACTTTCTAAAATTTATGTTAAACTGAAATTACCCTTTTTTTTTTTTTTTTTTAAAGAGTTTTTAAAAAGTACAGGTGCACTGATAACCAGATGTGAACACGGCCCATTGGTCTTACTGGCCAGATCTCTTTTGTGATTTCTTATCAAATCTTCTGACTTGTACAGACTGCATGATAAGATAAGATAAGATAAGATAAGATTAGATATAACTTTATTGGTCTCACAGGGGGAAATTCCAAATTTACAGCAGCACATTAACACAAAAAGACAAATTAAAGGATTAAGAAACTTATGAGTTAAAAAAGATGAGTGTTATTTACAGCTGTCAGCTTTCTCCTTGGACTCCCTGGAGGAGGTGGGTGAGAGGAGGATGTTAGCAAAGCTTGTATCCATCATGGACAATCCCTCTCACCCACTGCACCAGACTGTGGGGGCTTTAAGCAGCTCCTTCAGCAGCAGACTGAGACTCCCACCTTGCAAGACGGAGTGCTACCGCAGGTCATTCCCCCCTTCTGCAATAAGACTTTACAACGAACTGTAATAGAACTGGACTCACACCACCTCTATTTTCTGGTACTTAAATTGTGTATATTGTATATAGTTTTATTTTATTTTTTTTTTCTCCCTTTTTCCTTTTCTATTTTTTTTCTTAATTATTACATTTATATAAGTTTCTTAATGCACAATCTTTATTTTTATAACTGCATTTTTGCACTTTGTCTGTGATGCTGCTGTGACAAAAAAAATTCCTCCATGGGGGATCAATAAAGGAATGTTCTATATTCTGTTATGTACATTTTTGGATATATAACAGTTGGAAAAATTGAGATATTTATATTTGTAACTATATACACAGAATATGCATACATGTGAACAGAACATACATGTGTACAGAATATACATATTCATATAGTTTATTGCGCACTGAAGTTTTTGTTGTAGAGTCTTACAGCAGGAGGCGGTAATGACCCATGATACCTCTCACACACTTCAGGTGGAGCGTCCTGTTTTTTGTGGTGAGTCAGTGTAGGAGGGGGTGAGAGCTTGCTATCAGTGATTTTATCAGTACTAGAAAAACTACATTTCCTTATAGAAAATGTGTGAAAATGCGGAGTGCTGAAAGCTGAAAAAGCCATGCAGAACTGCTAGAAATGAGAGGAGAGTACATAGACAGAAAGATCCTCATGCGCACACACCGCCTGCGTGTGTGCGTGAGGATCATGTGTTAATCAAAGCATTCTAAACAGCGGTTAGAAATCAAAGGGATTAAATGACCAATGGTCATAACAAGAAGTTCTCCTTCTACACCTAATGACATTACAACCTCAAAACTTCTTCGCCTAGGGCAATTTCCTTCAATCCTATAATGTTAATAAGACCATTGTAGGAATCCTAAAGCTCTCATGAACACATTGATGTATTTTTTTAAGTCTGTACTACCAAAAATGTTGCAGGATTATCTGGCCAAAAAATAATATCATTAATGGGCAGAATCTCTACACACCTGGGAAAGATGGTTACCTGCTGGCTTAGGCGTACAATACGATGATGTGAGAGCCCATTTGTGAAAAGCAGGACTAATTTACTTATGCGTTGATGTATTTTTTATGTGTAGTGAAATTTGTGGGCGTCGGAGCAAAATGCTTAGCGTTTGCACTTAACTATCAGCCCAGGTTTACAAGCAACCGCTCAAGTTTGCATCTGTGTCTTAACACGTACACTGGCTAGTTTCCTTTTCTGTGGTTTCCGTCCGTCTTTGAGCTCTCGGGGCTCTGGTTAATACAGTCTCAATGTGATAAACCAATCACTGCTTTCTACAGCTTTCATAATGAGAATTCACGGCTTCCCAGACAAATTAAAATCTAGGAAACACAGCTAACCAGACACCCAAGTTTATACCTTTATGAACACATGCACAAAGACTCTCTGTTTAACACTTCAATTCAGGATTATGAAAACAACAAATAGCAAACAGAAGGTGACCTACCTGAAGGCTTTGTAGAGTGGTCTGAACCAGCAGGTGTAACTGCATGGGCTAAAGAGGATGAGCCACAATAGGGAGAAGCCAAAGTTGGTGGCATTACCACCCCCAGCCCACCAAGCAATACACCCGATGACATTTATGCACAGCGTGCCTGAATACACTGCAGATAGAAGTTATAGTGGATATGTAAAGGAGAGAAAAGTGGAGAAAAATGAAGTGGTCACTTTCTAGCTTGAGCAGAAATAAATAAAGCACTTTTTCAAACAAAAAGATGGAATTATAACCACTTTCTGTGTACGGTCACTCACTCATCCAAAGTGTGTAGACTCTTTTCACCAGCTGTTGGTGGGGTGCTGGAATTTCCTCTTCAATGTTCTGGTAAAAGCATGGCTTTATTCTCATGAACTGAGGCAGGGGGGGAAAGTTGTTCACCCGCGCTATAACAGGAAGCAAAGTGTCTTTAGAAAAAAACTTGAAGGGCATTTTTGTGGCATGAATTTGTCACAAAAAATCTGATTATTGGGCTGAGGAGAAAGAAATGAAAAAACTTTTAAGGGTGAGTTGACATAAATACACAAATAGAGATTGGAGGAGACAGACAAACCTGCCATTTTGTATTCCAAGTTCTGTCGTAGATTAAGAGCTAGAAAACAAACAAACAAACAAAAAAAGAAAACAGAATAATTAATAACTTTCATTATCTTAAAACCATAACGGACAGAAAAAGAGACCTATAACACTTGTCTTAAATCATGTCAAACTTAAGAAATTTAAGAAAAGATTTAACGGAATAATTTTCATTTATCTTTATTTTAAAGCTTTCTGGCCTCTAAACTTTTGGTTAATTTCTCGTCCACGTTAATGACTTGATCGGGTGGTGGCTAACCCACGGGGCGACACATTTTCACTGAAGTTTAGCTGAAAGGAAAAGTAGCAATGCGCGAAATATTGCTACGCCTTCTTTTAAAGATGAGACATCTTAAGTTTTTACACGCATGGTCATTTACAGTTCATTAGATAGCAGCTAAAGCATGCTGTTTGGTTGGTAACCTTCTTTAACAGAGGCGAACACACTTTTTCTATCTGTTGTTGCTGCTTCATTTCACTATCTGGATGTTCGTTTGCAAAGACTCATAACACTGTTTCAACTCGAGAGAATAAACAAAGTAATATCATTGTTACCGGGATTGTTCCTCCTTTCGTTTCCGTCGACAACTGTGGGGGTCCGGGAGTAATTCAGGATGCGCTTCTTCGACCCTTACTGCGTACGTATTGCGGCTGCGTTGCACCGTAACGTCTGTAGTTCCGAACTGCATGAATTCAACACGCTCAGGTGGGTAAAGAACTACAAGTCCCAAAGAAGAAGACAGCAGTTAACGGGAAACGCGTGACCCTTGCATGACAGCACCTTCGTTACGATCCCACCCATTTAATCTATTTATCACCCGTAAAAATGATAACAGGGTACAGGATATCCTGTTTGAACGAATGAAAAATTTCTAACTGTTAGCAAAAATATTGAGGTATAAAGTTTGTCTTTCCGTGTTCAGAAACGAGATGCAAGTGCAGTATGCAATTAGAAATATCGAGTGCACCTTCGAGATACTACTGTTGTGAAGATTTTCCTCTTAAGAAAACCACTAGCCGAAGTGACCTTTGTTTCTGTCCCCTTACTTCAAATTTTCTATCGTCTAGCGTTGTGTCGTTCGCGAACGATTCGTTAAAAAAATAAACGAATCTTTCAAGTGGACTTACTTAACCGAATCACTTCCTCGAGTGATTCGCTCGTTTCTCACTTAAGTTGAGCTGAAGTGAGAAACAGCATTGCCAGGCCAGCAGCCTGTGAATGACCACATGCACTGACGCCTGAATCACTTGGTGAACGAATCACGCATTGAACTACACTCTCAGGAATCATTTTTGTCGGACAAAACTATCTTTTTTTCACTGCCAAATTGCCACCACAACACCTTGCATACAACAGGACACAGCATGTAACAAGTAGTGCTTTAAACCCGCAGCATCCTATCATCGCAGCGGTTTGTGAGGGAACAGTTCATGTTCAGTGTAAATTCTTCTAAACGTTCAGTGAACAAATCGCTCACTGACCCCAGTTTACATAGCAGACCTGATAAATAGCATACCATAGTACAGTACACTTAAAACATCATGACTTATAAACATGTTCATTTTTTCAAACCTGTTTGCCAAAGCGACACAGCCAAACATTCTCACCTCCCAGTCCCAGAAGCTATGAATTGAACTGAATCCTGAACTGTTCAGCTGTATATCAGTTCAGAAGGTCGGAGTCGCAGGCTTCTCCCGCCACATGAGTCAGTGATTTGGTGGACGAATCTTTTGAACGAATCTTTTTAATGAACTGATTCTAGTGATTCAGTACATCTAAAAGAACTGCCGTGCCCATCTCTTCTATGGCCTCAGGACATGGCAACCCTGACTTCTGAAGTCAAACTCTGTGGCCAATCACATAGCCCGGAACATCCTGAAGGCGTATCAAAGGAGGTGCGTCTGATATATTCCGATTCGTAGCCAGGATGCCGCCACATGGGTGGGTAAAAACAACAAAATCCATTTTAAAACATAAACAGTGTTAAATTCTTCTTTCAGTGAGCCTACATGTGTTTGTTCATCTTTGTGGGACATATCTAAGGGTAACAAATGAGTAAGAGCACTTATTTACTCAACGGTCGGAGGCACGCTCTTGCGTTCAACAAGGTGCACAAAACGAACGCACCTCTTGGTTGTCGTCACTGATTTTGACCAACCAGCGACGGCTATTGATGGAAGTGACACACTCCCGCCAATTCCGACTGAGGAGCGCGAGGGAGGCAGTGGGATAGTCAGAAAGAAGATGTCGGTGAAGAGGATGTAATTTTATGTGACCTTTAAAGTGGAATAAACATTGTTTGAGTTGCAGCATCGTATTCGGCCGGATATCGGGGACGTATTTGACCGTTTACGCAAACCTCCGTGTTGTTTTGCCGGTGGAAATCGCAGACGCGAAGAGTTCCGGCTCAGTGGTTGGGATGTTGGCAGCGGAAAACCCTCCCGTGGACGGACATTTGGCAGCATCGACACCCCGCCGAAGAGGTAATGTGGATGCTATTGAGTGATTAGCAGGCCTGCAGATGGACTCAACAACTTGAGAGAGCTGTCTGAGGTTTTTTTGTTGGTTTCTCGTGCTTTGGTTCTAGTTTTGGCTCAGTACTGTCCGCTGAGTGATGACAAACCATAATAAAGCCACCATTTTAGGTCGACGTCGAAATATCAATACCACCAAGTCATGAAATGTTAAAGAAAACTCAGGTTATTGGTCGTGGGGGAATAAGAAGCTGCTCAAACAGCCTGAAAGTTAAGCTCATACTGCTAATAACATGTGACCCTGCATTGATGCGATTAAATTAAAGACAATACTTTAGTTTTGAGCAAACTTTCTGTGTCATTTATCAGCTGGGTTGCTATCTTTCCCCAAGGTAATAATCAGCTTGTGACTCTACCAGCAAGTTTAGCTGAACTGCAGTCTGAGCTCCTCACTTTTACTTGCTAGTCGTATTAGCATCAGTGTTTTGGTTTACCCTAACATCTCACATGAAAGTCGTTTCATTGTGATAAACCGCAGAGCTGTACCGTTGTCTCTGCGTCTTCATACCTCCAATAGCACCTCTCTGGTCTCAACTTTATCTTGGTAGTTCAGTTTTCCGCACAGTAGTTTGTTTTCCCCAAGACAGACGACACCGCAGCTCCTCTCCCTGCGGGCTCGACTGGGCCTGCAGCACCGACTCAGCCCAGTTGGCGGGAGAGCAAACTAAACACATCCACTGTGGTTATAGACGATGTCTTACTTATAGATGTCACGATCAATCTTTTACCTAATGCTCCATCTCTGTAGGTTATTACCCGCTGCTTTTTCTTTCTAGTTTGATAGACTTTCTCACAGGGTGTACATTGACAACACGAACATGAGGGCCCCACTTTAGTCGTCCAAAATCAGGTTTTTGACTGGGTTTGATCTAACCGTTTATTTCTGATAACTTCCTTATTGTCAAAGTATTGATTTTGACCACGGAAGTGATTGGTTGATCTGTACCACATGCTCATTATTCCTCTGTTTTTGTTCTTCTTTCAGGCATGGATTGCAAGTCGAGTAACAACGCCAATAAGAAACTCATTCAAGGTATATGAAACTGGGGTATTCATTATCAAGAATATATTGACAGTAGTGGGCATAACACCATCGCATGTCACTTAAAACGAACTGGATCATTACAATACTGTGGTGTCAATGTCTTATGATAACGTGTTTATAATTATCATCAATCAATCAATCAGTCTTTATTTATTTAGCACTTTTTATACATCAAATCAAACTTTATTTATAAAGCGCTTTCCCTACAGGAATGTGACTTAAAGTGCTTTACAAGTTAAAAAAAAAAAAAAAAAACTATCCCAGATGCCCCCTTACCCCCCCCCCCCCACCACCTACACACGCACACACATGCCAACGCACCTGCATATACACACAGAAAGAGAATGGGCATGAGACTGAGTACAGATGAACCAGTTGAGAAGGCGCCATCAGAGGAGCCGTCAGCACCAGGAGCAGAGAGCCGCCCACAGCCACAGGACACCGACAGGGGGCCAGTGCAGGGATGTCTCAGACAGCAACCTCCACCAGGAACCCCGTGGCCGGCCCCTGCAACCACGAGCAGCCACCGCTCCTGGTGCAGAGGGCTCCCTCAGAGGAAACACTGGGGGTCCTAAAAAGGATAAAAACAAGTAAAAACTAAAATATGAATAAACACAGACCTAAAATGAACCTAGGCTAACTAGAATAAATGAAGATTAAAAAAATAAATATCAATTAAAAGCTATGCTAAAAAGGTGGGTCTTGAGCCTGCTCTTAAAAAAATGAACGTTCTCTGCGGCCCTGAGGTCCTCTGGCCGGCTGTTCCATAGACGAGGGCCGTAATATTGAAAAGACGCCTCGCCATGAGTGTGTGTCCTGATTTTTGGAATGACTAGGAGCCTGCTGCCAGAGGAGCGCAGGGTCCGTGAAGGTTCATAAGGTAAAAGCAGTTCTGCAAGATGAGAAGGCCCAAGACCATCAAGACATTTAAAAACAAGTAAAAGAACCTTAAAATCGATCCTAAATTGACATAACATGTAACACAAAGTAACATGTAGCACAAGGTGCTTTACACAGGAGAAAGAATTAAAGAAACAAATAATACCCAAATCTACCCCATATTAGAAGATGAGCATCGTTAGAGGTCAGAGTTTCATGGTAAGGTTATAGTTGCAGTCTGTTGTACTTCGATCTCTGCTGATATTGATTTAGTTTTTCTTCTTTATTCCAATCAGCACATAAATTTACTTAACTTTCTTAGAACCTTGTAGATATTAAAATAACAGACTGAACACAGGAGTTACATTTTCTTGTCTTTATTCTCCTACAGCTCGTCTGCCATTCAAGCGCCTCAACCCTGAACCTAAAGAGAACCAGCCGCCTAAACGCCCCTGCGTACACGCCTGCCCTCATCCAGAAGTGTTGGACAGGGAGAATGAGAACGACTCCCTTACAGTCCCTGTACACAGCAAACCACCCTTGGTTAATGGCCGCGGACCCCTAGATGGCTTTCTGAGTCGCAGGCGTCCTGCAGCCTCGGATGAAAACGTAATAGATCTCACCGAGGAAGACACTTCATCACCCAAAAAGCGCCACATCACGCCCGCTCCTTCCTCTCTTCCCCTCCCGACTAATGGCAAGCACAAGGACAGAGATGAGTCTGCCTCTTCTGAGAAATCAAGCAGTGCCGATCAAACGGCTGAAACACAAACTTTAGACTGCACAGTAGGCAGCGAGGAGGATGACGACGATGAAGAGGCAAAGGCAGAAGAGGAGAATCAGACAGCATCTGTATCTCAGCTTGACACAACGCAGGATTCTGACAGTGAAGCAGAGGAGCAGGATGAGTCAGGAAATGCTTCCAGTTTAGGGAACAGGTCCATGCTGTCCGTCTCATCAGACAGCTCTTCATCTGAAAGCTCACCGGAGAAATCCAAGACTGACACCCCCACACCCACTACTCCTGCAGTATGTAAAACTCTTGTTTGTTGCTTTTTAGTCTTGTTATATTTGCTGTAACTGACCAATATTTCACAGTATGACTCGTAGCTTTTGTTTTTACAGGCCTTGATACACATTACCTGTGAAACTGTTGATTTCATAATGTAGATTTGACATAGTTTCATGCTCCTCAGCGAATGAATACTTAAAATAATCAAATCTCTGTAAATTTACCCAGTTTTCAAGATGTTCACGACTATTTCTATCTATTCAGGCATTTAATATCCCATTATATAGTGAAGTGAAAACACTGACTAAGCTGATGTTGTCTTAAAAAAGAGTGAATGATCTTTTAAAAAGAGATTTCCTTTCCTCCTAGGAGCCAAAGACCACCCCCAAGATACCAGCAGATCAGAAACAGATGAAGCGGCGCTCACTCAAGGTGAGATTATAGATTTTTGTATACTTAAAGCTACTTGGTTTGACACACAACCTCTATTCTTACATGGCGAATTCCTTGTCTACGTTGGTATTTAAATCTGACTGAACATCTGTACTTGTAGAGCACCCAAGAACAAGAGGAGAAGCTTCGGCTGCGGCAGGAAAAAGAACGGCAGAAAGAAGAGGCCAAAGCCGCAAAGGAGAAAAAGAAAGAAGAGGCTCGCAAGCTAAAAGAGGAGCGACAGAAGGAAAAACAAGAGAAGAAAGAAAAAGGTGAACGAGAGAAGCGAGAGAAGAAAGAGAAGGAAGAGAAGGAAAAAGCGGAGAAGTTAAAGGCAAAAGAGGAGAAGCGTAAATCAAAGCTTGAGTGAGTAATACAAGTTATTCTATTTGACTGACTTTCATCACCATAAGGTAGCAATTTTATTTGATGTAGTCCATTTAGTGAGCTGTTGTATTCACTGGATCTGTCCCCAGGGCAAAGCTCGAAGAAAAACGCAAGAAAGAGGAGGAGAAGAGAGTGAAGGAAGAAGAGAAACGGTTGAAAGAGGAGAAGGATGTAGGTTGATGCAGAAAAGAGAAGTGTAGATGTTACCTCGATAGATGTCACAACATTTCTGAACCCTGTTTACGACTGACCTCTTTGTTGAGTGATCTGTTGACCAGTCTGTGTCTGTTCACAGCGCCTCAAAGCTGAGAAAGCAGAAATCACAAGATTTCTTCAAAAACCCAAAATCCAACAGGCTCCAAAGGTCAGTGGATGTATTTCTCACCAGACAATACCAGTACATAAAATTGTTGTCTGGGGGTTTAAGGTTGTTGGCGTTGGTTTATCTCTCTGTATCTTTTGAAGTTCATAATCAAAGTGCATGCTTGACTACTTCTTTGTTGCCTTAGAGCTATTTATTGGCTAACTGGAGGACAAACTGAATATATGCCTGCAACTTCTTATCCTTTCACAGACTCTCGCAGCAGCATGCGGTAAGTTCGCCCCATTCGAGATCAAGGAAAACGTATACCTGGCACCACTGTGCAGAGTTCACTGCGAAGAGTCTGTCCTGGAGGAACTGGATCAGAGTTTGTTGAACCCCGATGAAAACCTGAACGGACTAAAAGACTGGATCAAGCGAAAGCCCCGCCGGTCAGGACCTACGAAACCCCGACCGCCCAAAGCTCTGAGGTATGAATGGCAGCAGTGAGAAGTTAATTTGCAAAATATCCCATAATATACTAACCTCAAAATTTACTGTTGGGTGGATTTTTCTTTCTTCTTAGATTGTCATGTTTCTATAAGATAAAATTACAAAGTATTCAAATTCATTTCTCTAAACTCTCCATCAGGGATGACCTTTAAAATCCAGTCTTGCATTCAAACCAATATGATTTAATCATCATTGGTACAAAGTTTTATTGGCCCTTGGACATGTTAAGTTGAGTCAGGTTAAAATCAAATCGCTGTGCAAAAACATACATTGATTGTCTACCAGCCAACATTTATTTTGTTGTTATTATGTAGAATATTCTTCAGAGGATGGCTGAATTTGCCAAAAGTCAAAAGTTACGCTTCATTTTATCAAAGAAAAAGACAAGCAGGTTGCAAAATGTAATTTATCTTTCAACCTTAACTCAAGGGCAGAGACTTCATGGTCATGCACGTCATCAAAGAGTATCAAATCAAACCAAAAAGCAGCTCCTCAGCTGCCTTTAGGGAGCAAAATAGTGAAGTCTGTGAGAGTGTCATCACCCTCCTGTAAAAGCAGCTCGAACTTTGTAAAAAAGACGTCAGTAAAAACATATTAGTTCATTAAATTTCCAAACTAAGTGGCGTAGTTATACCAGCTGGATACCAATTCTACTCAGTCTAACAATCTGAACTTTCTCCCACATTATTAGGTATCGACAGAGCCTTGTATCGGGTTTGATAATTGTATCAGTATCAATAAAATGTAACCATTCCCATCCTTAATCCTCGTATAAAACCTGAGGTGACGTTATCATTGTGTTTAAGAGTAAAGCGTCGGAGTAGGAATCCTTTAAAACTCGTCTCATACAAAAAAGTTGGTTATTGTAAGCTCTTAATGTTCATCACAGCCATTTGCCTCCGTTGTATCGGCAATAACAGATATCCTGGTTTATTTATTTTTTCACTCAATCTCTGTCTCCTTCCTCTTGCTCTCTGCTTTTTTAGTGATTGTGTAGTGGAAGTGACTAAACCTGATGGTGTACCAGACCGTAAACGTTATGGACCAATGAAGCTGCTTCAGTTCCATGGAAACTACCGTCCAGCCTACTGGGGCACCTGCAGTAAGAAGAGTTCGTTCATCTCACCCAGATGTCCCCTCAGACAAGACAAGGTAAATTCTACTTCACACAGGCCCACAGTTTTTGAGGCCCTGCTTTTGATTTCTGTCTCTAAGAAGATTTGATGATGGGCTCTTACTGAACTAGTTTGTTTTTAAAGCTGTGAGACTAAATGCTGCGTCTGTCACCACAGGAACTGTTGGACTACGAGGTGGACAGTGATGAAGAATGGGAGGAAGAGGAACCAGGAGAGTCCCTGTCACACAGTGAAGGGGTAAGTTTCTCTAAAGTAGCTTTTTCTCCAAGCCCTTTTATTCAAAGCAGAGGAAACCATCTCGTGTCAAATGGCAGATGTTACTAAAGACATAGAAATAAGGCTTATCAAATGTTGTTTTGATAGGTTCACATGTTTTCAATGCAGTTTTGGAAGAGAAAAAAAAACAGCTTAGGACCAAAAAGGAGGCAGGCCTAATTCAGTTTTATCAGCCTGATGGAAAAAACAAAACAAAACACACCATCCTCTAATCGTTCCTGGCTGGGGATAGAAAGAGACACACAGATGTGATGATTGAAGTGAGATGTCTGATGGTAAATATCAGCCACTTCATACAGCTCCTTTTAAAGGTACCTGGTTGCTGCAGATGTCACTCTCCGTGGGCTCAGTTTTTGGAGCCGTCAGGATTGTGGACAGGGTAGAAAAGAGGTAGAGAAGTGGTAGGAATGGAGCCACAGACCGGACGTGAACTCGGGTCAACTGCTCTATACAGCCTCTATATAGGGGTTTCACACAGTCTGTTAGGCTAGTGGTATCCCCTTGCACCTTAGTTTTGAATTTGTGTAAAGCTATACGGTAAAAACAAGCCAGACCCAGGAGTATTGTATGAAATGGTTTAAAAGTTAAGGTCTGTCGATTTGACATCTGTCAAATGTCACTGTCCACCTCCACCTGAATGTCCTGCTGACTAATTTACAGGGTTCCAACGCTAGTATGGAAAGGAATGTGATAAATTTCCAGGTCTTAAAAAGTATGGAAAAATATTTATGTTTTCAGATTATAACCCAGTTCTAAAATACTGTCTTCAAAAACAGAAAAGTAGGTATTGCTAAAATTAATTTTAAAAAGTAAGGAATGGAAAAATATTGAAATTCTAACTGTGTAGGAACCCTGAATTTAGGGGAAAAAATACAGTTCATTTAGACTGAAACACAAAGACAGGCCAGGACTCACTGCTGTGTGTGTGTGTTTGTGTATATGTTACACATTTGGGACTAAACAGAAACAAGGTGAGAAAATGAATGAGTGAATGTGGTCCGGCTGGAGAAAAACAGCAAAAATAATACTTAAAGTGACCCAATCTGAGCTTTCGATATAACACAGTAGCTATAAATTGAGCAGTGTAACCCTCACCCTTCCCTACAAGCTTTTGACGGTAAAGATGTGTTGATCATTTCAGGAAGATGAGGAAGAAGGAGGTGATGATGATGACGACGACGGCTTCTTTGTTCCTCATGGATACCTTTCAGATGATGAAGGGGCACCAGAAGAAGAGGTATGAAGGAAGCTGCTACATTTCTTGTTTTTTCATTATTTTTACAGATTACATTTGTCTCTCTTTTTTTTAAATTCACATTTATTTATTTTTCTTTAAAAGTAGATATGTACATTACTGCTTCCTCCTTGCACAAGAATTAACACTTTCATCCTCCCAGGATGGTGGAGACCTGGAAAAGCAGAAATTACGACAGAAGCTGAAAGCGAGGGAGTGGGATGAGCTGATGTCCAGCAAGAAGAAGATGAAGGTGCTGGAGCCAGTGGTGAAGGGCTGCATCTGGGAGGGAGAAGGCTCCGGTGTGCAGCTCCTCCAGCCTTACGCCGTGTGTCTCGTTGAGCCCTTACCTAAGACAGAAAACAGCCCCAACCCTGAAGAGGTGTCACAGAGGTGTGAGAGAGAAGCACAGTGTAAGTGGACACCAGTGATTTACCTGAAGAGATGAATAAAAGTTTATTGACATCCTGTTATTATGGCAGTGGGCCTTAAGGACTTGAGAACCACTGTATTATGGGACGATGAATTCAGGACACTAGAGCTGGAAAAGTCAAGAAACTCAGAATTCAAATTTAATTTTAATTCTTTGGCTCAAGATATCGACCGATATGGTCAGATATTTCTCAATCATGTGATGGTTTATGTAGTAACTGTGCTGTAACTCACATTCAGGTTTTACTTATATTAACTACTCTGCTACATTAGCTCTAACCTCAGGACTCGACAGTGCGACCGTTTCACCCGCATTTGCGACTAAAAATAGGTGTGTGCAAATTTTAAAATGTATTTAGGGGCACATGTGGGCATGAAAAAAGTATCAGCCGAGGCAACAAATGTTTTTTCATGTAAATACCGCGGTGAAGTTAGTTTAACGTTGGATATCTGACGGACATTCACTGCGGATCAACCAGTGTCTTCTCACTCTCCATAACAAAGAATAGCAACAGCAGCGCAGTTAAATCTACTTGGCACCCTCGCTGTCAACGTCTGGTGTTGAATAAGGGACTGTCAATAAATTACCTGTTGATGTTCTCAAAAAAGGCCATTTTCTTTCAATAGCTTCTATTACATGTGACCAGTTGACCCTAAAATTTATTTCAAATAATAGTACTTATTAAAGCTGGGATAATATGCTTTTCTCCCGATTCGATTCTTCCACGATTTTTGGACGCCGATTTGTTTTAAATTGCGATTCTATAATATTGTTGATTTTTTCGATATTTAATCTGCGTTTTTAACACCAGTAGAACAGTTGAATGATTATGATTCTCTACTGACTATTCCAGGAACCGTATCTCCCCAAAAAATACACATCGCATGTAAGTCAGTTTTTAAGATTTATTCTTAAATTTGAACAAATAAAAAAAAAAAAAAAAATTAAAATTGTAAAACCAAAAATTGCGATACTTATGTGAATCGATTTTCTCTCCCACCCCTAGTACTTCTGTCGACCAATAAGACAAACATTATTCGATCAATTTTCATTGCGCCCCTCAAGTTCTTTTTGTGCTCCTTACTTTTTCAACTTAGGGCACATGTGCTCCTTGTGAAAAAAGTTTGTGTCAAACCCTGAGCTTCAAGTATTTTTGGCTCTCGTTCCCACTCATAGGACATGTTATTAGAAGTGATGGTTACATAAAGGGCGTTTCCACTCCCTCTGCTAACTTTAACAACCCGCCGACTGCTCCCTGTCTTGGAACAGCAACTCTTCTGCAATGTTATGTTTTGGTGTGGCATGATGCTTTTCCAGAGTGTGTACCATCTTCTTAAAGCTCCCTACATGATGATGAGGATGATGATACACTGAAGTGTAGTTCCTCACGGCGAGGTTGCAGGATTTTCATTTGACCTCACAGAGTTTACTCACAACACGAACACGCTGATGTGTCCAAACATCAGCATTTAATATTGTAGACACTGCCTCCATGTGACACCCTAATACTGTTGACATAATCACTAAACAAAAAGTCAACAACTCTACGACTTGAAACACAGCGCGGCGGAACCCACAGCGACCCCTGAGGAGTGGGGCCTCATTACAATAGAACTAACGGAGTCTCGGTATGTCTGAATCAGGTTCAAGATAACTTTATTGATACCTTTGGGTAGATTTGTTTTGCAGTCTGGAAAGGCATTTCAAGCGTTATGCACAAACATTAAAAACACAAGACACATGCAGCAGACAGGTTAAAAACAGCACAGACCAAAGACATTGACAGGTACTCCCAGTGGCTCACTGATCGTGGTCAAGAGACTAAAATAAATGAATAAAATAAACAAAATAAACAAAAGTCATTGGATATCACTAAAATGCCAGTATGACCCTGTTAAGAGCATGCTAAAACATAAAAGCATGATACAAAGGACAGTAACTATTAATAAATGAAATAAACAAGTAAGTTAAGATCACGTTAGAAAAAGACAGACCACACAACTGGAAGTGGAGTGCGTCAAGACTTATTTAAAAGAGAAACAGCCGCAGGAACAAAGCTGTTTCTGTAGCGAGTGGTCTTAACTCTCGGGACTTTGAATGTCCGTCCAGATGGTAGCAGCTGGAACTCACTCGCTAGAGGATGAGAGCCATCAGCGGGAATGGAGCTGACCAGTCACTGAATCAGTTTTGAATTGGGGATCAAATACTGTATATTTCAGTGCACTGATGAATCCTTTTATCCCAGCCCTAAGGAGCGTAATAAACAGTTTCAACAGTCATCACAAAGGTGCTGTGGAGCTGCGACCAGGCTGCCATTGCTTGAAGTTTATATGGATCATCTTTCTTTAGCTGCGCAAATCAGCGAGCACCAACTTACTGATCTTTTAATACGTTTCAGTTTTGTGTTCAATTATATGCTTAACAGTTATTTCAATCAGTTTTGATGCCTTAAAAGTTAATCTGGTTGATCAAACTGTGATAAAATATCTCAGTTTTAATGTTTCTTTGACAGGGCTCTATATATATATAAAAGTTTGTTGATTCACTGAAATTGAGAACAAGTAAGCCGTCTTGACTTTGGTTTGTAAGTAGCGCTACAACAGAGTATAATCAGCACTATCTGTGTTGATTATCTCCTCTTATTTATTTCTTTGCCCCTTTCTCACAGCCTACCTTCAAATGTCCCTCTTTGTAAGACTACTGTGCCTAATCTTAATTTTTTAGTGTATTTGTTTATACCCCCCACGTTCCTTGAGGTCTGCTGATCAGCTCCAACTCATTGTCCCTAAAACTGCTTTGAAAACCTGTGGCGATCGAGCTTTCTCGGCAGTGGCTCCCAAACTGTGGAATGAATTGCCACTCGAGATTAAAACATCTCCCACTCTTTCTACTTTGAAATCACGTCTTAAAACTAATCTGTATTCCTTGGCTTTTAGCTTAGCATGAGAAGTTGTGCGATCGCTGTCCTTTTTATGGTTCTTTTATGACTTTTATTTCTTTTCCGCTTTTTTTAAAAACATTTTTACCTGCTTTTAAGTGTATCCCATTGATTTCTTTTAATGTTTCTGTGCAGTACTTTGCTAAACTTGAATGTTTTTTTTTTAAAATGTGCTATATAAATAAGGCGGATTGAATAGGATTAGATATTTAAGGTCAACTGAATTCACTTTGTTGTAGTGAGTAACTACAATGGTCCGAAAATTCACCTCCAGTAGAATCACATCACATTTCTGTTACAAAGTCACAGTAGTTTTGTAGTTTCCACTTCTTTTGTGCATTTGTTTATGTATGTGTTTATAATGCACTCAACAAATCTCTATTCCTCCTTTTTTCCCCGCAGTACTCTGTCAGCTGCTGCCTCTGCTGCATGGAAATCTCAACAGCAGCAAAGTGATCATCACGGAATTTCAGGAGTTTTGTCGTCAGCAGACCTCTTCCTCCACCTCCTCGTCCCCTCCTGTGCTGTCCAGCCCTCAGAGCCCAGCGGAAAACATCCCGACCAGGTGAAACAGAGTTACACAATCAAAAGAAGAGAAGTTTGATAAACACAACACATCCACTCATGCTGAATTATCACATGTCCCTCTTTGTTCATCAGAATACAGGTGAAGCGCCTCATTAAAAACAACGCCGTCTATGAGAAGCGCTCCACCTACAGACGCTGCTGCTGGTACGTGCACCCAGAGGTCCTGTCACGTTTTGGCCAGGAGGCTCTGCCCGTGCCGTGCCAGTGGACCTACCTCACCCCAGGAGCTCGAGAAGAGTCTCGCGAAGAACCCCAGGCAGCTACAGGCTCTCAGGGCAACTCTCCCACTACACCCCAGACCTCCTCAACCACACCTTCATCCTCCAACAAAAGGAAGAGCACGGGCAGCATGTCCATCACCAAGTTCATGAAGCGGTGTACTGAAAACGAGCAGGTAGAGATTTCTGGTTTACCAGGACATCTTAGATAAGACATGATTATTCCACTATATACTTTATTTTTCTCTTTGCATCTGGTACACGATAATATAGTCCATTTCCTTCTTTAGACGGAAACAGTGGAGGCAGACGGTTTCCAAGCTGACACCGAGGATGACGACGAGGAAGACTGTGTCGTTGTCTCTGTCAAGAGTGGTGAGTTTAGCGAGAGAAGATAAAAGCTGTCCTCACAAAGTTTGGGTGTCAACTCAAAGATTCACTAAAACAAAGCAAACAATAGAGAACATCATGACTTTTACAGGATGCACTGGAGACTAGAGATGCGTGAAACAGGGGCAGAGTAGAGCAGTATTGCAACATTTTTGACCTTTGTGGGCTCAGTTATCGACTCGTACCATCTTTGAACTTCAGCACACAGTTTGTTGAAACACAAAGGGCTGTTTCTAAACAACCTGTAGAAGCACAGGAAGCAAAGAAGCTACGCCTCCATGTACTCATCAGACACAGACTGATCACTGTATACAATGAACTATGTCTGCAAAGATTGTTGTTATAGCTATAGGGAAAAAAAAAATCAATCTACACTGCAGAAACGTGAGTTTGTGCACGTGTTTGGCACTCCATTGACCAATTAGAATTCAGGACACATGACCTGTATCTAACCGGATGTCAGTTCAACGAGCTTCTGTGTCTTCGACATCAAAAGAGGAAGAGTGTGGACATTTGTGAAGTCACTGTTTCTGCTGCAGTGGTTAGATTTGTAGCTGGGTGTCTGTTTCAGTGTGAAGCAAATAGGCATGAGTCAGCTGAATCATCACAATATGGAGAACTTGGTGTCAGTCTCAGGCCTGTAAAGGACTTCTGTTTCATTTTACATAAGTGCACTCAGTATTTTTGACAGTCATCAAAGCTCTGTCCAAATTTGACATGTACAAGTTTGACACTTTGGCTTTGACAAAGAGTAACAGCTGGTAGATCTTGGAGGTTCTGGTCCAGCCCCCTCTGTTTAAATGGTCTGTTTTCTCAACCCTCACTGTGGTTTAACTGTTGAGAAAATGTCTTTTTAAAGGGAAATTCTGGCGTAAAATTAAGTTAGGTTCAAACACACCATCGAGAGATGAGTGTTGTCGATCACTTGCTTCTCTAGTTATACCTCTATAACTTTAGTAACAACCGCAGATAGCAATACACAGCCGTCTCAGGAGCCACGTGCTCAACCAAAAAGCCACTCTACAGCCACAAATAATGCTCAGAACAGCACCTAACTTCATCAACAGTACATATAGGGTCCTAGCCATAGTACTAGCCACCAAACGTTTTTTTAAATTTGCCTGATTTCTTTAGCAAAGAGAGTAAACACAACTCACCTACTTTCTTCCAGCAGCCGCTTGTTTGTGCGAAGACACCCGGGCAAGTTTATCTACTGCAATGGCGTGATGCAGCTCAAGGAAGAACATTTATGATCATTTCTCATCATTTCCTTGAAGTAATAATCATCATAATAATCATTTTGTGCTGCAGACGTGGTAGTTCTTCTGCCTTAGTGTCTCGATCTGATTGCATTTCCATTAAGAAATGATCATAAATGTTCTTCCTTGAGCTGCGTCCCCCCGCAGCAGTCGGTGATGCACTCGTCTGAGGTCTTTGTAGAAACAAGCGGCTGCTGGAAGAGAGTAGGTGAGTTGTGTTTAGTCTCTTTGCTAAAGAAATCGGACAAAGCTAAAAAGATGTTTGGTGGCTAGTGCTGTGGCTGGGACCCTATATGTACTGTTAATGAAGTTAGTTAGGTGTTCTGAGCATTATGTGTGGCTATAGAGTGGCTTTTTGGTTGAGCACGTGGCTCCTGAGACCGCTGTGTATTGCTATCTGCGGTTGTTACTAAAGTTATAGAGGTATAACTAGAGAAGCAAGCGGTCAGCAACATTCATCTCTCGACAGGGTCTCTAACTTAGTGTAACTACGGTGTATTTGACCCTAACTTAATTTTATGCTGAAATATCCCTTTAAGCTGGAAGTAGGAGCCAAGCCGAGCTTCTGACTACCTTCTTTTCAATGTTTCCCTTGCTCCCGCTTTCATGGCAAATAAGTCCCACCTGATAATGGCAGCTCTCCTCTTAACAGTCTTCAAATTTCGTGAATTGAACTTAAGTCACAGGGGTATGTTATATTTTTAAGGCTGGAGAAATGAAGAACCACATAAAAACTTCTAAACACACTCAAACTTTGGACCACTTAGAAGGAGAAATTGTTTAACGTCCAGACTTCAATTGCTGTCGAGACTTTAGTCATTAAAGTTAGAGGAGTGAGGATGGGATCGCTGGCATTGCAATCCTCCTTTTGAGGCAGTGCAGGTGTGAGGACTCCTGCTGCAGCAGAGAGGGCAGACAAACTCTGCAGTCCTGATTTTAGAAAACATCAGCTGTCTAAATCTGGAGGAGGGATGCTGGATTATTTTGTTTTCATTAAAGAAAGTTCAATTGTTCACCCTTTTCCTTTTGATACAGCTATACAAAGTATTCATGATCGGAGTAACAACTTGTCAAATATGTTCTGCAGGCCAGGTGAGAGAGGACTCCTCTGGCGATGGAAACTGTTCAATGGAAGTCACTCCCTCCGACACGGCTTCTCTTCCCGTGGCCAGCACTGCTTCTAACCTCGCCACTGCCTGAGGACGGGCTGGTCTTTCTCCTCTAACCAAACAATCTGGTGTCACTCAGAATCCTGCTGTATGATCTGAACTCTGCATTGGCCAAGACCGAATATGAACTTTATGCAAGACAAAGCCTCACACTCAGCAACTCACAGCAGATGCAGACCACTTTAACACAGCTGTTTTTTTCTCAATGGAGTCGAGAAGAAAACAAGATACTAACTGAGTATCTCGACTCTTTAGGGCGCTTTTGTTGAGTGGCTCATAGCTGTTTGAGTTTTGCATTAAAGGTTCAGTCTGGCATGTTTGTCAAGGGCCACTTTGGTAAATGGAGCCTCTCTTTAATTTGCTATAACAAACTGAGTCGAACAGAGGAAGAGGGGGCAGAATGAAACTACCAAATGTTCACGAGATTAAAATCAGCATTATTCACAGTTCGTCACACTTGATATTCTTGACACCACGATGTTTTTGGATTCCCTCATGTATAACTGTATATATCTGTTGCCAGAAATAAGAGTTAAAAACGGGAAGGCTAAAAGTCCAATTGTACATTTCCCTTGGGGTGCATTCGTTCTGCAATTTCTAATTCTGACAACTCACTGGAGTAGTTGCTAGAGCTGTACTTGTACAGTTAAGACCAGTGCAACAATGTTTTATAAATATGTATTTTCTGTATTTTTTGAAGAATACTTGAACAGGAGAAATTCATTAAACATGAATAAAAGTACTGCACTTTTAAATGCCATTCATTTCTTGCCACTCAGTAGTGTGATGACGGTTGCTCATATTCTTTAGACGGATCTCTGCTGGTGGTTAAAATTACTGTAAATATTAACACAGGAGATGCTGTATTCAATTACAGAGGGTCAGTTAAGTCTTCAAAGTGTCTAAGGTTAGATGAATGGGCCTCTGCAACATGAAGTCCTAACAAGGTTCTCAGTTATCTTTTTTTGTTATCAATACATATATGAATAAAATTATTTTTGTTTTTTGTTGAAAAAGTAAACTTTGGTGTAACTTTGTAACTTCACCTGTATGAAAACTGACATCTTACAATGATCAGCTGACCTTAGTGGGTAAATACTTGACTCCACCAGCATATGGTTGAATCCACCAAAAGTGTTTTTCTGCTGTGAGAAGTAACGGTTCACAGATTTCTTCTGAATATCCTGGGGAAAAAAAGTCACACCAGGCTTCGCAGTTACCCTCCTATTTATCACATGGTGACGAAGTTGTCAACCTCTCTTTTTTTAGTTTTTTCCTCTCAATATAAACAATATACACAGTATCTCACAAAAGTCCATCCCTCACATTTCTGCAAATATTTAATTATACCTTTTCATGGGATAACACTAAAGAAATGACACTTTGATACAATGTCAGTAGTCAGCATGCAGCTTATGTAGCAGTGTAAATTTACTGTCCCCTCAAAATAACTCAACATAGAGCCATTTATGTACAATAAAAGTAAGTACACTACTAAGTGAAAATGTCCAAATCGGACCCAAAGTGTCAATATTTTGTGTGTCCACTATTCTTTTTTTTTCCAGCACTGCCTTAATCCTCTTGGGTGTGGAGTTCACCAGAGCTTCACAGGTTGTCACTAGTATCCTCTTTCACTCCTCCATGATGACATTACAGAGCTGACGGATGTTAGAGACCTTACGCTTCCTCACCTCCCCTCAAAATAGTCAGCTTCCATGACAAGGGTTGTTTTATTTTGATCAACATGGTTACAATAAACAGTAAAGTTCTCTAGTTGGTCTAATGGGACTTGGGGCTTATCAGTACTCTTAAGTGTGACTCTTAAAACACACACAATCGCTTATCAAGTTTTCATCTAATTTTAGTTTTTTCTTTAATTCTACTGTTGAGTCAGTCTTACTGAACAGCCCGTTTTAAAGTGAACTCCCTCCAGTGTGTTACAGCTCGAGGTCTGAGAGGTCACCATATCTTCTGACTCATTGATATCGAAAAGCAGCTGTTTATCTGCACCGAGTCCTTTTTTTATTATTTATCAAGTGCTGCTTGATGACCAACATCAGAATCCAAAACAAATTCAGCTCCAAGACGGCATTTCACTAGAGTGATTCTTGTCTGATCATTCTGTTTATTAAATAAAAGATGCAATGCAAGCAATGTTTATTACAGGCAGGTTAAAATCAGTACAACTCAGAACATCAGGACTGATCACAACATTTCACTAAATCTTGTTAAAAAGGTTGCGACGCTAATAAACAGGAACATCCTTCCAATCCGATAAAACCGGTGGATATGCTGAACGAGTCAGCACAGGAGTGAGCTAATGTCGCTTATGGCTGACTTGGCCTTCAAAATGCTGGAGTCGACAGATTAATTTAACCAGAAGTTATTATTTGTGCTGTTTTAGTGTACAAGTGCTGTATTAAGAGGTGACTATGGTTCTGTCACAAAAGAAGCGCTCTCCCAACTTTAACGGACGACTTCAGTTACATGGTTGACTCGGGATGATTCAGGCAGACGAGCAATGGGAGGTAGTAGTTGTCATCTTAACCGACCGTGAGTAAACAAAACATTGAATAGCTTTTACAGATTTACCTGGTATATATTCATGAACAGGGACAAAATGCAGACTTAATAGATTATGAAATGTTAAATGCAAAAGTGGATCTAAAACATTTCTACTTCTGGAGTGACTTTTAACACTGAGTCTACTTCACAACTTTGAATTCTTAACGGATCTCATCAGGCCTGGTCAGAGATACAGACCGTCTTTACATGTACTCCTTCCATGTTTCAAATATAGATCAATTTTGTAGAAAAATAAAGAAGTCCATAAAAACAGTTACTGAGTCCATGCTGCTAGTTTGAACAACAGAAAAGTTAATCATGCCTGCATGCAAGAGCGCGTTGATGCGTGAAGCTTCTGCAGTGCCTGAAAAAAGTTTGAATTAATGCTGGAAAGTGCCTCAACCTGGTCAAAAAAAAAAGAACATATTTTGATTTTACAATCTCCTCAACATCATCAGCACATGGCTGATCCATAGTTTTACATCTTATTAGTAAATATGCATAAATTGTAAGAAAACTTGAGACCAAAAATGATTCATAATGTGCAGTTTGGGCTTGTGTTCATATCGAGAAAATTTTGAAAAACACTGGAGGAGTTTAGATTTTGTAGCAACCATTAACACCAGGGGGTGCAAGGCTGCTGCAGAGCAGGGCACACAGAAGCGAAACTTTGATCACACTAAACTAAGACCAAACCTTTCAAATTTACAGACAAAACACTGTTTTTATGCGAGTACTGCCGAACAAAACGAAACGCATTCCAAGATTTAAGCCGATAATCTGAAAATCCAGCAGCTTTTAAACATTAAAAGAGCTGAAATACTCAAAACAAACCAAACACAAGATCTGACCACATATACTTGGCTTCATGACTCCACTTAATATTCTCCTTCATGCCTGTACAGCCAGAGATGATTGCTGTTAATTCAACAGCCTTCAAAAGAGGGGAATTAGTGTTGACACAGTTAAAACTAGGTCTCTCAACATGCCACATGGAGTATACCTGACCGGGTGACTGTTGGGCAGGGCCCAGAGTACCGCTGCCTCCGTCTCTTTTACAGCACAGCATGGACGTTCACTCAGGATGCAACAAAACACAACCCCCTTGCTTCCATCTATCTGTTAGTAGTGCTCCCTTCAGTATAATGTGCTGCTCAGACAGTCTGTAAAGTGATATTACTCCCATCATGGCGAAAGAAGAGTATGCTCAGCAAGAGAAGCACATTAGGTCGCACTGCTACTGACTGAAGTTAGAATTCATAAAAAATAAACTTAGCACTGGTCATCTGTAAGGGGCAGATCCATCCCAGCAGTGCTGGGGGGAGGCGGTCAGGGATGTTCAAGAGCAGAGCGTCAGAGGCTCAGCTCAGGGTCTGTATGTTTTCCAGCAGCTCGGGTTTGAGGAGAGTTGGGCTCTTTCCACCAGCAGCAGCAATGTCCGCCTGCACAGCCGCATCCCAGGCAAAGGTGAGCAGAGCTGCAGGGACCTAAGAAAAAAACAGACAGACTCAATTTAAACCAAATGAAGTTGAAATTACTTGTGCCGTCCCCTTTGACTTGAGTGTCTATGAGGGCTGCTGCTAAAATATTGTTTAACTTTGTATAAGCAGCACTAAAAATGGCCGACAGAAGAAGACACACTGAATGCAAGCAGTTCAGTTAGCACAGTCGTTCTCAAGTCCAGTCCTCGAAGCCCCCTGTCCTGCATGTTTTGGATGTTTCCCTGCTCCAACACAACTGATTCAAATGATCAGCTCGTTATCAAGCTCTGTAATGGCTTAATAACGAGCTAATCATTTGAATCAGGTGTGTTAGAGCAGGGAAACTAAGGCTAAGGCTAAGGCTAAACTACTCTAAGTCATACATCAGACAGTCATAAGAACACACATTCATTTATTTACATTACTATTAGAGTTAAGTCATCACTGAAGACAAAAAACTGTTAGTGGCTCAGTGCTAGAGTCTGTCGTATCTAAATTCAAAGGTCAGGGATTCAGTCCCAAGCTTTGTGCCCAGAGGTGTGTAAACAGGATTGATTTAAAATTGATGTTGCTCCCAATAGCCGCCTCTGCTGTTACCAATTACCAGTCGTTGCAAACATCAGGCCACTTTTTGAACCTCACTGTTGCCTCAGCAGTTTTCTATATAAAGTCACAGATGTAAACGCAGGCTGTTTTAATCGAGGGCTGAGATTCATATTCTGGTGAGGAGGTTACAAGTAGGATAAAATAGAAAAAATTAATATGGCTTCAATCCACCTTATTTACTTTTTTAAGGTCATATTGGGCATTGTTATTTATGTTTGTTTCATAACCATAGACTGTATATGTACTGTGGACAACTTTGTTCCACCTTCCATCAGTGTACGGATTTGAAGCCGAAAAGCTCTCTGTAATTCTGCGTTTTTTTCTCCACTTCCTGAAACCAACATTGCGCAGAAGCGTTGTACACATTCTGTGGGAGAGTCGCCGATAGTCGCTGTGATGACACTCGGCTCAAACAGTGTATCCCCTGGGTTAATTACACAATCTTCGTACGCCTGTAGGCTGTATCAAGTGTTAATCATAGAAAACATGAACCCTCTAACAACTTTTAAAAAATGAGCTGTACAGAAAAAAGACGACTTGAGTCCTGTGTAATAAATAAATAAAGTTCGTCCACAGCTCCATAGGGATTGCTGGAGGAGGTGGGATTTATGACCTATACTGCAGCCCGTCACCAGAGGGTGCTGTTCTCGGGGTGGCTTCACCCATGGAGGAGGCAGATGCTGTACATTCTATATACAGTCTATGCTCATAACCAGCAAAAAGTCCTTACAAGACCTTTAAAATTTGAATTATAGCTTTAATAGTGAGTCAATGAAATTCATGACAAAAATTGCACTCGCATTTATAGCGCTATGTTTTGTATGACACATAAAGCACTGAGGAGGAGCATGCTATATCACTGTTGTACTTTATTCTGGTCTTTTTATGGAATTTGTTTACATACAAAGATAAAGAATGGTTAAAATTAAGACAACACAGATACTCTTGTTTCATGCAAGGTCTCAAGGTTTTCACTCACCAAGTTACACTCTGCGAGAGCCACATCTTCAGACTCTTGAAGTTTCTGACTCCCAGGAGCAATGAGCTCAAAGGGCTGCCAGCCGTCCACCAAGGACTCCCGTACAAACTGGAACAGGACAGGTAGCCGATCCCATGCATAAAAAGTCCCTGGGGTGAAAAATCATCTTGACTTAGTTCCGATTTTATCAAGGCGTCAGTGGATCATAGCACTGTTTTCTTCACTCACTTGATGCCTTTTTTTAAAGCGTGATTTAATTAGGAAAACAAAAAAAGTCAATACCTTGCAACAGGTTTCCATCAGGTAGTCTGATCCTCAGCAAAGTATAATTGTATTTTCTTCTCTCCCTCTGCTCCTCTCTCTCTCTCATGGCCTTAGTGCGCAGCATGGCGTTCTTTTCCACCAAATCACTCCTGGAAACAAACAAACGACATGACCGTTCACTCAAGAAAAAATAGAGACACAAGACTAGTCCACGGGGCAGGGTGCTTTCTCTAGTCTTCTGGACTCTTAAAGCTCTTTTTACATTTCTTGTTCACACTACATTCATACACTAAAAACCCGCCTGTGTTAACTTCTTCCACTTGGAGGCAATTTGGGGTTAAGTGTCTTGGCCAGGGTCGTTTCAATGCATATCCACTTTCAATTCCATTAAAGTTATCCTCAAACCATCTCCTCCATAAGCTGTATACCTTTGCTGTTGCTCCCTCTTCAGCTCCTCCGCTGACAGGTTGTAGAACTCTGGCGGCAGCTCGAAGCGTTGGGCGTTGGGAGAGGGTTTGAAAGCTTGAGGCTGTCTGTCCAGCTGAGCTCTGACGGGCTCCCCTCTCTGGAGACGATCCCTCCTCTCCTTCATCAACTCGAGGGCGTCAGGACTCTGCTCTAGTAGCACCAGGAACTCCTCTTCCTCTTCTGATCTCAAAGAAAGGCCAGTACAAATGACTAACTGATAATGTGTTGTTGTTTTTGACACACTGTGGAGACAATGACCTGGTTTAGGATTAGTTTACCTTGACCCTCTATAGGAAGCATGAGGCTTGTGAAGCCAAGGGCCTGCAGGAACTCTCTACTGCCCTCCACACAATAAACTTTCTCCTGCAATAAATGAAACGTCAATAATAACAAAAATAAAACCATACCTTTACTGAGCGTATACTCAAGAGTACACCATATATATTAATCATAAAAATAATGAAACTTGACGTCAAACAGACCTGGAACACTTTGTTGCTGAGTTTAATCTTCCTGTATTTCTCCTCTGTGGGATTCTTACATATATTATCAACATACCTGTTAAGAAAAGAAGACAAACATGAAATGGCAAAACCTAAAAAAATCTAAATAATAATTTAGAAATGACGTCAGAATAAAGGAAACTATATCTGTATATATATGTATAATTAGAGTTGCTTGGTGTCTTACTTGCTTATGATGTCCACAGCAACCTTCACTTTCTCTCTGTCTTTGTTGAATGAGTGGATCATCATAACAGAAGCTTCAACTTCATCCTCCTCAAACCGCTGACAGTGCAAACAGAGTTCATGTTTTGTCAACAGCAGTTAGTCGACAATAACATTCGGTGCTGTTATAAGTGAATCATGATGTTTTACAGTGATGGAGAGTTTCAGTTTAAATAACAATGAGCTCTGATATCTTCAGACATACCATTAAAATAGCCTCTTTGATGTGTGCTTCTCTCTCACTCTTGGTCAGTGTGGCTCCAGTCAGGGGACAGGTGAAATACACACCTGACACTGAGAGGCAGGCAGGATCCTTGACTGGTACTTTGGATCCCTGTGAAGAATAATCACACACCAGTAAATTCAGACTAAATACTGATCATTGTGAGCAACATAAAACCCTTTGGTGTCTTTTGATACGACAGAGAGGACTGATGTGAGACGTACCTCTGCTGCAGCTGCCTTATCTTTTTCTGCTAGTGCAGCCGCCTCTGCCTCCAGCTCTCTTTTCACTACAAGACGACAGAAAAAAAAAGCATGTAGTCGTATGCTTTCACTCACAAACACGACTGCTTCATCTAACAGATCAGTGTGACAATGTAATGAATCTCACTTCATTAATGATATGCTCAGATAAAAGACCAAACACAGCTCTCCAAGTGTAACAGGACTGTACCTGAGATGACTGACATGCTGGCACTAAAATGATCTTAAAACACACACCACAACCATAACTTAAAGGTCCTCTGCTTGTTTTGTACTACAGTACAACAATTCATTTTAACACCTTTCAGCAATACAAAGTAGTCGACCAAAGTCCAAAACAGGATGAGCAGGCTTGTTTAAGTTTTTATACATTTAGTGTCTGCAGAAAAGGGACAAGCTAGTCATTCTGAAGTAATGAAAAAACCCGGTCTGAAAGATACACAGTACATAAGGGTTTAAGAAAATATAGATAAACATATTTGGATATTTTTTTCTGTAAAAGAAAAGCAATTCTTAAAAGCTCAAAGGTTGTAAGAAGTGGAGCTTGTGCTGTGACGCCTAAGAGCTTAAGCAGTGCAGTAATCCATCCTCGGTGCTTGAACTGTTTTTGGACTTAGTTACCATCAACAAGAATCTGCAAGCTTAAACAAAGACGACATAAAGACCCTGATATATCACCTTGATTATAATATTATTATGCATTTCAGTACATGGAATGGTAACCCCTGCATTGTGACCAGTATCTGATAGCAACCAAGGAAATGCAATCCCGTTAGGTTGCCTGTAAAACTTTATATGATCAGGACCATCCCAGCAGCTTTAACAATAACAACCCTGATCTGACTTTAGGGTTCACACACCCCAGCACCACTGGGAACAACAGGAGTTTTTCTAACCAGCGATAACATTATGAACACCTGGGCAAGCTGATGCCTCCCAATACACCAGCTCTACCTCAAACTCTCCTTTTACAAATCTTCTACAGTTGAAGTTTGGGTTGGCGTGGCCAGACGGACAGACAGACGGACAGACAGCCATACAGGTGTTAATTGTTCTTTGAATTAATTGCTGAAGTTTTAGTGGGTGATGCACTTTAATTCAAAGGTACTCCTGATATTTTGCCCTCTTCAAGTCTGTTATTTAAGTGGACAAAACATAAAGAACACCTTTCAGCCAACCAACTTAAAATGTAGAAGCTTCTTAGATTAAAATTTGAGGCAAAGATGTTGTAATAGATTACATTAGATTGTCCCACGGCCCATCACGTTATGAACAGGAGATGTATATGACAAGGCAATACAATTGGCAAAAAGCAACTTTACTCCGGTCCTCGGCACCTTCCAATATGAATAGGTATCCAAAATGTGAAGAGAGTCTTAATCTTCCTCCTGTGTTAGCATTTACTACACACCCACCATGTTAAGGGCATTAATAACATAAAACTAGAGTTAACTTCTATTAGGCCTGTTGACTGTAATCAAATCAAATTAAATTAATTCAACATTGTCCATAATTACTCATATCCTAACCCTGTAAACTGAATTCATTTTGTTTCACCATTACATGAACAGTTGTTGTTGTTGTTTTAATGTTGCTGCTGTCCCCTGCCTCTTTCTCTCCCTCCCTCTCCCTAACTCATTTTCTCTCTCCTTCCCTCTTTCTTGTTCTCTCTCTCTCTCTCCCCCTATCTCTCTGTATTCCTCCTCAACCCAGCAGTGGCATGATGGCTGTCTGGCATGAGTCTGGTCCTGCTCAAGGTTTCTGCCTGTTAAAAGGAAGTTTTTTCTTGCCACTGTCACTCATGTTAGATGAGATGGGCCAAATCCCAATTTAGGTTGGGTCTTGATAATTCATCAAACAATGAGCGTGGTCTAGACCTGCTCTTTTTCTTTGGAAAGCATCTTGGGATGACGACTGTTGTGAACTGGCACTATATAAATAAAATCTGATTGATTGATTGATAAGGGTCGGTTTTGACCCATGTCTTAAATCAGCTGTAAATTACACTAAAAACAATTCTCTATTATCCAAGTTGGTTCTCACTTCTAGGTTACCTAGTTAGGCTTCATAAAAACGTGGAAAAAAAGAGAAATTCCTAAATCTCACATGATTAGAAGAGGATCTGACTATCAGTGTGGTGCCTGACAGTGCAGTTATGATTCCAGTTTTTGCTTTTTTCATTAGATATTGATCTAACCAGGTCAACAGCCACCCTAACATGACAAGTGCCATAATTTTGATGAGTGTTTTATAATGAAGTCAATTTGATTTTTTTTTTTAAATTATTTTGTGAAATAGAGGTTCCTAACAAAGTCAAAAAGTCTTGATGCAAATAAGAAAATTTAAGTGGTTCTTTAAAGCATTTAAAACAAAAACGGGTCGGTGCAGACCCTAACACAGGAGGAGGGTCTCAGTGTGATTCCGGGCCCCATTCCCATCTGGTCATCTGGTCTCACCCTGATTCCTGATGGCGTCCTGAGAGGTGTGGACCTTCGGCCTCGGATGCTGTTCAATCCGGGCCAGGGCTGCAGCTCCAGCCCTCTGCGCTCCTTCACTGGGAGCATGGCGGTTATTCTTGGCACTGGAGCTGCTCTGAACCACTTCTTGCTTCTTACTATATCATGAAGACAGAAACTCGACATAATTAGAAGTGTTGTTAGCCATAAAAACGAAAAACCTAGCAGTCACACATTCGCAGAAGTGATGTAGTTTAACGACAACACCATTCAAACCTGTGTGGCAGACTATCTCTGTGAATAGGTCCACGGCTTTCTCACGAGTTAAAGTCATGTTCGTTAAGTTACTTAGAGCACTGACTCAATAATCTTGTTCATGGATTAAGTGATTGACCCCTGTAGCTATTATATAACGCTGTTAGCCTAAGAAAACATGTAGCCCGCTATCTGCTGTTATAGAAACATACATCAGTATTTCTTCATGGAGCTTCACGACACGACATGCGTGACCTCAGCGATTATTCATGAGATATAAATGTATTTCTGTTTATGCCAACTCATTTCTGCAAACCTAAGACAGCTATGGCTAGCTTCATGGCGAGCACTGTAACAGCTGATCAAAGTTTTTTTTATTTATTTCTATTACCTCGATTCCTCAGTTAGTTTCTTTCCGGGTCCCGCAGATTTAAATTTAATGTCTTTCTTGATGTCATCAAAAAACTTCTTCATTTTTTTAGCCGACACAGAAATGAGTGATAGCAAGAACTCAAATAGATGAAGAGCCCCTGCCTATCTTTCGCTTGGAGGAGGAGGACCAAAACAACATTCAGCCTGCTGACGACAAACTGCTTCCGCCTTATGAATAGTGACAGTGCCCCCTTGTGGTGGTAAAGCGCACTACACTACTAGCTCCAAGAAGATGAGTGAAAAGGCCTTAAGACAGTGGTTCTCAACTGGACTCACTCTGGGACCCGCATTTTCCCATGGTCCTTAAGTCGCGACCCGCTTTTATAGAATTCAAACCAAGCAAATTTATTTTTATTGAAAAAAAAAAAAAAAAACTTTATAGGCTCTAATCTTTACCATAAATCCACTTGTTTTATTAAGTAAAGTGCATCTTAGAGCATATGAAGGGGACAACACGAGGATGACAACTACTGAAGTTGCTTATACAAAAAACATCAAATGTCTAATATAAATCCTATTTAATATTTACTTTTTTGACCAGCAGTTCGTGACCATAGACTGTATATAGAATGGACAGCGTCTGCCTCCTCACTGGGTGAAGCCACTCTAAGAACAGCACTCTCTGGTAACAGGCTGCAGTATAGGTCATAGATCCCGCCTCCTCCAGCAATCCCTATGGGGCTGTGGACAAACTTTATAAATTTATTACACAGAATATAAATGTTTCACCCCACTGCTTGTGATATTGACATGTAGTTACTGTCAGACTGGTTTGTGCTCAAGTCCTCTTTTTCTGTGAAGCTCCGTTTTTAAAAGTTATTAGGGGGTTCATTTTTTCTATGATTGACACCTGATACAGCCTATGGGCATTCAGGGATCGCGTAGCTTACCCGGGGGATACGCTGTTTGCCATGCGTGTACAACGCTACTGCGCAGCACTGGTTTCAGAAAATGAAGAAAAATCTCGGAAATACTGAGAGCTTTTTGGCCTCAAATCCGTATACAGGCGGTAGGCGGAACCAAGTTGTCCATAGTATATACAGTCTTTGTTCGTGACCCATCCAGAACATGTCCGTGACCCACTTTTGGGTCAGGACCCACCAGTTGAGAACCACTGCCTTAAGAAGTGATGTCAACAGCGCTCCATTAAAACTACTTAGTTGTAAGTATAACAGCATAACACCTTAGTGATGGGCATTTATATCTATCTCTGGCCTTTATAATGTACAGAACTTGATTTATTGGAGGACTATTTGAGTCGCATCATTAATCAATCAATCAATAACTTTATTTGTCCCCAATGGGGCAATTGCTTGTGCAACAAAGGGAGCATAAAAAAACACTTAAGCACAATAATCAAAATCAAGAAAAACATGACTCGACAAAACATAAATGTTTATATTTGTTAGTTTTAGCAAGAGGAACTCAGAACAATGAACCACATGGAAGAATCTGAAACTGTTCATGTAGAGGATGGGAACAATCAGACAGGATGGATTTTGTTTTCTTGTACAGCTGTTTGTTATACAGACCCTGTAAAGTTCCCTGAACAGAGCCAGTTATTTGACTGCAGATATTAACCACCTTGTTTAGAACATTTTTCTCTTTTACCTTAAGTGATGAAAACCAACAGACCAGAGGAAAAGGCTCTCACAGATTCAGTATAAGAATGATAAAACATGGTCATCAGGGATGAATCAACCTGGAATTTTGAGAGTTTTCTAAGACAGAACAGACGCTGCTGGCTTTCTTGTAAAGTGTGTCAGTGTTACTCTAAAATGACAATTTGTTGTTTATTATGGTTCCTAAATACTTATAGACGCTACAATTTCCACATCCTGACCATTAAAAATAAATCAGTACATATAAGCCAAAACTAGTAGCTCTTAAAGTGATGTGATTTGTGCTTTTGCTCTTTCTCTTGTGTAATGAATTTAACATTGTATGGAGCTCGGAAGAAACTCACATACATAATTGTGTTATGTTAAATAGTGGGATATCTCAATGTTACACCAAACTGCAAGTGGTCAATATCATTGTATTTCATCACAAGAAATTATTAAATGCCGTGGATGCATCTGGGTCTTTCAGACTGTTCATATATAAAAAGGGAATAATTTAACAGTCACGTTCACAAGATACAAGGTATTGAAAACATGATGAAAATGCATGTAGTAGCCTATACAGTAAATCATTGCACAGGAGACCTGTGCACTGAGATCCAAAGAGCAGCCTGGGCATTTTTATTGTGCAGATACAATACAAATCAGTACAGTTGACACACAGAGCCTAGACCAAAGTCATCAGAGGAGCCCTGAACTCTCCTTTCACTCACTTTCATGCTGCTGAGTGTGCTCGTGAACATTATAGATGTGTGTTACAATGTATAATGCAACTATGTATCTCTCAAGTTTGCGTGTTACAATTGTGAGCCCTTGTGTGTGTTGCAAGTGCAACTCCAAAATATCTCAACCTATTATAAATCATTAGCATGGCTGCCTATGATCTCTACCATAGTTGTGACTCCAAACAAGTTGCCTTTAGGGTCTGCTTGTTTCAGATTTCTCTATGATCCCACTTGTGATCCTATGGCCATTCATCAGACTGTCATAACTTGAATTGTGCAATGCTTTATTATTATGTGGACTCATATCTACTTACCTTAGCTTGCTCTCTGGGGACATAAAATTGCTATTTTTTAGTCATAAATGTTAATAAAAGCATAATTATTTATAGCATTGAGTAAGATTCAGGGAATTCTGTTACATGTGATTGTATCATTAACCCTGACATGTATCACTTCCTCAAGTGTAGGTCACTACTATGTCGCTCTGATAAATGGTTATTGGACTATTGTATTATTGTTTTTTATTCATTATGTAAACTTCTGACCACTAACAGGGCTTTTACTTTTACATTACACGTCACATTAACACATTTATACACTGATGGTAGTGGCTGCTGTGTAAAATCTCCTTCAGTTTTAACAAGTCCCATTTACATACTGCAGGGGGCACCCAGCAGGGGCAGTTTGGGATTAAGTTTCTGGCCCATGAACAGTTTCTCATTTAGACAGCCAAACTAAGCTCAGGTCCTCTACCAAAGGCCTGGGAGCTTGAGGGTCCTGCGCAGTAACCTTGCTGTTCCTAGGATTGCACTCTTCTGGAGTAAGATGTTTGATGTTTCCCCAGGGATCTGTTGGAGCCGCTTCTCCAGTGTCGGGGTTACTGCCCCGAGTGCCCCGATGACCACAGGCACCACTGTTGCCTTCACCTTCCAGGCTTTCTCTAGCTCCCCTCTGAGCCCTTGGTATTTCTCTAGTTTCTGGTGTTCCTTCTTCCTGATGTTGGTATCGCTCGGGATGGCGACATCTACCACAACGGCTTTCCTCTGCTGTTTGTCTATGATTACAATGTCCGGTTGGTTGGCCATTACCATTTTGTCAGTCATTCTGCATCACCTTGGGAGGTGCTTCCCATTTTGACCTCAGGGTTTCCAGTCCATATTCTGCATAGATGTTCCTGTACACCACATATGTCAGAGTCAAGGCCCGCGGGCCAAATCCGGCCCGCGAGAAGGTTTTTTACGGCCCCTGGGATGATCTTGATTTATTATTAGAACCGGCCCGCAGACCGCAGCAAGCCGGCAGCCCGCAGATCTTTTACACGCACCAATACTACATTTCCCACAATGCAACGGTGAAGCACCGAGCAGTAGGCTTATTAGCACAGCAGTCGTCAGCATAACAGTAAAATTAACTTTCAGATACCCATCAAAAATGCATGTTACTTCTCCTTGAAGAAAGTGTTGTTTTTGATTAATAGATTTTTGCACTTTATTTTATTGTATTTCAATCCAATTATATTTTTAAAATATTTCAGTTGAGTGGATGATAGAAAATTGCTATTATTTTTTTTTTCTTTGAAGTAAATTTAGCCCACTTTTGCTAAAATAGAAAATATAGGCTACTGATGGTGCCTTGAATAATACCGGTTTCTTTCATTTAATGTTCATGTTATGGGGATTTTTATATAAAGGAAATTTGTCTTTTGTGTCTGTTGAAAATTAAAGATTACTGACAGAGCCATAAGAAAATATTGCTTTATTTATCTGATCATATTGGAATATATTTGTTAGGTTTTCAGTAGGTTCAATTAGGTTCACTAGACTATATGCGTCATTTAAAAAATTTTCAATGAACATTCGATCAGTCCGGCCCTCGGCTTGTAGCAAAATTTTTTATTTGGCCCTCCGTCAATTTGACTTCGACACCCCTGCTGTACACTATACCGGCTACTTGGTTATGGCGTTCCATGTATGCTTTTCCTGCCAGCATCTTACACCCTGCTGTTAGGTGTTGGACTGTTTCAGGGCCCTCTTTGCACAGTCTGCACCTGGGATCTTGCCCGGTATGGTAGACCTGGGCCTCTATAGCTCTGGTGCTCAAGGCCTGTTCTTGCGCCGCCATGATTAGTGCCTCTGTGCTATCCTTCAGTCCAGCCCTCTCCAGCCATATCAGCCACTTCAGCTATCTGTCGGGGGTTTTTCCTCCCATGATGGTTCCTCCGGTCCCTCCTTACCTATTGGGTTAAAGAATTGCCCCTAAAAATATGGCCCCCAAACCATGAAAAAGGTCCTCCAACAACAGGAAAGTTGTGAATTCTAGTCATGAATTCATTACCGGAACAGTGCACTAATTCTTGCCAAAAAATAATACTTTCTCCACTCCAAGTTCTTTTTCTATGACTTGTTTTAAGTCTCTTATCTTTGCCTTTTGTGAAACACAAAAGAGTGTTGCCTGACAACTGACAACGGGGCTGAATTTGATAAATTTTTTAAGGCTGGCTCTTTTTGTCAGGAGTCATACAGGCTACCAAAATGAAAGAAACAAGAACCCACAGTTTAAATGTTTTTGCATTGGTTGTAATAAGCTGATCTATGTATATAGTGTGTTTTTAGCTTAAAAAAATCCCACAGTAGCACTTAAATCAGGAAGGTTTTATTAAGTCAGAGAAAATATAACTAAAATGGCGCTAAGTGGATTCAAGTTCACTATAAACTACAGCCCACTAAAGTTCAGCATAGGGGCATACAAAGTTAATACACAACTTTCTTACAAACAGTCTCTGAATGCTTGTCAAAAATGCTGAATGCTTGTCAGAAATGCTGAATGCTTGCTGTGTTGACTGTCACACTTTGACATCAGCAGTGTTCAAATTTTCGAGGAGCACCTGAAAGCATCACCGCTCACTCTTTCGGCGCCGCCGCGAGTGCCACGTCAAACGTGACGTAGCAGGAGGTGTAGTCCGGGTGGGATGTGTCCTAGCTTGGTCAGTCCAGTCCACCTCCCCGTCACTGACACAGAGTTGATGGTCTTATAGCAGAAAGGTGCACTTGTCAGAGGTAAGAACCCTGTATATTGGATTCTTGTTGGTCTGTTTCAGCTGAAGTGAACTGGTTTATCCACTGTTAGTCTGGTAGCTGCTGCCGCCGGTGGTCTCTGCTCTGCTCTGGGGTCGCTGTCATCAGCGTGCACCCCATGCTGAATATAGCGGCTAAATACAATGATTGATTGATAAGTTTGCACAGCAGATAGGTTTATTATTAACAACAACGCTTAGGATCAATCGCCTCCTCCTTTACCTCCTTTATAACTCTAGTTTCACTTTGCCTCGGTGTGTTTTAGGCTTGCCTGTTGTGTTTTGGTGAGATAAGAATAGTCTCAACTTCAAGATCCTTGACCATCACAGTCTCTTAGAAACCTAAAGTTTAAAGTCTGAACATGAGATCCGATCTGTGTTATTATGATCTATTACAGCCCACAATGATGATCAGTGTATCAAGCTCTGTTCAAGTGTGTCCCTCTGTTGCGGTGTGTTGAGTTTCTTGACCAGCAAGCTTTTCAGTGAGGGTGTGAGTTCAAAGGAATGGTGATTTAACATTCCTGGAGTATCAGAGCTTTGCCCTCAGCTCCAGTCAACATATAAATGTCATGCTGGGTGTAGCATCATGTGATCACTGGATGTGCTGGTTTAGCAAGCAATGAAAGGGAATGGATAAACATCAATTACCAGGACAACATTTTTGATTAACCATGAATCAAACTTTAACAGTCGTCCCCTGTATCTTTTAGGTTAAGACAGTTGACCAAAAGTCCTGTTGATCATGGATCCAAGCACAAGTGGACTCGTCCAGAAATTGGCAGAAGCCGGCCAATCTCACCTCCTCCAATTCTTGAACGAGCTGAGCCCCGAAGAGCAGGCTGACCTGACCCATGAACTGCAGAGGATGGACTTTCAGGAGATCAATGGATTCTTCAAAAGTGCCATGGAGATGTCCGGCAGCAGTAAACAGGAGAAGATGGATGCTCGTATGGAGGCGGTGCCCCGAGAGGTCCTGGGGAGCGTGACGAGGGACCGGGAGAATCTGAAAGACTGGGAGCTGGCAGGTGAACCATCAAAATAATTCATGTCCTGAGAGAATGTGTTTGTAAAGTTTTGGGTTTGATATTTGTTGGTATTTGATTCAATTGTTGAACTCCTACATTAGCAGTAAACAATGAGCTCTTATCAGATTTCAAGCAGGACTCATCCAGTTGCAACAAAAGTAATCACCTGGTGAGGAGACTGACACCTAGCAATTTAATTCAATTGTTGAGTAACTTTGAAATACAAAATGAGAGAGATGGACTCCTAGTGTTTGACTCCAACACCTAACCATCCATGTACTATACATTAATGTTTTCAGAGCACAGTGGGCGTCCTAGTATCTTATGTTACTGATATTTCGGGCCCTTTGTTATCCAACTTTGCTAACCAAGACGAGATCTTGATCAGAAATCCTTTCTTTGCTCCGTGGTTTCTCAACAAACAAACTCTTTCCAGGCTCAACCTCCTGTGTAGGTTTGACATTTGAGTAAGGCAGCTGCACTCGTTCATTATACTTTGCGCAATTGCTCTTGCAGTGGGGGTCTGCCCATTTAGCGAGGCTGTTGAGTTTATTTCCTGGGGGAGGATGAAAACATCTGCGTTTGATTTAGGTCTGACGTAAATGGAGTTTCAGCTCGACCCTCGTTCATGATGTCACTCCGCTCTGTCACAAAGAGTTCAGGGTGTGTATGTGTGTGTTTGAGGGAGTAGTCCTAGTCGACAAGGTCCACCAAGTCTGCTGTTGTAAAACCTTGTCTTCTGATACTTACAGGAAAAAAAAAAGAATATTACACAGCGAGTCATGTAGCAGAAGTTTATGTAAGATAACCATTGAACTGCAATAAAAGTAATCAAGCCTGGCGAGGGTTATTGGTTTCCAGGGCAAAGTTATTATTATTGCCAAAGTCCAGTCGGACAGTTTATGAAAGGCTGGGTATTTACTCGCTTTGATACATGAAGCAAATGTTTAAGCATTGTTTTGGTGAAAAATCTCACTCATTAGATCAAGTTTATCCTGGTATTTTAAAAATTGGACATGTTCCACTATCTGAAATAGACTTGACACGGGCGGCAGTAGCTCAGGAGGGGAAGGGTCGTCCAACAACTGGAAGGTTGGCAGTTCGATTCCCCTCTATCCCTAGTCTGTCTGTTGTGACCTTGGGCAAAACACTTAACCCACCTTGCTCCCAGTGTGTGTCCTCCACTGGTGTATGATTGTGAGTGTTGTGTGGTGGTGGTCGGAGAGGCCATAGGTAGTTTATCTCTACCAGGGTGTGACTGTGTGAGCGAATGAATGATGTATCCAATGTAAAGCACTCTCAGGGTCTCTGATAAAGCGCTATAAAAATCTGATGCATTATTATTGTGTATAATATTCTTCTCTTATAAACACATAAACAATCCTCTTTTGTACTCCAGGTCTGCAGAGCATCTCTCAGAGCAAAGTAGCAGTACTGCTGTTAGCTGGTGGCCAGGGAACCAGACTGGGGGTCTCTTATCCCAAAGGCATGTACGACGTGGGGTTACCATCCCACAAAACCCTCTTTCAGATCCAGGCTGAACGCATACTGAAGCTGCAACAGCTGGCTGAGCAGAAGCACAAAACCAAGTGCTGTATTCCCTGGTGAGACGCTTTTGGATTTTTTATTTCAGTATGAGACAACTCGTGTATTTTAGTCAGTGTGCCAGTCAGTTGAAGTGCTGCTTTATTGGAAGAGAAAAACAGATAAAAGCGACCATTTTCTTCTCTCAGTTCATAAAAAAAAGTTAAAAACATTTGACCTAATTGTGTTTTCATGTTGACTAACTGGGTCAAATCTCTACTACCATCAAAAGGAAACTCACTGAAGGGAGTTGTATTACTGGAAAGGATTAGTACCCTGTGGTCAGGAATCCAAGGACACTTTAAAAACTTAATGATGCAGATACCAGGAGTGCAGTGGAGGGCATAAAGTTAATATAACACTGTTGTCAAAACTTTACAGCTATGCTAGATGCAAAGAGATACTTTATCATCAGCAGGTCTGATTCTATAAGGAAGCTACTTTTTTATTGTGTCTCATGAACTTTAAGTTTATACCTCAACCTCAAGTTGAGGTCAGCTGTTTTGCATGTCTTGCCTCCAGCACAAGGAAAGAAATTGTAACAGGGTTTTACCCAACATGTAAACCCTCTTTCCTCTGCTTCCTGTTATTCTCTTGTTTTCAAAATCAGAGAAACTACCAGATGAATTAATCATGTCGCTTGTATGTTGCCCTCAGGTTCATCATGACCAGTGGCAGGACAATGGGCTCCACCAAGGACTTCTTCTCAAAACACAACTATTTCGGCTTAGACAAGGACAACATCATCTTCTTTCAGCAGGGCATGCTACCAGCCATGGATTACAATGGCAAGATCATACTGGAGAGCAAAGGAAAGCTCTCCATGGCTCCTGGTAAGCTCATTCATGACTTCTAACCCATGACTTTTGATGAATTACTTTCCAAGTAGTCTTGATGTGAGTTTCTGTTTCTGTATTACAGATGGGAACGGGGGTCTTTACAGAGCCCTAGGGAACCAGGGCATCATAGATGACATGGAGCAGAGAGGGGTTGAATTCATCCACGTGTACTGTGTTGATAACATCCTGGTCAAAGTGGCAGATCCTGCCTTTGTTGGTTTCTGTGTGCAGAAGGGAGCGGACTGTGGAGCTAAGGTTGGTTTTCTGTTTCTGTCTTTCAGTTCTTTTCAAAATCCCCGTCTCTGTGGAATGCATTTTTTTTTTTTGCTTTACTCACTTGGAGTTTAAATCTAAAATCTGGGGAGTATACTGATGTTGGTGAAGGAGTAGATCAAGCAGAGAGTTTACTGTATTTCTGTCATAAAGTTGTTTGATTAAATCATCTCCGACTGCCGTGCTTCTGATAACCTGATAAGTTACTTTTTACCAGACAAGGAAGTAATAAAAAAACAATAAGACTGCATTGACTCATAAAACCAAAATGAAAAAGAAAGTTCATGTTCCTTCGTCAAATGCTGACATGTGCTGGTAGATGTGTTAAGTTCAAATGAACAATCAGCGCACATTTTACAGGATCATTTCCACTTCTTGCAGCTTTTTTCCTTCTTCATTTCTCAAACCTGTGCCTGGCAAGACTTTGAACTGTTAAACATGGACTAAACTATTTACATATACTCTCCTATCTCCCCATGTGTGACTTTTGCTTCCTCATCAAAACTTTTGACACCTGCGTTCTTGTTTCCCGACCACATACTCAGAGAGAAGTTGCATGTATAGTTTTAAAATTCTCGTAAGACAGCCTTCAAACAGTTACATGGAATGCAAGTTGCTTTAGCATGGTGGATGTGGATCATGTCAGTGAGGGTGTGTGTCTGTAGCAGTTTGACTCACTCTCTTTGCATCTGCACCTTCCACACCTCGCCTCTGAGTGGAGACACAGGCCACTTTTGTCGGCATCCCTCCCTGTGGTTGTTACTGTGGAATAAAGTAGCTACAGCTAGCTATCTAGGAAATTTAAGAGTAGAGCTTAGCTGAACTTTCCCTCACCATTCATCATTGTCTCAGATAACATGAGTGGAGTTTAAAGATGTCACTTTTTCCTATAGGGCTTTCTTAGAACACTGCATTTTCACATTGAAGGGGGGAAAAAAAAGCTCCACCGAGTGAAACAATTTTTCCTCTGGTCAACAAACTCTATTCATGTTTAGCTTTTAGCATGTGTTGTTAACGTGAGCATTCTCGGCATGGAATACCTAGCAGGCATGGGCCTCACAGAACAGGTTCATCAGGTTCAGACAGAACCTTAAGATTGAGGAAACTTCAGGCACAGCTCGTTCAGTTAGTCATGCCTTTATTTTAATGACAACTCTGCGTCATTTACATGTTAAATTAGTCAAGAGAGGAAATTTGAAACAATGCATTAACCTATATGATGTACAGTAAGGCTTAAAACCCCAATTTATATCTAGTTTCAGGGACTAACAGAAACAGAAAAGATTAAATAATGACATAAAATCTTAACACACATTGAGACATTTAAGTTATAATTTATTTTTCTCCTCATAATGTGAAATTAATTTATTTGAGGACCGTCTGAACATGAATACGAATGCATGTTTAAGTAATGTCCACAACCTTTTCAAACCTCACAGCTATTTCCAGTATGTAGAGTATGATTAAAACCAGGAACTAGAAGTTGAAATGCACTATCAGTCAAACAGTATCATCAGATTCATCAGTGACAAAGACCTGAGTAATAGGGAGAACTGGGTGAAGCACCTCTTTTTGATGATATCTGTCAAAACTTGGGCCGTTGTTTCCAAGGTTACCACACAAAAACAAATCAACAGAAACAAGAGAGGAAAACCTGCAGCAGTCACAAAACATCCTGTTGACTAAGAGCTAAATGAGGGATGGTAATGCACAGGCAGCAGGTCTTCTTCTTAAAAAGTCCTCATGTAGTATGTAGCTAAGGTCTGAGACTTCCTGCTTGGGAAATAGGATCTGATCTAATTCGTGATTCAGATATTTGAAACTCGCCATTGCTCTATGGCCTTACTAAGAGATTTTGAAATAACATCATGCTATAGTGCTGCGACTTAAGTTTATTAGTTAATCCAGTCTGTTTGAACACAGTCTTGCAGTCACATCATAGACCTTGATTTGCTGATCAGAGTGTATTTTCTGTTTTCCAACACAGACCGTTTCTGGCATGCTATTTCTCAGTAGTCCTTCCTCTCAAGTTGTGTTTTGACTCGGGTGAATATCTTGAGAAAAGGCAGAGTAGTTTTGAGACTGTGACTGTTTCTGTTTGACATCAAAAGTTGTGCATTAGAGCACTCTGAGATGGAGGGATCAGATCAGAGCAGGGTCCCACCCTCCCCTCATAAATTACTGAGCTCTGCTTCAGTTCATGTGGCCTCTCCACCACCACCACCACCACCGCCGCCCCCTACCCCGCCCCATTTACAACCCCCTCATCAGGACACTCTGTCATTAGCAAAAAAACAGATGAGGAGAGGGTTTTTTTCTTCTCTTAAACTCACTGCCTACAAAACAGACAGATACCTCTTAGAAAATCTGATCCAGTTTATTTGCCTCCTTGGTCTTTGGTTTAAAGTGTTGTTCAGGCCATTATTTAACATGTTTTAGCTCTACTGCAGCTGTTTTTAATCCATTATGTGTTTGTTTCTTGTAGTGTGTGCCATGCATAATAAAAATGGATCATCAACAATGTTTTTCTTCTTTTGTGAAGTTGAAATATAAAACTTGCAGAAACTTCTTATTCCTAGCATATAGCACGATCGATTAAATCGCTTTCTTGTCCTTGTGGTTTTGTTTTACAGGTTGTTGAGAAAACCAACCCGACAGAGGCAGTAGGTGTAGTCTGTAAGGTGGATGGGCGTTATCAGGTGGTGGAGTACAGCGAGATCACCCTTGCGACTGCTGAGAGGCGTGGCGCCGATGGACGACTAATGTTCAGTGCTGGAAATGTGGCCAATCACTTCTTCAGCTTCTCTTTCCTCAAAGACGTCGTGCAGTAAGACACTTGCTCCCTGTGTCGTGAATATAATGTACTTTTATGTCATGAGTTTTGCCTAAGCTGTATTAGAAGCAAAGACTGTGCCTCCAGGTCTTTATAAAGTTGATGCACGGCAAAGAACAAGCATCCTAACTGTTTTTCTTTCTTGTTGAATCATCAGGAAGTTCGAGCCACAGCTGCAGCACCATGTGGCCCAAAAGAAGATCCCGTATGTGGATGCACAGGGTCAACTAATCAAACCAGAAAAACCAAATGGGATTAAAATGGAAAAGTTTGTCTTTGACATCTTCCAGTTTGCCAAGTAAGTTGTAGTGTGCTTTTTCCACAGAGAGCACAGAATGCATGAAAACATCAACAAGTGCCATCAACCTCCAAAAGAGAGGCTGTAAACCACGAAGAGTACAACGAGTATCTGTTACTGTTTGCAGATGACTGCATTGCGTCTTTCGGGCCTTTGAGCCAGGGTCTAACTAGTTTTTGATCCGCCTCTCCTTTTATGAACCAACCCATTTTTCCATACCCAGTGCCTACCCAGCAGCCCGGTCCTGCCATTGCTCTGAGGTCTTGTCCAGTAGATGAAGCCTGCCAAGCACTCTGCAGGAGGAGGGAGGTTTATGAGCTGTTCTCCATTCCACCTCCTCCAGTGCTGCGTGACATCAGCTTTGAGTCACGCCACTACGAATAGAACTTTACATATAATGAAAGGATTCCTGTAAAAATGAAATGATGGAAAAATACTGCAGACTTATCCAGCTGTCTTTAAGGCTTGTTTGCAGAATTTCAATGCAGAATGAGTGAGAGTAGTTTTTGGCTTTGCTCAGTAGGTAGATTTATTTATTCTTTTCACTTTTTGAATAAGTTTATCTGCTTCTGTTGTGTAATGTAGAATTTCAAAAATTTTAAGGTATACCACGACTGTCAATTGGTTAACTTAGAACAGTGGATAGATGAATAGAACAGTGCTTGTTACATTTTTGCTTTTATTACATTGTTTTACCCATAGACTGTTTATAGAATGAATGCTGTCTGCCTCCTACCCTGAGAACAGCACACTCTGGTGACAGGCTGCAGTATAGGTCATAAATCCCACCTCCTCCAGCAATCCCTATGGAGCTGTGGACAAACTTTAGAAATTTATTACACAGAACCTACATTTTTCTCCCCCCTGCTTGCGATGTTGACATGTAGTTACTGTAAGACTGGTTTGTGCTCAAGTCCTCTTTTTTCTGTACAGCTCCATTTTTAAAAGTTATAAGGAGATTCATGTTTTCTATGATTGACACTTGATACAGCCTATGGGCGTATGAAGATTGTGTAGCTCACCTGGGGGATACGCTGTTTTAGCCGAGCATCATCAGAGCGACTCTCTGCGACTCTCCCGCCGCATGCGTACAACACTGCGCAATGTTGGTTTCAGGAAGTGGAGAAAAATCGCGGAAATACCGAGAGCTTTTTGGCTACAAACCCGTATACTGGTGGAAGGCGGAACCAAGTTGTCCACAGTATATACAGTCTATGATTTTACTACTTTTAGAATTCAACAGTTGTGTTACATTATTGACAAATTATTACATTTCGGGTGTCATAACATTTTTAAAAATGGTTATTATTACAACTTCACAGTCTTTGCCTCTAACACAGGTTATTTTTACATTTTGGTCTCTAACAGGGCGGTTTTCGTCCAAGAACATTTGCACACTCAATCACTTATACACACTCACATCTTCAGGCTGCTCTGCTGAGTTAAAGGCTGGTTTGTGGCCACTGTAACTGCAGACACTAACAGTGTCCACAACAGCCTCTGTGTATGTAACAACATTGTCTAATGGATTATTTGATAAACTGTGAAACCATGTGCAGCAGCGTTTTTAGCTATGAAAATCAACTCGTGGAACAACCAGGTGGTTTTAAACTTGTTATAATAAGCTGAATAACTTGAACACTTAATCTGTCTTTGTTAAATACTTTGAAATATCTCATTCAAAGATTCTTAGACAGCAGGGACCGTCATTTGTCATTTTTGCCTGTGTGCTGACATGCTGTTACATTTGTGTCCAACAGGACGTTCGTTGTGTATGAGGTGCTGCGGGAGGACGAGTTCTCCCCTCTGAAAAACGCAGATAGCCAGGACGGCAAAGACACACCCACCACAGCCAGACACGCCCTCATGTCTCTTCACCACCGCTGGGTGCTCAACGCTGGGGGCCACTTCATTGATGAGAACGGCAGACGTGTTCCTGCCATACCTAGGTGACTTTTGCCCGCTAAAACACAATGTCACGTGCATGTTATGTAACTGGAAAATATCACTCACCTTGTCTGGCATGACAGTAGAAATGGGTTCCCTGTGGTCTCCTTTTCAACACTTTATGCACAGACGACATTCATAAGCTTATTTATTTCTTGTTTGAGAACATCATATGCTTTTAGCCTTACATTTTCACTTCCCTCCTCTCATGCTTGGTCTTGCTCCTGTGTGTCCCATACAATGTTTCCAGAGACGGAGCAGAAGACAGTGTCAAAGATGGTGGCAACAGAAAGTAATTATTATCCCCCTGCAGTACCCAGTGCTTGGTGATGAGGTTTTGGCTTTCTCTCCCTCTCGCTCAGACGTGTTAACACTACATACTTCTGATGCTTGACGTCTCCGTTCCTTCCTCACCACTGAAAAGAAGAACGCATGCCAGTCGGCAGCTGTTTTTCTGTCTGTCGTGAAAAAGGAAATGACAGCAAGGATCAGTTTGGACGACTGAAAATGCAATTCCTCTTCAGATGATGTACAGTCATAATGACCTGCTGATGGATGGATCATTTCCCTTCAGATGGTTGCTACTAATACACGCACTGTATTGCATGTTGGGTAATGGGCTACAAATAAACTTTCTGGCAATCAGTGACAGCTCTGAAATAGATGATAACATTCTGAAGTCAAATCAACTGTTTTCCTATAAGATTTAAAGTGAGCATGGGCTTTAATAGCATTCATGGCACCTGTGAACAGGTGTTATAAATGTGTACTTTTCTCCTAATCAGCTTTCCCTCTTTCTTATGACACAACTTTGCGGGCAGCTGCTCAGAACACACCTGAAGTACTTATGTGACTAGTGATATTCATGGGTAATGATGACTATCTTCCAAAAAACAGTTGAATGTTGGCAATGTGGTAGGAAGTTGAAGCATTGCAAAGAGGTACTACCACATTTCCTGTCATTCATCTGCTTTCCTCTAGAGAGGGGTTGTTACAGGTCGGAGGGCTAATCACTTGTCATGTTTGGAAGCTCTGATTCTCTGCCTTTGAACTCTAATCACATGCTGCAGTAGAAGAACAGCTGTTTCAACGACGTACAGCTGCTGCTTTCAACTCCATCCCTCCGCCCTTTCATGAGACAATCACTCATCTGCCTTTTTTTTCCCCCTCATCCTCCTTGAATTTGTTCTTTGTCCAACACAGCCTGAAAGATGGAACAGACCTGCCAATCAAATGTGAGATTTCCCCACTGGTGTCCTACGGCGGAGAGGTAGGGAGACAGAGCTGACTGTATCAGATTAAAACCACAGATGTTGTCCCACTCTGGCCACAACCCCCGAAATAATTAACCTCTGCACCCACTAACAGTGTCCTGATGTTGTCATTTGCTTCTTAAAGGGCCTTGAAGACTTGGTGAAAGACCGGGAGTTCCATCCAACCCTGATGATCGATGAAAAAGGAGTCCATGAGCTGGTGAAGAACGGAGTTTAGACAATGAAGACGGGAGGGCGAGAGATGGAGGGACAACCCAAAGACCAATCTCCCTTTGTCTCTCCAAGTATGCAGGGAGATACTGTGATGTCATCGCTGTGCAATAACAAATGTGACATGGCCACGCGTGTTCGGTCGTACCGTTCAAAAAGAGCGGGCAAGATGAAGAGTTTTGTTTACTACTCAGCGCCGAGTTTTCTTTGCTTTGTTTGTTAGTGTCATAGTTCATATTTGTGTCGAGTTACTTGAACACAGCATCTTATGAAGGACGAAGTCTCTGTCATACTGACTGGATGAAGCAGGTGCTTCTATTTATTTTGCTTATGAAACTTATTTTTTTATGTACTGGTAGATTCATAATAGGTGGTGTTTACCATCTTATTATTTTCCCTGGTAATTTTTATACAACATTAGAGTGAGCGGAAATAATCGGGAAGATTTTCTGACTTGCATTTAATCGAAGTACACGGTATGGGCTTGGGGGGTATTTATAATATCTGCTTCTTTTCTGTTTCTTCTAATCATTGAAGATAAAGTATTACTATGCTTCAGGAAATGCTGCAAATGTTATCATCTTTAATAAAGAAATGTCCAACTCTGTAAACCCCTAAGCGTGTAGCTTGGTTTGTGTTCAAAAATAGAAAACCTTGTAAAATCAAGTTTTTGTAAAATCAGCAAACAAACATGATGTTTTATGTTTCACTTGCCTGTTTCTACATGGTATGATTTTTGCAGACAACTCTAGCTGTCTTGAATCAGTTTTCAGCTCATAGGACGTGTTTAAGGTGGGTCAGAGTGGGCATCAGTAAATTTTCACGACTCTCTTCTTACTCTGAGGCTCTTCAATTGCATGATAATGTGAAGTAACTGCAGTATGGGACTTCAAGGGCAAATACTCAGGGTTTTCTGACAATGTCTGCACTTTGAATGGGTTTTGGTCAGTCATGTGCTCTGGTAGTTTGAGGAGCAGGGCTTAAAAAAATGACAAGGACACGTCTTGTGTGCCGTTGGGCATCATGACACAGAAAGTCCTGATTAACAAAGGTTAGCACTTCACCTTTCAGTCTGTCCTTGCCATTTTGTGATCATACGGTTGTTGCACAGACACTGTTCTAGCCTGTCAAAATAATTGTGATCTAGTGAAAACTGTATTGAATCGCAGGTAGCCTTGAAGTAACAGTATGGATAGTCGTTTAAACCATTTACACCAACAGTGTGGAGTTGATTTAAACATCAACTCCACACATTAATTCAAGAGCAGAAAATTTGAGCTTTTAACACTTAGCTACCCGTATTTGGGTGAATATTCATGTTGAAAATGTAGTTCTGGGCAAGAAAAAACAGTTATACACATAATTCACAAAAAAAATCATGCAATATGCTTGAAGGAAGTAGCATCTAGTAATATTTAACCTGCTGTGTTTTACAGAGGGGGTTAAAACTGAGTGGTTTAATAAAAATCTAATTAAATAGAACAATTAGATAAAATAGGACCTAAAGATGTATGACACTTAAATAACAAATCTTACATGTTAACTGAACATAAAGATTAAAATGAGAGCCTCTGAAAAGGGCAATACATCTAGTTTAACCCATAGGAAGGACATTTACAGGATGGTACTCTTTCATTTTTACTACACATATTGCAAAGGCATCCAGAGGCACTTTTTTTAACACAGTGTGCAGACAGATGGACTTCCCATACCCCCACACTCAGATTTTAGTCATGGATTTTTTTTCTGCTTTTAATACAGTCAACGATATCACCCTCTGCAACCATCTCCTGGACTTAGAGGTCAACCCAACACTGATCCTCGGAATTAAAGATTTTCTGCAGGACCGGCCTCAGCATGTGGTGGTATACGGTTTTAAGTCTCACATTGGAGTCCTAAAGGGTTGTGTTTTATCAACACTTTTATTTTCTATTCACACAAATAATATAACAAACAATAACATTAATATATCCCTTCTAAAATACGCAGACGTCACGGCCCTGATGGCCCACATTGATTACAAAAAAAGTCATTCCAATGCTATCACTCACTGTAAATCTTTGCTTCAGAAAACGTAAAATTCAGGTGTGCAGATAACTATTTTATCTGACATATACTGACTGCAGTGGTTTTAGGAATCAGTATATGGGTATATGGGGTCTTATTAGTTTGGAGGCCTTAAATAGGCAAGAAAATCTCCACGCAAGCAGACAATGAAACTAATCAAATCATAAAGTTATGACATTATTTTTTTAAATTGGGATACTCTTTACTCCAGGTTAATCTGGCTCTCTATTCATGGGGCTCTACTACTAATTAGATATCCAATTATTTTGTTAGTTCACTACTCAGGCCAAAAAAAGCCGATCCTCTAATGTCTAAAGAGACACACCTCTGACACTAAGGTATTAAGTTTCAGGTATTAAGAGCGTGACTAACAAAGTCACGTCTTGGGTATGTCTAGAGCAGTCAATGGTAATCTCTATTCATGATCACCCATGTGAAATGACTTTGTATAACAGTCTTTAATTGACAGTCTAGATTTCATCTTCAAACTTAAAAGTAAAATATTAAAAACAAATCCTAAAGAAAAACTAACTCCTCAAAGAGCTCTATAAATTTGTTGTGAGATGACAGAGAAATAACCCCAGAAGACAGCAGCCGCAAACATTACTTTCAGCCTCAAGCTGTCAAAAGAAAGGCTCTTTTCAGGGGGAAGAAAGCTTTCTGATTGAGCATTGGATTCGGCGTTAATTGAAACCGTATGTGTGGCATGTGGAATTCTGGGTCTTTGGCATGCTCCCAGGAATCCACAGAATGTGAAGGTTCTCTCTCTCTCTCTCTCTCTCTCTCTCTCTCTCTCTCTCTCTTCCCCGTTTTTCTCTCCTCTCCCTCTCGTTTTTTTTCTATTTGCAGGGGTGTCTTACATCAGCCCAGGGAAAGCGGCTGGTGGACAGACTGAGAGCTAGCGGCAGAGAGAAAGAGCTCAGATTGCGACTTTAACCGGAGTAATCTTTAAGAAAACATCTCTGAACAAATGGTCTGACGGGACAAAGCATCTTAAAGTGAGTCACCCTCTTCTTTTATACATTATCTGAACTGTAGATTCAGGACTTCATCCTCTCACCTTTTTTCTTAAATCCAAGGAAAGTACTTTAAAGTTTCCTTGAGGTATCTTCATAATGGGAGCTGCATGTTTGAACTTTATGTTCCTTTTGTGTGAAGTAGTTTCTGTCACTGTGTTGCTGGAGACAAACTCCTCTCTGCTCTGCTCTGCTGCAGATCCAGCTGCTTCAAACTGAAGCCTGAACACTCTGTTTCCATTTGCTGGTTTGGATGTGATTAAGACCATGTCTTCATTAAAACACATTTGCACTTGAAATGATGACCACAGCTGAGAAGAGACTAAAATGTCACAAGAACCCCCAGCAGAAATGTATTTCTTCAAACTTGAATTGCATATTTCAAGCGCAACAGATTCAGTGCCTTCCTCAATAAGTTTTGAGACAGTTGGTTTTCACTTAAAGGATTTCAAGCTTCAGACTGACTAGACTAGAAGAAATCACTGCATCATATAAAAGCCTGTCTATTGTGCTGAACGGACAAACTCTTCAACTTACCAGCAACAAAAGAAGTGTAACTAACATAAAAATGATGTGGCTCTCGTTTGAAGCACACACACTTTTGTTTGCTGTATTGTGGTGGGGTCGTTGGGAGTGTGTTTTGTTGAAGTCAAACAACTGACTCATTTATGGTTGCCGAGATTCTTTCAGAGTTTACTGTGGTCAGCTGGCGAAATGTGGAGTACTCGGGTTACAGCGCCGAAAAAGCTTTCTGTCCTCAGCACATGTCCACCTCTTGTGTCATGGAGGTGGTGTGTGTTATGTAGGTGTTACGGAGGTGGTATGTAGGTGTCCTCCTGTGGTATGTGGGTGATAGAAGTCCACACAGAGGCCTCTATTCTGCCAGGTTATTTGGTAACTCGACTCGACACTCAACTGAAGAGTTAAGATAATGTATGAGCTCAGAGCGCTGAAATCTGAACCAGCTTTGAAGGATGTGAGCAGTAGAGATGCTGCTGATCAATGGAATGATTGTAAAGAAGAGGTCAAGGTGATGCTGAGGATATGTATGTGTGAATATAAATGTCAGGTACATGGGTACAATTAGCTTGTCTTTGTTATCATTCAAAGTGGCTTGCTGACCTTAGTACCTTAAATAGAAGTCGTTTACTGTCTAAATAAACCAATGGAAAAATCATTTAAAATCAATTGCATGTTAAAATTCTATGTTTTTGTGTCCAGTGTCTCCAACAGGATTTTTAAAAATCTACCCTAACATGCTTAAATACTCTTTCAACCGCTGTTGTCCTCTGTACTTTTTTACCCTATGTCTGTCATTTTTTTTTCATTTTAGAAGACTCAAAAAAAAAAAAGCATTAAATTACATGATCTTATATTAGCATATTTTCCATGTCTTCAGTACTTGCACTATTTATCTATATAGTTACTTTAAAACATCTAAAATAAACAACTCCCATTCGTTGATCACATTCACGAAATATTCAAAAATGGCATCCTGCTGCACGTTGAAATGAAACAATTCGATTTGAAATTGTTTAACAACTTTTTTTACTTTGTAAAAAAAAATGCAAAATATTAATCCTGAACTCTTTCTGTATATCAGTTCTTCCGTCTTCATACATGTGTAAACTTTTCTCTGAGCAGCGCCAAAGTAAACAAAGCAATGTGAAGGAAACTAAAAGAGCAATGACAAAACTTGACCACTAATTAATCTAGCAATGCACCGATGACCACAGATTTATTATTCATTAAAGTTTAATACATCAAGACGAGGAATGCATTGGTGACCGCAGATTTATAGTTTAATTAAACAAGGGTGTTGATTTTTCCTTAAGGCCTATTTGTTGTGCTCTCCATACTGGGTGTGGAAAGCATCTTTATCAAGGTAAATAACTACTTTTTCAAAGAAGAAATGCAGAGTTGTTGCGTATGACGAGTAAATGAAATGCTTGTGGTGGACCGTTCAAAAAAACAGTATGGGAGGGAATCTTCAGGGGGGGTATAATCTCATACCATTGTGATGTTATCTGACACTAATTTGATCTTTTAGGCAATAGTATGTGCACACACACATATGAGCTATAACACACACTTTGAATTAATTAAATCTAGTAAGCTTGACAGTTATGAGATCTAGCTTGCATGTGGTGCACAAGCACTCCCTCTAGGATGAGCATAGTAGTTAAGAAGTCATAAAAGAACCCCTCCGAGAGTGTATTTTCATGTTTTTCTGATGTTACATTTGAATTATAGCTCTTTCCTTTACAGTTCAGAGTCTGACAGACATCCTCAAATACAGACTTTGATAACAAACCACAGCTAAAGTAACACCGGAGGCACCCGGGGCTTTCTTAGCTTAACTGTGCCTTGAGTTGTGCGATTGGAAGTGTTTTCAGATCAATGCTCCTGGCAAAACAAAACCAGCTCGGCGCTCGCAAGCAGAGGTGCATGCTGTAATTTGGTAAAAATAGCTGCATTTCAGGGAACATCATCCCTAAAATACTGTGCTGTTGACTTTGTATCCCACACGTGCTTGAACTCCGACCCTGCCCGAACCAGCACCCCTCTCATCACCCACCATTTAAGGGGGATTGGGTTACTCGCAGCCTGCAGCAGACTACATTTGTCCCTTTTAGCCTGTTTCTTGGCTTGAATCATTTGTTTGTCCTTGACTTGGGATCTCCTTCCAACCAGAGTAGATTTGTTGTACACCAACAGGAAAGATATACGTAAACTCTTGATGTTTTCTCAACTAAAAAAGAGAAAAAAGAATAATACCAATGTTAATATTAAGCAGCTGCTCTAAAAACAGAAAAACTAGCAAAAATCATGAAAAACAATGAAACTTTTGAGCCAAAAGATACATTTACATACACATCAACCCCAAATCACTGGTACTTATATCCTCCTGTGTTTGCACATGTGGCCTCTGTTTGTCTTCAGTTCTTCTCTCCCTCCATCTTGTAAGTGGTAATTTCTCATTGTTTGTTTATCTGTTTGTCTGGTAATAATTATCTGTCTGTCCACCTCACGTCCTCCATGATTACAGGCTGTCAGGGATGATCTTAGCTTGCATTTCCACATGAAAAGAACCTCAGGACGTGCTGCAGGCTGCCATTGCGTACAAATGACAGCCTCCAGCCAATGAAAGAGTTGTCACTGCTAACATATCAGGCAGTATGGATGACTTTTTATAGAACTGCTGCTATCTGCGCTGTTGTTTCAGCCCTTGTGTAATTGATGTCTGTGGAGTGGTATGATGAGTTGACAGACATAGAAAGTAACTGAACACCTGTAAGATAATTTTACTGCCATTGTACTGTCTTTTAACTTCTCTGATTTATGTTGTGGATTTAGATTCCCTACAGAATAAGAGCTCAGTTAAACTACGCTTCACTTTTCCAAGAGCCAAAACAACTCAACTCATGTATCTTAAACTCATTTGCTGAAACAGCAGCAAAACCAACACAGAAGCCCAAAACATGCAGTTCCTCAAATGTCCACTTGAGGCTGTTTGAAAAGCCCTGAAAGTCAGGAGCACACCCCTTCAAAAAAGCTCATCTTTCCATCACAGTAAACATGTTTACAGTAGGGTGATCATATGTCCTCTTTACCCGGACATGTCCTCTTTTTTGGGGGGTGTCTGGGCTTGTTTGGCTTTGTCCGGGGAAGTTTATAAAATCCTTCAAATGTCTGCGGTTTTGTATGCCAGTTTCGATTTTGTGTCACTGAGTTAGAAGCACAGAAAAGACACTGTCCGACATGAAAAACTCTCAAAATTAACTTCGAGCGACTCCAACTGAATGACATGGAGACACACTGTAGCTGTTAGCGACCCCACACCTGTGTCTTGCTAGGTTGAGTCAGCATTTCCAACATGGCAGCCATGGATGGGCATCAAAACTGCACTTAATGACCCAACTGGTGACGTCACTGTTTTTTACAGTCTACGGTGGCAACCAGTCAAGTTTGAAAGGTGTTGGTAAAAAAACACAAAACAAAAAAAAAACCTTGCGCTTCAGCAGAGAGTACACTCCCCAAAAATACATTTTCCTTAATTAAAGTAAACTCTTTTCACTTCCCTCAAACACTGATGATTTAAATGGCATCAGAATACATGAAGGTGCGTAGATTTCTGGGAGTTGTTTAGTCACATTTTCAGGTACAAGAAAACAGGTTATTTTTTACTGTGGACATTAAAGAAAAGACTTCTGGTCTTAGCGGACCACAAATATGCTCTGATTTCGGCAGTGTGCAGGGGATGGACCTCTGCCCTGACAAAGGGAAATGGAAAAAGAGCTTCTTGGCGTGGGCCGGTGTTTTTCCAATCTGACAGTGTGGCTTTAAAGTTCAAGGCCTGGGTTTTCAATCAGAATGAATTTCCAGTCAAAGATTTAAGACTTCTCTCCTTACATAACAAACAAAACCTTTTCGTTGCAGAATATTGTAACCAGCTCAGAGTCTTTATTGAAGGTGTAGCAGGTGGGCTTACAGCCTTTTCAGCCAGCAGTTTCATACTTTGTGTTTCCTTTTGTCTTTAAACATCAGCTGGTAGTCTTGAAACACCTGCGCACAACTTGAACAGTTATTATGCACAGGCAACCAAATAGTCTTAAATGATACCATTACGGAGTATTTATGGCAGGTGTCTCACTTCATGAAAAGCAGCACAAAACTGGACTTTTCAGTATTTCATTTTCATTTATTTATTTAAAAGGAACAATGCATATTAATGAACATAAAAATGTAAATATGCCAGATTTAGCCAATGGCTAATTTTCATCTGTAGTCCCAGGCAGACCAAGGAAAAGAAAACATTAAAAAATGGAAGCACAGTGACAAATACAAAGATCATCCGTACAGCATGGAATTCACTCATGAAACAGAAAAATCAGTCAACAGGAAGATACTAAAGGAATAGAAATAAGACACTGTTAGCTGACATAGAAAACAAAACAGAGAAAGAACAGTTATCTGTGGTTACATGACTGGTTCCTCTTTAGCAAACTTTTAATTTTATATTTAATTGGGATTCATGTTACTTTCAAACCCCTACTTGTAAAGCAACGTCCTGTTTTGCCCACTCTGTCATAAGGCAAAAAAATCAGCCTTGCATGTAAGCTACTCTAAAATTAAGCACACACCTCTACAACCATGAGAAGAGGAATGGTATGTGAAGTGATGATAAATAGAGAATCTGATAGTTGGCACATCATTAAATGCTTAAATTTAGTTAAAATCATGCAAAGACGAAAAGTCAGGTGTTGTGACAAAGAAGTGTATTGTTTGTGAGAAATATGTGTTCCTTTTCGATTTAATGTCAGCTAAACTTTTTAAAACAGTGGAGACAGGGTCATGAACATAACAAACAACACAACATTTGGAAGACAAGGGGACCAGTTTCTGGGCTTTGGAAGGTTACATGCTGTCCCATGCCCGCCTGACATGGGTGTTTAAATGTTTACCAGTCTCTTTTGTAGGATTTTTTTCTTCATGACATATCCAATGTTTTCAACTTGAACATATCGACTGGACTCTTCTGCTTTTTTTATAGTGTGTGCGGTTTATTTTGGTTAAATAAAAATCACATCATCATCTTGTCAAATTATAAAAGGTCTTGCCTGAAAAAAGTATTGTCTGGATGGCAGCATAAGTTGCTCTAAAACCTATATATGTTGTTCATTGCTAATGCTGCATTCCTAGGTGTGTAAACTAGCTGTGCCATGAGCACCCAAGTGTCCCCATACCATCAAGGATGCTGGTATTTGAAATGTGTGACGGTAACATCCAGGTGGTCCTTCTCCTCTTTACAGGGCAGGATGTGGCATTCAAAAGTCAGGTTTTGATTTGTTACCCCACAGAGATGATTTCCATTGTGTCTCAGTCCATCTTTAACGGGCTCAGTCCAGAGAAGCTGCGGGTGATTCAGGCCCATGTTTGTGTTTGCGGTTTCCTCTTTGTTCTAACTTGCATCTAAGGATGCAGCGACTCACTGTGCTCATGGAAAATAGTTCTGGATGTGATTTCAAGCCCACTCAATGATATCTGCAGCAGAGTCATGTCTGTTTTTAATGCGATGCTACCTGGGGGCCTCAAGATAAAAAACATCAGTTATGAGGCGTGTCCCTTTTGAGATTTCCTCAGAGTATCTGAATCTATTTTTTAATGATATCATGTATCGTAGATGAAGAAATCCTTTAAGTCTTTGCGATTCTGTGCTCTGGGACATTAATCTTGAACTGCTTGAACTATTGTCTCACCCTGTTCCTGTTAGAGGGTTGACACTCTTCCCATCCTCACTTCTGAAAGGCTTACCATGGATTGTGTTTGTTGTACCCAGTCATGTTGCTGACCCATTACAAATTAGAATGATTAGCTGGGAGGATGTTCCTCCAGGTTTTTCAGTGTTTTGCTGTCTCTGTTCCAACTTTTTGTTCATACGTATTGCTGGGGTCAAATTCAAAATAAGGTTTTCCACAGAGCAGCCATGAAATTATGAAGACCTGGCAACCTAATGCAACCCAATACAACAGCTCTGCCCTAAATTCCACTTTGACAGAGATTTTTATTTTTGTTAAGATGTCTTTTAAATGAATTGTGAGCGGTGTAGTGGTTGAAAGGTGTTTCTAATATTTTGCTCCCCTCGTGTTTGTTAATGATTTAGAGAAAATATAAGGAACATCTTTCTATAAAATGCACTCCAGCACACAAACCAACTCTAACTCTAACACGTATGCCACCACCACCCACTATGTTTTCAATAATAAATATATAGTACAAAAATCATCTCTCTGACCTTATCAACTAAAACTGAAAACTTGAGAGAATCCTTATGGTGAATTTTGCTTTTGCAATAATTTATGCGTGTAATAAAATAAATAAATTGTTTAGTTTTAATATTTAAATAGTTTTCCTTGGACTACTTTTATTTAAATGTAGGCTTTAAATCATTAATATTATGCAGTGTTGCAACTCTTATGAAATTAGAGTAATCCAAATCTCTTTGGGAGTAACCCATACACTGACAGATTGTTCTCTGTATGCCTTTCTTTTTGGCCCAGAACATTTAACTATGTGTGCGTGAAGACGTGCATATTTGTGTCCCTCTCTCTCAGGTTTGACCGCTATGTTAATATAACTCCACCTCCACCACCTGATTGAGAAATAAGATTTGAATTTCATGCATTCCCATAAAAAAAAAAATATCTAGGACACTATGTTTCCGCCTTCAGGGAGAAAGAGGACTGCATAATAGGAAGCGCATGCGGATGCCTACTGCCATACTGTATGCCTAAAATATATACACCCAATACCAAAGTGCACATTAATGCATTTTAATCCTATTAATGAGACCGACTTTGTCTAAAGAAACTCATTTACTCCAAAAGATGGCCGTCACAGAACTCTGTAATGACTCAGTACATATCTTTAGTGATGGGGGCTTTTTTGTGTTTATGAAGCAGATGAGAGTATAAAGGCAGACAGGAAAGTATGAGGGATGGAGAAGTATGAACAGTGACAAATGTGGCAATTTTACTCTGCAGACTCCTCACATAATAGGGATTGATAGAGCTGATTAGCAGCAACAGTGTGACCGGCCTCTATACAAGTAATGCATCCCACATATTATCTTGAATGCACAGAGTTGTGGTGTGATTGACTGATTTGAAATTATTTGTACGGTGAGAAAAGAAGATTTATTCATAGTCTAACTAAATGTTTTGGAGCTGAATGTTTTTTGCCAGACTAGCAGCTACACAAAGTTATAACTAAGACAAATACCTGCATACAAGTGTTAAAGACATCTGTGCCTCTTCCCCTCTTCAGTTGATATCGCCAGAAACCAGATTTTATGTCCACCGGTACGATGAAGTGTCCAGTTGTTCTTAACCCCAACCGGCTATTTCTTCTGCAGACACTATTTTAAAACCAGGAGTGTTGACGCTGCTGTGTGTGTTTGTGTGGGTACGTGAGAGACGCAGCGGCAGGGACCAGAGCCAGGTTAACCTGTGTGTTGACTTAACAGGCTTTCCCAGGGTGCAGGACCTGGTGGTGCACCGATGTTGCTGTGTGCTGGCTCTGACCTTTGCAGCAGAAAATCTGGATATTTATGCAAACAAGAAGGCCTGGGAAAACAAAATACAACCGCCATCCTGTTTGCAATGTCAGGGTCTGCTGGAGGACATGGCAATAAGCTCCTGAGTGCATGAGTTTGTTTAATGTTTCAGAGTTATAAGATGGGAATCATATAGAGGCACGTGCTCTCTGTCAAGCATACCTACCATCACTTTTGCAAAGACTGTTTTTTACAGCCTTTAAGTAGCTTAAAATTAGGACCTGCTTTTTACTTCCCCTCCTGATTCAAAGATATTTATTTCTTTATGTTTCTTGGCATGGCTCTTATCCTGTGGATCATAGGTTTCTAAAGGGAGTATCTGTCCTTTACCGTTTCCTGAACTTGCCAGGTGGGAGTTGATATTTATGGGGGATACACTTTTTTCCCCTTGTTACAAAAAAACAGGTCAATAGTTTTCAGGAATAAGCTGCTCCTGGTCGATACAATTAACTTTCTTTGCTGCCTGTCAGCGTTTTGTCTTTATACCCTACACTTTGAATCCAAACTCAGGTCCAGTCATACTTTATTCTCTCTGTTATGATATCTGTGCAGTCTGAAGTGTGTTGAGACTAGCTCACATATCTGTTAACGTATCAGTATACTTACATTAGACTGAGTGGAGAACTGACATGTTGGCTATGTCGCTTAATGGAAAATGGCATGCCAGAACTCCCAGTGGTACTATACAGTAATGTACTGCCACAGTTAATAACTTTTACCACACCACACCACATAGCACACTTTTTGTTTCTTTCAGTGCTGCTTCAATGCTAATGTGGTAGTGATGAGAAAATTGTATCCTCTAATGCTGTACCGACAGATTTCCCATTTTCTTTTGTCCTTAAACAGGTTTTTATTTATTTATTTTGCTAAATACAAATTAAAGTTGTTTCAAATACTCATATTAACATGTTTACCTCCAGTAATCAACCAAAGAAAGCATTACTGACAGTTCCAACCCACTTTTGATCGACGCCAGTGCCAAACACATGTCTGAATCTCAATTGTCCACATTTCATGATCTGTGTGGCTGTGAACCAATCAGGGAGATGTGAACTGACCACAGTCAGATTACTGAAGTTTTATCACTTATAAGCTGGAACACCACAATAATGCATGAAAACAAGGTAGGCCCACAAGTCACCTCCCAGCACATCTGCTTGAAAATAGACAAAGTTGTAAACAACAAGAGGGCTTGTTACATGTATTTTTGTATGTATGTATGTATGTAGGTATGTATGTGTGGATATGTATGTATGTATGTATGTATGTATGTATGTATCTATCTATCTATCTATATATATATATACAGTATATATATATATATATATATATATGATTTTTAAATTGATGTGCAGCAAGGAAAAGGAAATGATAAAGAGCTGTATTCTTAATTTAGTTTGTGTATTCAGTTATGTATTTCTCCTTTAAAAATTACATTTTTAATGTAATTTTCAAATTCAGCCGTTTATTTTTTTTACAATTCTATATCTTCTATGGGGACTTTTAAATTTTTTTTTAAATATACTGAAATTGAGATTGTTGTCTTTTAAGGATATACAGAAGCAAACAAGACCATCAGTTACAAGACTGAAGATTCTCTGTTATCTCTAAGAAAATATTCTGGCTGAATTGAACACTGTCAAATTAAAAATCAGCAGGATGAGATTTGTTGAAATAACTCACTATTAAAGCACGTAGAGGAAAAGATAAGCCAAAATTAACACATACCAAAAGTTTCTCACCGGTAAAGATGAATTTGTAAATATTTTTTATAATTTTTACATGTATTCATGAGTTAATAAATGAATTTGTAAACCATTTTATTATTATTATTTTAAAACTGCACAGTTGCTCTTTTATTGAGGAAATACCTTATTACAATTTCTGCCACTCTTGTGGTCCTGTAAAGAATACAACACCAACTTTTTCCTTGTGTTTCTTTCCAGACCCTCATAAAACAGAATCTAAGGTTCAGCAGGGTTCGATTGATCAGCTTTGAAAAATCAACCTTGTCAGTCCATGTAGCCACAAAATAATGAGAAAATATTGTTTTCTTCTTTTCTTTTTCTTTTTCTGTTCTCATTTACATGTTTGAATCTGAACCTGTACTACACCAAAAAACTGTCAAGCTGAATTGCTAAAAAATGACAACCAAGCCCCTCTTCTTCAGTTTTAGTTGTTTAATACACTTTCAGCTCAAGTTTGTTTTGTTCCTTTCTGGAAAGTCGGAGTGGACTTTGGTTTATTTGGATAATGTGACTGTGTTATGGTTTGATATACTGTACATAAAGTTAAGTGGACCTGAATGATCAACAGGAGATCAGACAGGAACGTAACAAACAGTCCACTGCAATACTATCTGCTCTGTCAGGCTGTAGGTAATTCAAGATAAATGTAAATATCAATAAACTTACATACTCACAGTGACGATGCCAGCCTGCTGACTAACTATCAATGTGGCACGCTGATCACAAAGCTTTGTATCATCCAAAAACCCTCCCACAATCCTTTTCTTTTTGACTGTCCTTTTTGTTATTCAAACTGAGACTAAGTCTAAGGCACTCTTTTGTTACTCTTAGCATGTAGTCCTTCTGTCGTATTTTGACACACAAGTGGGTGAGACTATGTGACCTTAATCTCCCATCCTTTTCCTGCTCTGTCTCTCAGGAGCCATGAGAATAAATCCACCACTGAAGGGTTTGTGCAGCTGGCTGTATGCGCTCCTCTGCTCCAGATCCTCTCTTTTACAGTTCGGGCTCCTGTTTCTCAGAAAAAAACAGCAGCTCAGAAAAAATCTGCAGTCACCCCCACTGTTAAAAATGAATTTAAGAGAGAAATAGTAACTTCTCAAATGTATTACACTTGGATTTAATGGACTTATTTATAAGACTGCCCATGAACTTTGTGTGGAAAAAATGGATTTAATGACAGGGGGGGCATAAAGAGATGCACACTTCTGAAATGTTGTACATTAAAATGAAACCCTCCAGATGATTTGTCAATAATCTCATGAGCTCATAACTGTATTTTTCCTTTAATGTGTATTTGGAAGCGAAAAGGAAAAAATCCTGGAATGAGCACTTTTGGAACCCGTGATAGGACATGAATAAGTTTTTCCTGCTGTTTTCCCTCAGAGGAGAATAGAGAGAAGTTTCCAGAACAATGAACCTGTGCTTGTGTCTCAGCACTACTGACTGATCTAATGTTACTGTAACAGAGACCAGCGCTAGAATAACAGCTGTGCAGTTTTTACAGGTACTGAGAACACAACTGGATCCAAGGTAGTAAAAAACAATATGATGCATAGGGTATCCATTTCCATCAAGGACATTTACAGAAGACTGCGCTTAGAAATAATAACAATAATAATAAAAAAAAAAAAACACTCAGAAAAAGCCCTTAAAGCTGTTTTAGCAAAGTGCAGTATACTCTAATAAAGCTCATACTCTACAGAGGACATAGCATTACAGCCAGTGAATTATCAACGGTTTTGAATTGTTTTTAAAGGACAGTTTCTGTATTATTTGAAATGAGCAATTCATCAAAGTTAATCCTTATTTGGCAGAATTTTGTTTTCTCTCTTTTTTAATCAAAGTCTTTGTGTGCTTATTGTTTGTCTTTGACAATCGTCCAATTCTCCCTTTTTTGGGCCCCATCCAAATTTACAGTTTGACAATTTTTTGAGCGATAACACAAAATGTCAGTGATTGGCAGTAAAACGGCTAAAACATACAAACACACCAGCACAGTCTGGAGAGTGTGCAGCCAAAAGGTCAGTTCTCCTCCTCTATATAGCACAGGCAGCCTTTACATAAATGCTCCTCGGCACATAGTAAACACATTTTTACTTCCAAATGCACATAAGCCATCAGGTGTTTGTGTTTCATTAGCTATGAAAAGCCAAGAGGAGTTAGGCTTAGTGAAGGGAAGTGGCAGTAACCCAAAACTTCAGGAAATGGAAGTAAGAAAAGCAATAAGATTATGTGTGAAAGCACAATGAAAGAGGCAAGTCAGGGCATCATTAAGGCTGCAGATTGCTGGACCAGATTACTCTTATGATGAATTTTGGACTGGCTTTGGCTGTGACACAGACCTCCTAATGAGCTACAAAAGCAACTTTCAGGTATGAAAGAGAATATTTCTATATATTTGATATCTGTAACTGCATTACAGGTGATCAGGCGCATGCTAGTGAAAGTGCCAAATGCTGATTTATTTTTATGGTGGAGGGAAGAACACGTAAACCCTTTTTTGTTTAAGGCTGTTAAGGCTTTTAGGAACCAGTGATCATCTTCTGTATTAAACATAAACACGGTAACTGTGAAAATTTTTTCATACAGCCAAATATAAAATTGTTTTACTGCAATGTAAGTGTGGAAATCTGAGGAAAATCTGGCATGTGCACAAAAATAACAGATCTGGACATGTTTCCCATACACTGAGTGTAGCGTATGTGAACCTGGACTTTGTATGTGTGTGTGAGGTTTTTTGGGCAGAGCTGAAATGGAGAGTGAGCTTGAGGAGATCCCTTTCTGAGTACAATAGAAAAGCATAGGGGTGCTATTTTAGGGCTGTTATAGCACTGAGCTGTAGTCACTGATTGCAGATTAAACTCTATGGGAATGAAAACCTGCACTGTAGAGCAGCTTCATTCTACTGACCAAACCATAAGACTAGTGCTTTGAGCTCCATGCTGCTGATCTTTCTGTTATTCCAATGGAGGGACGTCAGGAAAATGTTGTTTTTGGCCTGTGATGAAGACTGGGAAATGTCTGATACACATGCACACACACACACACACACCCACACACATACAATGATGTGTGTCTGAAAATTCCCACAGTGCTCAGGAAGTCTTGTTTTCTGTCATGAGTACTAGTGTTCAGATAACCCTGCTCTAGGGGGTTTATTTTAGTATTTACATAGGAGTTGTTGCAGAAAGACGGTTTTTGTACCCCTGTGAAGAAATAAAGTGATAATACCTGCTTTCAGGATTATTCTCTCTGCACACAGGAGATTTTCTCATTCTTCATTTGCTGCACTTTTTTTTTTTGCGTAAGACTCATTCAACAATGTGTGAACAATAAAACAGTTATATAACAGAGACTGCTCAAACTGGATCCTCCAAATACTCAACCTTGTCATGACCAAATCCACACTATTCGAAGTGAATAGAGACCAAATAAAATGTGAGTGAAAGCTTTTTTCAGGCACATAGACGCACACATCCTCACCCTGCTGTAAACATTTAATAGGTTCACTTGAATGGGAACTTTAAGAGGCTGGATGTTCAAATTGTTTGTTTGTAAAACTCCACATTTGTGGCGACACATAATGACTGAAATGTGGACAGAAACTGGTTTGTCTGCTGTGTTCTGCTGGTAGACAGAGTGGTCAGTTGGAGGCGACTGGTTGGCTGAGTCTGTCCAGCTGAAGTCATGTCTGTGACTCAGTGCCTCGTCGTCTCTTTGCCCACTTCCTCCAACATTTTGCCTTTATTTATTCTTCATCATTTGTTCCTACAGTTAAAGTGCATTATGTAACGGTATATAAAAACAGCTTTGACCCCTCTTGTTTGGTTGATACTGAAGTATCACCAGAGTTTAACAGGGCGTTTCTCACAATGTGATAAAGCACTGAAAAATGGAAAATCCAGTTTGGTGGCAATTATTGTGTTTTTTACAGAGTACAGTTAAAAAAGCATGCTTCCAATTAAAGCTCCCACTCTCCAGTTGTGTAGCCAAACAAATATTTGGTTCCCATGAAGACAGAGATGAAAAGCAAAATAAAAATGTTCTTCATGCTCGTGCACAGAGCTATGATTCAGTGTTTTGGAGTCGTGTTTGATTATTTTGTCATTGTCTTTCAGATTGGAAGCCTGTTTTTGTACATGTGTTTGGGATGAAGAGCCTGTGTGATGTTCACTTCCTCCTACTCATCCTTCTCTCCCTGTTTGGAGCCGCCACATCACAAGTGAACCCAGGTCTGTGCTGCCATTAAATACAAACTGCATCTCTAATTTTTCTGTGTTACAATTAAGGTGTCTCCGACTGCAATGAGATCATACTCAGAAGTTTGTGACTGCTGTAAAATAACTTTTGTAAGTTTTGGGTTGTGTTTTTGAGTTCCAGTCCAGACTGGATCTGATTCAGTTTTTGGCTCAGTGCTGCTTTGTGGTCCTCTCTCTCTCTGGTTTGGGCTCTTTGATCCCAGCAAAGCAGCTCTCTCCGGCTCTCTTTGCCGTTTGGGTGGTTTTTGTGATGTCAAAGAAAATGGACCAATAACTTTTAACAAGGAAAGAGAGTAGCAACATTTGGTGGGTAGAGACAGCGTCAGAAGGGAAGCAAAGGGCTTTTGGTTATTGTTGAAGGTCTAGAAATACAGCTGATATTTGCCAGTAAAAACCCTAATCTGGCTACTGTTTATGACTTTACTCTCAAAGCTTCTGTCAGAAGATTGAGTTTTCTTCATTGTTGAAAGGATAATAGTGGATATGTACTCAGATGTAGACAGTGATAATGATGGTTTGTCCTAAAGGTTCAACTCAAAGTTGACAGGTCACTCTAACCTCACTCTGTCAAACAGAATTAGAAAAAAAAAACTGTGGCACAACAGCAGAAAAAATGCCTCATCACTTCCACATCCTGCCTTACTCCACCCCACTTCCACTTTCAAAATGAAACTCTGTCAAAACCTCTAAATTCATTGGAAAAAAAATCATTTGAGAATATGAAAACAATATCAAACCAAGCTCAGTTTTATAGCACATTTAATATTGACAAGAGTGAACTTAAAGCTTATAGTCAGTGCAGACTGTTATAACCTGTATCAGTACATAAACATCACTGAAGGAAAAAAAAAACATAGCAAAAGCATTATTTACATCATAATACTGCTGTAATAATAACTCTGAAACATAAACATGGCGGCACACTGACTGTCCAGACTGGTGACTCTGCCCAGTTTCAAACAGAGATGCATAAAAAACCACAGACATGACATTTTTGAATAGAGTCAACAAAAAGTTATGCCGGGGCATTCCTTTAAAGAGTGAGATACACAGGCATGTACAAATACATACACAGAGACACATCATGTTCACATCAACACAGACTTTAAACTCGGCTCTCCCTGTTTGTCATCCATGTCCTCTTTGGGCCAAACTGACAGAATAACAGAGAGAGCAAAGAGTTTGATTTGGCAGAAAAGCAAGAAATGAAAAGGAGAGGGTGAGTGAGCTGGAGATCAGAGAGACCGTCTATTACTGACCTTTCTTGCCAGATTTAAGCGAAACATGTGACCTGAGTATGTTTTTAATTTTCTTTTAGCACTAAGCAGAAGACAGTTTGACTGTTTTCATTATACAGAAGAATCATCCTTAACTACATTTAAATGTGAATTTTGTAAGAGTTTTCTCACACTGTTTTTTTTTTTCTTTGTGTGTGTGTGTGCATGTGTGTGTGTGCGTGCTCGCTTGTATTCATATACCCACATGCACACACATGCTGTGGATCCAGCTATCCCACTGGAGTCTGTGGCTAATGCATACCAGACATTCTGACAGCAGGAAAGTCCATTCAAATAGACTGTCTTTCTCCCCAGCCCTTGTGTGTGTGTGTGTGTGTGTGTGTGTGTGTGTGTGTGTGTGCGTGTAGACCACTATTAGCACACTCATAAGTCATGGAGAGGACTTTTGGTGCATCTGGTCAAAGTTCAACACGTTCAGGTTTTTTTTTTTTTTTTTTAATCTTTAATCTGACCTCAGGGATTTCCTCACTCAGAAACCACACCCCATTATTGAAAACAATCACCTCCAGCGTCAATAAGAGCTCCAATCCCACCCTGCCCTAATATATGGAAGCAGGATATATCCACCTATAATTCTGTGTAATGCTTTCGTTCTGCTGCATTGAGAAGAAGCTCATTTTTCCACAGTCTGGAAATATTCATAGCTGAATTTAGTAGAGCTAAGATGTTGAGTGATGCCAACTTTCCCCTGTTTAAAATTCCCAAGCAATGGAGTTATACCATCCCTGTCTTTCCCATTTTACTCGTGAGTGGGCGAACCTTATTTCACTGTGGAGAGGGAGAAGGAACGGACATGAGCGAAGGCCTAGCAGAGCAGCAAATATTAATACTATTGTGTGGGCCTCTGCTCTTGAACATGTTTAGAGGAAATCTTGAATAAATCACCAGTACTTGTCTAAATAGAACCAAAACAGCGACCTAAAATGTGCCAAAATGTGCAGAAGTGTGTGATCTCTCTAATACAGCTAGCATGTAGTGATTTAATTCATTATTAATTAAAAAGTTCTGGTTTGTGCAGCTTGACGTGACAGGCTTTTGTTGGTGTTTGGGGCGTCAGCCTGTGACTCTGTCTGATAATTACAGTGTTGGGCAAATCTAACAGTCTGTCCTTAAGTTATATAATAAAAAAGGCAGTAATATCAACCTGAAGCAGCACAACCAAAACTGCCCCAAACTGACAAGTGTCTCTTTAGATGTAAACATCAACTTGCGTGACTACACAGCATATATGAGTGTGAGTGTGTGAGGGAGAGACTTTATTTTGAGCAGCGGTTAGGAAGCAAACATGACAGAACAAACCTGCCTTTCAGTAGCCTTGGTGCGGTAAAAATCAAGAGGTGAGAGAGAGGCTTTGGCTCGTCACTCCTTCATGTTTCTCCCTCTCTCCGCCACACAAGGCTGGTATTTTTCCACCTTTTTCTGGTCTGATATTTTTAGATTCTGTGGCCAAATGTTGAGCCTGATGAGTGGTGTGTGTGTGTCCGTATAACTAACACACTCGCCTTCCCCCAACCGTTTCCCCGAGGGGTCAACTCTGAGAGGGTTGGGGAAGTAAATAAATACAGCAAAAACCAACATTGAGGGAGCAGTTGCACATCCGGTACATCATAATGAAACCCGTCTCTCTGACTCTGTGGAGGATGTGGTTAAAGACTTGATAATGGCGATTAGCTCCCACGCAATGCCCCCCCTCCACTTATTTCCTTTCTTGAGTTTTCTCTATTTTTAAATGTTTATGCGTCTTCCCATCCTATGCTGTCCTGTTTGATTTATGATGACATATTGTAGATCTCTTCTCTTTCCCCCTGAAGTTTTTTTTTACTACAGCTATTTTTTAAACCACAACTATCATTACAACAGTTGTGCAATTATGTAGCCAAGGACACCACTAATGTGCTGAGAATATGAGAGGAATAGGACGATTAGGGTTAGGGTTGGATGTAAACAGTTTAGATCAATTATGTGGCCAAAGAGAGTCAGGCAGAAAGAAAGAAACAAAGGTCAGAAAAAAATAAGGTGAAAAGGGGACACCTTAGGAAGCCTTTTTGTTGGTGCTTCGTTTAACCATCCTCCTGTGTTAGGGTCTGCACCGATCGTTTTTGATTTTAAAAGCTTAAAAGAACCACTTGAATGAGCTTTTTTGCATCAAGACTTTTTGACTTTGTCAGGAAACTCTATTTCAACAAAATAAAATAAAAATTAATTGACTAAATTCTAAAATGCTCTAATTAAAATTGTGGCAGATGTCTATATGAGGGGTATACTGACAAAGAAAGGCCCAGAGGCCAGCTAAAAAAAATATGATAAGCAATATTTTCATGGATAATGAAGCCTAAAAGGTAACCTAGAGATGAGAACCAAATTGGATGATAGAGAATTGTTTTTAGTGTAATTTAAAGCTGATTTAAGACACAGGTCAAAACCGACACTTAACATGGTAGCTGCGTCGTAAAAGCTAACACAGGAGAAAGGTTAGGTTGTCACCCTGTTACTGCCAAGATGAAGTCTGCATGAATGCTGCCTCCCTGCCTGGTTTTGTGCGTACAGACATGAGAGTGCTGTATCAGGTCATCAGTCCCAGTCACAAACCTTTAGGGGTTTCCACATCTTGACTTTTGAGCAAATATTTGCGGGAGATCAAGAAAAGAGGAAGAGAGGGAAAAAAAGGGAAGAAGGAGCATGAGAGGGACAGAAAAGGCCTTGAACCTCAAGCGCTGCTGTTGCTGGCATCTTCTCAAAGGTTTTTCTGTGAGACAAGAGGCCAGGCTAACAGGGTCAGTCTTCCTTCAGCTCCACTGAAAGCACTGACCTGATCACATACACAGAAATCATAAAAAAAAATCCTTCCAAAAGGCTCTTTCATCCTCAAATGAGGCAACCCAACGATCATATCCTGCTAGGTGGAGTTATCAGTGTTAGTCCAAAACACAAGACCAACCCAACCCTTTTGACAACATGTGAGGAAGAAGTGCCCTTTCATTTTTTCTTCTGAAAACACCAAGAAACAAAAACATCCCTTCAGAGCCCTGAAAAGGTTAACTGATACCATGTCACGCTCAGGTAGCCACAACCTTCGGAGTCTTATTGAGATGAGGATTTCATTAACCACGATGTTAACATTTAACACCTCTAGACACGAAAGGGGACAGGAGAAAAGAGTAAGGCTCAGGACCACACAGGAGGAGTGAGGGGAGGACAGAGAGGAGGCAGAAAGAAAGAGCGTGAGGGGGTGGAGGGGCATGCAGGAAACAGAGGGCATATTGCTTCTATTGACCACACAGTGGGGGCGTGATAGCCTCAAACCAGACAGCTTTACCACACACACACACGCAGTAACTTACTCCTGTACATGTGCTCGATACCAACGCTGTTTGGACTGGCAGAGACACAGAATGGATCCAGCTTATTATTTCAAGAAGCAACCACAATTTTCGTGCACTAAGTGTGTAGCGGCCTTGATTTTGGGTGTATACCTGTGTGTATGTGTGCAGAGCTCTCACATCACTACCCCGTCCTTTCAGCTAGAGGTATCCTTCACATTTTTCGGTTTCTTGACAGAGGCGGGGAATTAAGGTGTCTCACTCAGATATGTCTGAGGGCAAATGTCTGGTGAATGTTTTAGCATGGTTTTAAAATTTTAACCCCTACCAACACTATGGTTGGTCTGAGGCAAGTAAGGGGAGCTGAATGTTTGAAACAAGAGAGTCCAGGAAACTTGACCAAGTCGATACTAAATCTGATGAGAGGAATACGGTCTCTGTTGTTATTACCCAGATATAATGCCACATTTGCCCACCCAACCACTTACGGATTCTGTTTTATTAGGTCACAGCCAGAGTGAGAAATATTCATGTATCAAAGAGCTCCAGGTTTGCTTTACATTATGAATTGAGGAAAATGACAGACTGTTTTCATTTCATTACTTGTTGATTTCAAAGAAAATTAAAGTCAACTTAAGTTTTTGAGAAAAGTGCACTTTGTTACAAGAAAATGAGAAATACACTGCATGATAAACTCATCAGCTACTACAGCCAATGAAAGCTAAAGAGTCATTTATAGCTTTCATCGTAACTTTATCCCCGCAGCTAGCATTAGGGGACTGTGAATTAATATCAGCAGGGATGTAAAACTTTCCTTCACTACTAAGGCGTTCTATCAAACAGGAATATTTGAAAAATATGGTTGACTAATGATGTTTGATTTTGATTGCCAGTCGTTCATGTGACATCAAACCTTATTAATTAAGATTCCTGACGTTTGTAAGACCTTGGAACAAAGCGATCAGACATGGCAACAGCATCTGAGCTTCCCACACTGTATGATATCAGTGGAAAATTGATGAAAAGTGAATAGCTTATACAATTAAAATAAATGCTACATAGGAGCATCTCTATATGATATGTTTAAGGGTAAAATTGTTGAGTATTACAAAAGAGGGTTTTGATGATGAGAACCATTTGTGATTGTTGTAAGAACAGAAAATGAAACAGGGTGTATAAGTGAGGGGCATCAGTGGTTAAATGGTGAATGATAAGGCCAATCGATAGATTGTTTTTCATGTAAGCCAAAACTTGTGTTGATTTAATATTTACAATAATTGATACATGTGACCAACTAGTTTTACGGGTGAAGGCTACCGAGTGTTTTCCACTGTGGACTCAGTCATACTTTTATCCAGTTTGTGAAACAGAAGAACCATCCAGTTTCAAGAAAGGGTTATGTGGGATAGACAAACCCTCTACAGGCTTTTCAGCGTATTAATTGATTTATTTAGTTGTTGGCAAGCAACAACAACAAGTGCAGAGAAATTGCACCACTGCAAAATACCAAAACAGCAACACCAAAGGAGACCACACCACTGTGCATCTTTAACACCTTTGCATCTGCACACACCTTACTACCAACAGGAACCACTTTTTTTCCAAATGGTAACCTCAGCAAAGCCGCCGCCACTGGCCAAACGAAAGGCATACATCCAACAATGGGTGACTGCTCTGTAGAGTCTACACATCACTTCCAACTGGTCACCCTGGTGATACGAACTAAGCTTGTGGCAAATGGCAAACGAGATCATTTTCATGGATAGCTAAACAAACAAAATAATATATTGTGTTATTACAGCTCTTTGATGAAAATCATTGCCTGTAGGCTAATTCTGACCTTTTCAAAACTGTCAAACACTGTGTCAGAATGAAGTCAAAAGGGTCTGTAAATAATAAAGCTGCCCCTAAAGAAATGCTATTTTAATTACCTATTTCTTAAGGTCCCAGCCATTGTACAAAATGACATGAGTGTTTACCGCAAACCTTGACCACCAATAATGAGCAGTTTCCATACCTACCTTTTCATTTACGTCTTCTAATGAAACATGTTAATGTGTTTCAGGGGTGTGTCGGTACCCTCTGGGTATGGCAGGGGGGCAGATCCAGGATGAAGACATCTCTGCCTCCAGCCAGTGGTCTGAATCCACTGCTGCTCGGTACGGCAGGTAAGTCCCACCCTCTCACACTCACACAGCCACACACCTACACATGTGCCTCACAGTATGTTTACCCTGATAATGAGTATGTGTGGGTGGTTTATATTGCAAGGTGCTGTTTTATTTGCAGTAAACCACAAACTGAGGTATCAGTTCTGCTCACAGCCACATGGTTAGGGAGTCGTGTGTGTGTGTGTTTGTGTATGTGTGTGTGTGTGTGTGTAATGCAGAGGAACTTGGGTGGCCCTCAGTAAGTATCAGGATAATGATGTAATATTCCCCCATCCATCCTGGCCGTGATTTCAGGCTCTCCTAGTCCCCCAACCTACCGTCCCCTGCCAACCCCTCACCCAAAATTAACACTTAAAGATGAATTTATGATGCAGGCTGTCACTGTGGTGTTTTTATAGCAAGCTGCAAGAACTGAAATCCACCACCGCACTCACTTTTACTTTCCTCTCACCTTTTCTTCTCCATCCTGGTCCAACTTTTCTTCTCCCTTGCTCTTTTCCCTTTCCTGCTGTAATTCTTGTATGAATATCCACCCACTTTGTTCATTATTTTACCCTCTCCCTCCCCCTCTTTCTTTCTGTCTCCTCTCCAGGTTGGATTCTGAGGAGGGCGATGGTGCATGGTGTCCTGAGATAATAGTGGAGCCAGACAACCTGAAAGAGTTTCTCCAGATTGACCTGCGCTCGCTCCACTTCATCACTCTTGTGGGGACACAGGGCCGTCATGCGGGAGGCATCGGTAATGAGTTTGCCCAGATGTACAAGATCAAGTACAGCCGTGATGGAAGCCGCTGGATATCATGGAGAAACAGGCGGGGGAAGCAAGTTAGTAAACCATCTTTTAACCTTATTGATGTCAAGCTATAAACTATTTTGACCTTTATAACAATCTTCTAATAAATTTGCTCTGTGGACTCATCACCTTAACGTCATGTTTTTATTGCATCTCATCGATTATACCTTTACCTGATTTATGGACCTCACCCAGATAAGACTTATCAGAGACATATTAATCTTCTCTATCTATAAGTCATATAGCGTAGCCGTGACTTTGTTGTCCTGAAGATAACTCTGCCATTCTCAGTCATAATTGGTCACTTTTTGTTTGACTCTCCTGCAGGTGATTGAAGGAAACAGTAATGCATATGACATCGTACTCAAGGACCTCGACCCACCTATCATCGCCCGTTTTGTTCGCTTCATGCCCGTCACAGACCACTCCATGAATGTCTGCATGAGAGTGGAGCTTTACGGCTGTGAATGGCTGGGTAAGAGAGGACGAGAAAAGACTGATGAGTGGAGAAGTGGGAACAAAGATCACCTTTACCTTCAAGCTAATAAAGATAAAAGAAAGGAAGGGCTGAGAGAATCAGCTGATTAGTTGTTCTTTTTCACATTTACACATAAGTTTTTTTCTTTTAATGTTAATGTTCACCAAAGTAACCACATCAGGAACTTCTTTTAAATTAAAATTTGTCATCCTGTGCTGTCAATCTGTCCAGAAATGCACCAATCTTAAGTATTAGCCGATACACTGTGCAAACTAACTATTTAAAAAATGTCTGATAATTTGTTAAAACCTTGGACTTTTGAGATTGAGTATGAAGAGGCTGAATAAAGAGGGACACTTGAAGAAATCTGTGTTGAAGACAGCCTTAGTTGTACTGACCGGTCTTTTAAACTAATTCTTAAAGCAAAGCCTGATTAATATGCTGAGGATTTTTCAGGAGCAAAAACCATAAATGCAGTCGCAGTAAAGTTTTTTTTTAGCAAAGAGAGCTGGTTAAAAGGAAAAGTGAATAATAAGAGAAGCAGACAGTCCACAGACTTTAAAAGCTTTAACTCGGTGCGTGGGTATAAACTCATAAGACAAATGTCACCAAGCCCTTTGACAGACATATACTGCTTATTTCAACAATTCTGCTTTCTGACCAATTCTAAGACACGTCATTTGAAAAAAGCGTTGTCCTTTGCTTTGCAGATGGTCTTGTGTCATACAATGCTCCAGCAGGAGAGGAGATGACCCTGCCCTCTTACTCAGTCTACGTCAACGACTCTGTCTACGATGGAGCTGTCATCCACAGGTTCGAGTGTGTTTCATTATCCCCCTCTCCATTGTCTTACACACACCACCATGCTTCTTCTTTGTTGTTTTAAGCCTTTGTCAGTACTTTTCCCCCCTCATTGTTATTGCCTGGTCACCATGGTTACAGCAAAGAGACAGACAGTAGGAGTGGGTCATGGTGGTTTAATGTTAAGCAATATTTAATAGGAATGACTGACTCAATCCTACGCATGGAGTTTAACCAATCAGTATGTTGACAGCAGTGTTTGGGTTATGGCATTGTGAATAATGCCCTCCATGACACAATCACATGCTTCCTTCTCCCTGCTCTGGAAACAGTGCAGAGGGAAAAGAAAATGGCTTTTATTACAATATCACAGCCAACAGCAGAGGAGAGGAATTGGTTTTATAACACTGCCACCTAGTGTCTAAATGTAGTACTGTAAAAAAAATTGTTGCAGTTTTTGAACAAAGGATGCTCGCTGGGTGTTATTTTCTGCATTTAACACACTTTTCTCTCTGTTCTCAGTATGACAGAGGGTTTGGGCCAGCTGACTGATGGAGTGTGTGGCCAGGATGATTTCACACAAAGTCACATCTACAATGCATGGCATGGGTGTGACTATGTAGGCTGGAACAATGAGAGCTTTCCTCTTGGTTACGTTGAAATAATGTTCGAGTTTGACCGCACACGAAACTTCACCTCCATGAAGGTAAATCCTCTGATAATGCAATGAAATATTCCTCCAACAGCTTTTATATCTCTCATCAACACAGTCTTCCTTGTCTGCATCAGGTCCACTGCAACAACATGTTTTCAAAGCATGTCAAAGCTTTCCGTCAGGTGGTTTGCTACTTTCGCTCTGAATTAGACTGGGAGGCCAATCCACTCTCCTTCAGCCCTGGTGTGGATGAAGTGGACCCCAGTGCACGCTTTGTCACAGTCAACCTGGCTAACCACATGGCCAGTGCCATCAAGTGCCAGTTCTACTTTGCTGACGCTTGGATGTTGTTCAGTGAGATCACCTTCCAGTCAGGTAGAGGCTGAGGAACCTTGTGTGAGATTTGTAATTCTGGCCCTTTAATGCCTTATGTATCATATTTGATACATACTTCTATCAAATCAATATGATCAACAAATTATTAAAAAACACCTAAATAAAGTCCAATAAATGATAAAAATGTCCTCTTGAGGTTTATCAGTTTAAAATAAAACATCTAAGGTATCAAACGAGATAAATAAACACACTTGTCGAATTTTAAGGACATTTTAATATTATTGGTTTTCAATAGTAAGTGAAACTAACATTTTAGTTAAAAATTTTTTTTGAATTTTCTGGCCATAATTTGTGGTTTCAGGCATTGAAGGGCTGAATGTCTGTTGGATTTTTATCCATACAAAGTTAGTTTATTCTTTAAATATCTGGAAGTTTTGCTAAAAATGTATCATTGTGAGTTTGATAGACTGTAAAGCTATACTTATACCATATAAGAAAAAGCATTACTAAAGAAGATGTTTCAAGGTGAGCAGTTCTAATAAATACTGTGGCTTTTCAGATACAGCTATGTACAACACAACACTGGCTCCACCCAAGACAGGCCTCCCACCTAACCTTCAACCAGGTAAATCTTAACACCACACGCACATGAACCTGATTTAACCGAATATTTGATTAAAAAATCTTTACCTGGGCACATTTCAGTTTCTCTGTGCAGGAAACTACTGGTGCAGCTAACATATTATGAGGTGTCTTTAATGCAAAACCTCCCACTGAGCATTTTTTGGTCTAAAAGAGGTCTTATAGACGTCTAAATGTAGCCTAGAACAGTGGTTCTCAAGTCCAGTCCTCGAGGTCTACTGTCCGGCATGTTTTGGATGTTTCCCTGCTCCAACACACCTGATTCAAATGATCAGCTCGTTATTTAGCTCTGTAATGGCTTAATAACGAGCTAATCATTTGAATCAGGTGTGTTGGAGAAGATGAAACTATTACAAGTGTTTCTTGTTACACAAATCAAACCACTGGCAAAGGAAAAACTGTTCTCTACATTATATATTTCGCTAAAATCCTGAGAATGTTACCTTTTGTGCTATAAGAGTATCACTAAGTCTTCTTTTAGCATTTGCAAGTACAGAATGGTACCACCGACCAATACACATACATACAAACTTTAATGTGTTCATCTTAAAGAAATGTCTATCCCTGTTGCATCTCCAGAAGACGACCCCACCCACAAAGTAGATGACAGCAACACCCGCATTTTGATCGGTTGTTTGGTGGCCATCATTTTCATCCTGGTGGCCATCATTGTCATCATCTTGTGGAGGCAAGTGTGGCAGAAGATGCTGGAGAAGGTGAGATCATCGCTGATTTCCAGTGGTGTTTTTGAAGCATCATTGAGTTTCCTTTGGGAGGTGGTCAGATCTGTTCCTTCACCCCCAACATCCTTTATTCTAGGCCTCTCGCCGGATGCTGGATGATGAACTAACTGCTAGTTTGTCAATACAGAGTGAGACGTTCGCCTATAACCACAACCAGTCGGGTACAACCAGCGAGCAGGAGTCTAGTTCCACCTATGAGCGCATTTTTCCTCTGGGTCCTGACTACCAGGAGCCGTCTCGCCTCCTTTGTAAGCTACCAGAGTTCGCACAGAGCTCCGAGGAGCCTGGTAGGCAGGCACACATATCTGCTGGCTAAAACATGCTGTCCATTTGCTGATAAACAATGTTTAAGCCCTGTTTCATGTATTGTTTTCCAGCTTCTACCAGCACAGCAGCGTCTAAATCCACCACAGCTACTGTCATCCAAGATGGTGTCCCTCATTATGCAGAGGCTGATATTGTTAACCTGCAAGGTGTGACTGGTAGCAACACATATGCCATCCCTGCACTGACTATGGACCTGCTCTCAGGAAAGGATGTGGTCGTGGAGGAGTTCCCTAGAAAGCTGCTCACATTTAAAGAGAAGCTTGGAGAGGGACAGTTTGGAGAGGTGCGTGTTCTTTACCAAAATTTTATCAGCTTTACTTTGTTAATGTTTGTTGTTGTGTATAAATTATACTAGAATCCTCTTTTTTCATGTCTTTTTACACTCAGGTGCACCTGTGTGAAGCGGAGGGAATGCAGGAGTTTATGACTAAAGAGTTTTTATTTGACATCCCTGAAGATCAGCCGGTCTTAGTGGCAGTGAAGATGCTCCGTTCAGATGCCAACAAAAATGCAAGGTACTGACTCCACAGGCCGTATGAAAGGGAGCCCAGTTGGATTTTCTGATCACTGTACATAAGCACTAGTGAAGTGATCTTCAGGCTCTACATAATTTTACAGAGCTGAGAAGAAAATCATACAACAGAAGAGTAAAGTTAGTTGAAAACTGATTCACTTCTGTTTTGTGTTTTGTCAGGAATGACTTTCTAAAAGAGATAAAGATCATGTCACGTTTGAAGGACCCAAACATCATCCGCCTGCTGGCCGTGTGCATCTACAGTGACCCTCTGTGTATGATCACAGAGTACATGGAGAACGGAGATCTCAACCAGTTTCTGTCCCGCCATGAGCCTGAGGGACAGCTTGCTCTTCTCAGTAATGCCCCAACAGTCAGGTAAAGGTGTCATACCAACTACTGAGAAAATTTTGAATTGCCCGACTATTTCTGTGAACGTGATTGTTTTCTCTACGTTAAATACATGAGACTGCTTCTTTTCTCTTTTTCAGCTTTAACAATCTGTGTTACATGGCTGCCCAGATAGCATCAGGGATGAAATACCTGTCCTCTTTAAATTTTGTGCATCGAGACCTGGCCACGCGGAATTGCCTGGTTGGCAAAAATTATACGATAAAGATAGCTGACTTTGGCATGAGCAGAAACCTGTACAGTGGTGACTATTACCGCATACAGGGCAGAGCTGTGCTGCCTATACGCTGGATGTCATGGGAGAGCATCCTGCTGGTGAGATCACCACTTAGTAAACTATGTGACATGATGATGTTTCATGTTGTTCTATAAAATATGGGCAGATTTGTCAAGCTCTCTTTACGTATTATTTCTTTTGCAGGGTAAGTTTACCACAGCGAGCGATGTGTGGGCCTTTGGGGTTACCCTTTGGGAGATCCTAAACTTCTGCAAGGAGCAGCCTTACTCCCAGCTCACTGATGAGCAGGTGATAGAAAACACAGGGGAGTTTTTCAGGGACCAGAAAAGACAGGTAAGCGTTGTTGTGTGTATGATGCACTTATAAAAATCACTTAATCTCTGGCTTAACTGTTGCTCCCTACCGTGCAGATCTACTTGCCTCAGCCTGTTCTGTGTCCAGACTCGCTCTACAAGATCATGCTGGGCTGCTGGAGGAGGAACACAAAGGAACGGCCAGCATTCCAGGACATACACAGAGCCCTCTTGGAAATGCAAGCATAAGCCAGAGCAATGTATAAGACAGTGATTCCCTGCCTGCTCATCTCTGGAAGACATGGTGCAAAACAGCCACAGAGCATGATCCAGACACAATCCAGGTGTAAGCTAACTTGTTTCAGTAGGGAACAGGTTCTGATGATTTGGGGAACATCATTTCATGGACTAAATCAAAAATGGACAACCAGAGACTTTTGGTGTGCATCAAATCTTAACATCCATGCACCTCTTGGTTGAAAAATCGATTCTGTTTTATTATACACCAAATCCAATACATGTTTAAAGTTTGGTTGTCTAAAGAAACCAAAAAAATAAATGTAGCAAGTGACATTTGGCACTTTTGAAAATGTATTTGAATTATTTTGTGTATTCAGTTAAATTGATCATGTTTTTGATTAGAAATTCATGTGATAATGTTGAAAAAAATGTTGTTTTGGAGGACTGCTTGAATGTAGGAGTGGAAAAGTGAAGCAACACTTAACCAGCCGGTTCATTATGTTTCAAATACTTCATGTCAAGGCCACAGATTTCAAAGAAAAAGAAAATAATGAAGTCACTCAGTCTCCATCATCTCTGCAGTTTTATGGTTATTTGAAGTGTATATGACTGTATACTTTCTATAGATAAGTCTAAATCTCAAATTGCAATATTTTGTATGAATATTTATATGTTGATATGTGTTTTCTCGGTTTTGTTGATATATTTGTGTACTGATGTTATTATTAGGTTTATGCATTTGATATCGAATTTAGATACAGCTACAATGTTCATCGATCACAAGCTAAAGTCAGTAGAAAGCTCTTTGACAGTTGATCAGATATTGAGACGTGTGAGAATGCAGGTTGGTTCACCAGTATGTGTTTACACTAAGGATTAATAGTGATATGTTACCAAGGGTCTAATGCTTGTTACATTGGGGATGAAGGAGAAAGTAGGAAATACTCAGTTTATATAAGGTGTGTAATTGAAACAGGGCAACTCCACATGTTTATATGACCATCTGGAAATTATCTAACAGACTAATGCTTCGATTATCAGATTGTAGTTTACAGTTTAAACCTTTTTTTCTACCTTCAAATGCATTATGCTGGATTCTTCCTTCTTTGTTCCTTGTAGGACTCTTTTCTGGCCCCAACCTCAGGGTGCATACACCTGTTTGAGTTAGCTCTTAAATTTACAAGCTTTTTCTCTTATCAGAGGCCTTTGTCCCATCTCTAAGGTGCAGATATGACACTCCTGTTTGACCTAATGTAAGGTCTCTTTTATCTTCCTGTGTTTGGAAAGAAAAGAAGCGGCATACATACGAACATAAAACCATATTTTTCTAAGTTGGATTAGGGCAGTGGTTCTCAAGTCCAGTCCTCGAGGCCCACTGTCCTGCATGTTTTGGATGTTTCCCTGCTCCAACACACCTGATTCAAATGATCAGCTCGTTATTAAGCCATTACAGAGCTTGATAACTTGAATCAGGTGTGTTGGAGCAGGGAAACATCCAAAACATGCAGGACAGTGGGCCTTGAGGACTGGACTTGAGAACCACTGCTTTAGGTTATTTGTGAAGCATGTGGTGGTTGCAATTAAACAGATAAACCTTGTTTCTAGTATTTTGATTCCTGTGATATGAGGTGTGAAGCTGTAAAAAGTTTAATGGCACAATGTCCTGTGTTATGACATACTGTACCCAAATGTTTGTTTTTCATTGAGAATGTTTTATATACATAGTAAACCAAACTGTAAGAGGCCCGAATACAAATAAATTTGAAAAGGAAATTGTACTTGTGGTAGTGATTGTTCCAGCATGACTTATTCACAAATGATGAGCGCATGATATTGTGTGGGCGGTCGCTAAAGCTGAGCCGACTGGAAACCCTAATCCTATTGGCTGACTGTGGCAGTAGTGTCCAATCAGCATTTGGAGGCGGAGCTAATGGTTTGACCTCAGAACAACTGAGCATTACATGGAGGAGTTGTGTTAGCCGACTTGTTGCTTCATGAGTAATTTTGTCAGTAAATGTTTTTTTCTGTTTCTCTTTGCAGGTGGTTTTCGGACAAGAAAAAATGAATAAGGTGGTTTTGGTGACAGGAGCGAATAGGTAAAGACGGTATTGTGTGACATTTGTATGTATTGTTTTTACTGTAAACCTCAAGTCTTTTGACTAAAGCATAATGTATTAGTGGTGCAAAATACCTTTTATTTACATATTTTAAGCCAGGCTTGAGTTTCTTATTGATCATTTGTTGCTTTTATTTGAGAATTGGACGTCGTTTGATTCATTTTTTTATTTTACATGCCAGAGAACACTGGTTCTAATGAAGTTGAATGATTCTGTCATATAGCTTCATATATGTAGAAAAACGGCTGTTTTTTTTAATTGATTATGTGTTTAAAACATCGCAAACAATGTTTCTGCAATGTCTGCAGTAGGTGTATCAGAATCAGCCTTGATTGCCAGGTCAAATACAGGGAATATGGCTCAAAATTGTCTTTAGTTTTACTGAATAGGAAGGTAGACAGAGGTAGACATAGAGCCAAAAACAAAATATCCATTTCCTATTTAACCTGCATGAGCAACTAGTTGGTCATAGAAATTGCGCAAGGGGTTCAAAGTGCAAAAGGTGCAGAATGATGTGTAGTGAACACATAAAAAAGTCACTTTGCACATGGAGCAAGGAAATATGTACAACAGCATGCACAGATGCATGTCTCTTTACAATCAAGTCAGATACTTGGATTATGATTGACAATGAGGATGACACTTTGTGAAGAAATTAATCTATTGGAAGTAAAAGAGATGTGCTTTTTCTTTTGAGGGTCCAGTTTATGTTTTATCGAGGAGCATTAATCTAACTTTTTCACTGACAGTATCTTGTCTGTGTTTCCCTGTAGTGGTATCGGCCTTGCACTGTGTGAACGTCTCCTCACCCAGGACACAGAGGGTGTTCAGCTGTGTCTGGCTTGCAGGAACATGCAGCGGGCTCAGGCCGCTCGCTCTGCACTCTTGGCCTCTCATCCCACAGCTCAGGTTGCTCTACTGCAGATGGATACCAGCAGCATCACATCAGTTTTCAAAGCTGCTCAGGAAATCAAACTAAGGTAGGAGGACACACCAACAGAAGCATGCCACTCAAATGTTCAAATGGTAATCAATAAGCTAGTCAATGATAGGACATTTTGATTCATGCACAGTACACAACTTTAAACATAAGACTTTGGTTGTGTTTTGTAGGTACAACCGGCTGGACTACCTCTACCTGAATGCAGGCATCATGCCAAACCCACAGTTTGATGTAACAGCCTTTTTCAAAGGCCTCTTCTCCAGGTATTAATGTAACCTGCCCACAGTAGGCTATGTAGCAGCTTCAAATGCCTGGGAGCTGTGGAGCTGTGTATTAGAAAACAACTACCCCCAAAGTAACTCCAGACTTACCTAGAAGTGTATGGCTTTTTATGCTCTAGACTGTCGAAGTTGTTCTATATCTCTTATTCAACTGGAGCACATCTGAGTAGCCTATTTTTTAGGACTCAGATTGCTTTAACATCTTTATTGTTACAGAAAAATCATCACAATGTTTGCCACTGGTGAGGGGATTCTTACACAAACGGACCGCATCACCCCTGATGGCCGACAAGAAGTTTTTGCAACCAATCTCTTTGGTCACTTTCTTCTAGTGAGTGACATTTTTCTCCCCAAGATACTGAATTTTCTTACTTTCTCTCTATGGTTCATCAGTTTTTTGCTGGGAGTGTATTTGTTGCCCGCTGTTTGCCCTTGATGGAATAAATAGTGATACCAGATCTGTCTGTCACCTAGCAACGATCCTCATTAAAAATGAATGTTATGAAGCGTTGAGCCCTAAGGTCACTGCAGGCAGCATTGTGCTTACTCTGTCTGATACAGTCCGACTTGTATGAGTTGCCTTTACAGAAGACCTTTAGAAAGCTCCTGGACAAAAGAATCATGTCATTGAACCAAGTCTTAAGAATATATTGGACTTTCTCGAATTTAATATTCTTTCTACTCATGTTTACTTTCTGGTTCATGGGTAACTTCAATAGGATTTTGTATTTGTGTGATTCAGATCTAAAACTGAAAATACACCTAAGCTACATCACAAAATGCCTTTCTAAAATGACGATTTCCATCTTATATTCTGACTAAGATCAGGGAGCTGGAACCCATCCTGTGCCACGCAGGCCGTACCTCCCAGCTCATTTGGACCTCCTCTAGTAATGCTCACCGCTCAGCTTTTAACTTGGAAGATATTCAGCACCAGAAAGGCACCCAACCTTACAGCTCTTCTAAATATGCCTCTGACCTGCTCAGCCTGGCGCTGAACACGCACTACAACAAACAGGTTGGCTGTCACCCTCTCTGTATCACCCATGCAGACATGGGGAACTCTCTTTAAATGTACTTTTGATTGTGCTGATTGTGCTGATTGTGCCAGGGTTTGTACTCATCGGTCATTTGTCCAGGATTTGTGATGACAAATTTGACATACAGGATCCTGCCGTCCTTCCCAGCCTTCCTTTGGACCCTGCTCATGCCTATTTTTTGGCTTGTAAGTGCAGGTCTTACAACATTAAATACAAATGCCTGTCATTTAATCTAGTCTTTCTGTTGCAATTGATAAAAGATCATAAAACTGACTTGATTTTGACTCTAAGCACTTTGCTTTTCCGTGTTTTCAGATCAGGGTGTTCACCAATATGTTCACCTTGACTCCTTATAATGGAGCTGAAGCCCTGGTGGGTAATTTAAATTTACTTTGTTTATAAAAATTTTGATTAGACTAATTTGTGAATTCCTGTCTTTCATGCAGTTCTGGCTATTTCAGCAAAAACCTGAATCCCTTGACCCTTATGCCAAGTACCACAGCTTAACATCTGCGCTCAGCAATAATTACACACAACCACAAAAGGTATGGCAACAAAAACAATAACTTTCTAACAAACTATGCTTGAATAGTCTTGCAAAATAGCCTGTGCTTTAGGAGCTGGATCTGTTGTTTTGCTTTGCAGATGGATATTGATTTGGAAACATCTGAGGCACTGTACGAGAAATTACTGCAACTGGAAAGTGAAGAGAGACGGAAAGTAAAGGAAAAACAAAAACCATCCCAGCATTTTCACAGTAATCGTGCAGGACCTTTATCATCCTGATGTGTAATACACAAAATCACACAACTGTGCAAAGAGATTGCTGGGCTCCTCATTGATGTCACCAGGAGTAGCATGAGCAGTGGCAAAAATAACAGCTGTGGCGTGCTGCAGCATGCTACAGCAGAAGACAAAAGCAATACTGTTCCATGATCTCTTCTCTGTCATTATTTAGAGTACAACAAATAACTCATCAGAACTGATTTACAATAAATGTACATCCTGTTTGTTTCCGTTTTTTTGTCCAGCTTTTTCTGTCCATTTACTCTCCAAAGGCATTGTATGTAAAGAACTACTTAGTTTGCAAATTTGTAAGCGTTAACATTTAATGGTAGCGAGGTCACCTATACCATCCAAGAGGGGCTGTATCCAATTTGGTTGTGAACTCCATGATCTTCGCGGCAAATCGCAGGAAAGTCTAAGAGAAGACTGTCAGTATCGTCCCACGTTTTTACAGACGTCGAGTGTGTGAGTCCACCCGCGGCGCTCGGTGGTGCCGGTCGATGCGTACAGGCGCACCTGCGGTTGTATTCCGGAGGACTTGAGGCGCAGATCCAGTCGTCCCCGTGTTCCTGAGCGCGTTTCTCGGTCTCACACTCTTCTTCTTCTTCTCCGCTCAATTTCGGGTTGCAGAAAGCCCAAACCATCCCACAGAAATAGACGAAAAACGTGCCCATGACCAACACCATAAGCGCGTAGGACTCTATCATAGCTTTTGTGACAGGAGATGTCATCTTCAGAGGAGCGCTGGTGTCAAGAGTGTGAGTGAGTGAGTGTACTGTAAGCGGGACTGTCATCATCCAGTGGGCTGGACAACTTCAGCGGGGCTTACTGTATATCAGTCAAATAAGTTCAGTGAATAAAATAAGTAGGCTAATAGCACCAACCCTAATGTGTCTGGCAGAATTTATTTCCATGACATCCAGCAAATAGATGAGGTGCTGCCTAAAGATAGTGGGCAACACAATTTGCAGCAGAGAACAATTATATTTAGATATATTTTTAGACATCATATAGCTTTATGTTGCACTGTTATTGTTGCATTCAGTGTACACATTGAAAACAACATTTGATCGCTGTGTTGTCTTTTTAAAAGTATTTTGTAAATATTGTTTGATTTTTAGAGAGTCCTGTCAAACACTTTTTGTAGTTTCACCTGCTCAGTTACTAAATTTAAAATTTTAACGGAAATTACTCATAAATCACATGAAATTTTTTATAATCCTGTTCTTTGGCATTGCAGGTTCATATTAATGGTGTGCAGCAACTCTACCACTGTCTTGCTTTGGAAATCAAATAAATGCAATGACACGTCACGATCTTGACTTTTAGGTGTGTAATTTTTATAGATGCTGCATTACTTCTGACTTAGAGGGAGTTGAAAGCTTTCAATTGTTTATTCTAGTCTGTGGCCATCCATGGTCCATCAAGGTGTTGTGAAGTGGGTGATCCATGTTCTTTGGAATAGTCTCCACCTTCCTCAGTGTAAATCTCTCCACCACATCCTCCACTGAGTCCAGCTTCAGTCCTACCACAGAGCCAGCCTTTTTCACCAGTTTGTTAAGACGTCTTAAAAGAGTGGTTTTGACCCTAACCTCACTATGACTGATGTTTTGAAAAGCACTATGGTATAATCCAAATATTTCTTTGATTATATTTTGATCATATTATAATTTTATAAAAATATTCCTTTGCAAAAACAATGAAAACTTGTTTTGGCACGATCTGATAAACTTATGCATTATGTATTATTTGTTGATAAGATAGCATGTTGTATTTTAATAGATCTGCATATTGAAACTTTAAATTCAACATTAATTTATGAACTATTGTCATGTTACTGCTGAAAAAGGTTTTCCATCTTTATTTTGTCTTTGATCTTTTTGACAGCTGTTCTCACATTCATACTTCCCCCTAGAAAATCAAACAAAGACCATATTAAAAATACACGATGGTTTCTTTACTCCACTGTTTGCATTTTTTTTGCAACAGCTGCAGGGTTTCAGTTCCCTAATAAGGTCAAGCACCCACACCAACAGCTCCCAAAATACTATAAATGAAACTGTCAGTGGTGAAAGTGTTTGCCTGTTAGATTTGTTAGACCAAGGTTTAAGCAGTAAATGAAAAACTGCCATTAATAAGCCTTTACCACACAAGTTGTGTTTTTTCTGTTCGTTTGTCAAATGAAATACCAATAAATAAATAAAATAAATAAATAAAAATTGACATATCCATGCTGAAGCTCCCCTGAGTAGAGAGCAAGTTAATTCAACATGGAGATCATTCAGAGCTACAATCCACCAAGTTAAAGCTTCTTGTAGTACATGTTTGTGTGGGTCATTTGCCAGCATCTTCCACTTGTAGATAGTAAGATGCAGAATGCAACAAAGGTAACCATATCAATGAAGCTGGAGACACTGGCTCCAGACCACCAAAATTGGTAGGCCTATAGCCAGACTTGAAGCTGGGATTGATGCTGTCAGACTCATGAGGATCTTACATAACCTTTGTCCAAGGTCTTGAAGGTAAAACCAAATCAAAAACATGCACAGAGTTTGGGTCCCTCTGCAACAAAACTGCAGCTTGTGATATGAGCTTCTGCACAGGATGAACGAAAGGATTGTTGTGGTTGACATATTTCAGACCAGTGAGCCTTTCATAGATGATCACAACCCCGTAGTGAAATCCATATTTCCTCTGAGTTTTTTTTTAGCTTTAGTATAATCAAGTATAAATTCGTCTGCATAAAACACACTTGGTTTAAGAGGGCATGAGGCGCAACGAAACTTGCACGGGTAATACTCAACGAGTCTGTCACTTTATGATAAAGTTATCTAATGATACTATCGGTAAACTGCTAATTCAAGTTTCCTCATCCTAGCTGAAACATGCTAGCTATCAGATAGATGCACCTGCTATCTCCTTCCGACATAATTGAGAACTTGTGGGTGTTCAGGATGAAAGGATTTACTTTGTGCCTTGTCAGTGTAGAAACTGATTAAATGTTGTCGGTGACAGAATGTGGTCAAAAGAGTTTAAAAAAATGAGTACAATGAGAACTCAGGGTATGTTTAAGGGCACCCATGCCCGGGTAGGGGGAGCTAGCAACACCAGAGAATCTATCAATCTGGGTAATGTAGTTTAAGACTGGTCTATTTTACTACATCACAGAGTGCAACTCGTTACCAAAAAAACTACATGCCCCACCCGCGCAAACCGTGAGGTCCCGGATGTGTATCGCGCCGGAAGAGAAGAAGGTCCTTTTCCCAGCCATCTTGTGGCTTCATCTAGCGAAGTGTTCGCACCAAGCCTCGTAGAATCGGAGGAAAATCCTGCTGAAGGGGCGCCATCATGCCCGGACAAATGCAAGAAGGTTTTGGCTGTGCCATAGCCAATCGGTTCGACCAGTTATTTGACGACGAGTCGGATCCCTTTGAGCTGCTGAAGCAAGCAGAAGTGAAGAAGAAGGAGGCTCCTGCTCCTGGTGCCGCCAAGACTGCAGCTCAGGCTGCCAAGCAGCCGAAAAAAGAGTCTCAAAAAGAGAGAAAGATCCCACTGGCAGATAAGAAGGAGGAAACTCAGGCACCCGTCCCACTAAAGAAAGATGGTAAGCGTTACTGTCGCGTTTTCACTCTTAGTGAAGCTGAACGTAGCATATTTTTGGGCTAATGGGCTACCTTGCTTGTTACCAGCTAGCATTGCTTAATAAGCCTCGATGACATGAGGTCCGCGTGGCTGCTCTCGCGCCCCTGCATCTGTCAGCTGTGGGAAACGTGACAATTATGCTCACGTGCAATACAAAAGAATATTTGGGCCGTAGCGAGTTAGTTTGAAGCATTTTGTTGCCCCGCTTGTTTTGGCCTGTCCCCTTTCTAATCGGCCTCTTCGATCAGGCGGAACCTGAAAGCCAGACCAGCTCCACAGCCCTGCGGGGTTTGAGAGTCCACGCGAGCCTGGTGGGATTTTCATCCACATCACTTGTTGCTCTGAGATGGTATTTATTATTGACGAGTTTATAACTGGTTTTATGTATAAGTTTAAAAATATATTCGGTGTTAGATGATAGCTCTCGGACTTGTTAATTCAACATGCCAAAATAAATGAAGTTAAACTTTAACATTATCGTGGAGAATTTGTCACAATGAAGTAGAAGAAGCAGCAGCAGCACCACCGCTCTCGTGGTGGTGAACCTCGTGGTTGTGATGCAGGGCGTGCTCGAGCACAGCCTCCAAACTGCCACTTCCCATTGGCGCTCAGCGCATGTGATCGACCTGCCTGAGTATTTACTTTCACATTTCTGCCATGCTGTATACAATTTATGTAAGTTTCGTGTAATACTTGGAGAAGTGTGATCTGAACGTGCGCATTCCACTTTTGTGCTGTGTGGTTTGTGTAATCGGATTTCTTCCACGCAGAAATTAGACCCTGAAATGAAAGCATTCACGCCGGCCGGTCATCAGTCAGCCAATAGATGCCAAGTGTGCTCAGATCTGTTAGTTAAGAGAAGATGAGACAGGTGCGCTGACTATGGTGTACCCAGCTGCCACTGTGTAGTAGAGAGCGTCTATTTTGGTAGCTGGTGATTTGGGTCATGGGTGGGACATGTTGTGTCACTCTGGGGCACTGACAGTCAGCCATGTGTGCCTGCAGCTAAATGCTATGTAGGCTTTATTTCCAAACACTGTGAGGCTGTGTAGTTGAGCTGATGAGCACAAGAAGAATCCATGTTCCTAAGCACACATTTGTTGGTATTTTGTGCCCATAATTACTTTTTATTTTTAACAGATGTCCATCAAAAAGTTTACTCTCCCAGCTCTCAAATTCGGCTCATTAATTAGATCATGACTTGCTCAATTTAAACAGAACAATCAGGTCAGTTTTTCCTCTTGTCCAAGGCTCAACAGTGGGTCCTGATCTATTTGTGCTACTGGTCCTCTAATCCTTCTGTTGTGGTCTACTGTAGGTGCCGGCATGAGGAGAATGGGCCGCAAACCAGAGGGTGATGGCTCCAGACCCCAGGGCGGCCAGGGTGAGGGGCGCCCTCCCACAGACAGACGGCCAGCGGACAGACGGCCTCCACGTCGCTTTGAGCGGCCTGCCGGCGAAGCTGGAGACAAGCCTGAGGGTGGCGAATTCTCAGTAGAGAAGTGAGTATAGTTTCTAGAAAGCATCCTTTTTGATTTGAAAAGAGCGGACAAGAGGAGCAGAATGAATCCACTGGGGTTGATCTTCTTTACTAGGTGTTTCCTTGTCAAAGTGGTCGATAAAATACGCCTGCAGATAGGGAATCTCTAAATTGGCAAAGAGTAATAATTGTTAAGTCTATACTTTGATGTGTGTTTGACCATGCTCTCTGTTCATTCAAAGACCCGTTGGTGACAGGCCGTACAGAGGACGTGGTGGAGGTGGTGTTGGAAGAGGAGGCCGAGGGGGCAGAGGACGCGGCATGGGCCGCAGCGATGGCTTTGACTCCCGAGGAAAGCGTGAATTTGATAGACACAGCGGCAGCGATAGATCGTAAGTACTTTTTCAGCTCTTTTTGTTTCCTTGAAATGAAAGAGTGTAAGAGTGTTTAAAACGATTGTGTAGACAGTAATGCAGTCCATATGTCATGATCGTGGCTAAAACAAATGTTGTTTCAGTAGTCTGAAAGGTGAGGAGAAGCGTGGCGGAAGTGGATCTCACAACTGGGGCACTGTCAAGGATGAACTCAAGTAAGTCAACTGTATGAATCATAAATCTAGATGATGACACGTTACTGGAGTGATTGAACACCTGACTAATTTGGTTTTTCTCACATAAGAAAATGACACTAGTATATCAACTGTGTCATGTTGCATGATGCTTATAAGAGGAAATACATTAAAGATGTTTAGGTAGGTTATTCAGATTTAGTCGGTTCTGATTCTGCAAACAGATTTCAAATCATATTCTGGTTCAGAATGATGTCGAATGCCAAGTGTCTGCAGATGTACAATAACTCAAAGTTAATACTGGTACAGTGCATCAACTATGATGTTAAATATTGTACAGCGTCCCTTTTAAAAATAAATAATACAATACTGGAATAACAAGAAAGCACAAATATTCGAAGTAGTCAGCTCATTACCCTTAAAATCAAACTCATAAAGTGAGACGAATCCATTTGAACTGCTGAATCATATTGTATATTTAAGAATTTCATTGTGTGGCATTAAAGCAGACATTCTTTTAATATAAATTAACTGCAGTAAAATAAAACACTTTTTGTTATGCAAATTATTTGGAAGCGCAAGATGCATCCTAAACACCTGACTTATACGGCCATCAAATTTTTGACCACTGATTATTGAGTCCTAAATAGAAGGAGGGATTTTTTTTAGTTTGGCTCACTCGTGCCTTCAACTGCAAACATTTTTTCCTCATCCTTTATAATAGTGATGCACGATATGAAAAATTTCAACCGATACCGATAACCGATAATTTTCTTCTTCTCGTGGCCGATACCGATAACCGATAAATTCATATTTTTACATTTATTATAATCTTCATATAATCTGCAGTTTGTGCAGGATGCAGCGATTGAAAACTGATATTTTTGTTGCTCTGGCCTATCTAGAACAACAAACAAAAGTTTTTGGCTCTTCAAATGTGGTCATTTGCTATAAATAACAATAACAGAGCAAAAAGCAGAACTTCATTTGATCCCCTGAACTGTTCAACAGAACTGTAAACTGTAAAGGAGCCATTATGAGCCGTTAGGCTTAGCATGCTGACCGGACTAACATCTGACGTCCATATGTCTGTGGTAAAACTCACGTGTAGTCCGTTCTTGTCGATCAGGTTGTGAATGTATGTGGCGACAATATCATAGAGTGCAGGAAGAGACACATCCGAGAAGAAGCGGCGGCTTGGGAGAGTGTAACGTGGCTCCAAGTGTGCTATGAACTTACGAAAACCCGGGTTCTCAACGACGGAAAAAGGCTGTTCGTCGACCGCTATGAATTCCATCACTTTGTTGTTAATGGCTTTAGCCTTTTCGCTGTCTCTTGAGAAGCTTTTGCAGTTTTTAAACGCCTGCTGAATGGGGACATCGATCCTCCGTAGTGTTGTTGTCTTAGCTTTAGTACCGCTAGCGGCTTCGGCGGCTGTCTCATAGTCCTTTAATACTGCTCCGCCGCGATGGCGACTTTTCAGATGAGCTATCAGATTCGTTGTGTTAAAACTTGACGTCTTCTTTCCTCCTCTTGGAATCCTCGCTGAACAGGTTTTGCATATAGCAGCTGTTGTCATCTTCTGCCACTGAGAGAAACGACCATGCTGGTGAAGACATTTTATTATCTGTCAGGCAGTGACGGGGTCAGGCTTGGGACCTGCGAGTAAGGCTTGATAGACGACGTGACCAGCGCGTCTCGGACGGGCGGCTACTCCGCCTGCAAACGTTACTCGTAATTTCATTAATATATCGGATCTTTCTATCGGAAAAATGCAACTATCGGACCGATAAAAAATGACGTAATTTCCCCCCAAATCGGCCGATATTTTATCGGTCCGATAAATATCGTGCATCCCTACTTTATAATTCGGTGAAGTGATTATATTGTTGCTCGTCCTCCTAAAAGATTTGACACTTTGACACAAACTTAAGCATGTAGAATTTATAATACTCAATCACACTGTGTCTACTCTGCTGATTCGATCCTGTGCAGGGAGACAAAAACTCAGTCTTTCATTTTTTCAGCCAATTGTATCAACACCTGTGAGTCTTTGGCTAAAAAATGAAAACGGCCTGTTTTCCTGCAACTCACTTTGTGACTCCTAACCTTTTACTTATGTAGAATTAAACTGTTCTTATGTGGGGGGGTCATTTTTGCTCTAGTAGCTCAAAGCTGTCTCAAAACTAAATTTGTTTCACAACAAGCTAAAAACATCCTTGGAGAAATTGTGACCATCCTATTTAATTGTTTTTTTTTTTTTTTTTTTTTTTTTATAGTGAGCTTGACCAATCAAATGTCACTGAAGAGAACCCTGAAGGAGAGGAGCATCCACCTGCCGACTCTGAGAATAAGTAAGTTTAACTTTAGTAGAATGCCCCAGGAAAATTCTACTAACTAACTCCTGGAGAGAAATCTTGCAGGGACTTGGTGTTTTCCACCTCTCTGACTTTCTCTGGGCTCAAACCCAGAACCCAAATTAATTAAAGACAATAACAATGTGAAACTGTGTGTATGTGCTTGTGTTGAAGGGAGAATGAGGTTGAGGAAGTAAAGGAAGAAGGCCCCAAGGAGATGACTCTGGATGAATGGAAGGCCATGCAGGACAAGGAACGCGCCAAGGTGGAATTCAACATCCGTAAGGCCAACGAGGGAGCTACCTGGAACAAAGGATTCGTGCTGCACAAATCCAAGGCAGAGGTGGGTTAGAACCTGCCGGTGACTACCTTTATAAAATTTATGTTTTCCTTTTCACTTTAGTGATGTTTATGATACACTTGACCATAAAGACCTTCCAATATTTTGTGGTTCTTTGAGGTCAGATTGAGTGAGACTGCCCATGTAATTTCTATCCATTACAATTTGTACTATTAGGCACAGATAGCAACCCACAACCACTGCTCTATGACCAGAGATGGGCCCTTTACTTTAGGTTAAAGCAGTAGTTCTCAAGTCCAGTCCTCGATGCCCACTGTCCTGCATGTTTTGGATGTTTCCCTGCTCCAACACACCTGATTCAAATGATTAGCTCGTTTTAAGCCATTACAGAGCTTGATAACGAGCTGATCATTTGAATCAGGTGTGTTGGAGCAGGGAAACATCCAAACATACAGGACAGTGGGCCTCGAGGACTGGACTTGAGAACCACTGTTTTAGGTTAACGGTTACACAAACTGTTTTTTTAAGTCTGTTTTTAGCAGTTTTCACATAAAATTACTCAAAAGTGTAAAAGGGCCCTGATTTCCAGAAGCCATCAGTCTGAAAAATGTGACTTTATAATGTTGTCCTGACTAAAACAGAACAATTAAGTCATTTAAAGAGTAGAGGTGCAAAATGAAACATCTAGAGTGTAGTTCACCTTTTGCTATCTCTATGATCTCGATTTACAGATTATGCATAAAGTATTGTGGTGTGCTGTTTGTTGTATGTTTATAGTGTAAAGAACAGAACATATCTCAGCTGCCATAACACACACTAACCACACAGTGTCGTAAAACAGTAGACCATGATTGCAAATGAGTTTCAAGATTGTCCATCAGACCTACTGTCAAACAAAGTACCTCAGGGACTTACAAGGACTTTTTATAACAGTTTGACATAATGAATTTAATGAATAACTAACAAGAAACTGTTGCTATTGATGCCACTAAGACAAAAGAGACTAAAAGATTTTTTAATTGTTGCCATAATTGTGTAACTAATTGGAAAGAGAAAGGCTGCCTCATGATTTCAAGCGACCAGTCTTTGAGCGCTAACTTTGAATTATTGGTGTATTCATATTGAGTTGTTTTGTATATCAATTGTGTGGCGGTTTATTGATCATCACAGATTGTGCAATCAACCTTCTGAACCTTTGTGTTTTTCTCAGGATAAGAAAGGTGAAGTGATTGAACCTGAGGTTGAAGAGCCCAAGGTAAAACTTCTTGAGTTGTTGCACTTGAATCACGTCTGACCACATCAGTGCAGACCTGTCGATGTTTACACCAAGTCCTAACTGACTCCCCTTTCTGAAATGAAGGTAGAGGACGAGCACCACTTCCGAAAGCCAGCCAATGACATCACATCCCAGCTGGAGATCAACTTTGGAGACCTGGGCCGTCCAGGCCGTGGACGAGGCGGGCCACGTGGAGGCCGGGGTGGTCGGGGCCGCGGGGCTCCTCCTCCTGGTGTGGAAACTGCCAGACCGGTCCGCGGAGGAAGGACTGACAAGGTAAATATCTAAAGTTTAGCTTGATGTTGTATCCTCAGCGCCAAAGTATCTGTGGTCCACATCAGTCACAGAGGACACCAGTGAACGTGGGTCCGTTTTTAGAAGACTTCTTCCTAGTCCCTGTAACTCCCTTTTGGGTTTTTGTCAGTTTGAGTATCTTTTTTATGGTGATTCCTCCAACTCAGTCCTTGCTGTCTCCCACAGTCATCTGCGTTGGTGCCCAACGTGGACGACCCGGAGGCCTTCCCAGCCCTGGCTTAAGCCCGGCAGATGACCCTCAGGCCTACAGGAGCCTCTTGAGCACCTCCACTACGAGGCTTGCATGTTCCTGGATCCTTCAGCAAAGTGAAATGATGGAGAAGACTGTCATTAACTATGGCACTCAATGTGAGGACTGAGTTTTACCCAATAAAAACAAAGATGGAAAAAAAAAACAGAAATTAACAAAAAAAAAAAACTTAAAAAAAAAAAAGAAAGAAAAGGACTTCTTGCTACCCTGGAGCAACTTATTGGTAGAGGTTTTGTACTTGGAAACAAAGTAGCAGGGATGTTTTCATACAGTATTTTTTTCAGAGGTTATGCATTGTCCATTGATAAATTTTTGTAATTGCTGCTTTAAAAATGCGTTTGGAAATGAAAAGCATAAGAAGAGTGTCTTTAGCCGGTGTTAGCTCTAGCTTTTTTGCTTTGAAATAGGCACTGTGGAGCTCCTGCCCAAGCTCATAAGCTCTGCTGCACCAGCTGTTTCTGAAGATGTTACAGCTTCACTCATTGAGATTTACAGATTTTTTTTTTTCTTAAGCACTGGGGTATTGTTTTATATTTTATACAGGAGGTCTATTCTTCTATGATCTTCGGCCTGTAAATCTTAACTATTTTCATAAATTCTTTCAGAGACTGTATTTCTCATGGTGCAAACAGGACACACGTGTATCTTTGATCAGGTGGTGCCGCCTATGTTTGAATGCAATGATGGAAAAGAACCCAGATCTGTGTTGTGGTTCTTCTGTACTGAAATGTTGTCAAGAAGGAACATTAGGTCACTTTGGAGGAACACTATGGTGAATCCTCCTCAATTTGCATTGATCAGGGGACAACCATGAAATGGATTAATTTGAAGCTGGCAGTTATTTCATGTGTTCTGATTTCTATCCTGTATTCAGGGTGCTATAAAACATCCAATTTCTCTCCTCCTCCTGCCTGTTCCATCTGGAATCACCAACTGTGCAAGCCAGTGAATACATTTGTTTTGTACTTTTGAGAAGTGATTCGGAGAGGAAGTGTCTTTTCACGGTGGAAACATGACCACAGTCGTCCGGGAGCCCTGAGACCTTTGACTTGTCACACTCCAATCGGGCCTCCGTCACAGATGTAAACTCAGCCCAGCTCCAGTTTGTTTCTGCAGTCTGTTCTGTGCTCATATTTTCCTCCACTTGCCCTGTAGCTTTTGCAGTGGCACCACTGCATAATTGCTCTGAAAGAAATACAGCTGTTCATTGTGTGGAACAACTGAAGTGCTCTGCAAATGTGTGAATTCCAGCCCTGCTATTAGAGACCTCTGTCGGTAAATAAAGATGGTCGATAAATTTTTTTGCATTGTTTCTTTTTTTAATGTCGCTGACTAAGGCAACAGGTTTAAAGAAGTGAAATCCTTTTATTTGCTTCTGCCTTCCATTATGTATTATGCATCAGTGTGTTATTACAAAGTCCTCTGCCACAAACCTAACATTTTTGAATTCTCACTGTAAATGCCCTCACTGTGGGCCATCCTGTTAGACATCAAATCGATTGCAGATTAAACAATTTGCCCCTCATGAAATAAAGAGTTCCCCTGAAACGCTCTGAAGAAGAAGGCTTTTCAGATTGTTTAAAATGTTGCTTGGGTATTTTGAGTGTGTTGAATTTACACAAAAATTAGACCAGTGGTTCTCAAGTCCAGTCCTCGAGGCCCACTGTCCTACATGTTTTGGATGTTTCCCTGCTCCAACACACCTGATTCAAATGATCAGCTCGTTATTAAGCCATTACAGAGCTTGATAACGAGCTGATCATTTGAATCAGGTGTGTTAGAGCAGGAAAACATCAAAACATGCAGGACAGTGGGCCTCGAGGACTGGATTTGAGAACCACTGCATCAGACTAAAGGAGCATTAATGTGTCAAAAATAAATGAATACACATCCCATAATAAACTGGTGATCACATGATACTAGTTTCAGAAGCTCAGTGATGTGCAGTATTTGGCTTTTTATTGAGGTGTTTTGATGTTTCCTCCTCTGCCTTGAAGTCTTGTGCGCACATTCATGGTCACTCAGTAAAATGTAACATGCTGAGTGATCATACATGTATTCATACAGTGTCATAAAAAAAAAGTAAATTGATCAGTAATATGCTGTTTTTTAACTGTATACTGTTGGAAAGACAGGGCACCCACTGCATGCCATAAGGCACCAAAAATCACTTAATGAAGATACGCCTCAAGCAGCATTTTAAAGACTGCTGTTCAGGGATGTGATTCTTCTCCATTTGTCCCAGAATAGTAAGGTGTTTCAAACCTTTGATAACCACAGCCAAAGGTTCACTTAAACATACTGAGGCACAAGTTATAAGAAGAGTGTCTAAGGTTCCTGCTGCCCCAGGAAAATTCGACATCCAGCACATCATCCCCTGAACTATCTCTGATAAATCCTGATGCAACAACACCAAATGAATCATTCATGATTGGGAAAATAAATACTACTTCCTACATGAAGTTCACTCTGTTATGAGATTGAGTCTTCAGGTCACACAATCATTTAAAAGTTTAATAATGTAATATGTGCTCATATTTAAGTATTGAACTACAGTCCTGAACCTTGCATATCAACCATTGGGTCAAATTCCAGAAAGTACCCCACTGAGCATTTTTTAGTCTCAAAGAGGTCTAATAGATGTCTAAATGTAGCCTAGACAACTGGTCTAAAATCATGCTACCACAGGTCTAAAAATAAAAGGTTTTTAGACGTCTAAATTTAGACAAAGTTTATATGAGCCGGCTAACAGAAGTCTGACTAAATTGCTCAACGGCTATCAGAATTATTTTGGTTAAGTACTTGGAGATCATTTATGCAACTGCTTTTTGAAATAAGAAGTGATAGAATAATGGGTTAAAGTGCAACTTCCAAATGCCGTCAAAAAATATACAGAATCTAGAGTTGAAATTAGGTCTAAAACATAAAACCAGATGTCCAATAGCCATCTATTTCTCAATGGGACACTTGATCATTTTTTATTTATTGGCATTATTGGTATTTACAAGGAATCTAGGGGGGTACATAGTTGCATTTTATCCTCTTAAAGGAAACCTGGTAGGGCATGTTTTGATGTTCATCAACTACAAAGACAGTCAAGAGGGCTTTTCTGCTACACATTTTCAGGCATGCTAGCACCAGCGGGGAAATCATCCCTCTGAGCCCACAACTGTGTCAAAACGTCTTTGGCCTTATATTAGGGTCTGTTAACTTGAAAAAATGGTTACGCAGTGGATAAAAGCACCAAATTTGGTACACACATTCTTTAGGGTGTATCTCATCATCATCTCAGAAGGGGTGCCCAAAAATTCGGACCCATTAAATACCTTTTAAAGGGGAAAATCCAAAATGGCCACCAGAAATGAAGCATAATTCCTAAGATGTGGTCTAATTCTGAAATTTTGGCTTAATCTGCTAATTATAGATTTTCATTTATAGTAAATAGACCAATAATAAAGGATTTGGCCAAAGCCACCCGAGAAAAATGTGTAAAATATGTTTTAAAGACCTTTAAACGAGAATAAATTGGCTTGAAATGTACTCTGAAAGACATGACTTCACACATTAATCCTTCTGTGAGTGATATATTGTTGATGCCAGATACAAAATTGTTTTTCAAAAAACTTCTAGTAGGCCCTATGAATGATTATATATAGGTAATATATTGTGACAACTTTATATGACCATAGATCCAGCACTCATATACTGTATAGGCACAACTTATTTTTAAGCCGAGACATAGCAAGTGACTAGTGTAAAAAATTAACCAACAGCTATCACAATCAAACTTCACAGATGGTTACTTACACTAAGACTAAGATTTTTGGTATTTTTTTCTGAAATGATATGCTTGAATATGCAAATTGGGCAATATATGTACTAATTTGCGTTCATTTGAATATATTTCATAAATATGAAGTTTGGGTAAAAAAGCCACTTTATATATTTTTTTTAAATCATTGGAGCCAAGAATAAGTGTATAAACACTCAACAGATGCTTACTTTAACTAAATTATAAATAGAATTGACTGGTGTGGGAGCGGACAGGTTCTCGTGCTTAAAATGAAACAATGTTGCAACTTTTTGTGGAAAAAAGCAGGCTTTCCTGTGATATCTCTCTCTCTCTCTCTCTCTCTCTCTCTCTCTCTTTCTCTCTCTCTCCACACACACACACACACACACACACACACACACACACACACACACACACACACACACACTTGGACTGCAGGAGCGTACAGGTTCTCGTGCTTAAAATTAAACAATGTTCTACTTTTTTGCGAGAAAGGCAGGCTTTTCCCATGCCAGGAATCAAAGACATTTGCATTACTGGAAAGATACACCTGTGTTCTGTACGACAAGACAACTGACATTGAAAATGTCAATGACCTAAGGAAGGACCTGTTTGCTAAGAAATCTCTGTCAATGGAAAACATTCCTCCGAAACAGGCTGCATTGCTACAGCATGCACATCGAGCAGTTTATCAGTCTAGGATTTGGTTCAACAGCTTAAAAGCTATCCAGTCTCTACCATCTCCTGACAAATTTGGATGGACCAAAGTCAATGATTTGTGGAGACCGCTATGGACATGATTGCCAGAGGCTGCAAAAGTTTGCAGAGAACTCCTTAAGTGTGGCTGCAAAGCTGAGCCCCTCTGTTCACGGAAGTGTCGGTATGCTGGATTACCTTGTATAGCATTATGCCAATGTGCTGGTAAATGTGAATGGGACATGTGAGTCACTTGGCAAAAAGATAAACAATAAAAGACGAAAAGAGGGGAAAAAGACAAAACAACAGACAGACAGACAGTAGCATGCCCACTCAGGGTGGATGGAGATGGGTGGAGAGATGGAGAGATATGATGACAGACAGACAGACAGACATGAAGATGGATGGATGGATGATGGACGGCTGATGGATAGATGGATCCGGCCTCAATGGGACACAATTCAGATAGCTAGCTAGCTAGCTAGATAGATAGATAGATAGATAGATAGATAGATAGATAGATGCATAGACATGAAGATAGATATGATACATAGATAAGATAGCTAGATTAGATACAGTAGATTAGTAGGTAGATGGATGGATGGATGGATGCAGCTTCAATGGGACACAAGCCAGTGTTCTACTTGTGCCGGTCCCAAGGCCGGGGAAATGCAGAGGGTTGTAATTCAAATAGTTTTGTATGCATTTATAGGGTTTTGAAAAATAATGCCTGCGCCGTGAGCGTCATCTCCCTTTCTTTCTGCCCCTTCATTTGCATCATCTATCAATTTTATCAATAACTCACTCCCTGTTTCAGATTCTTTTGGGCACCCTTTCTAGGATGTTTAGGATAACCCAAGGTACACATGTGGGAAACGTTATAGTTTTATGAGATTCTTTAGATGACTTTTCAGTCAATCAACAACACTGTAGGCCATTTTCAATTTAGTCAATGACTCACTTCCTGTTTCAGATTATTTTGGGCACCCCTTCTAGGATGTATAAGGATGACCCTAGGGACATATGTGCCAAATAGTATGCTTCTCTGAGATTCAATAGGCTATTTGAATCAATCGGCAACACTTTAGGCGGCCATTTTGCATTTAATCAATAATCCACTTCCTGTTTTTGGCCACTGTATCTAGGATGTCTCAGGATGACCCGAGGGTCACGTGTGCCATACTTTATGATTTTTGGACATTCTTTAGGTGTTTTTTTGAGTAAACTGTCACCTGTTTAGGCGGCCATTTTGAATTTTGTCAATAACTCACTTCCTGTTTGACATTTTTTTGGGCACCCCTTCTAGGATGTTTTGGGATGACCTAAAGGACATATGTGCCAAATTTCATGCTTTTATCCACCATGTAACGATTTTTCACCTAACGGACCCTACTATTAACTGTACTCTGTTTTAAAAGCTGGTAAATTTTAGATGCTAGTATCCTGTGCAATGACATGAACACGTCATTCTTCCAGCTTAACATCAGTGCTCATGTTGTGGAAATGTTAGCAATCTAATAACTGGATTTAAATTAAACCAAGATGAATTTAGGCTGACAACATGGTTACATGAACAACGCGTGGTCCAAACACCTGTTAACGTGTGTCATTGTTTTTTTGGTGATTGTGACCCTCAGGAAAATAGAAATGGTTTTCATCTGCACCTAGAGAACGTAAAATTAACTTCCGTCTAGTTATAAAAGAGCTGAGGTAGGGAAGATGTACATGAAGTCACAATCATTATACAGGATAACAGAGCTAGACAGCCATGCTACTTACCCTTTTACATATGATATATTAATTTAGATGGAAACAAAGGAAAGCACAGATGCTAAGAAAAATGAATGACGGCTGAATTTTTATTGTAAAGGTTTCATTTTCAGTATCCTCCTGAGACTGTGCACTTCTAATGAAACATGACCAGCATTATCAATGCTTCTCCTACAGTGAGTCAAGTCACATACAGTGAAAATGTCCTATCAGTGTCTCAAATACTTCAGTTCAGGCAGACAGAAGTTACAGTACTTGATATCCTCTATCTGGACATCGAAGAAGAAAATGTTCCAGGTATGTGTGCCCAGTACTGCTAATGCATGAAATGAAAACAAAAGTACAAGTTCAGTGAAGTCTTATTACCTTATAACTGTTCAGTCTTTCTTGTGCTTCACTGTGCAAAAGGAGGTAGTTCGAAGAAATCTCAGAGAGATGTGATTAAAAAAGGAACAGAAAAAACAATCATAATAATTCAGATACTACCTCCAGCCATTGTGACCATTCTCTGCGGTTTAGCAGTCTCATTTCACCCACGAGTTTTGGTTTCAAGTGAACACTAACTGTTTTGAAAAAAGTCCGTACAGTTGATTTTGACCGCATCCAGAGTCAACTTCCCTCCAAACCCTTGTGGAACCATGAAAATGTTATGGCTAGGAAAGAAACCGTCCATTTCCAGAAAATCTTCCTCCTCCTGGTCATCCTCATCACTACCTCCTTGACGGTGTGATGAGATATAGTCGACGGTTGAGTTTGTGTCCATGGAAGACTGCGTGTGATCAGAGCTGTCGGAGTCGTGGGAGAAGCTCTTGATGTAGGTGGTCAGAGGGTATAGCTGTGTGGTTTGCTCAGTCAGGGGGCTCAGGCTGGTTTCGGGTGGGACCTGGGAGGAGTCATCAGAGGGTGAGCGGATTTCACTGCTCTGATTGGGCAGCTCCTCAATGTTCACCAGGATAGGCTCTTCTTCCTCTTGAGCTACACTGCAGTCACTCTGTGGCAGCTGGAGGTTCATTCGACCCTGTTTCAAAGGAAGTTACAGATTCTATAAAAATGGATTTGCTGTATACTTATAGGGATATTCATTTAGGGTCAAACACACTAACACCGAGTTAGACACCTCCTCGAGAGATGAATGTTGCCAACTGCTTGCTTCTCTAGTTATACCAACTTTAGTAACGACCGCAGGATAGCAATACACAGCGGTCTGAGGAGCCATAAACAAACCTTAACCAAAACGCCACTCTATAGCCACAAATAATGCTCAGAACAGCACCTAACTTCATCAACAGTACATATAGGGTCCTAGCTACAGCACTAGCCACCTAACATCTTTTTAGCTTTGCCTGATTTCTTTGGCAAAAAGACTAAATACAACTCACCTACTCTCTTCTAGCAGCCGCTTGTTTGTAGCGAGACCTCGGGCCAGTCCATTACGGACTACAGCGGGGTGACGCAGCTCAGAGAAGAACATTTATGATCATTACTTTATCATTTCCTTAAAGTAATAATCACCATATTAATCATTTTGCACTGCAGACACAGTAGTTCTCCTGCCTTAGCGTCTTAGTCTGGCTGCATTTCCATGAGAAAATGATCATAAATGTTCTTCCTTGAGCTGCGTCACCCCACAGCAGTCTGTAATGGACTGGCCCGAGGTCTCGCTACAAACAAGCGGCTTCTGGAAGAGAGTAGGTGAGTTGAAGAAATCAGGCAAAGCTAAAAAGATGTTTGGTGGCTAGCGCTGTGGCTGGGACACTATATGTACTTTTGATGAAGTTAGGTGCTGTTCTGAGTATTATTTGTGGCTATAGAGTGGCATTTTGGTTGAGTATTGTGTGTGGTTCCAAAGACTGCTTTGTATCGCTATCATGCTGTCGTTACTAAAGTTGGTATAACTAGAGAAGCAAGCAGTCAGCAACATTCATCTCTCCACGGGGTGTCTAACTCGGTGTTACGGTCTGTTTGACCCTGAATTAATTTTACACCAGAATATCCCTTTAAGTGTGTACACATTTGCACATTATTACCTTTTCCTGAGTGCACTCTTTGGCCCATTTGCTGTTCGCAGGATCCAGGTCAGCATCCAGTTTAAGGCACTTGAAAACCCCCCAGAACCTGAGAGAGAATATGGAAAAAACTGCTTGGGAACTTTGATGGAAATATGTTAATGTACATATCGTTTCCTGTTTTCTCTGTTATGCTTTCTGTTTGCTGCTTGGTGGACAGACACAAGCCCCATGTTGCTCTGACTAATTGATATATATAGATTTAATGTTACACAGGTACCTTTGCTTCACTGCAGAACACTGCCACAGACACAGCAGAAACAGCGTGATCACCAGGATGAGTACGAACACTATCAGGAGGTATTGAGTCTCCTCTGCAACAGTAACAGTGAAACAGTGTGACATTAGAGTGTGCAGCATATATGTCATATTTTTCTGTATAATCTGCCATGGCAAAAAATAAATACGATAACAAAACCACATGCATTGAACAAAAATGATCTACTTTTAAAAGTATAGTCCAAATGTTAAAGAAGAGATTCACATTTAAAACAATAGTCAGGTTGCCATGGGAACAATGAAACCATTTTGATCTTTCATGAAATCAACAAATTCTTCAGAATAAAAGATGGCGGAACATGATACAGTCCCTGTTTTGAGCTTAAATGTATTATAAGCTTTGTCAAAAGTGGAAAGAAGCTTCAACAGTTGAAGTTCAGTCAAGTTTACTTAAGTTAACTTGTCTTCCTCCTTCAGCTCCACAAAAAAAAGAAAGAAATAATGAAGTGTTGGTCAACAAGGACTTACTTTGAAAAATATTTGCAGTGGAGCCACACATAAACAAATGTGTTAATTAAAGTCTACATTTTAGATGGAGCAACTCATCTCAGCACACCTGCAACACTAAGTTCAAATGCAACAGAGACAGAAACAGAGAAAGCTACTTACGTTTGATATAGAATTTGACCTTTTGACCTGCAGGGCCCTCTCCTTTAGCAGTGGAAGCAGTCACCCACAGGCTGTAGACATCTGGAGACAGGCCTTGGACGGTGTGTGTCCACTTTGATGCAAGAACAGAGTCTGAAATATGACATACAGATCATTGTCATTCTAAGTTCAGTTAATCATGTGACTGTATGATCCAAAGACGCTAAGGAGAATTGGTTCTTACAATGCTGCTGGTGTCCGCCGCTGTTCTCTAAATAGATAGTGTACTTTGTGATACAGCCCCCACGCTGACCCCTGGGAATTTCTGTCCACGTTACTTTCACTTCGTTCCCATCAACATTCTCTTGGACTGATGGTCCAGCTGTGGGGACTACAAACAAGAAGAATATCAAAAAAAGTTTTAAAAAAGGTCAAATTCTTGAACAAAAATCTTTTTAATTCTTGGATCTTACCTGATTCTGATATAACACCAGTGAATCTGTTTTGACCCACTGAGCCATCATTATGGTGAATGTAAACTGCTCCCTCGTAGCACTCAGCTGGCTTTAGATCTGGAAGGAGAAAGATTAAACAGTCAAACATGTATGGAGGAAAGGGACACTTGCATGAAGCTGTCAACACTTAACTTGGAAAGTATTTACATGGGGAACCAACAATAGTTGAGTACAGAACACCAGTGTTCTAGCTTTTTGTTATTTAACCTGTATTTACTGTGAAACGTGTCCCACCTGTGATAACACAATGGTTGGCATTCTTTTCCAGTCGGGTCCATCTGAGCTGCTCCAGTTTCTGGCCCTCTGGGTACCACTCTACCACATATTCTGCAGCTACAGTTGTAGTTCTCAGCTTTGTCCAGGAGATGGCGACACTGTGGTTGTCTGCAGTGACTTTCACATCCTGAAGGAGCTTGGCTGTAAAATACGGAGCATTTGCTGTACATCCACTTAAACTTCAAACTGGCGTTCAGTAAAAGACAGCCAGTCAAGCAAATACCACCTTAAAAATGCGGGAACACGTTCTCTAATTACCTTTTTTGTTCTTTGCTGTAATCTTGGAAGGTGGGGAGCATCCTATGGAGTTGCAGACCCACACTATCACTTCACAGTCAGCACAAAATGGAACTGTGTAGTTCCTGACACCTGCACTGATATTTGCAGCCAGCATATTGGATCTTTGGTTGTAAACACTGACTTTGTAGCAAATGATTTTCCCTCTTGCATCTGAAAATGTTGGTTCCTGCAATCAGAGATGGTTTTTCAATTAGTTTAAAACCATCAACTTCCTTTTGTTGAGTGGAAAAAGAGCAAAAGATTATTTTGAGAGAGCTTTGGTTAAAGCTGTCTTTACTGGATGCTCAAAACCAACAGTCTGCAGAAAACGTTGGACAGACACATCATTTCTGTTCAACCCCTCTTTTCTTGTAAACTGAAACTGTGGCATCCACCGCCAGGTTTCACTTATCTCTCACTGTCGCATTTTATGCTACATTAAATGAGTGTCTGTGTGTGTCTGTGTGTGTGTGGTTGAGGCTGGGGTGGGGGTGGGGGGGTGGGGAGTGACTGTGGTATATGGGTGTACGTCTGTTAGTGTCACACCTTAGAAGTGGTCAAGCATTGACCTTTACTTTGTACAGAACAGGGTAGTGAAGCAGGAAGATCAGAAAGTGTTACTATGGTTACGACACTGCACACCCACACACGCTCGGTGTGAGAGAGAAAACATGAGGACTACAAACTCTAAAAGTTAGGTGACTGTATACTTGTATTAAAAAAAGTGACAAACTGGGAGGGATTTCTGAATTTAAGATGTTAGACTCACCTTCCAATACACTTGAAGTGACGTAGCATCGGATGAAGCTTCAGTGTACCACACATCTAACTCTTTGGCAGGAGCTACAGAAAATAAATAAATAAATAAAAATAAATAATAATAATAATGCCAATCTGTTACTGAACTGTGTCAATGAGAGCATTACTTCGTAGATGTACAAAGTATGTCATGGCTTTCAATTTAAAAGAACAGAATTGAGAGGTTTTCATTTTAATAAATGAGTGAAAGACATGCTGTTTTATCCACTGAGTGATAGCTTCCTGTGTGATGTAACCCCTTAAAAAGTGACAAATATCCATTCTGCTGCTCTGTTTCATTTCCTGTGTTTAAGAGAGCCTGGCAATACTTGGTAAAAGGCCCTGTGCTTGTAAATACACACCTGATATCAAACATATAACGATTAAAAAAACAGTTGAATACTTGGAGCTTGATTTAGAAACCATTAGCAACACTTCATGCAGAAACTTACTTCCCTCGGGTGTGTTCGAGTGCTGGCTAGGAACGGAAGCTTTTCTGAAAGCTACCCTGCTGCAATATTAAAATGTAGGATATTACAGGTTTCACATAGAGGTATAAAAATGATATTATGAATGTCAAAATTTTACTTAAATCATCTCTGTCAGTTTCTTAAGTGAGAAGAGGAGACATTACCGAGGACCAGATGAACTTAAACATCTTTATTAGCACTTTAATCAAATTTTCAAGCCCAGTTTGAGGTCACAGTTTGATCAGATTCCTGCACTTTTTTTCATAGTTTTAGGAACAGCACTTTTTATAGGTTTAACAATTAAGTTAAGTTTCATGCTGTGCAGTCACTTTTATCTGGACAACTTATAAGATGGCATCAAGTTACACTGCTCACAGCTGTGGTGCTACTGAGAACATCAGCGCTTTGATTAAAGAAAGTAACTTGTAGATACATTTATTTAATAGGACAAAATAGCATACTCCCAGAGACTTCAGGAAACATTTATTTGAGGTGCAACTCTACGCTTTCCGAAATTTCTGTCTAGCTTTTATTATCACTCCTTTTTAATTAACACCTTTACTTTATACCAAGTATGCTTTAAGCTGAAGCAAAACTTCTTTAATTACAGTTTTCACAAACATATAAATACAACGGTAAGAGAGTGAGAATGAAAGTAAATAAACTGTTGTTGTATAAACTGATGAAACTTATGTAAAAACTCAGTTAAAAATATAAACATAAATATAATTAAAGGTAGTGGACTGACTTTCTCTCACAGGCTTCAAATCTCTCTATGCTGTTTTTTTACTGCCTTGGCTTGTCAGTCTGTTTGTGGTCTATCGGAGGTCTATGTTTGGATCACGTCAAGTCACATGTCTGTGCTTTTTGGTTGCATAGAAACTATGTCTGTATTCAAGAAAACAAAGGAAAGCCAATCTACAGCAGTAGTGGACGTGTCAGTTATGTCTCTCTGTGTAATTCTGCCTTAACCTCTGCTACTGCTGCTGCTGCTGCTTGGAAAAAAAAAGCTGATGATCTGTCACAGGGCTAACGTATTTGCAGACAGGCCAGCATATCTTCACACCATCAGCTTCCCTTGTATGCAGTGAGATTTCCCATGAAGCATCACCATTTTCTCAACCCCTTTACTTTGACTTTTTTTAAACCTAAATTCAAAACCTCTTTGAACAGCCTGTTTCCTTAGTCAGATCAGTGATGAATGGCTTCACAACACATCCTGCAGGCAGTCAGCGGTGAGTTCATGTCTGCTTTAGTCACCCAAATGACACAAACTTTACTACATTATCTGATATCTGCATAGATAAAGTGCAACAGGAAGACTATAAATACTTTCACACACTTTCATTCAGAAACATAAAAAACCCTCAGAAGCTGCAGGCTGCTGGTTTGGTTACTCACCTGTTTGTTTTCTGCTTTTATTTTGCTGTGAATTTTTGCAAACTTTTCAGTAAAACCCAAATCATTTTTCTTCTAAAAGGATCAGTTTCAGAAAAAATACACTTCAATAATGACTGATATTGGACATCCAACAGAATTTGTATAGACATACCCTCCTCTTGAGTCCAGCCAGAGATGTCTCTGCTCCACTGACTCCACACGCCACTGCTGAATCTGGATCTGGCTCTGAAATGGTACAATCTGTAGGGCTCCAAAGAGGAGATGGACAGGACCTGTGTTTGACCCATCTGCATAACCTGTGAGACAAAATGTATCTTAGTTAAAATTTTATTTTCATCCATGTATGACTACAAATGTGGTTTGACATTTGGTCCTGTGGTCAGGTGACATTTATGACTTAACAGTAAAAACACTTGATGGAGCCTAAAAGGTTAAATTCCTGTTTGTTTTTCAAACGTATGCAACTCTGCAACTTTAACAGAAATTAATGTCGGCCCATGACTTCAAATCAGCAAGATCTACGGTGGTATAACTTTCTGCAAAAATCTGGAGCAGTGAGCACAGTTAGAACTTCTTACTGAAAATGGAGAGGACACCCATGTCTGTGCTTCTGCTCTGTATTCAATCTCCAGGTATGGAGTCCTCACAAGCTGCTCCACTCTGATGGTGCACTTCCGGGAAGAACACTCAGGCTGGCCAAGAACAGGAGCGGATGGCATGGCTGCTCAAAATGATCACACACAAAAACACAGATGAGAGACAGATGACAAGAGGATAGGTTCATAATTGTATACCATCACAGTTAGTCATTATCTTTTACATAAGAGCACAAAGATCTGAACTCTAACAAAGTTTGCAGAGCTAGTTTGAAGCTGCAGTCAAGACGTTATTGTGATTACATGCACTAATACATGCTTAAAACTAGGGGTGACTGTGGCTCGGTTGTAGAGTGTGTCATCTCTCAATTGGAAGGTCAGGGGCTCAACGCCAAAGTGTCCTTTGACAGGACACTTGACCCCACTGTGCCCAGTGCTGTGTAAATGGGATTGGTCAAAAACTGATGGGCTCCATACATAGCAGCCTCTGGCACCAGTGTGTGAATATATTGTGGATGGATGAATGTGACATGTGATGTAAAAGTGCTCTAAGTGGTCAGGAGACTAGAGAAAGCGCCAAATAAACACAGTCCATTAGTCTATTTAAAGGCTACCATGCACTTCCATCATTACAGCCTGACTGATGATGAGCTGCTGCATTACCAATGTCCCTGAGTGTGTAGTTGACGGGGGCAGACGCTGAAGAGCCCAGCTCATTTTTGACTTGGACCCACACCGAGATCATCCGGACAGAGCTGGACCTAGTAAAACTGGTCGACAGTGAATCACCTCCTTTACCAGAGACTTTAAATGCCTCTGGCCCAGCTGTGTGGTTTTCAGACACAGTTCTCACCCTGAAACACACAAAGCCCACTTTCATTTGACAGCTGGTGTAAGCAGCATGATAACGTTAATGAGCAGACCATCTGGTAAATGGGATGATAGTTAAGATCTTGGTCAGATTTTGATCATTTTTAAACTCACCACAGTATTGAGCTATTTTGGAGATGAGTGTCTCGTCCAGTTTTCCAAGTGCAGAGCACAACACCGCTTTCATTATTTCTAACATTGTACGAGCAGGAAAGGTTTTTAGGCTGCTCTGGTAGATCTGTAGGACAAAAGAAATGAAGACTTGTGTGACACGTTGAACAGAGGACACATAAACCCTAACAAAGCCTTTAATAAAGAATTTTGATGCTGAAAACTAGAAATGGTTGAATATTCAGAACTCGAATATCATATTATTGAAGGCAAGCAATAGTCCTGTTATTAAATACACAATTATCCAATTAAATTTGACATGTATGTATAGATATTGTGTGCATGTGCAGCATTAAGGAACTAGTATATACAACCTTATTTTTGCTTTTTCACCCAGCCACAGTAATGCAGTTGAAAAAAGAAGTTTATCGCACTTCAACTTAACACATTTGGCTGCCTATGCGTGAACAGCAGAGGAGAAAACAGAACAAGCTGTGACTATTTTTACAGCTCTGTTAGCATGAAAAGATACAGTCCTGCCCAAAAGGACTCATGTTGAAACAGCATGCACTGTGAAATAACCTGCAGGACTTTGTAGATTACGCGACCTTTGAATGAGAATAATATGTAAGTTAAGATTAATTTGGCAAACTAATATTTCCGCGTATTCCCGAGCCGTTTACTCTTACATAAAAAGTTTGAACAGTCATTTGAGGGAAAGTTGAGTAAAATGCACTCCAGTTTACGGCTCCTCTTACAGAGTCAAACCATTTAGAAAGAGTTGCTCCCTCCTCCTGCGTCTCATACTCACATCCAGATTTGATGTCCACTCCACAGGGTTCTCCTTCATGACGACATGAGCTCTGACAGCTGAACGTCCGGGTGTTGTTAATGTCCACCACATTATGATATATAGTAGAGGAATTCAGTTTTTCATAGCTCTGTGCGGTAGGTGGGTGGCTGCTGTAGATTTTCCCCAAATTTTTGCATGCAAAGGTGCAATACACCCTAAAGCTGGAACCTCGCTGCACTACAGACCCAGCACTAGACCAGATGTCACAGACTTTCTGACCTGAAAGTAAAATGATGACTTCTGAATGATCTTATCCACAGTAGTTAAATACAAGAAAACAATTCATTGTAATGTTACGATTTGAAGCAGATGAGATAATGCATAGATTGATCCAAATAACAATATTCTCAATTAAATGTAGACTGACAATAACTGTGAGGAACCTTTGTTTAATGTTGGTTCTGGTGCCTCCTGTGCACAAAGTGATACCTCTAATCAATTATCCTGCACATATAAAAGTTGTATTTTTATTACAAAACCTCGTCTTTTAATTGTGAGAATTAATGGTTATTTGCCACACAAATAATAAAATTAAAAAGTTTTTTTTTTTTTTTTTTTTTTCAGCCTGCTATCAATCACCTGGTGTGAACCTACCCCCTCAAAGGGATTTCAGGCATTAAGAATTACAACAAAAAAAAAAATCTTCTTTTTTTTAATTTTTATTTTCAACATCACAAAGAGGTTTAAAAGTAAAAGTTCCAGATTGTTTTTTAACCAGTTCAAAACTCCTCATCAGTGCCTTTTAATGATGATGATCAGGGGTCCAGACTCACCTGTGCAGAGCTGTACGGCCAGCAAAGCCACAGCAATGAAGGTGGACCATGTCCGGGACATTTTCACCACCGGTCATCTGAAGATGCCTTCTTAAATGTCTCTTATATTACAAGAAGTTTACCTTGAAACAAAAGAGAGTTCGCTAAAGTACAAGAGGTCATTCAAGAGCCCAAGAAAAGCGACTCTAAGTCGGTCAAAGAATTATAGTTCAGAGCCGAACTGCGTTATAGGGCGATATAAGCAGATAAAACAAACGTACTTACCGAGATTTCTCATCCCAGCAGTAACACAGGCTACTATCATCTCGAACACCGAGCCTGTTGTTATATCCGTCATTTTAATTCCCTCTGAACAGATGAGTTGGTAACACTTTGTCAAGGATAAGGTTACAAGTGACGCAGACCGTGTGCTACCTAACTGTCGCTTTGGTGTGATGTGACTAACCCCAACCCTTAAAGTCACACATCATCAGTAGAGCCAGAGACACACACACACTCTGTGCACAAAGCTCAAGTGTAGGTGTGAACCTACAGTGTCAACGTTCACCACTGACAATCACGTGGCATTATTCCCTGTGAACTCTAATGCTGTGGATATTAAGGATGAAAATGTAGGACCTAAACTAACCTCCAGTTTACCTTCCTACTTTATATGGAGTTTAACAAAAAAGTATCATTATCCACAGTTTTTATTCTACTGATCATTATTTCTTAGTATTTGTGTAGTATTATTTGTGTAGTCTTAGTATTAAAGTATTTGTGGGAGGACTTTTTGAATATACAGTATAAAATATATATATATATATATATATATATATATATATATATATATATATATATATATATATTCTGAGATTATGAAGAAAGTCAGAGGGCAGATTTAGAGGTTACATTTGGGGATCACAAAAAAAAAATAGAAATAAAAAAAATAAATAGAAAGCTGTGAAAGAGGTTCAACAGAACAATAAAACATCATCATCATCATCAAACAACATCAATAAAACATAAAACCTCTCTCTCATTCATATCTCGTGTTCTGCAGAGAGGGACTTTCCCCAAGTGCAGCGCCACATTTCAGCTGTGGATGCCCAGGTATAGCCCTTTAAAAGAGCTGAAATGTTTGTTTCACTTGCTACTGAAAACCCCCAAAAAATCAAAATGTCCTTAAAATTTAACAAATATATTTATTTATCTCGTTTGATACATTAGATGTTTTTGGAAACTAATAAACTAAAAGAGGACATTTTTATCATTTATTGGACTGTATTCAGGTGTTATTTGTAGTAATTCGTTGATCATATTGATTTGATATAAGTATATAAAAGTATGAATAAAGTTTGATACAAAAAGCATTAAAGGGTTAAGATGATTTCAGTCATTTGTGACAATTCATTTGTGTTTGTGTTGTATTTTTTCTTTTTTGCGTTAGTCAAGCTGGTGAACCAATTTCACAAGGCTTGCACCTACTGCAAATACATGTGACACTAACAACCCTGAGCCTTGATGTTATGTACGTATAACACAAAAAATGGGCAAGCATTGATGTTTAAGACATTCAATGTCAATTTACATGTGTCAGTGAAGAGACAAAGCCCTGCTATTTTTACTCTCGATGAGGAAGTAAGGCAACTGTCAGGAAGTCTTAAAGGCTGTGTTTTTGCAGGTGTTTGGGCTCAGAGGCTAATTATAAAAGTCACACACCCAGTCTCTCTCTCTCTGTGAATAAGACAACTCTAACTGACTTCAATATAGATGTGCTTTTGAATGATTTCACACTCAGTCTCACTTCACTCCTCACAAAAAAGGATGGCTTGTATTAGATAAATGTTGTTGACTTTAATATGATTAAAGTAAAAAAAAAACTTTCGAGGACTTAAAAGTACTTAACATTTCAATCTTTTATACATGCTGCATCAACAAGTTTGCAGCCAAAAATACAAAGAGTATTTTTTAAAGTGAACTCCATAAGTCTTCCACATGTGTTCAAGAGCACTGCAACAAGACCAGAGTCTACAGCTATACCAGCAGGTAAAATTTGATCACCAGGATACTTGCATGCTTACACTGAGAGTGTTTGCTTACTGATGAGCAAGATAAATGCTTTCCATGCTCACCATCTCAGTAAAAGTGTCAGTATTTCTATGGGCATCTTGTGTGAAATTAAAGGGATATTCCTGTGTAAAATTAATTTAGGGTCAAACACACTGTAACACAGAGTCAGACACCCCCTTGAGAGATGAATGTTGCCAACTGCTTGCTTCTCTAGTTATACCAACTTTAGTAATGACCACACAATAGCAATATACAGCGGTCTGAGGAGCCATAAACAAACCTCAACCAAAAAGCCACTCTATAGCCACAAATAATACTCAATAATACTTCATCAACAGTACATACAGGGTCCCAGGCACAGCACTAGCCACCAAACAACTTTTTAGCTTTGCCTAATTTCTTAAGCAAAGAGACTAAACACAACTCACCTACTCCCTTCCAGCAGCCGCTTGTTTGTAGCAAGACCTCAGGCAAGTCCATTATGAATTGCTGTGGGGTGACGCAGCTCAAGGAAGAACATTTGTGATAATGTCTTCATGGAAATGCAATCAGACCGAGATGCTAAGGCAGAAGAACTACCGTGTCTGCAGTGCAAAATGATTCATATGATGATTATTACTACAAGGAAATGATGAAGAATCACAAATGTTCTTATTTGAGCTGAGTCACCCTGCAGCAATTCCTAATGGACTGGCCCGAGGTCTCGCTACAAACAAGCAGCTGCTGGAAGAGAGTAGGTGAGTTGTGTTTAGTCTCCTTGCTAAAGAAATTAGACAAAGCTAAAAAGATGTTTGATGGCTAGTAATATAGCTGGAACCCTACAGTGCATCTGGAATGTATTCATACCACTTCACTTTTTCCACATTTTGTTATGTTACAGCCTTATTCCAAAATGGATTAAATTCCCTTTTTCCCTCAAAAATTCCACACAAAATACCCCATAATGATAAAGCATTTTGCAAATTTATTAAAAATAAGAACACTCAAATGTTGCATATACATAAGTTTTCACACCCTTTACTCAATACTTGGTCGAAGGACCTTTGGCAGCGATTGCAGCCTCCAGTCTTCTTGTGTATGATGCAACAAGCTTGGCACACCTGGATTTGGGGAGTTTTTCCTCATTCTTCCTTGCACACCCTCTCAAGCTCAGTGAGGTTGGATGGGCAGCGTCGGTGCACAGCTACTTTCAGGTCTTTCAAAAGATGTTCAATCGGGTTCAAGTCTGGGCTCTGGCTGGGCCACTCAAGGACATTCAGAGACTTGTCCTGAAGCCACTCCTTTGTCTTCGTGGCCGTGTGCTTAGGGTCATTATCATGTTGGAAGATGAAGCGTCGCCCCAGTCGAAGGTCTCGAGCACTCTGGAGCAGGTTTTCATCAAGGATTTCGATGTACTTAGCTGCATTCATTTTTCCCTCCATCCTGACAAGTCTCCCAGTTCCTGCCACTGAAAAACATCCCCACAGCATGATGCTGCCACCACCATGCTTCACTGTAGGGATGGTATTGGCGAGGTGGTGAGTGGCACCTGGTTTCCTCCAGACATTACGCTTCGCATTCAGGCCAAAGAGTCCGATCTTCGTTTCATCAGACCAGAGAATTTTGTTTCTCCTGGTCTGTGAGTCCTTCAGGTGCCTTCTAGCAAAGTCCAAGCGGGCTGTCATGTGCTTTTTACTGAGGAGTGGCTTCTGTCTGGCCACTCTACCGTAAATGCCTGACTGGTGGAGTGCTGCAGAGATGGTGGTCCTTCTGTAGGGTTCTCCTATCTCCTCAGAGGAATGCTGGAGCTCTGTCAGAGTGACCATCAGGTTCTTGGTCACCTCCCTGACCAAGGCTCTTCTCCCCCGCTTGCTCATTTTGGCTGGGCGGTCAGCTCTAGGAAGAGTCTGGGTGGTTCCAAACGTCTTCCATTTCTTAATGATGGAGACCACTGTGATCTATGGGATCTTCAATGCAGCAGATATTTTTCTGTACCCTTCCCCAGATCTGTGCGCCAATACAACCCTTTTTTTCGGAGGTCTACAGACAATTCTTTCGACTTCATGGCTTGGTTTGTGCTCTGACATGCTCTGTCAGCTGTGGGATCTTATATAGACAGGTGTGGCTTTCCAAATCATGTCCAATCAGCTGAATTTGCCTGAGGTGGACTGCAATCAAGTTGGAGGAACATTTCAAGGATGAAACAGGATGAAACAGGATGCACCTAAGCTCAATTTTGAGTTTTATAGCAAAGGGCGTGAATACTTATGTATATGCAACATTTGTGTGTCTTATTTTTAATAAATTTGCAAAATGTTCTAAAAAAAGTTTTTCGCTTTGTCATTATGGGGTATTTTGTGTAGAATTTTTTAGGGAAAAAAGGAATTTAATCCATTTTGGAATAATGCTGTAACATAGCAAAATGTGAAAAAAATGAAGTGGTATGAATACTTCCCAGATGCACTGTATATATACTTTTGATGAAGTTAGGTGCTGTTCTGAGCATTATTTGTGGCTTTTTGGTTGAGGTTTGTGTGTGGCTCCTCAGACCACTGTGTATTGCTATCATGCGGTCATTACATTACTACTCATTACTTGGTAGAACGAGAGAAGCAAGCAGTCGGCAACATTCATCTCTCGAGGGGGTGTCCGACTCGGTATTACAGAGTGTTTGACCCTAAATTAATATAACGCCGGAATATCCCTTTAAGCTGATTTATTAGATAGGACCACTTTGTCAGATGAACTGTATTGATACATCTACCTCACTGAAAAACCATTTGTCACTCCAAAGTTTGCAGGAATGGAAAATAATGTCAATTTCCCTACATGAGAAGACAGTGGCATCAAAGTCCCATGATAGATTTATTTAGTGCTTGTCTTAAGTATTATTGTCTAGTTACACAAAGTTGCTGAGGTCATCATTTGAAGTGAACAGTGTTTTAATAATGCTTTCTCGAAAACCAGTTCAGTAGCCCAGGTGGCTTTGGTTTGTGGCACCCTAGAGTAACTGCTATCTCTGTGCAGTAGAGTGTGTAGTTCTGCAGACAGCAGCTACCTGGGGAAAATAACCACCAGTCAGTGATGCCTCTGCTTTACACTGAGATAAATAAGCATCTGCAGGGTCACAAATCATTGTTTCACACTGCTGTAAGTCCTGGCAGGGAGAGTCCACCTCCACATCTTTTTCAGCCCTCCTCTCGTCTGGTAAGTCTTCTTTTAAGACACTTCTTTTCTCTGCAGTTTTAGGCCACAGCAGAGGGCTTACTGAGCCAAGAGTCTTCCTCAAAGGTGAAACAGAGGAATCAGCCTCCACATTGGACAGAAAACTTCTGAGTAGTCCTCCTGATATACTGAGAAATGTGTCTTCTTGTCCACTTGTTGGTGTGTTCATCTGCTCTTCTGTCTCCTTCAACTCCTCTCCTTGTACAGCCACTGTGGAAATCTGAGGTTTATAACTGACGTGCTCCAGCTGACAGTCAAGAAGTGTTACCTCAGGGTCTGACAACAGCAAAGGCGTCTCCACTGCAGACTGCCCAGGTTTGACTTGATACAACTCAATGTGGACATTGGGGTATGCAACCTCTCTTTCCTCCTGAGAGAGCAGACTGACAGGGGACAGCGGAGGGTCACTGTAGGTTGACGGGAAGGACACCTCACTCCTGTCATGCTGGAAAACAGAACAATAACAAACAAAACACCGTTTCAGTGCTTGAGTGATGTATGGGTGGCAAAGAGTGTGTTCTCAGATCTCTGGTTTTTACTCGCTGCAGCTCTCACAGTTTCATGTTGTCAGAGTGAAAGCAAAAGAGGTTTCTTAAAGCATCACTTCCCTACTGCAGTTCAGCCTGTAGATATGAAAGTGTTTTCAAAGTGTTGCAGAGTTTTATGAACAAACGATGAATTAAGTTGTGTTTCTGGTGTTGGAACAGATTGTTGCACATGTTGCTTTTGTCATGGTGTTACAAGTTCTCTTAAAAAAAGGGGACGTGTACAGGCCAGCACAAGTTTGTTACCTGTAGAAGTATGCTGGCAACACTGTTATCTGGTTTTGGCAGGTTTTCACCGACACAGGCTGGTCCCCATGATATACATTTCTGTTTGATACTGAAGCAGAGAGACACATATTTTTATTCCAAGTAATGGCATTTGGTCCTATATTGATAATGACAGTTTATAATCTGGTACAGTAGCATCAAAAAATGAGAATAAGTACCTCGAATGGTGTTGTTATGCTACTACATCTCACTATGCCATGACATGCTTGAAGCACCTATTCAGTGTTTCCACTCCTCAAACCACCATTAGACTGGGGCGCTTTGACCACACATTTCAGTTTTTTTCTGTTAAGGTTTCTGTTCCGGCTAATTTTGAGGCTTCTTGTTCTTATGTTCATGACATGGTGTGGTATTTTATGTCATCAGCCTCTGCAGCACATTTTTGGTTACTTGTAAAACAAAACCTATGCTCAATCAGAATCAATCACAGGACCCTCAGAGATGTGTGATGGTTTTTCTGCTTTGAGACTGTTGTTGTCGGTGAAACTGTTGCACCTCAGCAAATGAAAATAGAATGATACCTTTCTCTCACACAACTCCAGCACAGCAAATTGGCTAGGATCCCTATGAAAAGAGTAATGATGAAGACCATCACAACCATCAGGCCAACTGGAAAAGACCACACCAAGGAAAAAACACAATAGTTTAGAAGTGTCTTTAAACTTTATTAATGAAACAAAAAAAAAAGCTCAAGGAAGTTGTTTTGTGGGTTCATCGAGTCTGTTTTTGACATGAGTTGGTATCAAGGCACTGACCTGCAGGGGCTGCAGGCTGAGAGGAGATCCAGCTTCCTCTTGGCCCTTCTCCGGCTGAAGTAGATGCGGTCATCTGCAGCATAAGAGCTCCATCTGGGCAGTCCAGCCACTTCTGCCTGGGGTCAGAGCCTGACACTGTCACTGTAGAGAGACAGAAAGTACAATGACAGATAAAGTTCAAATAACCACGGATATTTTTTTTTTCTAGGGAATTAAAATGTGCTTGCAGGCAGGATGAATACATGTTGAGTTGTAGGCTTCAATTCGGCAGCATTCACAAATAGTGGAGAACTTTGACACTAAGTAAATAAAACTATGGTGCCTCCACACCTGAGCTCCAGAAATACAAAGCAGGCAGGTTAGTAACAGGTTTAAAGTTGCATGTGTGCATAAAGCCACATGACTTCCTGTTGGTGGTTAAAGTGAGTTCTAGAAAACGCTATGATTCACTGAATACGCAGACAGAACTGAGTGTTCAAGAGTTTGAAGCTCCTCTGAACGTCTTCCTTGTCTGTACGTTAAAAACGTTGACATACACTCATTCAGGACCATCAGACAGGTTTGACACAACAGTGGTCGAAGAGGATATAACACTTACTCAGGCCTCATGAAACAAAAATAGATATATCAGGAATATCTTGATAAATGTTATAACTCTTTTGCTGTGCTGTAATGTTCCACCCACTCTTATTGTCTATTTGAATTCATGAAAGATAATTGATCACCATCAGTGAAATATTTGAATTACTGGAAGTGAGCTGTGAAAAACCCTGCTGATGCACTGAGGGTTTGTGGGAGGGGAGTATCAGTCAAGTGCTGGTTGTACACTTTCCATTCAGTAACAATGGTGTTTGCTGTGATGCATTATATGCATACTACTGCATATGTGATTACCCACAGGTGAAGCACACCACAAAGAAAAGTCCTCTTGATCTACGGTGAAGAGGAAATGACTCACAGCTCTTACAAGTATTTAGAGAATTTTGAGTTATTCTGGTTTCTTTCAGTTATTTTGTCCAGAAGGAGATCAAGAAGTCTTAAATCCCAGAATTTTCATTTTTTAAAAACAAAGATATACAAAAAGACTCTAAAAAAAAGTCTCCAGTGCTGTCTGGTGGCCACAGTTCAGGGATAGATGACGACAATTAGGCACATGAGGACCAAAGCAGCTGCTCACCCCTGACTTCTGTGTTTTCAGAGTTCACCGTCTGAAGATAGATGGTGTAATTTGTGATGAAGCCCCTCTGCTGGTCAACAGGGAGCTCATCCCACTTGATCTGGATCCGTCCAGGCTCATGGACTAGTACTGACACACTGGGACCAACCTGAGGCTCTGAAACACACACACAGTGAGATGGAGAAGAAGGCAAGGGGACACTTTACTAATAAGGTATAGATACAACACTCAGTGTGTTTTAAAATCTATTAGTTTGCTAATATTTCACTTAAAATGATGCCATAAATGTTTATCTTTGAAGGCAGCTTGAAGGAAAAGGAACTCTGAATCTTACTCTGTTCTTTGGAATAAACAAGACGAGATGATGGAGCACTGGCGCCTCTAGTGGTCACAGCAAACAGGGAGATATTGTATCTCACGCCTGCAGCTAGACCTGAAATACAACAGACAAACACTCCTTACACAACTACATAATATTTCATAACAATTCAACTGTGTTTATGAATCTAGGCACAAGATGCATCATTTGTACCAATTTCAATTTGATATACTTTACAGTCACTGACTGATAGAGACAAAAACCCCGGTAGCACACAAACTGCCCACAAGAGGGCAATGTTTGTGTTTGTTCATTTGCAGTGAGGCACATAACAATGTCATGAAATTGTGGATGAATTGTTGTGTTTAAAGGGTTGTTATTCGTTTTGGCATGTTTCTGACAGATAATCTGTAATATATGAGTCTGGACTAAATCTATCGTGTACCTGTAATTGATGTTGTGTTTCTATCCTTGTCCAGCTTTTGCCACTGCTGCTCTGCTACTGGGATACTTGTCCACTCCAACACATAGTATAGCAGTTTATCTCCTGACGATGACCAGTTTTTGATCTCAGACCCCCAGGACCAGGAGACAAACACAGCACTGCCATGAGCTGCAGGGCTGAGCTCTTTAAGAACAGGCCCACAGTTACCTATGAGAGAAAAATGAGCAGATAATGTACTTCATTTGGCCCTCTTTCTTTACATTTTTGACATGCTTTGCAAAGTTTTGTCTTCTGTGTTGAATGCTTGTGTACCTGATTGTTTGAGAAGCACATCTGCAGATGGAGAAGTACCATACAAGGTGACGACACTGATGCTGAGCACCTGGACCTCTGCTGGTACCTGAACTGAACACTGGCTCAGAGCAGCAGCACAGGTCATGTACTTCTTCTTGTCATTGCCATAGGAGATAATGTAGTGTTGCAGCTCACCACTGTAATCTTCTGGAGATGGAGGCTAAAGGAAAAGTCTTTTCATCACTCGAGGCACATGTTTTTTTAGATGTATACATGGTTGATGTCCATGAGAAATCTCTGCTCTATCAATTTAATTTAAAAAAAAATTCACAAACTGGTTAGCTTAGCAAAGCATAAAATTAGAAAAAAGTGGAAAATAAATCGCCTTGCTCTATCCAAAGATAACAGAAGCAAATAGTGTGAGACATGCAAACCTTCCATAACTAATAAAACAACTGCCTAATGTAAAAGTAAGAGCTTATGATTCATTTTGACAGATTACCTTCCACAGCACAGTCACCATCCGAAGCCTATTTGTCCGCATGTGTCCCAAAATCCTCCACACATGCAGCGGATGAGATGGTCCTGAAGAAAAGAATCCACAACAAGTTAAGGGTTTCTTATGAATGGTTAAAATCTCATTAAGATTTTCACAAAAGTCTTGGTTCAGTGATGAGAAAGAATGATCAGTTTACCTTTTCCAGGGCTTCTCCTCCTCACAGTTGTGCTCCATTTGCTGCAAAGCAACTTTTTTCTGGAGGATGGTGAAGCTGTGGAGCAGAGCCTGTTTGTATGCATCGCTTCTGATTGTGGTAAACATGTTCTTATCTGAAACTCATAATCAGTGAGAGGCTTGAGGCCTTCTACTTTGATCAAACCCTCACTGGGCTCTGCTCCCTCCTCAGTTGTCTAAACAGGGGGAAAAAAAGAAGATAAGAGACATTAAAATACCCTTGCACTTCCTGGTTGGTTTGAAACTGCACTAAACCACAGATCTATGGTGCCATGACATCACTTTACCCAGAAAGTGTAGTTTGTGCGCAGTCTGACACAGGGTCTCACATGCTCTGAGGATTTAGCGGTTTTCCATTGCAACAAGGCTGCTATGGAGTTATTCTCAAACTCTATGTGCATGATATGAGGTGTCTCTGGTAACACTGCAACAAAAAACAACACATAAACAGCGAGCACACAAATGAGAGTGATTGTCAAGAGAGATAAACTCCAAGCAACGTTAAAAACTTCAAATTAAACAATCTAACAGAAGCTGGGAATAACCCAGAGAGCACAAGATGTTGATAATAAATGTCAAATTTAAAAAAGTCCACAGAGCAGAAGGACAAAGATAAAAAAAAACACCAGCCAGGTCAGATTATTGAAACTAAATGAGTAATAGCCAGAGAAATTAACAGCTACTCTGAGCGTAAAAAAACGATTTGGTTGTTTGTTCTAGTTGCACACTCATTACTTGAGATGTGAGTTCAAGTGAAACAGAGGTAAGCATTTACCTATATCCTTCGCACATAGGGGAAATGGATCTGACTGTAAAACTCCAAAGTGGTTGTAAGCAGTAATAGTTAACAGGTATGTAGTGTTTTCATCGATCCTTGCACGTGGAAGGAAGATTTCTTCAGCACCCTGGATCTGATTTATCAGCACCTGGGTCCTGTTCTTTCTAGAAAAATGAAAAAATACAGGGTTTTAGAATAAAAATGGTTGATCAAAACAGAATAGTGACCAATTTCAAATAGAGAAATGATGATGATGAGGTGGTTGTATTTAACTCAAAAGGACAACATACCGCTTGACTGAAACTTCATATACAGTTGGGAGGAAGGTATCCTGTCCTTTCCCCCATGAGCAGAGTATGGAATCTGAGCTCTTTGTTGTGACACAAATTATATTTCCAGGTTTATCTGGAGGGTCTTCAGATGGAAAAACAAATGAAAAAAAATATTAACTGTGAAGTTTTAAAAACAATATCAAACTTAGAAACCATGAAGAAATCTGCTGAAGACATTCAGTGAAGATGCATCCTGATGAAAATAAAGACACACTTCAGCCACTGAATTCCCACCTGTCAATTCCTTGATGTATACCTCCTATTGCATCGTGATGTATACAAATATTCTCTTCAGAAAATGTCACATTTAATTTTTTTCATAGCCCTGCAGACATCTGTGCCTGTTGAACTTACACCCGCCCTGCAGATACAGTCCATTCACAATCCTTAAAGCCCCTTCAATCTCCAACTTGCAAATCACTGAAAACTGAGGGGCCCGCACATTGATCAGATGGAAAGATGCAGTACAGTTGATTCTTTCAGACGGGGCCAAAATCTCACCGTTCTGTAGATCAAGGAATATTTTGCTCCTGGAACACAGTAAGATGTTGGTATGTTAACCAAACAAAGGATGATTTCTAGAATACAAATTTTAGTCAAGAACAAATGGGACATGAATTTACATAGTGGGGAGAGTGGGGTAAGATGAGCCATTTTTCATATTTCGGATCACTACATCAAGGCAATTATAGTTTTGTCTCTAACTAGTGTATCTGCATATATTTCAAAGTGTTGTTCATCCCTGCAAACCAACAGAATGACAGTAAACATAACTGTCTTGATAATATAGCATGCCAAAAAAAGTGGTCTCATATGGGCGACTTACCCCGTGTACGGGGTAAGTTGACCATAGGAGCGAGGTAAGTTGTGTCGTATACCTACTACCCCCTCACTCTCCACCCCAGCCCTCCCTCACCTTCTCTCTCCCTAAATAACAGTCACTTCTTCACATTCATGTGTATTTGTATCTATTATACACTATTTAATTGGTACACTAATTGTTTTAAATTATCATTGCATATAGCTGCTAAAAGGTTGTTTAGTAAAAAGTCATTTTAACATGAGAATGTCTTTAAGTGATTCAGAACATTCACAGCTGTAATTTTGAAAAGAAAAAGTAAAACATTTCAACAATCTGAACTGAAACTCTGATCCTCTCATCAGACTCCTTTACTTTCTCAGTTGGCTCCACTTACCCCAGAACTACTATGATGACTTTATTAGTCCTCTAAACTAAAATGGTGGACTTTTATGCTAGGTTTTTGACCTCATGTTGTAGCTCATAGATACCACAATTGATGTATGAAACAAAATTAAAATGATCTTTTTTGGTCTGAACACAATTCTAATAAAACTTATGACAGACTAAATTCACTTTCAAGAGTGAAAAAATGTTTATTTTTGTAAATAAATGTCTAACCCCTTCACCCATGTGCTTCTAACCTTCACAGACTCCATGAATTGATGCTCATCTCCTAAATATTTGGTCACATGATCAATTTCTTTTACCATTTCCAATAAACAGGGGGTGGCTCAACTTACCCTTTGGCTCAACTTACCGCACTCTTCCCTATATACAGTATGTTTATACACATTTACATTCTATTGAACCATATTTCATATATTTGTATTTGAAGACAAATAAATAAATAAAGATTGGCAAATATAGATATTCATAAAGTCTTGTCATGTTTTCATTATTCCTACCTTTGTGTACACTTTTTAACGTGGCAGTAAACTGTCAGGTTTGAACCCAAGAGGAAAGGTGGAGGTGGTTTTACAGTCAGGTTGCCGAGGTCATTAAAGTGCACGTAACCTGCGCGGTGCAAAAAAGAATCTGCCCAGAAAAGGCACGCACATGTTTACAAAAGTGGTCTTATAATTATCTTAAAGAAGAAGTTACAAACTAATGCATGCAATTCAAAATGAGTGGCAAGTGACTTTGAATCCCCCGACAACGTCATGGATATGATTCTGTGTAAAAACGTCTTCCTTTGTACTAGTTTTGCTGTGAAAGTGTTTTTAGCTCACCTTTGTGGTTAGATCTGCAACAGGGAGGGTTAACACTACAAACCACAAACTCTGGCTGTAAACTGTGAACAGTAACAGAGAGACGCAGACTCGATAAGTTCTGTACTCACCTTTGATTGAAAAAATTAATACTAGTATACATCTCCACATGGTTGAGTTGGGGTTCATCTCAGCGCTTCCTTCTTTCCCTCTTAGAAAACCAAGCAGCATGTCTCAGTAGCTGTGAAAAATGCTTTTCTCATTATTAACTGCTAGACATATCTGAGAAACAAAATCACTTGAGGGGAAGTTCCAAATACATCCCAAACGTCATTTTCAAAGCGTATTTTGGCAATCTAGTTATTTTAGTATGAGGAAGAGACGGGGAGTTAAAAAAGCTTATCTTTCAAATGCAAATGCGCAACATGCAAACTTAACAGCTCCACAACTAAGCACCAAAAACTGAAATGAATGGCTTTGAATTGTAAATAAAATTATCATGATATGTAATGTAGAAAAAAGTTCTTTTAACGACTTTCCTACAATTCAGCAAAACAAAAGATCAGTTGAGACAGCGCTCACCAGAGTTCTCTGCCTCCTGCATGTGCCTTTGTAATGCATCCAAAGTCTTCTTATTAGGTTACAATCTAAAGTTACTTTTTGGTAGTAGTTAACATCTTCCTCAGATGACTTGCTCTGTGAGAAGCATCTGACTGAAATGATCTCTGTTGCGCAAATGAAACATCTTGTAAGAGGCCGTTGACCTAGTTTGGTGGTATTTTGGCAAATGAAGAATCTTTGAACTTCAGCTTCAGTACTTTGTGCCCTATTTAAGTTGCCTGTTTTTCATCACCACAAAGGCACAGTTGACTTTACATGTCAATCGGTTGAGCACCTGCCCCCATTAAACGTGCTGCTGTTAGCACATAATGAAATGATCACACATTGCTTTCTGAAAATTATCCTTTGCTAAATAAAAACTTGCTGACTGGTTATTCAGGAACCTCATTTCTTCACTTTCCATCAGTGCTGGCCTTTTATTTTAACCCATTTTTATTCATTGGCTTTTAACCCTCCATGAGACTCGGCTCCTGTTTTAGTGTTTTATGGTTTGTTTTTAGTTATTTGTTTCTATGTTTATAAATTAGTTTTTAAAAGCATTGAAACAATACATTTAATTCTGCTTTTATTTTATCCATTGTTTTAATTGTTTTTTGATTGGTTTTTATCTTGTTGTTTTGTCTAGTTATGTACAGCACTTTGTACAGTTGTGGTTGTTTTAAAGTGCTTAACAAATAAAGTTGAGTTGAGTTGAGTTGAGTATTACAGTAACTCTTGTACTGAAGCAGCTACTGGCGCATGTGACTGGTTAATCCTGTTGTGTCAAAACGCATTTCAGTTAAGTGTCGTTTCTGACTGAGTGGGACCCTACCGCACAGTCTGTCTGAAGTAGAAAGTCTGTAAAATAAAGTTACTCACTTATTTCAGCAGTTAACTTCATATCAACTGGATTTCAACCCATATTTTCCTCATTTCAGTGTTCCTAGGACTACTACAATGTTGAATGTGTAAAAGGAAAAAGCAGACAGAGACTGAGAGTTTCTTAAACTATTTTTGCTCTCACTTCAAAGGCTTTACTGGGAAAACCCAGAATTTAGTGCAGGGTGCATGTTTACATGAGATGAAAGAAACCTCAAACTTGCAAGCTTTCTGATTTTACGCAGTTATATTTCAGAAAAAGTGACATCTGGTGATTCATAAAGAAGGAGCGAAAATATGGCAAAATCATCAATAAAAAAATCTGTTCACTCAAACTTTGACAGAAAAACTGACTCTCTCTACAAGAAAAACAGAGGTGAAGAAGAGAATTATATTCTCTATTGATTCTTATCTGACAAACCACAATATGAACACTAGTTACCAATGATCTGAATTAAGTTCAGACTAAATAACAAAACAATTTATTCACTCACACAGTAAAAATTCACTGTGGAGTCACACAGTCAAGAACAGCACTGTTCCTTGTGATTTTCCTTTCTTATTGTTTGATTGCGTCTGAACAATAAACAGTTTTTTAGGAAGGTCTCAGCAGAGCCGGCCCAAGGCATAAGCGAACGTGCCTGCACAGAGGCGGTAAGGCTTGGGACTGCGAGTGCCTCCTAACTTGAACTCCAGACTGGGCTTCTCACCATCACAAGGAGAGAAAGAAAACCTCTGAAGAAGAGAGGTAAAAAACAGGAATAACTCCATCCTGGCGAGCTGCTCCCCAATACACACACGCTTCCCTGAGGAAACACAGATAATCCCATGAGTGGTGCTGCACATTTATGTAAAGCCAAACTCTGCTTTGGAATAAAAAAGTTAATCTAGTGCAAAGACTTTTTGTCGCTTAAGCTTACTTCGTCATTCTTCCAGTTTGCATGTGCAGTCCATGGCAGTAAAACTGACTTACCTGCTGAAAAAGGGAGAAAGGCCTCTCTCTTTCTAAACTGGCCGTCTTGATCCAGAAAGTGTTGCGGGTTGAAGGAGTGTGGCGTTTCCCACATTGACTCATCATTTAGAACTGAAGTCAGGGTGGCCATGACCATAGTGCCCTGAAAAAATCGCATTACAAAGAGTTTATTACACTGATTTCTTCAGTTTAGCAGTTCTTCTAGTGAGTCTGTCTTGATAGAAAAGTGACAGGTGAAAAAGAGGACAATTAAAACCTCACATCCTAAATACTGAGTAAATCTGAACCTGAATTTCAGAGACTTGATAGAAAAGAAATCGAAGTACACCAACAAGCGAACTGGACCAATTATAAGCAAAAAGCTCACAGAAGCTTTTTTTTCCTCTAACATGTACCTTTGGGATTGTGTACTTGTCAAGCGTGGTGTCCCTGGTTGCCGTGCGGACCAAATTTAAAGGAAAGATGTTAGCCATTCTCTGGATTTCATGGATGACTGCGTTAGTATAGGGCAAGTTTTCTCTGTCACTCAGAGAGGGCACTCTGGATGAGCCAACAACAGTATCTATCTCAGCACAGACTTTTTCTGTGCAATGAAAAGAGCAGACAATACGAGTAATTTGACAACTGAGGGGTGACTCTTCTTCAAAACATTTGACACACCTGCATCAAAATACAGCTGATCCTTCTGCCAGTGCCATTGTTTACAGGTCACACATATGGTGCTCCTGTAATGGTAGCATGTTGCGAAAAAACCCTAAAAAGCACTTGTCTGTAATCTTACCCTTAAAGACCATTTTCATTTACATGAACTGCGAGAAAATGATCACACTAAGATTATTAGACTAGATGTTTCGCTGGTAAACTAGGTGGGCAGAGGATAGAGCAGAAATAACTTACACACCAACACAAACCTTGTATATGAGGGTAATAGATCATATAAAGCAGTCCCCAGTATAAAGTTGTGGCAGTCGTTTCAGTTCCAGCACCAAACAGGTCAAAAGTGCAAAAACACAAATTCTCGATATCAAAACCAGAATCTTTGTCCTCCTTCTACACACCGAACAAAAGACAGAAGCCTTACTTAAAATATTTCATTAAAAACGGGAAAGAGAACAAACATAGCATACACAGATGACAAGTGTTACCTCTCCCATCTCTGCCAGGAAGCAGTCGATGTAGTCTCTGGGTGAGGAGGGGTCAAAGTTCTCTTTGTGTTCTTTGATTTTGACATGGATGAACTTAACGATCTTTTGTACCAGCACTAAAAACTGTCTTTGAGATCCAGGCAACCACTTCATCAGCCATGGCAATGTATTATACATCTGCAGACAGAAAGTCAAATCAGCCGGTGAATCAGTCAGTAATGAAAAACTAATACATAGACACAGGCAGGAGGCTTGGTAACTGTAGGAAAAAAAAAAAACACAGGTTAAACCACAAGTAAATATGCTGTATAAAGTGGAAACCTTCATGGCAAAAAAACCGACAAAAAACAAGCTATTTTCTATACAGGACTCTATATTATGATATAGTTATAACAGCAGGTTAAATACATGGCTGTATTAAAGGTAGGGTAGGCAGGAATCTGTTAAGGAAGCATTTTTTTGTGGTGTATATACAAAAAAGCTTTTAATATCAGTCAACAGCTATTAGTTATTGATAACATTTGGTAATATAACGATATCGCTGTGTTTTGAGCGGCCCGCTCTTTCTGACTGTAAACAAAGCCGTTCTCTGCCTCCCCCGACCTGATTGGTTGTGAGGCCGGCCCATGCTTCCCCGAGTCATTCACGAGCCCAAACAAAGTTGGCATGCTTCGATATCAGACAGTAGAAACCAACCAGAAAGTACGGAAAATTGTCTGAGCGCCGCTAAACTGTTTAGCTTGGGTCCTGGAGTTTGTCACTTTATCCTAGTTGTAGAAGTCCTGCAAACATTGTGTTTGCTGGTAGTCTGTTGGCATCTACAGTAGCACCAATGCTTTTTACTTTCACGTTGACTGGGCCCCATTTGTAATTATCTGAAGTATTTCTCTGCATTATATCTGAATTTAATTGAAACGATACGAGCGAGCAGGAGCGTGTTTGTGGGTGGGGCTTTCTGGAGCAGAGAGGGGAGAGGAGGAGCTGAGGGGAAAACTGGTTGGGAGGGGTAGTGTTTACATTCAAGATTTCTCCCAAAAACTGGCACTTCCTCAGATCCTGAGGATCCACGTCTATTTCTTCTTCCTGATCAAAGCACTTTGCTCCAGACTACAAGCAGATCTCAGAATACACTATTTTATAAATCACATTCAAGCATTTCCTGCAGAGAGGGTGGGTTGATTTATCGCCTCTCCTCCTGCTGCAATAACTTGTCAGTATTAGGTCAAAGAAAACATGATGGCTTTAAACTAGCAATTCAAAAATCATTACCAACAAAAAACACCAAATTATGTCACAGTGGCTCTTCCATTTCTTCTTATAAAATCTTAATATTTCACACATATGGCCTACTGTTTATACATCTGAAGAGTCAGATATATAAACATGCTTACTTTTATTAAAACTGTGTAAAATTTCCAAGTACAAAAAGCACAAATGTAAACAATAAAATCAATGATGGCTCAGTTAAATTTCGGTGCATTCAGGCGTAGTAGAACAGCAACTGCTCATGTTAAAAGCAAAATGAGTGGTTTCTGTCTTTGACACATTAGAGTGTCTGAAATGGAAAAGTGTACGAGTCAACAAATCTGTCATACAGTAAAAGGTTATCTCATAACATCAAACATTCAAAGAGAAGCTCATAAGGCTGTTTGTAACTCTTGTGAACTCTGTGACTTCCGTTTAGATGTGCATTGAAAATAACGCCATCTGCTGGCAGAATAGAAACTTGCCTTCATATCTTCAGTGGGGAGTACACTGCATGTGTCATGTACTGTACTTAAGCTCTTTTTGGGGTACTTGTGCTGTACTTCTATTTAAATCTAATTTCTTCTATATCCACATGAATGTGACAGGTGTAGGGACTTTATTCAGTCACTAACAACATTCAATAAATGTTTAAACTATAAAACAAAAATACAGATAACGCTAGTGGTGAAATAGTTCAGTTGAGACAAAAATTAAAAAAACAACATCCAATAAAGGTCTACATTTATTATGTTATAAATTATGATTCATATCATAGGGTAAAAGTTGATGTTCAGGGATTTTAATTGTAATCCAGCATTTCTATGCTGTTCATGTAGCAATATAAGAAAAGTTATCAACACAGGTGTAGTAGCTTCATAGATAATCCTAAGGTCGGACACATTACTGTATATTGCTGACTAATGAAGCTCACCTGGACACCTAAACTTCCCTCTAAGTAAACAATCTCATTGAAGTCTTGAAGGATACTCTGGTAATGCTTGTCAGTGTACTCAAAGCGATCTCCAAACACCAGGCAGCAGATTATGTTGGACACAGCATTGTTTATTAACGCCTGGGCGTTAAAAGGCTGGCCTGTAACATAAAGAGAAAATGCAGTTAAGGTGATATGCTTTATATAATTAAATCACTGATAAACAGAGAAAACCAGGTGTGGTCTTTGAGATTAAGACGCACTGAAACTGAGTCTTATGTGCATAATTTAAAGTGAATTATAGACCACTTCTTCATGGTGTCTGTGCATTCTTCTGTGTCAAAGGGACAATGTCTGTTTCTGTAGAGAATACTGTTCAAAGTGTTGTCATAGAAAGTCTACTGTCAGATTAACTATTTTGGTGTTAAGACTGTGAGTAGCTGCTTAAAAGCGAGAGATGTTTAGTGCCTTCCTGAGCTGCAAACGCCTCAGTGAGATATTGGCACTCCAGCTGGATGGATGGCTCCAGGGTCTTCTTGCCCACACCAAAGTTTCGAAGCGTGTGAAGGGCAAATCTCCTCTGTTGCTTCCATGGGTTTCCATTTGATAACACCAGACCTTTTAGAGAACCATACAGGGTTAGGCTGGAGGTAGCTAATCATCAGGTAGTACCAACAACTCATAGGATGCAAAACCCTACCTTTATTCCCAGCCGCTTCTACAAAAAGTGGTAATGTGGGGCGATCTATGTAGTCCTCTCCTCTTTCCACCAGGGCCTCCCTCAAAGGTTTGTAGCCATTAATGACTACAATCCTTCCACCAAAGAGCCGGATGCCGAATATTTTTCCATATTTCTCTGCAAACTGCATACAGAGTGCTTTTGATCAAACTGGGATTTAGTTTCTTCTTAAGATAACAAAGAATAAAAAAATCCATCCACAATGCAGTAATTCTCTCTAGATTTGACTGTTCTTACTTTACTCAGTGATGTATCTCTTTTCTGCCTTATCCACTTGACAACTTTGATGAATGTCTCGACACAGTATATGTAAATAATGCATAAACAAAAATACTTCTGAACTTCTCAGTAAATGGACCTTTATAAAACTTCTGACCCCAGGAGAAAGGTAAATTCTAGTAATCTGTGGACAGCATAAAGCTAAAGCACAATGGTTGAAAGAAATAAAAGGAAGCAGATTCAGTTGCCAACCACATGTAGGGACTGAGAGACTGGGGTAAGATGAGCCATTTTTCATATTTCAGATCACTACATCAAGACAATCATAGTTTTGTCTCTAACTAGTGAATCTACATATATTTCAAGATGTTGTTCATCCCTGCAAACCAATAGAATGAGTGTAAACATCCAAATCCAAGCATTTGGATATTTGCCCAGGCTCCTTATTTCGCAGCACCCTCATGTAGCCTACAATACGTTCATTCAGCATAGTTATACAGAGAGTAGGCTGTGTCAAACCAAATACTCACACTCTACACTTGATGTGAATGACTGGATTTGATCATGTCTATCTGTCTTGGATTACCTCAGTGAACTGCAGGTGGAGCCTCCTGGGCTCGATACGATGAAGGTCCCGGTGATAGGCAGAGCCCACGGTCCGGGAGGAAAGTTTGTCGGGACTCTGTTCCTCAAAACATCGCTCAACAACGCAAAAATACACAGGAAAATCAAAATACTCACACCGTCCATCCACTCAATTCCGAGTAAACTTTTCATTGTTTCCATGATTTGTAAGTTTACTTGAGCTACCTCGAGTATTAACTGCGCAACGACAACACAGGGTTCGGCCTTCTATCCATATTTGGTAAATTTTCCGGTTTATGGTCGTACCCTTCAAAACAAAAGCACAGTGCAAACGAGGACAAGTATGTGCTGGGGGATTGACTGTGGTGTACGCCTTGCATGTGCGGCTCTGAGACACAAATACCACGGCTATTGGAGTTATTTTACTCCATCATCGTTCATCTTAATCAAATAATTCAGCTATACCCTTATATAAAAACATACACAAAACAAGAGCAGATGACAAAAGGTGGACTGAATGTTGGAGTGTCGGGTTAAACAGATCACTTACAGTGGTATTGTGCTGACAAAAGGCAGACAGGATGAATGAAGTGGAAAAGAAATTAGTGTAACTTTGTCCCAGGGCAAAAGTCTCAATCAATGAGAACTGTAAATATAACAAAGAGGAATACATCTATTCAGTGTTTTATTTTTATTATTAATCCTCCACAAACAACTGTATCACAAACCCTGTTGTCGTCTGGACTGGGGTTCAGTTATACAAGTAGACCCAAGTTTGATTGAATGTAATAAGGATTTAGATATACTTCTAGTTTGCAGGCCTGGACTTTAAAAGCAAATTTACATCCAGAGACAGGATAAGAACATTTTGGTGTTTGTCTTTGGTTTGCTAATGATATGAACAGCTGTGAAACATGAGCACTACAGCAGTAAGACTTTTCCATCATTACATCATTTAAGTGGATAAATTAAATTAGAATTCTTGAAAATTATGTTAATAGTTGATACAATAAAAGCTTGTCATTTATTTTGATCTTGCAAAATGAATATACTTTCAGTTAAGCATAACTATCATTTCAATCAAATACTTAAAAATAACCTTTCAAACAGAGCTCAAAACTCAGGTATATTCATTGCTTACTGTGAACTGACACTTCTCAGCAATGAGGCTGGGTTAAACAAAGACTTTTAGGATTCAGACACATTTAAACTCAAATTTAGATTTAAGAACATTCAGAAAACCAGATTCTGATGCTGCTTTTCAAGAAGGTTAAAAAGCAACTCAGTACAGATTGCTGAGGACACATGTTTGTAATTTTAGGTCAGTTGGGACAGTTGTTGATTCATCTTGGCACAGCACAGAGACGGTACGGTTTGGGACCGCGGCTGAACCCCAAAACAAAATCCAGACTGGGCTGCTCTCCATCACAGGGGGAGAAAGAAAGCCTCTGAAGAAGAGAGGTGAAAAATAGGAATAACTCCATCCTAGCGAGCTGCTCCCCAAGACACACACGCCTCCCTGAGGAAACACAGATGAAATACACAGATAAGTTGTTTTTGCACAATTCTTACAGGACCCACTTAACATATGATACTGTTGTAGCTCTGAGACTGAAACAACCCAATCTTTTGTTAAATGGAGTTGTATTGTCTGTCTAACCTGCTGAAAAAGGGAGAAAGGCCTCTCTCTTCCTGAACTGGCCGTCTGAATCCAGAAAATGTTGAGGGTTAAAGGAGTGTGGAGTTTCCCACACTGACTCATCATGGAGAACTGAAGTCAGGGTGGCCATGACCATAGTGCCCTGAGGAAATGAAATTGATAAAAAAAATAGTGCATTAAGCCATTTTCGCTGCTATGGTTCAGAAGTGGGGGCTTGACGACTCGACTTGAGACTCGACTTGGACTTGAGTTCCGTTTTTGACTTGCTTGATGAAATCAAGAAATGACTTGGACTCGCTTGGGACTTGATTGCTAAAGACTTGAGACTTGACTTGACTTGAGCCCAGTGACTTGAAAAGTCAAGTCAAGTCTTTTCAAGTCACTTAATACCTTACAGCAAGCCCAAACCATTTAAAAAGTGTCGCATCAACTAATAGTCATGAATTATGGCCGTTGGTAACACCGTGTTGTGTTGCCAAGTCTGCTTATTTCCCGCAAAAAAAATTTGCTTGTTTTTGGCTTGTTTCTGGAGGTCTGTTTCCTTATTTCTCTCACGAAACTTGGCAACACTGTCTCAAACTCTAGACTCCCTCATAACGACAACACTGAACATAAATCGCTCGCTAGTATTGCCTGCCTGTTTCCATGTGTTGCCTTGTGTCTCTCTTTTGTTTTGTTTTGGAACAGTGAATTAGAGTATCAGTTTAATATTTAATTGTATTTTAGTCTTCCTTATTTTTGTGCACATTGTCAAAGTTTCCAATTATTGAAGTTTATCTGATTATTTTTTGTATGACATGTTAAATAGTTTGGTTAAAACTGCACCATGTAACTTAACACAAACAAGAACCCTTGTTTAATAATAAATGCAAATAGTGAAAAATGCTCATGATTTATGTAAATCTTTACATAAAACAAATGGTTTATGGCTTTGATATGACTTGTTTTTGACTTGAAAGAAATGGTAAGGACTTGATTGGGACTCGAAACAAAAAGTTCCGGACTTGGACTTGACTTGGGACTTGAGAGCAAAGACTTGAGACTCGACTTGGACTTGCAACATAGGGACTTTCCCCCACCTCTGCTATGGTTGTTTTCCATTGAGTTTTATTGATTAGAGAACTGAGCTGACTTTGACTTGCTCATCATCATCATGTACCTTTGGGATCGTGTACTTGTCAAGTGTGGTGTCCCTGGATGCCATTCGGGCGACATTTAGAGGAATGATGTTGGCCATTCTCTGGATTTCATGGATGACTGCGTTAGTGTAAGGCATGTTTTCTCTGTCACTCATAGAGGGCACTCTAGATGAGCCAACAACAGTATCTATCTCAGCCTGGACTTTCTCTGTAAAGTGAACACAAAAAACAATGTGAGTCATTGTAATGCAGCAGAGATTTCATTTATGTGTTTTATCTTTCAGATACTTGCTGCCCCAGTTTTCTCTTGTGTAAATCAAGAAAATAGTAAAATCAGAATACCTTCAGCATTCCTCTTATTGGCAAACAGGGAACATAAGTAGAATGAAAGTAAACCAAGAAGAGTCTTATAAATCAAGAACATCCAGTGGGAAAACCCCCGGGAGCTCAAGGAGGGCCACCCAGCTTTGGCATGGAGCTCACAGTGGTCCGTGAGGCAACCACAACCAGTGACAAAGCATAACGCACAATGGTAAACAGTGTCTAGTGATCAAAGACATCCATTGTGGCCCAGATTGGCAATGTGAGCCTGGAAAGAGAGCTCCTGGTCAAGAAGAAAGCCAAAGTACAAAACCCAATTCCATTGAAGTTGGGAAATTGTGATAAACATAAATAAAAACAGAATACGATGATCTGCAAATCCTTTTCAACCTATATTCAATTAAATAAACTACAAAGACAAGATATTTAATGTTCAAACTCATAAACTTTATTTTTTTTGCAAATAGTAATTAACTCAGAATTTCATGGCTGCAAAACTTGACAAAGTTGTTGAGAAAGGTGGAAAAAAATACTGAGAAATTTGAGGAATGCTCATCAAACACCTATTTGGAACATCCCACAGGTGAGCAGGCTAATTGGGAACAGGTGGGTGCCATGATTTGGTATAAAAGCAGCTTCCCCAAAAATTCTCTGTCATTCACAAGCAAGGATGGGGCGGGTTCACCACTTTGTGAACAACTGCGTGAGCAAATAGTTGTTAAAGAAGTTTAAGAACAACGTTTCTTAAGGTACAATTGCAAGGAATTTAGGGATGTCAACATCTACGGTCCATAATATCATCAAAAGGTTTAGAGAATCTGGAGAAATCACTGCACGTTAGCGGCACGGGCCAAAGAGGAAAAGAACCATCCGGACTGTCATCGACGCAAAGTTCAAAAGCCAGCAACTGTGATGGTATGGGGGTGCATCAGCGCCCAAGGCATGGGTAACTTACACATCTGTGAAGGCAACATTAATGCTGAAAGGTACATACAGGTTTTTGAGCAACATATGCTGCCATCCAAGCAACATCTTTTTCATGGACGCCCCTGCTTATTTCAGCAAGACAATGCAAAGCCACATTCTGCACGTGTTACAATAGCGTGGCTTTGAAGTAAAAGAGTGTGGGTACTCGACTGGCCTGCCTGCAGTCCAGACCTGTCTCCCATTGAAAATGTGTGGCGCATTATGAAGCGTAAAATACGGCAACGTAGACCCTGGACTGTTGAACAACTGAAGCTGTACATCAAGCAAGAATGGGAAAGAATTCCACCTTCAAAGCTTCAACAATTAGTCTCCTCAGTTCCCAAACGTTTATTGAGTGTTGTTAAAAGGAAAGGTGATGTAACACAGTGGTAAACATGCCCCTGTCCCAGCTACTTTGGCATGTGTTTCTGAGTTAATTATTATTTGCAAAAAAAATAAAGTTTATGAGTTTGAACATTAAATATCTTTTCTTTGTAGTGTACTCAATTAAGTATAGGTTGAAAAGGATTTGCAAATCATTGTATTTTGTTTTTATTCACATTTATCACAAATTCCCAACTTTAATGGAATTGATTTTGTACTTGTAGCAGGTAACCAGCTCTATCTGCTTGCCAGAGACAAGATATTTCCGAGCTCTGAGGGAACTCAAGATTCATGTCAGTAATAAAAACCAAGTTTCACCCTCAATTTGTGGACCAGATTGGCAATGTGAGCCTGGAAAGAGAACTCCTGGTCAAGCTGAAAGCCAAGTACTTGTACATAGCTGATGACCAGCTCTATCTGCTTGCCACTGGTTGTTTTTATGGCCTGGAAAGGCTCTGTTATCTCATGCTTATGCGAGAATAGCATGATTTTAGTTTTCTCTGCATTTGTAGGGGAGCCTGACTTGTATTTTAACCTGTTTGTAAAAATCTAAAGCCTTGAAAAGTGAGAAAGTGCAGCAATGAATAACTGTCATCTGTGTCACACACACACACACACACACACACACACACACACACACACACACACACACACACACACACACACACACACACACACACACACACACCTTGTATGTGAGGGTAGTAGATCATATAAAGCAGTCCCCAGTATAAAGTCGTGGAAGTGGTTTCAGTTCCAGCACCAAAGAGGTCCAAAGTGCAAGCACATAGATTCTCGATATCAAAACCATTATCTTTGTCCTCCACCTACCAAAAACACAAAAGTCAGTATATGTTTGTGTATTCAAAAAACATCACAACAGTTAAAAACATTACCTCTCCCATCTCTGCCAGGAAACAGTCCATGTAGTCTCTGGGTGAGGAGGGGCTAAAGTTTTCTCTGTGCTCTTTGATCTTGATTTCAACAAATTTGGATACTTCTCGAAACAAAGTGAAAATCCTCTGGTGAGCTCCAGGCAGCCACTTCATCAGCCCAGGGAATTGGTTATATATCTGCAGAGTTTTAAGACACAGCATAATAATCAAGAAAACACAAACACTTTGGATAAATGTTACCATGAGGGACCATCATTATGGCTGCTTCTTTTTCTTCCTTTGCTAAGTATGTCACTGGGCAGTGGTACACTTCAGTGCAAAAGCTTGCCCTGTAACTTTTGAGCCATTGTAATGCACATTCTGGGCTGTCAAAAGCAATATCCCTACTTGAGCCAGTTGATTGGTTTGAATATTTGTTTTATCATTATCATAATTATTCTGTTTTCCTGGTGTTTTCTTTTCTTGGTAACAGTGTTCATTTTCTTAAAAAAAAGAGAGACCCACCTGTGCCGATAAAGTGCCCTGTAAGTAAATAATCTCATTGAAGGCACGTAGGATACCCTGGTACTTCTTGTCAGTGTACTCAAAGCGTTCCCCAAACACCAGGCAGCAGATGACGTTAGACACAGCATTGTTTAGCAGCATCTTAACATCGAGAGGCTGGCCTGTAACATCAAGAAAAATATAAATGAGATACAAATAATCTTTGAGGGATAAAAAGGATGACAGAGAATTAATGAATAAATTATCCCAAGAAGAAACTGCTGTGCCAATCTGATTACATACTGTATGATTGTGTTAATCACTGACCGACAGATTACCATTGAATGTCACGGTCCAAGGTTTATGATGGCGTTAGTGCAAACTTCTAAGTCGTTGAGTATTTACTGCTTGTTAATAAAAATAAAACCACAAAATACATGAAAACAAGATAAATTTATTGCCTTCCTGAGCTGCCAGAGCCTCAGTGAGATATTGGCACTCCAGCTGGATGGATGGCTCCAGGGTCTTCTTGCCAATACCAAAGTTTCGAAGCGTATGAAGGGCAAATCTCCTCTGGTGCTTCCATAGGTTTCCATTTGATAAAACCAGACCTTTTAGAAACACCAAAGAACCATAGGACATAACAAATTAGCCATGAGATTTTATACAAAGCTCAATGGCTGTGCATCAAATCACAGGAAGTCTAAAGATGCCCCCTGGGTTAACGGCAACTATGAATCAGACTTCAACGAAATGAGTACCCTTGTTTCCAGTCAATGCTTCAAACAGTGGTATGGGGGGACGATCAACATAGTCATCTCCTCTGTGGACCAGGGCTTCCCTCAGAAGTTTGTAGCTATTAATAACCACAAGTCTTCCACCAAAAAGCCGCAGGCTGAAAATATTGCCATATTTCTCAGCAAACTGAAAACAGGACAGACAAGTGTTCAGGTTCAACCATGACAACGTCAAACTCACCTGGCTGATGCTGACCACTGTGTCTTGTTTCTCCTTATTTCAGGATTTTACTGCTATATTTGCTAAATACAGTAATATGTGTATTTATCAACTTCCTGCTGTCTACTACTAACAAAGTAACATTATCCAGTATCTGCAACAGGAGAAGTTCTTTTTTATGTTGAAATATTACAAAGTATTTAGCCCACTAACAATTTCAAGGACAATTGATAGTACTTTACAATAAGAAGCTAGCTAGCTAGCTAGATAGATAGATAGATAGATAGATAGATAGATAGATGACTATCTGCATAAGATTTGTTTTCATTAAAATTCTTTGATATGGTGAACTGAACGGATCTGATTGACTAATGCCTGTTCCACCTGGACTTACCTCTGTAAACTGCAGGTGGATCCTGCTGACTTTGATAAGATGGAGGTGACCAATTAATGGAAGAGCCCAGGGTCCAGGGGGAAAGTCTTTAGGCACTCTGTTCTTCAAAACATCAGCCAACAATATGAAAACAAACAGAAATATTAAAAGACTTCCACCATCTAACCACTCCACCCCGAGTGAACTTTTTATTGTGTCCATTGTGTCATAGGTGCCAGTCCGTTTGTGTCGCAGTGTTTACTAAGACTGAAGAGAACCAAGTCCGTGGACTTTGGTCATTAAAAAGGGGTGGTGGAGCGTAACGGGTCAGTTTAATATTAAGTTAACGTATCCGATTTGACTGCATTACTTTCAAAATAAAAGCACAATTGAAGTGAGCATACAGCGTACTTTTTAGAGATCGATTATGTGTCTAAATAAGAGTGACAGATCCACAGCGGAGAAATACTATGCGTGTAAAAGGTCCAGTCTAGGGGACACTGTAGCCTTCCTGAAGAGATAGCAGGGGACTGAATGAGCAGTCTGCCAGTGCCATTGTTTATACACACACACACACACACACACACACACACACACACACACACACACACACACACACACACACACACACACAATGCTGGGTTGTTTTTTCAACCGAACCACTAGGTTGAGCCTGTTGATCAGTTTATTTGGGTTATTTTCATGGAGTTGGGTATTCTGAGAAACCTATTCGTAAGGTTATTTACGTTGGGAACAGAGTTATTAGATGTTGGGTTATAATTTCTAAACATTTTTGTTGGTTTATTGTGGACTACCCAACACATTGGGTAGACGTTCAGGCACCATCCACTCACCAGATTGATGCCACATTTGGCAGTTGCTAAAGTGAGGAGATGAACAAAGCAAGGTTTGTTACCGTCCACTATTGCTTTACCATAAAGATGACTTGATATTATTATATAGGCCCTCATTTTGTTTTTAAGATGCAAGTTTGTGAAGTACTGTTGTGTACCATCTTCTGCCTACAGGAATCGATTGGTAGGTGAGCAAGCTAAAGGTTAGCCAACATTAGCAGCATAAAGTACATTGCCTCAAATGTAGCAAGCTAACAGTTAGCTGATGTGTGGTGTGGTCAATAATGTTGAACCATTGCTTTAATGGACTCTCTGTCTTGATGTTTCAGGATGATATGAACAATCAATGGATGACTTTGTGACGTGGAGTGGAGTGGATGCAAGATACAACTTCCTGTTCTGTATTGTTTACTTTGAAATGATAAGAAAACCATATAAAAAAAAAGAAAACTGCCAAATGTTTACAAACTCCAAAGTTCATTCTCCATCAGTAAAATGGAAAGAGAGCTGTTAAGGGGCGGCAGAAGCTCAGGAGGTAGAACAGTCGTCCAATAACCGTAAGGTTGGCGGTTTGATTCCCCCCTATCCTGAGTCTGTTCGTTCGATTGCCCCCTATCCCAAGTTTGTCCGTTGTGTCCTTGGGCAAGACACTTAACCCATCTTGCTCCCAGTTTGTGTCCTCCACTGGTGTATGAGTGTGAGTGTTGTGTGGTGGTAGTCAGAGAGGCCGTAGCCGCGAACTTGCAGCTGTGAGTACTACAGTGGTTTACCACCACCACCAGGGTATGACTGTGTGGGCATATGAATGATGTATCCGATATAAAGCGCTTTGAAGGTCTCTGATAAAGTGCTATATAAAATCTGATGCATTCATTAAAACATGTTAAACTAGAAGTAAATTTGCTGTGTCAAGTGGAAACCTTCATGGCCAAAAAAAATGATAAGTGACTGAGCTCTAACTACGGCAATTCCTTAACTGAAGACTGGCTCCAAAAGCCCTTCAGTCCACAAAGACCCCATTAGAACCCCAGCTTGGCAAAACCACATTTACAGCTCTGCAAACATCTGAGCTGTTTTCTGTACAGGACACTATGTTATGATGCAGTTATAACAGTAGGTTATTACATGGCTGTATTAAGTAGACAGCAGCTTTCCATAGCAACAGTCTATTTCTTCTTCTTGAAAGTGTACAAGTCAACAAATCTGTCGTAAAGTAAAAGGTTACTTCATAACACCACACATTCAAAGAGAAGCTCATAAGGCTGTTTGTAACTCTTGTGAACTCTGTGACTTTGATTTTGTTGTGTATTTGAAAATAACGCCATCTGCTGGCAGAATAGAAACTTGCCTTCATATCTTCAGTGGGGAGTACACTGCATTTGTCATGTATTGTACTTAAGCTCTTTTTGGGGTACTTGTGCTGTACTTCTATTTAAACCTACTTTCTTCTACATCCACATGAATGTGACAGGTGTAGAGACTTTGTTCAGTCACTTACAACATTCAATAAATGTTTAAACTATAAAACAAAAATACAGATTGAGCTAATGGTGAATTAGTTCAGTTGAGACAAAAATGTAAAAAATTAAAGGTCTACATTTATTATGTTATAAATTCTGATTCACATCATAGGGTAAAAGTTGATGTTCAGAGATTTTAATTGTAATCCAGCATTTCAAAGACATTCATGTCGCAATATAAGAAAAGTTATCAACACAGATGAAGTGGCTTCATAGATAATCCTGAGGTCAGACACATTACTGTATATTGCTGACTAATGAAGCTAATGAGGCTTTCACATATTTTAAATCTTAATTCAAACAGCACAATATTAACCTCTATGGATGGCATAGCACACTGAAAGCATTTAAGGCTTTCAAAAACAGATTCATTTGCCCTCAGCTAAATTTGGAAAACCTCCCTTTTTCAAGATCTTGTGCACCAGAGAAAAATGAACTATAAAAAAATAAACTACTGTTGATACTGAAATCAAAACCATTATTTGACAATCAAAAGCTGTGGAAAGGCTGTTGGCCACTGCCTTTACTTTTGACCTTGATTTCCAAGTGCACATTGGATCAGTGAGATACCTTTTATTCACAGTGCACTTTGTATATTTAGCTCTATTCTGTTTACATGGACATCTAATCAAAGTCAAAGGTCCCTGATATGCAGTTGAGATTCTTCCTTGTGATGCAGTTACATAATGCTGAGCAGAGGTTGCTGTCACTGATGGCTGATTGATTGCTATTTCATTTTTGTGTTCAGTACTGATAATCCCTTTTATAAAAACTGAGTGTATTACACGCAACATGACAAAGGTCATGTTTGTCAAGGGAAAGTAGGTGTGTATGTTTCTTTCTGTGCTTCCCATGTTATGCAACTACACTGTCTCATGCACCTTTGTACAGACTCTGACTGGATTTCAGTCATCTAACCTGTTATGACAGTACTGTACAATCTCTGGGTGAGAGGACCATGACAGCGTAGAATCTTAGAAGTCTTACAAAGCTCTAATAAGTTAGTGCCTCAAATTAGGAAGAACAGTTTCCTCCTGCTGCTGTTTTCTCTGTAACAATGTGGCTCTCTACTTTTTTACTGGGCTTAGACCTCAAGGGGCTATTCCTGTTCCTTTTTATTTTCATCATAATAGCAGACTACCTCAAAAACCGTAATCCTCCTAATTATCCTCCAGGACCATGGGCTTTGCCAGTAGTGGGGAATATCCTCAGTATGGACAGTAAACATCCAGAAAAATATTTCTCCAAGGTAAAGGTTTTTTTGTTGTCTTACATGTTGTGTAAAATGAATGGCTCAAAGTTAACTGTAAGAAAACTGCTTGGTTGCTTTATGAATGCTTGACCAGCTAGCATTGACATTGTTCCCCAGGAACAACATGTGTTCCTCTATGTTTATTTTTCTTGACATGTTAAAAATGTTTACATTTCAAGTGTTGTGTGTGGTCCATAAGTTTTTATTCATTGGTGTATTATGTGCAGCTGGCTGACATTTTGGGGAATGTGTTCAGCGTCCGCTTTGGCAGTGACAAGATGGTGGTAGTGTCCGGGTACAAGGCGGTGAAGGAAGCCATCATAACACAAGCTGAGAACTTTGTGGATCGACCAGATAGTCCAGTCGAGAAAAGACTCCAGTCGGATGCCTCAGGTTTACAAATCTCCATCATGTCCTTTTTTATGGTAAATGAACAATGATTAAGCTGAGCAATTACATTTTATCTGAATGTATTTGTCTAGGTGGTCTGTTCATGAGCAACGGTGAAACATGGAAGAGACAGCGGCGCTTTGCTTTGTCAACGTTACGTAGTTTTGGCTTTGGCAAGAACACCATGGAGCAGAGTATCTGTGAGGAGATCAGACATCTGCAGGAGGAGATAGAGAATGAAAAAGGTGGTCCACAAGTTCAACACTTGTACATCATCAGCAGCATCAGTTATGCAGCAGTACAGCATCTAAAGGTGGATTTCTTTCCTGCAGGCGAAGCCTTTGACACAGCAAGTGTTTTCAACAAAGCTGTGTCCAACATCATTTGCAAACTGGTTATGGGGAAGAGGTTTGACTATAGTGACCACAACTTCCAACACATGCTGAAATGTCTGTCAGAGCTAATTATGCTGGAGGGATCTGTATGGGCTTGGGTGGGTCAATATTATCACAGCATTTTGGTGGTACAAAGACAGTCAGTACTTTTGACCCAATTAGAGGCCCATGTGTTATCAGATAAAGTGAGCTATAATGGTAGTGAGAGTTTTTCTCATCTGTTTTCTTGTAGTTATATGAATCATTCCCTGCAGTGATGAAGCATTTGCCAGGTCCTCACAATAAAATGTTCAGCCTCTTTGACACTATTCGAGAATTCATCAGCCAGGAGGTACAGAGGCACAAAATAGACCTTGACTGCAACAATCCTCGGGACTACATTGATACTTTCATCATTGAAATGGAAAAAGTAAGTGAGGAAATGCACTCCACACTCACTGCACTGAATCACACATTATAGCCCTACTCCTCAGTTGCACTCCTTGACTCTTTTGTCTTTTCTGCATTTCTTATCAGCACAAAGAGACCAATGTGGGTTTCACTGAGAGCAATTTAGCTGCATGCTCTATAGACCTGTTCCTGGCTGGAACAGAAACGACTGCCACCACTTTGCTGTGGGCTTTGGTTTTCCTCATCAACAACCCCGATATCCAGGGTAGGTGAGACTCAAGTACCTTCAGCTGTCTAACTGAAAAACAACAAGAAAACAAGACAACAGTCATAAAAAAGGCTTTGAAATGCTTAGCTATAATATTTGATATTATTAGATTTTCATAAGAAGTTCCTCCTCTTGCTCAGTGTTTTGATTCTGTAAGTCTCGCTGCTTAGATTAACACATCATTAGAGACAAAATAAGTGTGTCCACAACCGTTAAAAGAAAAAAAAAGTATGTACATTGTAATTTGTTGCTAGGAGGAGCATGGAAAGAGAAAAATTCCAGACAGTTTGATGCAACTTCTTCCATTCTAGCCGATGATGTCACTCACTCTGGCACAAAGATTCCACGCAATACACATCCATTATAATCTCAAAGGTACTCCAAAAAAGTTCATGGTCATTGAACAGTGAGGGATCAAAGCCTACAATACATAGTGAAACATGGATTCATGCACCATTAGACAAGATTTATGTCTACATTTTAAAGTTGGAATATAGTCTCTAGGTGAAAGTATGTTGGAGTAATAGATATTTGAAAACCCCAACAATTGCTCTTGTTTTTTTTGTCCTATTAACTTTAATGCAATTTTTTTCCACAGTTATTCATATACATATACAATAAAGAAAAGTTATAGCAGATCATGATCACGTTTTGAAATATAATTTGTCCTACAACTCTTCAAGCTGTAGGACTAGTGGTGAATCAAATTTTGTCCAGAAGAGGAATAAAAAAAATCCAGTGTGACAACAGTGCCTTGATGCATTTGCCTATTTAGGCTACAGCAAACTTCAGTTCAACTGTTAGTACCAAGTACCAATTAGTACCAAGAATTGGTAAGACTACAGATATTCATGGTGATTCTGTTACAGGAAAATAGTCAGGTATCTTTCAGTTTAGAAATGTCATTTTGATTTTTGATCCCGATCCCCTAAAGTTTATTTCCCTCACTTTTATTGTTTTCTAGCCAAGGTTCAGGCAGAGATTGACACAGTGATTGGACAGAGCCGCCCGCCCACCATGGCTGACAGATCAAACCTGCCCTACACTGATGCTGTCATCCATGAGATCCAGAGATATGGAAATATTGTTCCTCTTAATGGACCCAGAGTGGCTGCCAAGGACACAACACTGGGTGGTTACTTCATCCCTAAGGTAGGTCTTTTCATTAGCTGGAGCATCTGAAATATAGTAATAATATTGCTTGAAGTATCAGCAATGTTAACCCCTCAATCTTGTTTTTCAGGGTACAACTCTGATGCCTGTTCTGACCTCTGTTCTGTTTGACAAGAATGAATGGGAGACTCCAGACAGCTTTAACCCTGGACACTTCCTCAACTCTGAGGGAAAGTTTGTGAAGAGAGACGCTTTCCTGCCTTTCTCTGCAGGTTAATCACTTTTACCTAAAGTTCAATCAAAGCCAGAATACAAGTTTCTTTTTCAACTTTTCCACGATTTTAAGTGTTTTAAGTAATATAAGTTATCATTTGTCATTTCAGGAAAACGTGTATGTCTTGGAGAAAGTCTTGCCAAGATGGAGCTGTTTCTGTTTTTTGTTGGTTTACTCCAGAAGTTTTCTTTCTCTGTTCCTGATGGTGTTGAGCTCAGTTATGAAGGAGTTAGTGGAACAACACGTGTACCACACCCTTTCAAGGTGTATGCTAAAGTGCGTTGAATTGGACAACACATTCTTTATCTAAGAAATGTGTTTTCCCTTATGTGCTGGGAGCATTTTAACCTTTCATTTATAAATTTACAGGAAAAAATATGGCTTAACCAATAAATGATCTAGTTATCATCACACTCCGTTTTGTCCTTTAGTTTGAACCTGTGGCCAATATTACTCAATGTATTAGAAAGAACTGAGCTTATTAGACCTTCATAACCCAAAACTGCCTTGCACAAGATCAACCTCCCCATTGTCAAAGAAACAGCAGTAGCTGACAGGAACTGTACGAAAACTATCCAAAAACTAGAAAAGCACTCACAGAGCGCAGACCTCTACCAAGCAGCTCATGTCCCCCCTTATATTGTGATTCACATTAAAGCTTTTACTGTTACGTGTCTTTTATTAACGTTTATTTGTGTTTAAACTGGTATGTTCACTGTTCATAATGTTCCTAAAACAAGAAATGCGCTGAATGGGATTCGAACCCAAGACCCTCTAGTTGTGAGGCAACAGTGCTAACCACTACACCACTGTGCCACCCAATGGTTATCTTTCAGCATTGGAAATTCCAACAAAACCCTTATTTTTGTGTCTTCAGGATTACAGTATCCAGAATTTTGTCTGGCTCAGGATCGCCTGGGCGTTACAAGGCTGGCCTGTAACATAAAGAGAAAACGTAATCAAGGCGATCACCATGCAACACTGCCTGTGGGGCACTAGCTGTACTTGTAATCACTTATCTATCATACAGATATGCTAATTAGAATATTACATGGTCAAAACATGTATCAGGCACCAGTATTCCTGTTCTAGAAGGAATGCAAAGCAGTAATTGTCATTTTAAGGAACTAAAAAACACACATGGTGATATTTGAACTTTTAGGGGTGGTGACAGTATTTCCTCATTGACAGTGTGATAAAAAGAGACATCCAAAGTCGCCACCCCCAACCCCTTCCAACTCTAGTATGTCAACAAAATAAAACAAGAATTTTCAATGAAGGAACTTTATCCATTGCTCAGTTTTCCGTTCTAGAAATGTATGCAAATTAGTGCCTATTTAATTAGATATGACCTCATTTACACATTCAAACATAACATCTGACAAACCTGTAATACAGAAAATATTTGTCTTCCTGTAAGTGATAAACATGGGAAGTTTCATGGTGATATTTGTTAGTTCAAAATTTTACCCTTTTCACCTGGGGTGTCTCCCTGAGCTTCCTACCCATCATGGACGCCATCTTGAAAATGACATCTTTCTAAGGGTCAAACTTTGGTAAACTTTTTGTATGTTATTAAGGACATCTAATACTATAAAAACAGCTGAGAAACCTTTTGTTAGAATTTTTTTGGGATCAAGTCATATTTGCACCCGACTAACAATAGACAGACAGGATGAATGAAGTGGAAAAGAAATGAGTGTAACTTTGTCTTAGGGCAAAAGTCTCAATCAAAGAAAACTGTAAATATAATTGTAACAAAAATTTTAACAAACGTCTACAAAGTGAAATATATCTATTCAGGGTACACTTGAATAAACGACAAAAAAAACTCAAAAGTTTTAACTTCTAAACATAATTTTGTGCCCCATTTGTCAATAATGACTGCAAAAATACATTTGTGAACTGATGACAACATATTTGAGGTTCAGTGTTTTATTTTTATTATTAATCCTCCACAAACAACTGTATCACAAACCCTGTTGTCGCCTGGCCTGGGTTTCAGTTATACAAGTAGACCCAAATTTGATTGAATGTAATAAGGGTTTAGATATACTTCTAGTTTGCAGGCCTGGACTTTGAAAACAAGTTTGCATCCAGAGACAGGATAAGAACATTTTGGTGTTTGTCTTTGGTTTGCTAATGATATGAACAGCTGTGAAACATGAGCATTACAGCAGTAAGACTTTTCCATCATTCCATCATTCAAGTGAATAAATTAAATTGGATTTCTTGAAAATGATGTTAATAGTTGATACAATGAAAGCTTATCATTTATTTTGATTGTGCAAGATGAATATACTTTCAGTTAAGCATAAGTATCATTTCAATCAAACCCTTAAAAAATAACCTTTTAAATAGAGCTGAAAATTCAGGTATACTCATTGAACTGACACTTCTCAGCAATGACTTTCATGATTCACACACATTTGTACTCAAATTTAGATTTGAGAACATTTAGAAAACCAGATTCTGATTCTGATTTTCAAAAAGGTTAAAAAGCAACTCAGTACAGATTACTGAGGACACAAAACAAAAATCCCAATTTTCCATGGAAATTAAATTTTATGTAATTTTGGGTCAGCTGGCACAGTTGTTGATTCATCTTGGTACAGCACAGAGACGGTACGGTTTGGGACAGCGGCCGAACCCCATAACAAAATCCAGACTGGGCTGCTCTCCATCACAGGGGGAGAAAGAAAGCCTCTGAAGAAGAGAGGTGAAAAATAGGAATAACTCCATCCTGGCCAGCTGCTCGCCAATACACACACGCCTCCCTGAAGAAACACAGATGAAATACACGAATGAGTTGTTTTTGCACAATTTTTACAGGACCCACTTTATGTATGATACTGTTGTAGCTCTGAGACTGAAACAACCTAATCTTTTGTTAAATGGAGTTGGATTAACTGTCTAACCTGCTGAAAAAGGGAGAAAGGCCTCTCTCTTCCTGAACTGGCCGTCTGAATCCAGAAAGTGTTGAGGGTTAAAGGAGTGTGGAGTTTCCCACACTGACTCATCATGGAGAACTGAAGTCAGGGTGGCCATGATCATAGTGCCCTGAGGAAATGAAATTGATGAAAATGGTGCATCAAGCCTTTCTTGCTATTATGGTTGTTTTCCATTGAGTTTTATTGATTAGAGAACTGAGCTGACTTTGACTTGCTCATCATCATGTACCTTTGGGATCGTGTACTTGTCGAGCGTGGTGTCCCTGGATGCCATTCGGGTAACATTTAGAGGAAGGATGTCGGCCATTCTCTGGATTTCATGGATGACTGCGTTAGTGTAAGGCATGTTTTCTCTGTCACTCATAGAGGGCACTCTAGATGAGCCAACAACAGTATCTATCTCAGCCTGGACTTTCTCTGTAAAGTGAACACAAAAAACAATGAGTGAGCCATTGTAATGCAGCAGAGATTTCATTTATGTGTTTTATATGTCAGATACTTGCTGCCCCAGTTTTCTCTTGTGTAAATCAAGAAAATAGTAAAATCAGAATACTTTCAGCATTCCTCTTATTGGCAAACAGGGAACATAAGTAGAGCGGAAGTAAACCAAGAAGAGTCTTATAAATCAAGAACATCCAGTGGGAAAACCCCCGGAAGCTCAAGGAGGGCCACCCAGCTTTGGTGTGGAGCTCACAGTGGTCCGTGAGGCAACCACAACCAGTGACAAAGCATAATGCACAATGGTAAACAGTGTCTAGTGATCGAAGCCATTAGGGCCAAGGCACTCATATAAAACATCACCATAATCAATCAATGACAGAAGCATTGCAGAGACAAGATATTTCCGAGCTCTGAGGGAAATCAAGATTCATGTCAGTAATAAAAATCAAGTTTCACCCTCAATTTGTGGACCGGATTGGCAATGTGAGCCTGAAAAGAGAGCTCCTGGTCAAGAAGAAAGCCAAGTACTTGTACATAGCTAGTGGCCAGCTCTATCTGCTTGCCACTGGTTGTTTTTATGGTCTGGAAAGGCTCTGTTATCTCATGCTTACGTGAGAATAGCATGATTTTAGTTTTCTCTGCATTTAGAATCAATTTTAGAGGTTGTAGGGGAGCCTGACTTGTATTATAACCTGTTTGTAAAAATCCAAAAGGCTTTGAAAGTGAGAAAGAGCAGCAATGAATATTTGTCATCAGTTATTGTAATCCTGTTGAGGTAACACCATCATTTTAACCTCATTGTAACTTGAATTTACTTAACTGAAATTGTATTGTGACAGGATATAATATCATGCAAAGACTTTTAAAATTAACAGTCAAGATTGGTCTCAAGCATGCACTCACACACGCACGCACGCACGCACGCACGCACGCACGCACACACACCTTGTATGTGAGGGTAGTAGATCATATAAAGCAGTCCCCAGTATAAAGTCATGGAAGTGGTTTCAGTTCCAGCAGCAAAGAGGTCCAAAGTGCAAGCACATAGATTCTCGATATCAAAACCATTATCTTTGTCCTCCACCTATCAAAAACACAAAAGTCAGTGTATGTTTGTGTTTTCAAAAAACATCACAACAGTTAAAAACATTACCTCTCCCATCTCTGCCAGGAAGCAGTCGATGTAGTCTCTGGGTGAGGAGGGGTCAAGGCTTTCTCTGTGCTCTTCGACCTTGATTTCAACAAATTTGTTTACTTCTCGTAACAAAGTGAAAATCCTCTGGTGAGCTCCAGGCAACCACTTCATCAGTCCAGGGAATTGGTTAAATATCTGCAGAGTTTTAAGACACAGCATAATAATCAAGAAAGATAAATGTTACCATGAGGGACCATCATTACAGCTGCTTCTTTTTCTTCCTTTGCTAAGTATGTCACTGGGCAGTGGTACACTTCAGTGCAAAAGCTTGCCCTGTAACTTTTGAGCCATTGTAATACACATTCTGGGCTGTCAAAAGCTATGTCCTTACATGTATCAATTAAATGCTTTTAATATCTGTTTTATTATTGTCGTAATGATTCTGTTTTCCTGGTGTTTTCTTTTCTTGGTAGCAGTGTTTATCTTCTTTAAAAAAAAAGGTGACTCACCTGTGCCGATAAAGTGCCCTGTAAGTAAGTAACCTCATTGAATGCACTTAGGATACTCTGATACTTCTTGTCAGTGTACTCAAAGCGTTCCCCAAACACCAGGCAGCAGATGACGTTAGACACAGCATTGTTTAGCAGCATCCTAACATTGAGAGGCTGGCCTGTAACATCAAGAAAAATATAAATGAGATACAAATAATCTTTGTGGGATAAATAGGATGACAGAGAATTACAGTTTTTCTCAGTCGTTTTGGTGCATTTCCCAAATCACTATTAACATTTGCACAACAGTTGGTGCATTTCTCAAAACAATTAGTACAAACTGCAAAACCTAGTGGATAACCTGCAAAAGCGCGTCACTTGCTCAAAATGAATAGTAGATTCCTCAAAAGCAAGTATTCATTGCAATGAAACTGTCTGTGTTATCAAAAACACAAACATTCTCAAACACAAAGATGCAAGACGTCTAAACAAACTGGTGAAAAGGGCTGGCTCTGTGGAAGGACTCAAACTGGACTCAGTGGAGGATGTGGTGGATAGATCTACACCGAGGAAGGTGGAGACTAGTCTCAAGAACATGGATCACCCACTTCACAACACCTTGATGGACCAAAGGGCCAATGGGGGTGGACGGCTCCTCTCTCTTCGCTGCAGGACAAAAAAGATTCAGAAGATCCTTTGTACCAACAGCCATCAGGCTTTATAACTCTTGTGTAAATAATAGATCACTTTTAAAGACATATTATGTGAGACAACAGACAATTGAATTCCCCTTCGGAGATTAATAAAGTTCTTCTTATTCTTAAAATAATTAGTCCTGACACCATTGTTTATGAACGCGACAGTCAAATGGCTTTGTCGTGTTTTCATTATGACAGTTCACTCTCTCTGTGTTTTCCAATGCAAAAAAAGTCAGATCTTGATGACTCTACCTGAAAATACTCAAGACAGCACTATACACTACTTGTACAGCCATTTGAAAACTATAGTCAAGTTACATATTACTGTATTTAGTGAGGTAACTGAGTACAAGACACATGTGTTTCACATATTTACTGCATATGCTTTTTGCAATTTTACAGCACTGTGCGAAAAAAAAAAAGCACAGTCACTTATTCAGAACAAACATAAGAAATACCATTTTGGTAGAACTGTGCACAGATGTAAACAATCTGAGTGATTGTGGACAAGTGGCTTGTCATTGGTTGTAACTAATGCTTCACACACCTCCTCACGAGTGAAAGCTGAGGTTCACCTGAGAGCAATTGTTCAATTTAGGAGACATTTGCAGGAAAAAAAAGATAAAGGAATGTATGAAATCAGCTTGACAGATCTTGATAACTAGTTCAACAATTTTGTATGTAATGACTCAAGCAATGAAATGAGGACTGTTAGTTCTATAGGGAATGACTATTCAGCATTGTCATGACCTGGCTCAGGTGGTCACAACAAAAAGAAGAAGGAAGACACACACCATTTATAAACTCCCAAACAACTCTTTATTAATTCAAATTGAACTGAATTAGAATGTAAGATATGAGATGTATAATCAGTAAAAATTAGCATTGTGTAAGGTGTGCATGGGTAGAAGTAGGTGTATATGTGCGAGGGTGTTGTAACGAGCAAACATAAACTACAACTAACCCAAGCCAAACCCAACCAAACCAAACCAACCAAAGCCAAGCTAAACCAAACTAAGTCAAGACAAGTCAAAACAAGCCAAACCAAACCAAACCAAACTAAACCAAACCAAACCAAACCAAACCAAACCAAGTACCTGTAAAGGCAATCAGGAGAAACAAAAGAGGGAGTTGCAAGTAACTGTGGGAGCTTAAATACTCCCCGCACCCAGGGCCCAGGTATACATAGTTGCTCTGATTAGGGTGCAGAGAGAAGCCAACCAGACACACCTCGCACAGCAGCGTGAACCTACAGGGGCATCACAGCATTCATACGTATAGTTCATTTTGACTGACATGATAAGCAAATGATCATGTTTTAAAACAGCAGAGAATTGTATAAAAGTAACTGACACATGTCCAAAAGCATTTGCAATTTGTTCAGAGGAATGGGAAACTGCTACGACAATGTGCACAAATGACTCAATGTTGTGGAGGTTGAACTAATAGTTATAAGCTCTTTCATTCTGATCTGAGAAATGCACCAAATCGACTGAGGAAAAACTGTAATAAATAAATTATCCCAAGAAGAAACTGCTGTGCCAAACTGATTAGATACTGTATGACTGTGCTAATCACTGACAGACAGATTACCATTGAATGTTTAATGTTCTAAGCAGAAAATAAAATGGAAACAGGGCGGGACACACAAAGTCCAAGGTTTATGATGGTGTTAGTGCAAACTTCTGAGTACTGCTTGTTCATAAAAACAACCACAAAAAACATGAAAATAAGATAAATTTATTGCCTTCCTGAGCTGCCAGAGCCTCAGTGAGATATTGGCACTCCAGCTGGATGGATGGCTCAAGGGTCTTCTTGCCAATACCAAAGTTTCGAAGTGTATGAAGGGCGAATCTCCTCTGTTGCTTCCATAGGTTTCCATTTGTTGCCAGCAGACCTTTTAGAAACACCAAAGAACCATAGGACATAACAAATTAGCAATGAGAATTTCATACAAAGCTCAATGCCTGTGCATCAAATCACAGAAAGTCTAAAGATGCCCCCTGGGTTAACGCTAACTATGAATCAGACCATAACAAAATGAGTACCCTTGTTTCCAGACACTTCTTCAAATAGTGGTATGGGGGGACGATCAACATAGTCATCTCCTCTGTGGACCAGGGCTTCCCTCAGAAGTTTGTAGCTATTAATAACCACAAGTCTTCCACCAAAAAGCCGCAGGCTGAAAATATTGCCATATTTCTCAGCAAACTAAAAACAGGACAGACAAGTGTTCAGTTTCAACCATGACAGCTCAGAACTCACCTGATTGATGCTGACCACTGTGTCTTGTTTCTCCTTATTTCAAGATTTTACTGCTATATTTGCTAAATACAGTAATGTGTATTTATCAACTTCCACCTGGACTTACCTCTGTGAACTGCAGGTGGATCCTGCTGAGTCTGACACGATGGAGGTGACCAATCAATGGAAGAGCCCAGGGTCCAGGGGGAAAGTCTTTAGGTACTCTGTTCTTCAAAACATCAGCCAGCAATATGAAAACAAACAGAAATATTAAAAGACTTCCACCATCTAACCACTCCACCCCGAGTGAGCTTTTTATTGTGTCCATTGTGTCATAGGTGCCAGTCCGTTTGTGTCTCAGTGTTTACTAAGACTGAAGAGAACCAAGTACGTGGACTTTGGTTCACTAAAAGGGGGTGGTGTGGGTGTGTGTGTAATGGGTCAATTTAATGATAAGCTAACATATCCGATTCAAGTGCATTACTTTCAAAATGAAAGCCATCATCATAAAATACCATCATTCCTTAATTTTTGAAGCAATCTTACTGCTCTTGTTGAGAAAATTTTTCATACCTGTATCAGTAGTGTGAGGACTTCGATGTCAAAGAACATCACGATTTGGTGATTTAAAATATTTGTGCACTGCTGGGAAAGTTCAATGGCATTTACTGAATTTGCTGAGGCTTTGTAAATGAATACATAAGGCTCTATTTTCATGCCCGCTGGCGGCGTGGTGGAGGGTGGCGGACCCCGCGCAGTGGTATTTTCGTCTGGTGGAGCCCGGTGCACAGCCAGTTCGGTATTTTCGCAGACTGAGGCACACCAAGGTCTGCCAAGCTGGGTGTGGTGGCGCGGCAAGGGAAGGTGTCGACAGAATCAGCTGTGACATTTTCGTGCCCGCCAGCGGCGTAGAAAGTGCGCTGAAAGCTCGCCAATTCAAACCTGGTCAGCTTTCAGCACCGGCGGCGTAGTGCGCATACGTCACCGATGCCTGTTTCCACAGTGTCAGGCACATTTCAGTGCAATAAATAATCAACAACAACCAATATGCTGGGTCAGCACATACATTTAGATCTATATAGATATACTCTGATCTATATCTGATCTGATGAGCGCGTTTGGCACGTGTTTGGACACTCAACTTGACCGAATTAACACAGCTGAAACCGCATTAAATGATATCTAGTAAATAGACACACATGATGAAATGAACAAGATATTTAATTCTTCTCCCTTCTGCCATCGTGGGGCATTGCTGTCTTCAGACATCTCTTGATCTCTTTGACTGCTTCACGAAAATTGTAATACACCTCGCCAGTGACGGATTTAAAGGCGAGGAGAGGAGCTTATGTGAATGGTGAAAACAGGTCTCGGTTGTGTTAAACCCACTCCATGCCCTATCCCCTCCATCTCAGCGACTTACGCCGCTGGGAGGAGCTGAGTTACCGGGCTGTGGCGCTCACCAAAATACCAAAATGTGCTTGGGCACGGCTTGTCGGCGCGGCGGACCTTACTTACACCACGCCTTCGCCACGCCGCCAGCGAGGCACGAAAATAGAGCCCATAGAGTGCACTGCTTGATGATTTATCAGCAATGCGCAAAAAGAGTTCATAATGATTTATCCACTGTTTCATGTTGCCAAGTATTAACTTGTCATGAGTAGGATTAGAGTAGAACCCTAACCCTGCAAGTCACGGAAAATTTGCAAAGTGCCCTAAAGTCTCTCAAACAAATATTCTAAGAAAGCCCAGACAAATCTAACAGAGGCGTGGATATGCATGGCACGTTTTTTATACTGCACTGCATCCTTTCACATATTTTAAATCTTAATTCAAACAGCACAATATTAACCTCTATGGATGGCATAGCACACTGAGAGCATTTAAGGCTTTCAAAAACAGATTTATTTGCCCTCAGCTAAATTTGGAAAACCTCCCTTTTTCAAGATCTTGTGCACCAGAGAAAAATATACTATAAAAATAAACTACTGTTGATACTGAAATCAAAACCATTATTTGACCATCAAAAGCTGTGGAAAGGCTGTTGGCCACTGCCTTTACTTTTGACCTTGATTTCCAAGTGCACAGTGGATCAGTGAGATACCTTTTATTCACAGTGCACTTTGTATATTTAGCTCTATTCTGTTTACATGGACATCTAATCAAAGTCAAAGGTCCCTGATATGCAGTTGAGATTCTTCCTTGTGATGCAGTTACATAATGCTGAGCAGAGGTTGCTGTCACTGATGGCTGATTGATTGCTATTTCATTTGTGTGTTCAGTACTGATAATCCCTTTTATAAAAACCGAGTGTATTACATGCAACATGACAAAGCTCATGTTTGTCAAGGGAAAGTAGGTGTGTATGTTTATTTTTATGCTTCCCATGTTATGCAACCACACTGTCCCATGCACCTTTGCACAGACTCTGATTGTATCTCACTCACCTAACCTGTTATGACAGTACTGTACAATCCCTGAATGAGAGGACTATGACAGCGTAGAATCAAGTCTTACCAAGCTCTATTAAGTTAGTGCCTCAAGTTAGGAAGAACGGTTTCCTCCTGCTGCTGTTCTCTCTGTAACAATGTGGCTCTCTACTTTTTTGCTGGGCTTAGACCTCAAGGGGCTATTCCTGTTCCTTTTTATTTTCATCATAATAGCAGACTACCTGAAAAACCGGAATCCACCTAATTATCCTCCAGGACCATGGGCTTTGCCAGTAGTGGGGAATATCCTCAGTATGGACAGTAAACATCCAGAAAAATATTTCTCCAAGGTAAAGGTTTTTTGTTATCTTACATGTTATGTTAAATGAATTGCTCAAAGTTAACTGTAAGAAAACTGCTTGGTTGCTTTATGAATGCTTGACCAGCTAGCATTGACATTGTTCCCCAGGAACAACATGTGTTCCTCTATGTTTATTTTTCTTGACATGTTAAAAATGTTTACATTTCAAGTGTTGTGTGTGGTCCATAAGTTTTTATTCATTGGTGTATTATGTGCAGCTGGCTGACATTTTGGGGAATGTGTTCAGCATCCGCTTTGGCAGTCACAAGATGGTGGTAGTGTCGGGGTACAAGGCGGTGAAAGAAGCCATCATAACACAAGCTGAGAACTTTGTGGATCGACCAGATAGTCCAGTCGAGAAAAGATTTTACTTGGATACCTCAGGTTTACAAATCTCCATCATGTCCTTTTTATGATGTATAAACAATGACTAAGCTGAGCAATTTCATTTTATCTGCATGCATTTGTCTAGGTGGTCTGTTTGCGAGCAATGGTGAAACATGGAAGAGACAGCGGCGCTTTGCCTTGTCAACGTTACGTAGTTTTGGCTTTGGCAAGAACACCATGGAGCAGAGTATCTGTGAGGAGATCAGACATCTGCAGGAGGAGATAGAGAATGAAAAAGGTGGTCCACATGTTCAACACGGTTGTACATTATCAGCAGCATCAATTATGCAGCAGTACAGGATGTTCTAACGCTGGTCTCTTTTCCTGCAGGCGAAGCTTTTAACACAGCAAGTGTTTTCAACAAAGCTGTGTCCAACATCATTTGCCAACTGGTTATGGGGAAGAGGTTTGACTATAGTGACCAAAACTTCCAACACATGTTGAAATGTCTGTCAGAGCTACTTATGCTGGAGGGATCTGTATGGACTTGGGTGGGTCAATATTATCACAGCATTTTGGTGGTACAAAGACAGTCAGTACTTTTGACTCAATTAGAGGCCCATGTGTTATCAGAAAAAGTGAGCTATAATGGTAGTGAGAGTTTTTCTCATCTGTTTTCTTGCTTGTAGTTGTATGAATCATTCCCTGCAGTGATGAAGCATTTGCCAGGTCCTCACAATAAAATGTTCAGCCACTTTGACACCATTCGAGAATTCATCAGCCAGGAAGTACAGAGGCACAAAGTAGACCTTGACCGCAACAATCCTCGGGACTACATTGATACTTTCATCATTGAAATGGAAAAAGTAAGTGAGGAAATGCACTCCACACTCACTGCACTGAATTACACATTATAGCCCTACTCCTCAGTTGCACTCCTTGACTCTTTTGTCTTTTCTGCATTTCTTATCAGCACAAAGAGACCAATGTGGGTTTCACTGAGAGCAATTTAGCCGCATGCTCTATAGACCTGTTCCTGGCTGGAACGGAAACGACTGCCACCACTTTGCTGTGGGCTTTGGTTTTCCTCATCAACAACCACGATATCCAGGGTAGGTGAGACTCAAGTACCTTCAGCTGTCTAACTGAAAGACAACAAGAAAACAAGACAACAATCATACTAGAGACTTTGAAATGCTTAGCTATAATATTTAAAATTATTAGATTTTTGTAAGAAGCTCCTCCTCTTGCTCAGTGTTTTGATTCTGTAAGTCTCGCTGCTTAGATGAACACATCATTAGAAACAGAATAAGTGTGTCCACAACCGTTAAAAGAAAAAAAATGTATGTACATTGTAATTTGTTGCTAGGAGGAGCATGGAAAAAGAAAAATTCCAGACAGTTTGATGCAACTTCTTCCATTCTAGCCGATGATGTCACTCACTCTGGCACAAAGATTCCACACAATACACATTCATTATAATCTCAAGGGTACTCCAAAAAAGTTCATGGTCATTGAACAGTGAGGGATCAAAACCTACAATACATATTGAAACATGGATTCATGCACCATTAGACAAGATTTATGTCTACATTTTAAAGTTGGAATATAGTCTCTAGGTGCAAGTATGTTGGAGTCATAGATATTTGAAAAAAGCAAAAATTGCTCTTGGTTTCTTTTTTGTCCTATTGACTTTAATGCAAAAGTTTTCCACAGTTATTCATATACATATACAATAAAGAAAAGTTATAGCAGATCATGATGACGTTTTGAAATATAATTTGTCCTACAACTCTTCAAGGTGTAGGACTAGTGGTGAATCCAATTTTGTCCAGAAGAGGAATAAAGAAAATTCCAGTGTGACAACAGTGCCTTGATGCATTTGCCTTGTGGCCCTAATTAGGCTACAGCTAACTTCAGTTCAAATGTTAGCTTATTAGTACCATGAATTGGTAAGACTGCAGATATTCATGGTGATTCAGCTCCAGGAAAATAGTCTGGTATCTTTCAGTTTAGAAATGTCATTTTGATTTTTGCTTCCGATCCCCTAAAGTTTATTTCCCTCACTTTTATTGTTTTTTAGCCAAGGTTCAGGCAGAGATTGACACAGTGATTGGACAGAACCGCCTGCCCACCATGGCTGACAGATCAAACCTGCCCTACACTGATGCTGTCATCCATGAGATCCAGAGATATGGAAATATTGTTCCTCTTAATGGACCCAGAGTGGCTGCCAAGGACACAACACTGGGTGGTTACTTCATCCCTAAGGTACGTCTTTTCATTAGCTGGAGCATCTGAAATATAGTAATAATATTGTTTGAAGTATCAGCAATGTTAACCCCTCAATCTTGTTTTTCAGGGTACAACTCTGATGCCTGTTCTGACCTCTGTTCTGTTTGACAAGAATGAATGGGAGACTCCAGACAGCTTTAACCCTGGACACTTCCTCAACTCTGAGGGAAAGTTTGTGAAGAGAGACGCTTTCCTGCCTTTCTCTGCAGGTTAATCACTTTTACCTAAAGTTCAATCAAAGCCAGAATACAAGTTTCTTTTTCAACCTTTTCACGATTTTAAGTGTTTTAAGTAATATAAGTTATCATTTGTCATTTCAGGAAAACGTGTATGTCTTGGAGAAAGTCTTGCCAAGATGGAGCTGTTTCTGTTTTTTGTTGGTTTACTCCAGAAGTTTTCTTTCTCTGTTCCTGATGGTGTTGAGCTCAATGATGAAGGAGTTAGTGGAACAACACGTGTACCACAGCCATTCAACGTGTATGCTAAAGTGCGTTGAATTGGACAACACTCCCTCGGGTCATTCTTCATTTAAGAAATGTGTTTTCCCTTATGTGCTGAGGGCATTTTAACCTTTCATTTATACATTTACAGGAGAAATATGGCTTAACCAATAAATAATCTAGTTATCATCACACTCCGTTTTGTCTTTTAGTTTGAACCTGTGGCCAATATTACTCAATGTATTAGAAAGAACTGAGCTTATTAGACCTTCATAACCCAAAACTGCCTTGCACAAGAACAACCTCCCCATTGTAAAAGAAACAGTAGTAGCTGAATTGAACCGTACGAAAACTATCAAAAAAAAACTATGTCTCATGACCCTTAACATATAAATCAAAGGCTGGCGCACAAGTTCATTGAGGGATATCTGTGTGCTATCTGGCTTCACTCATCCTCAAAAGCTGGCGGGCTATTCAGTTACAGCACACCAATGGACAAAGGAGATGGGAGTGGATGTTCAGAAGGCTGTACAGGGAAAGGTGAAATAGCAGACATGGGTGAGACAAGTTGAGTGAGTGCAGCTTGTTCAGTAAAACAAAGATGAAGAGGTAAGCACTCAGCAGGCAGGTTCAGGCAGGAAGAAAGATACAGATTATGTTGATCCTGGGCCACAAAGAGAACACAATTAAGGAGGAAAAACAGCACAAAACAACACAGAGCTAAATCCCCCATTGGATTACAAACTCAAATAGTGGATGTGAGATGAAAATTACTCATACAAGACTGTCACCGGAAAAGCCAGGAAGAAGGACGGTGCCGTGGAGAGCAGCCCAAACCAGCTGGATTTGTAAGATCACAATACCAAAAGATCACAAAGGAACTACAAGATCCTGCTTTTCTATTGGTTGTTGTGCTACAACCAATAGAAAAGGTTTAAAAAATATGTCCAGTTGGGAACAACACAAATCAAAGTTTTGTATTTGAATTAAAGTTTTAAAAAATGCATATATCATAAATGTTTAACCAATGGGATCTAATCAGTGATTTATGGTGTTTATTTTGAAATTGACCAGGTACTCTATGCCACTCTCATATCTAACTTATTGGTCAGATCAGTCTGCTCTCTTCAAGTCTCTGCATGATGTACAATTGTTGTGTCAAAATAAACCCATTGCATAATCTTACAGGGCACAGTTGAAAGACACTTGTTGGATGTGCTGCTGTGGTTCCCATGGGAACAAGAACATGGACTACAAAAGGCACAGGTTAGCTCTAGAGGGTGTGTAGCAGATGGATTGAGACACACGTGTTTGCTGGAGAATCAGAAGGGTTAAGCTCTGTAAATGTTTTGTCTGGTCTAGGGAAGAGGGATGTAGTCTGTAATTAACCAACAGTAAGTGGTTAATTACCGTAGACTAAACACTGGAACACTGGAGCTGTTATACAGTTGTTGGTTTGATCCAGTCTGTCATGGGCTGCATGCCTGCACCAGGAAAGACAACAAGCTTCCAAGAAACTCAGATTTGATGTACAACTTGTTCGCCAAGAGTCCTTTCAGTAGTTGCATTAAAGACTTGCATTAAAACACGAGGAACTTTATCTAGATGCAGAAAGACTGAATTGTTGATGAAAGTAAAGGTGACTCAATTAACTAGATTCTGCCGGACAGTGAGGTATTCACTGAACCAAATATTAAGATCAGGTACTCAACATGACAGGGTGGCAGGCTGAAAGTGTTATTCCACTCCTCTCCATCTCCATAACAGGCATTATTAAGATCAAGTTAAGAGATGACGGTTGCTTTGTGGAGAGGCTGGGAGGCAAAGTTGATAAACCCTCAGGAGTCCTTAAAAAAAAGTTACGTTCAGATCTCCAAAAGTACTATAAAAATATTATACATTAATATTTTTTTCCACTTTTTTCTGCTTAAATCTTTTAATCAACTTCATTCCCGATCAAATCTATCAAATGTTAATTCATTTTCAGAATTTTAACCCTTTAAATGCCAGTTTGACTATATGATGTCACTGTTATTTTTAATGGGAAAAAATGGAATTTGGAGTTATTTTCCACACATTTGATGCTGGGCAGGAATCTCTTTGTTTTTCTTTATCAAGGTCTATGATGTGTCAATAATTAACAACAACATTAATTCTGATGCATTATCATGTTAGTGTTACAGTATGTATAGGGTTTTTGTCACACAGTGAATATTGACCTGATATAATAATAGGTGGTAAAGTTTTAAAATTTGGAAGAAAAAAAAAACCCTGAAAAAAATCATCCCATTTGCATTAACACAGCCAAAATGATCAACAAATAAAAGGTAAAAAGTCACAAAAATGGACAAAAATGTCCTAAGAGCCCCAGAGGGTTAAAGAGAAGGGGTATTTGTTTTTGTTTTGTTTATCTCTGTTTGTGGTTTTTTTTTTTTTTTTTATATGACAGATATGGAAATTAATCAGGTACACAAGGGGACTTTTTGTCATATTAACAAAGAAGAATTCTGTACCTGCAAGTGGAGCTGGTGATCGTCTGTTGCCAGCAGCTATCAAGTGGATGTTGCATCTCTGTTGGGGGGATTTTCTTTAGCCATTGAGGTCATCCTTGAGGGTGGTGGAGCTGTGTCACTCAAATACCTAGGATACTTTGGAGCTAGATTTCTGGAGCCAAAGGCCTCTGAAAACCATCATAAAACAAGGACCTTCTACACCTGGATAACATCACTCAGGCTCCCAAAATATGTTGTTCTTTGTTATTACCCTACATGGACTCTCCTTCAGGTAAACAAGATGCAAGAAGAATGTTTGGAAATGTGGGCAGTTATATATACATGAACAGTCTCAAAACCAGTCTTTGTTACACTTGTGCCATGATGAAGCTGTAACCCAGATCTGCAACCAGTAAAGCTTGTCAAAATGATCATTCGTGTGGACCTTCCATTCTTTAAAGTGAGAGCATGGGCTAGGCATTCTCACAATCTCCCAGGGCAGATGGGACAAATGACTGGATACAGGCTAGCCCTCCATATGAGCCTTTGGTGTAGTCATCAACAAGAAGGTGAGGCAGGAAGAGGGTATGCTGCTAACTGAATACCTCCCTAAAATTATAATAAGTGGAGAGAATGGTGGATACGTTAGGAGGCTGATGGAAAGCTCAAAGCAAAGCAACCTCCACAGGGCACCATATAGACTGCTAACAGCTGGATGAAGAGAGGTGGCTCCAGCTCATGGTTTTGTTAGATGTCCAGTGGATATTGGGATTATGCAAGCCCAAAGTTCTCTGGCACACGCATCAGGCTGTGGTGGTGGGTTGTGATGTTAATTTTGCAGAGCAGAGATGTTAAAAACTTTTGTAAAGGAAGCAAGGGTTAGTTAATTTAGTTTGCTGATTGCCCTTTCTGTACAACCATTCTGGACCTGTAGAGCTCACTCTCATACATTGCTGGAGCAGTAGGACCGTGCTCCATAAGGTTGTTCTGCAAGATTGAACTGAAACCTTAAAGGCTTTTACTCAGACAGACTGGCCAAGTTGTTTCTTAAACTTGAATTCCCTTGGGAAATGCTCTCTTGTAAACAGTGCAAACGGTGACCTCTTACCTTACCCATGTTTCTCATTTCAACAGGTCTGTCGACTTCCTGTTCCCTGCGTACCCTGCTTCCTTGATCACCCAGATGTGTCTCACCTGTGTCTTGTAAATTCCACTCCTCTGGTATGTGTAAGCTCTGAGTTCTCCCTTGTAGCGATTTGAATTTATAATAAATGTCTGAAGATTAATAATCTCAAATTATGATATTTATGCACTCGTTGAAAGGGGCACCACTCACCCTTAATGGTGGGAAAATAAAGAAAAACAAAAGTTTAATTCAGAAATCAAACATTACGTCAATCTTAAATTAATCAATCTCATATCTTAATCCGAAATTCTCATTTCAGGGACGAACACTAACAGACAAGAACTTAGAAAAATAATGATCTGTTTATTACAAGATAAATGATGGTACAACATACATGCAATAAATGATGATAAGATAATGAGGATAAATAATAATAGGTGAATAATAAAAGATTCTGAGTCAGGCTAGGAGCACTAAAGTTAATGATAGTGAGTGAATATGCGCTAACATGTTAACCAACACTAACTTTGGTGTCAAGATAAATTTGGATGTGGATTTGGATGAGCCTAGGATTACCAGAATAGGTGAATATCTGAGTTATGACCGCATGAGAGATGAGACAGCATCAGCCCTGTTTGGATCTCTGGAGGTTTGCATACTTATGTAAGACCGGTCCTTGGAGAAGATGGAGCAGGTTCCAAAGTCCAGGGCTACCGGCGGTTTGAGCGGTTCAGCTCAGAAGACGACTGAAGTCAGCCAAAGGATGGGCCAGGAGTTGTAGCACTCGGGCCCGAAGCAAAGCCAGCGCCTGTGGATCCTGTGGATGCTCGTTTGGATGCTTCTTTGGTCTCACTCAAAAACTCTGGCACAGAGGATGACTTTGGGCCTGCTGGGTGGCGTTCAGAGGTGACTTTGAAATCACGCAGATAACTCAGGAAAAAGAGGATCAATAACCAGTGGAAACTGTTTCAAAAATGGCTTCGCAAAATTACAGAAAAATCAATTAAAGGCTCGATCTTGAATTGCTACAAAAAGTTGAAGTTTCAAAACTTGAACTAAGACGATGTACAAGAAAAATCAACGTGAATGAACACGTGGCGTAAAACTTAGAAGACTAAGAAAAACTAAGACTAAGTAGTAAGAGCTAAGAGAAAACAAAGAGTTGAACTGAAGAGTAGAAGAGCAAAGAGAGTGTGTAAGAAAATAAGCGAACAAGAGCATAAGCGAACAAAAGTGTGAGCAACCCCACTTCACTGGTTTTATCTTCTCACACTGGGAGTGTCTCTGGTGTGTGTGTGTGAGGAGAAAGAGGAGGGGTCGTAGGGTCTCCATCTGCAGAGGAGACCTCGGATCTCTGATTATTTGATCTAACTTTTACTTTTGGCTGGTAAAAGAGTCAGATCTGATACTCACTCACTTTGATTAATATCATTGAATGCTTGGTTTCATGATAAATAATTTGATACTAAACACATATGAATGAAATGTAGGATCACATCAAACATTCTCATTATGTTTTAAGTATCACACTGAACATGCTAAATTACTCTGAAATGAAACCGAGAGTAACACATAGAAACTGTGAACAACAAAAGAGTAAACATGTGAATGAACTTCATCATGATTAATAATGGATTCTAAATACTCACATTCAGATTATTCAATGACATTATAACCACCTAATGGTTAAAAATACTAAATAAGCAACTAAAATATAAACCAAACATTTCTAAACCATTTCTGTTACTTAGAGTACAGTTATGATTCACAGTCAATAAATTTAACTCTTAAAAGTTCATGAAACAGTCTGAAAAGCTGTTGGTCTAAAGAAACTAAAGAATAAAGGATTTATTCTGTCAGAGTGATCTGCTTCTGGAGCACATAGAAAAATGGGAAACATCTCATTTTAACACAAATTTCATGATTAGACAGATTAGTACATTGCTGAATGCATATGATGTCATGATCAGTCATTTGTATTCTTTCACCAAAGGAATGTAGTCTTTATCAGTGTGTTGTTGAGCAGGGTTTTACGACCGAGGTCTGGAGGTCAGTGTCCTGTTCCTCAGACCTTATCTTGGGGTCCGTATGTTCACACACTTTAAGATAGTAAATCTCCGAATTGACCAATCGTGAAGAGCCAGAGGTTTAGGTCAACCTCCGATCGGGTCAGTTAGGTAACCTGAAAGTGGAAATAAGATTGGAAAGATTTATATCCTGTGTCCTGGGACCAGATAAGGAAACTTTCCTGTTAGGAATATGTGAGTTTCACAGACATAGTTGTCTTGATTGCTACACCCCCTTGTCTTGTCCTTGCATCTGGGTTCATTGATTCAGTATCACTCTAAAGCGAGATTTTTGCCTGTGCCTATGGGACCTTAAAGTTCAACTTAAGCACAAATTAACTTTAACAACCGGAGCACACACAGAGCTCAGTTTACACAGCCTCGGTAAGGAAGGCTGATGTGTATCCTCTGGGGGTGTGAAATGATCTATGACTAGGCTCTCCACCTGCTGAGTTGTCCTTTGGTAGTGGTGTGTCCCTCTCTGACAGCTCTGCACTGAATGCACTGAGAAAGGTTCTTTCTTGAGTTTAGACCAGTAAACCCAAGGTGATCAAAACACCAGTTTCTAGGTCAGACAAATAAATACAACAAACACAGCATACACATTAAGCCTACAACTTACAACATACCTAAGAACAACATTACAGTCCATAAGTACACCACAATTTACTTAAGCTATCATACTGATTGTGCATTTCAACTAATACCCAGATGGCTATTGGTAGATGTTAGCAGCAAAAGGAAATTACTGGACCTTAGTTCCTCAGTCCTGGATGTGGAGTAATCCAGACTTGCATTGTAGATTGAACACTGGACAGGTCAGAAACCTTTTCTTAACACTGCTTTCTGAGTTGTTGGTTTTAATGTTACTGTCACAGAAATCTGATCAAAGTCCATGATAACTCAAGTGAAGATGAGGTTTGGACTTAGTTTGCACAATCATCTACTGCTGAGTTGAGATTGCTTTTTTATTTTTGATTGATAACCTTTTTTCCTTGTGTCATGACACACAAATAAAACACCTCATACAACAATAATATGCAAGGCGTTATCAAATGTTTAATGAAAAAGGCTGTGCTATGTTATGCAACCTGAGGGTCCCAAGAACCTTTGTACACACTCTACTTGTTTTTCACCCACCTTGTCCAGCACTGACAAGTGTTGTCATTCTGTGAGTGGACCATTTGGGTGCAAGACCAAGTTTTGTGAAGCACTGCAAAGTTATAAGTTAGAAAAAAGAGGTTTTTTCTTGCTGCTACTTTTTCTCTCTCTGTAACAATGTGGCTTTCTACTTTTTTACTGGGCTTAGACCTCAAGGGGCTATTCCTGTTCCTTTTTATTTTCATCATAATAGCAGACTACCTCAAAAACCGGAAACCTCCTAATTATCCTCCAGGACCATGGGGTTTGCCAGTAATTGGGAATATCCTCAGCATGGACAGTAAACATCCAGAAATATATTTCACCAAGGTAAGGGTTTTTTGTTGTCTTACATTTTGCGTAAAATAAATGGCTCTTAACTGTAAGAAAACTGCTTAGTTGCTTTATGAATGCTTAACCAGCTAGCATTGACATTGTGCCCCAGGAACAACATGTGTTCCTCAATGTGTATTTTTCTTGACATGTTAAATTGATATGTGTATGGCTCATCAGTTTTTATTCATTGGTGTTTTATGTGCAGCTGGCTGACATTTTGGGGAATGTGTTCAGCGTCCGCTTTGGCCGTGACAAGATGGTGGTGGTGTCCGGATACAAAGCAGTGAAGGAAGCCATCATAACACAAGCTGAGAACTTTGTTGATCGACCGAGCAGTCCAGTCCAGAATAGATTTTACTTGGATTCCTCAGGTTTACAAATCTCCATCATGTCCTTTTTTACGGTGTATGAACCATTATCAAGCTGAGCAATTTCATTTTATCTGCATGCATTTGTCTAGGTGGTCTGTTCATGAGCAATGGTGAAACATGGAAGAGACAGCGGCGCTTTGCCTTGTCAACGTTACGTAGTTTTGGCTTGGGCAAAAACACCATGGAGCAGAGAATCTGTGAGGAGATCAGACATCTGCAGGAGGAGATAGAGAACGAAAAAGGTGGTCCACAAGTTCAACACTTGTACATCATCAGCAGCATCAATTATGCAGCAGTACAGCATGGTCTAAAGGTGTATTTCTTTCCTGCAGGTGAAGCTTTTAACACAGCAAGTGTTTTCAACAAAGCTGTGTCCAACATCATTTGCCAACTGGTTATGGGGAAGAGGTTTGACTATAGTGACCACAACTTCCAACACATGCTGAAATGTCTGTCAGAGCTAATTATGCTGGAGGGATCTGTATGGACTTGGGTGGGTCAATATTATCACAACATTTTGGTGGTACAAAGACAGTCAGTACTTTTGACTCAATTAGAGGCCCATGTGTTATCAGATAAAGTGAGCTATAATGGTAGTGAGAGTTTTTCTCATCTGTTTTCTTGTAGTTTTATGAATCATTCCCTGCAATGATGAAGCATTTGCCAGGTCCTCACAATAAAATGTTCCGCCACTTTGACACTGTTCGAGAATTCATCAGCCAGGAAGTGCAGAGGCACAAAATAGACCTTGACTGCAACAATCCTCGGGACTACATTGATACTTTCATCATTGAAATGGAAAAAGTAAGTGAGGAAATGCACTCCACACTATATATTATAGTCCTACTCCTCAGTTGCACTCCTTGACTCTTTTGTCTTTTCTGCATTTCTTATCAGCACAAAGAGACCAATGTGGGTTTCACTGAGGCCAATCTAGCCGTATGCTCTATGGACCTGTTCCTGGCTGGAACAGAGACGACTGCCACCACTTTGCTGTGGGCTTTGGTTTTCCTCATCAACAACCCCGATATCCAGGGTAGGTGAGACTCAAGTACCTTCAGCTTTCTAACTGAAAAACAACAAGAAAACAAGACAACAATCATACTAGAGACTTTGAAATGCTTAGCTATAATATTTGATATTATTAGATTTTCGTAAGAAGTTCCTCCTCTTGCTCAGTGTTTGATGAGCAAGAGGAGGAACTTCTTACGCAATTTGATGCAACTTCTTCCATTCTAGCCATGATGTCACTCACTCTGGCACAAAGATTCCATGCAATACACATCCATTGTAATCTTAAAGGTACTCCAAAAAAGTTCATGGTCATTGAATGGTGAGGGATCAAAAACTACAATACATATTGAAACATGGATTCATGCACCATTAGACTTAGATTTATGTCTACATTTTAAAGGTGGAATATAGTCACTAGGTAAAAGTATGTCGGAGTAATAGATATTTGAAAACCCCAACAATTGTTGGTTTTTTTTTTTTTTTTGTCCTATTGACTTTAATGCAAAAATTTTCCACAGTTATTCATATACATATACAATAAATAAAAGTAATAGCATAGCGATCATGATCAAACCACACGTTTTGAAACATAATTTGTCCTACAACTTTTCAAGCTGTAGGACTAGTAGTGAATCAAATTTTGTCCAGAAGAGGAATAAAAAAAAATCCAGTGTGACAACAGTGCCTCGATGCATTTGCCTATTTAAGCTACAGCTAACTTCAGTTCAACTGTTAGCTTATTAGTACCAAGAATTGGTAAGACTACAGATATTCATGGTGATTCTGTTACAGGAAAAAAGTCAGGGATCTTTCAGTTTAGAAATGTCATTTTGATTTTTGCTTCCGATCCCCTAAAGTTTTTTTCCCTCACTTTAATTGATTTTTAGCCAAGGTTCAGGCAGAGATTGACACAGTGATTGGACAGAACCGCCTGCCCACCATGGCTGACAGATCAAACCTGCCCTACACTGATGCTGTCATCCATGAGATCCAGAGATATGGAAATATTGTTCCTCTTAATGGACTCAGAGTGGCCGCCAAGGACACAACACTGGGTGGTTACTTCATCCCTAAGGTAGGTCTTTTCATTAGCTGGATCATCTGAAATATGGTAATAATGTTGTTTGAAGTATCAGCAATGTTAACCCCTCAATCTTGTTTTTCAGGGTACAAGTCTGATGCCCGTTCTGACCTCTGTTCTGTTTGACAAGACTGAATGGGAGACCCCAGACAGCTTTAACCCTGGACACTTCCTCAACTCTGAGGGAAAGTTTGTGAAGAGAGACGCTTTCCTGCCTTTCTCAGCAGGTTAACTACTTTTACCTAAAGTTTAGTCAAAGCCAGAATACAAGTTTTTTTCTTCAATCTTTCCAAGATTTTAAGTGTTTTAAGTGTTATAATTGTTGTCATTTGTCATTTCAGGAAAACGTGTATGTCTTGGAGAAAGTCTTGCCAAGATGGAGCTGTTTCTGTTTTTTGTTGGTTTACTCCAGAAGTTTTCTTTCTCTGTTCCTGATGGTGTTGAGCTCAATTATGAAGGAGTTAGTGGAACAACACGTGTACCACAGCCATTCAACGTGTATGCTAAAGTGCGTTGAACTGGTGTGTGTTTTCTCTTATGTGCTGAGGGCATTTTAACCTTTCATTTATACATTTTCAGGAAAAATATGGCTTAACCAATAAATAATCAAGTTATCATACACAGTTTTGCCTTTCATTTTGAACCTGGGGCCAATATTACTCAATGTATAAGAAAGAACTGAGCTTATTATGCCTTCATAACCCAAAACTGCCTTGCACAAGAACAACCTCCCCATTGTCAAAGAAACAGCAGTAGCTGACTGGAACTGTATGAAAACTATCCAAAAAAACAATATCTCATGACCCTTAGCATATAAATCAAAGGCTGGCACACAAGTTCATTGAGGGATATCTGTGTGCTATCTGGCTTCACTCATCCTCAAAAGCTGGCAGGCTATTCAGTTACAGCACACCAATGGACAAAGGAGATGGGAGTGGATGTTCAGAAGGCTGGAAAAACAGCACAAAACAACACAGAGCTAAATCCCCCCTTGGATTACAAACTCAAATAGTGGATGTGAGATGAAAATTACTCATACAAGACTGTCACTGGAAAAGCCAGGAAGAAGGACGGTGCCGTGGAGAGCAGCCCAAACCAGCTGGATTTGTAAGATCACAATACCAAAAGATCACAAAGGAACTACAAGATCCTGCTTTTCTATTGGTTGTTGTGCTACAACCAATAGAAAAGGTTTAAAAAATATGTCCAGTTGGGAACAACACAAATCAAAGTTTTGTATTTGAATTAAAGTTTTAAAAAATGCATATATCATAAATGTTTAACCAATGGGATCTAATCAGTGATTTATGGTGTTTATTTTGAAATTGACCAGGTACTCTATGCCACTCTCATATCTAACTTATTGGTCAGATCAGTCTGCTCTCTTCAAGTCTCTGCATGATGTACAATTGTTGTGTCAAAATAAACCCATTGCATAATCTTACAGGGCACAGTTGAAAGACACTTGTTGGATGTGCTGCTGTGGTTCCCATGGGAACAAGAACATGGACTACAAAAGGCACAGGTTAGCTCTAGAGGGTGTGTAGCAGATGGATTGAGACACATGTGTTTGCTGGAGAATCAGAAGGGTTAAGCTCTGTAAATGTTTTGTCTGGTCTAGGGAAGAGGGATGTAGTCTGTAATTAACCAACAGTAAGTGGTTAATTACTGTAGACTAAACACTGGAACACTGGAGCTGTTATACAGTTGTTGGTTTGATCCAGTCTGTCATGGGCTGCATGCCTGCACCAGGAAAGACAACAAGCTTCCAAGAAACTCAGATTTGATGTATAACTTGTTCACCAAGAGTCCTTTTAGTAGTTGCATTAAAGACTTGCATTAAAACACGAGGAACTTTATCTAGATGCAGAAAGACTGAATTGTTGATGAAAGTAAAGGTGACTCAATTAACTAGATTCTGCCAGACAGTGAGGTATTCACTGAACCAAATATCAAGATCAGGTACTCAACATGACAGGGTGGCAGGCTGAAAGTGTTATTACCACTCCTCTCCATCTCCATAACAGGCATTATGAAGATCAAGTTAAGAGATGACGGTTGCTTTGTGGAGAGGCTGGGAGGCAAAGTTGATAAACCCTCAGGAGTCCTTAAAAAAAAGTTACGTTCAGGTCCTTAGATGGACAAAAATGTCCATCTCCATAAGTACTATAAAATATTATACATTAATATTTTTTTCCACTTTTTTCTGCTTAAATCTTTTAATCAACTTCATTCCTGATCATATCTATCAAATATTAATTCATTTTCAGAATTTTAACCCTTTAAATGCCAGTTTGACTATATGATGTCACTGTTATTTTTAATGGCAAAAAAATGGAATTTGGAGTTATTTTCCACACATTAGATGCTGGGCAGGAATTTCTTTGTTTTTCTTTATCAAGGTCTATGATGTGTCAATAACTAACAACAACATTATTTTGATGCATTATTAGATGCATTATTATGTTAGTGTTACAGTATGTATAGGGTTTTTGTCACACAGTGAATATTGACCTGATATATAATAATAGGTGGTAAAGTTTTAAAATTTGGAAGAAAAAGAAAACCCTGAAAAAAATCATCCCATTTGCATTAACACAGCCAAAATGATCAACAAATAAACGGTAAAAAGTCACCAAAATGGACAAAAATGTCCTAAGAACCCCAGAGGGTTAAAAAGAAGGGGTATTTGTTTTTTTTTTTTTTTTTTTTTTTTTTTTGATATGACAGACATGGAAATTGATCAGGTACACAAGGGGACTTTTTGTCATATTAACAAAGAAGAATTCTGTACCTGCAAGTGGAGCTGGTGATCGTCTGTTGCCAGCAGCTATCAAGTGGATGTTGCATCTCTGTTGGGGGGATTTTCTTTAGCCATTGAGGTCATCCTTGAGGGTGGTGGAGCTGTGTCACTCAAATACCTAGGATACTTTGGAGCTAGATTTCTGGAGCCAAAGGCCTCTGAAAACCATCATAAAACAAGGACCTTCTACACCTGGATAACATCACTCAGGCTCCCAAAATATGTTGTTCTTTGTTATTACCCTACATGGACTCTCCTTCAGGTAAACAAGATGCAAGAAGAATGTTTGGAAATGTGGGCAGTTATATATACGTGAACAGTCTCAAAACCAGTCTTTGTTACACTTGTGTCATGATGAAGCTGTAACCCAGATCTGCAACCAGTAAAGCTTGTCAAAATGATCATTCGTGTGGACCTTCCATTCTTTAAAGTGAGAGCATGGGCTAGGCATTCTCACAATCTCCCAGGGCAGATGGAATAAATGACTGGATGCAGGCTAGCCCTCCATATGAGCCTTTGGTGTAGTCATCAACAAGAAGGTGAGGCAGGAAGAGGGTATGCTGCTAACTGAATACCTCCCTAAAATTACAAAGCAACCTCCACAGGGCACCATATAGACTGCTAACAGTTGGATGGAGAGATGAGGCTCCAGCTCATGGTTTTGTTAGATGTCCAGTGGATATTGGGATCATGCAAGCCCAAAGTTCTCTGGCACACTCATCAGGCTGTGGTGGTGGCGTGTTATGTTAATTTTGCAGAGCAGAGATGTTAAAAACAGTTTAGTAAGGCAAGCAAGGGTTAGTTAATTTAGTTTGCTGATTGCCCTTTCTGTACAACCATTCCGGACCTGTAGAGCTCACTCTTATACATTGCTGGAGCAGTAGGACCGTGCTCCATTGTTCTGCAAAACTGAACTGAAACCTGAAAGGCTTTCACTCAGACAGACTGGCCAAGTTGTTTCTAAAACTTGAATTCCCTTGGGAAATGCTTTCTTGTAAACAGTGCAAACGGTGACCTCTTACCTTACCCATGTTTCTCATTTCAACAGGTCTGTCGACTTCCTGTTCCCTGCGTACCCTGCTTCCTTGATCACCCAGATGTGTCTCACCTGTGTCTTGTAAATTCCACTCCTCTGGTATGTGTAAGCTCTGAGTTCTCCCCCTTGTTTTTTCCTTGCATCTGGGTTCATTGGTTTAGTATCACTCTAGGGTGAGATTTTTGCCTGTGCATATGGGACTTTAAAGTTCAAATTAAGCACAAATTAACTTTAACAACCAGAGCACACACAGAGCTCAGTTTACACAGTCTTGGTAAGGAAGGCTGATGTGTATCCTCTGGGGGTGTGAAATGATCTCTGACTAGGCTCTCCACTTGCTGAGTTGTCCTTTGGTAGTGGTGTGTCCCTGGTGGTGTAGATGTTAGCAGCAACAGGAAATAACTGGACCTTAGTTCCTCAGTCCTGGATGTGGAGCAATCCAGACTTGCATTGTAGATTGAACACTGGACAATCTTGCATAATCATCTATTGCTGAGTTGAGATTGCTTTTTATTTTTGATTGATAACCCTTTTATCCTTGTGTCATGACACACAAATAATAAAACACCTCATAAAACAATAATATGCAAGGCGTCATCAAATGTTGAAAAAGGTTGTGCTATGTTATGTAACCTGAGGGTCACATGAACCTTTGTACACACTCTACTTGTTTTTTTTGTCCAGCACTGACAAGTGTTGTCATTCTGCGAGTAGACCATTTGGGTGCAAGACAAAAGTTTTGTGAAGCACTGCAAACTTATTGGTTCAAGTTAGATAGAAGAGGTTTTTTTTGTTGCTACTTTCTCTCTCTCTCTGTAACAATGTGGCTTTCTACTTTTTTGCTGGGCTTAGACCTCAAGGGGCTATTCCTATTCCTTTTTATTTTCATCATAATAGCAGACTACCTCAAAAACCGGAAACCTCCTAATTATCCTCCAGGACCATGGGCTTTGCCGGTCATTGGGAATATCCTCAGTATGGACAGTAAACATCCAGAAAAATATTTCTCCAAGGTAAGGGTTTTTTGTTGTCTCACATTTTGCGTAAAATAAATGTCTCTTAACTGTAAGAAAACTGCTAAGTTGCTTTATGAATGTTTAACCAGCTAGCATTGACATTGTTCCCCAGGAACAACATGTGTTCCTCTATGTTTATTTTTCTTGACATGTTAAATTGATATGTGTGTGGCCCATCAGTTTTTATTCATTGGTGTATTATGTGCAGCTGGCTGACATTTTGGGGAATGTGTTCAGCGTCCGCTTTGGCCGTGACAAGATGGTGGTGGTGTCCGGATACAAAGCAGTGAAGGAAGCCATCATAACACAAGCTGAGAACTTTGTGGACCGACCAGATAGTCCAGTCCAGGATAGATTTAACTTGGATTCCTCAGGTTTACAAATCTCCATCATGTCCTTTTTTATGGTGTATGAACCATTATCAAGCTGAGCAATTTCATTTTTTCTTCATGCATTTGTCTAGGTGGTCTGTTCATGAGCAATGGTGAAACATGGAAGAGACAGCGACGCTTTGCCTTGTCAACGTTACGTAGTTTTGGCTTGGGCAAAAACACCATGGAGCAGAGTATCTGTGAGGAGATCAGACATCTGCAAGAGGAGCTAGAGAACGAAAAAGGTGGTCCGCAGGTTCAACACTTGTACATCATCAGCAGTATCATTTATGCAGCAGTACAGCATGGTCTAAAGATGGACTTCTTTCCTGCAGGTGAAGCTTTCAACCCAGCAAGTGTTTTCAACAAAGCTGTGTCCAACATCATTTGCCAACTGGTTATGGGGAAGAGGTTTGACTATAGTGACCACAACTTCCAACACATGCTGAAATGTCTGTCAGAGCTAATTATGCTGGAGGGATCTGTATGGACTTGGGTGGGTCAATATTATCACAGCATTTTGGTGGTAAAAAGACAGTCAGTACTTTTGACTCAATTAGAGGCCCATGTGTTATCAGAAAAAGTGAGCTATAATGGTAGTGAGAGATTTTGTCATTTGTTTTCTTGCTTGTAGTTGTATGAATCATTCCCTACAGTGATGAAGCATTTGCCAGGTCCTCACAATAAAATGTTCAGCCACTTTGACACCATTCGAGAATTCATCAGCCAGGAGGTACAGAGGCACAAAATAGACCTTGACCGCAACAATCCTCGAGACTACATTGATACTTTCATCATTGAAATGGAAAAAGTAAGTGAGGAAATGCACTCCACACTCACTGCACTGAATTACACATTATAGCCCTCCTCCTCAGTTGCACTCATAGACTGTATGTACAATGGACAACTTGGCTCCGCCTTCCATCATTATCCGAACTTGAAGCCCAATTGCTTTTGGTATTTACAGGATTTTCCTTACTTCCTAGAACCACAACTTGTCCAGTAGCATTGTATGATTTTGGCGGGAGAGTCGCTGTGATGATGCTCTGCGCAAACAGCATATCCCCCTGGATGAGCTACACGATCTTCATACGCCCATAGTGTTTCAAGTGTCAATCATAGAAAACATAAACCCTTATAACTTTTAAATGGAGCTGCACAGAAAAAAGAGTACTTGAGCACTCCCGCCAAAATCGTACAGTCTTACAATAACTTCTTGTCAACATCGCATCCAGGTTGACGGTGTCTGTTCTATATACAGTCTATGGTTGCACTCCTTGACTCTTTTGTCTCCCCTGCATTTCCAATCAGCAGAAAGAGACCAGTGTTGGTTTTACTGAGACCAATCTGACTGCATGCTCTGCAGACCTGTTCCTGGCTGGAACAGAGACGACTTCCACCACTTTGCTGTGGGCTTTGGTTTTCCTCATCAAAAACCCCGATATCCAGGGTAGGTGAGACTCAAGTACCTTTAGTTGACTAACTGAAAACTATAAGAAAAAAAGACCACAGTCATACTAGAGGCTTTGAAATGCTTAGCTATAATAGTTGATATTATTACATTGTTGTTAAAAGTTCCTCCTCTTGACGTGTAACAGGAGGAACTTTTCTTAGCAATGTCAATGGCTTTTTTTATTTATTTATTTTTTAAATCAGAGACAGTGCAAGACGTTTCAATTAGGAGCAGAGAGAGACATTGTTGCACTTAAAGGCTCTGTATTTATTTTCTGTAAGTCTCTCTACTTAGATGAACAAATCTTTAGAGACAGAATAAGTATGTCTACAACTGTGAAAAAAAACATGTATTTAGAGTGTAGTTTGTGCTGAGAGGAGCATGGAAAGAGAAAAGTTTCAGACAATTTGATACAACTTCTCTCAAGCCAAAAACATACAGGATCCGTATTTAGCCTGTTCCGTATTTGCTCCGTAGAGCCTCTACTGTATGTGAAAAAGCAACGTGATTTTACATTTTCAGTTTTCTCGTGTTTAATAAACTATGTTCCTTTATGCTGTGCTGTTACCTTCAGACAGTGTTAACAGTTACAAAACCCAATTCCATTGAAGTTGGGAAAACAGAATACAATGATTTGCAAATCCTTTTCAACCTTTATTCAATTGAATACACCACAACAACAAGATATTTAATGTTCAAACCCATAAACTTTTTTTTTTTTTTGCAAATAATAATTAACTTTAGAATTTGATGGCAGCAATACGTGATAAAGAAGTTGTTAAAAGTGGCAAAAAATACTGAGAAATTTGATCCCACAGGTGAGCAGGCTAATTGGGAACAGGTGGGTGCCATGATTGGGTATAAAAGCAGCTTCCCCAAAAATTCTCAGTCATTCACAAGCAACGATGGGGTGAGGTTCACCACGATGTGAACAACTGCGTGAGCAAATAGTCAATCAGTTTAAGAACAACATTTCTCAAAGTACAATTGCAAGGAATTTAGGGATTTCAACATCTACGGTCCATAATATCATCAAAAGGTTCAGAGAATCTGGAGAAATCACTGCACATAAGTGGCATGACCGAAAACCAACATTGAATGCCCGTGACCTTCGATCACTCAGGCGGCACAATATCATAAACCGACATCAATGTGTAAAGGATATCACCACATGGACTCAGGAACACTTCAGAAAACCACTGTCAGTAAATACAGTTTGTCACTACATCTGTGAGTGCAAGTTAAAACTCTACTATGCAAAGCAAAAGCCATTTATCAACAACATTCAGAAACGCCGCCAGCTTCTTTGGGCCCGAGCTCATCTAAGATGGACTGATGCAAAGTGGAAAAGTGTTCTGTGATCTGACGAGTCCACATTTCAAATTGTTTCTGAAAATAGTGGACACTGCGTCCTCTGGGCCAAAGAGGAAAAGAACCATCCGGACTGTTATTGATGCAAAGTTCCAAAGCCAGCATCTGTGATGGTATGGGGGTGCATTAGTGCCCAAGGCATGGGTAACTTACACATCTGTGAAGACAACATTAATGCTGAAAGGTACATACAGGTTTTGGAGCAACATATGCTGCCATCCAAGCAACGTCTTTTTCATGGACGCCCCTGCTTATTTCAGCAAGACAATGCCATGCCACATTCTGCACATGTTACAACAGCGTGGCTTGGTAGTAAAAGAGTGCGGGTACTTGACTGGCCTGTCTGCAGTCCAGTCTCCCATTGAAAATGTGTGGTGCATTATGAAGCGTAAAATATGACAACGGAGACCCCGAACTTTGAGCAAGAGTGGGAAAGAATTCCACCTTCAAAGCTCCAACAATTAATCTCCTCAGTTCCCAAACGTTATCTGAGTGTTGTTAAAAGTAAAGGTGATGTGACACAGTGGGAAACATAGCCCAGTCCCAACTACTTTGGCAGGTGTTGCAGCCATGAAATTCTGAGTTAATTATTGTTTGCAAAAAAAATTAAGTTTATGAGTTTAAACATTAAATATCTTTTCTTTGTAGTGTACTCAATTGAATATAGGTTGAAAAGGAATTGCAAATCATAGTATCCTGTTTTTATTTACGTTTATCACAATTTCTCAACTTCATTGGAATTCAAAAAGTCCTGTTGGGGTCCACATGGATCCGGGATTGAACATCAGATTGTTCTGTGTTACTGATAAATTCAAAACCAGGAAGTATTTCTCATCTACAATGACTGAGACACAGTCAGGAGTCCGCATATGGTGTTTTATTTTGATATACCAGATGACATGCAGGGTTTCATGTTTGACTTCCTGTTTAGAATGATCTTCTCTGTGTGGATTGATGTGCATTTGAAACGCGGAGCCACAAAAATATACTTGCCACGTATCTTTTGCAGTGCTGCTCTGGATACGATGCTGCAACAGAGCTGATACACGTTCTGTATGCTTTGCTGTATTGATTAGAATGGCAACCTAATAGGATGTGTATTTGCTGCCACGCTCCAAATACACATCCTATATGTTTCAGCCTCCACTCTAGTCGATGATGTCACTCACTCTGGCATGCAATATACATCCATTAAAATCTCAAAACTTCTCCAAAAATGTTCATGGTTATTGAACAGTGAGGGATCAAAAAGATTTGTGTCTACATTTTAAAGTTGAAATATAGTCTCTAGATGAAAGTATGTCGGAGTAATAGACATTTGAAAAAACCCAACAATTGTACTTCTTTTTCTTTTGTCCTATTGACTTTAATGCAAAAATTTTCCAGTTATTCATATACATATACAATAAAGAAAAGTAAAAGCACAGCGTTCATGATCAAACCACACATTTTGAAACATAATTTGTCCTACAACTCTTCAAGCTGTAGGACTAGTAGTAAATCCAATTTTGTCCAGAAGAGGAATAAAAAAAACAATTCCAGTGTGACAACAGTGCCTCGGTGCATTTGCCTCATTGTCTTAATTAGGCTACAGCTAACTTCAGTTCAAATGTTAGCTTATTAGTACCAAGAATTGGTAAGACTACAGATATTCATGGTGATTCAGCTCCAGGAAAACAGTCAGGTATCTTTCAGTTTAGAAATGTGATTTTGATTTTTGCTCCCAATCCCCTAAAGTTTATTTCCCTCACTTTAATTGTCTTTTAGCCAAGGTTCAAGCAGAGATTGACACAGTGATTGGACAGAACCGCCTGCCCACCATGGCTGACAGACCAAACCTGCCCTACACTGATGCTGTCATCCATGAGATCCAGAGATATGGAAATATTGTTCCTCTTAATGGACTCAGAATGGCCGCCAAGGACACAACACTGGGTGGTTACTTCATCCCTAAGGTAGGTCTTTTCATTAGCTGGAGCATCTGAAATATGGTAATAATGTTGTTTGAAGTATCAGCAATGTTAACCCCTCAATCTTGTTTTTCAAGGGTACAACTCTGATGCCCATCCTGACCTCTGTCTTGTTTGACAAGAATGAATGGGAGACCCCAGACAGATTTAACCCTGGACACTTCCTTAACTCTGAGGGAAAGTTTGTGAGCCGAGAAGCTTTCCTGCCTTTCTCTGCAGGTCAACCACTTTTTCCTAAAGTTCAGTCAAAGCCAGAATACAAGTTTTTTTCTTCAACCTTTACCATATTAAAGAGGTTTAAGTGTTGTCATTTGTCATTTCAGGAAAACGTGTATGCCTTGGAGAAAGTCTTGCCAAGATGGAGCTGTTTCTGTTTTTTGTTGGTTTACTCCAGAAGTTTTCTTTCTCTGTTCCTGATGGTGTTGAGCTCAGTACAGAGGGAATCATTGGAGCCACACGTGTACCGCACCCTTTCAAGGTGTATGCTGAAATGCGTTGAACTGGACAACACTCCCTCGGGTCATTCCTCATTTAATAATTGTGTGCTCCCTTATGTGCTGAGGGCATTTTAACCTTTCATTTAAAAAAACATTTTTCACACCAATTCCTTTTGATAAACAGGAAAATATATATAAAAATGTCAACATATTTTTACAATTCCATAAAATTGCATGGCAAGCTGCACAGATGATGTCATGTAGTAGAATAGTTATGTTATTTAAAATGAATTATAAATTAAAACCACTTAAAAATGGAAAACATTCTTAAACGACAAATGAATGACTTGTTTCAAACATGAAATACTTGTAAAAAACAATTCACAGAGAGAAGAGAATCAATATGGCATAACCAATAAATCATCTACTCATCATCACACACAGTTTTGTCTTTCATTTTGAACCTGGGGCCAATATTACTCAATGTATTAGACAAAACTGAGCTTATTAGACCTTCATAACCCTTCCCTTCTCACAGCTTACAGCGTACGACCTGACAGTGTGTACCCCAATAAATCAACCAATCTTTATTTATTTGGAGCCAATTTACAAGTGTAACCACAAGACAATTAACAAACCGCACTCTTTATGGTATTTACAAAGACCCAATGTACAAGTGAGATAAGACTGAGCCCCGTTTTAAAAGATCAGACCCACTCTGCTCCCATCTTCAACCACATGAGAGTGGCACTGCACAGCTTTAAGCAAATAACAATAGAGAGGAAAAACTTCCTTTTGACAGACAGAAACCTTGAGCAAAACTGGGCTCATGTAAGACAGCCATCTGCTGCCGAAGCATTGAGTTCAGAGAGGGGCCAGAGGGAGATGCACAAAGAGAAGGACAAAGGTGAGACTGATATATGTAATTGAAGTAGCTGAAAAGCAGCAGATCCATGGCAGCAAAACGTGAGTAAGAGTGTTCACAAAGAGTCTTTAATCCATTTACAAGTTCAGTGCACAGAGGATCAGTCAGCGAAGGCAGAGGTACAAAGTCAGGCAGCCAAAAATCAGAAAACGAGGTCAGACAGAAAAAGTCGAAACGCAGGAGCTAAACTAGAAAAGGGCCGGATGAATCTACTGGGAGAATAGCGATACTCTGGCAGGGAAGCGAGGGAACACCAGGGCTTCAGATGGATGGGGTGGGAGGCTAAAAAGATGCATTTACAACACATTAGGGAGGGACCCAGTGATCAACAGTGAGGGAAGCAGCACAACAGGAACTGAGAGGGACGAGAGACAAGGGTTTACAAAATATAACAAGAAATAAGAAATTAACTTGACAGATACAAACAGTGCCTCCCAACAGCCAGCTCCTGATGGCCCTGGATCCAGGATCTTTAGGATGCCGATGACGATAGTCTTTGATGAGGGAGGGCTCCACAATGTTAGAAAATTAAACCCAAATCCACTCCTCTGGGCCATATAGGAGTCCACCAAGTATTTTCAGCCAATGACTTTGCATTACCAGCAGGCATTGCACGGTGTGTACTGGACCCCCATTGATGTTCCTGGGAGGAGGTAGGGGTTTGGAGAGGAGGACCAGGGGGCTGGATGTCACCAGTTTTACCCTGCCCACATGGGAGGTAGGGTGAACCTGCATGGTCGAGGGGAGTCTTAGTTTGATGGAAGCTGGGTTGATGACCTTGGACACAGGGAGGGGACAAATGCAGCATAGCAAGAGTTTGCAGAAAGTCATCCTCAGAGGCAGGTCCTAAGTAGACAGCCAAACCCTTTGACCCTTGTGGTAAGCAGGGGCTAGAGCCCTGTGATGACCCGCCATCTATTGCCTATTTTCTGAGGAGGGTCTGACAAGCCCACAGCCAGGCTCTGCAGCAATGACCCAGAAGCAGGGGTCATGTTAGTAGAGGCAGAGGGTAGCGAATTGTGAGCATACTCATTCCATACTAGTCTGTCAGCCCACGTAGAGGGATTGTGTAGTCAGGCACTGTAGGCCAATCTCCATTTCCTGGTCAATTTGCTCCTGCTGAGCGTTGGATTCAGGGTGATATCCCGATGTCAAATCTGCTTGAGCCCCTCGGGGTTTGCAGAAAGCCTACCAGAAAGGAGATGCAAATTGGGGACCCCAGTCAGAAAGCACCCTGCGAGGAAGACCATGAAGATGGAAAACATGTTGCATCAAAATCTAAGCTGTCTCTTTGAAAGATGGTAGCTTGGGGAGGGGGATGAAGTGAGAAATCTTGGAGAAACGATCAACTATGGTGAGAATTGTAGCTTATCCCTGTGATGGGGACAACTCTAAACCTACAAAGTCCACCATGATGTCTGACCAGGAGTGATGTGGGACAGGGAGAGGTTAAAGCAGGCCCGAGGAGGTCTCTGGGAGGTTTTATTTAGGCACTGGCTGTTTGGCCCCTTCCAGCCAGTGCCTTTACTCCAACAGTGCTTTCTTTATAGCCAGCAGCTCTCGATCTCCCATCCCGGAATTTCTTTCTGCAGGGCAATTTTTTATTTTTATTTTGGAGAGATAGGCACAGGGATGTAATCTTCTATCTTTCACTGATTTTTGAGACAGCACTGCCCCCACTCAAGTGTCTGAGGTGTCCGCTTCCACCACAAATTGCTGTTTGGGCAACAGGAGGGTCCAGCTCATGATTTCATTAGATGTCCAGTGGATATGGGGATTTTGCAAGCCCAAAGTTCTCTGACATGTTCATCAGGCTGTGGTGGTGGACCTGTACAGTTCCCTCTTACACACAGCTGGAGCAGTAGGACCGTGCTCAATGAAGTTGTTTTGCAAGATTGGACTGAATCCTTAAAGGTTTTGACTCAGACAGACTGGCCTAGTTGTATCTAAAACTTTAATTTCCTCGGGATGATCTCTTGTAAACAGCGCATATTATTACCTCTTTGTTTGAGATTTTTTGTCTTAAAACCAAAATAGCTGCACATATTTCTAACACATGTTTGTGGACAGGAAGTAGGCTCCTGCAAACCATAATGTTTGTGCCAGGTATGAGAAAGGAACTGGCTTGGATTCCGGGTGGCAGGATAATCTTTTTTGAGCACATGGTGCTGTCGTTTAAATGTTGCAGTTTGTCAGATAAGCCTTACTTTCACATGAGCACACATATAGAAGCATTTTTATTTGTTTCAGATGTATCAAGGGACACTTAACTGTCAGCAGAGAACTTGGTGAGGTCTAGCTTTAGGAGCAGTTTATTTTGAATCAGCTCTGCCATTTAGACAACTTAGGCTATAATAACAAAAACAACAACAACAACAACAATAATAATAATAATAATAATAATAACTTTTTTTGTTTAAGTTGTGTGTTGTTGGGTTTTAATATGTAACTGTCACAGAAATCTGATCAAAGTTCATGATAAGTAAAGTGTAGATGAGTTTTCTTCTTAGTCTGCATAATCATCCACTGCTCAGCTGAAATTGCTTTTTAATATGTTTGATAACCATTTTATCCTTGTCTCATGGCACACAAATAAAACACCTCATAAAACAAGAGTATGCAAGGCATTGTCATACCTATCATGAAAAAGGTTTAGATTGGCAAGGGTTGCTGTGCCATGTTATGCAACTTAATAGTCACAAGAACCTTTGTACCCACCGTACTTGTTTTTCACCCACCCTTAAAATGTGTGTTGTCATTCTGTGAGTAGCCCATTTGGGTGCAGGACCAAGTTTTTTGACGCACTGCAAAGTTATTGGTTCAAGTTAGATAGAACAGAGGCTTTTCTTGCTGCTACTTTTCTCTCTCTTTAACAATGTGGCTCTCTACTTTTTTACTGGGCTTAGACCTCAAGGGGCTATTCCTGTTCCTTTTTATTTTCATCATAATAGCAGACTACCTCAAGAACCGGAATCCTCCTAATTATCCTCCAGGACCATGGGCTTTGCCGGTCATGGGGAATATCCTTGGTATAGACAGTGAACATCCAGAAACGTATTTCTCCAAGGTAAAGTTTACGATTGGGTATTTTCACCCCTACAGTTCTTTACAAATGTTTTACAGAAAAAGTTCTCTCAATACATACAAGACTTATCAAATCAGCTAACCCTTTTGTTGTGAATGTTTTTATTTGTTGTGTTAAAATGGAGATTTATTGAATTTGTAATTCGTCTTCTCACTTTACTGAATTCATTATCTGCAGCTTGCAGACATTTTTGGGAATGTGTTCAGCGTTCGCTTAGGCAGTGACAAGATGGTGTTACTGTCTGGATACAAGGCATTTAAGGAGGCCATCATAACACAAGCTGAGAACTTTGTGGATCGACCAAGCAGTGCAGTCCAGGATAGATTCTACTCAGGATCCTCAGGTTTAGAAATCAGTTGCCCCAATGTATGGTGTACAAAAAAAGTCTCATTTATCCATTAACCATTTTTTCTACATGCATTTGTCTAGGTGGTCTGTTCATGAGCAATGGTGAAACATGGAGGAGACAGCGGCGCTTTGCCTTGTCAACCTTACGTAACTTTGGCTTGGGCAAAAACACCATGGAGCAGAGTATCTGTGAGGAGATTAGACATCTGCGGGAGGAGATAGAGAATGAAAAAGGTGGTCCACAAGTTCAACACAGTTGTACATCATCAGCAGTATAAGTTATGCAGCAGTACAGCACAGTCTAAAGGTGGACTTCTTTCCCGCAGGCGAAGCTTTCAACCCAGCAAGTGTTTTCAACAAAGCTGTGTCCAACATCATTTCCCAACTGGTTATGGGGAAGAGGTTTGACTATAGTGACCACAACTTCCAACACATGCTGAAATGTCTGTCAGACCAAATGAAGATGGAGGGATCTGTATGGACTTGGGTGGGTCAATAATGCATAGCATTCTGTATTATGACAGCCAGCACTCATATAGTGTTAGGGAAAAATGTCCATGGAGAAATCTATTACAAATGTTTAAGATTCTGCTTATTAAATCTTCTCTCTTGTATGTAGTTTTATGAAGCATTCCCTGTAGTGATGAAGCATTTGCCAGGTCCTCACAACAAAATGTTCGAAAACGGTAAAAACCTCAGGGAATTCATCAGCCAGGAGGTACAGAGGCACAAAATAAACCTTGACCGCAACAATCCTCGGGACTACATTGATACTTTCATCATTGAAATGGAAAAAGTAAGTGAGGAAATGCACTCCACACTCACTGCACTGAATTACACATTATAGCCCTACTCCTCAGTTGCACTCATAGAGTGTATGTACAATGGACAACTTGGCTCTGCCTTCCATCATTATCTGAATTTGAAGCCCGATTGCTTTCAGTATTTCCAGGATTTTCTCTAATTCCTAGAACTACCACTTGCGCAGTAGTGTTGTTGTATTTTGGTGGGAGAGTCACTGTGATGATGTTCTGCTCAAACAGCGTGTCTCCTAGATGAGCTACACGATCTTTGTATGCTCATATAGTGTTTCAAGTGTCAATCATAGAAAACATGAATCCTTAATACCTTTTAAATGGAGTTGCACAGAAAAAAAGGGTACTTGAGTACAAACCAGTCTCACAATAACTTCATGCCAACATTGCAACCAGGTTGACGGTGTCTGTTCTATATACAGTCTATGGTTGCACTCCTTGACTCTTTTGTCTCCCCTGCATTTCCAATCAGCACAAAGAGGCTACTGTGGGTTTCACTGAGACCAATCTAGCCTCATGCTCTGTAGACCTGTTCCTGGCTGGAACAGAAACGACTTCCACCACTTTGCAATGGGCTTTAGTTTTCCTCATCAACAACCCGGATATCCAGGGTAGGTGAGACTCAAGTAACTTGAGTTGACTAACCGGAAAACCACATGAAAAAAGACCACAGTCATACTGGAGGGTTTGTAATGTTTAGCTATAATATTTGATGTTATTAGATTGTTGTAAGAAGTTCCTCCTCTTGAAGGGTCACAGGAGCTTGTCTTACCAATGGCTTTTTCCATTTCTTTTTTTTTCGTTATCAGAGAAAGCGCAATACAACACATTGCTGACATTTTCTTGCACATTCAACTGTGAAAACAGATCAATTTGTCTAATGGTGACCTATTCTGTCTAATGAGGACATCTGCTGTGAATCAACATGCTAGTTTGTCCATATTAAATTGATTAACAATAACTCCGACATTGGTGGATGGCACATACTTTGCAGATAGGCTGATCTTCAACAGAGAAATGTCATCCAATACCATTTTATCAGTGCATCCCTAATCAAAATGGTTCTTGTGATGACCATGCTAACCGGCTCATTTTGACAATTTGAGTTTTGCAGCCTTCTAAATTATTAAATACAATTAGGCCACAGCTAACTTCAATTAAAATGTTAGCTTATCAGTACCAAGTATTGGTAAGACTACAGATATTCATGACGATTCTGCAACCCCTTGCACTCACTTTAGTTGTTTTTTAGCCAAGGTTCAGGCAGAGATTGACACAGTGATTGGACAGAACCGCCTGCCCACCATGGCTGACAGACCAAACCTGCCCTACACTGATGCTGTCATCCATGAGATCCAGAGATATGGAAATATTGTTCCTATTAGTGGACTCAGAGTGGCCACCAAGGACACAACACTGGGTGGTTACTTCATCCCTAAGGTACGTCTTGTCATTTCACATCTTAGCTGGAGCATCTGAAATGTGGTAATTGTATTATTTGGAGTATAAGCGAATGTTAAACCCTTGATCTTGTTTTTCAGGGTACAACTCTGATGCCCATTTTGACCTCTATTTTGTTTGACAAGACTGAATGGGAGACCCCAGACAGCTTTAACCCTGAACACTTCCTCAACTCTGAAGGAAAGTTTGTGAGGCGAGAAGCTTTCGTGCCTTTCTCTGCAGGTTAATCACTTTTACCTAAAGTTTAAAAAAAGCCAGAATACAAGTTTCTTTTTCAACCTTTACATGATTTTAAGTGTTATAATTTTTGTCATTTGTCATTTCAGGAAAACGTGTGTGTCTTGGAGAAAGTCTTGCCAAGATGGAGCTGTTTTTGTTTTTTATTGGTTTACTCCAGAAGTTTTCTTTCTCTGTCTCTGATGGTGTTGAGCTCAGTTATGAAGGAGTTAGTGGAATAACACGCGTACCACACCCGTTCAAGGTGTATGCTAAGGTGCGCTAAACTTGATATCAACTCTCTAAGTCATTTCAAGAGCAACAATGTCATGAGTTATTTTTGCTTATCTGTGTTGTCCAGTTTTCTTCTGTATCATTTTTTCCATTTATCAAGAGCTGATGTTTCCATGTTTCTTGTGTGTGTCTTAGCATATTCACTTTCAAGAGTTCATTTATTGTGCTTTGTAGTTTTTTTGGTGGTTTTTGACCCTGGCGTGTAATTTCTGTCTCTGCGTCTTACGTTCCCTCTTCATAATCAGATGTCTTGCCATCATTGTTTTCAAATCCCTGTCCTTTTTTTTTTTGTTAAAAACTTTTTTTAAGTAAAATTTTTATTGAAAGATTCTAAGAATTTTTTTCCCCAATGTATAAATGTTAGAGGTTAAAGATAAATAAAATAAAACACATTCCTGATTGACTGGTCCATGATTTTTTTATCAAAGCACAGTAAAAATCAAATAAAAAAATCTTAAGATCTTTTTTCATTTATATTTTTTTCTAACTGAACACAGTGCTTAAAAAGACAACCCCTGTGTGTTACAGAGAGAGTTTTACTTACTGCAACAACGCGTGTCAGTGTCACTTTCCCTGTCCTTTTACCTCTTCGTGTTGTGCTGTTGGGTCCACTGGTATCAGGATTTACAAGAGGGACAATAACACAACTATACTGACACCAGGTGGAATTGGAGGCTAGGTGCAATGTATTACACTAAAAGATGCCCCAGGATATGGTGCACATGCCACCTTATGCTGGTGTCATGGGGGCTACGACAAAGACATTTTCAGAGTCAGAGGGACCCCACTAGATTACCAAAAGGTAGGTGTATGAAAGTAATTGCTTTCTATAACCATCAATGATAAACAGACTGTGTCTAGTGCTCTTGTTAGTCTTCTGACCATTTAAAGTGCTCTTACATTACATTTCATATTCATCTATTCATACCACATTTACACAATGATGGCAGTGGCTGCTATGTAAAGCGACACTTTGGCATGGGGACAGCAGGACCTGGGATTGACCCCGACCTTCCCATGAAGAGACCACTGACTCTGAGCCATTGCTACCTGATATGCGAAGCTGAAAAAAAATATGTGCAGGTGATATAACAGACTGCCAAACTGAGGGGATACATTGTCAGATGACAGAGGAAAACGACTTCATTCATATGAGTGTAAAAACTGTGCAACCCAAGTTGCCAAGCTGTGGAGTCAGTAAAACCACTAAACATAAATGGTGTAGGGTGTACAGCACTACATAGTCCTTTACTGACTGAACAAGATCATCCATGACTATGGCTTGTTAGGGCTGGACACTTTTGGGGGCTTTGGGTTGTAGCCATAGACTGTATATACTATGGACAACTTAGTTCCGCCTTCCGCCAGTACACAGATTTGAAGCCACAAAGCTCTCTGTAATTCAGCATTTTTTCTCCACTTCCTAAAACCAACATTGTGTAGTGGTGTTGTATGCACTCCACCACTTGTGCAGTACCATTGTACGCATTCAGAGTCACTGAGAGTTGCTGTGATGACGCTCAGCTCAAACAGCGTATCCCCGGGTGAGCTACGCAATCTTCATACGCCCATAGGCTGTATCAAGTGTCAATCATAGAAAACATGAACCCCTGAATAACTTTTAAAAATGAAGCTGTAAAGAAAAAAGGGGACTTGAGCACAAACCAGTCTAACAGTAACTACATGTCAATATCAGAAAGGGGGGGGGGGGGGGGTATTTTATGTTCTGTGTAATAAATTTCTCAATTTTGTCTACAGCCCCATAAGTTTTGCTGGCTGAGGCGGGATTTATGACCTATACCGCAGCCCGTAACCAGAGGGTGCTGTTCTCGGAGTGGCTTCACTCAGCAAGGAGGCAGACTCTGTCCATTCTATACACAGTCTATAGTTGTGACTAACTGCCTTTTTTATTGAATTCAGGTTGTGCTAAAACCTCAAAATACAAAATGTTGAAAAATGCATTAATACAGCAGATCTTCTACATGGCCTTTGTAGTTTTACCTTCCCCCTCCTGAAACGCAGTTTTCCTTTTCTGTAATCATTCTGTAATCTTAGGGCCTCGCAGCCAATAGGGGGCCCCCGAAAGCAATCAAAAAAATACATATATATTTTTTTTTGTTTTTTGCATGTATAAATGATACTTTCTGTATGATCAAATAAATATTATTGTAAAAATAAAATGAAGTAAAAACATTTTAGTGTTCCTGCTGATATAGGCCCATGATTCTTACTGCTGATATGTTAAAGCTCCGCTACCGTTATGTGCATTATATTTTGAGATTAAAATCCATATCTGGCACCCTGAACATCATTCATCAGTCAGTCATTGGTATTATTTGTATGGTTGTATTGGTATAATTTATGTTATACCTAGGCCATCTCCTCAAATGGTTTATGACATGTCAGCTGCATTAAATTTAAACTGCAGTAGATGTGTAAATGATCAACAATCAATATCTGTTTGGAAGAATCAGAGGGCCCCAAAATCAAATTTTGCTTAGGGCCCCATTGAGGCTTGGGCCGGCTCTGAAAAGACTCCAAACACTTTTGGCAGACTGCATGATCTATTGAATTGTTGAATGTGTTGGAACTGGTAAAGGAAATGATTGGGTTAATCCTTTAAAATATGGCCCAATTTATGAATTAAGTTCGTTATAGGCACTTGCATCAATTTAAGAAAACAAAGAAAACATACATATGACTTTTATAATAATAACATCATTTTAAAGGGTAAAGCTTAAAGTTGTTTTGCAGTATTGTAAATATAAACCACTTCCACAAAGCACCCTGCAGAAAGCCATAGAAATCGCAGGCGGTGTGCACGCTTCCACGGATTGCGTGCAACCATCAGTGGACAGGAGTCTGTGCTAGGGGGAGGGGGCTCCGACTCTGCCCCTCAAATGGGTCGATTAAATTAAGTGCTTTTCAATATGATTGATAAACAATTTATCTTTGTGTCATGGCACACAAATAAAACACCTCATAAAACAAGAGTATGCAAGGCATTGTCATACCTATCATGAAAAAGGTTTAGATTGGCAAGGGTTGCTGTGCCATGTTATGCAATGTGATGGTCACAAGAACCTTTGTACACACCGTACTTGTTTGTCACCCACCCTTAAAATGTGTGTTGTCATTCTGTGAGTAGACCAATTGGGTGCAAGATCAAGTTTTGTGACGCACTGCAAAGTTATTGGTTCAAGTTAAATAGAACAGAGGCTTTTTCTTACTGCTACTTTTCTCTCTCTTTAACAATGTGGCTCTCTACCTTTTTACAGGGCTTAGGCCTCAATGGGCTATTCCTGTTCCTTTTTATTTTCATCATAATAGCAGACTACCTGAAAAACCGGAATCCTTCTAATTATCCTCCAGGACCATGGGCTTTGCCGGTCATTGGGAATATCCTCAGTATGGACAGTAAACATCCAGAAACGTATTTCTCCAAGGTAAAGCTTACAATTGGGTATTTTCACCCCTACAGTTCTTTACAAATGTTTTACAGAAAAAGTTCTCTCAATACATACAAGACTTATCAAATCAGCTAACCCTTTTGTTGTGAATGTTTTTATTTGTTGTGTTAAAATGGAGATTTATTGAATTTGTAATTCGTCTTCTCACTTTACTGAATTCATTATCTGCAGGTTGCAGACATTTTTGGGAATGTGTTCAGCGTTCGCTTAGGCAGTGACAAGATGGTGTTACTGTCTGGATACAAGGCATTCAAGGAGGCCATCATAACACAAGCTGAGAACTTTGTGGATCGACCAAGCACTCCAGCCCAGGATAGAATCTACTCGGGATCCTCAGGTTTAGAAATCAGTTGCCCCAAATGTATGGTGTACCAAAAAAGTCTCATTTATCCATTAACCATTTTATCTACATGCATTTGTCTAGGTGGTCTGTTCATGAGCAATGGTGAAACATGGAAGAGACAGCGGCGCTTTGCCTTGTCAACCTTACGTGACTTTGGCTTGGGCAAAAACACCATGGAGCAGAGTATCTGTGAGGAGATCAGACATCTGCAGGAGGAGATAGAGAATGAAAAAGGTGGTCCACAAGTTCAACACAGTTGTACATCATCAGCAGTATCAGGTATGCAGCAGTACAGCAGGGTCTAAAGATGGACTTCTTTTCCTGTAGGCAAAACTTTCAACCCAGCAAATGTTTTCAACAAAGCTGTGTCCAACATCATTTCCCAACTGGTTATGGGGAAGAGGTTTGACTATAGTGACCACAACTTCCAACACATGCTGAAATGTCTGTCAGACCAAATGAAGATGGAGGGATCTGTATGGACTTGGGTGGGTCAATAATGCATAGCAGTCTGTATTATGACAGCCAGCATTCATACAGTGTTAGGGAAAAATTTTCATGGAGAAATCTATTACAAATGTTTAAGATTCTGCTTATTAAATCTTCTCTCTTGTATGTAGTTTTATGAAGCATTCCCTGCAGTGATGAAGCATTTGCCAGGTCCTCACAACAAAATGTTCAAAAACTCTAAAACCCTCAGGGAATTTATCAGTCAGGAAGTACAAAGGCACAAAATGAACCTTGACCGCAACAATCCTCGGGACTACATTGATACTTTCATCATTGAAATGGAAAAAGTAAGTGAGGAAATGCACTCAACACTCACTGCACTGAATCAAACATTATAGCCCTCCTCCTCAGTTGTACTCATAGACTATATGTACAATGGACAACTCAGCTCCGCCTTCCATCATTATCTGAATTTGAAGCCCAGTTGCTTTCAGTATTTCCAGGATTTTCTCTAATTCCTAGAACTACCACTTGAGCAGTAGCATTGTATGATTTTGGCGGGAGAGTCGCTGAGATGATGCTCTGCTCAAACAGCGTGTCTCCTGGATGAACTACACGATCTTCGTATGCCCATAGTGTTTCAAGTGTCAGTCATAGAAAACATGAACCCCTAATACCTTTTAAATGGAGTTGCTCAGAAAAAAGGGTACTTGAGTACAAACCAGTCTTACAATAACTTCATGCCAACATTGCAACCAGGTTGACGGTGTCTGTTCTATATACAGTCTATGGTTGCACTCCTTGACTCTTTTGTCTCCCCTGCATTTCCAATCAGCACAAAGAGGCTACTGTGGGTTTCACTGAGACCAATCTAGCCTCATGCTCTGCAGATCTGTTCCTAGCTGGAACAGAAACAACTTCCACCACTTTGCTGTGGGCTTTAGTTTTCCTCATCAACAACCCGGATATCCAGGGTAGGTGAGACTCAAGTACCTTCAGCTGTCTAACTGAAAAACCACTTGAAAAAAGACCACAGTCATACTGGAGGCTTTGTAATGTTTAGCTATAATAGTTGATATTAATAGATCGTTGTAAGAAGTTCCTCCTCTTGAAGGGTCACAGGAACTTGTCTTACCAATGGCTTTTTCCATTTCTTTTTTTTTGTTATCAGAGACAACGCAATTCAACACATTGCTGACATTTTCATGCACATTCAATTGTGAAAACTGATCAGTTTGTCTAATGGTGACCTATTCTGTCTAATGTAGACATCTGCTGTGAATCAACATGCTAGTTTGTCCATATTAAATTGATTAACAATAACTCTGACACTGGTGGATGGCACATACTTTGCAGATAGGCTGATCTTCAACAGAGAAATGTCATCCAATACCATTTTATCAGCGCCTCCCTAATCAAAATGGTTCTTGTGAAATGTTGGCTTATCAGTACCAAATATTGTTAAGACTACAGATATTCATGCCAATTCTGCAACCCCTTGCACTCACTTTAGTTGTTTTTTAGCCAAGGTTCAGACAGAGATTGACACAGTGATTGGACAGAGCCGCCTGCCCACCATGGCTGACAGACCAAACCTGCCCTACACTGATGCTGTCATCCATGAGATCCAGAGATATGGAAATATTGTTCCTCTTAGTGGAATCAGAGTGGCCACCAAGGACACAACACTGGGTGGTTACTTCATCCCTAAGGTAGGTCTTTTCATTAGCTGGGGCATCTGAAATGTGGTAATTGTATTATTTGGAGAATCAGTGAATGTTAAACCCTCGATCTTGTTTTTCAGGGTACAACTCTGAAGCCCATTTTGACCTCTATTTTGTTCGACAAGACTGAATGGGAGACCCCAGACAGCTTTAACCCTGAACACCTCCTCAACTCTGAAGGAAAGTTTGTGAGGCGAGAAGCTTTCGTGCCTTTCTCTGCAGGTTAATCACTTTTTCCTAAAGTTTAAAAAAGCCAGAATACAAGTTTCTTTTTCAACCTCTCCAAGATTTTAAGTGTTTTAAGTGTTAAAAGTGTTGTCATTTGTCATTTCAGGAAAACGTGTGTGTCTTGGAGAAAGTCTTGCCAAGATGGAGCTGTTTCTGTTTTTTATTGGTTTACTCCAGAAGTTTTCTTTCTCTGTTCCTGATGGTGTTGAGCTCAGTTATGAAGGAGTTAGTGGAATAACACGTGTACCGCAGCCATTCAAGGTGTATGCTAAGGTGCGCTAAACTTGATATCAACTCTCTAAGTCATTTCAAGAGCAACAATGTCATGAGTTATTTTTCTTATCTGTGTTGTCCAGTTTTCTTCTGTATCATTTTTTCCATTTATCAAGAGCTGATGTTTCCATGTTTCTTGTGTGTGTCTTAGCATATTCACTTTCAAGAGTTCATTTTTTTGTGCTGTGTAGTTTTATTGGTGGTTTTTGACCCTGGCGTGTAATTTCTGTCTCTGCATCTTACGCTCCCTCTTCATAATCAGATGTCTTGCCATCATTGTTTTCAAATCCCTGTCCTTTTTTTTTTTGTTAAAAACTTTTTTTAAGTAAAATTTTTATTGAAAGATTCTAAGAATTTTTTTCCCCAATGTATAAATGTTAGAGGTTAAAGATAAATAAAATAAAACACATTCCTGATTGACTGGTCTATGATTTTTTTATCAAAGCACAGTAAAAATCAAATAAAAAAATCTTATTAAGCTCTTTTTTCATTTATATTTTTTTCTAACTGAACACTGTGCTTAAAAAGACAACCCCTGTGTGCTACAGAGAGAATTTTACTTGCTGCAACAACGCGTGTCAGTGTCACTTTCCCTGTCCTTTTACCTCTTGGTGTTGTGCTGTTGGGTCCACTGATATCAGGAGTTACAAGAGGGACAATAACACAACTATACTGACACCAGGTGGAATTGGAGGCTAGGTGCAATGTATTACACTAAAAGATGCCCCAGGATATGGTGCACATGCCACCTTATGCTGGTGTCATGTTGGCTACGACAAAGACATTTTCAGAGTCAGAGGGACCCCACTGGATTACCAAAAGGTAGGTGTATGAAATTAATTGCTTTCTATAACCATCAATGATAAACAGACTGTGTCTAGTGCTCTTGTTAGTCTTCTGACCATTTAAAGTGCTCTTACATTACATTTCATATTTATCCATTCATAACACATTTACACATTGATGGCAGTGGCTGCTATGTAAAGCGACACTTTGGCATGGGGACAGCAGGACCTGGGATTGACCCCGACCTTCCCATTAAGAGACAACCGACTCTGAGCCATTGCTACCTGATATGTGAAGCTGAAAAAAAATATGTGCAGGTGATATAACAGACTGCCAGTCTGAGAGGATACATTGTCAGATGATTGAGGAAAATGACATCATTCATATGAGTGTGAAAACAGTGCAACCCAAGTTGCCAAGCTAACTTAGGTTGCACTGTTTCCACCACTTCCACCAAGCCACCCCCTTAAATGGTTTATGACATGTCAGCTGCATTAAATTTATACTGTAGTAGATGTGTAAATGATCAACAATCAATATTATTGGCAAAAATAGAGGGCCCCAAAATCAAATTTTGCTTAGGGCCCCATTGAGGCTTGGGCCAGCTCTGAAAAGACTCCAAACACTTTTGGCAGACTGCATGATCTATTGAATTGTTGAATGTGTTGGAACTGGTAAAGGAAATGATTGGGTTAATACTTTAAAATATGGCCCAATTTATGAATTAAATTCGTTATAGGCACTTGCATCAATTTAAGAAAACAAAGAAAACACACATATGACTTTTATGAATAAATACAACATTTTAAAGGGTAAAGCTTAAAGTTGTTTTGCAGTATTGTAAATATAAACCACTTCCACAAAGCACCCTGCAGAAACCCATAGAAATCACAGGCGGTGTGCGCGCTCCCGCGGATTGCGTGCAACCATCAGTGGACAGGAGTCTGTGCTAGGGGGAGGGGGCTCCGACTCTGCCCCTCAAATGGGTTGATTAAATTTAGTGTTACTTGAGACTTTTGGAATGATTGTACGGAAAAGTAATGTTGGCCGATGCACATCCGACGCTTGGTGGCCGGCGCGGTGGCAGGAGACTCGGGCGTGTTTGAGGTCAACTTGAAAATTAACGGTAACGGTGTCCGTCTGGTAAGAGACTGAACGGCTTGTGGGCCGGTGTTGCAAGCTAACCATGCTTAGTTGCTTCCTGTTGGCCACTTGTTTCGATAGTCCTGTTGTCATGGCCATTTCGTGTGGCTTACAGACATTGTGGTTTATCTGCCTTCACTTGCAAAAGTAACAGTCTAAGGAGATGACTGCTGTTGGTAGTATGCTATCATTGTTGTAAGTGACAGCCACTCATGGTGAAGCAGCTAGCTGTTAGCTACAAAACACCACTGTCCTTACTTTCCTCCAAATCTCCAACGACATGTTGATAGTTAAGTACAGAAACCCTGTCACTCAACAATACCTTACTTAAGTCTGAATGTGATTAACAACCATAACGTTAGTGGTTAAATCTATTCATTCACTGTTTCAACATTCCTGCTTATTTCGTGACAACTTTAAATCAGTTTTTCATTTCTCACTAATCCAATTCATAACACACACACACCTTTTGTTACTATAAACATAGTTCTCTTCTAAAGTATCCGGGCGTGGGAAGGTCAAGAGTAACACACCTTAAGGAGTTAGAATAGCAGGATAAAGTTTGTTTATAAACTGCATGTGAAGGTCTGGCTCAGCAGAAGTATACTGGAGTATCAACAAGGAACATAAGAAAGTTGAAGGAGGGAGTTTTTGAGAAGTTAGTCAACAGACTGAAATGAACAGGAAGAAGTGACCACAAGATTGGCTTTTAGTTTGTAGCCTTTAATGCCTGTTACTGCAGTGTGAGGGGAATTACACTAAAGAAACAGCCTTTCTGACTTTTTCTACAGCGGACACTTACAGTGAGTGATACATTTCATAGTAAAAGAAAAACACAGGAGGAGATTTTCATCCGTGAACAACACTGTCATATGCACAAGAAGGGTTACTGTCTTCTCTATGCTTGAAACCACTGTGGAAAATAGCGAGTCCAAGGGTGCTTGATATTGGAATCGACATGCCAACATTTTCATACTAGACTAACACTTGCAAGCTCTCATTGCATGCTCGAAATTAATGCATCATATTTTTTGCTGGTAATTGTATTGGCAGTATTTTCCCTATCTGCAGATATCGGTAACTTTTTTTTAAGCTATTATCCATGGATACCTATATTATTGTTCAGCATCCTTAATCTGGAAACTTCTGAGGTGGACTTGTAGTCCAGTTTTTGGCCAAGACTTGGGTCAATGATGTAACAGTTTTTGTTATACGTTCCCATAGTTTACTTAAATTTAAAAAGGATAAAATTCAAAAATTAACTCACCAATTACTTGGTTACATTCTCTTTTTGAAGACCTTGTCTAAAATTTCCAAATTTATCAATTTTGAGAGAATATTCAGGGAATAATGGGGAAAATGTCAATGTGGTGTAACCATAAAAACTCAGGAAACTGGTTTGTGTCAATTGGTGTCATCAGTATTTTCCATTAAAAAATAAAATATTTGAGAAAACGCACTAACATATATCTTAACAGTTTCTACATGATTTGTCAAATGTTATTTAGAAAATGCCAGCTGTTTTCAACATTTCTTCTGCTCTATATTGCAAAAATGCATCCAATTTTTTTGTAAAAAAAACATCCTAACAAAATGTGTTTCAACATTTTGAGCAAGTAACTTTTTGTTTAAGTACTCTTGCATACACTATAGGTGGAAATAAGTATTAAATATTTCCCCTATTGTTGTGGTTACACCACTAGACATTTTCAAAGGAAATCCATCATTTATTTTGTTAAAAAAAAGTTTAAATCCTATTTGAAATTATATGAAACCAACAGCGATACAAAATATACATCTTTGCAAACCTAATACAAACTTTTAAAACAAATTTAAAAACATTTTTGAATTACTCATGATGCAAACCCTTATTTGTCACTGACCCTTTTACATTCAGGCTGTATAAGTAGAAGAGACCAGAGCACTTTCATTCATTTCTTAGATAGGAACAGAAGAAAGTCTAACTGTCTTGGAACACACAGACCAGAGTTTAAAACTATACAGGTATTATACATGTTTCTGATACTGTTACTGTTAGTATGAATTAGTTTTTCTTAGTATTGCTATGTCTATTTCTATTAAATTTCTTTGTGCATTTATAAAGCGATGTCAGATCTTTGACTGGAGCACAGTTTCTTTGGGAGTTGTAAATGCGGGGTTCTTGTAACTTGTGAAGTTGTGTATTGCTTCGTTATAAGATCCAGTAAAAAGAAGGACCCAAGGAAAACCTTATCAAACCAGATAACGATAAGAAGATATTCAGCATATAATCCTGATCTGAATGAACCAGAGCAAGATATTATCAGAGAGGAAATGCAGCTGACCCATTAAGAGAAAAAACTGACTGGCTACTGCATTATTAGGATTTCTTCTGAAGTTTTCTTGCTTTACTAGAATCTAGAGCAAATATGCTTAGCGGGCCCTTGGTTGGGAATATAATATGGACTTTATACATGGCCTGTCTTCACCTTGCCATCCATGTGAAGATGTCTCATGCTAGGAGAACAAAGTCATTAAATTTGACACTCCCTTTGAAATGATACAGAATATCAGGCATGCAGTCTCTGGGGAAGATTATGTTGAGTAATAATGTGAAAGTGCGTTGCCCAGGTCTAACCCACTTATCCTCTGCTCTAACAGACTGCTCCAGTCTGGAAAGTGCCATGTCTACCTGCTGGAGATGAGAATGAAACCCAGTCGCAACTTCCTCCTGGGCCTGTGCTCCATGCTGGCCTTGGGATTCCTCTATTACTCTTCAGGGCGGATCAGCTTACGAGGCTGGAACCACAAATCATGTGAGTGATTCTCAGACACATGGGCATTATACAGTACAATTACAAAGGATTCATTTCATTAACTACTGTGAACCCCACTGACAGTGTTAGAACCCTTTCTCTCAACAATCCTTGTCACTGACACAGGCCACATGTCTAACACTAACATGAAAATGATCCTTGAACAGATTTTCACCTATGCAAAGCAAGAATCCCTTTGATTTGTCCAAGTAAAAAAGCAGAATAGGAAAAAAAGATCAATATTACAGTTGTACTAGAGCTGGGTAATTCACAAACAGCACTTGAAAAAAATAATACATTTAATTTCTGACTGCCTCAAACTGATTATTCTCATAGCTGAACAGGTTTCATCTCTGTGATGATTTTTCTTGTAATAAAATAATGCAGAGGGCAAACTCTAAAGGAGAACAAACACAGTGAGAGTGTCTCATGGTGAACAGAGTAAGAACTTGACATGAAGAAAACCTTCAATATGACTTTTTACCAGGTGGGGGAGCCAGTCCATTTCAGTTGAAACACGGTGTTACATGAGGGATCAAGGATTCTCCTTCATTGGGTAAAAGTGTAAAAGACTTTTTTTTTTTTTTTTTTTTTTTATGGCTCATAGCTGATCTCAAGCAATGTGGTCAATTTAGTCAGTATTCAATTTTTTTTATAAAGGCCAGGTATTTAAGCCATGCTGAGTGGTTGATAATGATAGTGGGTCAAGATGTGGAAGTTACATTTCAGTCAACAACCTTGCCGATCAAATTACAACAAAAAGAGTACAAAATCATATTTTTATTTATTTAACCTTTATTTAACCAGGTTTGTCCCATTGAGATCTGAGGATCTCATTTGCAAGGGAGACCTGACCAAGAACGGCAGCAATACATAGTTACAACAAACAGTCACACAGACTCAATACAGAACAAAAATGTGAGGAAACATCAGTTAAAACAGAGACAGTCTGAGAGTTTGGACTCCAGCCTTTTAACTACAGATTTAGAAACAGTCAAAGACACCAAGTTTTGCAGCTTAAGTTCAGTCTGCAGATTATTCCATGCAGAGGCGACAGAGAACCTGAAAGCCTTCTTTCCCATTGCAGTTCGGACTCTGGGGACAACAAACTGTATACATCTCAATGATATCAGATTGTGTAATCCGTCCTTAATGATCAGAGGTAGTCCGCAATTTTTCCAAGAATGCCTTTGTAGATGAAAACGTACCAATGACCAAGCCGACGAGTACTTAAAGAAGTCCAACTGACTTTGGAGTATAAAGTACAGCGATGAGTTAAAAATCCACAATTTGTTATAAATCTCAGAGCTCCATGGTAAACACTGTCCAACATTTGCAGACTCTGGGCAGAGGCATTCATGTATAAAACATCACCATAATCAAGAAGAGGTAAGAATGTAGACTCCACAAATCTCTTATATGTTTTCAAAGTAACAATGAACAGAGGCTCCATCTTTTTAATCTTTATAGTAAGATAGACAGTTTTGTGTTTTCCACTCGTCTTTTTGTTCCCAAAAAGGAATCTTTAAAAATGAGTAATGCTTAACATTGTTGCTCGATCATTTGGAGGCTTAAATTATGGCTTATTTGTAAGAAGAGAGCCTTTTTATATGATTGCATGTTTTATGTAAAAGGCCTGACCTTCTGGAGCCATAGAAGGCAGGGGTTACTCTCTGAAGCAGAGGCTATTGACTCTGCTGTCCAACCTTAAGATACCACAGGAGCTGGCGCATGATACAGTTATTTATAATAAAGCCTATTCAGCAACTCCGGCTGCTTTGAAGCATACCCTCAAGTGTCAAACCCCTACAGAGGAAAATACAATCTTTACTGTCTTCACTCTCCGAGTAAGACGCTGTTTCTGGTCAAATGCAGAGCGAAGTATACACAAATAAGACATTATACATAAAGTGAATCACTAAGTGTTAAAAAGAGTTACTGATGGGAAAGTATTGATTTAGAAAACTGCAGTCTGTTCAGCATCTAAGTAACAACAATTATCTTAATACTTTTCCGTGCTGTAAAGAAAAAAAGCAAATGATGCATCATCTGGTTGTAATCTGCTGTTAAACCAAGCAATCATTACATGTGGTTTCTATTTTGCTGTCAGTGTCTAATGATGAATACAGTTGAACACCCATTATAGTTTACCCATCTCATCTTACTTTTTTAATCAAGTTGTACAAAGTGAGGCTGACATGGAAGTGCAGGAAGAGGTTAAAGGATGGCCCTCAGCCAAAATCAATGTCATGACATTTAGAAAATCACTTTGAAGAACTTGTACAACCAAGTATTGAAAGCCAAAGACACAGAAAACTGTCAGGAATCTGGTCTGTGGATTAGATCTTGTAATTTCAGCAAATGGCTGCATCATTATTATTACTTGGGTTACCACTGAGGTGAATAAATGCTTTTGTGAATGGGATCAACTTATTCAGTGAGGAACTTTTAGGTTTAGTTTTAACAAAAAAATACATCTGTTTTTTTTTTTTTTTTCCAGAAGTGGAGCATACCAAACATTTGAAGTCTTCAGCATGTAGTTTATCACTCTGTGACAGCCTGCTGCTGTTTCCAGATAAACTTTTTTTGTAGTATTTCTTAAAGACAACAACATCTCACCACATTTTACTCAAATTGCACTGTACCTGCTGTTGTGTTTGTCACTGAACACAGACCTGTACAATCATATGATCAGTAGATAGACTATAAGATATGAGACAACAATTGAGGCATTAGTAGGCCTGTCATGATAACAAATTTTGCTGGACGATAATTGTGCTACAAATTATCGCCGATAAACGATATTATTGACACCATTTTTTAAATTATAGATAATGATATTATATGGCATAATAATGCGAGTACACCGTGTCAAAAGTGATAAAATTTAATTTCCACACGAGAACAACACTGGTTGTTTTCGTTGACTAAAATATTTCCCTTTTCTCCCACGACGAAGACGTAACATTGATGAGCTAAACATAAGTCGGAGATGACTAAAATGTGACGAGACAAAAGTGCGTTTACGTTGATGGGACGAGACGAAAATGACGAACAGAGTTGCAAAACTCAGTCAGTTAAACGCTAAACATATAGGAGCAGCTTCAGTCCGCTCTGACAGCTCTCATCAGCCTGCTGTGCTCCTCCAACACACAGACACACACGCACGCTCGCGCGCGCACACACACACACACACACGTGGAGTTTTGTGGTTGACGAAAACAAAACTGGTTTAAAGCCGAAATATTCCCACACTTGGGCTGTTGCGTTCGGTTTAGACACCAAAGCTGTCGTGTTCATTCTGTTAGCTTGCTTTTCACTCACGACGCTCACTTGCAGCACTGTATCCAAAAGTCTGTGTCTGTGTGCATGTGCGCGCCAGCCCCCTCGTGACAGAGACACTGAATGACTGACAGGAGGGTTCACTAACTCCGTTCATTCCCCTATAGAGCCAACGCCCCCAGGTGCCGAGAACAATGCGCAGAGTGAGACCTCTTCTCTCATCCAGCGTGTTTGGTAGCGAGAGAGGAGGAAAACAAACGCACGTCAATTATCGAGGCTGGCAAAGTTATCGACCTCGTTTTTATTTATCGAGCGATAAGGCGATTTATTGATTATCGCGACAGGCCTAGGCATTAGTTTTTATGTGTATCTTTTTTTATGTCCTTTTTTTTAGTGTATGACAAACAAGGATTCCTTGTCAAGCTGGATGGAAGTCTGTGAGTACTTCTTTATGTTTATGTAGCACTTCTGATTCAAAGAACTCATCTTTGGGCTGAGTATTTATCTCCTCAGTTAAAGCAAATATATATGCACTGAAGTGTTTCATTAACCCAGGCATAATTTACAATATTTTCATGCCAGGTAATTCATGAATAATTAGTTCTTGTTAACATTTCTGCCTTGTTTGATTTTATTTCTCCATGTCCTCAGGCCTTTGGAGCTTGTGTACAAGTATGGCAATCTCAGTGAAGGAGCCTGTAAGCCTGGGTATGCAGCTGCAAAGATGACCGCCGTTTATCCAAAGTAAGATTACTTACTTATGTTTTTGTAAGTCTGAAATCAGCTTGTACTGTTTCACGCTCATCATGACTGTCAGAGACAGTGAGGTTGCTGTGATTCTGGTTTAACATGACTGTAAACTCATGCATTCACTGATCCATTTAATTGGATGATTATTTGGGTAAATTTCAGGTTTTTTAACAGTCGAACTGTCTTTTTGAAAATGCTGCAAATGCAAACCAACAAATTAGGAAGGTATTGCAAGATCAGACTTAAGGTCCTTACACACCAGGGACGATGCGAATATAGAACACGAAGTCACGTAATATTCAGAGGCGAATTTTGTCACGCCTGACTATACACATCAAGCCCAACACAATTTTGGGATTTTTATTTTTATTTTGGATGTCCGTTGGACAATTTGAAGTTCTGCTGAAACAATTAGCTCCAAGTTTGAAGAGGCAGAGGACTAGACACTAGTGTTGAGATGGCTGTCTGTCGTGATAGCATGTACTGAGTCGGGGCCAGTACAAGATAAGCTCATGAAACATGGTAACAACCGTTAGCTTACGTTACCACAGATGAAAGTTAACACAAAGACGTTTGGCAAACTGTTAAAGCACACAAAACATTGTCATACCAGAAGTTTAACGCTATGACTCTACACAAGTTGTCTTTCAGGTTGCTATCTTTGTAATGTGTGTGTAAACGATCATAAACAATCAGCCTATCGGCCGTGTTGGATATACCAGTGAATCTGACATCGCAACAACACGCAATCTGATTGGTCAGAAGTGGACACACAGTATGCGAAACTTTAGAAAAATCGACCATGATCCAAAAAAATAAATGCGGCAATATCGCAGGACGGGAAATCGTCACTGGTGTGAACGCTTGTATTGACAAGATATGGGTTTGAAAAAAAGTATTGACGTCTGAAATAATCGCACGACTGTGTGTAAGGACGTTTAGGTTTCATGTAATTACTGCTGCGCTGATTTTTTTGTGGCTTTTCTACAACTTATTATACAATTCATGCAGTTTTTAAATTGTTGTCAATCTCTCCTTTAGCCTTCTATTGCATTCACTGGTTTTATAATTTGTACTCAAGTTGTACAAAATATTTCAGGGAGTAACATTTTTTAAACATGATATTTGCTGTTTCTCAAAAACCATCCATGGCAGCAGAACAACAAAAAAAAAAAAAGATTTAAAAAAAAAGTTTAGATTGCCACCAAACTTTTGAATGTTTTTTTAATCTGCTGCTTTATTATTTAAGGAAGGTCAAATAATAAATTGTCACAGGACTCTTTCACTGCAGCTGAATAAACCTGACCTTAAATTTGACTCAACACCCTTGTTTTTCCCCCCAAACTAAAGTATTATGTTTAAACCCTCATAAAGATACACTCTATTGCAGGATTTTATTGATAGTTTAACAGTTTCAAAGAGGTTTTCTCCAGTAATCTGACATCTGAGTTTACTTATAGGGACCATTTTTGACTTATTGAGACATTAATGAGAAGTTGCACTTTTCATTTGGGCTCTTCCATCACTTTTGCGAGAGTGGTGTAGAAACTGACTTGATAGTAAGATCCCTTTGCAGTAACACTTTATAGTGCAGCAGTTCATTGAAGCTTATATTCCAGCATTCTGAGTTTGAGCTGTGAATCTGACCCCCAGCTGACGCCTTGTTTAGGAAATTAGAGGTTATATATGTCGGGCACTGTTTTAGATCAGTTAGTAGAGCAGATTTTCCTCGTACAGAGGCTACAATTCCCATCCTGCGGGATCTCTCTTAAGCTATCTTATCAAATAAAGGCTAAAAGTCTAAATCAAATATTCTCAGTGAGACAGTTCCATTTTCATAGAGCTTTCTGATCTCAGAGTGGTCCAGAGAGAAGATCCCATTTCTGCTTCTGCATTATTTAGGACCAAAGAAGTTCCAACTCTGAGAAAGCCCCACGACTGCTTTCTGTTTTAGAGCTATATATCAAATGAATCAAAAGATGCGATGCTCTGAATGGGCCCACATGTCGTGAAAATCTATTTTTGCCTTCCTCTGCTCTGCTGTTTTCCCAGTGCGTGAGAAAACCTCGGGCCACTTCACTTTACCCACTTACTCAGCTCTAGAGACACGCAAGCCCCCAAACCCACCAGGGCCTTGAGACAGCAGCATTAATGAAGTGTGTTCTCAGCGTCCAGATTGTAACCTGTTAAAATAACACAGGAAGATTTCCCTCAGAGGAGAGTACCCAGGGCATCCTTGACCCATTAACTCCTCCGTCTCTACTCAGTCGCAGCTTTCCTCTCTTGCAGCTTACAGCAGGTACTTCACAGCTAATGACCATGTACGACTGCGCAGAGTGATGCAGGGCAGCTCTACTCAGTTTGACCCTCTTCTTTACTGTATCTGCAATGCTCCATGTACAAAACCCAATTCTGAGTTAATGATTATTTGCAAAAACATAAAGTTTATGAGTTTGAACATTAAATACCTTGTCTTTGTAGTTTATTCAATTGAATATAGGTTGAAAAGGATTTGCAAATCATTGTATTTTGTTTTTATTGACGTTTATCCCAATTTCCCAACTTCAATGGAACAGGGTTTTGTATAAAAGTGCAGCTAAGACACTATGGAGATCAGTCAGGCTTCAGCCACACATACTGATAGAAGTTCACACATCATGATGATTTTTTTTTCATCTTTTCACACAGTTTTATAGCATTTCTATTAATAAACAAATTTATACAAACTTACCCATCTCTGTTGTGCTCTCTACACACTGAACTCTGTAGCTTCATTCTGAAAGAGGTCATACCGGCAGAAGGGAAACAGAGTTGTGAATGAAGGTAGTTAGCCAGCATTTTTTGTTTTGCTTTGAATTAGCTTTTTATTTAGCATTTCAAATGCAGGATAAAAAAAAAGGTGGCCTGACATCCTGACATAGCAGGCTGGGCCTCTTGGTTTCCTGTACTATTGATAGCAAGTCTGATCCTGACAATTCAAGTATAACAAGACTGCACATAATACTAGATGCTTCACCTCAAACATGTTTTCACCCTGCTAATGTGACTCTCCTCCAACTTTGAATCCAGCTTGAACTTTCGTCCATTTTTTTTCCTCCAAGCAAGTGTTTCACTTAGCTCGTTCCTCCATACTGTGATCACAGGGCTGGACTGCTGGTTAGGTGCACTTCCTCTATGTCATTTGAAGTCAAGCTGGATAAATACCTGAACACACACAATAAGACACTTACTGTACAAATTGGAGACAAAAAGGCGAGATGCATCATTAGCAGCTGATTTCTTTACTGTGTTTCAGTGTTTTCCAGAACATTTTTCTTTCACTTATTTTGTGTACGTTCCAACAGCCACTGATTAGCAGCTGTTTTGTTTTGCCAAATCACAGCTAATTTGTGGTTCATTATGTGATACCACTCTTGAAAAGAAACAGATTTCCAAAGCTGCAGGGGTTGACTCAGTTAAAGAAACACATTTCCCTCAGATTGCTCCAGTTCTCTCTCAGAAAAAAAAAACTTCCTGTTAATGTGAGTGTGTTACCTTTTTGTAGCTTCTTTCAAATTGGAATCAGAAGCTTTTATTCAAGTTTTACAGAAGTAGTTTTAAAGGGGAACACTTAAGCCCATTTTTACAAGAATGGAATAGATTTTCCAATTACTTTTTAGTGTTTAACATTAAGTGTATTTTTTTATTATGTCAAAAACTCAGTTTATGTTTGCAAGCAGAGCACACGCACTTAATTGCATATCAGTAATGAACCCCAGTCATTTCGATTGTCTTAACGTTCGGATCTGTGCTCTCTCTTTGAAACTTAACTTCTTAAGTGCCTGGTACAAATGTTCTCTTTAGTTGCTGACTGTGTCATATGGTGGTCAGGAAGTCTGAGGACACTGATTGGCTAAATGGATATTTTTTTTTCTTTTAGCAGAATCTTGAAAAATGTATTTGCTCTAATTTAAGTTCGTGTCCAAATGTCCAGACAAGAAGTTTTAATTGTTTTTTAATTGGGGGATTAGGCTCACTGAGGCCTAATCCCCCAAAGTGAAGACAGATGCTCAGATTAAATAGAGCATAACCCATTAAATGCTCTGAAGCAAGAAAAGAGCAGAAATCCTAGCAGTGCACACTTAACCCTGAAATTTGTGCTTCTTCTACAGTGTTGAATGTACTGTCATTGTAAATGTGCTTAAGTTGGTCACCAGTCTCTCAGACTTCATTCATAAAGAGTAGATGACTTTCAGTCAGCCTTTATACAGCCCCAATTCACAATCAATATTATATTCTAAGATGCCTCACAGAAAGAGCAGGTGTCAAAAAAACTAATTTATATATCATCAACATCAACCAATCTTTTACTTTCTTAAGCTTTAATATTCTATCTTTATCCACTATAAGCAGAGCTCTGTGCTCCTTTTAGCAAGTTACAGTGGCAAAGAAAAACTCAAAAGCAGCTGTCCACTAATGAAACTGTATAAATGAAGTAATAATGGTGTTAAATGATTACTCTGATATTCTGATATAATAACCTCAAATACTTTACTGATTATATTAAGAAAATGTGTTGACCCAAGAATTTGTTACCATGTGCCCCAACCAATAAACCTTATATCCTAAGAGTTCATAGTAAAGAAGAAAAATATTCAAGAGTGGTCATCTTGTAACTGTAAAAAAATATGCAGAAAGAACTTAATCACAAATTAAGGGTGACGCAGAGTAACTAAGGAGAGGGCGAAATCTAAATCCCACTACTTGGCAAGGAATTCTTGGACTCTGTGAAATCCATGACAAACATAGTACCAGATAAATGGTGTATTATTGTGATAAATGGGGGGAGAAATGTGATTGAGTCAAAGAGACTTTTAGCAAAATCAAAAAGCAACATCTGGATTTTCTGCATACATTGGACTCTGTTAAAATCCCCATTAACCAGCATGTTGTGGAGCAGCTGTTTTCATGCATCTGCCCAAGAAAGGCCTCTGGGCCTCGTGGCATCTCAGGGCCCCTGTTAAAATCTGTTAAAGTCTCTCAACACTCACATCATCTTTTTTATCTAGAAGAGCTCTATCATTGTTTCTATGCTCAAAAGAACTAATTACAAAGTAAAAGACTAATAAAGTGTTTCAAGAAAGTTATCGTCAGTTCATTGAAAACAGGTCAGTTGTGAAAGAGGCTAGTAAACCTAAAACTTCGTCTTGAGGCCTCAGTTGCCAAGACATCAGAGCTGTGTGAAATGAACAGCCATGTCCTCTCTTTCACACTTGTCTCTGGCTTGTTTTGGTGCAGGTATGTTCAGACAGTCTGGATTAGCTGGAAACATGATGCTCCAAATCCTCTTAAGTCTTCTGTCATTAATCAGTACATCTAGTTCAGGGCTGTATGGGTCCAGGGCAGATAAAGCAATGTTGAGACCCATGTCCTTATTCTTACTTGTTCTAACTTGCTCTTTTTTTTTTGTATCCACAGGTTCACCCAACTGCAGCCCATGTTCCTTGATCCAAACTATAAGCGATTTTCCAAGATTAGCGATTATTCACCTCCTTTTGGAGTAAAATCACAAGGTATGATTCCTTCTTAAGAGTGGTGTGATTTTCTTCAGATAAGCGTTCAATATTCTGTCTGCATTTACTGTGGATAGTTGAGTGTCCACTGGCTGCTACTGATATCTACCACCAGTCTTATCAGCCTACCTGGATACTGACTCCCTGTCTGCAAGGACATTTTCTATTATTCTTTTTTGGGTCTAACCTCGTTTCTCTTTCTCTCTCCATCACCCAAAGAGAAGATTATCGATATTCTTCTATCAGCCACTAATAGCTACGGCCTCGGTGAAGGACTTGATAAGTAAGTTAATGCAGTCATCACATTATCCTCTTGCCCATTCCCCCACACCTCTTTGTGTGGATTCACAATAGACAAAAACTGTCAGAGGGGAAAGAAACTGATATCAATGCCATTATCCACTCCACGTATTGATCCAATTCTCAATTAATTCCCTTGTTTCCTGAGGAGTATCTGTGTAGAAAAAAGTAGGCTTACAACCGAAATCACATTATTGCACTCAAATTGATAGATGAATCATCACAGATTACCTTTGTTTGTGATCGATGGGATCGGGGTTGTCTCTGAAAAACCATTGATCTTCTCTGTGGGATAGAAAAGCACACTGGATGTGTCAGAAACACAGCATAGTGCTGGAAAGCTGCCATGAAGTGAGTGGTTGATCACCAAGTGCAGCGGAGTTTTGCAGCCCAAGGAAGAACATTTATGATTATTACTTAAAGGAAATGCAATCAGACCGAGATACTAAGGCAGAAGAACTACCGCGTCTGCAGTGCAAAATGATTATTATAATGATTATTACTTCATGGAAATGATCCGCTGCACTCGGTGATTGACTCGTCAGGGCTCCCCCACAAACAAACGGCCATTGGAGGAGAGTGGGTGAGTTGTGTTTGGTCTCTTTGCTGAAGAAACCAGGCAAAGCTAAAAAGATGTTTGGTGGCTGGTACTATGGCTGGGACCCTATATGTACCGTTGATGAAGTTAGGTGCTGTTCTGAGCATTATTTGTGGCTATAGAGTAGACTAATGTGTATTGCTATTGTGTGGTCGTTACTAAAGTTGGTATCACTAGAAAAGCAAGCAGTCAGCAACATTCGTTGTCTCGACGGGATGTCTAACTCCTCTCTGTTTGGTCCTGGTCTTCCTTTTCTACTATTATAATTTAGAAGCCCAATGATAATCTCATTTTAGTCCACGAATCAGGATGCACAATTTGGAATGCATTTTTTTTTATCACGTACACATTTATCCTTCATGATTTTTTTCTTTCGTGTTTTCACTTCACCACGAGTATTCAAAGTCAGGGAGGAAAAATATGTGTATAACTTTTTACTTCTTGTACACCTCTGTGAGAAAAGTCAAATTAAGACATACTCCAAGATCATTGTAATGATTAACCCTTTCTGTGTTACAGCATGAATTGTAAAACATGTATCATCATAGGAAATGGAGGAATTCTGACCAACAAGTCTCTGGGACAGAGAATTGATGAATTTGATGTGGTGGTCAGGTACGTAAATGACATAGAAATACTACATGGACACACTCTTTTGCTTACAAAGATGTGATGGCTGTTAACATTGATAGCACTGAACATTGAGTAAACAGAATAATTACATTGTCAATTACAAATGTACCTAGTCAGTGACAGTGTCGTCAGTGTGCCCTGGCTGGTAGTCTTAAGATTTTACTGAAATAACCATTGACCCAGCAGAATATGAAAAATTGACTATATAAAAACTGCTAGACTTCCCTGATTGGTGTTAATTTTTTGACAGTGGATTTGTGGTGATTGATTATTTTGCTGGGTGTTGCAGGTTAAATGAGGCGCCTGTGAAAGGCTTTGAGAAAGATGTCGGCGCTAAGACCACCATGAGGATCACCTATCCAGAGGGGGCCATTCAGAAGACTGACCGCTATGAGACTGAGTCCTTGTTTGTCCTTTCTGCATTTAAAGCTCAAGACTTCAAGTGGCTTCGACACATGGTCTTCAACCAGAGGCTGGTAAGGCAGGGGAAGACACAGATATGCCTCCTGATTGGTGACCTAACTATTTGATCATTGGTAGCATAGTTACCAACAATCAGACAGTTGGATCACATAGTCACTCGTTAACTAAGCATCACAAGATTTTCATTTATAATGTTTTTAACTTTCTGTTTTTTGTACTCATCTATTTTTTGCTCGATTACAACATTGAATTAGATTTTAACACTGGAAAAACCCACTACAGTTACATAATATATATGGGTGTGTTTGTAGGCTCATGGGATATTTATACCAGAACCTCTCATACTGTCAGTAGTAGTCATAAGACAGAGGTGGTCTTACAGACAGTATAGTCAGAGCCCAGTAAGTACCTGTCAGCTGAGTCCATCTACTTTGCCAGTTCCTCAACTTTTTTACCTCCTGTCATTCACAACCCAAAATTTGTAAAGGTTTTAAAATCTGGGCCTCTTCAGCAATCTTTGTATCTGACAATACGTGGATGAAGACACCATTGTCTTTTTTATTGTTGTGTTGTTTTGTAATATGTGTGAGTGAACAATCTGGCATTAACGCTTCGCATACATACTGCAGGTGCTGTTTCAGGAGGTATCTATAACTCAAGTTCAGGGCTGCATTTGCTAAGGTTGAAACACAGTAAAATAACACTCGGATCAACATTAAAAAACACAGGCAAGGTGCCAACACTTTACAGCGTTCATGCTTTTAAAGTCCCTACTTTTTACTGATGTTTGTTCTTGTGACAATAAATTGTGCTCCTAAAGCTGCCTAAAAAAGCCGGTTTTACCTGTAAAAGTCATGTTGTCAACAACACTCACCAGTTGCACCATCTATAACTAGGGTGCATTAGATTCAGTTAGGTTCACAGATAACTACGTAGTTTTAAAGGCCTGCTTTGGGTTAATTTGATATGATTAAATCAATTAACCTGTGATACAAGATATATCATACAATCAAAGTTAACAAATCACCAATATGAGACACTTCTAATTCTTACCATCGATCATTCAGCAGTTAAACAGCCATTTTTATTACTTAATGCTTTCCATGTTAGCTTTTATAGAAGTGGAGGTGAGTTAAATAACGTCAGTGTATAAACAGTTCTTCTCTCGTCGAAGTTTCCACCAGCTAAAGCTACATTTTAACTGCACCTCTTTGAATGGGTTCAAGAAAACCTTGGATTTTTATTCCTTACTCTGTATTTTCTTGACCTGCCTTTTTGCAGAGGAGTGAGTTTTTGCTCTTAGGTTTGATTTTTTGTTTGTTTTTGTTTTCACATGCATGCCTTTTGCAAACCCTTCATAGAGGGGTCTGAATGGGAAGTATGAGGCTTCAGCTTTTATACACGCCCTACAACAGACAGCCAAGCAAACCAGGCCCTTATGTGGCTGTTACCAGGGTGGTCCCTGTCCTGGATCACATTTCACCTCCACTAACAGGTGGAAGTAAAGACAGTATGTATTTCTACATCTCTACCCTTTGTTGTGAAAAGGTTCATGTCTCTCTTGTCTATAGCTGAACACACTTTGAACCTGTTAAAACAGGTCAATAACCTTTGCACATCATGGATGATGTGATCACAAATCAACAGCCTTAAGTTCTGCATTTTACTGGTAGTGTTAGGATGACTCTCCATATGCACTGCTAAACATAAATCACTTTGTTCTCAACTTTATTTTGTTTTTTGTTTTTTCCTCACAAAATATTTAATATGTTCATCAAGCTTCAGATCTCCTCTCCCCATTTATGTATTCACACCCCTGTACCTCCTCTCACACCCCTGCACCTCCTCTCCATTGAACAGACCAGCCTACTGCACTTTGTTCATTTTTTTCCTCCCTGCATAGACTGAATGCACAGGAGAGACTCGACAACAACTAAACAAGCGCAAAATTCAGCACACAGTATATATGTCAGTTACCATGATCAGGAGTGTGTGTGGGGCGGCAAGTTAAGAGCATTATTTCTTAAACAAAGACACATTGTGTGAAATAATCTTGAAAGTTATTAGCCTTAAAAAAACGATGTTGGTCAACCCCTACAATAGATGCCTACTCTGTGCTGCATTATTCTAAGCCATGATAAACCGAGTCATGTCTCTCATCTGTCTGTAGCCACTGTCTCTCTTTTCCTTTGACCTGGTCCAGGATAAGCCACCATTGAAGCATGTCCCTTACTTTATTCACGCTGTATGCAGAATGTCTTTGAGGTTTTCTTTGGTCGATAAAAATCTCAACATCCACAGTTTAGAGATTTAATTTGATTGAAATATTCTGTTCAAACATTTTGAAGCAATGACAGCGATGTCTTCATGAAGACTTTGTTGAATATTTTCTATTGTTGTTTTGAATATAACAACACTCCAGACTTTTTACTGAACCAAATCTCAACCTTTAAGATTAGGGGCATTGGTAGGAGAGGACCGGGCTTTTGTTGACCGTTAAACCTCTTTACTAGAATAATACATTGAAAAATATTTACATTACAGAGCATTTCTGTCTAAAAGGGGTTTGTAAGGTGACGTGTGAAGGCAGTGCAGGTGATAAAATCAGTGCCACAGAGTGAGGTTGAATAAACAGTAATGGTGTATGGGTCTTTGAAGTTGATAACTCTGTGTAAAATACACTGCACATCCCTGGAAATTCAAAGTGACAATGCCTCATGAAGTCCAGATCCTGGGACACCCAATGTGGAAAAGAGCTACAAAGACCAAGATTTGATTTAGATTCATCTCTATGTAAACATACACTGATACTGTTAGCACATTGAGAATGGCCTGTAACATGATCCTGACCACTTTGTGCACATGGATTCTCCAAACACTGTTGCATCCTCTCAGAGCTGCCAGCAGAGCAGAGGTGTTTGGTTTCAATTTCTGAAAGAAGAGTGAAATGGAGACAGACTGTAAGCTCTTCATAGCAAATCCTGTCTAACTGGGTAACAGAGCTATGCTAGTACACAAATAGCTCCTGTCGCTGCTGTTTGGCTCCCCCTGCTCCTCACTTCAACATACCTGAGCAAACTCAGAGCCAGGTTTCCCAGTAACTGTTCATAAAGAGCCGTAAGGTCTGCAGGGAAGGCGGCTCATTATTAGTGTAATGGCCCCAGGTACAATGACACAGGGGCTTCCTCTGACTGGCATTGTTTGCTAGACTTGTTTTTCACCAGTGTTTTAATGGTGTTGACCCTTCCCCTCAAGCCCAGGGTTCAGGGTATAGGTTTCACTGTGCTGAAGTGCAATCCTATTTTCCACGAATACCCAGTTTGTGGCCCATCTCACCCCCTGGTGTTTTGAAATATTTGGTCATAATTAGGGCTGGGGTGATATGGGAAAAAGTTTATCACAATAAGGCTGCACGATATTGGAAAAAAATAATATTGCGATTTTTTCAACCCTGCGATATATATTGCGATATTAAAAATACAGTATTTTCACCAGATGACCTGAATAGCACTTAATGTTATACTGCACTGCTGAAGTCTTGAGGACAGTTAACCTGCACTGATCTTACCTCTTTTTGTGAATGTTAGTAGAATGGCTTCTGTCTGTCTCAGAGATATTTTTAGCTTTTATTGTGCTGGGACGTTATTGTGGCAACAGGTGAACACAGAAGACGTGTTTTGGTCGACATCATCCTTCTTTTAACCGAAATAATTCCAGATAACTGGCTTTCCTTTTCTTTTTGGCAACAAATCTTCATTTTCGGTGGTTTTCGCTTGTTCGTTGTTCATTTTGCGATCGTTGTTGTTGTTGTTAGCGGTGTTGTGCCGAGAAACGCATGTCCTCCGAGAATTGCATGCACCTCGCAAAACGCGCACTGCTTATAGTAGAGTGGTCCACGGAAATGTACAATTTAAAACCCATACAGTTCTTATTTGTTGGGCTTAATAGTCATGAGTAAAGTTCCGAAAGTAATTCTCAGCGGACACACGTCTCCCTCCATGTGCAGAACATGTGCAGGGGTGGGTTTTCGCCTCCCTGATTTTGATTGACAGCTGGCAGGGTAGTCTGATTGGCAACTGAGAAGTGAGTCTGATTGGCAACTGAGTTAAGGACGAAGGCGATTGGTGGATCGCTGCACAGCACATGCAGAGTCACATGGAGTGTATCTCAGTCGGTTACCCTTGAAATTAAATGAGTTCATTCACCTCCAATATCGCAGGCTCTGCGATGTGACTATCGCACACACGTACATCGCGATGACGATAGTCAAACGATATATCGTTCAGGCCTATATCACAATATAATTTTTTTTATCAGTCGATATTAATATATATCACAATTTAAAAATGAAACTTAACAGAGCTTATTGGTAGCATGTCTTTTGCAATACAATAAGCTACTGCATCTGTGAGGTCTTTTGTTTTGTTGTAAGGTGTTGTGCTAGAGAAAGCGGACTGAATGGTCAGCTGTTTCGGCTGCACAGGCGCCATGGGCTCCTTGCTCTGCTCAGAGTTTGTAACCTTTTGCATTGCACGTGCTCTGCTGTGTGGCACTGCTTCAGGTGGTAAAAAAGATTTTAGGTATTCCCCGACTTAACGAGAACATGTACTCAACATTATTTGTAGAGTACATTGTTCTGCTTCATGTCCGACCTCAAAAAAAAAAAAAAAAAAAAAAACACCACCTACTTTTTTGTGCCAGTGTTGTCGACAATATCATCATCTGTTAAGCCTTCGTCACCATTTCTGCCAGGGTAGCACTTATTTTCCTCTTTTCCGCCAACAATGCTGTTGGCTTCATGTGTTAAAGTGCGTTGGTTGCTTGTAGCTTCAACCTGCTACTACGCAGTTGTTTGCTACTTGGTTCTAATTTAGCACATGATTGGTTCAGTGCGAAGTGGACCCGGAGCAATTCCCCTTTTTATTGGCTATTTGTATAGTCTACCAAATCATAGCAGAATGCCGACTTTCAAAAAGGATATTGACCATAATTTATATCGATATTGAGGGAAATTAATTTTCGATATATATCATTATCGTTTTATCTCCCAGCCCTAGTTATAATTAACAGCTTAAATTTAAAGACAATTTACTTTTTGGATAACCAAAATCTTTGAAACTAAATTTCTTCCTCCGAGACACTCAAATAAAGTAAGAACAAAGAATCAAAGTAGGCTTTGATAAGTTTTGAATATTGCACGATTGTATGATTTCTTCCTGAAAATGACTTGGGTGTCACTGCTGGAGAATTTATATTTCAACTTATTTTGTCTTATTTAATCATAATATTTGATAGGACAACCAGAGAATGAAGTTTGAACAAAACAATGAACCAAAAGAGTCTTCAAAGCTCTGTGAAGATAACAGGATGGGTTTTAACCTGCTGAATGTTATCCATGACAGCTTTCACACAGTGTCACTATCAGCCCATCAGACAACATTGTGATCCTGTATGTTGATAAAAGATAGATTGATTCTGGTTTACACTATGCTCTTAAATAGGCACTGGCCTAAAACCTTGTTTACCGTTGATAAAAAGACATGTTTTCTGTGATTTATTTGGCTATATATATTTCAATTATTTACAGCAATATAATGTTAAGATATATTTTGCCAACAATTTTACCTTTCCACTTAGATTTAGTGACTGATTTAGTGCATTGCTTTTGATGATAAAGTATTTGTAATGTATCGTTCATTTAAATAACTGCTTTTATGCTTCTATTTGTAGTGTGTGTTCTTTGTTTAGTATGGAAGTCTCACTAACCACAGTTTTTTAATTGCATCACCCTTCGTCTCTCAGCGCAGCACTGATGGGTTCTGGAAGTCTGTGGCTAGACACGTTCCAAGGGAGCCAAGCGACATGCGCATCCTAAACCCCTACTTCATCCAGGAGGCCTCTTTCAAGCTGATTGGCCTTCCTCACAACAATGGACAGATGGGCAGAGGGGTGAGAGACCTGTTTTCCCGGCAGTCAGTGTTTTTGCTGTTCCAGGTAGAGAAGTAGCAGGAGCAGGGGGTTGTTGCACACACTGAGGCGGTGAAATGATCCGGACTCCACTCTGTTTGCATTATTAAAGCCTCTTTAGACACACAGCATATGTAGCGGACAGTATTTTTGAGGTGTTGTGCATGTATTCAAAGACATACAGGAGTAGGAAACTGGGGAGGGTTATGGGTTCAAATCAAGCCCCAGATTTCAGGTCATGTGTCATAATCATGTGAGCAAACAGGTCGCAGCTCGGTTTCAACGTCTTTATCATATTTGTTTGTTTTTCAGAATATCCCAACCCTAGGGGCAGTTGCCATAACAATGGCCCTTCATAACTGTGATGAAGTAGCTGTGGCTGGATTTGGCTACAACATGAGCACCCCCCATGCTCCTCTGCACTATTATGAAAAGATCAGGATGTCAGCCATCAAAGAGGTAACTACAGACACAATCAATACCATGTCACAAAAGTTCCTATAACTGATCCTAGGAAGTGATTGGGAAAGTTATGGATCTTCCCCGCAGAAAAAACAATGTTTGAGGATTTATTCCTAAAAGCAACAAACCTGTGGTAAACAAGAACAACATGTGGTCTCTTATATTATTGAAGTCAGGGCTGAATGATACAGTATATGGTTTGAACATCACAATTGAGATTTGCACATGCAATATAGTTAATACCAGAACATGCAATGACCTGGAGCAAGACATGTTGCTGCCACTTCCTCGCTGTCCAGGATTATATCAGCCATTTGACAGGTTTGCGACCTGTCCGGGGTCCAGTCTGTGTACCCTGTCTCTTCCTCAGTAATAGCTGGGATAGGCTTCAGTCCCCCCAGGAGGTAATGTTTAAGGCTGTGGTTGGCAAAAATTAAAAAAAAGAAAAAGATTGTGAGTGGCAGGCAGTGGCCCAAGTGGGCCAGTGAGGAACCAATAAACCAACCCTGCGTAAACTTTTACTGGCCCTTGGTCATTAGGTCATGGGTTGTGTTGGACCTTGCCTTGCACAGCTTCACCTGTTGGAGAACCAAATGCAGCAGGAGAATTTGGGTCACATTTTATGTTGCTGCTGCTCAGTTAAAGTGGAAAGAATCATATCAATCAACCAAGTGTAACTTAGAACTCTGCTGTAACTGCACACTGAGGGCAAAGTACGACTCTGCTTGAATCCTCTTCCTGCAGTGTGTCAGTGGCTGAACCAGTTGTACATTACAACCAGATTAATCCTACAGAGAATATTTCTGATAATTGATGAAACGTTAGAGTCTTTTGGTTGCATGTTCTGAGCTGTCTACGTGAAACAACCAGCTCATATGTCCTACCCTGTGCTTTCTGTCCTCCATGCAGTCTTGGACTCACAACATATCTAAAGAAAAGGAATTTCTGATAAAGCTGGTGAAGGCTGGGGTTATCCAGGATTGGACCGGTGGGATCTGTGGTGCAGGATGCTGACATGGTGGTCTACACTCAGATTGAACACTCCTGAAAGCAGCATGTGCTCACCTCCACCTATGATCCAGCACCAGAAGAGGGAAACTAAAGGCCCTGTCGGCCATGTGTCCAGCACACAGCAGCAGCTGGTACTCTCGTTGGTCAGAGTTGAGATTGTAAGGATACCAGGCTTTTTGTCAAGGACGCACTGCCTTCGTGTTGCATTTATCTTATTGCAAGCAAATGGCCTCTGCATTGTATTGCAAAGTTAAGTTTGTCCCAGTTGCAGGCTAACGTAATTTTACATGGATTCAGTCAACTCAGTGTTGGAAATCAAACCAGCACCTTAACCAGACTCTCCTACGACTAGACTGGCAGCAGGCTGGAGGGAAGGAGCTCATGAAGATGTAGGATTGATTTTCGAGCCTGTGCCAAGAATACCTCTACAAGTGTCCTTCTGCTCACGCATCTGAATGTATCTGCATCGTACTCAAAGTTGTTATAGACATTCATATCTTCCAGGTTCTTTGTGAAACAGGGTGCACCCTTGAGGAGGTAGAACTCAGCTGTCCTCGACCAGTCTCTGACATCTTAGTAAATCTTTTTTTATCAGAGCAACATGGCAATCATCACAGTGTGTAATCGTCAGTGTAAAGCTAGCTGGGAAATATAAGCAAATAAGAGCTTCCTCTGTATCTGCAACAAATATCACACCAAAATGCATATCAAGGTTTATCACATTAATTTGAAAGATTTCAAAGACACATCACATATGCAGAGATGAAATAATCCCTCCCCCCAGATATGTCATGGATGTTGTTGAGTTGCATGTCCTAGCATATGAGGCCAGAGCAGCTCACATCTCTGAGAAATTCACTTTTGGATGGTTAAATGCTCATCTTTATAGAGCGTCAACTTCAATCTTGATGATACATTCCATGTGTAACTGACTCAGTGTTTCAACAGACACCCTTTTCTTTTTGGTGCTGTCTTCTTTCTTGTTGGGTCTGTGAAAACAACAGGCCTCTGTGGCTAAAGCTAATTATTTAAAAAGAGTCAGAAAGTCTAGATGCGATTGCAGGGACGGGTCGAGTCCAACAACATAATAAATGTGCACTCTTACTTGTAAGGAACAAATTCTGTCCTTGATAAATATTTTTAATGCATATCTGAAATATTATGAAGGTCTGACAAAGCCGTGGCAAAGGGTTTACTTCACAGAGGCGTATATGGTGGGTCTTCGGGAGTGTCACTGTTGTGTTGGACAGAAAGTGAGAAAAAGTAAAGAAGCATGTTAAAAGACAGAAGGCCTCAGTATTATTCACAGCATCCTGTTTTATATAAAAAAAAACATTTCTTTGTTTATAAAGTGATATTTAAATGGACTGATGAGACGACACTTAAGTGAAGTCAAAGATAAGCCAATGTTGTCAGTCCATTGAAAATCTACAGCATATACACTTCTCTAAATCATATCTATATCTGTCTTTCTGTCCAACATATGAAATGACTTCCTTGCATGGCTGATGTCTGCATCATGTCAGACACCGGTGTATTGAAACCCTTGATTCTTCATATGCTGATGACATTGTGGTTTGATTATCAGTAGCTTGAAAAACAAATCAAGGCTTCTTCTTATCCAAGGTGAAATTCATTTCCATTTCAGATGTCTTGTAGCAAACAAGTGTCTTATCTCAAACTTGTAAAGTGCACCTGCTTTTTAAGAACCAATCACAGTATGATTATTAGAATTATTTTTTTTAATTTATGCCACAGCAGGGAAGACAGACTCAACTAGTCCTGAGATGATCAACACTGTGCTTTAGTTGGCTTTTTATGATAAAAGTCATGAACAGGCTTTTAATCTGGGTAACTATCAAAGATCAACAGAATAAATCCTTAAATCCAGGGTCAGGATACATGACATCAACCAGAAAAATGTCCCAAAATCAAGACGGGCGTTCAGAAAGTAAATCCGCTTCTAGTTTGATCTGTGCTATATGTTACTGGCTTTGGTATTGCCAAAGTTTGACACAGAGCTGTCACATAGAAATTCTTTTTGTATTCATTACAATACTGCATAAACAACAGCAAGGACAGTGAGTAAGGAGATGGCAAAATAGAATACAGAGAGGTTAACAATGGATTTAAGATTCAGAAGAAAAGGACTTAATAAATGTTTCATGAAAAAGTGTTTTATCTGTTTGTTAAAAATCAAAAATAATTGTTTTGTGTCAGCCTAAAAGAAAACAGGGTGATTTATTAGTTCAATTGAAAATACTGTTGATTATAGAGAAGTATTCAGAAAGTATTGTTTTTAACCAACACAAACCAAAAGTTTCTCTTGGCGCTTTAATGTTTCTTTAGCTTTTCTCTAATCCAACTCAATATGGTAGATTTAAAATTGCCAACACTGCAGAGCCTAGAGCTTAAAATAAACCCCCGCACCTCAAAAATCACAGCTCAGTAATGGAAAAATCATCAAATCATCTGCTGCCAAGCACATATTTTTGATTCATGTGATTGATTGATTGATTGATTGTTTTATTTTGTGTTTTTGTTTGTGTGAATGGAAAGTGTTAAATAGACTGAATTATGCTGGTGCCTGCTTTAAAGATCCACTTCTCTTCCTGAACTCTCTAAAAAGCCAATATACACTACAGGCCAAAAGTTTGGAAGCAAGGCCATTACAGGCCGAACTGTTGGGAGTAACTTCAAGTTTTTGTTCACAATGCTTTTTTTTAAATCCAGCATGAGTTTTATGTATTTTGGGATGTATTTACTCCATGATCAGATGTTGCTTTCATGGAAATGCACCATTTTACTCCATTTACCTTTAGATATACATTGATGTTAACAGACCATTGCTAAATATATGTCAGCAAAAGATAATAAGGGCTTAGTTTAAGGGTTGAAAACATTTGCAAGAGTCACAACTTCAGTGCAAAAGCAAAAAAAAAACAAATTACAGTCGGATTTTTCACTTCAACTTTTTGGCTTTTGAGAGTCTGCATAAAAAATCCTAATAAATCTCAACTGCGTTCAAACCACCACAAAAATGGCTAAAAAGAAGCAACTGAGTAAAGAAACAAAAGTACAGATTTGTACATTGAGGAAAGAAGGATACACTGAAAGAGAAATTGCAAAATGCCTAAAGGTGTTTAACAAAGGAGTTCACTACACTCTGAAGAGACTAGAGGAACCTGGAAGTTATGATGAGAGAAAAAGACCTGGATGAAAGAGAGTTACTACAAAAGCAGAGGATTAACATAGCATTGTCACCAGTAAGAGAGATCGGCAAAAGACAGCACCAAAAATAAGGGAGGAAATCAACATGACAAGGTCGAAACCCATATCTCTGACAACCGTGAAATGACGTTTGCATTGAAGAAGGAACAGTACCACTCCATCCTCCAGCACCATGCTGTTCCATCTGGACTCAGACTTGTGGCTCATAAGTTTGTTTTGCAGCAAGACAATGACCCTAAGCACTCTGCCAAGCTCTGTCAGGGTTACCTAGACAAAAAGAAGAGAAAGGTTTCTTCAAAAGATGGTTTGGTCCCCTCAGTCTCCAGACCTTTCTCAATTGATCTTGTGCGGGATGAATTGGATCGATCGGTCAGAAAAACGCATCCCACAAATCAGCAGTCTCTTTTTAATGAACTTAAGAAAGCTTGGAATGCAATCCCTGGAACATACCTTAAAAAAACTTGTGGAACGAATGCCTCGTATATGCCAAGCTGTTGTTAAAGCCAGAGGAGGTTACTTTAAAGAAAGCAAAGTCTAAGCAACAATAACTCAGATACCTAACAATTATAGTCAAAATGTCTTCTGATAAGTTACTCTTGACACAATAGTCATGTTTATTGTGTTGCAAATTATATATATGAAACTATAATCGTTTTTTTGTACAAATCTGATCTTGCTTCCAAACTTTTGGCCTGTAGTGTATATATATTTTCTTTTGATTTTAATTTATTTCCCAGATGAACTCTTGCTCATAATTGTTTGTGTCTCGGTAAAACACCAAAGCATTCCCCTCAGTCACTACACTCAGCCTGTAATAGGCTCTTTTCTCAGGCTCTCACATCTCTCTTATGATCAGTGTTACTATCAAACACACTGACTCAGCTTTATAAATCGATCTTGTATTACTGAAGAAAATTAGCCGTGTTGTGAAGTCTGTGAGTGTTTGTGTTGCTTATACACTGTAGCCTGCATAGTTTATGCTAAGCTAACTGCAGGTGACTGCTGACTTGATGCCAGCCAGATTCTTATGCCAAAGTATTCATATATTTATTGTAAGCCTTGCACAGGAACTCCAATAAAGAAAGACTGAAGAATGCTGTATTTTTTTTCACCTTGTCTGCATTTTTTTTTAAGTTGTAGATACAAGTTGAGATTCAAAAACAGTTTGTGGTGTTATGAAATCATCCCCTTTGCATGCTGAAGTATTTAATATATCATCATAAATATCTTTTGTGTGATTCTTTTTGTTTTTTTGCACACATTTTCATCAAAGTTCATTTGAAGAGACTTGATTAATTGTTTCAGAAGGCTGACAAGGGCTCCTACTTTTTAAGCTTACATGCTGTCTTTATTGTGTTGCACAGGTCAAAGACTGAACACGGTCTAAACCAGACTCAGCACCAGTGTCATGTCCATTTAAGTTTGGCATGGAAAAAAGTTTGTGCAATCGTATGACTTAAACATCTTGTAATGTGTGCATTGTTGACTGACAACATTTTGAAACCTGGTCATCTGTCTGACGGCTGTAGTGAGTGTTGTCTGAGGACATGTTACACAGACTGTTCTGACTGTTTAACTACTTACCAGGGGACCATTTCTCATCACAGAGCTTTATACTTGTACGTTACATGATTCCATAAATAGTACCATACCTGCTCTGAAAAAAAGTGCTACTTTTCATGTGAACTTTGTAAAATTTGTCTTTCTCAAGCCTTTAAATCCACTTCCTCATATTCTCTCGACCAGCAAGTCAGTGATCAAGAATTACATTTCTGGACAGCTTAACAGTGATGATCAGGATTCTTTCAGTAAAAGTGGTCCGCACGCAGATTGTCTTGACAACTTGGAAACATTGCTTTTGAAGATTACTGCTTACAACATTGCACTGCTATCTGGTCCTTAGTTTGAAATAAAATCCCTTTAATTTGGAAACCAGCCTTTGTTCTCAACTATTCAAGAGAAGAAGCCAAAAAGGGGTTACAGGTAATATCGTGTCAAAAATAACCAGCTGCATAGCAGCCTTTTTGTGGAGCTTGAACAGTGAGATCAAATAAAGTTACTTGAAAGGACTTTTTACTATTTATAAGTCTCTCCCTTTTTCTCTGTCTCTGATACTCTCATAAACCCACTTGCACACTTTTGACCTGGCTAAACCCTCTTTTCCACTGTGTGAGTCTTAAAATGAAACTGCAGCATTTTGTGTAGGTTCAGGTTTATGGACTTTCTTTAACCTCAGTGTGTGTGTGTGTGTGTAAGGACAAACTGGGGCCTCTCAGCATGACCAGTGCACCCCTGGGTCCAGTTCAGGTATCTCTTTGAGGGATTTTAATTCAGATATTTGTGTAAAAACCCAAGCAAGACAGACAGGGTACATCATAATGACAAGTTTCAAGTAGAAACAAATATATCAGTTTTTCTTCTGTAACAGAGTGAAAATATTTCTACATCATGTTTGAATGTGTTAAAAAACATGTTCATGATGTCTTCAGTTTTAGGTCTAGGTGTGAACCCAGACTAAGCCAATATTTTTCATCCCATGAATAAATGGCTAAAATGTTCCAGCGCTTGTTTTTTCTATGAATAAACTTGGAAAAACATCTTTGGTCATCACTGACAAGATGTCCACCGGTTCCAGTTTAAAAGTTGTGTTACTGGCTTTTTAATGACATTCATTGAATATCTATGTTTAGGCTATTTTTAAACAGAAATCTGTCCCTGTTAATTAATTTTAACCGTGAAAACATTTTAATCTTGTTTGTGCTCGCTTGATCACTTAGGAGTTGTTGGGATTCAGACTGTTTTGTTGTCAAACGAAAGTCTTTGCATTTTCGTTTTTAGCCTCTTGCATCCAAAACACAACCTTGGTGTGGCTTTATGTTGTGAGACATGGCTAATTGCTAGGAAATCATAAAAGCAGTCAACAGCGGTGCGAAGCTTTGAAGGTTTTATTAACAGCAGTGAGTCATAGCAGAAGCACGTTAACAGAGGGAGGCATGATGGTTAACACTGTCGGGAGTTTAAAAGAATTATAAAACCCAACTTGCATGAACATTGTGCAATTTTCCATTACACTGTTTTCATTCTATATGTGTTTTTGCATGACTGCTCCAAGATTGTGCGGCATTTCAGGTCTACCCTGCCACAATCATCAGATTGACTTGATTCAACACGTACCTTAAATGTTTGAGCTACTCTTGCTACAGGCAATATCAGCTGCCATACAGTAGCTCTGTAATACTTACCTGCAGTGGGAAAGAAAATCAAATGCTAAAGAAGGAGAAAATGAAAAGGGGGTTAGGGCTCACTTTGCATCACATCAGGGTCACTCCTGAATTGAATTCCAGCTCAGCAGAGACTCGGTACTCTCAAATAAAAACCTCTCTTGTGTGACATTTAATCTGACTTATCCTTCAATATATTTTTATTAACTTTTAGTTTGAACTTTTTCTGAGACAACATTTTTTTCTCTAACTTTAACCCTTATTTTACTGTAAGGACCTTGCTTGTGTTCCACCGAGACAGCAGCAGATCACTGAAACACAACAGGCCTCCGAAAATGTGTGATAGCAAGTTTTTTTATGTTCCAAGCAATCGAACATAAAATATTAGAAGTTTTTACCTCCCTATCAAAGTGTCTCTGTCAATCAAGATAAAGTAGGAACTATTTTACACTGGCAAAGCTTTAAAAGGGCCGATAAGGAAAAAGAAAAGATTTTAGACTACTTTACTATAGTTCTCAGAATGACACACCGAGAACATTGACTAAATATTGATCACTCTAACTAAAAGGGACAGAGCATTTCAGGGTTAACCTTTTTGTTGTTTGGCTGAGACACTCTCAACATCATGTGTAACATGACGTGAACTACCAAAGTGCGAGCAATGACATGTTTTATTAGCTTTCTATCAGACAACAATAAACAAACTCCATCACAGTCGAAATATTTAAAAAATGTGACATCAGACGGCACACTATCGCAGTGTTAGCACAGCCTTCATCTGTGCTGTACACTACTGTACCACAACAGTAAATACTAAACAGATTTGGAAAGTATGAGATCACAAACAACCTTGCTATGGACAGAAGGAGCAGGTGGCCACTATTAAAAGAGGATCCTTGACCTGAACGTGTTCTCAGGCTGTGTGTTTGAGGGGGGGCACAGGGTGAGTGCACACAAACAGAAGCCCCTCACTACTATGTTGGTGGCCCCGAGATGACAACACAGGAATGGTGAGGATGAGGAGGGACAGCGTTCACATACCAGCAACAATGGCCAGCCTGGCTCCGCTTACACATGAAGTTTGGTCTGGTTCACTCTCCTTTCATCTGTGCAACCTGACCCAGGCCAAACGTCCCCGACCAGCATTTTGTTTTAATTAATCTAGGATCTGGAGGCAGGCTGAGCTCCTCTCTGGGGCAGAGTGTGGCTGTACTGGCTCAGGTTGCTTTTTCCTTTATTCCCACTGACAGTGCATGTGCACTCGGTGAGGCCGTGTCACAGTCCCCTGTGAAAACCTGCAGTCCACTCCGCAGAAGTACATTTGAGGGCGGCTGCAGATAAAATCCATGCATCTGTTTTTACATGTCATAAAAGTCACCTTAGTGGGGACATGCAAACTCTTTTCGCCATGTGGAGTCATGCTGAGGTTAAAAACCTTTGGACCTTTGGTTACTCTGTAATTGAATGAAGTGCTGATGCAGTAGATACCACTGTCTTCTCACTTCTCACTTATTCTAATGCTGACCTCTACTCTATGGAGTTTGTATGGTCTTCATGGTGCCTTACTTCTTGTTCTCTTGTGCCCCAGCCAGTCCGCAGACAGGACCTTTGGATGTACTTCTAATAAGATGAAATCTCAAGAACAGACATTACTGAGTTGGATTGGGCTCCTGCAGTCAGAAGGTGAATTTGCAGCATCAAGCCAGGAATGGATGCATCACCAAGTCTGACTAGAGACAAGTTCAGAGTGTGTGCGCTCTAAAATGTTCCCTTCTTGCTGTATACAGGTTTCATTTCATCTGACTAATGTCAGCCATTCATTAACATCATTTCACACATCATTCTTCATTACACCATTAAATCTAGCATGGTGTCGTGTTATTTAAACAAAAAAAGTGCTGAAATTTTGACTGTGTACTTGTTACTCTGTCTTTCAATGAATCATGACTTTTTGGACCAAACACTTTTAAAAGAGAAACAGCAGAGGCTTTCAATATCATTTTTTGGAGGTTAAAACCAGTAACTACTGTGTAAAATTGTCGTTACAGATATTCATGTATGACTCAGCACTGTTAAACTTCTGAATCTTTCTGGATTTACCATCATCACAAAAGCTGAACCCAAATGCAGCTCCAGCATCTCATTCCAAAGGCTGTAAACACAAAAGCAGAACTTAAGAAAAAGGTTGGATCTTCAATTTCTTCAGTTGACAGGGTCTTTAAAAGTCACGACAAAGTTCTGCAACCCGCACTTTGGGCCTACAATATCCAACATCCTCCATGAGCACAGGAATGTAACCACTCAGTCCACTTCCCGCTGCACCCAGTAGGACACTCTTCCAACCATGCATGACCACCCAGGATATCAGTGACCTTATGTCACTCCCTTTGCTCCAAGGACCCCAGGGGGGCAATTTAACCGGTGACAGGTTGGTTTGAACAAAGCAGCATTAAGGTATCGGGTCCTTCAGGCCTATAGTGAGGCTGCTTGATTGTGGTAGCAGGGTCCCACTAAGATCCTGGGAGGTATGGCATGAGCAGTGGCGGGCCCTGACCTTAGGCTGTGCGCTGATTGCAGGGTAATGTTCAGCTTTGAGACACATGCTGATGATCAGGGTAATTTTTTTCTGAATGCTTCTGTCTGTACCTGCCCGCCCTCTAACATCAGCTGCCAGTTGTAATTGGCCATGACTGAGGAAGCATGTATGTTTGGCAGTTGGCTCAAATCGCTCCGTCACTCATCCACTTCATCTTAAAAAACACAGACATGTATGTTGCTCTTGGTCCTGAAGTCACATGTAAGTAGCAGCTTACAAGCCAAAGTACAATAAATACCTCTTTGCGTTTTGATACAAGGTCAGGAACCTCTCTTGAGATCCCA